CACTTCCTCACTTCCTCACTTCCTCACTTCCTCACTTCCTCACTTCCTCACTTCCTCACTTCCTCACTTCCTCACTTCCTCACTTCCTCACTTCCTCACTTCCTCGCAAACACCTGCCTCTGCCACGCTTCAATCCCTAACCGCCAAAACAGAGTCTTTTTCAAGAATACGTCAAGGCGATTCTCGTCGAGTTCTCCGAGACCACCTACCGCAGCCTGCAAGAAGGCTTCAATCACCAGGGCTTGGGTGTCTTCCTGATCGCTCTAGAGAACGAGGTCGAGCCGTTATTTGCGAATATTGATCTGCAGGGCAATACCGACAAGAAATACACGGTCTCAGTCCGACTCTCAGACAAGCCACGTCGGCCCCGCGAGGGCTGGCCCCAGAACGACTGAGCGTAACATTGTTCGTTCACAAAGAGAAGGGTCACACGAAGGCTCGCTGCCCACAAGCGGATGGCGAGGCTGGCGGTGACGCTTCTGGCTACGACGACGCAGGTGCTACCGACGAGGGCAATGATTATGTCGGTGGCTCAGCCTTTGATGCCGTCGATGAAGTTGAAGCGGATGGATCATACCACAGTCCTTATAGGTTCCAAAATCACTTGCTCGGTCTGCAAAGAGAAGGGTCACACGAAGGCTCGCTGCCCACAAGCGGATGGCGAGGCTGGCGGTGACGCACCTGGCTACGACTATGCCGGTGGCTCAGCCTTTGACGCCGTGGATGAAGTCGAAGCGGATAGATGGTGAACGACTGAGCGTAACATTGTTCGTTCACTCGTTGGGGAGGAAAGGAGTAGGGAGAGGAGTAAGGTGAAAGATCATACTCTGGTCCAAGGGCCCTTTGGCATGAGCCAGCACGCTGGAGAGGCAAACATAACGGTCATATCGAAGGCCCACGATAGCTCAAGCATCCGGCAAGAGGGTGCTGTATTTCACGGCAGGGGGATCAAGGCCTCCAATCTCAAAGGCCCTTTAAGGAACCTATTGAAGTGGTTTGGGGAGAAGAAGCGTGTGGGCGTTATCAGGGGCGAGGAGAAGAACGAGGAGTGAAGTACTAATTATATTGTCTCTTGCGACACTCGTACTAGTTGATCAACATTCAATTGCTCCATTGAGTCAATTTCAAATCCCTTAAATCCCCTAGATTAGCCCGGGCCCTCGTCGAAGAATGTTATGAACTCAAGTGCTTATAGTGGAAGTCGACTCATACGGAGAGCTAGCGTGGCTATTTATTAAGTTTAGATAGAAACTAATGGCTCTTAATTAATAAAGTACTTTAAATATTAGCTAGAAATAACCCTTAATTATTAGCCCCGGCGATAACTAGCTTTCTATATAGAATATTACTAAATAAGTCTTATTAACCTAATTTATATAATTAAGAGAGAGTCTAGCTAAGTAAGGGGAAGTTTTACTTAGTACTTACGCTAAGTTATAAGTCCGAGATACTATAACTCTTCTAAAGGATTAGACTAGATCCCGAATCTAACATGCATCGCGCACATAGTCTTGACGGCCTGACTCCTGCTACATCTGCCAAAAGATGATCGAGCCCGAAACACGCGACGCTCTGCTTGCACTTCTCAGATTCTCCCTGGTGTTATTGTAGCCATTGTTTGCCTAGAAGTGAAATGCTTCCTCTTTCACCATGTTTAAGTCTGATCTTACTTAGCTTTCCGAGCAGCAAGGGGCTGCTAAGCTGCTCATGATGGCTTCAGGCTGTCTCCCCTTTGTACTCAAGGACACTTAAGTCGTCCGACGTACCACGTCCTTGACCACTCGCTTTCCCGTTCTTTTCTTGAGCTCCGGCAAAGGTACATCTCAAATAAGACCAGCCCGGACGTGTGACGCTTATACGCCACGTTCATACGGCTGTGTTCGGATATGACTTGAATCCAGGGCCACCGCTCCGAACTCGGCTGTCCTTTTGAAATTACTGATAGCCGAGTCCGATGAACGCTCACAAGTCAACGATCGGACGAGTGTGGCCCAGTGGGTCGAATGCGTGACCGGCGAGGCTGAGTCCTCACCCGTTTGATATCATCTCGCCAGTTGCAAATTTCGTGCTCCCTCTTTTTTTCTCTTCTCCTTCATGCTCCATCTACTCGTTCCGCGCTGCCAGTCACTCTCTGTAGTGACATTTTACCGCTCCAAGACCGCCGCCCCCGCCTCTACTCGAGGCTTTACCCTTCTCCCTAGTGTGGTGAGTTTGCGAGGTCGTTTTCCTCGGACCAAGTCGACTTCTTCTAGAAGTCGGCATTGTTGGGCAACTGATTGATCAGTTGTTCTCCGGTCCTTGGAATCCTTCAATAGCAGCTCACCCACTCTTCCGTCGTCATGTCTCAACCACCTCAACAGAGTAGTGGCAAGACCACAAAGGAGCCGGCTGCTCCCAAGACTGGCCCCGAAGCCAAGGCTGCTCAGGATACCGCCCCTGCCCCAAAGACCGACAAGCAGCTGTTGGCTTATAAATACTACTGCCTCGTGCACGTTGGGTCCTAGGATGGCCCGATCATCGGCGGTGGCAACCTCGGGAAGCCTTGCCCCAGTGGCATCACGGCCGAATTTGTCTATTACGCCAACCCAGCTCATTCGCACTGGCGCGGATTTACGTTGAACCTGCCTCGTGGCGCCAGCAACGTCGAGGATGGCTTCGGCACTTTCCACAGTTGTACGTTCATGTGTGCGCTTCGTTCGTTCTTTAACTGACCATGGACATAGTCGATCCCCAGCAGCGAAAGGCGTCGGTCTCCCAAGAGCTCAGCTTGCATGTCCGCTTGCCCATGCACAAGACCAAGGCCCAAGCATGGGAGTGGCCTCCAGAGGATCGCGAGGAATACCGGACTGGTCCTTGGATCCGAATCCACCTACAGGTCGATGAGGACGCCGAAGTCGAGGTCGATAACTGGGGCATGCCTTACGAGAACAAAGGACACCCCTGTGACGAGTGGATCAACGGCGCGGCATCGGTGGGTGGTATACGCCTGGTCGACTTCTTGAAGGGACGGGATTTCTTCTTCTCCGTCCGGGGCCCGAAGACCCCCCATATCTACCTCGAAAAGTTCGATCTGTCCACCAAGCTCGCCAAAGGCCAAGAGCTTCCTTACGGCAATGATCACGGTTGGAATCCCGCCCTCTACCGTGGACCGATGAGCGAGGATATCAGGGGCGATCAGTTTGAGCTTTGCATGCGCTTCGACGATACGAATGCGCTCATAGCGACCATTTCCCAGTCCGTCTTCCAGGACCAGTTCTGGGTCGCCGAAGAGGCCATGAAGATCTTCAAGACCAAGCTTCCGGCCTACCTCCTCCCAAAGGGCGACGAAGAGCCCGAATGTTCCAGTTTCTTCCTGATCGTCAGACTGAACAAGGCATTCCGTATCACCTTTGCGGATGCTTGGGCGCGCCTTCAAAAGGGAGACGGCACGGACCGCATTTGGGTGAGCTTCTTCGAAGACCAGTATGAGCTGGACTGGGCTCGTTTCAAAGACGACCACAAGAAGTGGGGAGAAGAGGCTTATGCGCTCAGCACTCTAGCTGACCTTCGGGTCATCGAAAGACCGGACAGGTTTCCGGTGCTCAAGAACCACGGCCTCGATGAGTTTGACCTGGTGCTCAACTACGGGAAGCCCCTGGAGATCCCGGAACCGTCAGTGGTTCTGAGAGAGTTCTCCTCCCGTCAGCAAGCCCTGGACGCCCTGGCCGCCGATAGGTCGTCTTGGAACACGGTCACGTTGGCGCTTGACCCCCAACTCGCGGACACACAGTCCCTGGTGGAGGCTGTCTCGGAAATGGACAATGGCTCGAAGCGGACATGTGACAGGCCTGACTTCCGCAAGGACAAGGACGCTGCCGCACTCTCCCAGTCCCGGATAATTGAGTTGTGGTCTGGTCGAGGCTTCTGGCGAACCCAGCTCGAGGCAAGGAATCCTCGCGCGGCGGAGCGCCTCGGCGTGCTCAGCATGCTCAGCATGCTGTCCCTCGAGTCCCGTCCAACTTTCAAAGAACGGGAATGGGCCTTGCCCACGACGAACCTGCTGCCCGAGGACAGTCTCTACTGGGAGGCTCTGAAGACCGACGTGGACCGCGACGACGTGCAACAGTTCGAACGCCACATGGCCCGAGCACCACTGGGGATCGTGCTCATTTCTGCGGTATGTATGAAGACTTTGTTCATCCTGAAAGTGACTAACGTTTGTGATAGGGTGCAGGGTACGGCAAGACAACCCGCGCCGCCGTGGCAGCCCTATGCCTGGTCGATCGGTTCAAGAAGGTCTACGCCAGCGGTCCGACGCACATTGCTGTCAACAACTTCCTCGAGCGAACGGACAGGCTCGATGCCAAAGCCGTCGACTACTGCAGGAACAGCAATGGGGCCGACCAAGGACGCGTGCGCCGCCTGATTGTTCGTGTCCGGGGACAAGGTGCCGAGGTGCATGCCATCCGACGGCTCCTCGAGAACCCTGACCTGACCGAGTCCGAATTGTTCCCGTGGCAGGTTGGCCGCAACGATCGCTGGCAGCTCCAGAACTCGGCGACGTACTGGCTGCTGAAGATCTTTGGATCTCCGGCCGTGGCAGCGCTGGACGATCGCGACCCGGCGGCCGTGGTGGCCTTACACAAGGACATCGCGTCCATCCATGGCGGGCAACGCTTGCTCGACGCCGTCAAAGCTGGCGATTGGGACATTGTCGCCGTGCATCCGACTGTCTCACCAGATTCATTGTCCTGTCTCACGTGTCAATTGCTGCAGGATGCTGACATGATCTTCTCGACACCTGCGGCGAGTAGGCATGGCACTTGTCTGGATTGGAAGCAGCACCATGCCGCGGCCTTTGCCGTCGACGAGGCAGCCAATATGAAGCGGGCTGACATGATGCGGCTCTGGGGCAACTGCCTCCAGCCAATGGTGATGTCAGGGGACGGTAAGCTTTGCCCTTTAAATTTGTGTATGTCTTAGTCACTAACTTTTCCATCTAGACGAGCAGCTCGAGCCGGCGGTGATGACCGAGTATAACCAGGACGGCAAGGGGCGCTTCCTCAACCGGCACTTTCAAGACGGCAAGATGTCGGCCATGCAGTGGCTCAAAGCCCACAGCTGGCCCGTCTACGTCCTGACCAAGCAGTTCCGCATGGCTCGTGGCATGATGGACGCTATTAGCGACATTATATACCCCGAGGTCAAGCTCGTCTACGCGCCCTCGTGCGATATCACAAATGCCGTCCATCGACCCGGCGTCTTGTTAGACGAGTTCCTGCGCGAGAAGTTCCCCTCGATAGCGCCCGCGCCGACCGACAAGCTCTATCCGGCTTTTATGCATTGCCCCGAGACATTCACCTACCTGAACCCCGTGACGCATGGCAAGTCAAACCACGAGCAATGCGAACGAGCGCTCAACTTCTGGTGCGAGTTCTCGGAATGGGTCGAGGCCAAGGGCGGCGTTCTGGATCATCGTCAGATTGTCACTATTTGCCCATACAAGGCCAATCTCGAGGTGATCCAGAGCCTGCGTCGGAAGTCCAAGTACGCCCGCCTGGACAAGATGCCGCCCGCCGCGACTGTCGACTCGTTTCAGGGCAAGGAGGGTGATCTCGTCTGCCTGATCCTGGGCACCACGTGTGCCGTTGGCGCCGGTTTCACGTCGAACCGTAACCGGCTCAACGTAGCCTGCACGCGTCACAGGTCCGGTCTGGTCGTCTTTGGCGACATTCACGTCATGGGAGCCGTAGACGGCGTCGAGAACCAGACGGGCAAGGGAAAGGGAAAGGGCAAGGGCAAGGGCAAGGGCAGCAACAAGGTGATGACGCCGGACGGCAAGAAGGTGCTGCATTTCACGGCAGAGGGGATCAAGGCCTCCAGTCTCAAAGGCCCTTTGAGGGAGTTGTTGAAGTGGTTTGGGGAGAAGAAGCGTGTGGGCGTCATCCGGGGCGAGGAGAAGAAGACGGAGTGATAGAATTGGCGTGAGAATGAGACTTTGAGACCAATTTGCCCTTGTCAATGCTCCGTGTTTTTCCCCGTATCACCACCAGGCAAGGCTCGAGGCCTCGGAAGCCTCGTATTGGAAGCTTCTCCTCCTTGTGAATGTCCGGGAAGTTCATCGCTACGATTCTACTACCCTTCATTGGGATGTTCTAGTGATGACAACAGACATGGAGACATTGGACATATCGATACCACGGACTAGGGCGTTTGTGATGGATTCAAGATAACGACACCACGAGAACACTCTGTTACTGGGCCAAGTTGATCAATTGCCAATCCTACCCTCTCGTTGAGTCCCTACTAACTAGGGAGGGCCGTCAATGAGATTGCACTATATCCCGGTCTATATGCCTTGGCCTTGCCTCTGTGTGTAGTCGGTTGCGCTCAAGGCGAGCAAACTTTGTTACCCCTGAACAAAACATGAGCCACAAAGGTCTGGAAGAGAAGCTGTTTCCGGTTGTAGCGCGGTTGCGCCATTTCGGGATCTCCAGGTCCATACAGACGATGATGGGTTCGGTCTTTGTATTATTCATCCCCTGGCAATGCATCCGTCTTGAAGACATGGAGGGTACACGCTGGCTTCGAGGGCTCACCGCAGCACCCATTTGACGTTCTACTTAGAGGATCTGTCTGTTCTCGGGAGTCCAATGGGCGGAGCTCCTAGCACCTGTTTCGGGCGTCACGGGTGGCACTTTGAGAGTCGGGACTTGCAAATTGGTCGGAGGCAAAGACAAACGTCAGCTGACAGCTGCGGAAGCCATGTCCCTGTCTATGAACCAGAACAGAAGCGAGGGCTAGGCCTTCTGGAAGATTTTCAATTGCTGAGGCGTCCCTGAAAGCATGTCAAGCTCGACTTAAACGTCGAGACATTGTGTGTCGTTCCCGGTTCGCGACTCTGCAAGACCGTCCGTGGGCGACGCCATACATGGTCAATGTCAGCCACTTCAGGAACCGACAACAATCCATGAACAACTTCTCCGCGTACCAATTGATCCGACATTGTTTGTGCAATTCATGTGTCTTTTTTTTTCCAGTCCTTTTTCTTACCAGTGCAATGCCCAGGCCTCTTGGTGTGGCATTGTGGTGGGCTGAGACCGTGCACCACAGCACGGCAAGATCTGGGAAGGAAGGAGCGATGCTACCCATCATGACCACCCTCTTTCTCATAGCGGAACAGCAACATGGCTCCTTCCCATCTGAATGAAACGAAGAGGGGTACTGAAAGAATTCCTCTGTCGTTGGCCCGACTGTCCCTTTTCCCTCTTCTTCTTCTTCTTCTTCTTCTCTGTCAAGCCTCATACTCTGTGTTGTCGTGCCGTCTGTCGTGCCGTCCGCCGTGCTGCCTAATAGCAGCTTTCTGTCCGTCCTGCTGCCGGTTCTTAGAACCGTTGATACCGTCCCTGCTGTTCTCTCGCGAGACAGCTCCTCTGCGCACTCGGTGTGGAACGTTCTGTGAGAGTTGGCGAGGTAAGTATTCCTTGGACGTTGCTGCTTCTCTCCGAGAAGTGGTAAGTGTTGAGACATCTTGTCTCTTCCAGTCCTTGGAACTTTCCGAGCCTTCTTCTCTACTCTTCGATTCCCACCCTCTCTACCACCACCACCACCACCACCACCACCACCACCACGACATTCACCATGAGCACTCAGTCTCACCAACCTGAGGCCCTGACACAGCCTCCCTTTACCCCGGGTTCTGGTACACAGTTCCCACATAACACCAATGTCGGGTATGCCGACACACATGGTAAGTGAACAGGCCTCTTGTCCCAGCCGGAGCTAACCAGATTCAAAGACCTCAGCTCCCCCCTATGTCAACAAACCATCCAAGAGATACAGGACCTCTGGAGGGAGCACCGCCTGGCCCATTTCGCCTACATAAAGCTGAAATTGGAAGCCAACCCGAGCAACTGGTCTTCCGATGCCAAGGAGACCTACCGGGCAAAGGGCAACGAGGCAGACAAGTTGGCCGAGCTTGGGATCGAAAAGCAAGAGAATCTGCTCGACGCTGCTGCGAAAAGGTAAGTCAACCGCACTGTGAAGATGGCGTCTCGCTGACTTTAATCCAGCTCTGGTCCGATTCCCCCGCCAGTCTGGGATGTTCTCGCGCTTCCCTTTGAGAACCGGAGCCCATGGGCCGGAGCAGTCAGGGATCGACTGGACGTCTTTCTCGCCACGCCGACGCCGTGGGATGTCGCCAAGCCGGCCGCCAAGGACGCTTTCGAAGAATGGCTGGATGATGACATGCTCACTGGCCAAGTTTCTCGAAAGAGACGGGACCGGGACGAAAAGAAGGTCAGGTTTGCGCCTTCGAAACGGTCAAAGACGTCGGCCCTTGTCACACCACAGACAGGTGGTTACAACCTGCGGAACCGCTCTGTCCGTGCTGCCGAAGCGGCCCCTTTCGCAACGCCCAGCTCAAAACGCGTGCGAGAAAACGCCGGCGGGTGTGACGACGATTTTGTGCCCGAATCGGAGTCCGACAAGGACATCGAGCTTGGGTCAGAGTCTGATGGGCAGATCGACAACGTGCAGGAAGATGAGTCCGCCGAGGTCTCCACGCTCGCCAAACCGGTCCTGGACCCGGAGACTGGGTTCTATCACGTTGGCAAGCAGACCTTGGAAGCCCAGCAGCCTGTCCGGACCGCGCCGAAGCATTTCGTGTGGCTTCGTCTGAGGAGCAGTGCTTCATCCTCCGGGGCAATTCCCATAGACCGGACACTCGAGGGCCATGAAGCGTCCCCTGCCGAATTCGACCACGTGTTGCGAACCATCTTCGAGCAATACAAGGAGCAGTCGACTGGATGGGTTGCGGCACCCAATGACGCGTACCTTGGCCTCGAGATGTTTATGTCGACTGGACCTCGCAGCAGATCGTACGAGGCGATCTACCCTTTCGTTGTCGCTGGCCAGAGACTGGCCTATCACGCAAACCCCAACGTGCAGCCGGTCAGCTACGCGCTCAATAATTGCAAGGGGAGATCGGGACCTCTTGCGCTCGTCGTAACAGCGGAGTGGATGAGGACGACTTTTGTCTACGGGGACACGGGACTCTCTGCGCAAAAGGCACGCTGGCGGTGGTGTTACAACGCCATGACGAATGTTCGCATTATGGACATCGCCACTGGTTCCCACTACTCCAAGAAAATCCGCCAGACGCAGTGGGGAAAATGGTCTCCAGATTTCACTCGTGCTGTTCTCGAGTCACTCCGCACTGGCGTCTTGTCATCAGAGATGCGAGAGGTCATTGACACGAAAGAGCGCTCTCGTTACTTCAAAATGTGGGATCAGACATAGGATAGCAGCCCACTGAGAAGTATGACGGAACTTGGTCGAACGATCCAGCCGCGTCTCCATGACATCGCGGATCACTATGGGATAAGCGCTGACGAGTTCGACGAATGCTTCACCATCATGAGTCCTCACAGCCCAGGCCTTCGCGTCTTCTTTCCTTTCCATGTCACGGCCCGCAAAGATGCAGTGGCTCTCGGGTGGGACTGGCAGTATACGCTGTCGGCTGCTCGGTCGATGCTGCAGCGGATGCGGAGCGCTTGCAATCGCCTTGCAGAAGCAGCTGGACTCGGCGAAAAGGGCATGGACAAGGAACGGGTCCTATACTGGATATGCCACGTATTGTGTCGACAAGCGGCGTCCGTGAAGCTGGCTCATCCTTCATTGGGCGCCAGAGACTATCAATGGCTCCTCCTCGACAGATTCGGTCTCCCAAGACTGCCGTGGGATTGCTCGCCTTGCAAGATTTCCCTGTGTCATGACCAAGAGCACGGGATTGCGATGCTCTTTGGACTGGATGAGTCCCGCGGCACTTTTGACCATGTCCAGAGCTTCGATCTGGCAAAGGCAACGGTCTGTCTGGACACCAAGGCCGCGAACATGGCCATGTGGGACTTTCATCCGTCCGAATGGTTCACAGTGCTCCGTCCCATGCTTCTCCAGGTCCCGCTGTACCACCCTTTTTGGCGACCTGACGAGTCTTTGGGCGACGCCAGCTGGCTGGAACCGGTCTCGACAGAGCCTGAATTCGTGGTTCCCCCGTTCCCACAATTCGAGGTTCCGCTGGTGTCGCTGGACGGATTCCTGGATGGCCGCACCAACGCCATCACCAATTTCCCCTGTGGTGAGTGCGAAGAAACATTCGCTACTCCGGGAGATGTCATGGCGCATGGGAGACTAGCACATGGCCTAGGTGATGGTTTGCCCGAGGTGGCATGCCTGCCGTTGCCGGACGGGGTGTCGCAACACGAGTTCGACACAGCGGACAAAGAAAGACTGGAGTCAACGAAGTTCGGGAACTTCAACAGTTCGGACAAGGACCGCCAACAGGCCGAGCTCAGTGGCGTGGACTTCAAGTTGTTTCCCTGCCGCAAAGAAGGGTGCAACGAGAAGTTTCCATTGAGGGCGTCTCGGCTTGAACATGAACGAAACGTCCATGACGACGCGCCCAGGCCATTCAAGTGCGAAGTGTGTGGGAAATGCTTCAAGAGATCGGACGTCCTGAAGAACCACATGCTTACTCATGGCGAGAAGTCATTCAAATGTCCCGAATGCGGCAAAGCCTTCCTGCAACAAGGTGGTTTGAATAGACACATCGAGGAAGTGCATAGCGAAAAGACCCTCGCATGCCCCGCTGATGGTTGTCAGGCGATGTTTGGGTCGATGAAACTCCTCAATGGTCACGTCAGACTGCGCCATCCAGAGCTCAATCAGTCACATGCAGTCTCGGAGCCAAAGGCATTCGCGTGCGAGAAGTCGGGCTGCAATGCGAGCTTCGACAGCTACAAAAAGCGGTACCTTCACATGTTCAGAGTCCATGGCATGACTTTGAGCAATACTGCGCCTGACAACCCTTCGGCGCTGAGATGTAAAGTTTGCGACAAGAAGTACAAGAGTATTGACTCCTTGAAAAACCACATGCGGAGGCTCCATCCCGAAGTATCGAGGTCATTTAAAAATTTAAAAAGAAATAGATAAGGATCAAATTACTTTACATGAAACTGCCGATATAATCTACGTGCAAGTCTAAAACTCTGAAGCTACCCACCAAACTTATACAGAGTAAATCTCGCTGGTAATTCTTGCCAGAAGAGCGTCGCAAGCGCTTCATAGACCAAGAGAGCGCAGACGAACCAGGACTAAGAGAGCCCTGCTGCTCAGGCTCAGGCTCAGGCAATTCGGACAGCAGTGGATTATAGTAGAAGCGGACTCAGAAGCAGCAAATCGCATAGGGGGCAACCTAATGTAGTGATCGGGAGCCACTGGCACATTCCAGTTCTCCGCGGTCGCGTCTCGCGATCTATAGAAGAAGACTACTTCCTCCCTGCGAAACCTTAAAGTGCTCCTACATACATGCACGACTCTCAGGCGCATATCTGCAGGTCTTCACAACTGTCGGGAAAGGGGTCATAGTGTAGCAAAATTTATATCAGGTACCTTTCGAATGTATCATAAGAATGATAGAGAGCTCTTTCGTCTTGGAGAAATTCAGGAACATAATGGCATTACTATATAAATGAAACTAACCCTAGCGACAATATAATCAGTACTCCACTACACAACATACGCCAGTCCAAACTGGAACCTCCTCGGGGCCCTTGCGGCCATCAGCGGCCATGCGCTGCTCGATAATATTGGCGCTCTCTCGAGTCTGGCGGCAGGAAGAGCAGAGACCTTGTGACCATCAGCGGTCATGCGCTGCTCGAGCGCTGCTCGATAATATTGGCGCTCTCGCGAGTCTATTTCTTGGTCAGCTAGTAGTCTTAAATTAAGCTTTGCATAAACTCACCTTAATAAAGATAACAGACTGGCAATGTCTAGGAGATTCCCTTAACGGTCAGTTCGCTGCGCTGCAGTTTAAGAGACTGGGTGTCGAGTGCGAGTTCCGAGAAGAGGAGCACCTGGATATCTAGAGGGAGCATGGGACCCTACTGAAATATTATTGATGCTTTGGTGATATTCGTGTATGAGTGCTCCTTAAACTTCACTCAAGGTTCACACGGTAATAAAGGTAGTTACGGTTAGCTATATAACGCCGTATAACGTTTGCATTACATAATAAACTACTAATCATAGAGTTTAAGTTCCCTTTGTTTATTTCATTCAGTCAATACTCAATCCTCAACTACGCCATGAAATTCGCATCCAACATCCACTCCCTCAATGAGTCAAGGGAATACATCCGCAACATGCTCTCTCCAGATATCCAAGTGCTCCTGTTCTTAGCGACCTTCCCTGAGAAGGGTGCACCCGACGCGCACTCCCTCAGCTACAGCGCAGCGAACTGACCGTCAGGAGAACCTCCTAGATGTTTATCTATCAAGGTGAGTTCATAACAGGTCGAATTGGAGAGAACTAGCTGACCAAGAGACAGACTCCCGAGAGCGCAAACATCATCAAACAGCGCATGACCGCCGATGGCCACAAGGTCTCCGCTCTTCATGCCGCGTTTCAAGGGCGCACAGCGCGACGAACTTCTCGCCAAATTCCGCAGCCGCGAGAACAAGGTCTTCATCACTACAAAACGTCCTGGCCCGTGGCATTAACAAATGTCTCTATAGTAATCAACTACGACATCCCCATGAAGGGTCGAAGCGACGATGACCCTGACCACGAGACCTACCTCCACCGCATTGGCCGCACGGGTCGTGTCTCAATCAGCTTTGTCTCCGACAAGAAGTCGTATCAGGGTCTGAATAAGATCGCCACCCACTACGGATGTCATCGAGAAGAACCGCACGCAAGCGAGCTATCCTAGCGCAGACAGCCAGAAGCAAGCACAGGCCACCGCGAGCACCTCCTACAACGAAGTTGTGAGTTACGGGGATGAGACAAGCGGGTCGCTTCCATCAGCTTTAACAGTAGCACCCATCAACCTTGTCCTTTCTGCCCTTGGCATCAGTATCTTCAGATAGAGAATATTGATCTTCTTGCTCTTCTGATCTGTTGTTTATCATCATACAAACTATCAGACTCAACACCCACCTTGACGGCCTGACAGGGCGCACACAACCTTATGAGGAGGAGATTATCTATCAAGAGCAGCCTCGGGCATCAATCTCGCGATAACTTTATTTTTCTTGCCCTCTAGAAGTTAAATCTATATAAATCTATTAATTGATTAATTTAGCCTAATAACAGCGCGTTCTCGTGGTGTTGTTATCTTGAGCCTAACACACAAACGTCCTAGCCCGTGGTATGGAGGGTAGCACAACCACCAGAGTCTTCCAAGGGGCCACGAACCCACAGGACTCGTCCCTCCCAAACTTGACGACGACCCTCAACGAACTACAGTAGCGTCTGGGGTCCCAAGCATGATCATCGCCGTACGGAAGCTCTTGACCTTTTGCGAGCTTCATGGACAGAGCGAAGCTATCCCTCGGCTCCCGTCCAGCTTTCAAAGAACGGGAATGGGCCCTGCCCACGACGGCCTCTTTCACCTTGCTTGTGTTTGCTCTGACTTGGCTTTCCGAGCAGGCAGGGCTCCTTGGCGAGCAGCGGGATCCCCGCGCCGTGCCACTCTGCGTCGACAATCGCCCACTGTGCTATGCCAGGGACTGCGTGCAGGCAAGGCTCGGGACCTCGGAAGCCTTGTCTTGGAAGCGCCTGTTCTCTCAGATGCTGTCCATCAGTGACTGGACCGATGGCTTCAGAGACGGGAGCCCCCATAGGTCCTAATAATCGATGCGTGATACGGCCTCGATGATAACGGGAGCTTGGAGCATAGTCATGCAGGTAGTTTGTATAGTCTTGATATCTCCATGTCCACGACTCCGGCAGAGAGGGCTGGGGGATGTGCGGTGGAGCTTTGTCAGGATGCTGCTGAGAGGAATGTCACTGTTCACAGCCAGTCCACGTAGAGTTCGGTCGAAAGGCAACATGAAGGTCGACAATCCACTGGACAATTCATTAGATAATCGCAGCAAAGACGCCTCGACAACTGCAAGCCTACGACAGCTCAAACATCCTTCTGCCTTGCCCATCACGCCCGAGATTCGCCACCTTGGCAGCCCCTGAACGAACTGTGCGATCATCGCCCGAGGGCAACACAACCACCAGCGTCTTCCACGGCGCCACGAACCCAGAGGACTCATCCCTCTCAAACGTGACCTCGACCTCGGTATCCATAGAGCTATACCCGATAGTGTACGCAGAGATCTTGACCTTTTCCACCGCCGCCACGCCATCATCCTCATACCACGTGTTCGACCACGTCTTGCCCTCGGACGACTTGGGCGGCGGGAAGATCTCCACAGCACGGTAGTCATCTAGCGGCAGACTGGCCACGTTCTCCGTCTCACCCGGCGACAGGACCTGCACGTCCCGCCCCGTCGGGATGGCGCTGCCGACCTTGGCGAGCAGCGGGATCCCCGCGCCGTGCCACTCTGCGTCGATGGTCGCCCACTGCCCGGCGGCGAGGTTGTCGTAAGGTGCATTGAGGTTGAGGAACCCCCACTTGTCGTCTTCCGACGCCTTGGGCAGATAGACCCTCGCTTTGCTCTCGCCCGCCTCGTACACGCCGCCCACGAGCAGAGCATCGCCAAGCCAGTACTGCGTCTCGCCGTCCATAATCTCCGGGGTCCAGATCTCCGGGTCCGCCTCATAGCCCCAGCCTGTCCAGCGTTGCGGCGGGACGGCCGTCTTGTGACTCTTCAACATGAGCGAGTACAAGTACGGAATCATGGCGTACCGGCGCTTGATGGCTTTGCGGACGAGATGGGTGATGGACGGGTACATCCACGGCTCGATGACATCGCCGACCTTGTTGTCACTCCCCGTCTTGAAGCAGTTGATGGCAAAGCGCGGCGAGTGGCAGCCCAGCTGGATCCAGCGGAGGAGCAGCTCAGGCGACGGCTGCGGTCCCTCGAAGCCACCAATGTCGTGGCCGTAGCACTGCATCAGGGCCATGCCGGCGTTGAGCGACAGAGCGTTGGCGCCCTTCATACCAGCCCAGCTGGTGATGTTGTCGCCACTCCACGTGCTGGCCGCGTAGCGCATGGTACCAGCCGTTGCCGCGCGCGTCAGGACAAAGGGCCTCCGGTCTGGCGCATGATCCCGCATGGCATCGTGCGATGACTTGCCATGGAGCTCGGTGTGGACGAAGCGGCCCCAGAAACCGATTTGTGGGCGCTTCTCCGCGCCGTCTGGCACCGGGAAAGACGGGTCGTTTAGTGCGCATTCCCAGTCGTCGTGGGTCACGGTGTACTCGTTATTGTCGTTCCACATGCAGTCAATGCCGACCCGGCAAAGCTCGCGAACACCGTCGTACCACCACTTGAAGCCATACTCCGAGGTGAAGTCAATGTGGCTGCCCTCGCCGCTCTCGCCTCCGCCTGCGCTCCAAAGGCGCGTCGTCGCCGTCTCGCCCGTGTGGGGGTCCTTGAACAAGGCACCCGCCTCCTGCAGCTTCTTATACTCCGGGTGGCTCGCCAGGACGTAGGGCTTGATGTTGGCAATGATGCGAATGCCCAGCCTGTGGTACTCCTCCAGGAACCCCTTGGGATCGGGGAATCGATGATTATTCCAGGTGAACACGTTGCGCGTCTTGGGGTGGTGTTCGGCAATGGTGTATCCGGACGACAGCTGGTGCGCGGAGCAAGGGATGTCGTGCTCCTTGAGTTTCCGCGCAACTTCGAGAAGAGCCTGGGAGGCGGGCGGGTCGTCGAGCATGGAGTACCTCATACCACCCGAGAGGTACCCAAAGGCCCATCTTGGCACCAGCAAGGGAAACCCAGCCAGCTCCGCGTACGTGGTGACAATCTCCTCGAGGGTCTTGCCGACAATGACATACTCCTCCAGGCCGCCATAGTCCTGCCTGTAGGACTTGTAAAAGCCCCACATGCCATCCATCTCCGAGCCCACGCTGTAGCTGCCTCTCGAGTGGGTGGTGGAGAACATGGCCACGCAGCCTTGCGGCGTGGCGTTGATTAGCAGAGGGATGTTCTTGTACATGGGGTCCGTCCGGTAGACGTCGTAGCCAAAACTGTCTGTGCAGTTCAGCTCGAACTTGCGGCCCGACAGGTTCATGGGCGCGGCCTTCTCGCCCAGGCCTACGTGGAGCGTGCCTCTGTTGTACCGCGTGTAGTGCGCGATGCCCTGGCCGTCGACGGTGTACGAACGATGGGGGATGTCGGTGTGCAGAGGCTTGTCCTGGCCCTTGAGCGACACGGAGACGACGGGAGTGGACGAGGACTGCCAGTCAATCGTCGCGTTGAAGTCGCCCGTCGCGATGCTCTTGGTCTGGGCGCCAGGCGTGACCTGCAGACCACTGCCATCGAGGGAGGTCTCAGGTCGTTGGATACTGGGATGGGGTGGGAGAGGGTGTTCTGGCGACGTAAATGTCGTCCGGAAAACATTCTTACGGACAGTTTCAAAGGAGAAGGTGAATGGCAAGTTCTTGTGTTGGCTCGCCAGGGTCACAGAAGGCGAAGCATCCTCTGCGTTGGCAGCTGCCGTCCACTGCGTTGGTATCAGCTCCCTTTGAGGCGCCATGTTGGTGAGTCAGTCAGCTGGATGAAGATGTTTCCTGGGCTGTAGAAACTGGTATGTGACGGGACAAGAAAGAGAAGACGACCTGGGCGAGAACTCGTGGGAGCATGATCTCGGGGACGGGCCAGCTGCCAGCGAGCCTCCGACGCCGGTCCTCCAAACTAGACGCCGGCATCTACCGTGTGGGGAAACCAAGACGAAGTTATGCCGTAAATAGTGGCAGCCGTAGACACGGTCTGGAGGTTGGGGGTCCATTGGTCCATGCGTGAGGGGCCCCGCGTCGTGGTCTGAGGGCCGGCCGGTTCCCCTCCGGGGTCGGCCGGCGGTCCGCATATGGCAAGTGTCGGCGAACATTTACGCACAGATGTCCTCCAGAGAGCTTGCGACGCAGTAACGGATTGAAGACGGTATTGTGGCTTACAACCACCCGAGTATTGACCACTCGTGGCTTCGGGACAAACCCCGCCCTCACAGCTCCAGCTCCTCGACTTCCATCCCGCAGTCCGCGCATGTCTTGACCGTCATGCCCTCCGCGTTCAAGACCGTTCGCCCCCAGTCATGGACGTGTCGACCCCCGCCTATCCGGTCGCCAAACCCCTTGGCGCCCGTCTTCTCCAGACTCCCCGCCTGCCGTCGAAACGCGTCTGTCCTCGTCTTCCTCTTGAGCTCAATCAGCTTCTCCTTGAACTTGCTCTCTTTGCGGGTCCGCTTCTGTGTCTCGCGCCGCGCAAACTCGGCGTCCAGGGCTTCCGCGGAGCCCCATTTCGTGTTCAGCGCGTACTCTTCGACTTGGCACCGGAGGAACAGCATCATGTCGTGCCAGTGTGACTTGTGGGGGTTCGGTTTCGACAGATGTGGCAGTAGTTCTGGGTCGCGCAGCTCCGCTGTTCGGCGTCAGATGGTCATCCTGAGTCAAGACTTACGGTACACTTACGATCAGTCAAAAGGTAGTCCTCCTTGCACTCTGTCTTTGTCAAAAGACTGTACTTTTCGGGGTATTTCTCCTTGCATCGATGGCAGACACTGAGGTGAAATACTTCCTGCCAGACAAAGTCAATCTCGAATGAGTTGCAGTCTCGACATCGTTTCCTTTGGTTGGGATCGTCGAGCACACTGAGCCCCGGTTCGTATGGACCCGTCTTGTGTCGTTGTAAATTCTTGATGAGCTGTTGCTTCTCCCATTCTTGGATCGTCATGTTCTTCGGTCGCTGCTCATCGTCCTTTTTGCCACCTCCCAGCGCATAGTTGTGTGGATCATCTTCCGTGCTGAGGAAACCACCCTTGGTGTCTGTCATGGAGGACATGTTGTAGTCCACAAACTTGGTGAACTTTCTGGCCGGACGTAGCGCCTCCTCGTCGCCCTTGTTGCGTCCATCGCGATTCGTGCCCGCGGCTGTCGAGGTCTCGCGCGATAGCTCGTCGTGGGATCGTTTGGTGCCACTGCTGACTGGCTTCGTGATGTGGACGCTCTCTGTCGGCACGAACCCTGACGCTGACTTGGTGATGGTGGGCTCGGTGTTGGTGGCTCGTTGATGGGCTTCGCGTTGGTCGCGAATCGCTTTGGCGCGCAGGCGGTTCTCTTCCTGGATGCTGTGAGTCTCTCATGTTCTCCTGCGAGCAACGCGCGACATACTATGCGCCTCGTGACTTCTGGGGTCGGTGGTGAGCCTGCAGGCTGAGTCGGTGCCTTGGACGGCGGCGGCGTGGTCGGTCGTGCCATGTTGGAGCGAATGCTTGCGGTGAGTTGATGTGGAAATGACAGCAGTGCGTCGATTGCAAACTTCCCCAGACTTGCCTGTGGATGACAGATCTTTGTCGATTCTGGAGGGGTGATCGTGAACGACGGTGACTCAACCTGGAATGCTGATGTCACCAATCGCGCCACAGGACCCTGAATTTCCAGGGCCTGGCTGCACACTCCGGGGATAACAAGCGCACCTAATTCTTATTTTCCAGCGGATGCATAGTATTGGGAAATTATCGTCGCACTGCATGTATTCAAGGACTTTACTACAGAACTTCGACATCGGCATCCCCTCGAACTCTATCTACGTAGGTGTATGTGTGTATCCGAGCAGAGGTGACCAATTCCCAACTCTACCACGCCTACTCGTCCTTGATGCCACCGCGGCCAGCCCTCTCAGCAGCCTCGACAGCCTTCTTGTCGCTCTGCGCACCGCCGCCCTGCATCGCGCCCATGAAGCCAGCGGCCGCCTTGAAGGGCCTCTTGAGGTCGCCCGACGCCGGCTGTCCGTACACGTGGATCTTGACAAGGTTGTTCTCGAGGGCGCTCTTGAGGGGGATGATGCTCTGCATCAGCAGCGGGTTGGTGTACTTGAGGTACAGGTGCATGAACGACATCATGGCCATGCCCATGAGCTGGCCACGGAAGGCCGTCTTGAGCTGGGCGCTGTCGTAGGCCTGCACAGTCGTGGTCACGAGCTTGCCCTCCTCGGAGGAGCCGACGGGAGCGGGCTCGACGTACTTGAGAGTGGTCTTGTCTGTCGGGTTGTTAGTCACCGCGCGCACCACAAGGTTGTGTTATTGACCGCACCATTCTTCTTGTTGACCTGCATCTGGACGTAGAAGTAGATCAAGGCAATGATGACATTGCTGGCAATGTAGGCGCCGCGGACCATGGTGAGAACCTGCGGGTCGTCAAAGGGGATCTTCTTTGACACCTGCATCATGCCGAGCATGATGATCAGGTTGGTGCTGGCCAGTTGTCAGCATTTTGCTCCTGCTCAAGACCTTTGTTTCTCCAGGACAAGAGAGTGCGCCAGGGGCCGTGCTCCGCGCACGCGAGCGAGCGACAAGACATACATCTGGGGGCTGAGACCGGCCATTTTGACGAGTTCAAGGAGGCACAAGAGAGCGGTACGGACGCGATTGCTGGGATGGGGTCTGTCGTATAGATTGACGGCCGGCAATGTGGGAGAGGGTAAATGACAGTCGTGGAGTCGCGGACAGGAGCGGAAAATCTGGCCTCTGTTCGCGGAAGGCCGTCGAAGTCCAGAGTTGCCCCCCAACTGAGCCCCAATTCGCCCCCACCAGGGAGGGATCAAGGGTGCTCAGCGGGGGAGGGGGAACATTGTTCCGGCCAGCCGGCGTAGAGCTTACCCCGTAAGGTATGTTCGCTGCAAGTTCACGAGTCGCGACACTCAATCAACATCTCACTACAAGGTGACCAGCTCAATCTCTCAACCGCAATGAGCCTCAGAAGGACGTTTCATTTCGCATCTCTCCACCGATTCTCACTAATTGTCGCCGCGCAGTACTGGCACTTCCCCAGCATGGCCTGATCCCAGCCCTTGTCGGTCCTGCGTCCATCAAAGCGAACAATGAACACGCAGTGTACAGAACAAGGCTTACCGTGCTTAGGCTGCCCAATGGGCCCTCTGTTCGGCTTTGGACAACGGCCAAGTGTCCTGGCTCTTGTTGTTCTTCGTTGTTCGTCTTCGGTCACAGCGAACAACCATGTCGAAACACTGGCTCGAACCCCCCTGTGATGTAGTGATACTTAAGTAGACCTCGAGGTCGAAAAGAGTTCGAGTCCAGCATGCCCGACTCGAATTGTTAGACACTCGACATGCCACACGAATACATCTCCTCTCGTCGCTACTCAAGTGGGTTTGTCGACACTGACCCTCGTCGTCGCTCCCGTCGTAGTCGCGCGTTCGACTGTTGCTTGCCCCTTGCCCCTCGCGCAAAGCCCAAGTACGAAGAACGGGACTATGACTATCTGCCTACGCACGGCGTGTATGTCATGAAGGACCCCAGGAGTCGAGATCCCGAGGATTGCCAGTGCACATGCTGCCCGCACTCGTATGCCGGCGCGCGACGAGCGTCGCAGGATGAGACTACTTCGAGAAACGACTCCGGCAGGAACACGTACGATACGCGCTATCGATCTTATGTACCATCGAAGCGCCAGTCCTGGAAAAAGTCCTCGCGTGATGAAGATACTTTGTACTCGCCGGCCGAGCCTGAGTATGCAACAGACAAGCATGACAGGCTGGCCGAGCCACGCTGGGCAACCTCATCTACGTCGATTGCGGTGGTGAATGACACGTACGGCTCCGTCCGGCGCCGCCATGGAAGCTACTGGCGATTAGGACTGTCGCCCAATCAGACAGTGCGTCAAATACTTGCTGATCTGATCAGTGACCCGAAACGGTACAAGGTCATCGTGCACTGGGATGACGGGCAGAAGGAGACTCTGACGGAGCGGATTCCGATGTCCGAGTTGAGGGAGTTTGGCCACTATCTCGAGGTGGTTCTTCGGGAGCAGAAGCGAGTGCGTTTCGCGCCGCTGCCGTCACGCAGACACGGATAGAAGGGAAATGGCGGCCTGCTGGACAGGCTGTCTGTGGCGGAGATTCCATGGGCTCATTGCGTGGGAGTTTTCGTTCCTGATTATTAACAATACATGATTTTTTTTTTTTTTTTTTTTTTTTTTTTTTTTTTTTTGTGGCTTGAGAGTTTTACAGTCTATCCAGTGTCAGGTCTTAGACGAAGTATAGTGAATGAGAAACGCAAATATGCAGGTCGAAACACGGAACTTCCAGCCGGTCTATATCAGTCCGTGGGTGTAGACAGAAGCAGCCCTCATGTTCAACAACGAGGCTGAGAGACAAATTTCGATTACATCTTCCGCTCCTTTGTGAGGACAATTTTCGACCACCAAATCCGGGGACTACATTTACCTTGGCAAGGCAGGCTTTCCCCATCCCCGAGTCCTAGACGTGCCAAAAGCTGAATGAGACGGAGAGGCAGTGTGTGGCGATCACCTCTGTAAATAGGGCCCATCCTGGGGAACCGCGAAATGTTCTAGAACAACCAACAGCTAAGAATACCTATGCCTTTGAACATCCTATGGTACTGTCTTCTGACCTCGGAGACAAACCTGGGGTTTGGTCGGGCGTCCCGAATAGGAGATAGGTCCGACTCTGATTGGCCAATGTTTGGTGATACATAGCCCAGAACTTGCCACTACTCTGCCCTGGCCGCCACTCTTCTAGCTTCCATCTGACTAAGGTCTATTGTTAATTTTTGTGAGGTTGACAATACTATTTTTTGCATGTGACCTGCGGTAGCCAAGAATTGCGTTCTTGGACAAGTCTTTGGAAAAAGGGGCTTGTTGTGTTGCAGTCTAGGGTAATCAGAGCCACTGGCCTGTCGATGAAAGTCACTTGGGTCAACAGAAGAATTGTGACATGCGTCCACACTTTTCCAATTTGAAAACAGGCCTCAATGGCCCTAAAGACGATATGTTCAGTCTTTTTCCATGATGCTCTTTCCCAAACAATCCCATCACCAGCATGCCGCATACAGTCTGTGCGCCCAGACAGTGGCAGCACCGCCAGCTTCGCCCTGCAGTGTGGACTGTGGGGGCCACAAAAGGCCCCTTGACCGCGACTACGCCAGACACCCGCATAACGAGAACACCCGAAATGATCGAACCAAGTTTGCAGCGTGCACTACCGCAATCGACTTGGTGATGGATTTTAACGGGTGGCCTCGCGAGCGGCTGGCGTATATGCGGGGCGCTCGCTGGGCTGGATCTAGGCAGGGCTGCAGGGGTGTTTGTTGCCTAGTTTCCTAGATAGGTCTTGGCTGTACGTTGGTTGTGTCGTGACATGGCTTATATAAAATGGTCTACCGCGATCGCGAGATCAGTCCTTTGGTCTGTTGGCTAGGCATGCATCTCATCAAACCTTCTCAAGTCTGCCCTTTTTTCTAGATCATGTTTGGCACATGGAAATACGATCCCGAAACGGACGAGGTACAGAACCTCCGTCGAGCGTTTGATCCTGTCACAGCGCGCTCCAGTCAGCACCAGGCATGCAACCGATGCCATGAGAAGAAGGTACATCTACCTCCAAGAAGCCAATAAGAAGCCCTTCCTGGTTCCCATCATCATCGCGCGCCGTCTGGCTAACCATAGACAGCTCAAGTGCAGTGGCGAGAAGGAGGGCTGTGAGCGATGCGTCGCCCACCAACTTGCCTGTGACTATTCGCGAAGCAACAGTCGAGGCTCGCGCCGGGGCAAGAAGAGTCATCACCGCTCGGCAGAGACCACCAGCCCTGCCAATAGCCAGACCCCGTCTGGCTCTGGTTCGACATCCACCAAAAGAGGATCGGGAAGCCGCAGCCGTCATCTCTCTCCGCAGCAGCAAACAGGGTACAGAGGCGGTCAGGGCGCCGTCTACGGCACGCCTTCTTCTTCGCGAGGAGAGGAACCGAGCATGCTGGACCAGCTCGATGACTCATTCTGGACCGGTGAACCCTTTGATATGAACAATTTCGATGATGACGTTGTTGCGCCAACAACGTCAGGGGCATCTCACCACGGCTACCCGAACAGCGCAATGGACGTCTCCATGTCTGCCCATCACCAACAGTACCATGCGCAATACCATCAACAGACGCCTTTCAGTGACCCTGAAGCACAGCCGACCTTGGCATACCACTCATCAGAGTTCGATGAGGAGAACTACTACTCCCAGGAGCAGCAGTCCTACTATCCGCAAGGGTACCACGGACATCAATATTGGGGCGGCGGTGGCGGAGCAGTGTGATTGAGGAGTGATTCGAGGACTGCTTTGCCTCTCTGATCCAGAGGAGAGACTTGCTCACGATGCCATGTCCGTGTACGAAGTCATGACCTTTCGCATTCTTGGCATATGATTCCCCCTGTTGGCATGAATGGTTATTGGATTTTGCATATAGACTTGGGAGACTCGGCGGCGATTGGAGCGGTAATGTATCTCCGTACAATAATTTGCAGCGCAATCCAATCACCAGCTTCAAAATTGACACGCATCTCATGGCCCTGTGATCTCCGAGTCATCATGAAATCAAGGTCGCGTCGTCCAGAGGGGAAGGAGGGTCGATATATGGGGGAGGCTGTGCGAACGTCCCGTGACTTATATCAACGATTGATGTAAGATGAAGGGAATACACGTACCAGAAGTCGGGGACGGCGCTTCGATGCACGGCTGCGGGACGAGCATAGGGCAGAAGTCAGGGCGCCTTGAGGAAAGCCTGGCAAAACCCCAGTCCCGTCTTACCGGTTTGTTGATATTGGATGACATTGCTGCACCCCGCGCGGCTGTGCAAGGAGGTCAATGTTACGCAGGTGATCGGCGGCGAGTGACTCGGTCGGAGTCAAGGTTAGTCATCCCGGATCTCGGAAGATCGGGTGCCCATCCGGAATCACGTGACGTAGTTGATGACTAAGATATGGTGCAGCCACTAGCGCGTCCAAGATCAATTGAGTCGAGTGCTCAACGTCATCGCAGGGATCAAGCTCATGCGATCACGGAAAGTCTCATAATTGTTGATTTGAGCAGAACCTGCGGCTTCGAAAATCGCCTAGCAACCTCAAAATGGCGGACAAGGGCACAGAAGTCGTGGAGGATATCGCCAATGACCCCAAGACGAAGTCGGCCGTGGCTCGTCTCAAGGGCTGGGGCTGTACGTCTACCGAGAACTTTCTCTCACCTCGCTCATGATCCGAAGCTGACCGCACACTGTAGCATCCGCCGTGCCTCCATCTGTCCTGGCGACGCTCGTCATAGGCCTCCATATGCGCCCGCGTCAGCCTCTCGCTCTCCTGCTGTTTCCCGCCCCTCTGTTCGCCGCCACGTACTTCAACCTGGCCGGCTACCCGACGGCGGCTGGTGGTCTCACGGCGGCGTGGAGCGGGCTGTACGCCCTCACCGCGATGAGGAGGCGGCAGGGCCTACGAGGGCGGTTCAGCGTCAGGGGCGGAGTCAGGGGCCTTGCCGTGGGATTGGGCCTCGTCAATGCGGCGGCGGGAGGCTTGGTGTGGTTGACGGGCGATTTTGAGAAGGACGAGCGGGAGAGGAAGGAGCGCAACCGATGGGGAATTGAGGAATGATGGAGGGAGCGTTGTTGTAATATGTACTGTAGAAACATTGTGTGATGCGCAGGAGTTTGGTCATATAGTCTCGTTGTATTCAGCACCGCATCAAGATGGGTGCTCAAGACAGATGCCTTGGGCAAATTTGCATTGCCCTATACAAAGTTATACTCTATTGCTAAGCGTCGCTAGTAGTTCCTTAACGCCGTAAAATCAAGCAGTGATGCGAACCAGTCTCAAAGTGGCTCACCCGCCATCTGCTTCCCTGATACGCCAATCGAAAGCAGTGTCAGCACTTGACCCGCCTCGTTGTTCCGGCCCTTGATTGCCATTACCATTTGACATAGAAAATGTTGGTGTACAAGTCCTCTCGTGATTCCTCATCGCCGTGCGGGCGTGGCTCTATCGACCATGTAGAAACCATATGACCAATGCGCATATGGATGCCGAACTTAGCATGGCCACATACCATCCGTTGGTCTGTGGTGATCTCCTAAGCGTTGAGCGTTCCCCCCACTTCCAATTCGACAAGGAAGAGACAATGTCAGAAAGTGGTGTGCGGCTTCCCATCTGATACGAGGGTCCGCCGAGGATAGAGGGCGTTGGGACCGCAATCCCCATGGCGACGTGGTCAAAGTTGGTGATGTAGTCGACATCGGCGTCGCGCACCTTTGGCTCCGCAAAGGATCGGTACTCGGCCAGAGCTCTGCTGCTGTGCCACCCGTTTGCCTTGCGGACTGCCGCGACGACGCAGCCGGTGCGGTGTTTCCCCTTGTTGCAGTGGACCAGGAGTGGGTAATTACTCGGTTCCAACACAACACCAAGGATGTCTGACATGACAGCATCCGGAATGGCCTCCTTTTTGGTGCCCTTGATGGCAAAGAAGACTTGCCTGATGTTGGCGTCGCTAATGAAACTCTCCAATGCCTCATCCGGCTCATCGTTGACTACCAGAGTACTGGGACAATGTCAGCGGGGTCCGTAGCGGTGTCACAGGGGCAACGTACACAATGGTTTTGAGGCGGAGGTTGCTCATGTAAGGAAAGTGCTGGGAGCACGGGTAGCCAGAGCGGTACAGACCAGGCGCGACGACGCCAAAGTTGACAAGCGATTCAGAGGACGAATCGGTAGCGTACGTCGCCTTTTCCACCCAATCACTGCCATTTTCGCCGCTCGACAGCGAGCCAGAACTGGACGAGTTGGAGTTGTCTCTGTGGCGACAGCCTTCCTCGGCGTCGATGAGCTCGCGCGTCATGGTATCCAGCGACGAGGCACGCGACCACAAGGGCTCAATCGTGCTGGTACGCCGCATTTCGTATGTAGCGAAAACTCAAGGCCGCAATGAGGCTGAGTACCGTTTGGACAGCCGCGCAAATAGATGTATGCGGGGGATGAGCTGTCGATTCCCAGTCTCGAGGACGATCACTGTTCACACAACCAAGGTGACGATGGCGCGGGGGGTCGTCGGGAACCTACGCGAGGCCGACGGGGGATTGATTACTGAGGTCCATTGTGTTCAAAGCATTGTCGGTGAGTGCCTGTGACATGTGTGGAGTTGGACATGCAAAGAGTGAATCGTGGGGAGGGAGAAGAAGAAAAAGGTGCGTGGGAGAGCAGGTCAGCGAAGGCTTGGAGCTAGGTTCAGTAGGAAGGTTCAAAGTTGGCAAGAGCGCAGCCACTGGCCAGTCACTGGCCAGATGCTGACAAGTTGCCTAACTAATAAATTATTCATTCTAAGTCCGAATCCCGAGTCGCAATTTTCGGGGGGGATGTGCGGCTCCAACGGGAGGTTATTCTTGATAGTGCGCATCACGGAAATGCTTGCTTGCGGCTAACAGGCGCTACGGGCTGGTGGCTCCGATGATGCTCAGCGCCGCCCTGGACATCCATGTCGCCCCCAATATTGTTCCAGCAGGTGACGGCAACCCCCAAAATATAGGTCCACACACAGTGCCCAAGAATGGCTTGGTCCGCTGGGATTGCAGGTTCTGCACTGTGCCTGCCAGCTGAGCGCAAACAGCTGGTCTGCACAGTCTCACCTCACGCGACACTCAGTGACGTGGGGGCTCTACGGAGTACATGTAGTCACAGCTGCACAGTGCAGCACACTTCCTCCGCACCAGTCTGCCGCTTTGCCCTCCAGGCGAAAATCAACTCTTGAACTCATTGACGACATTTTTCCTGCCACCAGGAATTGGAAATACATCATTCAGAATGCTGATCAAACAGAAACAATTCACCATCCGCCATCCTTCCTAGAATCCTGCGGCCTGCCAGTCCCGTAACCCCTGCCGTGGCTGCGATCAGCGAGCCCCTGCAGCGACCCTGGACTCTTAAGTTAGAGATCCCATCCGACCATCCGCGGCCTTTGCAGCTTGGTTGTGGCTTGACTTCCAGTTCTAGACTTCACGACTCGCGACTCGTGTGCGCAGCCGATCTGCAGGCGAGCTGCGAGCCTTGTGTGCTTGTCTGTCAAACTTGAAGACAGCCAAGTGATCAAAAGCGAGCCAAGAGGCAGAACCTCGTCAATTCGAAAGCCTCTGCTTTCACCCGATCACTCATATTCTCCGACTCACTCACGTGCGAAGCCGACCATTGCCCAGATGAAGTCATCAATAAGAACATGGCGACACGTGCTGTGACGCCATTGAGAATCCGCTATTGGAGTCAAACACGATCAGGCGCGAACTACCTTGACTAGCGCTAGAGCTCGGCTGCTGTAAAGATAGAACCTTATGCTAGACCAGTCCCTTGTTAGTCCAGCGAATGATGGTACAGGTTTACAACGCACTACCGTACTAATAGTCAGTCCTCGCCGAGCTTTGGCCATGATATGGGCTGGTGGCCGGGATGACTTCTACGTGTATATTAGAACCCGGATTTCGACGCCTCGGGGCCAGAGTGGCAGACACCCGCACCATTTGTGTTGCTTGGGCTTGTCGGCTCGTCTAGACTCTGTTATGGGACTTCAAGCCGTCTGCATCAAGGGAGGTCAAGAGGACTGGGAAAGTTTCGGAGAGAGTTCCAGCTAGCTGCCCTACACCTGTCAAATATCCTATATCCACCCCATCACTCCTTGGAGGAAAGACGTCTGTCGCAACACTATGGACGTTGGAGTCAAGACCGGGCACATTCTTCTTGCCGCAGAGCCCACCCCTTTATTATGTGTGTATCGGCCAGGGCGTACGACCCTAGGAGTTGCTACTACCAGGGAACAGATGGCTAGGCGGACTATTTGCCATGACAGCCATGACATTTACGAGTCGGTTTGTAACCACGCGTAAAATTAACACTGCAATGTCGATACCAACTAACCCTAATTACAATGAACACCTGTTGTACTAAATCCGCCCAGGGCAGAAGGAAAGCCCATCAACAATGGACGGGCCACCTCTCACCACAAAAGAAAGGCAAGGCGACCGACAAGTCCGCGCTTCTAGTTCTGCATCTGCTCGTCCTCGATGGCTCTGCGAAGGATACCAAGGACGCCCAGACCAAGGAGGCCGTCCTTCTTGCCGCCACCAGTGAGGCCACCCGTGAGGCCACCTGTGAGGCCAGAGACAGCATCTGTAGGGCTGCCGAGGCCACCCGTGAGGCCACCAGCAAGGCCCGACACAGCGCCGAGTTGTCGCTTCTCGTTCTTCATTTGCTCCATCTCAGCCATCTTCTGGCCGAGCAGACCACCAAGCAAGCCGCCGAGGAGATCTCCGGAGCCGCCGCTGCCTCCAAGCAGTCCCGAGAGGGCACTCGTGGGGCTGCCGCTTCCACCCGTGAGGCCACCTGTGAGGCCAGAGACATCATCTGTAGGGCTGCCGAGGCCACCCGTGAGGCCACCAGCAAGGCCCGACACAGCGCCGAGTTGTCGCTTCTCGTTCTTCATTTGCTCCATCTCAGCTATCTTCTGACCAAGAATACCGCTGAGCAGAGGGCCGAGGAGGGGTACTCCGGAAAGGGCATCCGTGGGAAGACCACCAGCGAGTCCCGATACGGCGCCTAGCTGACGCTTCTCTTGTTGTTCAGCCATCTTCTGGCCAAGCAGATTTCCAAGCAAGCCCCCGATAAGGTCGGAGCTGCCGGAGCCGCTGACACCCTTTGTCAAACCTCCGATTGAGTCGGTAAGGCCTGACGCAGCACCTCCGGCGCCTCCCAGAGAGCCTGTGAGTCCGGACAGAGCATCTCCGGCGCCTCCCAGACCGCCAAGGCCTGAGGTGAGAGAGCCAACAGCGTCCGTGGCCCCCGTGAGAGCGCCGCTGGCGGCGTCACCACCCATTCCGGCGGCACTCTCAACACCGTCCATTGCGCCTTGAGCAGCATCGGAAGCAGCGCCAGCGACGTCACCACCCAGAGAGCCTGTGAGTCCGTCGACAGCACCACCGGCCATGTCGGTCGCCATGCCGGCAGCGTCGCCCACCGCGTCAGTGACACCTCCGAGCTGACGGGCGTCAAGAGGGGCGGTGAAGCCGGTGCCGGCGAGGCAGGCCACGAGGATGGTGTAGATGCCGATCTGCATGTTGTCTGAGTTGAGAGAGTGTGTGTGTATTGACGAGTGTCTGTTCTGTGTGGAATTTCGTATTGTTCAGAGCTCGGCACTGATGGAGAAGGATGCCTTGAGTGAGTGGGATGGTTTGTTGATTCGGACGCGACCACTGCCAACGCTTTATACTCAGAGTCGCCGCAGACAAGTGTGAGGCGGTTGTCCCAGATCTCGATCATCAAGTGCAAAAGGACATGATGCTGCGAATGACAATTCCACGTCCATTGCTGGGGAATTCTCATGATCCGGCTTGGTTGGCATAGCTGCTGATCTCGCAGGGCGACGAATTCCCTGTGCCAGCTGAAACGCTCCCTCTCAAAGTGCCCGCCGAAATTGTCACATTCCCAGGCAAGTCCCCGGACATTGTGGCCCTAGGTGAGGAAGGGGTCGTCGCTATTGTTTCGCCCTGGCGTTGACCAGATGACGCTCGCTGTCTTACCGGCTGTCGAAGTGCAAATACCGGTCGACTGCCGTCGAGGAATGTGCTAGCCAGGGCCAAAAAGCATGCATGGCGATCGGTTGGACAAGGAGTCGGGTGTTTGGCATTTGAGTGAAGTTGATGGCAAGTGAAAAGTGCTGCCTTGAAATGTGACGAGCGAGATGACCCCTTTGGCACGATTCTTGGTGCCTCAGGCCATAATGGTGTTGCAGCGGCAGGAACGTACCAGTTGATGATCGGCAATTCTGCCCGCGCGCAAATACGGATACCGACTAGCAATTCCTCAATGATCATTTGAACGGAGGCCCTTAATTATACATGGCCTTTGCGAGCCTTGTGAAGTGGTTGCCTTTCGCTTTAGCGATTATGCTGTTATGCATCAAGATTTGCACGTACTCGCTCCCGCGCTGCGGCTGGCACGCCCATAGGTAAGAATGTCATCATGGATTTCTCCTCACTCCATCAAGCAGCTACAGCTATAGTCTACAATATAATCACAAAGCATGCTTGAATTTGCGCGATTCAATCCCTTTCATCATACCCATCATTCCTAGTCTGTGCCTGATCGGCATTTCTCACGAATCGAGACGCACGTCAGCATGTCGCAGTCAGACATCAACACCACCACCATGCGTGCTTGGCGCTTTGGCCGCCCTGGCCAACTCGAGCACACGCTCATCCTTGACACCAATGTGGCGAAGCCCGCGGCATCCTCCCTCAAGCCACAGGAGCTCCTCGTCAAGGTCTCGGAATGTGGGCTGAATCCTGCCGACTACAAGCTCAACGAATTGGGCCAAGTCGCACGACTGGTACTGGCCTACCCTAAAACAGTTGGCATGGATTTTGCAGGCGTCGTGGCAGCTGTCGGCAATCAAGTGAACGATGTCAAAGTCGGTAGCTCTGTGCTGGGGAGAGCGTCTCCTCTGCAGGGTCCAGGTGGATTGTCAGAGTACGTGGTTGCCGAACGGTCTGCGGTCGCAGAATACGCTCCCAATGTTCGGGATCCGGCAGGCTTGCCCACTGCTGGGCTCACAGCATACCAGACTATTGCACCATATGTATCTGCCGGGTCAAAAATCTTTATCAACGGTGGCTCGGGTGGAGTGGGCACAATGTGCGTCCAGATTGGCAAGATACTAGGCTGCCATGTGACCACCTCCTGTTCGACCGGCAAGATGGACCTGTGCAAGGAGCTCGGGGCCGACGTGGTCATTGACTATAAGAAGAACTCGGTGGTGGAGAAGCTTCAGGGCGCCGGGCTCAAGTTTGATCTTATCGTGGACAATGTCGGCAACAATCCGTCCAACCTATTTTCTGCGAGCAACGACTACCTCAAGGCCCGTGCCCCCTACTTCTTTGTTGGTGGGAATTTGAGCTTCTCGACGGTCACCAAACTGCTCTACGCCATGCTGCTGCCTGCCTTTATGGGGGGTGCGAGAGGCAGGTTCCGGTTGTTCATGACCAAGAACAGCCAGCCTGACCTGGAGCAGCTCACCGCGTGGCTGAGCGATGGCAAGCTGAAGCTCATTGTTGACAGGAGGTTCCCGTTTGAGGAGGCCAAGAGTGCGATGGTGTACGTGAAGGAGGACTCGCCTCGCGGCAAGGTTATTGTCAACGTGGGAGCGAACCAGTGAGAAAGAAAAAAGGTGAATTTGGATGTACTAATATTGCGGTGGTCCGCACATCATCGCTTGGTTTTGGGTTTTGGGACAATTTGGCAGGACGATTCTGTATGCCGCGATTCTTGTTGTCGAGCCAGGCCGGGATGGCAATCGTTTACTCTAGTCTACCACTGGAAACTCTCCTTAAAGTACTCTATCCGTCTATCACTCCGCCCCATGCCCTTGACAGTCGCCTGCCTCGCTGCATCTGCCATCCGCGCAGGCCCACACGCCACAACCACAATGCTCCCCTCGCCAGCAGCCAGTGCCTCCTCGACAGTCCTCGTCGCGTTGATCCGCGCATTGTACCATGCGACAGGATCTGACTCGAGTCGTGTGGTGCTGTCGCTGCCGGTATGGTAGACACTCAGTGAGATGTTGGAGCTCGTGGCGGCCGCCAGGAGATCACGTTGCAACACCTCGGTGGCAAATCCAGCCTGTCGAACGGCCCAGTGAATCGCAACCTTGCTCGCTCTCTTCCCTTCCATAGAAGCGACGAGCACTTCCAGATACGAGATGGGCACGACGATGCCGCTTCCTCCCACGACAAACACGACCTCGTCGAACTTCTCCAGAGGCAGCGTGCCGCCATACGGTCCGTCCACGACTAACTTTAGCTTGACACTCTTGGGACTCGCCATCTCCGCCCGTCTCTTCAACCTGCCTGTGAACGAGTCGTACGGACGGACCAGAAAGGTGACAAAGTCTCCCCGGACGTTCTTCACCCCAGAGGTGAAGCCGTCGTCATTGGCAGCACTCAGCAGAGGTGACGACTCCCCTGTCTCCAGCAACCCTGGGCGCTTCTCATCCCCTGCTAACGTCACGCTCGCCACCGTAAAAGGGTGGCTTTCCCAGAAGCAGGCGTCATCCAGCACAGAAAGGTAGTAATACGTTCCCGGTCGAACGCCATACCAGCTCTTCTCGAGCGGCACCTCTATCCTAACCATATCCGCAGCGTCGTTGTACCAGACATCCGCCTGCGTGTAGAACGTGTAACTGAACAAGAGAACCCTTGCAAGACGGAGGACCCGGTCAAGAACCCAGATGCCGAGGGGAACCCAAAACAAGGCATCATACTCGCCGTTAAAGATCGAGACATGCAGCAGCATGGTGATGAGGACCAGAACAGAGAGGCCGACGTGCAACACGAGGAAGCGCTCATAGTTTTGACGCCGAAACCAGTAGAAGGAGAGGCCTAAGATGGCACACATAGCTATCGTGGCCTTGAGGATTATCGTCAGTCGATCACTTGCATGCCACGTTGGACAGAACCTACCATCTCCCCTGCGCACCAGAATAGCCGTGTCAACCACGACGCAAAGTACGCCCAGCCTCCATCTATCACACCGTCAGCCACAAGAGTGCCTCTCCCAGGCGAAAGACGTCACTCACCTTGCAAAATCTTCGCCGTGTAGCCTGCACTATGCACAACAGCCTGGACGGTGGCCACGCGCGCCACCCATCGATGGAAGTTGTTGCTCGTGCCAAAGTCCCACCCCGTCAGCCAGAGGACGACATTGTTCCTCATGCCAAAGAGCCACAGCAGGGGGAAATTGGCAAAGGAGATGATGCCCGTGCGGTCTGACACGTAGCGCAGCACTTGTCCGCTGACAGTCGGCCAGCTGTCACCAGTCATTTAGGTTAGGTCCTCCGCGAAAAAGGGGGGGGAGACCTACTAAATATTGTGCGGGACAATCTTGTACCCGTGCACACTACACCACACGTTCAGCACGACGAATGCCCCGATGGTCAGCGACTGGATCCTTGGAGGCACCGTCGCCCAGCCGCCGTAGTCCTGCGCACATCTCCTGCCTAGAGTGGAGGGTGTTTGGACGTTGCGCTTCAGCCATCTCCTCATCGACCCCTGCCTCGGAAAGGCGCCTCTTCTTGCTTCACAGACGTCGATGGCCCGGCTCACCATGGCAATGGCCACAACGACGAGCCAAAAATACCCCATGGCCCAGCCATACGCCGAATGGTAGTAGTGCGCATGATTCAACGACTCCTGTCCTACCACATCAGTACCTCGGAAGCAAAGGGGCGCGGACACCATCCACCCACGATTGTGTCCAGCCACCTCTTGAAAGAGCCCTCGTCCACCAGGAGCAACCCATCCACTTTCGACCCAAAGGCAAAGGTCGTCTCGTTGAACCTCGTCACCGCCGCAATGTCGTCCTCGTCCATCCCATCCACGATGCTGTGCGGCAACAGGCCCTCCCCATACTCTTCCACGCACGTGGCGTTCAGTTTGTCGACGTTGTACGTGCCACAGTAGAGGTCCAGGCAGATATATAGCGACTGCGTGTTGAGCCGTGATTGGCACGACTTGCCATAGAACGAAGCATGCGGGTCGCCGTCGACAAAGGCCACTCTCTGGAACGAACTGCGACACGCCGACACGCAGGCTGTCTCGTCTGGCGGTTGGGCGCGTGCTTCCGTGGCGCTGAAGAGAAGCGCCAATATCACAGAGAAACGCATGGCGGGCGATGAGCGAAAAGGAAACACGAGAGATAAATCAGGCACAAAATCAAAGTGAGGCTGAGATGGAAGCGGAGATGCGCATTTTAATCAGATGATCTGATAAGATGGGATCCACATCTCGTGGAGGCTGGCCGGGGCTGGCCTGGGCCCTGGGGCCACTCACCAGTGGGTCGATTATCGACTCATCAACAGCTGTCAGTACAAGGGAATCACTGCTGCATCAAGGAGCGAAGAGTACATGAAAAGTATAAACTTGCATTCAGCTACTCAAGCGATTACTATATGCGAATTCCGCGTTGGGCAGGAATATCAAACACCGGGTATTTAAATAGAGTATATGGTAGGGTAGATCCATCTGCCAGGAACAGAGTGAACTAGATTTAGACGGCAGAGCCGCGGCGCTCGACGTCGCCGACGACGTTGGGGTCGAGGAAGCCGTCCTTGGTGCCAACCTGCGAGGCAAAGGTGGTGGTGGGCTTCCACTTGGCCGAGGTGCGGGGGGTGGTCTCCTCCATCATCTTGTCGACCTGCTCGAGGGTGAGGCCCTTGGTCTCGGGGATGAGGAAGTAGGAGTAGACAAAGGCAGCCGTGCAGAGACCGCCCCAGACGAAGAAGACGGACGACTTCATGTTGCCCTTGTCCTCGTGGACCATGTAGGGGGTGATGATGGCGATGATGGTGTTCCAGAGCCAGTTGGAGGCGGTGGACAGGGCAACACCACGCGAGCGGATGGGCAGAGGGAAGATCTCGCCGATGACGATCCAGGCACCAGGACCCCAGGTGGAGGCGAAGAAGAAGATGAAGATGGCGATGAAGGCGATCTGGGCGTTGACGGCAGGGATGTTGTTGGCGAGCGACTCGGTCGGGTCAGTGGGCGAAGGGTGGGTCTTGTTGAAGCCAACAGTGACACCGATGATGGCGACGAGGAACTGGCAGATGAGCATACCAAAGGCGCCGCAAATGAGGATGGTGCGGCGACCGAAGCGCTCGACGGTCCAAAAGGACAGGGGGGTGGAGCAGACGTTGACAATGGTGAAGATCATGGAGATGAGGAAGGTGTCCGAAATGGCGCCCGTCGACTTGAGGAAGGGAGTCGAGTAGTAGAAGATGAAGTTGACACCAGTCCACTGCTGCATCATCTGGAGAGAGGTACCGAGGACGGTGCGGCGCAGGTTGGAGTTGGGGGAGAAGATGCTGCCCTTGAAGCAGTTGGCCCAGGAGCCGAACCAGGTAGTCGAGGGGATCAGAGCACGCTCGTACTCCTCGTTGGCGATAATCTCCGAAAGCTCACTCTGGACGTAGATGGAGTCCTCGGGCTGGCCACGGACGCGAGCGAGCGAGTTCTTGGCCTTGGCAATCTTGCCCTTCTTGACAAAGTAGCGAGGGGAGTCGGGGAGGAAGAGGAGACCTCCGCCGAGGATGAGGGCCCAGGGGAACTGGATGGCGATGGGGATGCGGTAGGAGCCAGTGTCGGTGCGGTCCTGGGTGCCATAGACGACAATGGAGGCCAACATGATACCGATGGTGATGCAGAATTGGTAACCGGCCACGAGGGCACCACGGACCTTGCGGGGGCACTGATCGAGGTTAGCTTCGTTTCTTCTTTAGCTTCATATAGTGAGACTCACAATCTCAGACATGTACAGGATGACAATGGCGGACTCGAAACCGACACCAAGACCGGCAATGAGACGACCGGCGACAATGGGACCGAGGGCTTGGTCGGGGCTAGTGATCATCTGGACAACAACACCGATCATGTAGATGAAGCAGCCGAGGATGACAGTCCACTTGCGGCCGATCCACTCGGCGACATCACCAGCAATGACGGCACCGAAGAAGGTACCAACGGAGAGGATGGAGGTGATGAGGGTCAGGTGGCTGTAGCTCAGCTCCGTGGCGCCGGGGCCCTCGACGGCCTCGACGAAGATCTTGGCGCCGTTGACACCGTTGATGTAACCAGAGTCGTAACCGAAGAAGATACCACCGAACGAGGCGAAGGCGCACATGAGGTAGGCCTTCCAGGTGACGGGGGCCTCGACGCCGTTGATATCCTGGGCGGCAGGGAGGTTGATGGAGCCGTGGCGATGCTCATCCTGGACGATGCCAGCGCCCTCCTTGTTGTTGTTGGTGGCCATGGCTGAAGAACTGTCTCTGTGGAAGTCTTGTCGGTGAGCAGGGGGGCCGGAGTGTCGATGACTTGGAGCGTGAGACACGGGGAAGGGAGGGACGAGACACAGATCTTGGGAAAGGAGGGGGGGACAGGATCTTATAGGGAGGAAGCAGCGAACGACTTTCACGTTTCTCTCTTCAGATCCAGGCAGGTGCCACGGAGTCGGGCTGGGGCTCGGTGCAATCGAGCAACGGGAGGAAGGTGACGGGCAGGGGGCCCAGTCGCGCCTGGCCTGGTCTGCCACGATCCGAGTCCAGTCTACTGCTCTAGGCTAACCTCAACAGGTGACTGGACTAGCTGGCCGGAGGGCTTGGCGCTCTAATTTCACGTCTCGCGCATTGTTGCATCGCAGTGGAACATGGACATGGAGCCGCTTGATCCGTGACGGGTTGGCTGGATGTGGTAGCAAACGCGGAGAGAAATTAGCTGCTGTCAGTGTGAGCCGCCTGCGTGCTGCAAAGGTACGGGAATCGCGAGGACTGGACCCCTTTGCGTCCGCCCCTAGTCGACTCCTCCCCCCCTTTCTGGACAGAGGGTCCACTCCGTCCCATGGGCATCCCATGAGCGCCCATGGGCACTGCGGGCCTGGACAGGACCCCAGTCCTAAACAAGTCCGATCTCCTTCCACAGTCTCAGTACCACCGAATATTCGGCCAGCCAGCGGACGCGGCGCATGGCTAGTGGATATGCTGAGAAAGTACATACGTGCTGATGATGATGAGGTCTGATACTAAGGAATGCTTGATACAGATCGCGGGGGGCTGAGTAGCTCTGTTAGTCTCACTTGCGCGTGGCTTTTCATCTCGTGACTTTCACACGTGCAAAAGGAGCTCGAGCGCGGACCGCATCGGAATGTTGTTCTTGGTCGTGATCGCAGTCATGTACATTGGCCGTGAACAGTACGTTACTCAGTAAACCGACCCATAATCTTTTGCATGGGGCACGCACGGCACTGCTTAATTCTCCAAATGGGGCACCCGCGAAATGCCATCTCTGGGGTCTCCACCTTTGCTCCTCACAGGAACAGAGAAGCGCCGAGAAGCGCCGGCAGACCAGACCAGACCAGACCTGACGGAGAATCCGTTGGTCACGCGTCCGACACGCGATCATTCGTCTTTGGGCCTTCGTATTGGACTGGGCCGTCCTGGACTGTCCTGGGCTCGTCCACCCATCCCTCACGTGCTTGTCCTGATGGCCTCCCCTGATAGGTTTGCAGGCACGGTCCGATGGGATTTTGCGTGGTGTGCTAGATTACCTTTCAGGCTAGGGCCAGGCTTCTTTTTTCACTTTTGCACTAACGTTAGTGGAAGAACGCTGGACGGATACTGTACGTATGTAAGGCAAAGCACGGGGCACGCCACAGTGCACACCACTACCTGGACGTACGAACACGTACTGTGCAGCACCAGACCCGACCCCGTAAAAGCCCCGTGTTTCTAAAATTCTAGGTAATGGGGCCCCTCCTCGACGCGGTCTAACCCTCGGCCGTACTTTTCGGGCAGCGCCAGGTGTCCTGCAGCGCGCAGCCCAGCGCTTGAAGGGCAGCAAGAACAGCAAGCGAGTGGCCGAGCCATGCAGCTGTTGGAATGCTTCCCTCTTGGCACCGAGTTTTCACCATGTGGTTCGGAGTCCGGACCGCTCGTGAACCTGTCCATCCCTCGTGGCATTCTGCCTACCCTACCCTGTCTACCTCAGACAACGTTCCATCCGTAACTTCATGTTGAATTGACGGAAGGCCGCCCCTGGGCCCTAGCGCTGGCGAGGTCTACCGTAATGCACACTCGATATGTATCTGCGCACTTACAATATCCACCCGTCTCTGCTCGAGGGAGACTCACTCCAGTCCCCAAGCCAAGCATCTACCCGTCACACGACCACTCACTACGCCGAATCATTTCATGAGGACAAACATCATCATCGGCTTCCGGCATCCTCAACAAGCCACGCTTCTCGAGACTCGACTCGACGCTCGCGTCTAATTAGTCAGACTAGTCCCAACTCGAGACTTGGCTGATGTCCAAGATCGGCGCTGCCCCGGCCTCTCTCCACCACCCCCCCAGTCCAAACCACGCGACCCGTTAATTCTCCAAACTATTCCCCCATCAAATGATCACAATTCTCCCCTCCTCCAGCTTCTCCATGTTCACCACCCGGCCCTTTTCTGCTGCTTCACGGCAAGAAAAAGCTGGAAAACGACGCCACGCTCCGGAGCTCGTGGGGAATGACCCAATGGCTGTCATGTGGATATCGCCCAGCGGAGGTTTCCACTCCCTGTTACACTAGAATCCTGGTCGTTGGTTGCTTAATAGACTTTCTTCATCCTTCTTCGGTCCCGGGGGCTCCACGTTTTACTTTTTTTTCTCGGTCAAATATTTCTCGGTCCCCATCACCCATGGGGTCGAGTCTCGGCGCGCTTGTGTTGGACATGACCAACGAGAATTGACGTCTTTGGCTCTTTGGAGCCGGAATGGGCGCGCTCAGCTGATTTCGCATCAGGCAAGCATCGGAACGACATCATCATCCACTTGATGAAGATTCTTCACCAGCTCCTTCACACGGACGCAATTGGACAAACCTCCGCTGGCGGCATCGCCATGACCCTCACTGACTCACTCGCCCACACTTGATGAAGTTGATGGCAACGGCCACCTCCGCCTTTGCTATCCCCCACACTTCTCTCCACGTTCTCGAAAAGCGCGCAGCTTCCACAGGTCAAGCCATCAGAGCATTTTCTGTGCATCGTGTCCCGCCTCCAGAGCTGGGCTTCTGTCATTGATCCTTGGCGCACACGTCGAGCATTCACAGCGAGACATTGAATCCATGTCGACAACGTGACATTCGCAGCCGCGTTCTGCTACCGACGCTAAACGCCTTCGTTCTCGGCACGGGTGAACTCGACGTCATTGTGGCTGCCCACGAGCCCCGCCCACGATTGCCAAACAATGAAATCCGGGGCCCGGTTCGTCAGAAATTCTCGAGACTCGTCGGAAGACATCCATCTTGAGTCGTGTCGTGGGAGGCCGCCTCTTGCCGGACGTGCCAACAGGTGTTGCCAGGAGAAGCTGAAGTTGCCTAACCTCTTATTAACGGGCGTCCAGGAAAGATACATCCGTTGTGTTCGCGACACGGATGACGTCTGCGTCGAGCGCTCCTCGATGCGTCCAGACTGCAAAGCTCGAACGCGTACAATCCCCATCAATCGATGCAGCGCCCAAGACGCAAGCGGGTTGTCGCTGAACTCGCTTCGTTCTATCCTCCCAATATCCAAAGTGTGACGACACCGACGTTATCTAGTCTTTCAATTTCCGACCAGCACTTGCAGAGCGGAATCTTTGCGGATGGGGATGGCTGGCTCGGGTCGAAATTCTCGACGCACGGAGGTCTGGTACATGTTTTTGACGCCAAGTGGCGGTTGAAGAATGATACTGTTCTTGAGAGCTGTGGCAGCGCGTCTTCCAGACTCACGCCAGTGGGAGCGAGTGTTCAGTGAGGCATCGAACGTGACCAGTGACTGACTGGACTGTCCCTATTCACAAAGCTGGCTCGTGTGGAAATGGGTGCACCTGTTGTGTATACTTGCATGTACGCTGGATGTAATGTGTCTTCGATGTGTCCTACGTTGGATGTTTCAGAGCGTGGATCTGGACTCCTGGAGTGCTTCCTTGGGGCTGTCTGACTTTGAAGTTGCCGCAGGATTGGCGCTCTAGTTGAAGTCATCTGTCCCTAGTGGTTGTCCGAGGCAATTAGTTGATTCGACGGTATGGTACGGAAATCAATGCAAATACTTGATTTGATCACTTCGCCATGCTTTCATGAGTCTGTCCAAAGTCTGGATGGAGTGTTGGCTCTTGACCGCGCGTGGTTGGTGTCTCGGACCTCTGGCCCTTGCTCAAGCGGCAATTGACCTACCCTACGAATCCCCTCTATCTAGATTCAGTCACGCAACTGTGGTATTTCACTTCACAGGAGTGTACCCAATGTTGCGCATAGTGGTTCCTCTTTAAACTACTCAATCATGGAGTGGAAAATCTGCAGGGAGAAGCAGCGTCTTATCAATGTTTGCTTATTACATCAAATAGAGAATACATGGAACCAAAACTTCGACGAAAGTGATCTATAAGAACACTCAAAAATGTTCCCCGAGGTTGAAATGATGACCTGCAGACCGCAAATCAATTGTAATCAGACTCGTCAAAGTCTTCTACACTAATTGAAAAGACGAGCGATTGGTACTGATTCCAGCCTGTGATGTGTTTCTCATCTCTTGGGCTGTCCGTGAGGAGCTCACTGTGCTTACTCATCCCATGAAAGCCCACGTAGTCACGTGTCGCCAGCCCGCGAATCGCGATCGACTCGAAAGCGTGCAGAGGCGCGGATCAGCATTCTCTGACTCTCCAATCTCCATCAGACCCTTGCGTGAGATGTTTCCAGCCCTTGGCAGGGGAAAAGTGTCCATGTCCATCGTCCATTCGTCATTGAAGCTATCGTGAGCATCATCGACACCCACGTGCCCGCGCCAACGCGCCCACGGTCGACTCTGCCTAGGCACGAAATCGGAAAACCACGCACCACACATCCACAGGGTGCCGGATTCGCCATGGCTCCGGCTTTTGATTCGCTTCCCGCATGCGGCCTGGACCCCGTTCCTTGCAGGTTGCCGGCCCTGAAGTGGGTGTTGATGATTCATGGACCGCTCGATTGAGTAGAGCTTTTCTTATCAATCACTAATCAGGGGATAGCTATCGCAGGCCCTCATGAGCACGCTGTTCGCGACCGAAAACTTTCCACGACGGCATATGCAACACCCTACCCTCTTCCAAATAACATCTGCGGTACTGTCCCACCAGCTCGAAGCTCTCCTTTTTCAAGAACGTTGCTGCGCAATTTCGATGGCTTCCACGCGCCCACCGCTCTCCTCGGTGCTGCCGCCGCTTATCCTCGGGACGGCCACCTTCAACACACAATACCACCCTGATCCCACGCACATGCCCTACAACAGCATCGTCTCGCGCGCGCTCCTGACCCACAAGATCACCGCATTCGACACATCACCGTACTACGGCCCCAGCGAGGTCCTCCTAGGCGACGCCCTCGCCAACACCCATGCGCCGCGATCGTCCTACCTCTTGATCACAAAGGCGGGCAGGATAAAGGCCGACGTGTTCGACTATTCGCCTGCGGGCATTCGAAGCTCGGTTCGCAGAAGCCTGGCCCGGTTGCAGACTCCGTACCTCGACTTGGTCTATGCGCATGACGTGGAATTCGTCACGCCCGAGGAGGTCCTCGCCGCTGTCTGCGAGCTGCGCCGGTTGCGAGACGAGGAGGGTCTCCTGCAGTATGTCGGCATTTCTGGGTATCCCGTCGACGTCCTCTGCTCCCTGGCCGAGATGATCTATCGCGAGACGGGCGAGCCGCTGGACGCGGTCATGTCGTACAACCACTTTTGCGTGCAGAACACGCGCCTGGGACATGCGACGCGGCTACAGAGGTTCGAGGACGCGGGCGTCGACTGCGTGCTCAACGCGAGCATGCTCGGTATGGGCCTCCTGACGAGGGTGGGCGTGGACAATGGGCCGCAGAGCCTGTGGCACCCGGCCCCGTCTGGTCTGAGGTCGGCCTGTCATGGGCTGGCGGCTATTGCCGAGGGTGAAGGCGAGCATTTGGAAAAGGTGGCGATCCAGTGGTCCATGGACAACTGGGCACGGACAGGTGCGCGGTTCGGCACCACGGCCATCCCTGTGCGGGAAGAGGGCAACGCAGTCCGCCAACCGGCGCGGATGGGCATCAGTGTCATGGGCGTGACCAACGTGGCCGAGCTGGACGAGACATGGCAAGCATGGCGCTCTGTAGTCGGTGACGCGAGCGACGAGATGCAGGCGCAGAAGCGGGAGAGGATCACCAGGCTGGTCGAGGACAAGATGTGGGTAAGTCTGGGTGGATGGAAAGACTACGCCTGGGAGAGCGGCCTCGCGAGAGCCGACGGTGTGGCTCCTGGCGCCACGTCTCTGCCGATGCCCGTGAAGGAGAGGGACACGTCTGGAATCGCCAAGATATGAATCAATACTCATGCATGCGCAGTTGACAACGTGGCTGTCGACGATCGTTTAGGCATCCATCGGTTAGCACTGCAGGCAGTACGGATAATCATGCCGAGATTCTGATAATGAACGTCTCTTCCCCAAGGCCACAGAAGAAGGATTCGGCTATCTACCGAGTTTCCTGTTGCGGCCCAGATGGAGCCATAGTACGGTATACCACTGGCCCAAAAGTGAGACTCCACACGGGCCTAAGGTGCTACTAGTACGAGTGGCTTGAATCCTCCAGACACGGACTTGCTAATGCCGTTGAAGCGGCTGATCTGCCTCCATTCAATTCCCCGACATTTCCCCACAGTGACGTTCTTGGCTGTGATGTGAAGCCTCAGGAACCATTGAGAGCCTCAAGAAACCTCAGGCTAGTCGTAGAGACCATGACGCAGAAACCATCTCGAAGAACTCATGGTGGCAAGAATCTTGACATCATGTGCGGAATGGGAATGGTTCTTTGCGCAAGACCGTACGTGCTCGATGTTTTGAAATCCCGATGCACACGTGGACTTGAAGTATAAAGAGGCAGACTATTCCCCCCAAGACTCTTCGATTCAAACCATACCCTAATCATCAGCAGCAGTTGTTCCAGATTCAAATAGCCTTCCCGCACCGTCACTACACCAGTCCTCTCGACCACAACGAAACAGCACACACGGCCGCAAAGATGCAGTATGTAGAGCATCTTACCAGGAATCTCCTTGGCCAGCCTCTCTAACGAGACTACAGGTTCACCTACGCAACCCTCCTCAGCGTCCTCTCCGCCGTCGCCCACGCAAGGCAGTGCGAGATGAAAGCCACCGTTTCCAACGGTCAGATCCAATCCTGCGGCTGGGGACCCTGCAACCCCATAGGCTCGGACAACGGCAACGCCATCCTGCTCATCGATGGCGAGCAGAAGTGGAACGGCGGCAGCTACGGGGATCTCAGCCTCGGGGACGGCACCGACTTTGACGCGGACGGCGTCACGGGTCACATCCAATCTATCGGCCTGCCGGCGCGGGGTGACAACCCACGATGTGAGATCCTCCGGGACGGCCAGGATGCAATTACGGCGGAGGGGACCGCGAGCTCTTGGGGTCTTCCAGGGACATTTGGGCAGAGGCTGTCTTGCGATTTTCTGTGGGACTGCTGATCGGCGTGCCCGCGCGCTACACTTGCTTCAGGCCTGCTCTATATAAATACTGTACATTTGCAATAAAGTCGTTAGCCTTGACGTTTTCGTATTATGAATGCCTTTCCCTTCCTAGATACATCTTCTGCCGACATGGACCTACACAACAAGGTCCAGTACCTAGCCTGTCTTGTACAAAATGTACAACTCGCCCTCCCTGGAGTTATCACTAGCGATGAACAGCCTCGTGTACTCCAGATCCCACGACAAGCCACTCGGCCTGAAACACTTGCTGCTGTTGCAGTCCTCCTGGGGATCCCACAGGATATTATCAAACCCATCTTTGCTGTCTGGCGCGGCCACGGGCTCATATTCACCAGCGTCATTGGTCGTAAAGGGAATAGAGACAACCTTGTACCCCGTGGGAACCTCCCTGTTCCAGGAGCCGTGGAGGGAGACGTACATGTTGCTGCCCTCACGGTCAAACTTGGCGTCGAGGGGTGCCGAGTGCGCCTGGAAGTTCAGGCGCGGAGCCACGGAGCGCGCCTCGCACGTGGCGTCGGTAAAGGTGTCGTTGGGAGCCGGGATGAACTGGGCGCCCGTCGCGGGCGGCTGGCTTCCCGGGAACTCGTCGCCGCCCCAGACGGTGAAGCAGGTCGGGTATCCGTACCAGTTCTCGTTCGACACGGACGGGTCTCCCAGGAAGTTGACCTCGTCCGAGGGGTTGTTCTCGTGAATGTCGTACTCCTCGCCGTCAATGGTGCGGGAAAACTCGTCGGCCGAGTTCTCGACACCCCAGACCATGTTGTTGTTGTCCGTGGTCAGGCCAACCTCGTTGCGGAGACCATAACCGAGGAACCAGCCCTGCGTGGAGTAGTCGTATCCATCCTCGGGCGCTTCAGCCATGTCAAAGACCTTGACAATGGCGCGGCCGACCTCCTTGTTGACCGCGGGCATGTCCAGGTTGCCGTCGCTCCCGAGGCTGACAACGAGCAGATCAGGGGTGTCAGGGGGAACGAGTAGAGTGCGGGTGGAGTGCGAGGAGGGAAACATGTTGGCGACAACGACCTTCTCGTTGCTGACAGTCTGGGTCTCCGGGTCATAGTCGTACTTCCAGACGGTGTCAATGGACGACACGTACAGAGTCCTGCCACCGGGGGCGAGAGCAACGCCATGCGTGAGGCCACGGCGCTCAATGAGGGTCTTGGAGCCGGCTATACAGCCGTCACTGCCAAAGGTGTGCGCGGAAAGCCCTGAACCTGCTTCGACGAGCAGGAGACTGCCGAGGCCATCGATTGCGATTCCACGAGGCGTTGTCAAATCTCCTGCAAGCTTGACGAACGACCAGCCGTCAGCAGCCTCCAGAGGGAAGAGACTGGTCTCGCCACAGTTGGAGGGGACACGGACAGGCTCTGAAGGGATAGGGGGGCTGGTAGGTGTTAAGGTTGCTGAAGTGGTTGTGCCGCTGGTCGTGGGCGTCGGCTCGGGAGGAACTTCGCCAGCCCATTCTTCAAAATCAGGAGACTGCGCAGAGGCAAACTCCAGATAAAAGAGTATGGCCGCATCATGCATGCTAAAGGTCGAGTCCTCGGACTCGGGGTTGTTGGCAGCTGTGTCCGAGTACGCCCAGCCTACCACGTTCTCGCCACTGGGATCCAGCTCTCCCGGGTTCGCGCCCAGGTCCCACTGACTGCAGCCCTCACAGAGATATGTGCTGACCCAATGAGTTTCGTTCACAAAGGAGCCGTCGAGGATGCGGACGGTGGCGTCCTCATTGGCTTGGGGAAGCGCGTAGGAGCTGTCGGCGTTAAAGACTGGGTGAGGATGGTCATGAACCGTTGTGAACTTACACTGCCACGCGTGAAGACACGACCGTGGTATCTTCATTGGGCCATGTCACCGTCAAAGGTACGTAGGTCATACCAGGCCCGAACGCGAAGCCAACCCATCCTGTCTCTACCGGCGCAGTGACCTGGACGATCACGGGGAAAGGCGCCGCTGAAACTTCAGGAATAGCGACACCAAAGGTAATGCCATGGTCGTTAGTGTAAGAGGAGAAACATCGGCCCAGCTCATCGCAGTAGTTGGACTGAGCGAATGCTGCGTGCGGCGTGTCAGTCCATGCCTCGTTGAGGTGAAGAAACAGGTGGCTCACCCAAAGTTGCAAGGGCCGCACCCCCCGTGGTAAAGAGCGTCCTGCGCATCATGGAGGCCAGGGAAGATGAAGATGATGTGATGGGGAGACAGCACAGCGCTGTCTACAGCAGCGGGCCCCCGGCCTTATACACGTTGCGTGTACTGTACGTACGTCCATAAGACATGGTGGGCTATAGCACATGGTACGCCCTCCCTCCCTCCGTGCGCCCTCATGCCCGCACATTCCGCATATCCCAACCAGGCAACTGGCAGGGGTGTCTGTACATCATCCTGAATCTATGTAGCCTATTCTCGACGTGCAGAGCAGTGACGCGGGCATCATGGGACCTGTGGGTATGCAGGTACGGCACATGCGTACGTCTGTGGCTCCAGTCCCTCGATCTTGATTATGAGCCTTGCTATAGGTGCCCGCCGAATAAGCTTAGGCGAGAGATTGCCGCGTGATGCTCGCCGTGGTTGATCGTCAAAGAAGTCAAGAGGAGGGTGTGAAGACACAAGGCTATGGGCATCATCGTGTGCGCCTCGGACACTACACTTCCGAAGGGTTGCCGTCATCCTGGCAATCATCCAGAGGTGTACTTGAATCCCTCGAGGGGCTTTCGCCAAGCTTCTGGGATTCCTGCACGTTGAAACAGAGTTTCCCTCAACTCCGAGTGCCGCATCCTGTTGGTCATCCGGAGGTAAGCAACGAGCTTAACCAGGATAGGCGTCCCGGACCGAGTGACGTGCCATCAAATTGCTGTCCACTGTCGGACACCGTGAGCTACCACTCTAGAATGGACGCATGGGCAGGGAACGGGATGGAAATGGCGAGCGTGGGCGAGGTCCGATTAGGAATGTGACACGGCGTGCTTCCGTCCCAGTATCGCCAAAGATGGCACCGTCTCGTCGATCAGTTTGGCCCACGATCGATCACTGGGGACAGAGCCTGAAGCTGCCTGTCTGGGGAGAGGTGCACCATGTTCCATTCTCGCGGGCCATCATGTTGTTTGTGAGTGATCATGGCGCTGCCAGTGATTGCTGGCTTGCTGCCCAAAGCCAATCGCTGAAACACGTGACCTCGCGTCCATCCCGCATTTTGCTGCCTTCTCTAGACTCCAACAGTCAACTCCAACAGCTGCCGAAAGCTCGGCTATCCTAGTCGCGAAATCTTCTACACGACCCTCTCAACTGCTGCGAACATGGCGCCTGGTCGCAAGGCCAAACCTCCCCAGCCAAGTCGCCCGGCAAACACCCTGATCCTCGACAATGGCGCCGCCACGCTGAAAGCAGGTCTTCTCTCCAACCCAACCACGCCGCCGCTGGTCATCCCCAATCTCGTCGCACGCGATCGCCTCCGGAAAACATACGTTGGGTCGGAAGCGAGCGCGATCCGCGACACCTCTGACCTCGCCCTCCGCCGGCCCGTGGAGCGTGGGTCGATTGTGAACTGGGAGGTGCAGAGGGAGATCTGGGATCGAACATTTCTCGATACTGGCGCGCCGCTGCGCTGTGACCCCAGCGAAACGAGGCTGGTACTGACGGAGCAACCGAATAATCTGCCAGCGCTCCAGGCCAATTGCGACCAGATTGTGTTTGAGGAGTATGGCTTTGCAAGCTACTATCGTGGCGTTGGCTCCACGTTCAACGCCTACCACGATGTGCAGACTCTTTTCCGTACCCCCAAGGACCATCCCACAGTCGCCAACGCGCCAGCCGAGGTCATGCTCGTCGTTGACTCAGGCTACTCGCACACGACCGTCACACCCGTCCTTGCGGGTCGAGCCGTTCACTCTGCCGTCCGAAGACTCGACGTGGGCGGCAAGCTCATGACCAACTACCTCGCCCGTCTTCTCTCGTTACGGCACTTTGACATGCGCTCCGAGACCTTCCTCGTCAATGAGATCAAGGAGGCCGCGTGCTACGTGTCGCCCGATTTCAGGCGCGATGTCGAGCGTTGCTGGAAAGGCACACGGGGCGAGAAATGGGCAGAGTATCTTACGGGAGGCGGCATCGCCAAGGACTACATCCTGCCCGACTTTCACACGCGATGGAAGGGCCAACTCGTCGACTACGATCCCGCGCGGCACTCCAAGAGCAAGAAGATAGCCGGCAGCGACGAGGACGCCCTGACACTTCGGAATGAGCGCTTCTGCATACCGGAAATTGCCTTCAACCCTTCCGACATGGGTATGCGCCAGCCTGGGCTCCCGGACCTGATACACCAATCACTTCAGACTTTACCAGTAGGGCTTTGGCCCGGCTTGCTAGCAAACATCCTGGTTGTGGGAGGCAACGTTCTGTTTGATGGGTTCATTCAACGTCTACAAAAAGAGGTCGTCCAGCGCTTCCCGGACGATTGCGTGGTGCGCGTTGCCAGGCCAGCAGACCCCATCACCAGTACCTGGCAAGGCGCGGCTATTCTGGCGAATCACCCCCATATCGAGAAACTTGTCGTCACCAAGAAGGAGTACGAAGAGCTGGGGGCTTCGCTCGTGGCTCGGAAATTCGCCCAAGGGTTGGGCGCAGGCTGAAAGATGCTAGGCCATCAGAACCAACGCCTCACAACCGACCGAGACCCCGTCCACGCGAGGTGCACCCTAGCTCACGTCAGTATGCGAGTCCGGAAGGACGACAGCTTGCCGCTGGGCAGAAATCAGGCTTACAGTCGCACTGCGTGAACGTCAGTACTCTATCTCACAGAGGTTTGGCCTTCAACTTACATGAGAGAGAGTGCATCCCTCGTTGTGGGTAATGCAGTATCCGCCACCACAGCACCTGCACATTCGTTGGGTGTGGTCGATGCAGGATTCGCACTGCATGTGGTCAGTTTCTGTGCAGCAGAGACCCCTGAATCGCTCTTCAACTTACATTCTGTCCGCATTCCCAGCAGCTTTTGGTTACCATGGCCTGTGGCATCGTCAGCATACGTCCTTTACCACGACGCACTCAAATTATTCCGTTCCACAACGCGAGCGTCCATCAAGTGGTGCATACAAATCTGGTGCAGGCAAAGCGCAGCTCACAGGTTGGTGGACTTGATACGCTTGCGCCTCGTCACCTCCCTGATCCCAAGGCGATTCCCCGTTTTCTCGTACACTCAGAACAGAGACCCTTTCGTACCTTGGGTTTGACAATGGATACTCCACTACCCGAGTACTCGCTCACGGTCATCACGCCATCGTCATCGAGCGCGACCACTGTCTCGGTCTGGTTGACGCTGTGACTCGGTGGCGTGTAGCACGACTCGCACCACCATTTGTTGCAGCCCATACAAAAGCGACCATGCAAGCATTGCTTGCATCGTGCCGCGAAGGACTGTGCCGGCTGCATCGGTGTGGTCGCAGCTCGCAGAGACGATGACAGTATTGGGGGTGGGGAGAGCAGTGGGAGCCGATGTTGCGCTCCTCTTGCTTCGATCATGCCCTCTGGACTCTTGCCACAACCCTCGCATGCGTACAGGGCGAATATCGCAATCTCTGGTTCTCCTGAGCCTTGGGCGGGCATCTGACCGAAAGCGGGCGAGTTGTAATGGCGCGGCCCTTCGCAGAGAATGGCGTCAAATGCGATGATGCCCTGGCAGGCGAGCAGGCAGGCTGCCCAGCCATCCATGTCTCGCTTGGGACTCAACATCGCTCCTTTTTGATGCCACCATGCATCACCCTCATTTGCAAGAGAGCTTGTTAGCGCGCGCTGACTCTTGTGGTTCCACTCCGAGCTGATGTTTCGTCTCTCAGGTGCATCGACTGACGGCTTCGCCATATCCTTCGAACCGAACACATAGAGCGCCTTGAGACGCGGTGTGCCCTCGGGCCGCGACGGTCGACAAGCAAACTGTAGCGTTTGGCGTAGCTTTCCGTGGTTGAGACTCTTGACCTCGCGAACCGAGAGGATTTGAACGCTGTAGCATGCGTCTTGGATGATGTCGTTGCATAGTTCAGCGGTGACAGACAGGCCATCGAGCACCAGAGTTTGGACATCTTGAAGGATGTTTTTCCGCAGGAGACACGAGAAGACCCCCCTCAAGGGCCCGGAATAGAAACTATTGCCTCAATCAGCTATGCGCCACGTGACGGGTGAGATCAAGACGCACTCATCCTCGGTGAGGTTCTCATCAAGCTGGACATTGCGCCAAACTTGACTGCCGCAGTCAATTTTAGCGGCATCGAACTGCAGAGTGCGCAACTTTGAAATGTCAAGGTATCTGAAGATGCCAGGCGACTCATACACGAGACTTCGATATTCGCGGTTCACGGACGCTAGATTCAGAAGACTCGACACGGGCAGATAGGCAACAATATTCTCGAGGACCAGGCGGTTGAGCAGGAGGTCCAGAAGATTTGTGTCGTCGTTGTGTACCAGACTAGTAGTGTCGGAAAGCGTTGGGTGGTTTGCGACGGTGGCCTCGAGCATGTCAGGCTGTCGTGTTCAAGGTAACCGCGACAAGAAAGGGCTCCGAGGTTGAAGGCAGCTGTGGCGGCCAGTCAAAACGACGATGGGTGGCACGAGGTCGGTAGAGAATCTATAGAGGCGTGTCGCGGTTTATATGGTCAAGTACGAGACAATGAAAAAAGATAGGGAAGCCGCCTTAGACGCGGCAGGCCTGGGTCATAGCCGTTGATCGTACGGGCGGAAGATGAGCCCCGGTCTAGTAGAAGTGATGGGACATGATCAAGTCCGATGAGAGAGGGAATTGTTGGAATTAAATCTGAAGGCTGGACCGGTCAGTAGTGGTGGTGGTGGCCTGAGGAAGAAAGTGCCAATCCACGTCTCGCATGAAGTCAGACTCACAAGTGATGGTGCGACCTGGAGTTTGGGGAAGGAACGCCCGGGGTCCTTATCGCCGCATCCCATTGGGGGAAGCTGTAACGGCGATGAGAGGCTCTTTATAATGATGCTCAGGACGTAATGCGCTTACATTCGAGCCAGTACACCTGTGGTTCGCACCCCCACGCTACACTACGCTGCTGCAAGCCACGTCGGCTGTTGAAATAGTCACAGTATACAAGACACTACTCATTGCACAGCAAGGGATTGAAGAACGTCCTGACTTGTCTTGAAATCAGATGCCCTTCGTACTTACTTTACCATTGCACCCCTGTCCGAATCAGCTACGTCATGAAGGTATCGCTCCGATCGCGGGGCACGTCGTACAAAACCACTTACCCTGTGCTAGATTCCGAAGGGGCTTATGATGGCTTGTACTCCGAAATGGTGCCTTGAACAAGCAGTTTTTGATCTGGGAGGACCTGGCACTATGATTCCGCAGTGCTCTATACCTTAAATTTGCTGTAGGACTGTGAGATGTCTACCGTACACGCTGCGTTGCAATCCAGCAGACTCAGTCGCGAAACTGTGTTTATTAAAGAGGTAGGCATACAAATTTTGGGAAAAAATACTTCATCCCAGACCGGACTGTAAACAGTACCTTACTCTACTGGCCCATGCAAACCGTAGAGCAGATCTCCATATAAGAAGAATAATCGCTAGCCTGATTTGCGTGTCGGGTGAACATCAAAGAGCAGTCTGGCATGTGAAGGTCGCGTGCTCACGTGGAAGATCTTCAAGGATCTGATAAAACCGACAAGGAGGTGTGTGTTGTCGGAAATGCAATAGCCAGGCCGCTGGCTTCATTTATGTCGTCGTATTCCTCCCTGCAAATAACCAGGAGATGTAGAAGTTGTTACACATGGCGGGCGCACGTGACCCATTGTGACAAACGTTGTTGATGATTATCGTGGAATCCCGCCGAACCCGCTGAGAAATGCGCGATGAACCCAACGCCTTCTCCGGCGACAAGTGTATGACCATGCCTCGACGCCCCGACACCACCAAAATCTCCCCCAAACCACCCTGAATCAACTCTCCAGAACGTGTGCAATTCACTGATGGACATCGACACACCAACACCGCAACTGAGGTGGTCGGGCAGCTTCGACGTCATCCCACCCGCCGCCATCTCCTCGAAGAACTTGCGAGGCGACAAGATCGTCCTTCCACAGTCGGCCCTCGAGCAACTTCTTGCTGCCGCTCCATCGAGAACACAATATACTTCAACATTTACGTCGCGCGATCCGTTCAATCCCCATGCTGCGACCAATGGCGCGCGGTCAAATTACGACGATGGGCAGCAATTACCACATCCTCTGATGTTCCGACTGGTGAACCCGAAGAATAATTATGTGGTATATACAGGAATACGCGAATTCTCTGCGCCCGAGGGTTGCGTGGGACTAAGCGCATATCTTCTTGAGGCGTTGGGGATCGACGAGAAAGACACAAGTGGGAGCGAGGAAGGATCGGGGTTCCAGATTGCGGTGCACGCTCACCAGCTACCAAAAGGCTCTTATGTGCGATTACGGCCCCTCGAAGCTGGCTATAATCCGGACGATTGGAAATCTTTGCTCGAGCGTCAACTTCGCGATGGCTTCACGACACTCACCCGCGATGCGATACTACCCGTACTCGGAGTACAGGGCGAAACATTCAAGTTCTTAGTGGACAAGGTTGAGCCCGAAGGCAATGGGATATGCGTCGTTGACACCGACGTCGAGGTCGATATCGAGGCGCTCGACGAGGAACAAGCACGCGAGACGCTCAGGCAAATCATGTCAAAGGCGCAGCCTGGCAGCGCGCAGGGCACGTCAAAAGGAGGGGAGCTGGACATTTGGAAAAGTGTGCAGGCTCAGGTATTACCGGGTGAATATGTCGACTTCACGCTGCCTTCATGGAACAGGACGCAACCGCTGGACGTGGAGCTTTCAGACCTCGCGAGTCCGGATGTGCTAGACCTGTTTGTAACTCCGCGGTCGGCACAGCAGCGTGGTCTCCCTCGCGAAACTGCCCATGTCTTTGGGAATTTCGACCCAGCAATAGACGGCACAAAGTCGATTACGATCTCGCCGACCAACATAGAGATACAAGATGCAGAGTCGCTTCTCATAGCGGTGCACGCGTATGCCGGTCCGGAAGATTCTGGCGAGCAGCAAACTCCTGTGCAATTCACGATTCGAGCGCGCGCTGCTGAGGCAAAGGCCTCTACCACAGACAGTTCAGCGTTGAACAACGGCAATCAGGAGCATTCCCCCGACGACGAGCAATGTAAGAATTGCCTTCAATGGGTACCCAAGCGAGCGATGGTTCTCCACGAAAACTTCTGTCGACGCAACAACATCATCTGTCCCCAATGCAAGTCAGTCTTCAAGAAGGGCTCTGATGAGTGGCAAACTCACTGGCATTGCGAGTGGGACGAGGCACACGGCAGTTCCACATTCAGCAAGAAGAAGCACGACGCGATCTTCCACGGACATAGGCAATGTCCGTCGTGCGACTTTTCGACGAACTCGCTGTCGGATCTGGCGCGGCACCAAACGAGCGTCTGTCCCGGTAAGCTTATCTTGTGCCGCTTCTGTCATCTAGAGGTTCCGCAAGAAGGCGACCCCATCAATCCGTCGCCCGAGGTTGTCCTCTCCGGAATGACGGCCCACGAGCTGGCCGATGGCGCACGCACGACAGAGTGCCATCTCTGCGACAAGATCATCCGGCTCCGTGACATGGAGACGCACCTGAAGCACCACGAGCTTGATAAAGTGAGCCGCTCCAAGCCAGCCATATGTCGCAACGCGAACTGCGGACGTACACTGCACGGCATTGGTCCAAAGGGGCAAGTTGGCACCGGTACAGCGCAAGGCCAGGGCCCAGGTAACGACATTGGCCTGTGCTCCATCTGCTTCGGGCCACTCTACGTCAGCATGCACGACCCCGATGGCAAGGCCATGCGTCGCCGCATCGAGAGGCGGTACCTGGGCCAATTGATGACGGGCTGCGGAAAGAAACACTGTGGCAACGAGTGGTGCAAGACGGGACGAGCAAATAGCAATCTGGAGCCCAAGGGCACGACCACCGCCGCGGCCCTCCCGCTGGTCAAGCCGTTGGTCAATGAGGTCGCGAATCCGCAGGCGCCCATGTACTTCTGCGTCGATGAGGCAAACCAGACACGGCGGACGGTAGCCGAGATGATCGCCGCCGAGCGCGTCTGGGAATTGGAATGGTGCATTGCGGCTGCCGAAGCCAAGAAGGGGAATCCGGATGGGATGCGCGAGTGGCTGCAGGCGTGGGCACCTAGAGCGATGTAGTGGATGGGTTGGTCGTCGGTGTCACGCGTTGGAGGCAGGGCATAGCGTTTAAGCGCTGAATAGAGTTTCAAGGATGTGAAGACGGGGATGCGTTTCTTGCGGCACCTGCGCCCCTGACCATATCATTGAACAGCCAAGCCACGTGTTGCAATAGTGTGCCATGCGTTTGGTATCCCACGAGCCATGACCCTCTTCGATGTTTATGGTGGCACTTGTACGTGTATTGTTTGCAGGCACACGCTAGACCGCTCCGGACCTTCTCTAGATAGAAGTGATCACTTTGAACTTGATTTATTAGCATGAGTACGTGGCTACTCCGCAGACAGAGCTGCTTTCTGTCGATCCACCTCCCTCACAACTGGCCGCGGTTGAATCATGGCATCACAGGTGCTCACATTGAGTACTCCGTATGAGATTGGAATTGATCATCCTTTGGCGCTCAATGACTTGTTTAATCTGCCTCAGTAACGGGATCGACACGGTTTGACGGCCAGCTTTCCCACGTCGATCAAGGAAAGCTAGATTGCGACGCCGCTCAATCCCCAGTTACGCACATGACCGCGTGGTTCCATGATAAAATGGCCTCATCACTTGTTTCATCACGATAGTAAGGACTGGTTGTGTCACTGTCTCCACGCATCAGGCAAGTGATAAATCTGGTCACGCGCTTGACCAGAGCATCGACGGAGGATGCGCCTCCGTAGGTCGTACGTACCTAGCAGCCTCCCCCTGGTCCCCCCCCCTCCCAGATCTACACCCCAAGCATCGTTCTGGGAACTCCCGTTTCTGCAGATGTGGAGAAGAACAAGTCTCGCCTTGGGATTGGCTGCCCTGGCGTTTTAGTTCATGGAGAAGCAAATCCGGGGTTACATCTACCGAACGACCGATGCCCCCTCGCTTCTTACCCCTGACTACACCGCATGCACTCCATTGCTCCAATATCCGTGCAAGAGATGAGAGGGTATTTCCCCTCATAGCCTGTTTGTTTCAGCAGGCGAACAGAAAACGGAATGTGTCTCGTTTCTCAAGGTGACGCATCTTGTTTTGCTGTCAGTTCATGGATCATGTGTCCAGAAAGCATCTCTGGTCGACCCAACTTGATCATTGGAAATGATAGACGTATGACTACGGCAAAGAGATTCTCGTTCCCGGCTCGCCTACTTGACCGTGCCTCGGATCTGCCAGGGCGCCTCCAAAATCCAAATGTCCAGACGTGACAGGCATGTCTGATCTTAACCCACTCGGGGAGCCCATAATTAGCGGACAAACAGCCCTCTTGAGCCGGCTGGACACATGCACAACGCCCCATACCGGTGGCTTACAGCCTGTATCGTATGTTGAACCGGCCTCGGAGCCTCGGAGTCATTATGTGGCCTACGAAACTGGCCAAGATCGGCTCAAAGCTTGCGGTAAGTTGTAACACTCAGAACCCGGGGTCGGTCTTCCTACGCGCTTGCTTGCCACCAGTCTGTCCATGTCTCACGGTCTCACCAGACCGTCCGTGCCAGTTTTCCCGCCAACGACGGCCCGGATCGCGGTACTAAGAGTTGATATGTCTGCCGATCCGGATAGTGCGCCTCCTTTTGGCAAGCTTGTGGACACTCTCAGACCCCTACGTTGAGCTGGGCCTCCGCTGTATAAATAACAGCCATCTGCTCAATCCTCAAAGTGTAGTCAGTTCCAGAGCACCCCAAACACTCTACTCTTCTTCGGCGAGATATCTTGAACCATTCACAATGTTCACCATTGCGGCTCTCTCCTTCATCGGCGGGGCCATTGCCCAGCAGGTCGGTAACAATGAGCCTGAGGTTCACCCTTCCATGAGCTGGAGTCGCTGCTCCGGCCAGGGATCTTGCCAGAACGTCGACGGCGAGGTTGTCATTGACGCCAACTGGCGCTGGATCCATCGATGTATGTGCTCTCACCACGATGAACAGACAAGTCGTACTGACAACGGGCAGCGGGTGGTTACGACAACTGCTACGACGGCAACGACTGGACCGATGCCTGCAGCAGCAACGAGGACTGCGCTGAGAACTGCGAGGTCGAGGGTGCCAAGTACGAGGAGACCTATGGTGCCTCTACCTCCGGTGACGCTCTTACTTTGAGTTTCACAAAGGACAATGCCTCGGGCAAGAACATTGGCTCGCGTCTCTATCTCATGGCCGACGAGAGCAGCTACGAGATGTTCGACCTCATCGGCAACGAGCTCTCCTTCGACGTCGATCTGTCGACCGTCGTCTGTGGCATCAACTCTGCGCTCTACTTTGTTGCCATGCCCGAGGATGGTGGTTCCGGCGACTACCCAACCAACGCCGCCGGTGCCCAGTACGGCACCGGATACTGCGACGCGCAGTGCGCCCGCGACCTCAAGTTCATTGCCGGCCAGGCCAACTACGAGGGCTGGGAGCCTTCGGACAGCGATGCCAACGCTGGTGTCGGCAATCTCGGCTCCTGCTGCGCCGAGATTGACGTCTGGGAGTCCAACTCGCACTCGTTCGCCCTGACCCCCCACGCGTGCGAGGCCGGCTACAACGACTTCCACGTCTGCGAGGGCGACGAGGGATGCGGTGGCACCTACTCCCCCGAGCGCTTCAACGGCCACTGCGACGCCAACGGCTGTGACTTCAACCCCTACCGCCTGGGCGTGACCGACTTCTACGGCAAGGGCAAGACGGTTGACACCAGCAAGCCCTTCACCGTCGTGACCCAGTTCGAGAACAACGCCCTGAACCAGTTCTTCGTCCAGGACGGCCAGCGCATCGAGATGCCCAACGCCAACCAGGATGGCCTGCCCGAGACCAACGAGATCAAGCCCGAGCTCTGCGACGTCCTCTTTGACGTCTTTGACGACTACGACCGCTACACCGAGGTGGGCGGATGGACCGCCATGCAGGAAGCCCTGTCCAAGCCCATGGTGCTCGTCATGTCCATCTGGGCTGACCACTACGCCAACATGCTCTGGCTCGACGGCCTGTGGCCCCGTGACGCTGACCCTTCGACCCCCGGTGCTCTCCGTGGTGACTGCCCTGTCGACTCGGGTGACCCGGACGAGGTCGTTGCCAGCAACCCCAACGCGTAAGTTTGCCCCTACACCTGTGATGTGAGCAGAGCAAAGATCTAACAAACCGACAGTTACGTCACCTGGTCCAACATCCGCTTCGGACCTATCGGTTCCACCACCGACTAAAGTGTCCCCTGGAAAAGCACTCGACACGCTAGCTTGCAATGCAAGTGCCGGTGCAGGCTCGGGTGCCTGGCTCTCTAGTGTGGTCGAGGCGGAAAGAAACGATCGGGATGCTGGAAGTATTCATGTATATATTGGCGCGCCCATCACTTCCTTTTGCCGATGGGCGCATGCTCTCAGTCACGCCGTGTATGAGCTCGGAAATGAAGTATATTGTCGATATATGGTTGTCTTGATGCCTGTGATCTGTGAGCATGACATGTAATGTAAAGCTTCAGTTGGGCCGGCACTGGGCAGTCAGGCTCGTGGTCAGTGGGTATCGGCAATGGGAACCCCGGGTCGGGCCGTGGGGTAATTTGGGCTGTGGCTGGAGCTGTGGCTTGCCACGAGGTGGTTACCGGAATATTCGTCCAAGGCACTCCAGTAGATATCCGTAGTAAATTGGTACAAGATGCGTGTATAGAGCGTGGTTCTTCTTGGTTGATAGATGTAGGTATGCGTACATGATGAGAAAAGCATCAGAGTAGTGGAATGCTACTGGCATCAAGGTTGCTGCCGCCGCTCATCGACGAAGACGGATCAGCCGGAATACTGATGGTAATAACGCATGAACAGCGTCTGTTCGTGCCTTGCTGCCTCCGAGGGCATTGACCTCTTCGTTGGGCAGTCCATGTCCATTGGGTTGATGTTGGGTGTCAATCATTCAGTGCTTGTCTCAGTCTCTCGGAACTTGTGGCTTGTGCAGTTCTGGGCCCGGTCTCGGACTAGGCGCAAAGTGGCTTAGCCGCAAACAGCCACAAAATGGGAGCCCTGATTGGCTTTCAGTAGCCTGTGATGGCCAGGACTCCACCAGAAACGGGCCAATAACCACCGCTCTCTGTACTCGGCAGGAACGACACGAAACTGGGCAACAGTGAAGTCATCTGCGGGCATTGATTACGCTGGCAGGTGCACCCCAGAAGCATGGCATTTGGTCGGGCTGCCTGTACCCAAGCCGAGCTCTTTTTTCTTTGCTTCTTCTGAGCGTGAGGATACTGCATCTCAGTCCACGATTCTGTGGTCAGAGTGATTAGAATTGATTCAAGCCGAGACGTGAGAGCCAAAAGTCCCTGCGCCCAGTTACTCACTAGCCCAGTCTGACTCCGGGTACCCAGTAAGCACAAGCGGGCTAACCTTCAACGCCATAACGCCGCTCCCCCACGTCTTGTCCTCTTTAATCACGATTCCTCGATCCCAATATCAGTTCTCAGGAAATCCGAGTTGGCAGATACTATCGCCTATACCGCCAAGTCCTGCCAGCTGCACGCGAGATTGGCCATTCGGAATCCCGCTGGCTGGGATCGTCATTGCGTCAGCACGCACGCCCAACCCCAATCAGCTTAGCCGTCCCTCTTCATCCGTATCCAAGCAACGACATTACCGTCTTATCAGGTCATCATCAACTCGCATCGACACATCGGCCGACACTCACCAAGGCTTTCGCCTTCTGCCTCGCCAGCGCACTTCCCACAGACCAAGCGTATCCTCACGAGGCGACACCGTTCTCCATGGGTAACTCATCGGCCAAAGAGTCCGGCGCCTCCGATAGTCCCTATGGCGCCGGTCGTCGTCGATCCATTGCCGAGCCGTCGTCCCAGGCTACCGAAAACGATCGAAACGCACGCAATCGTGTGAGCAGAGGTGATTTGAGCTTCCTGGGCCTTGCGAGCGCCTCGAGTGGACGTGACCGCGCTCGCAACCGGGAGGATGCGCCTTTTCAGCACAAGGAGACCAAGGCCGAGCGAGAGGCGAGGAAACTCGAGCAAGAACGTGCCGCACGAGCCAAGGAACGTGAGAGGAGTGTCAGGGAGGAACATGTCGATGGCGGATTTCTGGTGACAATGGGCGTCTATACCGGCACCGAGGACTTTAGCAAGTCCACCGTGCGACAACTCCAGGTTCGTTGCATGCCTCTGTTTCTTGGCGTTGCGGGGGAATGACTGACATGCTGCCTAGATTGAGCGCAAAATCGCTCCGTTCTGGCGTGGGTTGCAGGATTGGTCTGATAGCTGGGCTGAGCATCAAATCATTGCCGCCGCGCGAGGCCTCGACGTACCAGCCGCCGACGAGACACCCGACCCTGATCTTGTGCCTCGACCACCCCCACTACAGTCCGACAGCACACAAAGCCTACAGAACCTGACGGTGCCCATGGGACCCAGGACAATGTCAGCTGCCTCGGACCGTAGTGGCTCTGGCGCCGCGACGCCTGCTGGCAGTCATTCCAAGAGCGCCGCATTCAAGCCGGGCGGCCGAGCGAAGGCTATCGCAGCGGCCCTCACTGGCCACTCTCGCAACGCTTCGTCTACAGATCTTGGCCCCAAGGAAATCAAGCTCCCTGATGATCCCTTTGTCAACGGCCAGGCTCTCGAGGTGTTCCTGTACAAGGATGCATCGGAATGCCCCATCTGCTTCCTCACCTATCCCCCCTATCTCAACAAGACACGATGCTGCGATCAACCCATCTGCAGCGAGTGTTTTGTGCAAATCAAGCGCGCCGACCCGCATCTGCCCGAGCACCACCCCAATGGAGAAGTGCGTGACCCCAACGAGGGCCTCAGTGCGAGCGACCCTCCCGAGATGTTAATCTCTGAGCCTGCGAACTGTCCATACTGCCAGCAAAACGAGTTTGGCGTTACGTATGATCCGCCGCCCTTCCGACGGGGTATCACATACTCCAGCTCCACGTCGAATCTAGGAGCGGGCACAGCCATGTCCTCACAAAGCTCGCTCCACGCGACATTGCCTGGTTCCGGGGGCTCACAGCCCGGACGTAGACGAGCCACTAGCTTGTCCGCCAACGCGCCCAATGTCATCACCACAGACCGTGTGCGCCCAGACTGGGCTACCAAACTGAATGCGGCCCGTGCGCATCAAGCAAGGAGAGCGGCGGCGGCAACAGCTCTGCACACAGCGGCTTTCCTCGTCGGTGGCGAGAATGAGCAACGCGGGTCATCCTTGTTACGCCCAGGGCGCTTCAGCCGGAGGAACACCGGACGGGGAATGGCAGCGAGCGCGGAGGCTGACACCCCAGCCGAGAGCGCCGACAGTCAACCTGAGGGTGAATCGAGGGCCCAAGGTCCGCCCGGGCGGCGAAGGACGCGCATGGAAGAGCTCGAGGATATGATGTTTATGGAGGCTGTGCGGCTCTCGTTGGCATCGGAAGAGGACCGCCGACGTAAAGAAGAGAAGGCCTACCGCAAAGATGCCAAGAAACGAGAAAAGGAGCGAGAGAAGGAGGAGCGCAAGGCGGCCAAGAAGCAGGCTGCTAGTCCATACGGAGGTAGCGGCAGCGGCGGAGCCAGCGGCAGCAGCCTTTCGCTAGGAGGATTTGGACGCCGCCGGGGTAACAGCGCCGCCAGCAACCTGAGGATGGACGCAACCGTGCAAGGCGCGGCAAGCAAGAGCGGCGAGTCTTCGCCATCAGCGAACGCGTTTCGAGACAAGACAGCCTCGAAAGAAGACGTTACCGGCGACAAGGGCAAGGGCATTGACAGGAGTCCGTCCGACAGCTCCAATGCGGATGACGGCGCCTTCCCTGGCTCTCTGCCCATCCCCACCAGTCGTGGTGGTTCGCATTTGCGCCAGATGAGTAATGCATCGTCCGTCGGGTCCTCTCTCATTGACACGCCCACCGGCAGCTACACGGGGACCGGCGCCGAGGGTCACGATCCTCGCGCTAGCGGCATGAGTGTCAACCAGAGTGAGGACACGGACGGCACGGAACCCATGTTCAACTTCCGTAGTCTCGCCGAGATTGTCGGCGTGAACATTGACGACGGGCAGATGCGTCGTGATGATGACGCGGACTCACCGGGCAAAGGACATCCAACAACGGGCCGTCCCCTGTCGCAGGTGGATGAGGATGAGGAGAAGGAGGAGGCCGCGGCCGAGCACGCCGAGCATGCCGATATACGCCAAGTGCCGGCGCCAAACGTCGCCATGTCGGCAGACGCGGAAAAGCTAAAGAGCACCTCGTCGCCGGACCTGGTAGTGACTCTAGAGACGCCTACGGCCGAGAGCAGCGCTGAGCATGGCAAGCAGCTGGGCCACTCGAATCTCACGGAGCAGACTCCTCAGACTACGAGCTGAGGGGAGGAGCATGACAGGCATTGGATCGCAGCATAATGACGGTGTTGGATTGGCTCACTGGTATTGGGGTAGAGTACTACGGCGTTTCTGGATCATGGAAGTCTTCGAGGAGCGACCTGCCTCACCTTTGCGTGTGGCGCGCCTCCTCCGTATTTCTTTTTCTTGTGCATTACTGATCTGGGGCATCACATCTGGATGGAGGATCATGGCAATATGTATCATGTAGGTGCAGACCAATCACGACCACAACAACAGCATCGTTTACACGTGTACGGGAGATCGTGCAGCAATCGTCAAGACTGAATCTTTATTTGCGCCATCTTGCCGGTATTGGCGCTGGCCAACTAATTAGAGAAAAGCTGAACAGCATCGAGGATCTGCGCCACATTGTTAGCATACGGACATGCGCCGGCGCCGACTCGAGATACTCACGAAATTAGGACTCAAGAATCCCGAGCCACCGCTCCCAGAGACGGCGGAGATTGTAATCGTGTTGGCACCACTCTTCAACGTGCCCGCAGGAATCGTCAGGTCGTATACCTCACCCAGTCCTCGGTAGGCCCCCCTCGTCACGCCGCGCGAGTCAATCTTGGTGGGCGCAGAAGGAATAGCGCCCGCCCAGCCATTGACGGTGGCCTGGGGTCTGGCGCCGGCAAAGCTGAGCGTGGTGGCGATTCGCAGGGTCGATGTGCCGGACGGCGCGCTGGCGAGGTTGAACTTGATGGTCTGGGGGTTGTTGACGTCCTTGAAGATGGCCATGGCCATGTCGTTGTCCGAGGAGGAGCCGACTGTGTACGTCAGGGGGCCCCAGGCGGCCATGCGCGCGTCCGAGGGGTGCATACGCAGGAACTTGTCCGCGTTGCGGAACCCGACCGGCTGGCCGTCCAGTTTGCCAATCTGCCAGATGTAGTTCCTCGACGGCAGGGACGAGGCGATGTCCTTGGTGGCGGTGTTGCCCCTGGACACGCTGACGGACGTCCGCGCGACCTCAAACTCGGTCTGGTAGAGCACCTGGGTGTAGGTGCCGGGCTTCATGGCGGGCGAGGTGAACTGTCCGTTGGCCGCGGCGTAGGTCCAGTACTGGGCGGCGTCGTTGAACCAGTGGACAACGATGCTGTGCTGGGACGAGTCGATGCCCGAGGCACGGCCCGAGACGCTTCCACGGTCGGCGCTGGCGACGTAGCCCTTCATACCGAGCTTGGACATCCATGAAACATCCGCTTCGCGAAGCTTGGGGATGCCGGAGCGGGAGAACTGGAGGTAGTAGGGGCCGTGGAGGCCGGTGCGGAACTTTTCTGTCTGCACGTGGCCGGAGTTCATGTCTGGGATACTGGTCAGCAAACAGTGTCAACAGCAGAGTGGCACGCGCATCGTACAGTTGAAGATGTTGGTGGTCTTGGAGCCGACATTGTTGGTCTCAATGTCCCTGAAAAAGGGGCCGCCCGAGCTCGACTCGTACTGCGGCACGAGCATGCAGGCGTGTATCATCTCGGGGCTCTCCCCCCAGACGCAGTGGGCGTCCTTGTCGATGAAGCGCTCGGACGAGTAGAACTTGGAGCGTGTCTGGCCGTTGACCACAAAGACGTCGGAGCCCTCCACGGTGGACGAGGCGCCGCCGGTCGTCGAGACGACACCAAAGGGGTACTCATAGGGGAGCACGTCGGATCGGAGGCGGGCGAGGAAGCGCAGCTCGCCGACACTAGGCTCGGCGGTGATGTATGTCGCCATGAAGATGGTACTGTCGCCCTCGCGCACGACGAGATAGTGTGTCAGCGTGTCCGTCTCGCAGGTGACCTTGATCCATCGCGCCGCGCCGGCGCCCTGCTGGACGGACACGCGGGCGCTGCCGAGCCCGGAGCCGATGTGCGAGTTCTTCTCGGTGCTCTGGAGCTCGATGCCGCGGTACTTGATGGAGTTGATGTCGCAGCTGGACTGGCTCACGCTGAAGACGAGGGGGTTGGGCGATCCCGCGTCGACAATGTAGTTGCCTCCGGAGGATGTGTAGCCAAAGGCGGCGAACACGGGGTCCGCCAGGGCCAGGAAGAAGGAGAGGAGGACAAGCAGCCGGGCCATTCTGAAAATCGACGACGCAGATGGATGCTGGTCTGGAAGACCGACTCAGGTCGACGGGGCAGACAGTGTAGTTATGTGCCTCTGGATGGGCTCATGATGGATACGGCGCCAAGAACATGGTAATTTGAAAGCCGGTAGCCGCGTGTTTCAACCTGTCGTTTATTACCAGTCTCCTGATGCTGAAGGTCGTATTCTCCGTCGAATGCTGGACGTCTGGGGCGTCGTCTCCCCAAGCGCAACCAGCTTATTGGAGGGAATCTGTGATCTATTTGGCCACGGCACTCGGATTGCCACGGTCGCATCCAAACTCACGACTCACGAGCAGACACGCGATACTCAAGGAGGGGTTGTTCGGATGATGGGAGCGAGGCAGGGTGTCTTGAATGGGGGAGTCACAGGTTCAGGGTGCTGCGCAGCGGTGGAAGTGTTTCCGATGTTCGTTTTGGGACACTGCGCCGACTGTCCGTTATCTGCCGGTTTTATGTGTCCTAGGAAGAGAAGAGCGGTATCACGTGTGGGAAAAGGTATGTATGTAATCATTAGATTTAGATGATTATGTTTGCACTTGTTTTCCCGCCTACACGTGGCTGGTGAGGTACCAAGTAGATCGTCTTCAACGACATGTCGTGTCCTGTGTCCAGCCAAAATTGATCGAGTCACTGGCAGGCCACGCGAACATTGATTGGATTTTGTTGGCTCTCCGGCTTCCTGGCTTGTGTTAAGGTAATGTCATTGCCACACACTGTCCATGGCAGTGATGGAATCCCAGAGTCATCCGCTTGTAGATGTTTGCTCCTTGAGCTCTCTGCCTCAATCACTGCATGTGGTCAAGTCCGCTTCCTGCCCAGTTATTAAAAGTTCAGTCACCGTTCTGGGTCATCAAGGCTCTCTCGGTTCGGTCTACTTCAATGATGTTGTTGACATACTAGTGGCCTGCTCAGCAACCGACAGCTGCATACTGAGTGATGAAGGGTAAGGTAATTAGACGGCTGTCGAAGAGGCAATCACGAAAGTCCACCCTATCACTGCCGTGCGATGTTTTTGTCAATAGTATTGGTTTGCTTGCTCCACTGCCCGCTAGAACAGATATGCTTATCACTTAACCATGATAAAATCTCCTAACAATAAGCCTCTGCTTTCTTGGCCCGGCAACTTTACATGACACTAAGACATACTGTACATGAGTCGGAGCACGATACTGCATGGCAGATACTTCACGAAGCTTCACGCACTGGCCGTATCCGCATCGTCGACGTCGGTCTAGACTTGGGTAGATCCCAGGCAATGTCTTGGCGTGGCTGAAGCTGAAGGGGAATGAAGAAGGTAATATCGACATGAGGAGTCACACAGGTTCGACGGCGCTCCACTAGAGAGAGTTTGGCACCATCATGATGTGCATCATTGCATGACTGCTACAACAACTGATGACCCTGCCCATGCCCATGCCCATGCTGAGATACTACGCTCGTTGACCGCCAGATCATGAGGTGTTGTCTGTCTCGAGCCAGCTCACATGTATTATTATGGACGAAATGCCTGGCTTTTGGACGTAAAAACAGTTTGACGAACCTGATGATCGCGGGATAATGTGTAGAGTAATGTGCTCGTATCCATGCACGCGCGGTACTCCGGAAGTGATGCACAAGGAGGGATCGTCCACCTTGGGTAAACTCAATGTGCGTAGTCTAGACCGTACGTAACGGATGAAATTATATTAATCGCCCGTTCCTTGGGTGTAAATTGGTTGATTTTCGAACCAGGGCAATTATCAATGTAGCATCGCTCATCGTTACCAGAACCGCATTGGCTGGACATAATGAATGGAGGCCTCGAGAGCTACTGGGATCCTCATTGCTACGTATTACTGGGCCAATGCTGATCTGGGTCAGGCTCTTTGCTCTCTTGAGCGTGATACTGCTCATTGCGAATTGAAGCCAGCCGTGAGCGAGCTAGGCTGGGAAAATTTTCCTCTGCCTCGATGATGCGATTTTGGCTCGATCGCTGATTGGAATTGAGTTGCGGGCTTGCGGACTCAATTCGTCAACCTCGTATCAGCCATCCGAAGGACCGAAGGGCAACCACGCTCTAACAGTTATGGGCCAGCAACCTTTTGATTCGCCCAGACTGCAAACCAAGGCTTGGCGGGATGTGGGTTGGAGGCTTGGAGCCTTGAATTGAGGTTCGGGAAATGGGAGATCACACCCGGTGGTGTTGACGTGCTGGTGGCAGCGCAGGTTTCAGGGCCTGGCACAGTGCTGGACTGGACGTGCTGGAGCCTGCAAGAGTACAAATTATAGCGGCCTTGGCCCCTGACGACCACCAACTGGACCCGCCTCAGGCGAACTGTGACATGGGTCAGCCAATCCAATCGCTCAGCGGCTGGATATGAACTGGGCAGGCGCTGGTGCGAGCGGGGGCCCAGCAGCGGCCACAGCGCTCTGCTGGCGATAGAGCGTCTTGGCCGTGTCACTGCGCCAGTCACTTCTTCTCATGTTGCTCAGCCATCCACCGCATGTCACTCATTATCCGCCTTAATTTGCGGAGCAGCCGATTGCCAAAGGCCTCTGTTTTGTCCCAGAGACCAGAGACCAGGAGTCTGGCCGCCCCCGCTGGCTTGGCCTGTTAGTTACTGTACGCTGGGAAGGCGCAGTCAAGCCGACTGGGGTCCCGTCATGTCATCTGCTCGACTTCAATCAATCAATCAATCTTGACTCCTTGTGGCCCAGTAATCATTGTCTCCTACCACTTTACGCTGCTCTGCCCGCTTTTCAGTTCCATCCGCCGCCCATCTGCTGTCCTACCATTCTTCTCCAGCGGAGCCCGACACCTTAATCGTTCGTTGGCATCAATCACCCACAGCCTCAACCCACGCCCATCGATCGCTCGCCTTACCAACGCCTGTCGTCGCCGTCTCTTCTCGCGACGCACAACGCCCGATAGCGACCCCCTGGGTGCTGACGCTTCTCGACGAACCGACTTGCGAGCGAACCTTGGCCACAGGCATATATTCGTCAATTCGATTGTAACGCCGCAACAATACAACACCAAAGTCACCATCACCCTTTGACCTCGACCGACCGACCGAATGCAGTCGCTTGCCCTCTGATCGCAATACCACTCGTTGAGAGACCCTGCGGCCTCGCGCGGTCGTCAGCGGCGGTTTGCTCGCCGACGCTGTGACGACTGCGTCTTCGATTCCCACTCGACCTACCAGAAAACAAACATGGACTCGTCCCGCTCAGCAGGCTCTGACGGCGGCGCAGACAGTGACCCACGCCGGCTGTCCACATCAAGGTCGACGACCAATTCGTTCACAGACAATACGTTCTGGAGCGATGAGTCTTACGACCTGGCCGATCTCACCGTCGCTGATGGATTTCGTCCAACCCACGACTCGTTACGAGCACCGACCCCACCACCTACATCACCACCTCGAGCCACTCTTCAGATACCCTCTGCCACAAACCCACGATCACATTCGCCTTCACCGTCACATACATCAGTCGCGTCATCCTCGCAAAACCCTCCCCCACAGCGGGAGAGCACAGAAATCGCCGCCCTCAACAATGGCCTGTCAATAACACCAGTGCCCCAGGCGCCAACCCGACCTAGGCCCTCGAGTATATCAAAATCACACCGGCCTCATGAATCCCTGACTTTGCGGAACGAGGGCCACCAGACGCGCGAATTCCCTCTGACACCTAGTCCCGCCGGGATCGCAACTCTCACAACGAGTTCAACCGGGCCATCTCATCCCTTTGCGTCATATGGCCAGCGCACAACAGATGAACCTGTCGTGTCGTCCGGCGACGCCGGTAGGGCTTCAGATTACAGTGGTCCCCGTGGTCCAACCCATCCATACAGCCTCTATCCGCAAGGGACGGCGCCAATGGAAGAGACCGACGACCAAACGATACCCGTGGGCTTCAACGGAATGGGCGCCACGTATCAACGACAAATAGGTCCGGATGGGGAGGAGGCTGGTGATTTGATTGGGCCCGATGGGCATTTGGAAGAGCTGCCGCCCTACTCGAGATATCCTGAGCCAGCCAACGGCCGTCGTCCTTCAGCGGACGAGGAAGGCGGTCAGGTCAGTTCAGCGGGCGCTCAGCCAACTTCAGGAGACACTCCGCCCCCGCAGGGAGCTCATGTGCTTGCCACGGCCGCTTTGGCTTCCGGGGCGGGTGGCATTGGCATCGCTACTCGCAACCCAGAGTATTCATCGACCGACGAGAACCTATCTGTCGACAGGTCTTCGCGGAGCGTTGATACTACGGACACCAACCGTGGCGACATCAACGTCGCCGCCCGCGACTTTGCAGAGAAGTTGCCCGGTGGAAAGTGGAGGAGAAGAATGCGGAGGAAGTTTCTCGGCGTCATCCCGTACTGGGCCATCTGCCTGCTGGTGGTCGGCCTGATCATTGTGGGCATCGTCATGGGCGCTGTTTTGGGCATCTTACTGTCCGACAGCAACAAGAAGAAACCGGACGGTAACGAGTAAGTCGGATCGAACCTTGACTTTTGTTTCATACACGCTAACGTCTCTCAGGTCCAGAATCACGCTGGCACCCCAACCGACAGCCGATGTGGACTTTCTCTCCAGTCTACCCGACGGCCTGAAGCCTTTGCCAGTGGGCTTGTTTGACTTGCCGAGCCTTGACGCCGCCCAAGCTCCAAGGTCCTGTTTCAACGACACAACACAGGCACAGGCCTGGACCTGCGAAATGCCCTTCCGCTACTACTCGATGGAAATTGGCATGAACCCAAATGCATCCGAGGTGAAGAACTACAACATTCAACTCGAAGCCATCAACGGCTCCAATGCTGTATACGTCTGGGGAACGCAGCCACCGAACATCCCCGATCCCGTCGTTCTCAGACTCGTGAATGACAGCTTCGAGCCTGGCAGGGGTCCGGCGTGGTGGCGAGAGGTCTCCTATGATAAGAGGGTCATCATATCCGAGGGGAGCTTTGACGCTGGTCACAACGACAAGCGTGAGTGGACCTTTACTGGGGGTTCGGAGGCTGGATTCAACCCAACACGGTTCATGAGCAACAAACCAGGGCCAGCGGTCGGAGAGAAGGCATGGATTTGCACATGGCCGAATGTGACAATGGAGATCTTCATCTATCCCAACCAGAACGCGAGCTCGCCATCCTGGAGCCCTTCGTCACCGACGCCGGGCGCGACGCCCACATCGACCAGTGCCGCCGCCGCCGCCACAACAAGCCAAGTGCCCTATGATCCCACACCGGCCTATCCCAAAGTCGTCAAGTTCCTCGAGCGACGATTAACGGTGGACGACGATTCGACCGCAGCCATATGCGAAAAGGTCCAGATCGTCAACGGGGGCAAGGGCAGCGAGCCTGTGCTGGATGACAGCGGCGAGCCCATCGCGGTCGTGGTCACAGAGAGACGAAGTACCGTGGAGGAGCTGCTCGAGCAGCAAGAGCGCTCACGGCACCCTGACACAGATCCCGACCCCGAGGAACGGAAGCGAGCCGAGATCACGCAGGTGCTGCGGCGTGAGACCCTGGAGCTGACAGACTGCGGCTGTCTGTGGTGGTCGACATGATGGCCCCTGTTGTGAACCAACGCGCCTTTTTCTTCTTCTTCTTTCTCTATAGCCCTGTTTGTTTGAGCATTTCGAGGCATGCACGCCACATATTCCAAAAGCGGATCTGGTGTAGGTAGGCATGACGGCGTTTGATATCCCCTCATTTCTGTACACATTACGCATTGCCGGGGGGGCAAGGACAAAAGGGGAACGCGGGGCCCGGGCGGCAGGCACATTTCGGTTCCTCACGACTTTCTTGCACTTCCCGTTTTGCGCGCGTTTGAATGGATCCCAGCCAAGGGCAGGCTTGCTGGCAGAACAAGGCGGGAACTACTCTGTACTGTGTGATTGATTTGGGCATTGGGCGTTTCTGGGTAGGATATGACAACGATTTCATCTACAGACGAGGGGCGCGCAGACTGTCGTCCCTCATAGCTAGACACGTAAAGAGACTTGATATTTGACGCGATCAACGAAGAGACGTGAACGTGTGACAAGGTCAAGCGACTCGAGGTATCCATTCCTTGTATACAAACAAACCGCTAAGGATACAGATGGCAGCCATGATGATAGGAGACGCTCAGTCACGATGTCCTCGACACCACCTCCTCTTCCTCCGTCTCACGAATCTCATCGCCTACGATATCCTTCTTCCCGTCCCGAAAGTCGCGCATGAGCGACAAGAATATCGAGTTCTTCCATTTATCCCCGTCCTCATGCCGTACGCTGTCCAATAACCTCTCCGCGGCCTCGGAGACCTCTGATCGCCCCTTGGCCGCCTCTGCCGCCGTTGTCTCCTGCTCAGACGGAGGCGTGCTGCTCTGCAGATGCCCAATCTCCTCGCGCCGCAGATCCGTCAGCTGCGGACCCTGCGCCTGTGCCAGCTCGTCCTGCTCCTGGACCGCGTTCTCTGTGACCTCGAGGGCGCGGGCCATCTGCTCCATGACGGCGTCCACGTCCTCCATCGCCTTGGCGTTCTGGGCGGTGCTGCTGCCGTGCTGCGACATCCACTTTGACATTTCCGTGTCAAAGTCGGCCTCGGCGGCGGGACGCTGGGCGTGCGCGACCTGGGGGTCTAGGAAGCCCGAGTTTGTCGGTCCATACAGGGGGGACTGTTGGTTCTGGAAGCCAAAGGCGCCGGCCATGCGCTGGGGATGAAACATGGGTTGTTGCGGCATGGGCTGCTGCTGGTGCTGTTGTTGCGGATGAGGTTGATGATGTTGCTGTGGTTGGGATTGTTGAGCAAAGCGCGCAAAGTCTGCCGCCCAGCCCCCCATGCCTGCCGGGGGTTGTTGCTGCTGGGGTTGCGCAAAGTGAGGTTGATGATGGTGTTGATGAGGTTCCAGGGCGGCAGCATGGTTCGCTAACCGGGCGGCCGCGTGATGCGGTGGTGGCCCTGACAGTTGCGAGGCACCGTCCATGAACGCTGCAAAGTCATTCTGACTCGATGGGCCTTGCGCCTGTTGAGAACGGAAGGATTGTCCCGCCGGCGTGTTGTTGACAAAGCGGTCCTGGTGGTGCGATGTGTTGCGCTGATGATGGTCCACGAGGGACTTGAATGGGGAAGGCCCCGAGCAAGACGCCTCAGCCATGGCGGGGGCGCTTTGTTATCTTATGTCTTTAAGCGTGTGTGATGTTTGTATGCGTTGTGTACTTCTGAGTGTGGCCCTAGATGCTGTCTTGACTCTTTGTGGCGATGTTGCGAAACTACCTCGGCTCAAGGGAACTGCGAGTAGGGCGCTGGTATGTTGACGTGATGGCACTTGATGGGTGATAGTACCCGCGCCAGGGTTTATGAGAAAGGGGAAGAAGTATGGCGCTATAAGGTAGGATTATTCGAGGATGTTGTGACTGATGTGGTGGACAACAGACAGCCGAGTGAGTTGCGAGTCCATGTGATGATTAGATCAGCCTTTCGATGGCTCTGGCTGGCAACTGGTTCCGGGGTCGGCAGCGGCTCCGCCTCCGCAGAGAACGCCGAGGGTAAGTGCGGCTTCCCAACGTGGCAGGTGGGGCAGCGCGCTCGAGGGGGCTTGCTTGGTCACTTTGGGAGTCACGTGATGATCTGGGCAGCGGATGACAGTTGGCATGACCGCGACTGCAATCGATAAGGTACCTCTCTTGAGGCAGGCAAGCAGCCAGCCAGCCAGAGCTAGCTCTAGATCATATCCCAAGATTGGACCTCTTCAACAACAACGTGTGCACTTTCTTTTCCTACAAAGGGCGCTTATCTTTCACAATGGTGAATCTTCATCCCACCGCTCTACCGTGATCACCAGCTAACAGTGCCAGTCCGCCCAGGTGATCTCCAACTCGGGTCACGATGACATGATTGTTCGTACTCCTGCTCCCTGCCATTCGACCACGACGCCGGCTAACCACTACTAGCACGATGCTGTCCTCGACTACTACGGCCGCAAACTCGCCACCTGTTCCAGCGACCGAACGATCAAGATCTTTGAAATCGAGGGCGAATCTCAGCGTCTAACCGAGACGCTCAAGGGGTAAACAACACCCCGCCATGCATGCGACGATGCTCTCCCGACAAAAGCTGACAAGGTACACACAGTCACGAAGGTGCTGTCTGGTGCGTGGCATGGGCGCACCCCAAGTACGGCAACATCCTCGCCTCGGCAGGCTACGACGGCAAGGTCTTTGTCTGGAAGGAGCAGGGCGCCCAGCAGGCCTCCCAATGGCAGCGTATCTACGAATCCTCCGTCCACAAGGCCTCGGTCAACATTGTCGCCTGGTCACCCCACGAGGCGGGCTGCCTGCTCGCCTGCGCGTCGAGCGACGGAAACGTGTCGGTCCTCGAGTTCAAGGAGGGCGCGGTGGAGAGCACGACGCTGCACGCGCACGGCCTGGGCGTCAACTCGGTCTCGTGGGCGCCCGCGCTGACCCCCGGCTCCATCGCCAGCAGCAACCCCGGCCCGGGTGCCTCGGGCAACAGGCGCTTCGTGACGGGCGGCTGCGACAACCTGCTCAAGATCTGGACGTTTGACGTGGCCAGCGGGACCTACGTGCAGGAGGGTGAGGCGCTGGCGGGTCACGGCGACTGGGTGCGCGACGTGGCGTGGAGCCCGACGGTGCTGCAGCGGAGTTACATTGCGAGCGCCTCGCAGGACAAGACGGTGCGGATCTGGACGGCGGAGCAGGGCGGCGGCGGCCAGTGGGAGAGCAAGGTGCTGAACTTTGAGGCGCCCGTGTGGCGCGTGAGCTGGTCGCTGAGCGGCAACGTGCTGGCCGTCAGCGGCGCGGACAACAAGGTCAGCCTGTGGAAGGAGAACCTGCGAGGCGAGTGGGAGCTGGTCAAGTCCATTGAGGAATAGATCAGGGAGGTCGATGCAGAGCACGGCGTTACGGAAGACAAAGATGCCCATTACGATTCATGCCTTCGTGTTCTCTTTTATGTGTAAGATGCGTATATATATGGATGACCAAGCCCAGGCGACTCAAACAAGCAGCAGACCCGCGACAATGGCCCCGAACGCAACGACTAGCCTAGGCTGCGTCAGGCTGACAGCAGCATCCTCGTTATCATCGCCCCCATCCGAGCCGTCCCCGTGGTCTCCGCCACCACCACCAGACGTGTGCTCCATGACAAAGATCTCGCCCGTGGAATCCGACGTGAACCACATCCTGCCATCCGCATCCCTGGCCAGGCCAACGGGACGGAAGCACTCGTCGGGACAGTTGCCCAGGTCAGGTGTGGTGAGGATATCCTTGGTGCCGTTACGGCTGTCCGACTTGGCCTCGGGCATGCCGTCAGCGGTGAAGGCGACAGAGGAAATCTTGTAGCCGACAGGTTCCTTGCGGTCCCAGCTACCGTGGAACGTGACAAAGAGCTCACGACCGTCCGGGGCAAAGAGAATGTCCAGCGGCGCCATGTGCGCCTGGAAGGTCAAGCGGGGACTGAGATAGTCCTTGTTGCAAGTCTCGTCCGTCTCGTCACTGTTGTCCTCGTCGGGGAACTGGTCGCCGACGACGAGGTCGCCCCGGTCGGGAAAGTTGTCGGTGCCCCAGATTGCGTAGCACTCGGGGTAGCCGTAGTTGTTGTTGCCGAAGCGGGCGTCGGTGCCGTTGATGTAGCCGTGAAAGTTGAGCTCCTCGCCCGGGTTGTCGCTGTGAATGTCCTTGCCGTTGCGGCGCAGCTCGTCGACCGAGTTCTCGACGGACCAGATGCCGCCGTGCTTGGGGTCCTCGGCCACACCGACCGAGTTGCGCAGGCCCCAGCCCCAGACGCGTCCGTCTGTGTACTCGACGGGGTTGTCGCCACCGAGGTCGGTGAGGTTGAACCCACGGATCTGCGAGTGGCCAGAGTCAATGTTCGCAGCCTCGTCGTCGAGGTTCGACTGGCTACCGCGCGAGACAAAGAGAGTGACAGGCTCGTTTCTGGAGAGCAGCAGTGTCCGCGTGGTGTGGTCCGTGTTGGACATGTTGGTGATCAAGGTTGTGCGATCATCATTGTTGATGCTGCTGCGGGAGGCATCATAGGGCCATGAGTAGACGTCGTTATCTGTAGAGGCGTAGATGGTCTCGCCGTCCTCGGATAGGGCGAGACCATGGTTAAGCTTGGGTTGACTTGTCAGTTCATGGCTCATTGTAAGATTCAGTGTGTGATACATACATCCTCGTTCTTGAGGAGAGTCTCCTTGTCGCCAAGGGAAAGACAAGTGCCGCCCTCGTCCTGGTCGATCCCGAATCGGTAGATGCCCTCGCCCGCATCGAGCACAATCAAGTGACCATCCGAGTCGAAGAGGATGCTGCGCGGTTTGGTCAGATTACGGGCGACAAGACGGTACGACCATCCGTCTGCGGCCTTGGGTGCAGGGTAGTCGACTTTGAGGTCGTTCACGCTGCAGGACTGCGCGGCGTGGACCGTCGCCGCCGCAGCTGCGAGGAGCAGGCTTGTAGATTTATTGGGAGGAATCATGATGCTTGGATCAGCCTGCTGTGAGTGACACGCGAGAAGAAGTGCAGGGAGATCGATGCAGGGTGTTCCTCGTGGTGGTGATGGGGGCGAGTTGAAAGAGGGGCAATGTGACGGTATATGTCTCTGCTTCCTCTCTTTCTCTAACGGTAGGTCAGTCGCATATGCACGCACTCAGTTCATTGGGCAAGGTAACGACTTAATAAGGTACGTACACTAGGGAATAAGTCTATCTTGGCAAGATGGGGCCATCTCCACGGATCGTACAAGTAGCGGAGGGGCAGCAAAAAGCCCGCCTGTAAGCACTTTTGTAAGGACCATGTACTTGATGCTTGTGGTTCGTCTTGACATTGGCAAGCAGCGGCAGTGGGCGCTACGATCTTGATGTGTGAGCGAATGCTCTATAATTATAGTATCGTCCAAGCTACTTATAAGTACGTAGCCTGAAGAGTATCGACTAACAGACCTGTTCGGAGATTAACGCTATATCGGTTATTTTAGCCGAGTTGAGGACAGGCGCGACATTATGCAAGTACAAGTTCCAGCAACTGACCATTAGCTATCCAGTGATTACTACGAAAGCTATGTCTTTCAAAGCAAGCCGGGCTTCGATGTCATTTCGAACTACAATGAAAACAAAGGGACACGGAAACACTGTGCATCTGGGTACTTCATCCTTCGCCAAGCGTATAACAGAGGGAATCAGTATGACTATGAACAGCTACCTACTCGACAATGTCGCGCCGAGCCTCGCGGAAAGAATAGAATAAAATGGGGGCCTTTGGTCGTCCAGAACCCGTGTGCGAAAATAAGTAGATACCTTACCCCTGACGCCCGCCAGCCAGCACGACAGAAACCAACAAATAGCACCAAGCGCAAAGTATAAAGCATCACCTCAACCCGATGACACTCATCTCCAACGTCCACACACGTCGAATCCACACCTTCAGCGGGCCGTCGACGCCCTCGATATTCTCCAGCTCAATGCCCTCCCACCAGCATCGGCGCGCAGGCTTGCGCCAGAACAGGAGCAGCTTCTGGGCCATGCCGACGGCGTTGCCGCCCGCGTCGTTGCCCCGAATGTCGCTGCGCAGCCGCGCCAGCGCCAGGCTGCAGATGACGGCCTTGTTGGGCTCGCCGGCGCGGTGGCCCCAGCGGTCCTCCCGATCGAAGCCTCTGTTTGAAAAGTCAGCCATCACTCCAACAGACACTCTCAAGAAAACTCACCCCGCCGTCAGCATCTCAATAAGATGGGCCTCTGTGGTCCCGGGCTCGTCGCTCCTCTTCAGCCCAGAGAAGATGCCATCCTGCTGCTGCAGCGCCCTGGCGGCCGCCCGCTTGACGGCCAGCATCTCGTGCTGGGTAATGTCCTGCCTGGGCGGGATGGCGTAAAAGTCCAAGTCCTCGCGCAGCACTATGATGCCGGCTCGCTTGGAGTCGTCGCGCAGGCCCATGGGCTCGAGCGGGATGACATCGCCATCCTGGGACGTGCCGGGCGAGCCCTCGGACGGCATCGTCTGGGCCACGTTGCGGAAGAAGTCAAGCATGTACTGCAGTGAAGCGGGGTCATACTAGAGCACGGCAGGTCAGCGGGGACAGAAGGCAGGGAAAGGAGAAGAATGAACGCCTACATCAACTTGCACGGCATCCCCTTCCGATAGCCCACCCATGTGGCCTTCGGGGAAGAGGCCATTGGGGAACAATGACAGCAGGACAAACTCGGGCAGTGTCAACAGCTCGTCCCTAGACAGCACGAAGCGCGTCCCCCTGAGGTCCATGGCAATGGTCTCGTCGGCGCCGACATCGCCAATCGCGTTGACGGGCGGCCCACCCTGCTGCACCTGGGTGATGATGCTCGCGGCACCTCCGGCGGCAGCCATGACGAATGTGAATGAGTTGAGCGGCGGACTGCACTCCTCCTCGTAGGCAGGCGGCGGCTCTGCGTCGTCCTTGCTGGAGGACTCGGCCTTGTTGTCGCGCGGGAGACTCTGCTTGGTCTCGGCGACGGGGTCGTGCTGAAAGGCGGGCGGCTCAAAGGGGGCACGCTCTAGCGGGGTGTAGGCGGGTGCGCAGGAGGATCCAGCGGTGGTTTCGCCGTCCGAGGAGGTTGAGGCTTCGGCGGCGGCGACAGAGGCGTACTTGCCGACGCAGCGCTGCTGGCCGGACGGTGGCGGTGAGGTAAAGAGCGACGAAAACGGCGGGGGCCGTGGGGAAGAGGGTGCCTCGAAGGCGGGATACTGCGGCGGAGGCGAGCGTTCGCGGTTTTGGAGGACGGTGGTGTTGTCGTTGGATGCGCGGTGGTCTCGATGGAGGTGGTGGTGGTGGTTGTTGTCGTGGTCGTCGTCGACGGTACTCGAGGCGTGCAGGTCCGTGTCGCTGGGTTTCCTGGGGGTATCACGCAAAACAGGCAACGAAGCAGGGTCGTGATCGATTGGGCGCGCCGTGACGTCGAATGTCGTGAGCGCTGCGATGAGGCTCACGTTGTTGCTCTAGACGTTGCTCAGGGGCAGGAGGGTTGGCCTGGGCGGACGGGGCCAGGTCGAAGGGACTGGATCGTCAGTGCGACGGGTGGGAGAGAGCGGCAGCAACGACCGGTACTGTGCGACTACCGCCAGCTTTCTGTGTCGTACAGATGTATAGAAGCCGCGCGGGATGAAGAATGCTCGCCTGCTGCAGAAGATGGCGCGGACGGACGTGATTCACAGAGAGGGTTGATTAAGTGTCATGGTCATGAAGGCGATGGCGCCTCCACTTGGGCTCTGGACGACCTTAGCATCTGTTAGCGACTGGAGTTCCCTGGGCGGGCGCCACAGAGCAGCCGCCCACCCACCGCTATCAGCCAACTGAACCAGCCAGGCAGGAGGCTGGACCCGCCTATTAAGCGCCAGTGCTGCAGCCCAGCACATCTCATCTTACTGTTACGGATGCTCGAGGACTTGTTGTTATTCACTAAATAATCATGCTGACGAGGTGGATGGACAATTATTCAATCACTGTCGCTGTCGCTGTCGCCAAAGATGGCCTTTAACACTTCAGCATGCGCAGATCCGCCCTCAATCGCCTTGTTCTCCTCTGGATCCGGTACGCTCTCCCTCTGCCCAGACTCGGCCTGCGCAATGGATGGCACAGGAGCTGGAAGCCCTTTCTGCATGTCCACGTGTTCTGCTCGAGCCTCTCTATCAGAGTTGGACGTCCGCGCCGGCATCTGAGCGTCCGCTCCTGGGTCTACTTCCTGCTCCGCACTGTTGGCCGGGGGCTTCACGTTGAAGCGCTTACACAACAACCTCGTGGGGTGAAAGTCGGCAATCGACCTCGTCATCTGCCCGTACATGCCCATCTTGGCTGCCTCCTCCGCCGGATCTGTCGCCTTGGGCTCCGGTCTCGAGACGAGCTCTGCATCGTCGCTCCCTGCCCCGGACGAGCCCGGTAATGTCTTGGATGTGGTGAAGCGCGACGCCATGAATCCCGTCATCGGCTTGAAGATGCGGGCGCAGTTGTAAAAGTCGTTCATCTCCCGTATATAGTCTGCATCGGACATGCCTGCTGGTTTGGGCGGCGGTCGTTGCGCAGAGTTGGCGAGGCATTCCAGATACCCCCTGTAGCGAGCCCTTTTAGCCTCGTCGTCAGCATACGGTCCGCTGGAGCTTCTCGCCAATGCAGCCAGGGCCGTCTCCTGGTCCAGCTTGGGGACCTGCTGCCACAGTCTCTGCTGCTTCTCGTCCTCGGACAGTCGAAACTCTTCCGGCACCTCGCCACGCCCTTGCGGGAGGTCTGCCCTGCCCGTCGCCGCAGCCAGCTTGTCCCGATTCGCCTGCGACATAAAGTCAAAGACTGATTTCCCGGGCAGCATCTTCTCGCCGAGGAGAGCTGCTCGCGCTGACGCATCGAGTGTGGAAGCCTTGGCTGCGTCTGATGCTGATACGTGGCTCGAGGGAACCGACGCGTGCTGGTCTCGCTGTTTTTTGGACACCCATCCGGACGGAACCTCGGGTGGCGCATACCGTGACAATAGATTGGCAAAGTCTGTGGTCATCTTGGCTAGCACGAAGCCATCCAGGGGCAACCGTCCATCGTGGCACCGCTGCAGGCTGTTGCCGGCTCTGGCCGTCCGCGGTAGAAAGACAGGCGCGCTGTTCAGTGACGGATTGACGGCCGTCGCTGTCTTTGCTTTCTTCTTCTTCTTGTCCCCCCCAATAGTCCTGTTGTATGATATCTTCGGCCCCATCTCGTACGGGTCTTCCTCATCAGAGCCATTGTAGTTGAGAATGCCCATGCCGATGCCCCCCTTGGCAGGTTTCGTCTTCTTCTTGGGACCTGAAAGCAGGGAAAATCTACTTCTGGGCTCTTCATCGGCGTCCTCCGTCCCGTTGTGAGGGGTGGTACTTGAGGAACGAAGTTTTGTCTCCCCAACGTGGCCGAGTCCTTTCCGATCCGTTTTCCGGATAAATTGAATCATGGGTACATCGTCGGGCGCAAAAGCATACAATTCGCCGTTGCCGTCTTCCTTCAGATCAAGACGCGCTCCCCTGCGCACCTTGGGCCCAATGCCTTGACCATCCTTCCAGCCCATCTTTCGCAAGAGCTTGAAACCCATCGTGTCGCCTTGAGGTCGAAGCAGGCCATTCAAGCCGCTACCATCCTGGGCTTGCGTAGAGGATCCCAGCCCGGCAAAAGCCTCGGAGTTCTGCAACTTTTGTGCCTCGGCCGCGTCCGCGAGATCCTCATCATCCATGTAGTCCTCGGGCCGCCGTTGCTTCGCATCGTCCTTGCGACGGTTCGAGCGACTGGACACAAAGGTGGAGGGCGCCCATCCTTCCTTGGAGCCGACCGTGTTAAAGTACCCAGCACTGAAGCCGCCTGTGAATGCGCCATGGAGTCTCTTCCTCCCTCTCTCGTCCCTCACCTCCTGCTTCCACACGGGCACAAAGGAGCCGTCATCGCGCGTGTCGGCCTCGTCGGGGAGAGGCGTGCCAAACGTCGCATAGGGGGCGTGTGCGTGATCGGATTCGTAGGTGGTCCGGGAGCGTTTGTTGTTCTGATGGGACATTGGGAGGCTTGCTCAGCCGGAGGTGGTGATTACATTAGGTGATTGTGGACGGGCCGTGTGTCGGTTGTGTGTCGGCGGCCTGTAGTCGCTGTGGCTCGTCGTTTTCGAGATTGACGTCGGCTCGGGGTTTATCTTGCCTTATCGATAGCGCATGCTACTCGGACCCATCATCCCCAACGCGTGGGTTCTCAGGAACGCGCTATACAGCAGTCTCCAGCTCCTCCGCATTTGTTGGCTTTCAAACAGACAGCATGCATTCACTATTGGTCGAATCACGCGCGTGCGCCGCTCACTCAACGTCCAGTGCACTTTCAAGCTCACCTTACCGCATCGGCGATGTGGCAGGTATTCATTCGATTCAAGGTCCTAGCTGCGTTGGCTTCTTGGCTGGCGGCTTCTTGGCGTGACAGGCGGGGCAAATGTTGATGGGTACCTTAACTACAGTCTGCTCGACTCTACATATTGAGCCTCCATTGTCTGGTCCATCCTCACCCAGGTATCGGGTTGCGTGCGCGATGGAAACCTTCTTCTTAGTCTGCGTGAGCACGAGAGGCGTCACACCAGGCATCCATGTGGCCATGGTGTCTTATCGCGTGTGGCATCAATGGCGTCAGTAGTCAGGGGTAAGTGCTGTGAGTACTCAATAGGGCCACGGCTAATGGTCCTTCGACGGGCACAATGTAACACTGTTGAGCGCATTGGCGACGTGTCGTGTAACCACTGCACCGCAAGGCTCTGGTATCCTGCCTGTTTTCGAAACAGATGATGGCGATGTCTGGTTAGTCGTAGGATGCGCAAGTGAGCAAACTTGAGAAATGCACACCGGCCCACGATAGTTGCCAGCCGTCCTAGGCAAAGTCAATCAGCCAAGGCCATTCCCATCCACCGGGCCGTAATCTCCTCGGTCAGCACCTTGTTATTACTCTGGCAAATTTCTTGCTTGTTGCATTCTGTTCTCTTCTCTTTTATTATATCCTGCTGGCCATTCCACGCCACCAGCCCTGCTCAGGTGTCCCCCGCTGTCCACTCGTCGTCAGCAGCTCCATGTCCATGTCCTGGTGGTGATAATTTCCAGCATACAGCTCCCCAGCCACCTTTACATTTAATTATCTTCCGGACTTCTGCCCACAGCCTGCAGCTGAATCAACTGAACTGTCTCAGATACTATCCATGTGACGAATACAAGACAGCAGTCCCACCCCAATCACCTTCTTTCGTATTGTCGTCCAGCTGCCTCAGCGACTGGACTTGGAGCGTAGAGCCCTATATACAGCACCCGCACCGCCTATCAGCCATGACGACAGCCACTCCAGGCGGCACTGCCGCTGCACCACCACCGCCAGCACCCGCCCAGCAGGCTCAGCACGCTGCGCTGCCATCCCGGTCGTTCTCCGTCTCTTCCCACTCTCGAGCCGACATGGACTCGCACTCACACTCTCGCCCCGCGCAGAACCACAACTATTCCCGTCCTCGCCAGCATCAGCATCGCAGCCATCATTCCACTACGAGCAGCAGCAACAGCCATACCGAGCCCCCGCGCAGCCAAGGCCGACCCATTCAAGACGTCCTTCCCCACAATGACTACGAAACCTCGCACGTAGCAAAGCGCACCACAGCACCACCGCCCCCATCAGAGGCCTCATCCTCGTCGCGCTCCCACCACCGCCGCGCGGGCAGTCGCTCGACCACCCAGCCCGCATCACCTCAATCTCACGCCCGCCCTTCCCACCGCCAGAGCAGCTCGACGAGCCACCGCCCACCGCCTACCCACGCCAGCATGCCCACCGCCGACCCCTCTCGGGGCGTCGTCCCTGATGGCGCCCATTCCTCTTCGTCGGCCACCAAGCCCTCGAGGTCCAGGACGACCATCCCGACGCCTTCGGGCAAGTGGATCCTGGGCAAGACAATAGGCGCTGGGAGCATGGGCAAGGTCAAGCTCGCCAGGAAGGAAGACGGCGGCGAGCAGGTCGCCTGCAAGATCATCCCCCGTGGCTCGACAGACGACGGCCACCAGTCGCGTGCCGACCGAGAACGGGCCGACCACTCCAAAGAGGTTCGAACACAGCGCGAGGCTGCCATTGTCTCGTTGCTCAATCATCCTTATATCTGCGGACTGCGTGATTCCGTCCGCACAAACTACCATTGGTACATGCTATTCGAATACGTCAATGGCGGGCAAATGCTGGACTACATCATTTCACATGGCAAGCTCAAGGAGAAGCAAGCACGCAAGTTCTCCCGCCAGATTGCCAGCGCCCTCGACTACTGCCACCGGAACAGCATTGTCCACCGAGATCTCAAGATCGAAAACATACTCATCAGCAAAAATGGAGATATCAAAATCATTGACTTTGGGCTGAGCAACTTGTTTGCCCCCCGGGGTCATCTCAAGACCTTTTGCGGCAGCCTCTACTTTGCGGCCCCGGAGCTTCTTCAAGCGAGAGCCTACACGGGGCCCGAGGTCGACGTCTGGAGCTTTGGTATCGTGCTGTACGTCCTCGTCTGCGGCAAGGTCCCCTTTGACGACCAGAGCATGCCGGCGCTCCACGCCAAGATCAAGAAGGGCGTGGTCGACTATCCCAATTGGCTGTCTAGTGGTAAGTGCCAGTATTGCGAGTACAGAAAACCTGACTGACCAAACCAGAGTGCAAGCATCTCATATCACGAATGCTGGTCACCGACCCTAAACAGCGCGCATCGATGCAAGAAGTCATGACACATCCATGGATGGTCAAGGGGTTTAACGGACCCCCCGACAACTTCTTGCCACCGCGCGAGCCGCTCGTGGCGCCACTGGACCCCGAGGTGTTCCAAGCGATGCACGGCTTTAACTTTGGCTCGCCCGAGAGCATACAGGCGCAGATCCTCAAAACCATTGAGTCTGACGAGTACCAACGTGCGGTGCGGATGTACCAGCGCGAGAAGGACACACCGCAGCCGCCCAAGGAAGGCGAAAAGAAGCGCGGGTTCGGACTGGATTTCTACAAGCGGAGGAACTCACAACACAGCCGAGATACTCTGACCGGCCCTAGTACGGAGGCTTTGCAACTCGGCAACGACCCGTTGAACGCCTTTAGCCCGTTGCTGTCCATATACTATCTTGTCAAGGAGAAGCAGGATCGCGAACGGGTCGATACCGCGCCACCTACCGCCGCCGTGGCCCGCGAGAAGGAACGCGAGAGGGAACGCGAAAGGGAGAGAGAGAAGGGGAGGGAGAGGGACCACGACCACGAGACGGAACGCCCTCGGGAGAAGGAGACTGCGCCTATGCCGGAACTGGCGGCGCCGCGGGCGGCCGTCACCAACTCGGCTGCGTACGAGATGCCCGGAGAGAAGCCGACGGGTGGCAGGTCAAGACCCCGGGCTCGCACGCATGGCGAGGACGATGCTCCGGAGACCATCAAGGGTGGCCATCTCGCACCGCCTGAGCCGAAGCCCGAGAAGGAGAAGAAAGAGGGCACCGTTCCTGGCTTGCTCCGGCGATTCAGCACCCGCAAGCGCAGAGAGCCCGAGCGCACGGAAAGAGATCGCTCTCACCCGCCAGTGGTGCAGGTCCACTCTCCCTCCCATGAGCTCGGCCCCCGCAAGAGCTACAGCATCCGGCGCAGTCGTCGTGACCAGGACGAGGACGGTGAGCCATCAGCACGCTCAGGCAGTAGCCAGCCACAGCACCGCGAGCTTCTGAGCCCGCCCGTGTCGGCTGGAGGCGCGCGGAGGAGCGGCCTAGGTCGGTCCACGAGCGTAAACTCGGGCGCTGACGTGCGACGGAACCAATCGAGCCGGCTGGCAAAGGATCCCCCACCCACCAGTGGCTCAGAGCAGTCCATGAACGCCGAACAGCAGGGCCCGCCGCGCCCAGGCCACGGCCACTCGCGGTCTGTGACCATGCGAGCCAAATCGCTAGGCCATGCAAGACGCGAGAGTATCCAGCAACGGCGGCAGCGGCGGGAGGAGGCTCGTGAAGCCAATGTGCCCGAAGAGACGGATTTGGAAAATGAGCAGAGTGGACGGTCTAGCGAGAAACTGGATGACTCGGAGCTGGCAAAGCCCGTCTTCCTCAAGGGCTTGTTCAGCGTGTCGACCACATCCGGCAAGTCGGTTCCTGCGATCCGCGCCGACATCCGCCGCGTCTTGAAGCAGCTGAACGTCGACTACACCGAGATCAAGGGCGGCTTCACATGCCGGCACGCGCCCAGCATCGACTTGAACAAGGTCCAGGATCCTCCCATGAGCCCATCGGCCAACCGTCGTCGTTTCAGTTTTGGCGGCCTGCGCCGCGGCGAGGACGACAGCCGCGAGAGCGACGGTCCCCCCAAGACACCACGAACACCCGGTCGATCAGACCGTGACCGCAGCTACTCCAACTCGGAAACATCGGTCGACAGCATCCCGCGCAGGAACAATGGTCCGTCGAGGCGCGCGCCCGGCGAGACGAGCACGCAGGTGCAGAGCGACCTGGGCGGCAGCATGGTGCTGGAGTTTGAGATCTTCATCGTCAAGGTCCCGCTGCTGACGCTGCATGGCGTGCAGTTCAAGCGCTTGACGGGCAACACGTGGCAGTACAAGAGCATGGCGGACCAGATTCTGCGCGAGCTCAGGCTGTAGGGCAGAGACGGCGGACGCAACCGGGGGGAGGGGGGGATGCGCAAGTTTGTGGACGGGGCGGACGGGGGGTCCAGCTCTGATGCAGATTGGGGCAGGGCGAGGCAGTCGAGGACGAGGACGAGTTCGACATCCAGATCAGCGTCCGTCGGTTGTCATATCGGACTTCTCCCATGCAGCCCTGGTCGGCGGGAGAGGTGAAGGAGAGGTGGTCACGTGAGCGACGGCTCGTTCACTCGCATTCGCATTCAGTTCTGTGGGAGCAATAGCATTCGTAGCGGGTTTCCTGATTATATACCGTTCTTTGACTGCTGTGGGATCACTGTAGTCTGTGATGATAGAGACTGAATGACAGACTGGGCTAGTCCTCTACAGGGTAGCCGATCACAAATGACTAAGCACAACAACCCTCGAACCTTCACCCGCCTTGCCCTCAGGCCCACTGCCGACGAACCTCCATCACTTATCCTTGTACTCCGTACACGAGCACCTATTCACCGACGCACCTGTACGACCACACAACTCTAGTACGCACCAAGCGCATCACAGTGCGTCTCTAAATATAATATCCACCATCGGTTCCAAGCGCCAGTCGCGACACGTGGCCCCAACTCGATACCCTCGCTACCGGATCCTGCCCCTCGAACAACCCGATCGCAAGCCGTCGACGACGACAGGGATACTGACTGTGGGCGGGCCTTGTTTGTTCGTCCTCCCGCAGCCGTAGCCGCGCATCCGTCAGTCCACCACCGCACACAACAGTCAACCACGACCCTCGTCCCCCAACCACCGCGCATGCATCGACCACGGCAGCCGCCAGCCGTCGCCTCCAAGATGATGCCTGCGGCGCACATGTATGGACACCATCAGTTCAACCAGCAGTCCGAGTCTGCGTGGCTTCAGCAGCAACAGCAGCAGCCGGGCTCAGCAGGTGGAGGCAACGCGCAGCAACAACAACAGCAGCAACAGCAGAATGCGGCTGCGCAATACAATCGTCTGACCAACCCCGGAGCAGGCGGCGGCGGACCACCCGTCGGCCAAGACGCGGCGAACGCGCCGGACAATGTGTCGGAAGAGAACAGGAGGACCATGGCGTACATTGCCGACCTGCTCAACGAAAGCACCAGAGAGGCCGCGCTCCTGGAGCTGAGCAAGAAGAGGGAGCAGGTGCCCGAGCTCGCGCTCATCCTCTGGCACTCGTTCGGCGTGATGACGAGCCTGCTCCAGGAGATCATCTCGGTCTACACTCTGCTGAACCCGTCGCAGCTGACGGCGGCCGCGAGCAACCGGGTCTGCAACGCGCTCGCGCTGCTCCAGTGCGTCGCCAGCCACCCGGACACCCGGACGCTCTTCCTCCACGCGCACATCCCGCTCTTCCTGTACCCGTTCCTCAACACCACCTCCAAGTCCCGTCCGTTTGAGTACCTCCGCCTCACCAGCCTGGGCGTGATCGGGGCCCTGGTCAAGAATGACTCGTCCGAGGTGATCAACTTTTTGCTGACGACGGAAATCATCCCCCTCTGCCTGCGTATCATGGAGACGGGATCCGAGCTGAGCAAGACCGTCGCCATCTTCATCGTGCAAAAGATCCTCCTCGACGACAATGGTCTCAACTACATCTGCGCCACCTATGAGCGGTTCTACGCCGTCGGCACCGTGCTGAGCAACATGGTCTCCCAGCTGGTCGAGTCCCAGACGGCGAGGCTCCTCAAGCATGTGGTGCGCTGCTTTCTCAGGTAGGGGCAGCCAGCATGGGCAAGGGAACTTTTCACTGACAATCACAGGCTAAGCGATAACGCTCGCGCGCGTGAGGCTCTGCGCCAATGCCTCCCCGAGCCCCTCCGCGACGCCACCTTTTCCTCGGTCCTGCGCGACGACGCCGCTACGAAGCGATGCCTCGCCCAGCTGCTGATCAACCTCTCGGATAATGTCGTGGAGAACAGCGGCGGGCTGACTATGTAGAAGGATTAATGTGTTCGGCCATGGCGATTGTGCGCCACTTTTATTCTTTCCGTCAAAAGATATCACGACTTTTATACAGGGCATGGCGGACGTGTCATGCGTATCGGAGGCAGGCAACAACCAAAAGCATTCACGGCGATGGACTCATTCGGAGGGATTGATGGATTTTATTCGAGCTGGCAGGCAGCGCGCGGCCGCGGCGGGATACGACACACGGCATACTGCAAATATTGTCTATTGCGCAGGCTTATACGTACAGGCGGCACCTGGGTTCCCTTCCCCACGTGGGATGCGCGAGCAAAAGGGTGACGCGGGAAGGACATAATGGAGTTTTGCGGCGTTCGGGCGATGGACTTGGCGTCTGGCTTGCTTGAGGGTTACTTGGCATTGTACGAGTGTGGCACGGGGGGTCGAGAGCAGCGTTTTCAGGTAGATAGTAGATGATACGGAGCGAATAGATGATGCGGTTGTTTCGTCTACGTGGGCTCTAGTCCTGGCGAGTGCGCATATCTCAGGAGGCTCTTGTGATGGACGCCCGGTCTGTCCCATCGAATCCTCCACTCCAGGTTAGAAATATCGATCCCACAATGCCGTGGGGTGACTTGGGAGAACATGTCCCTGAGAGGAGAGAGCGGCAGGGGAACAAGCAGGCCACGCGATCCAGGTACCATTGCATGCAGGGCTGAAAGCTTCGCCAGCTCATGGCGGTCAACAAGGGTGACACACAGACAGGGATAGATGTGATCTCCAACATACTCACTCGACAAAGTTGGTGTGTCTTGCTAGGCAATAACCCTGTTAGGAACGGTGCCAATATCGAGTAAGAATTACAAAGACTCGCACCTTCGCATAGGCGCATATCTTTACCAATAAACCGTGTATAGCTAAATTTTGTTTTTCCAGCGCTAGCGACTTTGTCGAGTTAGTACCGTGCCCGTCTCGCGCGCTTGAAGAATATAACGAGCAAAGAGAGGTCGGGACCCCGTGAAGCACAGCCGCAGAAGCAGGGGCTGGGTCAGGCTGCAGAATGAGGATACGCGAGATCAGATACACTTGTTATTACAGTGTCTCCTCGTAGCCGCACGCTACAAAAGCCCACAGAATACACCCCTCCACCACGAAGTAGCCCCTGTTTGTCGAGCCTCCGTGCTGCTGTGCCGCCTCGTCCGCGCATCCTGCTTGTATCGTGCCAGCTCATCCTCCTCATCCCCATCGTCGTCCTGGCCACTCTCGTTGGCGTGGTGATCACACGCGGCGCCCGCGTCCTGTCCTGAAGAAGAACTCGTGGCCGTGATGCTCCGTAGCGTGATGGCAAAGTCTCCATGCTGTGAGTCGAAGAAGCTAGAGCACATCCCGTCAGTCGGCGATCTGTCAGGGGTTGCACTTATACCCAAAGCGGAAACATGTTTCGAGATGAAGCCAAGACTTATTTCGACCAGACAAATGGTACGAGAGAACAGCGGTAAGGAAAAGTCAATATAACGTACCTCCTCATCATGAGCCCGACTCGTTTGACATCGGCCGTGTCCAGTGGCTTCGCGTCGTCCTTGGGGCGGCCGCGGTAGGTCGCCTTGAACTGACCCCACGGCAGCCACACCTCTGTGGCGCCAGCCTCGCTCGAGGTAAACTCTGCCTCCCAACTGACGCCGCTCTCCATGCGCCCGTCCGGTCGACGGCCCGGGATCTCATCTTTCAGGGTGATCACGTATCGCTTGCCGTCGCCCTCGCCCAGACGGAGGAGCAGCCCCTCGTACCGGGAGAGGTCCCAGTGGTTCGTGCCCCGCGTTTGCTGCGAGGCGAAGCCTGCGCCTCCGAGCGTTGACGTGTCGAGGGTGCCGTGGAAGCGAGCAGCCTTGCCGTCGTGGACGGTCAGGTGGGACACGCTGGAGCCGCCTCGCACGCGGTCGTCGGTGGTTTCCCAAAGGGACGCATCCCAGGGCCTGGGAGGTTGATTAGCTGGTGCTGATCAGGCCATTGGGGCATAAAGCTTGCCTGTCGCCCCCAAAGAGGTCAAGTGACGTCTGTTTCTGCATGTTCTCGACGTTCGAAGTGATTTGATGCGATGGTGAATGGGTTGTTGCTGTGGGATGATTTTCCGTGCTCTGCCAGTCGATGACATAACCGAATTCTTATCGATAAAGCTCCTTACCCTGGAGCCCAGATGAGGCTCCGGATCGTGAGCCCGTGAAGTGCCCCGAAACTCCACTGATTCACTCCGACGTCAGCATCCGGACGCGGGTGTTGTCCGTCTTACATCTAGCTAAGACTCCGGGATGCATCACTAGTTCTTTCCGTTGAGTGCTTGGAGACCAGTCTTTGACATTCATCAAGACAACAATCTACAGTCTAACAGCTACGTGAAGTGATTCTCCATTGTCTCCGGAGCGCACAACAGGCTACTTGCACAAGTCCAAGGCCACGTGCAGGGTTCGAGTGAATTAATTGCCTTAAGAGAACCAGGCCTTGCTCTGTGGCTCTGGACCTCTGGCTTGCCGAGAGTTTGACAGGTCTACCAGGCGGCAAGCCCACGCTGCCGATCAGCTCGCACTCGGATTGAAGACTTGTGACGTCTCCTGGGGTCGGATTTCAAAGCACAGCCCACCGTGTGACTGTGACCACACGCCCGGTCGGCTGTCGCCTTGTTTGAACTTTATTGAAGGCGTCCTACGGCACAGCTAGCTTTGCGGTGCATTGCCCGATACAGTAAGAGAACCGTCTGCCCGACTCTACCGCCTGGCGCCAGATGGCGGTGGACGCCCGCCCTTCCACATGTGTACCGTATAGTTCGCATTCAATGACAGACATCTCTGTAATTGACTCACGTCAAGCTACATTAATGAATTGTAATCTTGGGCCTCTTAGTGCAGCGACTCAGCCAGAGAGGCGGGGTGGCGCATGTCACGCAACGTCCGAAAGGCTGCAGGACGATTTAAACCTTGTTTCACACGTACCGCGCGCCGGATTTCAAATCTCGGATTTCAAATACAGCCGAAGCCTTTCGGACTTGAGGACCGGACCGGACTTTTCAATCTGGCCGGGGGCAGGCACCCTGGTCCTAGGCTCGCGTCCTAGCTCCCAAAGGGGACTATCATTCGAGTCACTGCGAGGGGCTGCGGTATCCACGTATACGTAGTACGTGACTGGAATTGATGCCTCATGGGCCATGGTTTTGCTCGCCGGCAACCTAAAGAACGAGAAATCAAAACACCCATCGCCGGGCGTGGCAAGCGATTGTCGCCCCGGCTGCCCATGCTGTAAACTCCCAATTCTAACCCACGCTGTGAAGTACCCAAATGACCGTCGTGTTGCACATGATCCCGTGTATCTATCCCATTCTAGTCATAAAAGCTAGTACAGTTCCCTCGCCGCCTCACCCACCATGTGTGGCATCATGCTCGGCGACTCGGACATGGAGAGCGGTGTCGTGGGCAGGTCCAGGGGCTCGAGCCCCGTCTCGGAGCAGTTGGCCGACTGCTCGAATGAATGTGACAGCGGAGGCGTCTATCGAGGGGTCCTCTTGTCAGCGTCGTTTCGTGGCAGCGGGGCGGAGAGGGAGCGAGGTGTCTGGGATCACTCACAGCAGCATTGGACCGGGCGTAGGGGGCCATTGCGTTGGCGTTGGAGTCCATCACGTTCCAGTATGGCCAGATGTTGCCGTGCTGGTTGACGTGGTTGAATCCGCCGTCGCTAGAGAACGACTCCTGCTTGTAGGCATCGCTAAAGTGTGACATGGACGGCATTGTCGAGACCAGAGGGGCCACAGCAGGGTAGGCGTAGCTGTCGTGTGTCGTCGCGGGTGTCTGGTAGGGACTCGTCGTCTCGTAACTGCTGGGTAGTGTCTCCTCGGGTGGAGGGTACGCAGCGCCGCTGTAATGGTACATGGGAGGCGTGTGCGAGTTCTGCCGGGCATAAGGCGCGAAGAGATAGTCGTCGTGGTTCTCCATCGGAGGTGTGAGATGCATCTGCGTCTCGGGTGCCGTTTCCTGTGGCCTGAATTCTGTCTTTGCCTTGGAGGCAGCTTTGCTGGGTGTGCGCTTGGCCTTGGTGGGCGGTGGGCTGGGCTTCTTGTCCGAGGCCTCTTCGTCCTCCGGCTCGTTGGAACCCGCGCGACGCTCGAGGTCCTCCAGGCGGCGCTTAAGCTTCTTGCCTGCCAACAGTGTTAGAGAGGCAGCACATTGGGTCAGTAGCACCGGGGACACCTACGGTAGTTACGCTGAGCGATGCGGTTCTGTATCCTCCGGCGCTCAGCAAGATCCGCAATCTGTGTCCAGTCCTCGTGGGGCAGCGCCGAGGCGCTGAACGCACTGCTTGTCCCGTTGCCGGTATATGAGCTGTGTTGTGTGGCGGGGAGAGCCTGCGCATAGCCATAGGCTTGCCTGTCCGGCTCTTCTTGGGGAAACATGGACATGGTCCCTGCGTACATGTTTTGTGCTGAGTGAAATCGAGTGTCGTGACCAGAGGTCATATCCTCACGTCCCTATAGTTCTCCACGACCAGGTGGGGTGTCGGTTACTTATTGGTAAGTTACTAGAAGGGTTGACTTTGCCAAAGTTGTCGACGTATCGTGCACCTGGGAGCTATGAAACGGAAGATCAGATCGAGTCAGATGGTGATGATGCGGGAGGGCACCAGTGTTAAATATCCCCACGAGGCAGCAACGCATATGAATGGAATGGAGATGTCCATCCCCGACTCCCCTGCCTGCCAGCACTGGCGGTGCCGCATGATGAGCCATCCTGGGTGCATGGGAGGCCAATGATGCACGGCGGACTTTGGAGCGAAAGGGGCGGACAGCAGGGCTGCCGGCTCATGGGGTCAAGGTACAGCAGGGCGTGCGAGCAGTCGTCGTCCACAGGGTCCGAAGTGGAGGGCGCCCTCGTCTAGGGTGCGTCGTCTGCGCGCGCGGTTGTCGTCAGGAAGTGTGGTCGCTCAACAATGCTCTGCAGACGACACGCGATGGCCGGGGGTGTGTGGCAGGCACTGGAACGATCCCACACGCCATGGCTCCTGCCTCCAGCCTGCATGGACCCCGCTGGACCCATGCCCGCCTTTCCCAGCGCCCAATGAATGTCGATGTCTGCCTGGGTACCGTGTCCGCCTCGCTTTCTTTGGCGATTTAGCCCACAGGCCTGTGTCGCGGCTAATTCTGTCCGCGCCGCAAGGTTACTGGACTGACAAGCGCTGCACTGCCTTTAGGTGTCGGCCGCCGTGGAATGCTGGAGATGCCACGGGGTGCTGGACAGATGTTGAAGATTACACACGTGTGTACCCAGAATCTACACAGATCTGCGGCCATGTCGCCGGGTCGGGTATCAAATTTCAACCTTCCCTCTGACCATCGTTCTTGGATGACAGGCAGGGCGCAAATCTATTCTGAACAAACCTGGAAATACTGCTGTGCAATCTCGGGGAACTTGGCTGAGGGGCGGTGACTCCCTGAGGGAACGATGAGGATTTGGTTACATTCTTCGAAGACTATACCGTCCCGGTTGAAACTTGTTGACAGTCGTTTGGGGCAGCAGCTTTGTTAATAGGGGTCGATCACTATTATGCAGTACCCGCTCGTGGTGAAACTCTCGCGCCAGCATCGAGTCCACGATGCTCCTTCTTGGGCAGGGAATATCGACAACTCATTTGACTTACCGTCTATTTGTGCAAGTCGCGTGTATCGTCTAAATACTGGGGAAGATTTCTAGTCTTGGCCAGCCCCTTGCACGCCGGCACTGCCAACGCCGGGGGCTGAACATCCGAAGGATGAGACGCAAGTTAACATGATCGCGAGGACCCTCAACCAATTTCGCAATACTACGGCTGGAGCCAGCATCCTGCTTCCTGCGTCGAGTAACAATGTCAAACAAGGCATGCCATGCCATCGGAAGCTTTCCACATCAACTTCGTACTAAGGCTCCGACATACTTAGTTCAAGTTCAGTTCAGGCCATTGTGGGACGCTCCAGGGCCGGAATCCACTGGCGGGGACTCCAGTCAGGGCTGCCCTGCTGCCGTGCCCCCAAGAAGCACTGTAAGGTTGCGCGGTTCTGGCCTGCGCCCGCTGTCAGGCGTGGGCTATTTCTGGCGCGATTACCAATCCCTGGGGCCTGGGGGCCCAATTCCCCGCCATTGGCCGCTGCGTCGTCAAGCATCCTCCATTCTAACTTCTGACTTTCACGCCAATGCCCGACTCCGACTCCGAGTATGGTGTGAGGTCGTAATTAGATTCAGTAACACGGCCGGCCTCTGATTTCACATCCTACGCAGTCTTACAAATCCATAACGAACAGCATCAAAGTGGCATCGCAGGACCACAGCTCGGGGGCTTTCCTGTCCAGTAGGCAGTCGGGCTAGCTCAGAGCGAGGTCAAACAGGCGGTGGCACCCTCGTGAGTCACCTCCTTCATTACCAGTCGACTCTATGAAACAGAAAATTCGCTTGTTGCTGCCAATCAGAAGACGCCCGAGCCATGGTGTGTTCAGCCCTATGGTCCTGCCACAGTCGACCAACAACGCCATCCAGATCCTGCTGCTCTACCAAGGGTCTCTCCCCCAAAAGAGCGGCAACTTTCGAGATCAGTTGGCAAAGGGACCTGGTTCGTTTGCTCCTGGCCGCTGTCTGCCTGCAGGTCTGCCAACGCATCTGAGGCACGGCGACTCCGGGTCCATTGCCCGTGGCTGCGTCCTGCCGCGTCTATCAGCCAATGGAATGGCGCGGGTCGGCAAAGGGACCAGGGACCGCTTCCCATGTTCTGTCCCAATCACGACGGCAGGACTATGGAGATGTTGAGCGACTAATCGTCCTGAAAAGGCAAAGGATTCAACTAGGTTCTCTCCCGTGCTCGGCAGGATCTGCCGTACGTACGTGTACTGTGTAGATGGCTCTTCAGGAACTTTTGGGAAGCTTGCCAAGCAAAGCCTGTGATAGGTTGCGTTGATCGAGGGCAACGGCACTCACAGACTGGACCTTGTTCCCTCGTTCTGGGCACCATCACTGTTGCTGCAGCCTGGCCCTGCAGGGACCAGCGTCGCGACTCGGCCGGGACGATCAGCCTTACAAAGGTTCGTGCAGCTGTCACTCGCGGCTCGCCATCAGCACTCAAATTGCACAAACAGGCATATCGCGAAGCCTCCGAGAAAACCGCGCGCTCATTTCTGAAATTCCAATCTTGCATATACTGCGTAGCCAATGACCTTCTTTCGTTGCTCGTCGACCGGAGACTTTTGGCGAGTGAAGTAATAAATGATACTGCGCACCTCGCCTCGGATTCGGCCACATTTCAAAGCCGCTAGTATCCTTAGTGAATCTCAACAAGCCCCGGGACTCGCTGGTTTACGAGGTACCGTTGCCGCACTGCCGCGTAGGGGAGAGCCGCTCATTGGCTGGCGGTGATCAGTGACTGACCGCGCCCAGTCGCGTCGCGGGCTCGCGACGTCGGCACTTCTGTCGCCTTGATGGCGTGCCCCGTCATGGCAGCCTTATGTACCGACGGGAGATGGTCGAGGGCGGAGGGTCAGAGTGACAGCAAACGACCCCTCAAAGAAGCATCTCGTGAGGCTCGCGTAGCAATCTGCGCGAAGAACCAAGGCGTGCGTACATGAGGAAATGTGGAAGCCTGGAGCTGAGCACAGGCTAAATACCGCAGGGATCACGTGTGGTCCACACAGATGATTCACCGAGACGCGCGGGTGCGAAAGCACGACCTTCATTCGCGCCCCATCACTTACAAAGACACAAACTACCTATTAGTGCACGCGTTTTCAAGAAGTCTTCCCCAAAGTCATGAGAATTGTAGCTCTGGAAGATTTACCGTGTAGCCGTGGGCCAGGTCGCCTGTTGCGTACTGTACGGTACGTCGTTCCGTCCACTGCTGGTGCCCCACTGCTCGCGGGCGCAGAGCAAGGTCGCTTGGCGGTGTGTCTGCATCAACAGGTGCATTTCGGGGTGTCCCCGAGCCTCGAGGTCCGACAAGGGGCCGTAGGGCTGAACGTTAAGGTGCCCAGACTCAGAGTCCAGTGACTCCAGTGACAGTCCGAGACATGTCACCGGTGGCCATCTATCCTCCACCAACGCTGCTCTGTGCGATCACAGCAGTCCATGTCATTGGAAAGGCGCGCCGTGTTCGGCTGCTTTCTGGCAACTGGATGCTGGTTCGCCATGGATTGACTTGGAATCTCCCGATCCTAGTCGGTGATCCTCGGGGCTCCTAGAGCTTGTTTTTATGGTAGGCACTGCACACCGCAGCTTGCGCAAGGCACGCTGCTGGCCACGCTGCTGGCCACGCTGCCGTTGCCCGCCAGTTCTGGGTGCGACAGAGGATTTTTGGGGGCGAAAAGGCGGGAATTGGTCTTTTGCTGAACGGCCGGGGCACCCCTGGCTGCAGGACTGGAGCGGGAGACGTCCATCCTTGGATGCGACTATGCGTAGGCGACAGCAGGCCTCAGAAAGAACTGCCAAGGTAATAATAGATTGTTCCTGAACATATTATGCATCCGCTCTCCCGCCCTCACTTTCGTAGCAGTCGTGCGGCTGGCTGCAGTTGACCCTTTATTGTCCTCGTTGCGTGCCATTTGCATGTTGCCATGCCCGCCCTTCGTCCACCATCTATCGCAGGATCCTGTCAAACGCACCGCCCCCAAGAGCGACACTGCGCCTGGGGTTCACGGCGAGATGCGTCACTCGGGCTACGACGCCGTGGCCATCGACCAATTACCACTTTAGGCGAGCTTGCGGAAGGATTTCATGGATGCGACCTGGTGTCACTGGCAACCCGCCAACGAGACGGCGCAGCTCGACGTGCCGAACCCCGTCCAGCCGTCCAGGCACTGCCGTCATGGGTTCGCTCGCGATTCAATTCCATGTCTCAGCGACCGGGAAAAGTCGTCCTTGGAGAACACATCTTTGTTCCTCACGACGCGTCGAGCAAGCTCGGATCCTGGCGTCAACAAAATTTCGGAGAAGTGTATTCACCACTTGCTCGTTCCCGGGCCCTTGCTCGGGCTCGGGTTTTAGTTAGCGGGGTTTCTTCTCCAAATGCCCGCCCCTCCTTTCGTGACCGTGGACACTACTTGGTGCGTCGCCCGAAACATTAGTAGACCTAGTCGCACGAATTAAAGGAGTGATACCGGGCGTCACTGTATGTATTTTGCCCTTTGGGACTTCTATTCCAAATCTTCGCCTGAGTAGCGCATTTCTACGGCAATGGCACGGATGAAACGTGCGCGTATAAAACTTTATGGCTTTAAGACTATCTCCACCTATCTCCCGCCCTCAAGCAAACAACGTGAACATTGTCAAAACAAGACTGATCACAATTGTGCTTGCATTTCAGCTTGCGGCCTGATAGACTGTTAGTCTTCCCCGTATTCTCAGGAGCACTCAAGCTCCTGGACAGAACGACCAGCGCGAAAGAGCATGAAGAGCACAACTTGGAATGCAGCTATCGGGTAGGCTGCAGCGCGCGGCGTCTGCCTGGTCACCTGGTGGCTTCGAATCGTGGTTCTGGACTTCTGGTGTGACACCAGACAATAGACAAGATGTGTTGGCCGGATCACTGTGCCGTGCAGCTGTTGTTGTGGGGGCGTTGTAATAATGTCAACGCGCGCCTCTCATCCCATGGGCCGCTATCGGCGTCAAAAGCGAATTTCGCATTTCCATTGTATAAGCCAAAGCACTGGAGATGCTGTAGTTTCAACGGTATGGCTTTCCTTTCCCTGCTTCACGTGCTGACCCTGAAAGGCTATTTACCGGTTAACTGCTGCATCATGCTGTGCGTTGATGGCGTCGCGAATATACCAGACGTGACAGCGTTTTGCCCTGGCAGTGGCCACCAGGCCATCGATGTTCGAATATTGTGCCTAGTGCATGGAAATGGTCTCAAACATTGATCTAGATGCCACCTACCAGGGGATACTCGGCAAGACCATAAGACTTGTGGCTGGATATTGTCGCCAAGTAGGTATGTCGTCTGGACAAGCATCGGATATCAGACGACGCTGGCGTGTACGCCGTAGGCTACAATGCGCTGAAGTGCAACTGAACTGAGTCTGATTGCTTTGTGGATATGAATGACTGAGCGATGTAAGAGTTTTCACCATCCTCTTTTCTCTGACGAAAACGTGCCCAAACGTTTCCAGCAAACTGTTGTCGAGGTGCCCTATACCCGAGATATGGCGGACAAGGTCATGCACCAAGCTTTGGAGAAGATTCTGCGTGAGAAAACTCCCAGTGACGAGCAGAAACTAGAGGCACTGTCAATGTTTCCAGAGCATGTCGTCCAGGTTCTGGAAGAGTGGCACAAGCAAGCGCTCAAGGCCTGGGTCCAGACGCATCTGGGGAATTCCGGGGACATCTACCACGAGCAGTTCCTGGCCCTCGAACAGTCGATCAAAGAAGCCCTGGGAAATGATCAAGAATCCGTCATGCGTAAGGAGTACGGGACCCTGTTCCTGCCGACCCTGAGGACATACTTGATTTCGCAGCCCAGGAGTTCTGTATTTGGGCACAACTCGTGGCGGACGATGCCGACAACGAACTTTCTGCAGAACTCAGCCAGCGAATGCTTCACCAAGCGCATTTCCTGGTCGATTTTGACCAAAAGCATAAGTCTCTGCTCAAAGAGACTCAGTCTATTCGCGAGAAGAATGAGGCTAATCGCGAGAAGAATGAGGCTATTCGCGAGGAGATTCAGTCTGCGCTTGAGGACGGACAGTCGCTCCAGGAGCAATTGGATTCTGCCCTGCAAAAGCTGGCTTCTTTCCAGCGAGGAAGTACAGAACTTCTGTTTGCTGAATCGAATAAACTAGCTCAATAACACAAGGGCAGATCATCTACTGGGCCTATTGCTTGGTCCATTCTCCTACGGTCAACATCCAACTTCCCAACTGAACCCCCCAGCCCACTCACTACAATTCCATTCCATCCGAATTTCCCGAATCTCACTATTTTCGCGGCTCCTATTTTAAAGATTCCAAGGTGGCTGGACAGTCCCAGGGATCTATATACATTGCAGCATGATGCTCTGTCGACGAAAAACGGCATGGACGCTCGACCGATCTTTGTTTTACAGAAGCAAGATGGACTCTGAAAAGCGAGAAGCTCTATTGCCATTAAAACCAGCCCACTGTAGAATGGCATTCGGATCATGGTAAGGTTTTCGAGGACGCCCCATATCAAGATGGAGAGTCAGAGCGCGCTGACATATCTTAGACCTGGCCAATGTCAATGAAAGCCGACCTGGTCAAATTTTGATACACCAACTTCACGGTGTCTTCTCGAAAATTATGGCTGACACGCCCGTCGAAAGGGTATGCTGTCGCTGGGTGAATATGCCACAGTAAGCTAATGGCGGTATGACAGGACACATCTTCGGCAGCTTCCGCACATGTTCGGTACAGCTTATGCGCCTACCTCTCGACTCACTAGATGACCAAACGCCGACTCATCGGTCGACACGCCGAGTCAAGCCCACGCGACTCTCCGACAGTGACGAAACCCACGCCTTCTAAGCCAACATTCACCGTCAGAGTGACCCGTTGGAATCCCAAGCGAAAGGCTGCTGAGCCTTCGAAGCCTCGTCCTTGGGGTCTACGTACACTTGTAAGTGATACCGGGTTTGTATGGAGCTTAATCTACCTGCCTTGCTTTCCAGATTCGTTTGAAAAGATATTGACCGACGCCTGAAGCATGCATACGTCAACCAATCGGATCCTAGACGCGAGGCTACAGACCAGTTCATGGCCTGTTCTCAGCAACACAACGATACAGAAACAACAAATCATCAACACGATCCGTCTACTCATGGAATCACCGAGACTACACTACATGGGGGGCACTCAGAGTATTGCGGCTTTGGAGGGACCTGACGACACCCCATGCTTACGCCTAGATATTGCAAGGCTCCATCCGGGACGATTCTTACCGACACCTGAGAACTGCCCCTCTTTTGCCAGTCCAAGAAACCTCCCCAACAGCCTACATTACGCTGACTTGGTGCCAGGATCGTGCAACCGCGACCGTCAAAGGAGTCATTACAGAAGACGGAGTTTGTGCCAATCCGATTTGCGACCTCACATATCTGAATTTGAAGAAGCACGAGGGAGATTGAATTTGTGCCCTCGAAGCGATCCGCAGACGAAGGAAATGGCCCTCTCGATCTGGCTCTCCTGCTCCAACATAAAGAAGGCGGTGAATGGACTGTCAATGCACAAATCATGGTGGCTTGCAAGTGATTGGGATACATGGCTGGCAAACACGGCATCAGCTGCCTTGAATAAGCAACTCGGTGGCTGTTTGCAGCATCCGACGAGGGCAAAGTAAACATTGCTGAGGTTTAGTTCAGGAATTGCGGCTTGCCGTCGGGCATGCAAGGTTTGTCAAAGCCATTTCATAGCAAGCGAGCTCGCGTGGCATCCTTCACATCCGTATGTTTCAACTTTCACTACGCGAAGCCATCGATGCAGCCAGCGCCAGAAACACCTGCACCAGATGAAGCAATCCTACTGAGCACCCGTTCGACACTTCGCACTAGGTGTAGGGCCGATAGTGGCCTGGTGTTTATACGAAATAGAAGCGCTTTGTGATATAAGCCACTAGCTTCAGGCCACCTTACTTCGAGAGAATGGCACGCCGCGTCTTCTATAGTCCACGACTCATGTGCGACGTGTTAGTGACCTCTCGCGGTTTGGATACACTCGGATCATGTATCATTCCCGGCAAGACTTGTGAAATTCTCGGGAGATTCCTATGGCTGAGCGTTGTCGATGACTTGGCTTGCGTCGCGTCTTGGGTAGTGTTGGTCGGGACAAAAAGGTCAGACACAATTGCGATGTGAATCACACGCAGAATTTATGAGGAGAGGACTGACCGTTTCAATTGTTGCCTTTCACATCGAGGTCGTGATGCCTGTGTTCTTTTCGCACCTCTAGACACTAGTCATTATTGCATCCTGGATTCTGCGAAGAAATTAATGAGGGTAGAAGCAGATGATTGTTCTAGTCTTTATGAAGAAGAAGATGCTGATGCTGATGGTGATGCTAAGAACAGAAGAAGAACGCGCCAGGCTTTCGGCCGCGTTATGGTTGTGGGTCGGGTTGTGGCCTGCCCAATCGCAGGAATTCGTACAATCAGCCTGACAAAGATTAAGTAGTTACTTTTATACCTACAGTACTCCGTACGGACGACGGATGCTAAGCTCACAATTTATATCAGTCTCGCCAGCGCATAAGGTCATATTAACATCGATACTTGAGCTTTCCTTGTAGCATAAGTATTGATGCCCACACAGTGCACCTCACAATGTCGTTGCACTCGAACCCACCCCTGACAACATGATCTTGCCAGTCGTCCAAGTCAATTTGGCAGCAATCCACAAAGCATTGACAGAGCCCGAGGCAATTACAACGTTGCTTGTAATGAACAGTAATAATTGAAGAGAACTGATCTCGCGCACGCAAGAGTACAGCGTTGAAGGCGAGGCCGCCAGTGTTTGCCTATGGTGACAAGGTAAGCAGTGTGCATTTTGATCACAGACACAGGCTGTGCTGGTGGAATCATCCAATCAGACACCGTGACACCCGCCTTGTGGATCAAACTGAGCCCCCGGTCGGTGGGAAACCGATGTCTCAATTGGGAACAAAGTCGTGATGTCTTCCTTCTTTTCGCGCCCCCAGATACGTACAAACGCATCATTGAATCCTGATGCTGCCTCTACTTACGCCTGTTCCTCGGTGATGTTGAGCCTTGCAGCAGTTTTGACTCGGACTGGCGGCTGATTGGTCGGCGACTTACCGCTTCCGGCGATCCGCGGGTACTGCGCCACCCCACCACCCCCAGCCACCCGCACCCACACATACCGCAGGTTTGACCACACCGTCTCCGCGCGATCCTTGCACGCTCCAACTTGTTGCAGGGCTTATTAATGTAAAAAATAGATTGATCTGTTGCTCTTTCGAGCAAAAGTCAAATTTGAAACGATGTAAGTTATTCCCCCCGCACGTCGTGGGTTCGAACACGCAGCAGATCACTAATACCTACTCAGACAGGTACGTCAACTCGGTCTCAACGATTCAACAACGCATTAACTGTTTTCTCTGTAGAGAAGATTAGCATGGCCCCTGCACGTAAAAAACCTGCCTACCCTTCAAGTCGAACGAATGACTAACTGTGTTGCAGTAAGGATGACACGCATAATCAAAGTGAGCATACAAATTTTTTTGAGGTTGCGGGCGACGAAGTGTGGCACAGCACTTTTTGGGGACTAGCGCCAACCCGCCACAGAGCTGCCCAGCGCCCTGCACCCCCCAAGGCCCCCCCGCGCGTGCCTTCCTGAGTTCCTCAATGATGCAACGTTAATTCAACATCACCAAGACCATGCGACTATGCTCGTAACGCGACGCGATGCAGCCCTCGCGGTTGTGGTCATTTTCGTGGCCTGGGGCCTTGCCGTGAGCTGGCTGCCCGCCTTGCGCTGGGCGGGATACGCCTTCGTCGCGGGCATCCTTGTCGCCTTGGCTTGCTCGCTGGCGATCTTGCTTTTGAGCTCGAGAAGAGTAGCGGCGCGAACGCCGCGATCAAGAGGAGCATTATTCACGGGCTCTGCTTCGTGGAAGAAGGAGGTTGCCGCCCTGCGTCAGCGCCAGACCTACGACCGACCCCAGCTCTTCGAAGAATCGCCCAAGGTCTCCAAGAGTATCGAGCACGTCCTCGACCTCGTCACCCGTGACTTCATACAAAGCTGGTATGGCCATATCAGTCCGAACCCGACGTTCCCGAACGAAGTCAACAAAGCGATTCGACACGCGCTGCTCAGCCTGCAAGCTTCGATCCGCGACAAGGACCTGGCCGAGCTGATCACGAGTCGTATCGTGCCGATCCTCACGACGCATTTCCGAGACTTCTACGATGCCGAGAAGGCGGTTCGAGGGCGCAAGCTCAACAGATCGGTGACAGAATCAGAAGAGCTGGACCTGGCAATTGCCTCAAAGTACAGGGACGGGAGGCTACACCCAGCGGCGTCGTTGTCATTCCCGGACACAAAGATGGTGCAGCAAGATCATCTCAGGACGCTCGTCGCGAAGGTTGTGCCAGCCATTCTTCCAGACTACATGCTGTCTAGTCGGGCTGTGTTGACACTGATACGGGAAATCGTGGGTTGTGCAGTCCTCTTCCCCGTCTTCCAGATGTTGTCGGACCCAGATACATGGAACCAAATTATGGAAAATTACGGTCGTTCCATGCTGCAGGATAGATCTACTGTTCGAAAACTCAGAGCCGCGCTCGACCAACACGCATCGCCGAATCCAAAGGCGGGCAAGCAGGCGCTGGCCCCCCGCATCAATCCAGGGGACAGTGAACGCAAGTTTGAAAAATTCATTCGCGCGATACGCAAGGTGAACAATCTTTCGGACGCACGCCGCTTCCGCAGCGAAGTGGCGAGTCAGCTGAAGAGAGATTCGTTGCAGGACAATCCGGACCCGGTCTATGTGCGTCGGCTGGAAATGGGCAAGCGACTTCTCGACCAAAAGGTCAACATTCTTGCGGCTGGAGGGGATAAGCGTACTGCGACCGCCATGGCGCCGGCCGTGCCCACGACGTCCCGACTTCAGGATGCCCCGCTCGATGAGCTTCTTCGGGACTCTTCTGGTTTGTCCTATTTCATGGAGTACATGGACCGGCAGGGCTTGATGTCACTGGTACAGTTCTGGCTAGTGGTCGACGGCTTTCGTAATCCGCTGGAGGACGAGGGCCACGATGACGAACAGCTGCCGCCAAACCTGCCCATGTGGACAGAGTCCGACCGGCTTGATTTGCAGCAAATTCAGCAAGCGTATCTCTCCAAGCCAGAGCTCAAGGTTCCAACGTCATCCAAGCAGGAGGTGAAGGATTTCCTACAAGCAGGCAAGGCCGCAACGCCGACCCAGTATCACCAGGCGCGACAAGCCATTTTGAAGGCGCAGACAGCTGTACTAGACGAGATGAAGAATCGATTTTTCCAAGCTTTCAAAAAGTCCGACTTGTTTTACAAGTGCCTCGCTGCGGAAGAGGCAGCGCACAGCAAAACTGCGGCACCAGCGCCTCCGGAGAATACGACGATTTCGTCCACCCCGAGACCAGATTACCGTGCTTCGGCATCATACCAAGCCAAACCAAAGCCAATTTCGAGACTGGCGCCTCCGCCAACTCACATGACACGACGCGCTGGATCGACGTCTGACTTGCGAGCGCTGAATGCAGGTAGCAACGGCTCAGATGTGCCTGGTCGGAGGTCATTGGATGAAGGAGTTTCGACACCTCTTTTCGACGATGGCGACTTGGATCATGACGGCATGGCCGATTCTGTTGCGAGTCTGGACCAAAATGGACAGCAAGGACCAGATACTCAAGTCGTGCAGGCTATGGAAGAAGCTCTTAGTAACATCATGGGCGACGACAGGCCACAGACTGCCGAGGATCTGCGAGAGTCTCTGTTTGGTGCGGAGGTTGAGGACCAGAGATCTGCAGGCTTCTCCAATAACGACAACGACTCGCATCGCGGCTCCATCGATTCGGGCCAGCCCCTGCTCAGCGGCGGGAAAGAGGCTGACAAGCCTAGTCTATCGTCTCTCGGCCTCGTCAGTGCGGCGTCGCGGATTGGCGTATTTGTCGACGATGACCTTTTTGCGGACGAGGATAAGTACCTCCCAGCGGAAGATGATGGCGAAGAAGCAGCTGCGGGCGAAGATGAAGATGAGGTTCACGAGGCAGCACCTGGGGATCTTGGTCTGGCAGAGGCCATTGCCGTTTTGACAGCTGATATCGACCGTCTACAAACACAAGAGGCCATTGTGGAATCATTGACGAGGAAGGCCGAGTTGACCAACAACACTGCCGAACTTCGCATCCTGAGAAAATCCAAGGCTAGTCTCCAACGGGAGATACGACGAAAGGAGCTTCAGCGTTCCCAGTACACGGTTCAAGAAAGCGACAACAGCTTGTACGGCCGATCGTCGATCAAGATCAACTCCATCCAGGTTGGCAAAGATGAGGAGGGAAGAGAGTTCGCGCTCTACGTGATTGAAGTGCAGCGGGATGCAGGGGAGCAGATGCCGGCAGCGTCATGGGTTGTCACTCGACGATACAGCGAGTTCCACGAGCTCCATCAGAAGCTGCGATCGCGGTATCCGTCGGTGCGCAACCTCGACTTCCCCAGACGCCGCGTCGTGATGAAGTTCCAGAGCGAGTTTCTGCGGAAGAGACGGCTGTCTCTGGAGAAATTCATGCGAGAGCTGCTACTTCTGCCCGACGTGTGTCGCAGCCGTGAGCTGAGGGCGTTCCTCTCACAGAGCCCGCTCGCCCAGGCGCAAGACATTATGGATCACGCAGACAAGAAGGACATGATGACACGATTTTACGACTCCGTCACAGACGGCATGGAGGATATTCTTGGCAACATTCCCGTGCTGGACCAGATATCGGTGGCGGGCCAAAACCTCCTCGCCGCAGCTACGAGTCAACTGAACTCGATGCCAATCAACGTCAACGAGGAGACGTTCCCAGCAGCAGAGGCGGAGGCTGAGCTGAACGCATTCGAGAATAAAGAACTCGAGCCGTTCATCAAGCCGATTTGCGACATTTTCTTGGAGGTTTTTGAACTCAACAAGGGCAATAATTGGCTACGAGGGCGTGCTGCCGTCGTGGTTCTCCAGCAGTTACTGGGTGGCACGATTGAGCGCAAGGTGCGTGACAATGTCAAGATGCTGGTACAGGAGGACAGCATCTTGCGCTACGTGGCCATGGTGCAAGACTCACTTTGGCCTGGCGGCGAGCTGAACCGAGAGCGCAAGCCACGAACAGCAGCGGAGAAGAAGAAGACGCGAACCGAGGCAAGCCTGATGCTGGCAACATTGGTGCCCGATCTGGCGGGCAACGTGGTAGGCAGGGTGAACGCACAGGTAGCCAGTCGGCGCATCTTTGCCACCTTGAACAACCCGCGACTCAAGTATGTCACCAGGCTGACTTTTGTTTGAGTGAGGGCTGACAGTTTCTAGTGCGCACTTGATGTTTACGATTCTAGACGAAGTGGTATCTGTGCTTTTCGTCTAGGGCAGCTAATATGGCATAGCATGGAGTTGGGCGCATCATATCAATAGATTCATTAATAATCCAGTCTTGAGGCTCGTAGAGGATAGCATATCATATGTATTCCCATATTCTGGCGATGATGCAGCGCTGCAGCGTGCGCGCTCCACTTTCTGAAATCCGGGGGTGCTCAAATTATTATGTCAGCAGCGCGACGCAAACACGGCACACTGACCTTCTCCTCACCTTGATCGAGAGCTGCTGCGCCCTCCGCCATCATCCCAGCAACATAACCCGAGTCCGTTCCCAATCCATCGCAACCGGCCATCATCATCTTCCACTCCCAGGCCCGGTGTTTGCTTCTGCGCTCGAACAAAGGACTCCTCCCACCGGATTTTCTCCCTCCCTCTGGCTCCCCCCAAGGTCGCGCGCGAGCAATCGTGCTCCGTCCCCAACAGTCACCATGACTGAAGTCTCGGCCACCCGCCTGTATCTAGGCAATCTCCCACGCGAAGGTCCATACGCCATCTCTCCTAGTCTTCCTGTTCGCTCTGGCTGCTGCATCGAGGGACCATCAACTGACGCGGATTTCTTGCATACGAATAGCTACAAAGACTGATATCGAGACGCACTTTGCGACCCATGGCACCGGAGAGATCACAGAGATCAAGCTCATGAATGGCTTCGGCTTCATCGAGTACAAGGATCCCATGGATGCGCGCGATGTCGTTCCAGGTAATTACGCAATGCGCGATGAACTACGCTGGATTTCCCTGCTAACATTGTCTTCCCAGCCTTCCGTACGTGATGCGACCGTCAACCCCGACACCTTGGACCCCCCCTCGCTAATATTGGCAAGATGGATCGGATCTCATGGGCTCGCGACTCACCGTGCAATTCGCTCGAGGCAGCCGCCAGCGCGAAGGTCCCGCCCCCGGTGGCCCTGGTGAATATGGAGCTCGTGAGCGCGGACCGCCCCGCCCTCGGAGGACGCCTCATCGAATGCAACTCACTGGTCTTCCCGCAGAGACCAGCTGGCAGGTCTGTTGCCCTATTTTCTTCCCTCGGACGCCCGGACCGTCGTCACCGGACAGTGACTTACTTGGATTGCTGGACAGGACCTCAAGGACTTTGCCCGTCAGTCCAGTCTTGACGTTGTGTACTCGGAGACGCCGCGCGATGGCAGCGGCAAAGGGTAAGACGCTCACCGCTGCTCGAGGATACGTCTTGCTGACAATGTAGCTTTGTCGAGTTTGAATCCGCCGCTGACTTGAGGACCGCCGTGGAGAAACTGGACGGAACCGAGTTTAAGGGAAGCCGTGTCACATGCATTGCCGATGTAGGTTCTCTGGCTGTCATGTATTGTTCATTCTGACCGTATCCAGACGCAGCCAGACTTCCCACCTCCGCGAGGCCGATCTCGCTCTCCAGGTGGCTTCCGTGGCCGCGGCCGGTACGGTGCTCCTCCCATGGACGACTACGACCGCCGGGGCCCCCCTCGTCGCGATGGACCACCGTACGGTTACCGTGACCGCAGCCCCCGCCGCGACTACTACGACGACCGTGGCGGTCGGGGTGGCTACCGCTCGCCCCCTCGTGGACCCTTGGACGACTACCCTCCCCCAGGACCTCCTCGCGGTCGCTACGATGACCCTTACCGCCGGGACTATGGACCGCCTCCTGACCCTTATGGTGCGCCTCGGCCATATGATCGCCCTCCACCACCCAGGGACTTCCCTCCTCGAGATGCACCGGGAGGTGGCTATCCGCCTAGGGATGCGCCGTACCCACCTCGCGACTATGACCGCGGTGGTCGCTACTGGTAAATACATCTCTTTGCTCTTTGCGCTCTGCATTTGTGTGTTGTATTTGAGATCTATGCTGCGCCCTTGGCGGAACCGTCCTTGACTGGAGGTACTAGATTGTTACCAACCAAGCAGACGAATACGCCTACGAGTCCGAACCACCGCATGAGAAAAGTGTACAATGAACAGGAAGTGAACGCGTGGCAAGTTTTATGGAATCTAGGTCGGCGTGAGAAACAGGGGAAAGGGATTTCACATGTGGCAAGTACCAACGATTCTTTTTCTTAATGATGGTTATGTGCGATACGAGGGCTGCTGGCCTTGATGATGTCTGAGCTGTGCGGTATCGCAGCAGAAGACCCGGAAGGCTCAGTGTTGTAAGACTATGCAGACCTGACTTGCTGCCCACGTCTATTTCTTTTTGCAATTTCGTAACAAAATCAATGACAGTGCTTTTTTCTCTTACAAAACACTGGATTATGACGCTTCTATTACAAAGGTGCATGAGAGATGATATAGAAATACTTGGTATACACATCCGATCCTTAGGCCGTCTTCTTCCATTGGTTGTAGACGCCAATCAAACTGCTGACGGTACCGGCGAGACCGACGACACCGTCGTCAAAGTTGACCCAGGCAAGGGCGGAAAGAGGAACGGTCAGATCGCAAAGATCCGAAGTGAGCTGCATCTTGCTCACGGCGCGTTCGCTGCAAAGTCTCATTAGTATCGCGCCTCGACGTACAAGTCAGGGTCACTTACACTGTGATGCGCTTGCTCTCGACGACGCCTTCGCCGTCCTTCTTGTCCACCTTGGCTTCGCGCTGCTTCAGTTTCCAGAGCGTATAGACCTGGGCGACAACGCTAAAGGTCAGACCCATGGCCCAGAACCGATATGCCTCAGTCTGCAGCCTCTTTGCGCCCTCCCACTTGCGGATACCGGCCGCATCCAGGACGGTACCGGCGTCAAAGGTCAGGTAGCCGGCATAGCCCAGCTGCCGTCCCACGGTGGTGTAGCGCAGGACGGGGTCCATGCTCTTGGCGTCGGTCGCGGTGGCGGCGGCCTTGAGGTGCTCAATGTTCTTGCCGATGCGGAGGAACTTGCGGACGAGGCCAAACTGCTTCTTGGTGGCGGTCCATGGCGCGATGGCGGCCGGCGTGGCGTTGGTGCGGAGGAGGTACCACGCGTAGAAGCGAGCAAAGTACTGGATCGTCCGGAGGAGCTTGTCGCGCCCGAGCGTCGTGGAGAGGAACTTGAGGTAGTGCGCCACCGAAGGGTGGTAGACGAGCGCGTCGGCAACCATGGTCAATGTCAGTTGTTGAGAGAGATCAGCCTGTCGATGAGGATCCAAAGAAAAAAAGACGACGCGATGGGATGGGTTGCGACGATGGATGATGGTGGTTGCCCCAGACGAGCAGCGTTCCCAAATCTGGGGAGCAATTCGGACTCACATGCCGAGGTATTGGTGACCCCACAGGCGAGGATAAGCACCTCAGCGATGGAGGGCGTCGCCGAGCATTGCCAGCCGTGGCACTTCCTCCCGGCGGGAAGGCCGACGACGGCGCACGTGAACAATGGGCGCCTGAGGCATCATATTTCAGCCACAGCCAGCACTAGCCACACGGGAGAACTGAGAGCCGCCTCGAGATTCAGACCTTCGGATCAGTCAAAAGTCAGGGCTCCACGAAGATGCATCTCGCTATTGCATAGCCGAGCTGGTCGGGTGTGGAGAAGAATCGAACGTACCCCGAATTCCCATGACAAGGCCGGACCTGTTGTCACTTGTCGATGGAGGACGAGCCCTTCCGCCGACCCGGGATATTCTCTTGCCCACCCGACAATTGGGTGCCAAAGGCAGTTTCTCCGACGACAATGGGCGATGATAACCGCCAGATGTGTCACGATGCAGTCTAGAGGCGTCTTTCGGCGCGCGCATCTGGAGACAGCGCGCGTGGGGTGCCCTGATCGTCCCGGACCCGGGGAGCAAGCAGAGGGTGATGCTCGGGGTAGGCGCCGCGAGATGTGCCCATTGATTTAAACACTACCGGCCCGCCCAGTCGTCATGGCTGACTCTTCTCCATCTTTCGGTTCATTCTTTATAAATACGGCTCGAAGCCTCTGCATTTATTACTCTGGATTCTGTCTCGTGACAGCTATTACCCCGCGTGCCCCTCATCGTGATACTTTCGCGCCCTCGATTTCATCATAAGCCAAAGTTGACCAAGAGGAATTCCGTTGCGATTTCTACAAAGCACCTCTCTCCGACACACAAGACAAAAACATACCACCGGCACAATGTCAGGCAGCATGGGCGAGACCGAAAAGGTCAACACCAACATCATCACCTTGACTCGCTTCTTGACCGAAGAGCAAGCCAAGTTCCCCGAGGCTACTGGTGACTTCACGTGAGCTTGAATGACCCCTCGTGAGAAGTAAGCCAACTAACAAACCGCAAGACTTCTCTGCCACGCTCTGCAGTTCGCTTTCAAGTCAATTGCGTACTACATCCGCCGCGCGACCCTCGTCAACCTCACTGGCCTCGCCGGTTCCTCCAACATCACGGGCGATGACCAGAAGAAGCTCGACGTCATCTCCAATGACCTCTTCATCGAGGCCATGCGCTCCTGCGGCAAGGTCGCCCTCCTCGTCTCCGAGGAGGAGGACGAGGTGATCTACTTCAGCGACGCCAAGGGCGCCCGCTACGCCGTGGCCTGCGACCCCATTGACGGCTCCTCCAACCTGGACGCCGGTGTCTCCGTCGGCACCATCTTTGGCATCCACAAGCTCCCCGAGGGCAGCACCGGCACCAAGGAGGACATCCTCAAGCCCGGCGCCGAGCTCCTCGCCTCCGGCTTCACCATGTACGGCGCCTCCACCCAGCTCGTCCTCACCATGAAGGGCGCCACCGTCAACGGCTTCACCCTCGACAACGGCGTCGGCGAGTTCATCCTCACACACCCGGACATGCGCCTGCCCCGCTCGCGGGCCATCTACTCCGTCAACGAGGGTAACTCGCTCTACTGGGACGACCAGACCAACAACTACTTCAACTCGCTCAAGCTGGCCCAGGCCGACGGCAAGCCCTACAGCTCCCGCTACATCGGCTCCATGGTGGCGGATGCCTACCGAACCCTCTTGTACGGCGGTATCTTTGCCTACCCCGCCGACAAGAAGAGCCCCAAGGGCAAGCTGCGTATCCTGTACGAGTGTGCGCCCATGGCCCAAGTGTTTGAGAATGGTGAGTTCTTCTTTCTCCGCGTGTTTTCAATTGTATCTGACTGTGTTGCAGCTGGTGGCCAGGCCGTCGACAGCCAGATGAGGAGGATGCTGGACGTGGCCCCTGAACACATCCACGACCGCGCTGGTATTTTCATGGGCAGCTGGGATGAGATGGAAAAGGTCAAGGGCTTCTTCAAATAGACGCATTCGACTCCAAATCGTAAAAATCAAGCACTGAGTACTGCTTCATAAAATCATAGGGTCGGTCAATGTCCCACGATTCTTCGTGGCCGCAAACTCACCAGGCCTTGCCCATATGTACTTGCCAGCTTCCTGTCGCAGATAGGGCCTCATCCTTGATTATCATCACACCCAATGGCAGTATACGCCTTCTCAAATGGACCAGACAGCTCTTTATTCATACTACCCACTCACCACGGCGGATCCTCCAGGCGCCGGAACAGCGCGACGAACTTCTCACCTTGGTTCCGCGTAACCTTTTTCCCCTCCTCCGTTTCCGTCATCATGACCTTTGTGCACTCGTCCGCCTCTTCTTCTTCCTTGCTCAACCGCTCGAATGACGGATGCGCATCCAGATGCTCCACCATCCACTCGTGCAACGACTTGACGTCCGTAATCGTGTAGACGATACCTCCCGGCCGGAGCGCGTACGCGTACTCCGAGTTGAGCGTCGTCGAGATGATGCGCGCCTTGTGCTTGCGGGCTTTAAAGTGCGGGTCGGGGAAGCAGATGAAGATCTTGCTGAGTTGACCCTTGCGGAAAAAGTTGGGGAGGAACTTCATGGTGTTGGCACGAAGACAGGCGGCGTTCTGGTAGGGACCTCCGGGGTTCTGGGTGCGCAGAGCCCATATTTTCTCCTGGACGTAGGCTGTGACCTGAGACCGAATTTCGAGACCTAGAGAGTTGTTTAGTCTTGGGCACATGACAGGACGCAAAGGCTCACCTTACCTAGCATGAGTTTATCTGGTAGAAGTGGCGATAGCGCCATCAAGAGCCCTCCAAAGCCGCACCCAATGTCCACCACTTCGACATCCTTGGTCAATCGCTTCGGACTCACGTCATCCGAGGCCGAATCCTGTACGTAGTCTGGAAAGTATGTTGACCAATCCATCGCGTCCGGCGAGGCTGGGCTATTCACAGTCAGTCATAGCCCTGACAAGTCTTAGCACGTGAGACTCACTAGGTGAGGGTATGGTCTGAGAAGGGATTCGCATGCGCTCGCTGTCGATAGAAGCGTTTCCGTGGTAGCTGGGCAAGGCCATCTTGGGCTTTCGACTTTTGGTACTGCGCGCGATGCGCTTTCTTCTTGCCTTCGGTGACCATTTTGCTGCTGCAACAGGATCGTGCGCTGCCTCCGTGCTCAATTTGGGATGAGAGCCTCACAAGAAAGTTTGGTGGTGATGGTGACTTTCACAATGAGACGAATGGGGAAGGCGGTGAACACTTGTCCGGCGAGCGGCAGATACGCTGTGCTGTGCGCTGCGTCAGGTACGCCCAGCCCGAGGCAGCCCAAAATGAAATGCGTGCGCCCGACGATCCGGCTGGGCCATCTTCGATGATGGACCCTGCATTTCCCATTTACCATCAACAACATTCCCATCCATGGTCCCGAACCAGCATCTCACAATCTCACCATGGCAGGCTCCACAGACGATGCGGCATGGACTCTGGCAAAGTTGCCGATTCCAAGTTACCAGATCTTCGTTCGCTACATCTGTTTCGCATGTGTAAGTAGGCCAAGCCCCCTGGCTCGCGCTCGGCGCTTTACTAACTCGTCACAAAGGCTGGTATCGGCCTTCTCTTCATCCTTCCGTTCCTCTTCCTGATCGTGCTCGATATCGTGCTCTGGATATGGCGGACTTGCTTCAATAGCAAAAAGCACCGGCCGAACGAACACCAGCCCGACGAGAGACTACCTGATGGAGCCACCACAACGGCTGTCGACGACAGCAAAGGACACCATCGGTCGAGCATGCACTGAGAAGTATCGGCGAGCATCAATCACTTTAATTTCCAACAATCGAAACTACGAAATCTGCCTCAACACCTTGAGAAGGTCGCCAGTCACACCCATAGCCGTCACATCACCACCGGCACCTGCACCCTGGACGATGAGCGGGTTCGACCCGTACCTCTCGGTGTAGAAGTTGATAATGTTGTCGCTTCCCTGCAGGGCAGCAATGGGGTGCGATGCATCAAACTTCTCCAGACCGACCTTGACACTCTTGCTGCCGACATCGATGCTGCCGACAAAGCGAACGACCTTGCCTGCCTTCTCGGCCTCGGCCTTGACCTCCTCCATCTGCGAATCGAACTCGGGCAGCTTCTTCAAGAACTCGTCGCCGCTGCTGCAGGACTCGAGCTCCTTGGGAATCAGGCTCTGGACAGGGAAACTCTCGGGCGACTCGACGGGGATGCCGGCAATACGGGCGAGGATGGTTAGCTTGCGGGCCACATCAAGACCGTTCAGGTCGTCGCGGGGGTCGGGCTCGGTGTATCCCAGGCTCTGGGCCTTCTTGACCTCGGCCGACCACTTGCCGCCTTGGCCGGCGACGGGGGCGAAGGAGTTGAAGAGGAAGGACATGGTGCCGCTGAAGACACCCTCAATCTTGGTGACCTTGTCGCCAGTGTCAATGAGCTCGTTCAGGGTCGAGATGACGGGCAGCCCAGCACCGACGGACGACTCGTGGTAGACCTTGGCACCGGACGAAGAGGCAGCCGAGAAGATTTCCTGCCACAGCTTGTAGGACCCAGAGAAGGCCTTCTTGTTGGGGGTCACGACAGAGATACCCTTGCGCAGGAAGGATGGGTACAGGTCCGCAACATCTTGCGAGCTGGTGTTGTCGACGAGGACGACCGGGTGAGGCGAGCCGGAGAGGTAGTCGACAGTCGCGGGCAGGGCGTGGGGTGTCTTGGAGGACGACGCGAGGGTGTCAATGGCACTGCCGACGTCAATGGGCGCAAAGTTGTCGTTGTACACTGCCTTACGGCTCGTGGCGATGTAGACGAGGTTCAGCTTGGGCGAGGGCTTGCGAGCAGCCAGGCCTTGGAGCTGGGACAGGAAGCACTTGCCGACGCCGCCGGCGCCTGTACTAGAGTTAGAATGGCAGAAGACACATAGAGAGCGCAGGCCAGCTCACCAATGACAGCAATGTTAACTTGGCTAGCTGGAGACATGTTTGAGGTTGCTTGGGTGGACTGTAGAGTGGTGAGGTGAGTGAGGGACAAAATCGAGGGTCCGATGGCGGGGCAGTTGATGTTGGTGAAGACGTGCCTGCCCCACGTCACTGCACACTGCAGTGGCAGTTACATTTAGTTGGCCATTTCACAATATCGATGCTGAAGTAGTGTTGAACCTGTTAAGTGGTCAATTGATATTTCCTGTCTCAAAAGGGTATTCATTCATCTAAAGCAAACTGTGTCTGAGAACCGTCGTCTCGTTGCACGTCCAAGTTATAATTGTCCGAAGCAAATTGGGCCGCTCCGGGATTCGGTACGTCGAAGCTGAGACGCTTACCCTATACCTCCTCCAAATTGTTAATGACGTGCTAGTAATAGGTATCGTTTCATGTTCGCCATCAATCACTCACCGCAAAGACAATCTTCAAGAGAATCAAGGCCCCCTACATGAATGACCCCGTGGCCTCTTGTGACTTTTGGGAGCAGCTGTAGCCTAAGGCACTCTTAACCAGACCGGTTGACTCACCGCACTTTCCAGAAACTCACGCCACAAGCAGTTCATTGACACATTTCCACATTTACAACGCCATGCCACAAGACCCAAATCTTTACGGCCAACGGCCGCCCAAGAAGCAAAAACGCGACACGAATCTCACATCCTCTCTGGACTTCACGGCGCAGCTCAGCTCGCTCATGTCCAAAGGCGCATCTTCACAACCACCGGCGGGACGTTCAAGACCATCGCGGGAGCCCAAGGACGGCGTATTCCGTAGCAAAGCCAAGGCTCAACAAGACGACGAGGAGAGAGACAACAAGCTAGTCATCAAACATGTCGCCGGCACAGAAGACGAAGCACAGGAACGCGCACGCGCGAAGCGCATCATGGAGAACAAGGCGCGTCTGTATGCCGCAATGAAGAGAGGCGACTACGTTGCCAAGGAGAATGAGGCAGCACCTCTGATCGATTTCGACCGCAAATGGGCCGATGAAGTCGAAGGCAAAGACGACCACGCGACCAGTTCTGACGACGAGGACGACGAGGACGACGGCAGAGGCGACCAGATGGTGGAACACGAGGACGAATTCGGGCGCATACGACAAGTGAAGCGATCCGAAAAGGAGCGTCTCGAAAGGAGGGCAAAGCGCGGGCTGCTCGGCGCAGAGGAACTAGAGCGCATGTCAGCCAGACCTAGCGCACCCAGCAAACTGATCCACGGCGACGCGGTCCAATCCATGGCTTTCAATCCCGAGGACGCAGACAAGATGGAGGCCCTCGCACGGAAGCGAGACCGGAGCGCAACGCCGCCCGAGCTGAAACACTACGACGCTGACTGGGAAATTCGCACAAAGGGCACGGGATTCTACAAGTTCAGCAAGGATGAGGAGATAAGGGCCAAGGAGATGCAGAATCTCGAGGAGGAGCGGAATCAGACAGAGAAGCTCCGCAAGGAGCGCGAGGCACAGAAAGAGGCACGGCGCAAGGAGATTGAGCAGCGACGGAAGGACATGGCCGCGCGAAGGGCGCAAAAGCAGGCAGACAGTTTCCTGGACGGTTTGGGCGGTTGATTGCGATTCATCGGCTCGAGGCACCGCCATCATCCTGCCTGCACATCAGCACAACTCCGCCTCATTAGGCGACACGGATTGTTGTGCCGTTTCCGACGTCAAATGGATACCTGGTCCCGCCTCGCGTTTCGATGCCACCAATTCGTCGCATGCGTGACTTTTTGTCCGCTTCAGCCTTCAGCTAGCTTCGCATTCATCTGCGCTTGCACAAGCATGTCGCGTCCCGCGGAAGGCTCCCATCCTGCTCAACAGCGAAATGTGTCTTCATGCGGCTCAGTTCGTGGCAGATGATGCTGCTTATGCAATCAGCGACACCAAGGAAGTGTGGGCGTAGCCAATCGACGATGGCTTCAACGAGTCGAAATCTTAGAATGCGAGACACATCCCCAGGCTTCCCATGTCTGGGAATCTCAATACATGCGCTGACCAATCACATGCTGCAGGGCCTGCATTGGTGCGGGACGGCAGGTGTGACTCACACGGTCGGCCGGGGCTTAATCCAAAGGGCGCAGAGGATTGGCAGGTCCTACCTAACACCTTTGCACTATAGACTACCATCTAGCAGATAGCAGGTACATACCGCCCCGCATGCCTCGCCGACAGGGCAAGTGCGCGCAACGAGCACCGCTGCCTCGGAAATCTGGCTTAAAAATCCAAATGCCCTCCCACCTGCCCAATTCCGCCTCTCCTTTCTTCCGACTTTTTCTCCAACCCAAACCACCATCACCAAAGACTTCAAGATATTACCAGTGCCACAGGCGACCTTCAAGATGCGATAAATCACCCCCCCTCCAACCGCCACTATTCAGTCTTCAAAGATATACAATATAAACATCCCCACTCCAAGCTCCCCAAATCACCACTCGGTCGATTTGAACTATAGCACTACGGCATCGCCAGCTTCGCGCACCAGTTCCCTCACCACCGCCACCATTTCAGGCTTAGACTTCCCAGTCTTCACCACGGATCCTCAGTCATCATGGCTTCCCCAACCATCTTCCAACCCGCCGGACCCAACCGAGCACCAGTCGCAACAACAACCACAACAGGACTTTGTCTTGTTCGACAGCCCGCAACCGCGTCACGGCCCTAGCCGATCTACCAACCTTTACAGCCAACGCCGAGTCTCTCAGATCATCCAGGCTTCAGGAAAGCAATCGTCTACTTCCGTCAACGCAAATCGCTCCGGTCAACAACAATACTTCGCATCTTCCGCGCCCTCGTCTCCCGCCACGCTGAATCACTCATCTCGACCCAACAGACCCCCCGTGCCACTTTTCCATCAGAGCACCGGTAGCGTCCCAACTGCCAAGATGATGAACGCAGCAGGTTTGTCTACCGAGCCAGAATCACCAGAGAACATGCACTTACACATATCAGACGTCGACTTGGGCGAGTACGTCCCGTTCGAGGGCGAGGGCCACACGGCCTTCTCCTCGCCGGCGATGCCCACCTCGTTCGAGTTCTCTGGCAGCGTTTCCAGCTCCGCCTCGAACTTGGGTACCGTCTCTCCCCATGACCTTCTCGTCAACGAGCCCTTCATGTCCGCTCCCAACTCGTCAGCCCTCACAGCGCTGACGTCGCCTTCCATCAACGAGTCTCCCGACTTTGACCCGTACGATGTATCGCCTCACTTTGGCAGCGCGGATTTCGATGGCCCTCCCGCCGATGCTTGGTACTCCTTGTTCCCCACTGAGGCTCCTCTAGCCGACGCGCAACCGCAGCTGCAGCAGCAGCCGCCCCGTCTGCAGCCGGCTAGCGTTGACAACTCTCCTGCTCAGCAGTCGGATGACCTCAGCTCGTCTGAGCGTCCTCTGACTGGCACCCGGCGCAAGTCGGATCAGTCCCCGCCTTCGTCCACTCGTCACTCGTCTGTCTCGGGCGTCAACTCGCGCAAGCGAGACAAGCCCCTGCCCCCCATCATCATTGACGATCCCAATGACACGACTGCCATGAAGCGTGCGCGAAACACGCTTGCTGCCCGCAAGTCAAGGGAACGCAAGGCGCAGCGACTGGACGAGCTTGAGGCGCAGATTGCCAAGCTTGAGCAGGAGCGTGACCACTGGAAGAACATTGCTTTGTCCAAGTGAAAAAGAAAAAAAGGTCCCCCGGGATTGGAAGAAAAGTTGTTGCTTTTGTCCATTGTTTTCCTACTTCTATCGTTTCTTACCGTGTTGTCACTGCAGGATCTGTGGTGCCTGAGCTGTGCCAGACAGCTTTTGTTAGTGTTTAGGGATACCATTGAATTTTAATACTTGACCTCGCTTTGTCTGTGCGCCATTTGTATCATTGTGACTTTGTTAAATGCCCTGGGCAGGTCGAAAGCAGTTAGCCTCTATGTAGTGGATGACCCCTGAGAACATCCATATCTGAGATGAGAGCCCCATGACCGCCGGGCATTAACCTGCACAGATCTCGATGAAGAGTGCAGAGATGCTGTATGTCATAAAAATCGTATTGGGGTATCTCAAAACAACCCAATCGCTCGCTAATTTAAATAATCCAACTGCTCGCTATTTCAAAGAGATCATCATCGTGAAAAGGAAATGTCAGCCATCAGCTAAAGGTGCCCGGGTCCGCCCCAAAGTACCCCTTTTCTGGCAACACCGTCTTGTGTCGACACAAGCCCGGTTCGGCCTCGCATCCTTGGGCAATCACTGTATTGCCCCACCAGACAATGGCCACGTCGCTAAAGGAGATGCTAAAGAACTGGATGAGGGCGCTGATGGCAATGCCAGCTGAGAAGGCGGCGGAGAGAACAAAATTGTACTACCAAATTATCAGCATCTGTATCTTACAAGGGGGAAAAGGGGGACAACATACCTTGGACCACAGAGACAGGTAGCGGCCCTTGATGTAGAGCCACGAGAAGGCGGCGACCGGTATGGCGGGCCAGATATATGTCAAATTGTAGGGAGCCCAGAGGATGCCACCGTAGGTGAGGAGGACGGGATGGATCGTGCGCAGGGCGTTGTTCTTGGGCCACTTGCGCGCGAGGAGGTAGCAAACGACGACGAGGGCGGCGCCAAAGGGGAAGCCGACGAGGGTCGGGCTGTACAGGCCGCCGACGCCCCAGAGCTTCTTGGGTCCGACGGTGCCCCAGAGGACGGCGGAGGTGAAGAAGGAGTTGACGCTGGGGCAGGTGAAGCGGAAGGGGGCGTCGGGCGTGCAGATGTTGGGCAGGTGGATCTGATACTGCAGGATGGCGACGCAGACAAAGGTCGAGACGAGGGTGGGGACGATCTGGGCGCAAAAGGTCATGCGCGGCGGGATCTTGAGGTAGTGCGCGAGCTTGAGGTCGTTGGAGAAGTGGAGGGCGTGGCTGCAGGTGATGTAGCCGTAGGCCTTGAAGAAGCACATAGCGAGGGCGTTGCCCTCGACCCAGGAGCCGCCGATGAACTCGGCGAGGACGTTGAGGGAGACCTCGACGCCGGTCATGGCGTAGATGATGCCGATGGGCACGACAAAGATCAGGGCCAGTGCGATGCCGAAGAAGACGGTGCCGACGGAGGTGTTGGTCTCCCAGCAGCCGATGGCGACGCAGCCAAAGACGGTGGAGAGGAGCAGGACGATGAGGTACCACCACTCGGGCACCTCCCGGTAGGACTTCATCAGGCGGTTGTGCACGTCGAGCACGCGGCCCTTTTCGACGATGCCCTTTTTGGACGGGAGGAAGCTGTTGTAGAGGTCTTTGAAGCCCATGGCCATCTCGTGGCGGTGGTATAGGATGCCGTAGACGACTGTCGCGCTGTAGACGGCAAAGAAGGCGAGGTAGGTCATCATACTGCCCGCGGTGATGTGGGGGATGGAGTAGGCCTGGTAGGCTTCCTCGCTAATGATGCCCCTGGCGTCGAGGATGCGCGTGACGTTGTAGGGCATGCCTGTGTTGTCGTACGGCAGGTTAACGTTGATGGGGAGGTAGGCCATGTTGAAGGCGTTGCCGTAGTACAGGGCGAGAATGATGAAGAAGGAGACGAACGCGCCGATGAACATGTTCAGGGTGGTGAAGAAGGGGACCATCAGGGGGTCGACCCAGAAGACGAAGCGGTTCCAGTCAAAGGTCGGGAAGGGGTTCAAGCCGAGACCCTGCTGGCTCCCGGTGATGATGTTGAGGTCGACGTTCTTGGGGGCGATCCAGGTCATCCAGCTAAAGATGCTGAGCGCGCTGAAGAGGACGTTGGGGAGCCAGAAGTAGGCGAACATGAGGGCGAAGGCGATGGCGAAGAACTTGATGCGTGACGCTCGCCAGATCCTGCCAAAGGGACCCAGGGCCTCGGGGTTGCCCTCGCCATGGAAGGCCGTGTTGAGCGCAATGGTGACCAGCGACGAGGGCCAGACACAGAAGGACGGGTAGACCAGGAACCGGCGGCAGAGACCAGCCAGGCCGTACCCGATAAAGTTGGTGCTCAGCGCGATGAGAAGCTGATAAGGGAAGCTCAAGGCCCACTTCTGGCCAAAGTAGAGGTACTGCGTCCAGACAATGTGGTTGGTGTAAGGGCTGTTCTTGGCGATGCTGGCCATGAGGGTGATTAGCATGTGCTCCTTGCGGTTGAAGGGGCCCGGGTTCAAGCTGTGCCGGACGTCAAAGAGAGTGAAGCCCACGTCGGGCAGGATCTTCTCGAGGAGTTTGCCGAGAGGATACGCCAGCAGCTGCGGCACGTTGGACGTGACAGTAATGGCAGGCTGTCGGATCTCAAAGAAGCCATTGATGAAGGCGATCAAGGCCGAGAAGAAGATGCCAATGACCCAGGCTCGGATGGTCGAGACGGGCATGTCTGGATCGTCATGGTTCGGCACGACGGAGCGTACCTCGGCGTATGGCGAGTTGTTGGTGATGAGGGCCGCCTCCACCTTGATCTCGCTGATGAGAGTTTCGTACTTGTCCGGGTTGGCAAAGACCTCCTCGTTCCCTAGGAAGTCCTCGATCTTGTCGAGGACAGAGGTGGGGAAATTGGGATCACGCTTGTGCAGTTTGTGCACGTTGAGCATGAGCTACATGGTCAGTGAGCGACAGTGGACTGGGAGGATATGTCTTGGACAGCCTTACCTCGCGCACCTCGTCTAACGAGAAGGTCGATGCTAAGTCCTTGGCCTCCAGTAGGTCGTCTTCCGTGACGACTAGATCACTCTGCACGGCTTGGCGGCCATCCCCCTCCACGAACTCTCCGTTGAAGGCATCTGGCTCGGTACTGGACCGGTCATATAAGCTGTTGCTGTTGCTGGTGTCCAGCCGCTCAGGGCTGTGCTTTTCTGTTTCGAGGGCACCCATTGTGACCATGGACGTTTGAAAATGGCCGATGGCTTCAGTATGAATGAACACAAGTTAGTAGTCTATGGACTGGCAGCGGGCATTGCGAGTCGCGGCGTGAATGGAGAGGAGGCGGAGGCCAAGATGCCAATCGCCTGGGACCACTGCGTATATGAACCTCTCCGACTCCTAGTCCAGGATCGGCAGTATCAGACTTCGGGATCCTCGATGTGCAATCATGAGGAGCATCGTGACGATTGTCGATACTACTGTCTCGCCAATCACTTGTCGCCATTTGCCAGTCCATTTTCAGGGTCTGGGGAGATGCTGGCACAGTTGCGTCGAGCGACGGAGGGCAGCGGGCGTGATCGGCGCCAGAACCCTTGATACATGTACGTACCCTGACGGCGTCCGTCTCCCGAGCAAAGGAACAAAGCCGTGGCTTGCAGCGCTCATACGTACTTAGATTCCTGCGAACGAATACTGCAGAATGAGTCTCATGTTAAGTGCATGTGGGAGGGACGTCGTCTGCCGCCGCCCCCACACACGTCATTGGCGATGTTCATTCGCATGTCGTGGAAGCAAACTTGAATACCTCTGCGCGTAGCCAGAGAGACGCCATAATATCGTTAACCCATTGACGACTGTGAAGGGCTTGGTCTAGTTTGGTCAGTTCCAATCCTGGGGTGCTTCATTGAGCCCTTGGCAGGGGTTGTGCTTCGGACGAGAGATACGTAGCATGTCGCCATGCCATCAGATAATATCCTGCACCACGTGTAACGAGCTGCGGATTGGAAGAGACTGTCGTGGACTCGTGGTGCGGCCGTCATGATGCTAGGATGCTACGCGGCGGACAGTCAGGCCAGCCACACACTCGTGATGCTCGTCACCCCATCAAAGGCCAGCGTTCCGCAGCGAGACGTATCAGCTCGCGCGAGCTATTCTTCGAAGCGTGTTTGTAGATGGATTTCCGGGTGATCGAGCCCCGTAGGTGCTTCTCACCCCCGCCGTCTGTGCACGCATCTTGAATCCTACGCGGTCGCGTGTAGGCATACCGATGTCGATCAGGGTCATGGATGGCGGCAGAGCACTCTCGCAGCCTGTAGATAATGCAAAGAAGACCCCGAACCAGGGACGATAAACGGAATGACGTTGGGCTAGACACACAGAGGCTTGACTTGGCGAGGCGTGGAACGGGAAAACGGAAGGGCATGGTGTTGTGAAACCTGATATGGGTAAGGTAGTATTTACAGGGTAAGTCGATGTCTCCCCGCCATCCAGTGAAGGAAGCCGGGCGGAGGCCTCAGCTGGGCCAGCCCATTTGTGAACTTGATCAATCTTTCATCTATTAATAAGACTCAACAAGCACTCGCGTCGATTCTCTTCTTCAAACCACTGCATCTTCTGCGAGATATTGATGTGCCTTCCTTCCACCGGCACTCGTCCAGCATCCAACAGCTCGTCGGCCATTCTGGCCGGGAGCTGCACGTTCGCACCAACAGCCTACAGGTCAGCAAGCAGGGATTTCCTCTCACATGGTTTACTAAACCGTGTCGCTCACCAATTGCCGCTGTTTGTTTACCACTGGCCAGCTCGCACTCGTCAAGGTTGAGACTACCGTAACAATGTGCCCCTGGATGGATGCTGGACACGCTGTACCCATAGCCTAAAGGCATGCTGACTGTATCGTATTCTGACGCAAGTATTATCGTGCCTGTACATTAGCAGCGTGGTCAGCCTTCGCCTCTTACTGCTGTCCAGGAGGCCATCGTCTCCAACATCCGAAATGACGACCCAACCTGCGCCGACGCGCATCGCTATGCGCGATGAACTGTATAACCAGTACTCGTTCATCCAGAACGCAGCCATGCGGGCTGGGCTGGACCTCATCCCCGATTTTAGCCACAGTAAGCGAAGCGAGTCCCTGACCTGCCCATATGAGCCTGAGATCGCCTAGAACATGAATTGGCGGCCATCGACTATGGGTGCTCCCAAGGCAGCAATTCGTACGTGTTCATAAAACCTTCTCTTCAGGGTCCCAACTGCTAAGACCTGGACAGAGTCGAGCCGATGCAGAAGACCATCTCGACACTGCCACAGGGCGCGTCCGCTCAGCTCGTCTTTCAAGACACACCGTATAACGACTTTGCCAGCTTGAACAGGACCGTTGACGAGCACTTTTCGCCTGAAAAGGCTCCCAAGGATGTCCTCCTCACGCCGCACATAGTGCCCGTCAGCTTCTACCGCCAGGTTATGCCCACGGGCTTCGCTGACATTGGCTTCTCCTGGTCATCGCTCAACTATCTCGAGTTCCCACTCAACGTACAGCTGGACGCGACCATGTCCAGCCAAGACTTTGCCACCGCCCGTCACAACGCCGTCGCCGGGGCGGGTGCAGCAGACCTTGTCAAGTTACTGCGTCTGCGCGCCCGTGAGATCAAAGCCGGTGGTTATTTCGTCGCCGCCATTGGCGGGCAGAAGCCTGAAAGTGGGAGCGACACGCTCGAGCCGTCGAACCCGGGTGGACAGCCCATGCAGGCTGGGTTGATGAAGATGGTTGCGCTGGGCAAGCTGACTATGCCTGAGCTCATGCAAAACGCATTGTTTCCCTCGCATGAGCGCACGATCGAGGAGGTCAAGGCTGGGCTGGACGCCGTGTCCGACCTGTGGGAGGTCGAGCACGTGGAACCCAAGCTCATTGTTCACCCCGCGTACGAGACGTACCAGGCGTCGGACAAGAGCCCGGAGGCATTGAGGAAGTACGCAAGCGACTGCATGATGAACATGGTCGCCTCGTCGGGCTGGTTCTGGGTGGACGTGATGAAGAGGAGTAGGGGTCCCGAGTGGGATGGCGGTGATGCGTTTCTGGAGGAACTAACAAACTACATGATCGATGCGTTTGTCGACAAGTGTCCGGATCTCAAGTTCCAGATCTGGTACAATTACATTAGATTGAAGAGGACAGATGTGGCAGCGTAGGAGGAACGTTGCGAGCTACTTTGCCTTTGCCTTCACCTTCACCTTCCATTCGGGACGCTAGATGAAACAACGAAAACCTTCCTCCCTGACAATCCAATCCAATGAACGACCCCGCAATCCGCCAGCTGACTGTCCGCCCTAGGGCGCGCCCGATACACACGATTGACCAGGTCGATCACACGCGCGCCCTCCGCCTGACGACAGGCGGGACAGGGCTGCCAAGTTCCAACGCCCGCTACGCCTCGACGAGCCGCCGCTAGCCGCCAAACTACGTAAAGAACCACTATTTCATACGTAAAAAAAGGCCGACTATTATACATGCCCTTGGCAGGATCCGAGCGTTCCAATGCACATGGGCGGATAGCATGCCACAGTCGTCAATAGCCAGCGGCTCTCCACGATCCGGTGATCTCCAGTTCTCTTCCCCATTCACCAACCAGACTTTGTGGGGTAACGTTGATGGACGAGACGAGACGGATCGTATTTGCAAGCCGTGGTCTCGACTCCACCACTTCCTCCTCTCTCCTCTTGATGAACCCGTAAGAACAAGGACGACGACGACGACACAATGGGTCTCCGCGCCAGCAAGATAGCAGCCACACAGCCCGAAGGCGCGCCTCGCTTCTGGTACCGCGACAACTTCTTCGTCACGACGGACAAGTCGTATCTTCGAGCAGACGATGTGAACAAGGTGTTTGCCTCTGATCTCATGTGGTGGAACGAGGCCATCGAGCCGGCACAGATGGACAAGATGCTCAAAAACTGCCTGACGCTCAGCGTCTGGTGGGTCCCGGAGACAGCAGACGACATGCAAAGTGAGTCGGCCCCGTCTAAGCCTCTGCGCCGCCCATGATGCCCACGATGCAAAAGCTCACCATGTCCCCAGAACACGGAGCCCCCCGACGAAAGGCAGGCAAGGACTTGAAGTTTGCTGGCTTCGCCCGCCTCGTCACCGACTATGTCAGCTTCGCGTACCTGACCGACGTCTTCATCCTGCCCGACTTTCAACGCAGGGGTCTCGCCTCGTGGATGATGCGCAGCGTCAAGGAGATGGTCGACGAGTGGCCCGACCTGCGGGGTTTGATGCTCATGACCCACGACCAGCCCGCGGCTGACATGTACAAGAAGACGCTGGGGGCCGTCGATTTCGAAAAGGGCCCGTCGGCGGGGCTGACAATGTTGGAAATGGCGGGGCGCGCGGAAAAGGGCATTCCTGAGGATCATTGATCGATCTGGCTATGGACTGGGCTGTTTTCGTACTTGGATTTCTTCACCGCGAGAGACCGGCTGCGCGCATCTCAATGGCGCGTTTGTACGGAGGCGCAATGGGGGGCTGGACGGGGTCTAGAGAGACGTAGTCGTCTGGTAGTTGGTAGGAGGCGTCCGAATCGAACGCCGACAAGTCTCCACAGGCGACAAAGGGAGCAATCCACCGAACGTGCTTCTGTTCTTGCGATGTATCCTCCGTCTCGTCGTACACTTGCAACTCGGGAACCTCGTCGCCGCCGGCGGAGAAGGCGGGGGGCTCCAGGCAGCTCCAGGTGGCCCGCGCCGGGTCTTGCATGAGCACGTCCGCCACGACAGGCGTCTGCATCGCCCGCTGCGCGACCATGCGGTCCAGCCTGTCCCCGACGCCGAGGGGCTCGTCCAGGCTGGCACGGAAGCCTGGCGGTGGCCTAAAGTTCAGGCACACAATAAAGGCCTCCACGCTGCTGGCGCGACTGCTCCTCGGCTTGGCCACGACGACCCGCTCAAAGAAGATCTTGAGCTGCGCGTAGAGCACGTCGACGTTGCGGCCGCGGAATATCTTGGCGACAAACTTGCCGCCGGGCTTCAGGACACAGAGCGCGAGGTTCAGCGCAGCAAACAGAAGCTGGGACTGTACGTAGATGTCGAGGTCGTGGAGGCCGGTCACATCAGGCGCGCCATCGCTGATGACGAGGTCGACGGGCTGGGAGGCCTGGTTGCCATTGGGGGCCGCAGCATCGTACTCGGGGTCCAGAGCGGACAGCAGGAGTGGGACGGTCGCGGGATGCGTAATGTCTGCTCGTAGTGTTGTGATACCCGCCAGCGGCGAGATGGGCTGCAGATCAATAGAGACAATCTTGACGTCCTTTCTTGGTTTCGACTCGGTGACCTGCTGGGCCAATTCGGCCTCCAGCTGCGCTCGCTGCTCTGTGGTCTGTTCAGGGAGAACACCCAGCATCTGCTGCCTGAACTTGGCCTCGCGGTCCTGCCATGCGGCCCGGCCGAACGTCTCGCCCTTGATCAGGACGCGCGACAGGACTTGGGACCAGGAGCCCGGGGCGGCGCAGAGGTCGACGACGCGGGAGACATTGGCGAAGAGGTCGAATTCTTCGTCCAGCTGCAGGAGCTTGAAGGCGCTTCGGGCGCGCCACCCTTGCTCTTTGGCGAGCCGGTAGTACGCGTCGCGCTTGTCTTTGGAGGATTTGCCCATGGCGCGCGGTTGTGATCAATGCCTTGGAGAATTTCGCTGCCCCGCGAGGAGTTTGGTGGGATCTGGACGTGAAGGGGGGTAGCAAATGCTTAGTCACGATGGCGGGGTTGATACAGGGTAGGCAGGGTTCTCAGCTAGACGGTCGTCTGTCAACTGACTGACCGACTGATCTTTCATGCTCATATTCACCAAGGTATGTGGTTCCAACCAAATTCTTGGCGAATCATCCGTATAGACCGTCAGAGGCTGGGGGATGATGGTGTATTTGTGAGTACTATATTATTCTGTCCCCAAGTTCCAACCCTGCTGGTGCTGATTCCCAGATATTGTACTCACCATCATCCCCCAGCCTCTGACGGTCAATGGGGATGAGTCGCCTTACCTTGGCACTGTTCAGAGATTATTCTTTGAACAGCCGGAGCTGATATTAAATATGAGCCCATAAGAAGAAACATGCTTGATTTATAGACCAATGCCAGCCAACCCATGCTCCTCCGCCACACAGCCTCCGCAGCAACAACCCAACACCCCTTTTTGACCCCCCCCTGAAGATTACACATTACAATGCCATGTCCTGCCCAGCTACCTCTCAAACGTCCCATCTTCCTTCATCTTCCCTATCAACGGCGCCAGCAATTCCGGCAGAACCGTAGCAGCATCCCCCGCGAACGCAAAGTCGCCCTCCTGCAAGCCATACGTCTCGTTGTGTTCTCGCGCTTTGGGGTCGACAACCACCACGCGTGCCCCTCGTCGTCTGGCTTTGGAGATGAAACCTGCAGCGGGATAGACCTGTGCTGATGTACCCACGACTAAGATCATGTCCTGGGGTCTCTTGTCAGAATACGTCTCCTCTCAGCAAGAACGAAAGAAACATACCACTCCGTCTTTGAGGAACTTTTCCGCCTTGGACAGAGTCCGAAAATCGAGATCCTCGCCAAACCACACTACCGCCGGACGCTGTAGCCCCGTCTTACACAAGGGACATTTGGGCAGCTCCTCCTCCGACACGTGCTTGATGCGGTGGTACGGGTCCAGCAGCGGATTTGGCTCACCGGGAGGAAAGTCTCGAGCGGCAGGCGCCAATGCCTCACACAAGGGGTCGTCCACGTTGTCTTTCTGGGTGAAGCTGCATGATGCGTTGGAGCACTTGATGTCAAACAGGGAGCCGTGCAACAGTAGTAATTGATCCAGCGGGTGGTTGGCTCGTTGTGATAGGTCTTTGTGTGTGTGAGGTTTGTCAGCCAATTTGAAGATTTACATGACTGCGTGCGTCCGTATTTGCAGTATGTATATACGTGAGACGCCTTATATCACTCACTGTCCACGTTCTGTGTCAGGCACATGAATTCATCCTGCTTCGTCCTGGCCAGCTCCGCCATCGCAAAGTGGCCCGCATTGGGCTCTGCTCGCAGCGCCAAGTGCCGTCTGTACGCGTAGAAGAGCCAGACGAGGCCCGGGTCCGTGTTGAAGGCGCGCATGGTGGCCAGGCTCGTGGCCTCGTAGTTGCGCCAGAGGCCACCGGCGCCCCGAAAGGTGGGGAGGCCGGACGACGCGGACAGGCCGGCGCCGCAGAGCGCGAGGAGGCGCGTGGACGAGCGCAGCGCTGCGTGGAAGGCGGTTACATCAGATGACATGGTTTTTGGTTGAGTCGCCCCGGGATACGATGATTTGTTGATGGTGGATGCGTCAGGAAGTACGTGAAAGTGAGACGGCGGTCGCAATCGGGAGGGCATGGCTGCAGCTGCGCCCGCGAACACGAGAGGGGGGTGACAGACAGACAAACAGACACTTTCCCCCAAGTTCCCGGTCCGGCATCGTCCCTGGATGGACGGACGGACTTCTTCTACTTCAAGAACTGCCAAGATGGCCACCGAGCTGGAGCACCGCCCAATTGACACCAAGCAAGCCGTGTTGCATATGTTCCTCGAGACGTTTCTCAATACGTAGTCTTGTTCGTCCTGGAGACGGTCTCGTGGGGGGGAAATTTGGCCAAGCCATTGAAGATTCCCCTCAATGTGCTTCTCATTTTGGTCTAGAACGTTTAGATCAGTCCATGATCGACGAAGCTATGCGGGTTCTGCTGCGGGTGATGCAGGTTGACACTCGGTGCGTGAGCGCAGTGGGTGAATTGATGCAGGGTAGGCAGATGGGGTTGGTGCTCGGAGCCCACATGCACGTGCGTCCATCGTGTACACGTAGTAGGAACAGACATTGCCTGATAAAATATGAAGCGAGCCTTTAACTTGTAATATTCCATCAATGTTGCGCTGGGCGGAGTAGCAGTGTTATCGTACGTGCTTGCATATGTCTGTGCGGTCCCGCCAGAGCACTCGTCATGCGCAACTACCCTACAGCATGAACAAGAGCAATGTTGGCTTTCAGAGGGGGGGTTCCCAGATGTTACTTGTCAACGCAATGACGGAGTATGGTGTAGTAGTGCCGCGAGAAGGGCACATCAATGACAAGCTTGGTACCTGTCGAGGTTCTCGAAAACGCAAAAATGTCTGGCACATCTGTCCAAGGATAGCGGTCCATTGTCACCAAATCACTGTGAGCAAAGCAACGCAAAGATGGAAGACATACCATCCGCCGGCGCTCACCAGACGCGAGATCGCCAACGCGGAGCACAGCGCCTTGACAAAGCGCTGAACCCTGCAATGTCGCGTTTTTGGGTGGCTCGGGTCTGGGACGGCTTTCCGTCCGCTGAACACGTTGATATGATCCGCAAAGACATAACCCGGAATAAGAGTCGACAGGCGATGGGCTAGCGCCTAACAGTGGCACACACATGAAAGAGGCACACGGCCAGCCTCTGCTCTCCTGTCGCCGTGTGTCCACTGTCACGCCACTGCTCACGCGCACCGTAAATGGATGCATTGGAGGGATTCTGGTAGGAGATATCGTACGGCGCGAACTATGCCAGGCTTCTGGCTGTCAAGAACAAGTGCGACTCGAGAGATCGGTTGTCGTGTCGAGACTGCGTTGGCACTAAACGGTATGTCAAGCTTGAACTGTAGAGTCAGAGCCTGGAACCAAGCGCCCGCATCTGACACAGAGGCTAAGCTTGTGGTGAGCATACTGAAACCTTTGAAAGCGACGCTGCGTACGTGTTGAGAGACACTTGTCTCAGACACTGCCCTTTATGAAACCACCATTTCCAAGCGGACAGCAATAGCGCGGCGCATGCGGGCATCGTGGGAAGAAGAAACCCAAACAGACGGTTACATTCGTTCCAGAAACCCTATTTTCCAGGCACAAAGCGCGTCTGCTGGTATCATGCCGTGCGGGAGCCAGGTCGATCCTCGAGGCGACGTGCGCAGGGCCCAGGGGCAACTGGTGAATCTGATGCAGGTGTGTATCAGACGCACAGATGCGGAAGTGGCCGAGCAGGGCAGGTCAAAGTGAGAAAAGGGGGCGCAAAAAATGATTTGCCCAAGAAAGCCCGATTTCGTTGATCAAAAGGATGAATTGGACGAGCCTTTGCCTGTTGGCCGCCAGCAGCTGTCCGTCCGTCCGTCCGTCTGTGTGTTGCCGTAATTTCTAATTTCGACTGCTGTGCGGCGTGTCATCGCGGTCGCCTACAGGGTGACCTGGGGTCCTGGCATGTCGTGTCATGTAGGTAGCATGAAAGCCAAGCCAAGCAGCCTCGTCTAGCGGCGTGACAAGCATCGCAGTCATGTGGTGACTGTCTGACCGACACTGACTAGCTAGCTGAATGCCAGGCTCTCTGCCCCGGCAACAACCGGTGCTCGCGTTGTTGAGCTGCTCCCGCATTCCAGTGGGTGGCTTGTGTCGTCATCTGGATCTGGAGGGGCCGAGACGACACGAGGCGCATTCTCCATTTTGCCATGAGCGGGAAAAAAACAACAGAAATATTGTCGGTCGTGGGAATGCGGGTGGGTTAAAAATAGGATGGGTAAACTGGAGTTCCATCTCGAAGCGAGCGGCAGCACACGAGGTGGGGGAACGCTTGGCGAGAGCTCGCGCTCGGCGTCCGGATACACCATTCATAATTAATATCCGTGATGGGCGACGGCTATGATCTCATGACGGGAGTGGAAAAATTGGCATGGGACGAATGTGCCGGATCTGTGTGCGACTGGTCACCAGACAGCGCTGCATACATGTGCATCTATCAATTCATAGGTGAGGTGGGAGGCTGAGCATCGATACTGCGCTGCGGGTCGTAGGGCTGGAAGGGCCTCCAGTCCTCAGGCCTTCAGCTGGTCTGACTCTGGACTTTCAATTTGGCACCGTCCATGACGGACCCGGAACACCGCAGTTATTCCTACGACGGGCTGAAGACAGTCAGCAGCCCGTTGCCCGTTGGCATTTGGCTGCAGAGTGAGATGAAGGCCAGCAAGCGACGCGGGAGTCATTTCCAGCGCCCCACGGGATACGAGCGCGCCCAGAGACGCCAGTCACATCCGCATCTTGGCCAACGTCGCGCGGACACAGTAGTTGAGTATGGATTGTCGTGACGTGCGGCGTTTGGGCAGCCTCAAGAGATCGTCTCGTATACGGAGCCATAGATGTAGAAATGGATCAGTGGACGAGGGGATCTGCATCGTGTTGTGGTAGTGGCGGTGCCATGCTGGATACTACTCCGTAAACACTGAGTGATGCCTCCCTGTTGGCCTGTCTCACTGGGAACGCTCGAGGGACATGCCCAAAAAGGAAAGATGTGAAAGGGGTCGGCTGGGCTCTCGGCGGGCTGGTGGAACCGAGAGGTGTCCGTCCTTGGCGCTAGGCGATAGCCGCTCTAGCTGTTTGCGGTTTAGCGGATACGGAGCAGCGACTGGCGCCAGATAACGGTGGTCTTGACGCGCAATCCTCCTCGAGCGTTGACGACACGACAATGATGGGACCATTGCGGACAGCAGATTCATTCATTCACGGTGAGCCTTCCTCCAAGAGGGCATGTTGCAAATTGCGTTGTCCCTCAGATGCAGCCGTGAATGAGCGCGTGCATGCAGCAAGGCTCGTTACTCGAAACCCCAGGCCAGGGGTCGCCTGCATCTGGCGTCTGACACGTAACTGGAGACTGGAGAGCCCTGGACATCATTGCCCTAGCAATGATCGCGGTGTCCGCTGCCCCGCCATTGTTCTCCAGAATGCCCGGCTCCCAGGACTCATCACTCCGTGCGTGCTCCGTACGGCTCGCGGCATCAGGACGCGAACTTTTTCTGACTTTGCTAGTATCTGTTTGTGTGTGCCCCTTTGGCTCCCATCAAGGCTGGCAGGCGCACAAAGCCATGGAGAGGCGCTGAACGCAAATGTGCGCCTATCCTGTCATTGTCTGTCTCTGAAATGCCATGCACCGTAACGGACGGACGGACCAGATTCGCTCTCTCGTACGAGCATGGCACGTTGGCGGGCTGGGCTGACGTGCCAAGAGTGGCACCTCGCTCAGCGTCTCCTCCCAGGGGGGCTTGGGCGTCTTGGCGTCTAGGACGAGCCGCCAAGAGCCAATCACCGCGCCGGACAGGCGGCGAATGATCAGAAGCAGCAACTGCTCAGGTACGAGGGCAGGGGTCTAGCCCCCTTCAAGGGACGTGGGCCCCCTCGGCCTGAGATTGACACCGCCTGGGCCCGCCTGGAGGCTGGAGGCTGGCCCTCACCGTCCGAGACATGGTCATCCTCTTGTGCTGCACGCGGGCCATAATAAAACATGACGCCGCATCCAGTCCTCCCCCTTGCCTCGCTCTTTCCTCCCGTTGATCCTTCTCCACGTTCGTATCTGGCTATAATATCATCTCACTCTTGAGCATTCAAGAGCCCGCTTGCTTCTCCTTCTTTGCTCCTTTCCAACTTCTTCCAGTCACTCGCTAATAGCAGCTACGCACTCTCTCGCTTCCGTGCCAGCTCGCCTATCAACAACGTACATTGCTACTAGATTTGCGCCTTGTCATCTCAAACGACTTCAGCAACAAACAGTCGTCTCATCTCCTCATACACCAGACTTCGTCACACAAAGCAATCATGTTCAGCAAGGCTCTTACCTCGGCCATCGTGGCCCTCGCTGCCACCCGCATGGTCTCCGCCCAGACCTTCACTGACTGCGACCCCCTCGAGAAGAGTATGTTTCTCCTCCAGTCATGCCGCTCAGAGGGAACAGCTGCTAACAAACACAGCATGCAGCCCTGATGCTGCCTTTGGCAAGAACAGCGTGAGCTGTGACTGGACCAAGGGCGCGTGCAGCGCCTTTGAGGGCCTGCCTGGCACCACCGTCTCCTACGACAGCAAGGGTGCCATCTTCTCCATCGAGAAGGAGTCCAACGCGCCCACCATGGCCACCCACAAGCGCATCTTCTTTGGTCGTGTCGACGTCGAGCTCATCGCCGCCGCCGGCCAGGGCATTGTCACCTCGCTCGTCTTCGAGTCGGCGGACCTCGACGAGATTGACTGGGAGTGGGTGGGCGGCGACAACGAGCAGGTCCAGAGCAACTACTTTGGCAAGGGCGACACCACCACCTACGACCGTGGCGCCTACCACCCCGTCTCCAAACCCCTGACCACCCTCCACAAGTACTCGCTCGACTGGACCAAGGACCGCATCAACTGGGAGATTGACGGCGAGGTTGTCCGCACCCTGACCTACGACGAGGCCAAGAGCGGCACCCGCTACCCCCAGACCCCCATGGAGGTCAAGATAGGCACCTGGGTCGCTGGCGGCAAGAACAGCGCCAAGGGTACCGTCGAGTGGGCGGGTGGTTACACCGACTTCGACAAGGCCCCCTTCAACGCCTACTACAAGTCCATCTCCATTGTCGACTACGCTGGCGGTGATGCCCCCACCACCGACGACATCAAGGAGTACGTCTGGACCGACCACACTGGCTCCTACGAGTCTATCAAGGTGGTCAAGGGCGACGGGTCCTCCGACGACTCCAAGGACGAGCAGGACGACTCCAAGGATGACAAGGAGACCACCACGTCGGCCTCCAAGACCAAGACCGTTGTCAAGACCACCTCCACCTCCGAGACCTCCGCCGAGGCCACCTCCACCTCTGTCACCACCATGACCACCGTGAGCGCTACCCCTACTCCCACCGAGGAGGCTACCTCCAGCACCACCGAGACGACGGAGGAGACGTCCACCACCGCCGCTGGTGAGCCCAGCACCGTCCCTGACGCGCCTGGTGCCGCTGCCGGCGTCCTCGCCAACTTTGGCCGTGTCGCCTTTGCCGGTGCTGCGGCCGTCGCCGTTGCCCAGCTCTTCTAAGCGGATTACAGCGGGGGCTTGCTTTCTTTTTGGTTCTTGCCTTCTCTTCTGGCTGTACACATTCTCCATCATAGTTACGACAGGATATATGTAGCATGACAAAACCAGCATGGGCTCGCTTACGGGGCTTTCTTTTTTACATACGCGCACCTGTTCCGGGCCCTTAATAGGGTCCTGTCGCTTGACGCGCTGGGCCTGACAACAGCAGACGGACGGACGGACGGACAACTCAGTCACGGGTAGATGCTACGTGTTAGATGACAAGCGACTGTTTTCTCGGTTTGCTTTTTTTTGGATACTCTCTTTGGGGGGGAGTTAGATAGCTGAGCATGGCTTTTCGTCGAAGCCTTTTTACTTACGACTTTTGATTGATTGACTGTTCCTACGTGCGTGCTTCGTGTGACCGGCGTTTATGTTGATTGGTTGGGGTGTGTGTGTCTGTGAAGCTTAATCTCCGACAAGCGACAGCCTTGTTGGCCAAGAGGTCGTATGGCTTGCCTAGCGGCTGGGCACAACGGCGGTTGGTCTCGGGAACTTCTGCGGTGAGTCTGCGATTAATGAAGGGCCTTCTTGTCTGACACGTCTTTGACGGTGACGATCCGTCTTGTACGGGTGATTGGAGCTACTGAAGATGCCAAATTGGTCGAATTCAGGCACAACACCCCCTCATGCAGAGACATAGCTGTTGATCAACAAACTGCGCTATCATTATGTGAGTGAAGACAAAGCTGTCCCCATCACTTTACATACGCCAGCTTGGCAATCTCCTTTGCAGCTATATCCCGCCCCTTGCCCCGTGCCCTGACCTTTTCGCCCAGCGCGGACGCCTTCTCACGCATGTTGTCATCCCCAATGACCTTGAGCAGGCTCTCGCTCAGACATTCTGACGTCCACTCGGGACTCGTCTGTCGGCAGCCCCAGCTTCCTACGCCAAGCGTCTCCGCCAGAGCAGCGAAGCTGTACAGATCAGCCCAGAGGGGCAGGACAAGCTGTGGGACGCCGGAACTATAAGGTCAGTCAGTCAGCAGTCAGCAGCGGCACAAGGCGAGAAAACCTACGAGATACCCTCGTGATAGCAGCCCGATCCGCCGTGGTGCACAAACACAGAGACATGTCCAGACTCGAGCAGCGCATACGGATCCGCGGCCAGCCAGGTGGGCAGGCGTACCCGATCGCCCACATAAGGTTTCAGCGCGTCGAGGTAGTCATCGGACATGACACCCCAGGTCCTAAACTTCCAGAGGACCTGGACGTCGGAGCGTGCGAGGACGTTGGCAATGGCCTCCGCAAAGGCGCGCGCACGTTGGTCGTCGTATACAACAGAGCTGCCGAGGTTGATCAACACCGTCGGCGCCCTCTTCATCCAGGCCACGAGCTCCGGGTCCTGCTGCTCTGCGGGCGCTGAGTGCACGAGGATGGGTCCGGCGGAGGTGACGTTCGCAGGGACGACGTCGACGGGGATGGCCGCGTCCTCGGTGTGCATGGTGATCCAGGGAACGTCGGGGCGGTGTAGGTGCATAAAGTCAATGGGGTCCTTGAGGCCGTGCTGACGGAGCACGGCTTGCTTGCGTCGGATGGACGAGCCGGCCATGATGCTGTAGATGAAGCGGGCGTTGAGGTAGATGTTCTCGGGGATCTGGTGCCAGGGGATGGGGAATGAGAACCCGGACGACATGCTGGGTGGTCAGATACTGAGAAGGTTCTTTGTATACATCTAGGGGGACGACTCACGCTGGGTACTTCCAGAACATGCCCCCGTACGGCTGGATGGCCGGGAAGTTGTCGACGTGCGTGTTGGGCGTCAGGATGGCGTGCTGGCGATGCTTGTCGCGCGTGGCGTCAATGGCGGGCCGGAAGATGCTGTCGACGACGACGACGGCTGGGTCCACGTCGTCGATGAGGGCGCCGACCTCGTCGTACAGCTGGAGATGCTGCGCGGGCTCCCAGGGGCAGAGGTAGGTCTGAATGTCTTTGCTGATGTGGGCGATGCCGGCGCTGGCGGGCGCGTGGATGACGTTGGTAAAGTTCTTGCCCTGCGCCTCGACGGCCTCGCGGTAGTTCATGGACGTGAGCGTGTGGAAGACGATGTCCGGGTTGGTCTCGCGAGCAAAGGACGCTGCGCGGTGCACCCGTTGCCGCGCGCTGTCCCAGGAGGCGTAGTGGACTTGGATGTCTGGGTGGTTCTCGAGCATGGCAAAGGCCGTGGCGATGAAGACGTTGGCGAGTCCATGTTCCTCGTTGGCGAGGAAGAGAGCCGTCCTGTTGCTGCCCTGGATGTAGGGCGGGCGTGGCTCATCGTGCTGGGCTGATAACAGGTACGCGACGCCTACAACGAGCAGGGCGACGAGGGGGATGAGTCTGGCGAACATGACGGCTGCTCAGGGACGTGATCATGCGTGAGGATCATGGTAGATGGCCCGATGGGGTTTCTTATTGCTTTTCACACCAGACGTCAGCACGGCACATAATTTGACGATCTGCACGACTACGACGCTGACCGGCGGTGGACCGTATCCACGACGCGGCCTATGATAGCTGCATACGCCTGCATAGCGTTGCGTTTGTCCCGGGTCGGTGAATAATTAATAAAAAGGGTCGCGCAGTGAGTGGCCAGATATTGGACCTATCTCTGTACCACGACATGCATGTAAGAACGAAGACGTCCGGCAGAGATTGAGCCCTCGCAAGCCTATCATTCTCTGAGTCTCGACACCGTTTTGTTGAAGGGAAAGCTGAGAGTTGCAGACATGTATTCCAGTCACTGCATGAACATGGCCACAAAGAAGCTTGGTCTTGACAAGCAACCATGAGCGCGTTGAGCTTCCTCATGCCGGTCAGGTAACCTACCATCTAGGGCATCATTCACTCGTATACATCAGTCAACGACAGACAGACAGCTCGTACAATAAGACCATGTCTTCAAATAATGCTATTGAATCCATCTACTTCACCCGACGCTAGTTCCTTAACCTAATCCCATACACAGACGAATTGAACTGGGCCGCCCAGCACCGACGCTGGAGCAGCACATCACACCATCTTCTTAGAAGAGGGCGGCGAAACCAAGAGCGGCGACAGCCATGAAGGCGGGCTGCATGCGCTCGCTGCCAGCCGTCAAGACGGTGCCGTTCTTGTGGCCACCGGCAGGGCAGCGCTCGTAGCAGACCTCCTTGTCCTGGCCGCAGGACACGATGTTGGCACCGGGCACGGCGCAGCACGTTGTGTAGACGGTGTCGCACTCGACGGTGCACTGCTGGCCATTGTTGTTGTTGTTGTTGTTCACGACGACCTTGTTGTTGGTGGGGACGGGGTGAGGCATGGCGGTCATGGTGCGGACGGGGCACTTGGACTTGCAGGCGGAGAGATCAGAGGCGCAGGTGGACAGGTTGGCGCCAGGGGCGGTGCGGCACTTGTTGTCGAGGGTCTGGCACTTGGCGGCGCACTCCTCGCCATTCTGGGGAGTCGTAGCAGGGCACTTGGACTTGCAGCCAGCGAACTCAGAGGCGCAAGTAGAGAGGTTGGCACCGGGCTTGGTACGGCACTCGTTGTCGAGGGTCTGGCACTTGGCGGCGCACTCCTGGCCGTTCCGAGGAGGAGGGCACTTGGCCTCGCAGCCGGCAAGCTCAGACGCGCAGGTGGACAGGTTGGCACCAGGGGCGGTGCGGCACTTGTTGTCGGCCGCCTGGCACTGGGCACGGCACTGGTCCTGGTTGCCGGCGCACTCGTGGCAGTCACCGTGGGTGGGGCCGGGAGGAGGCGGCGTGGGCTGGTAGCGCTGCTGAGGGCAGGATGTCTTGCAACGCGCGAGGTCCGATGCGCAGGTGGACAGGTTGGCGCCGGGTGTGGTGCGGCACTTGTTGTCGGCGTCCATGCACTTGGTCGCGCACTCGTCACCGTGCTGAGGCACAGTGGTGGGAGGAGGGCAGTGGGCCTCGCAGCCGGCGTACTCGGAGGAGCAGGTGGACTGGTTGGCGCCGGGGGCGGTGCGGCACGCGTTCTCCTTCATCTGGCACTCGGCCTTGCACTGCGCGTTCTTCTTGGCCGCCTCCTCCTCGCACACGTGGCAGACGACGACGACCTCCTCGACAACGTCGGGCGTGTGGGTGGCGACGGGGGCCTGTGTCGAGGAGGACATGGGCGAGACGGCAGGGCACCTCTCCTGGCACGCGGCCAGGTTGGAGGCGCAGGTGGACAGGTTGGCGTTGGGAGCCGTGCGGCAGGCATTGTCGGCGACCTGGCAGCTGTCCAGGCACGAGGTCTGGGCGAGTGCGGTCTGGGACAGACCGGCCAGGAGGGCAGACACAAAGGCGTACTTCATCTTGAAAGGTGGTTGAGGTTGGTGTAAGTGGGTGGTATAAACGAGTGAAGGAGAGTGGGTGCGAAAGCGACGGGACTGTCCTGAACGAGTGAATGGACGAAGCAAAGTGCTCTGAGGTGTTTGCGCTGCAGATGGAGGAGAAAGAAGCTTCCTCTTGGGTCGGTCACGCTGGCCATCTTATAGCCACTGGATGCGTTCGAGGGCTGTCTGCATCGCAGGGACAAGACAGCCGTGCCTGAGCAGTGGCCGGCAAGGGAATCGTCAATAGCAGGCGTGGGCGGAATGCGTCTGTAAAGTTGACCGCCAGCTTGGAGAATGTAGCAATAAGACATGTCTGGGCCTAGGCGGGTGCGGCTTGCGGTGCCTGAGCCAGCTGAGCATCGAATGCCGGAAGGCTCCGCATGCGCTATGCTTGTTTGCTCCCAGTTCGTGACAAGGTTTGAAACGTGCATATGCGTAAAGAGTCGATCGAATCTTGGATTCCCGGTGAGGCTCCGTCCCCACGATCCGAGCTGCGCTGTACACGGACACAGAGTAGCGCATTCTTCAACGAGGACGATGCTTGGAAGCGTCGCTTAGCCGTGCCTTGACATGAAGTGAATACCTCTTCGAGCTGCTCGAGCTCATTTCTCAGATTGCTGTACGCGAGGACGCCCAGGGCGACAAGCAACTCCCGTCTCCAGCTCCCTGCCACAGGAGCAGCGTAGCCCTGCCCCGACCACTGCCAAAAGTTGTGCCCTGGCCAGCGAGCGCCGCTCTCCGGCCGGCACCCCTGGCGGATCTGAGACTTTTCTGTTGTTGTATGATCTACTTGTCGTTGGTGAGACAAGCAAGCGAGACACAGTTGAGGCGCCGAGAGAAGTCCCGTAAGCATGAAGAGTGCCATTGAAGCATGTTGATGAAAGCCGTGTAGATGCGTTGAATTCATCACGAATTGATGTTCGCGAGATAGAAGCAGGCAATCTTGCTTGCCCCAGTACGTGCTCACTCAATGGTGAGATTCCCAGTATAGAACCTTTTGGTCGAGGACTGCCTCCATGACTCGACCGCAACTTCAAGGCAGCGACAAATAGCTTGACAATCGCTCTGCTCTCACAAAATTAAACTGTACAGGGTAGCACGCTGAATCGAAGTCTTCTGTATACGTACGCTCATTCGAGTCAAAGCATAGCGTAGCGTGGTGGATGCGTGTCGGATGGAGGGATGCATGTCTCAGGCCCTCAGCATTCCTCTTCGCGCGTATTTAGGTCGACGCGTCGAAACGTGACAATCCTGGACCCGGGGCGTCGGTCAGATCGCGGGAAACAATACTGGGGAACGACAAGAGCCGCATCTCGGCATTGCTTGATCGATGTGATCCGGTCTGGTCGTTGAATTGTCTGGCGTTGGGTTGGCGCTCTGCTTCGCATCTGGTAGCGACCTAAATTTGAGTCAGTGTGAGGATTTTGACCAGTATTCAGTCGCTGACGATCGGCGCATGTATTCATGTTTGAAACATGCGAATGGAGATGCTCGAGATGAAGTCCGCTGGATTTCTGCCTGCTCTAGTGTATTGGTTACCCTAAACCGTCACGCTCACAGCCACCGTCGACCTACAGGCGACACCCATGTAGTTGTCACTCAATGGACATCAAGGCCAAAATCACTAATTATACCCGCCATATATAATGCTAGACTAAGAGAACTTTGTTTTATCTCTGTGGGTTGCCGATGTGTGGATTGCAGAGCTTTGTGGAGGACCCCGTGTTGAACGCAACGAGCTTGTGACCTACGTGTAGGCGTCTTGTGACATCTTTAATTTTGGCTTGTCATACATACTAGGCTCGAAAAATACGAGTAATCCTTGCGATATGTCATATGCATTGGCCCTGTACGCAGTGTCCGTCTTAGCACGGGTACATGAGTAGTCACGGTATTTACAAGGCCTAATGATGTACCTCCGATAGTGCAGCCTCTAATCGCGTCATCCAAGATTAGTGGGTTACCAATCACGATATCACCAGATTCACCACCTCATTTTGCCCTCACCTCACTTCACTTCACCACCACCACCACCACGCAGCGACACGGTGTTGGTGCGCCGCATTACCATCACACAAGCTGCTGCACAAGGAATCGGCAAGCAAAGCAACATGCCAGTGCATCCAGACCCATCCAGGCAGCCGCTGCTCGCCGACGCACAGCAAGATGACTCCCCTCCCACCCCGCCGTCCAAGACATTCACGCCGACCTTTGGCGCCGCCGCCGCCTACGGCATCCTCGTCAGCATCGTCATCGGCAGCGGCGTCTTCACCTCGCCCGGCGCCATCGACACCAACGTGCCCTCGCCGGCCATGGCGCTCGTCATGTGGCTCACGGGCGGCATCCTCGCCTGGGCGGGCGCCAACACCCTCGCCGAGCTGGGCACCGCCATCCAAGGCGAGGGCGGCGTCCAGCCCTACCTGCAGTACATCTACGGCGACCTGGCCGGGTTCCTCGCCGCGTGGACCTGGATCATCGCCGTCATGCCCGCGACCATTGCCATCCTCAGCATCGTCTTTGTCGAGAGCATCTACTCGGCCCTTGGCGTGACGGACCGCGCCGACGCCTTATCTCACAAGGGCCTCTCCGTCCTCGTCCTCGTCGTCGTGAGCCTCGCCAACTCGATCAGCACCCGCGTCAGCACCCACCTCAGCCGCTTCTTTCTCGGCACCAAGTTCACCAGCATCATTCTCGTTGTCGTCGCGGGCCTCGCCGTCGTTGTCCTGCAGACCAGCCAGCCCGACCGCACCGATATTGGTGGCCGCGACTGGTTCGTCCGCAACTGGTTCGCGTACCGCGACACCATCCACCCGGACGGCCACCGCACCGTCTGGCAGGACCTCGGCGCCTGGGAGATGCTCGGCCACTACTCGACCGCCATCTACGGCGCCCTCTGGGCCTACTCGGGCTGGGACAAGGCCATCTACATCTCCTCGGAGCTGAAGGACCCGAGCAGGCAGCTGCCCCTGACCATCAACACGGCCATTCCGACCATTGTCCTGTGCTTCTTTGTCGCCAACGCGGCCTACTACATCCTCTTGCCCTGGGACGTCGTCTCCACGAGCGACAGTGTGGCGGTGGTACGTTTGCCCTCTCTTGATCATAATGTCGTCTCATCTAACACAACATAGACAGCCATCAGTCGCCTCCTGGGCGTCCGCTTCGGCATTCTCGCCGCGGTGCTCATCTGCCTTGTCGTCGCAGGGTCCATCCTCGGCAACTCCCTCGTCGTGGGCCGCATGACCGTCGCAGCGGCCAACAAGGGCTGGTTCCCGCGTCTGTTCACCGTCATTGGCCGGGTTGGCCTGCTGAAACACCGCAGCCCTGATGATGCGCCGTCCTCTACCACCTTTGACGCGCCGGTGAACGCTGTGCTGCTGTCGATTGTGCTCTCGGCGCTGTACATTCTCTTTGGCGACTTTCGCTCGCTCCTGACGTTCAACGGGCTGGGGGAGTACACATTCTTCTTCCTCACCGTCCTTGGGGCCATCATCCTGCGCTGGAGGGAACCTGGTCTCAAGAGGCCGTACAAGCCCCTGCTCATCATCCCCGTGGTGTTTGCCTTGGTGAGTGGGTTCGTCATTGTGAGGGGCGCAACGTTTGCGCCCGTGCAGGCGCTCGTCTTGGTCGTGCTATGGGCCATAGGTCTCGTCATCTACTGGGTCAAGATGCGCTGGTTCGCGTCTTGAATTCAACTGTCTTTTATTTATATAAATACACATGTGTAGACCTACTCGACCTCCTCCCCGCCCCAGTAGTACGTATATATATCCACGCCCAGATACTCATCCACGTACCATTTCGCCTTCTCCTCCGGCGCCTTGGCACCCGCACACACAATCAACGGCATGAAATGCTCGCCCCCGCGCGGCGGATGCATCATGTCCGCGTACGGCAGCGCGCGCCACCCCTCGAGTCCGCGCCAGACATCCTCCCCCGAGACGACCTCGGTGAGTGCCTTGTTCCACGCCCGCGAGTAATTGATGACCTGCTCCTTCTCCGCGCTCCGGCCGCTGCGCATGGCCATCATGGTGCGTAGATTGTGGAACGACGCGAAGCCACTGCCGACAATGGCAATGTTCTCGGCGCGCAGCGCGTGCAGGGCGCGGCCCATGCGTAGATGGCGCGCTGGATCCTCGTCCTGGAGGACGGAGATTTGGACAATGGGAATGTCGGCCTCGGGACGGGTGAGCTTCATGGGAACAAAGACGCCGTGATCCCAGGACCGCGTGGGGTCCAGCTTGACGCCCTCGAGACCCTCCTTCTCGAACGCGGCGGCAATCTGCTGCGCGACCTGCGGGTGGCCGGGGGCTGGGTACTTGACCTCGTAAGCCTCCTTGGGGAAGCCGCCGTAGTCGTAGAGGAGGTCATGGTGCGCGCCGGAGGAGATGGTGGGTGTGGCGGTGGACCAGTGGGCGGTGACGAGGATGATGGCCTTGGGGGGTGACGTGGCGAGGGAGAGGATCTTGGGGACGCGGTGCTGGAGGGAGTAGACGATGGATTTGTGGCCTGGGTCGCCCAGGAGAGGCATGGGGCCTAAATGGATCTGTCAGTGACTGGCGTCTGTGTCTGATGAAGCTTGGACGTACCTCCTCCATGAGAGAGGGCGATGACTGGCGCGAGAGGCATTTTGGTGATGGTGGTGGTGGTGGTGGTGGTGGTGGTGAGGAAGCGTCTTGACAGTGCCCAGGCAGTGATCCCAGCTACGATGCTCGCGGAAGTCCACAGTCTCATGGCAGTGTGCTGCCCTTTACTTGAATCTACCGAGACGCAAGACTTATATATACTTGTCGCCACGGTGAGGCTGTGGGCCCCGCATGGTCCGATTGATAATCGGGCGGTGTGTGGGTTAACCGCGCGCGTCCCCATCTTCATCCCACCGCGCGCCGACCGGGACATGGCACGGGTCTAAGGATTTGAATTCTTCGATATACTTGTATAAGCATCAGTAAGACTATCCAGCGATCACGCAAAGACGGTCACCTTGCCGCCCGAGGCCACCGCCCTCGTCCGCGACCCAATCTCCAGCGGACTGTCCTCGCTCACCACCCAGTGGTCACCATCCTGCTTGTCGACATTCATCATGGCGAGGATATTCCTGCCCACCAGATCAAAAGCAGCCCGCTCGTCAATACGTCCATTACTATTCCGCATAGCCGTCCCCGCCGCAAACGCCAGCGAGACAACCTCCATGTCCTCGCGCAGACCAATGCCCACTGTGACGCCCGCCTCGACCAGCCTGTCAATGTTGGTGCCGTTGGTCAGTGGTGCGCCGGATAACGCCCGACGCGCGCCCCAGGTGTCGCCGTACGACTGCAGAGGCGACAGGATCACGCCGACGTCGTGCGCGGCCAGCTCGTCCGCTACTAGGTGCGCCTCGGCGCCGCCGACGATGACGAGACGCAGCGGCCAGCCCGTGTTGAGCGCGTCAATGTCGCCCTTGACGCGGAGCGCGGTGGCGATCTGGTCTGCGCTGTCAATAGTCAGTGCGAGGGGCATGCCCAGCTCGATCACGCGCTTGAGGAATGCCTCCTCGCCGTACGGCAGTAGATCCTTCTCGATGCCGCCCGTGGCCATCAGCACGTCCCTCAGTTTGCCAAATGCGGCCGAGTAGCTGTCCTGGCCGCGTACGGCCTCGTTAAAGGTGTAGTGCACGCCCACGTCCTCGGCGAACACGGCGTCCGGGTCGAGTATGTTCTTGGCGTTGGTGCTGAAGCCGACGGACGTGCCGTGGTGCGTCTGCCGCCCTGTGAAGAGTGGCGCGGAGATGGCGCGGGTGACGCCAGCTTTGAAGGCGTCTTGGAGCTTCTTGCCGTCGAGCATAAGGCCGTCAATGGCGCGTGAGAAGTGCAGAGGGTTGAGGCCATTGTCGGTGGTCGTTTCAGCGTCAATCTCGTTTAGGCCCAGGGTGCCACCGAAGCCGACGTATGCTGGATGGAGATATCCGTTGGTGAGGTCAATCACCTTGGCGCCTGAGGAGACAGCAGCCTCGTACTCAGCCGCGCAGTCCCTCACGCAGGTAACCTGGCCCTTGGAGATGGAAACATTGAAGCCGGCGTCGCCAGAGTCTTCGACGTCCTTGTCCCCCACCAGGACCTTCTTGACGCCGGTGAAGAAAATGTCCGACTCAACTTCCACTGCCTCGTCTAGTGACATGGCGAGTGCCGCGTCTGGTACCATCGGCTCCTTGATCGGTTTGTCCAGCTCAAAGGGGTTCTCAAACTGCTCCTTTCCGTCGATCCAGACCTGCACGGGCGTGGCGCCCACGCTCAACGGATCGCTGTCCCACACGACAACATCCGCATCGTAGCCCGGCTTGACTTTTCCGAGACGGTGGCCCATCCCAAGATCATCTGCCGGCGCCGTGGTGACGCTGGCCATGGCAGCATGATACGGCAAGCCGTAGTGGTACGCCTTGGCCGCCTCAAACACCACGTGCTGCGCGTTGAGGACGGGATTGTCACTCACGTAGACGGGCGTCAGACCCGCGTCGTAGAGCGTCTTGCCAGCCTGCTTGGACCCAATGTAGGACTCGGTCTTGTAGTACATGTTATCGGCAAAGAGCGCACTGGACGGGAAGCGACCGCCCCACGTGCGTTTAAGGATGTCTGGGACGAGGTACGTCTGGTGCGCGTGGTGAAAGGCGCGCACCTGGAAGGCAAACTCGTTGGTGTGGTCCACCATGGCCTCGAGGTCCGGGATCGTGTAGCAGTGCACGTTGACGTGGACCTGGCCGCGCAGCGCGGCGCTCAGCGACTCGAGCGCAATCGTCTGGGGCAGATACTCATCCATGTTCTCGACGCCGACACTGTCCGCCTTGGCGCACCAGTCGTCCTGCCTCTGGATCATGGCCCGGGCCTCCTCGAACGCGCGACGGAACTCGTAGCTCTCGCCTTGGCGGGTGAGTGGCCGCGATGTCAGGCTGCCGTGCAGGAACTTTGGGTTCTCGCCGCAGGCCATCTTCATGTACCGCCACGTGCGCTCCGGATCAGCCAGCATGGCCTCGGCGCTGATCTCGGGACGCCCGTCCTTGGGGCCGACGGCGTGCTTGATGAGAAGCGCCTCGCCGCCAATGTTGTTGGCAGAGCCGGGGAGGACAAGGGACGTGGTCACGCCGCCGGACTTGATGACCTCAATCTGCGGATCGAGCGGGAAGAAGCCGTCCATGGCACGCGCCCAGGGCGTCAGGTTGTCCGAGGCTTCGTTAAAGTCGGCATAGCCGTCGAGCTGGGGGAGAGGATCGACGCCAGCATGGCTGTGCATGTCGATGATGCCCGTGGTCAGCTGCCGCCCAGCAGCCTCGTACACAATCGTATCCTTGGGCAGACTGTCGGACGAGATCTTGGCTTCCACCTTTGTGATCAGGCCCCTCTCCAGAAGGACGTCGCCCTGCCTCCACGCCCAGCCCTTGCCAGCGCGCGCATCAGCCTCGCTCGTGCCCTCGACCGGCTCGCCTGTCCAGATAGTCGCGTTTCGGATCAGTGTGGGCTTCCAATCGCCGTAGCGCGCATTCGTCTCGCGTCCGTGGCCTGCGGGGTCTTTGGGCTTTGTGTGCAGTTTCTTGCACGTCGCGAGGTCGGCTTCGAGTTTGCTGACGGACAAGCGAGGGGCGGTGCGCTCCGTGTGCCACAGCTGCTGCCACTGGGCGAGGAGGATGAAGCTGAGGAGGCCCAAGGCGACGACCCGAATGACGCGAGATCGGCGGATGGGGTGGCGTGGGCGTTGAGGTCTCGACGGGATAGTCGCGACCTCGGGGAGGAGACCTCTCTTTTCGTAGTCCATTCTACGTGCGTCAACCTGGACAGTCGACGTGGACGCGGAGCTGGGAGGTTGGGGAGGAGGAGAGAGGGAGCTCGGTCGATGGGCCGCGCGGGGACGGCGAGCTCCGGCCACTAGCTGGGGAAGGCGAAGAACCCACCATGCTTTGGATTATTAAGGAAGGACCTTTTGTCTTTTGAGCTGGGATTGCGAGGCCTTTTGCCAGTGTTTGCTTGTTTTCAGTCGTGCCTGGCCAAGATGGAAGATGTCATTGAGCCACAAGCCGCACGACAGCTCGAGCCACTGCCCAGCCACAGCGAGCTTGCGCCCTACCCTGTAGAGGCTCTAGTGTGTGACCAGCTGCAGCCTGGAGTGTGAGCGCCAATGTGGCCTAATGACTATCATCTATTCCAAGGCTTCTAGATATCCCAGGCAACAACTTAATCTTCACGCTTAATGGCAAAATGTGGTGCATGCACCGATGTGTAATCATCTCGGCCTCATGTGGGCGTACTCAGCCGCCTCACGCCTATATATAAATGATGCGACACCTCCCCCTCTTTGACGTGACATCACCTTTGCAACACCGACTCGCCTCTCACCACACACACACAATGGCCACCGAACCAGACAGCAAGCGCAGCAAGACCGGCGACAGCCCTGCCTATGAGCTCGTCTACTGGCCAGGCCTCCCCGGTCGCGGCGAGTTCATCCGCCTGCTCTTCGAGGAGGCCCAGGTGGCCTACACGGACACCGCACAGGACCGGTCCCCCGACAAGGCCGTCGAGCTGGTCATGCACCACATGACCGGCGACGCCGACGCCGCGGGCAAGACGAACCCTCCCGTCTTTGCCCCGCCCGCCCTGGTCCACGGCGACAACGTCATCAGCCAGACACCCAACATTATGCAGTACCTCGCGCCCCGGCTGGGTCTGCTGCCCAAGGACGACGAGGATGCCGGCTGGAAGCTGAACCAGATTGTCCTGACGCTCCTGGACGGATTCGTCGCCGAGCTGCATGACACGCACCACCCGATTGCCGTCGGGTGGACGTACGAGGAGCAGAAGCCCGAGGCGAAGAAGAGGGCGGCCAACTTTGTCGACGAGCGGCTGCCCAAGTTCCTCGGCTGGGCGCAGCGGGTGCTCGACTCGTCGTCGTCTGGGGAGGGACCCTGGCTGCAGTGTGGGCAGTTTACGTATGCCGATCTGGTGCTGTTCCAGTGTGTGCACGGCACGTCGTTTGCCTTTCCGAAGCGTATGAAGGAGCTGAGGACGTCTGGGAAGTATGACAAGGTGTTTGCGCTCTACGAGGCCGTGGGACAGAGACCTAATATTAAGGCGTACATGGAGAGCGACAGGCGCCAGGAGTACGGCAATGGCATCTGGAGGTACTACGCAGAGTTTGAGGAATAGCCCAAGGGCGGACTCTCTACTATCCAGCTGTGGTAGCATCACGAGGCGGATGCACGATCATGATCCTGCTGCATCACCCAGACTTAGTATCTGATAGAATAGAGATGCACGAGTCAATTGACAATTGGACGGGGGCTCTTGGCAATTATCATGCTCATCCAACTACTCATTATAGCCCCCAAGGGCCCAAAGCCATGCTTCCTCTTTGGGAATCGGCGGCCGCTGTGAGTGGCTCATTACTTGGAGTCGCCCACGTAGCTCAGCGCCGCTCGCCACGCCTTCAGGCACGGCTAGAAAGTACATGTCGGGAGTGAATGAATCAGGCTAGATCAAGGAAGCATTTTCACCAAGATTGATACGATGATACGGAGGTAACATGTCAAATGCTCTGTGGCCTCAAATCCTGCCAAGTAAAGACAGGCTACCCTAGAGTACTTGCGACGTCGATACCGAGACCCATTTCATCATTTTCCAAGTGTGACGGCTGTTGGATATGGACATGCAGGCTAATGCAGCTCTCTGGACAATATTTTAGTCATTGTCGAAACTCATCGCGGTCCACGCATCCACGCGCTAATGCAGTCAACCACGTTGTGGCATCATCTTGAAACTTGATAGAAAACAAACGTTATCAGGCTGCCCCTCATCGGAAGAATTACATCTTCGATCAGTATTATTACTCCGTAGATCGACTCGTGAAAGACGCACTCCATGCTGGGGGCACGACTTGCACGCGGCTAAACGGCGCCCCAGTCGTTATCTCCCTCTCGGTGGCGCGGTGTGTCACACCTGGTTGCTTATCTCTGGCCAACCGAGTCAGGGCATTTCCTGGTGAGAAGCCGACCAGATTCATCGACTGCTTCACACGCTGCTCAGAATCATCATACCATTTTTATGCAAGAGAATTGAAGACTGCGCTCAAGACTAAGATTGACACTCTGCGCCTCGCCAATTGATGGCGCATCCCGCCTAGTCTGCGCCTCCGCCGCTCATTCATGCCTGTGAGACGATCGCGCCTAGGGTGTGAGGAGTGCCGACGACGTAGGAGGAAATGCGACGAGGGGCAGCCCATCTGCGGGCCGTGCTCGTCGTTCCGTCGACAATGCGACTACACGCTCAAGGTTGTCTGGGGGTCCCTCAGGAGCAGCGGCAGCAGCAGCAGCAGCAGCCGACCACCGGCGGCTGAACTTGAGAGAGGACCTCGTCGTCGGATGGCGAGGAATGACCAAAAGGAGAGCAACAACCAGAAAGAAGTCAAGACCCAAGAAGACCAAGCCACAGACACCGCCATCCTCCCGCGCAGCTTGCCCAACGGCATCTCCCTACCGTCCCGCTACCAGCGCCTGCTGAGCTACTTCACCGACGACATCCTCGCCTCCCTGTCCGTCCACCCGTCCATACACGCAGACCTACGACGGGGCCTGGTCCCCGTCGCGCTCGAGTCGCCTCACCTGCTCTCCGCCTGCTTGGCGCTGGCCGCCGCCGGGTTCCAGTCGCGCGGCATCCGCGCCATTGACGGCACCGAGGTGACGCGCATCCTCGACCACCTGCAGTCCTCGGGCCTCTCGCTGCTGCGGTCGACCCTGGGAAGTGGCCAGTCCAGCACCGCGCTGCTGGCGACGTGCCTCATCTGGTGCCTGGCCGACGTCTTTGCCTCGAGACAGGGCACGACGTCGTGGCGGGTGCACCTCAAGGGCATCAAGGCTCTCATCAGCACCAATGCGACGTATAGGCGCTTTCAGTCGGATGATGCGCAGAGCGAGGTCACGGCGATGCGGCATCTGTATCAGCTCTACCTCGCGCTGGAGACACTGCCGTACGTGCCTGCGCTTGAGGGCGAGGAGCAGTTCTCGCGTGATGGGGGCGACGAGGAGCAGCAGGTGGGCGACAGTCCGGGAATCGATGGATTTCTAGGCTACAGCGAGGAACTGTTACACGTACTACGGGACATTGATCGCATCGCCACTCGGTGTTCCGATCGTGGTGAGGCTGAAGAGGCAGCTGCTGATCTCCTCCTTAAGCTCGAGCAGATGATCGCCCGTGATGAGGAGACAGCGCCGCACATTGTCATTGGCACAACCCTCTCGCCCGAGCAGGCCAATGAATTCCTGCTCTGCCACAAAATCTTCCAGCAGGCGACACTCGTCCATCTGTACCGACGTCTCTACAAGCTGTCCTCGTCCTCAGCGCCGATCCGCCAGGCGGTGGACAGGATGGAGGGCATGATCAGCGAGATGACGCAGGACCAGTCCTGCCACACGTGGGTAGCCATGGCGATGCCACTGTTCACCATGGGCTGCGAGGCGTTTCGCCACGAACAGCAAGGGTTCGTGCTGGACAAGATTGCCAAGTTCGAGGCGTGTCTGGGCTCGCTGCACGTCGGGATCATGCGCAAGGCGCTGGAGGACATGTGGCGCATCCGACGGGCGATGGACGATGTGAATGGACGTTGCTGCGCGAGCGAGCTGCTTGGTACGTGTTTCTCATTCATTCCGTCATATGTTGCGCTAACTCTACACAGAAAAGCTAGAGTACAATATCATCCTCTTCTAGGGCTTGCAACCCCTACAGCTCGTCCTCGCCGCTGCCAATCATGTTGCTCAGCGGGCCCTTTTTGACCATGATGCTCATGACCTCGTAGAGGACGTCGGCGGCGGCCATGGTGGTGTGCTCGGCGTTGGTGTCGTACGCAGGCTGTCCTGTTAGCATGGTTCACGAAGAGGGTATCAAAAAAACGTACAGCAACCTCCACAATATCAGCGGCAATGAGGTTCAGGTCCTCGAGACCGCGGAGAATGGTCCGCAGCTCACGCGTGGACCAGCCACCGGTCTCGGGGGTACCAGTGGCCGGGGCAAAGGCCGGGTCAAGGGTGTCAATGTCGATGGAGAGGTAGACGGGGTTCTTGGTACCGACGCGGTTGAGGATGTGCTTGATGATGCCCTCTGTGCCAATGGTGTCAATCTCGCGGGCCTCGACAATCTCAAAGCCGCAGTAGCCGTCGTTATCATAATCGCTAGGTCCGCTGAGCGTCGTGCGGATGCCGGCGTGGATGTTGGTGTCGTTCTTGAGCAGGCCCTCCATGGAGGCGTGGTAGAAGTAGGTGCCGTGGTTGATGGCGGCGGCCTCGGAGGGGGAGCCGCCAAAGACCTTTGGCTTCCAGGTGTCGAGGTGGCTGTCAAAGTGGATGACGGTGACGGGCCCGTAGGCGCGGTTGATGGAGCGCAGCAGGGGCAGGGTGATGGTGTGGTCGCCGCCGAGGGTGATGAGACGGGGCAGCGTCTTGCCCTTGATGGCGGGCCCGCGCTTGTCGCCGTCCGTGTTGGGCGTGCGCGAGAGCAGGTTGAAGTGGCCCTCCTCAATCTGCTGGAGGGCAAAGGCGTTGTCGTACGAGGTGACGGGGATGTCGCCGCAGTCGAGCACCTTGGCCCAGCTGTTGAAGGGGTTCGTCTGGAGGGGCACGTTGTAGCCGCCGTACAGGTTGAGGCGGCGCGAGCCCTGGCGGATGCCCGAGGGACCGAAGCGGGCGCCGGGGCGGTAGGATGTGCCCGTGTCAAAGGGGGCGCCGATAAAGGCAATGTCGTAGTCGACCTCGGGCATCTCGAGGCATGGCTGGTAGGGGAGGCGGCCAAAGGTGGAGATGCCGGAGAAGACAGAGTCGGCCTGCTTGCCGCCGTCGCCAGGCAGGTTGTTGTACCAGAGCTGCTGATGAGGGCCCAGGTTCTTCTGGTCATGGCTGCCGTGGGCAATGGCCGCTGCCGCGCAGCTGAGCCCGAGGATGGTCTTCTGGAGCATGGTGGAGGACTGGAGAGGGATGGAGGAGAGTGAGTGTCAGAGACTTGGAGACTCAGTATGGAAGGGATCTAGAGATCTTTTATAAGCGAGACTTGGCTGCCATCCTCACTTTGTTCCCCACGAATGTTTCCCCAACCGATGTGATAAACGCCCGAGGCGTCAAAGTTGCCCTATTCGGTCACTGACGGGCAAGCTTGAGGTAATTCTCAACAGCGACGCCGTCGTTATCAGATATCGAGGCGCCAAACTTGCCAGATGCGGCTAGTGGGAGGGAGTGACAGGCGATATGGGGACATCGTGGAGACGCTCGATGGGATCGGGCCAGAGCCTATGCAGTCTTGGCGGACCCTGATCTTGACGTGATGCAGTCGACACATGGAGCGACCGATAAGCGGACGGCGGGATATCAGATAGTATCAGCGGCGGCAAGTTGTCCAAAGATGGTGTCTGGTCATGTCCGTGATAAGAGCCTCAAGAGGCTGACGCCTCTCCGGGACTCCTGTCCAAGACCATCTCGGCAGACGTATTCTATTCGACCCCCTTCACCACCACACAGTCGACACAATGACAGAAACAACAAGTGCACCGGACGAGTCGACGCCTCTGATCCCTCAGCTCTCGCCTCGCCAGACGACCGGTCGAGCCGAGTACACAAAATGGCTGCACGAGACATGGTTCCTCGTCAAAGCCTCCGTGCCCGTCATCCTGGCGTACATGCTCCAGAACAGCCTGCAGACAGTCTCCGTGCTGATTGTCGGGCGTCTTTCCTCAGAAGCACTGGCTGTGGCAGCCTTTTCGTACATGTTCGCCATGGCTACGGCATGGCTGATCGCCCTGGGCGGGACCAGCGCCCTCGACACACTGGCCTCGAGCAGCTTCACGAGCTCCCAGGATAAGAAGAACTTGGGCGTCTTGCTCCAGAGAGGCATGCTCGTCCTGACGGGCTTCTACGCCGTCGTGGCCATCATCTGGGCCGCCTCTGAACACATCTTCCGCGCCCTCGGTCAGCCTGAGTCCATCTGCCACCACAGCGCACGCTTCCTCTGGCTGCTGGCGCCCGGTGGCCTCGGTTACGTCTGGTTTGAGTGCATGAAGAAGTTTCTGCAGGCACAAGGCATCTACCGACCGGGCACCTACGCTCTACTCATCACCTCGCCCCTGAATGGTGCCCTCAACTATCTCTTCATCTACGAGCTGGGCTTTGGCCTGTACGGCGCGCCCATTGCTACGGGACTATCTTACTGGCTGTCCTTCCTGCTGTTGGTAGCCTATGCGATCTTTGTCGAGGGCAGTGAATGCTGGGGCGGTTTACAGCTACGCCGCGCGTGCAAGAACTCGATTCCATTCGCCAAGCTCGCTTTTATGGGCGTCATCCACGTCGGCACAGAGTGGTGGGCCTTTGAGATTGTGGCCCTCGCGGCTGGACGCCTGGGCACGCTGCCCCTGGCCGCCCAATCGGTCGTCATGACGGCTGATCAGATCATCAACACAATCCCCTTTGGCCTGGGCGTCGCCGAGTCCGCGCGACTGGGTAACCTCCTAGGTGCGGGCGACTCTCGTGCGGCACGACGGTCGGCGCACTGCGCCGCTATTCTTTCTGTTGTCTTTGGAACCATCATCTTGAGTGTCCTCATGGCTACGCGCCACAACATTGGCAGTTTGTTCAACGACGACAAGGACGTCATCGCCCTCGTATCCGAGATCATGCCCTACGTGGCCCTCTTCCAGATCGCGGACGGTCTGAATGGGAGCTGTGGCGGTGCTTTGCGTGGTATGGGACGCCAGTGGGTGGGCGCGCTGGTCAACTGCGTGAGCTACTATGGTGGTGCCCTGCCTGGTGGTATCTACCTGGCGTTCCACGGCTGGGGGCTGTCTGGGCTGTGGATGGGCCAGCTGGTGGCCTTGTCGATTGTGGGCGTGCTGGAGTGGATTATCGTGGGTATGAGTAACTGGGACAAGCAGGTGTACAAGGCGGCGGAGAGGCTGAAGGAGGAGGAGGATGAGCCTGTTGTCGTGGTTGGCTACAACACTATTTAGGTAGGGGCATATAGTTGAAAGAATTTTCTCTACGACTGGAGTTTTGTCTACTTCACAACGCCTTTCGACTGTCTTCATTCTGCTCTCCGACTCTACGAACAGTGTCATCTGCTCTGGTGAACATCATCACCACCAATCTAGTCTGCCACCCAAACACCAACCCTCTACTCCGTACCACCTGCAGACTATGTCTTTCCACAGAGGCATAGACAGACTACTCAAATCAATAAATCACTATTATTATTACCAAGCCCGTGTCACGATATGGGCGGGCCCGATACATGCAACCCCCCACAGGAAGCGTGTAAGCTGATTGGTCGACCATCGAGCGATTGGCGACGCTCTGCGGGCGCACTAGATAAGAGACACGGAGAGAATATCCGCTGATAACAGCCATTATCCCCAGATAGAGCGCCAGACTTTCTCTTTACGGCATGTGTGCCGCCTCCTGGGGGTATCGGGTCCTCGTGGCTCTCGTCCGATAACGGGCGTGGGCACCTAGACTCGCCGCTGCGACGCCTATGTGATCCGGATCCAGTGTCCTGGCAGATAAGGGGGCACAATCGGGTGTACGGATCAATCATCAGGCAAGGTGCTGGGAGAGAAAGAAGGCATATAGTCTCGAGAGATCCCTGGAAGCATCAGGATGAGCCATCAGACAGCACGCTTTGAACAGCACGTTCTCAATAGCAGCCTACATCATGGACACCATTGAGAAATCAGACGCGTCCAAGCAGACAGGCCGGATGGACCTCGCCTCCCAGGATGGCCAGACGGACCAAGTCACGGACGAGCTCTACCTGACCAAGAACGGGATGAAGCTGTTCCCTCAACCGGTCAGGGAGGACGCTCTCGACCCCCTGAATTGGTCCTTTGTGCAGAAGCATGTTATCCTCTTGATCATCATGGCGTTGTAAGTCGGTCCAACTCCTCCTACTGAACCAAACACTGATTCAGGGGCAGATACTTCATGTTCACCTACATCACGACCACCACCGTGCCCTCGTTCCCCATCCTCCAGGACAAGTACGGCATCGACCTCGCACAGGTCAACTGGACCGTCGCCATCCCCGCCCTCGGCCTCGCCCTGGGCCCTCTGGTCTGGGCGTCCCCGGCCGATATTATCGGTCGACGACCCATCTTCATCCTGGGCACCGTCATCGCCCTCGCCTCGACCGTGGGTGCGGCACTGGCCCCCAACTATGGCGGCTACATGGCTGCTCGCTTCTTCCAGGGGTTTGGCGTCAGTCCCGCGTCCAACGTCGGGCTGGCCATTATCGACGACATCTTCTTCGAGCACGAGCGTGGCCAAAAGGTTGGACTGTGGGTTCTCGCCATTGACCTTGGCCTCCTCGTCGGACCCCTCATCGGTGGCTTCGTGAGCACCGTGAGCGACGAGTGGATCCAGTGGCTCTGTGCCATCCTCTTTGGCGTTATTCTCGTTTTGGAGGTGGCCTTCCTCCCCGAGACGCTGTACCCGCGACGCCTGATGCAGGCGAGGTACGAGAACACGGGGCCCGTTCACGAGAAGATTCCCCAGAACAACGAAACCGCCGTTGACGACGGGCCGAGGCGCACCAAGTCACTCGCGCTGGCCAATGTCGCGCCTGTCCCCGGCGTCAAGCACCCTAAGCCCTGGGACACGTTGATCCGCTTCGTCAAGACGTTCAAGTACCTGGTCGTCACCGTGTCCGTCATGGCGTACTGCTTTGGGTGGTACTGGTGGGTGCTGTCCGTCGTGACGCTGATTCCCATTGCGTATCCGACGTTTTCGCCCCAGAGTCAGGGGTAAGTCCGTCCTCTCAGCAGTATGAGCGTCTTCTAATGTTCCCTAGACTCCTCTACATTGGTCTCATTGTCGGCACCATCGTCTCCGAGATCCTATGCTCCGGCCGACTCAGCGACTGGCTCATCATCCAGCTCACCAAGCGCTCCGACCGCCCCAAGACACCCGAGATGCGCCTGTGGTTCGCGTACCCGGCTGCGGTCCTGACGGCTATTGGCATGATCGTCTGGGGCGTCAGCGTCGACAAGGGCTACCACTGGATAGTCGGGCAGGTGGCCCTGGCTTTGTGTAAGTTTCTGTTTTCCTTGACCAAGAGGCATCCGCTAACAAGGCAGTCGGCGCCGGCATCCAGATGGGCAACGCGGCCGTGTGCTCGTACGTCTTTGACGCCTACCCGCTGCAGAGCATGGCGACCATGACCTTTTACGCCGTCATGCTCAACATGTCGGCCTTTATCGACCCCTTCTTCATCGTCCCCTGGGTCGAGGGCGCCGGCTTCACGTGGACCTTTGCCGGCCACGCGCTCATCACCGTCTTCTTCAGCGTGCCATGTCTGGCGGCTGTGCACTGGTTTGGGGGGCGCCTGCGGGAGAAGGCTGGGCCGCCGACGTGGGTGAATCCTGAGTTCAGCCAGGGGGACTAGTTTAGTAGACTGCTGTATTTGTGTGAACAAAGATGTGTTATTCTTCACTTGTTAACATCAGCCTACTAGTCCAGATCAGTCAATCTCCCAAAGTGATCCGCCTTTTATGCCTGCGTGCGATGGTCATAGAACCACTGGCTCTCAATGCTTCCCTACTACCAGAGTATTTGCTAATTATACCCCTTTCTACCTACTAAATAGCAGGTACCTACACGTATTAGTACTAATCAGTCAGCAAATGCTCAAGCACCAACGCGGGAGATGTGGACTTTTCAGCAGAGGTAAAGCGTATAATAGTGTTCGTGGAATATTCTAGGCGAGTAAAAAGCCTTTTATTGAATGAATTGGCATAGAATGAGGCTTTATTAGATACTAGGCCCCAAGGCTAGATATTCCGGCTCTATTGAAAGAGGCTTGGGGCAGGAACGATGCGTGTAACTTGCCCTCTCCTGTGGCAGTTCCTACTTCCCCTCCTCAAGGGCAGGAGCAGAGCGTCCGTCAACAATCTTACGTCGGCCTCTTCAACTATTAAGCACACTTCATCACCCCCATCAGTATTTTATCGAAACACCATCCGCCCATCAAACAGAGACGATGGCCGAAAACGAGGTTACCGAGCGAGGCCCCGCCACGCCTCCTGGTCTATCTCGAACCCACGCCTCCAATGACCACGCGCAAGAAGAGACTGCGAAGACGACTGTCCGCCCAGACTACGTAACTCTGCCTCACTGCGCGGTGTGCCGCAAGCTGGACCCAACCACCTGCTGTTCCTTTTGCATGATGATAGAGGTACGCCCGATGCTTCCCGTCCTGGCGCTTGTCTCTCCTCTGCCTCGCTGACACGCACGCAGTACTGCAGCGATGACTGCTTGAAAGCCGACGAACCGATGCACCGGATCGTGTGCCGGCAGTTTGAGCCGCCGCAACGCGAGCCCGACTCGAGAGGTGTGCGCAACTAGCAGCACGCCCACTTCTGGTCCAAGGTTCCCGCCACGAACATTATCAACGTGGAAGCCAACGAGGGCATCGATTTCGCGGGCACCCTGCGCATCCTGACCACCAGCCGGTTTGGCTTGCGACACATCATACGAAGCCTGTCCGAGCATCCTCTCGAGAGCAAGGCGAAGCTGAAGATCTACATCTCCGAGGGCCATGGCACCCATTTTGCGCGCACCGTGGCGGCCCTGATGTGCCTTCTGCCTCGCAAGGGTGAGGAACTAGAAATGAAGGACATGTTTCGCAACGCAGAGGCGGCCATTCATCTGGCATATTCGGCCTGGGTACGGGAGGATGTCGAGAAAACCCTGCGCGAGGGGGTGTCGGCAAAGCTCAAATCAACGCCTCTGGCTCGGTGGGAGGAGCGCGATCGGCGCAAGGCAGAGTTTCCGGAGCTGGGCCTGACGCTCGTGGGCTCGCCGGAAGCATTCGGTCATTTGGCGATGCATGTGTGCTGCTTGCCCGAGGGACGGCCCGTATCCAAGGCTGTTTTCAAAGAATGTCACTTGCGCAGGTCGATGGACCATGTGATGCACTGCGAGGACGAACACAGTACGTGGGATCGCATGTACCCTGCGAGAAGGACTGGCTGGTCGCGCTGGTCGAGTGGCGCTGGGGGCGTGCTGCTGCCCCATGGGCATCCGAGGATTCCCGTCTCCAAAATCAATCCGTATGTGTGAATGTGTGATCTTGCGTCGTGCGGAAGGCTGAGTGCGTGTAGGATCTTCTTTGTCGATGTGGACGTTCGCGGATTCGCGGCCGAACCGCTGTGCGAATGGGCTCTCGACGACATTGTCCACTGTCGTCGAGGTCATGCAAAATGTGACACGTACGGCAAGTTCTTCTACTACGTACAGGAGCAAATGATACTCTTTCAGGAAGCCTTGCAGACCAACTCTGTCGAGTTCTTTGTCATTGCGCGAGAAAAGGGGGATGGTCTCACCGACAACCTGGACATGCTGGGGCTGGGCTCCGGCGACAAGATGGACCGCGTCGAGGTCGGCGAAGGCCTACTAGACAAGCAGCCCAAGTCGACCATGGTCGACATTAGCAGCGTCCTCAAGCCCTGCCGAGACTCGCCGCATGCTACCGCAATGTGCTTGCTGACCCACGAGAGCATTGCCGGCCAGATCAGCAAGGACAGCACAGAGACACGGCGCATGGAGTCACACTATCTGTTCGAAACGGGGCGGCAGCAGTCAGCGACTGAGGCGGCTTTTACGTCGTCGCGTGCCGAGATCTGTCAGATGGTCCACACCTCGTATGCCAACTGGCCCTTGCTGGCCGTCAAGGAGCTTTCCGTCCCGCCCTTCATGGCAGAGCGCGCCGATGGGAGCCATGGCAGCGTGATCCTGGAAGGGTTTGCGGGTCTGCGTATGCGCCGTCGCCATCGGGTGATCCGTGACAGATGGCCTGGCTTCCCCATGCGTGATGTCTTCACCCCCACCGGAGACCATGACAACACTCTCGCGCGTCTCAGGGCCTGGCAGGCGTGTGCCTACCCAGAGGCCCTCCAATGGGTCGAGTTCAGGAAGGTCCGTCGCTTTCCCAGCCGGGCCGAATTGATCGGGCTCTCGACGCAGAAGAGCCAGAAGACGTTTATGAAGAGAAAGAAGAAGGCGGCGAGGAGGCACATGGCACGGCTGGGGCCGGTGCGGCTTTTGAACCTTGGAGAGAATGTCTTGGAACAGGGCTTGGATTTGGTTGCTCAGATCAAGTCGAAGAAGAAAAAGTAGCTTTTGGTTGTGGGGGGAGTCATGGGAGTGTCTTTGTTTGGTGTGTAGTTTGCTGCAATAGCGATGCTTTTCCGTCATCGAAGCCAGGGGGTTCAATCGCCTCAATGCCTCTGCGGAAACGTAGGTATAACTCCATCCATGTCTGAGCAATTAGCATTCCTTCATCATCGATCTTCATTTCATATGTTGCGAGTATCATCGTGCTCATCTGCGGCAGTGGCGGACTACAGGGTAAGTGAGATCCTTGTGTAGGTCCGTCGCTCGCTACTTTACCACCTTCAGCTGTTCGGCTGACTTCCGCTGCGGCCCACCAAACCTACATTTGAAGCTCACGCCTAAGCTTAATTCCTCTGAAAACGATTGGCCGTGTTTCTTGGCCATGTTTTGCAATGATGACCAGACGCCAGACGCCGAACGCTTGAAACGAGGAGGCTGAGCAGGGGGTTCATGGCGACCGGGGTCTCAGGGCGACAGGGATCCTACCTTAAAAAACCGATTGGTGCGCCAGAGCGAGAAAAAGGGGGCCAGGTCGATTTTAGTTTCAGGTAGATGCTGTTTCTTACACTCCTAATGCAGAGGATAGATGGAACTAGGAGAATTAGGAGATTTTCGTCCCCTCGTGTCGGCACTTGGAAACGTCCTCCTGGCAGGACCTCCTCCACCTCGACTTGATGCTGCACATTGGCGACTGAGCTGGAGTCTTGCAATGAACTCGCGGTCGTTCTCATTGTGTCGTGAGGGAGCTTCAGGTACTCGTTTTTAGACACTTCAGAGCCTAGACTGAGAGAGTCTCCCGACGAGAACTCGATGATGGTCAGTTTTACCGTGCCGCGTGGAATCGAGCACGTAGTATAAACAGCCCGTGTGTCATATTGACAGCTGGGAGCCACTTGCAGGGGCTTTAAAACGCACCCCGGACCACTTTGTTGGCTTGGCCTCTCTTCTGCTGTTCATGCGCGCGCCTACGTACATGCTTGCGAGCTGCCAGAGCTCCGTTTGGAACTTTGGATAGAACGAAACGGAGAACGTCCTCTCCACTGGACGATACATATATAATAGCGCCCTCTTCACCCTCTTCTCCTGTCTTTGCTTCCTCTTCAACCCAGAGAACTTTCACTTCCAGCAGCGCTCGGAATTTCCTACCTTCTTCCATTCTTTTCTTCCGATCGAACTGTATTCCCTGTACACTCTTTCCCACCTTTCAACCACTACAAACAAGATATTACCATCACCAAAATGAAGTTCTCAACCCTCGCTCTCGCTGCTGCGGCCCAGGTGGCCTCCGCCCACTACTTCTTCGACACCAATGTCATTGACGGCGCCGCCCAGACCCCCGGCAAGTACGTCCGCGGCACCACCCGCGCAACCGCCTACAACCCCATCAAGTTCTCCTCGAACCCGGCTGGTGACATTCGCGACGGCTCCTTTGCCGACGGCGACGACATTCGCTGCAACCAGGGCGCCTTCTCCACCGCCGGCAGCACCGAGGTCCTCACCGTCGCCGCCGGCTCCGATGTGACCGCCAAGCTGGGCTTTGGTGCCAAGATGGAGCACCCCGGCCCCGGCTTCGTCTACATGTCCCGCGCCCCCGGCGACGACGTCAAGGCCTACGACGGCTCGGGCGACTGGTTCAAGATCTTCGAGGAGGGCGTCTGCAACCCCTCCGCCGACTTCACCCGCGACGCCTGGTGCACCTGGGGCCGCGACACCATCACCGCCACCATCCCCGCCGGCACGCCCGACGGCGAGTACCTCGTCCGCTTCGAGCACATTGGCATCCACCGCTCCCACGTCAACCAGCCCGAGCACTACACCTCGTGCCTCCAGGTCAAGGTCGAGGGCGGCGGCAGCGGCACTCCCGGTCCCACTTTCCAGCTGCCCGGCGGCTACAAGGACACGGATGAGTACGCCAACTTTAGCATCTACGGCGGTCTCAAGGACTTTCCCATGCCCGGTCCCGCTGTCTGGGACGGTGCCAGTGACGGCAGCGCGCCTGTCGAGGAGGAGCAGGATGATGCACCCGTCGAGACAACCCCTGAGCCTGTCGAGGAGGAGGAGGGGGAGCCTGCTGCGCCTGCCCCTGATGCGGACTGCTCGGCCATGTACGGCCAGTGCGGTGGCAATGGCTACACAGGTGCTACCTGCTGCTCTGCTAGCAGCTGCAAGGTCGTCAACGACTGGTACCACCAGTGCCTCTAAGGGGGTGGCTTGGCTTACACGTTGGGGACGCTGCTGGTGAGGCGAGAGGCGTAGTCCCGTTTTCTGCGCCTGCTCGATGAGAGAGTTGAGGACGGCCATGCTGGGCTTGGCACATTTTGTAATATCTTCTTTACTTCTCTACATATCTTGGAACGAATAGAAATTTCTCTGGCAACAAACTCCCGTTCGAACTGTAGATTGCGTGTAAAGCTCAGAAGCGAGTGAACATGAATGGAAGGTCGATTTGGGGGCCCATGAAACAAACGAGAGATGGTTGCCTCTTGACTGACCAAAGGTGTGCCTCGTTTGTGGGGAAAAGATGTTTCTTGAACACGACCAACTTTCGGATCTTCATGTATCAATCAATTGGAGTTCCTCCCGCGCATCATCACTGGATCGTGTTGGCTGGGATGTCTGCTGCTCACGGACCCAAGATCAAAAGGAGCATCTAGCCACATTGACTTGAATTTACGGAAATTTGCTCTTACAAGAAATCACTTTCACTGAGCTGCTATGGCGACTCCTCGACATGGCTGAAAACTCGTGATCATTCTCCAATACACTGGCTATCATAAACAAACGCTCCATCACCACCACCTTAGCTCGCTTCATATCTTTCTCATCTCCTAACCACCACCTACGCCGCCATGAAAAAGTCCCAAGTCGCATCAGGGGCCAACGGGTTACCGACGCCCAGAGGAGCGCCCGTGTGACCACCGTCAAAGGCAATGAACGACACAGGCTGCGAGCATCCCTGGAAATCTGTGCGCACACTGCTGCCCGAACCAGCGTTGGGACGACCGACATTGGCCTGCTGGCAGCCATTGTTGTTCACAAACGTGTTGGCGAGGTCAATACCACCATCGATGCTGAGCACGTTGTCGCTGATGCCGTGGATGCCCAGGTAGGCAATGGGGTCGTTGCCGCCGTCGCAGCCGCTGATGAGACCGCCCGAAATCACGGAGACGGCCCTGAACTGCGGCGCGCGCGCGCAGGCGAGCGCGTAGGACATGCCGCCGCCCCAGCTGAAACCCGTGGCGAAGCGCGAGTCCTGGTCCACGCAGAGATCGTTCTCGACATACTCCATAATCTGGTCCATAAAGGCGACATCCTCGCCGCCATTGTTGGCCCAGCCATTGTTGTACCCATTGGGGGCGACGAAGATGGCGCTGCCGGCGGCGCGGGACTCGAGACCGTACCAGGGCTCGATGCTGTTGCCGTCGGCGACGTCGTACATGCTGCCGCCGCGCCAGTGCAGGCCGAAGACGAGGTGGTACGGGTTGCTGTTGTCGTAGTTGTCGGGCAGCTTGAGGATGAACTCGCGGCCGTTGATGTTCTGGATGCCGTTGGAGAGAGTGGGCTGCTGGCGGCAGCCGGCGGACTGGGCGACGGTCGAGGCGACGGTGCAGCCCAGAGCCACGGCGGCCGACAGGCGAGGGAAGAAGACCATGGTGATGGGTGATGTGTGAGAGGACAGGCTTGGAGGGGACGGATCTGAGGCAACGAGTGGCTTGGGGAGACTCGATGGGGGTTCAGTCTACGGTGATGAAGGTTGACTTTATACTTCTTGGAGGGCAAGGGATGATCCTTGAATAGACGTGACAGACAAGAAGCTTTCGGCACTTGGTTTACGTGGAGACTGCATGTAAGAGAACGTTATTACGTAGTCTAGAAGAGGTTGAGAACCCCGTCACTTACACCGGTGGTATCGGACCAATCGGGTTAGCGCCACCGCCGCTCTTGCCTTTGTCAGCTCGGACAGACACGGCCGCGCCTTCCGATCAATACTTATGCAGGACATGCACAAATAATGCTAATGCAGTTGCCAGTATTGCTAAGAGCGGCGTTGCGCCCGGACACGTCAAGTGAAGATGAGGCTGTTCGCTTCCATCCATGCATCACGTTTCTTTCCTTGTTTGGGCGCGGAGGAGAACGGTCAGAACCAAACATGTCGAAACTGGCGGGGTACGTCAATGCGTAATAGCAGAGCCAATGCCATTCCATCTCTGCTCGCCCTTTGCGACAAGGATCGGCAGGCTGATGTGGCCCAGGCGCGGGAGTTGAAACGGGCTGGGACAGCCAACACGAGGAGAGGTTTCAGCCAGTGCAGGGTGCCGCCAGGGGGGGAGAATACGCATAATTCAAGGTTACGTGTAGACGACGCACCCCGCCATATGGAGGCTGATGAGGCTGCTTGTTGACGTTGAATAATCTCCGTGCCGGCATTGTCCAATGCTGCGGCTCCTGCGTGAGCAATGGAAAGCTGCCTCTGTGTGTGAGCTGCTGACAGGGATCTCAATTCAACCGAGAGCGGTGATCGCGAAACGTCATGACAGAGTCAATTGGGTTGCAAGTGCGACTGTCGATCCGGTTGAAGTCTGTTTTCCTCCCCCTGAGCCACGACAAACAATTTGTGTTCACATCGTGGTCGGGTTTCCTGGTCGTGGACCTGCGGGACAAGCCGCTTGATGCCAAGTTTCGGCACTTGTCGTCGGCTCTCTAGCATAATGCGGGGAGCAGCCAAGCGTGCCTGGCCCTGGGGGCCTCAAGTTAGCATCACATCACCTACCAGGCACTTCTTTGGTGCCTCAGCCGTTAAAGATTGGATTTAGTTACGTCCAGCTGACGAGTATCATCGTGATGTAAATGAAGTCGACGTATCGTTGCGGAGGGGAAGCTTCCGGTGTCAAAGATCGGCACTACGTTACGAAGCTTCCATGTCTCTTCCAGTTCCAGTCGGCACATGGAATGCGGAGAGAAGTGTTGTAAGAAACAACCAAAAAGCTCAATCGATCCTGCTTAGTTCAGGCAGATACCTCCGTACTTAATTTCTTGAGGGCCGCGAGACCAGGACCAAGGGTCGGCAGACACCACGCAAAGGTACGTACCGACTCTGATGATAATAGGAGAGTGGACAACTGCGGATTGTTCTCGAAGAATATTCCGATATAGTCAAACTCCTTCCCATCTGATAGTGTATACCTACTTGTGCTGTGTCTTTGGTGATTCCGCTGCTGTTTGGTCTAGATGAGGATCTCTATGCAGGCCTAGGAACTGGCAGTGATGAATATGCAACCGAGGAGAGTTCCTCTACAAATTATGAGAGCAGAGTATTCAAAATTATAACACTTTCAGCTAGAAGACGGATTGTTGTGACAATAGCTCCTCTCGATTAATTTTTTCCAACGTTCTTGACAACTCACCCACAGCAACGGATAGGGAGAGACAGCCTGGCCCTTACATAGATATTGTCATGTTGAGACACCGAGACCCCCTAATTCGCAATAATAGGCGCCTTCCCGTCGTACTCTGACGACTCCGCCGCCTGAACCATGAACCTCGCCACACTCGCCCGGGAAACCTTGGGCATGAATCCAGCACCCTTTCCATCATCTGGATATACCTTCACATCAGCCGCCTCAGCGTCCGTCAGCATATGGGGCCGGACCTCCACAAACCGGATGCCCTGCGCGTCCCGGAGCTCCTTGTCCACCGCATCGTGGTCCTCCCTGCTGAGGCGCATGTTGGTGTGCGTAAAAACGAGGCGGATCAAAAAATTGAGGTTCTTGAATGAGCTGCCCGTGCCTGCAGCGGACATGACAACGATCTTGGGTACCGGTGGCGTGGCACCACGCATAGCTGCGATGGCGTTGCGGACGCTGTCTGCCATGAGGCGCGGCGGCGAATTTACCGGGTCTGCGGCTGCAAAGGGGCTGTCGCTGACTCGGCGTGCATTGAGGGTGAAGAAGACGGCGTCAAAGGGGAATGTTTTTGTCTCGAGGGCTCTGGCGATATCGGTCACGTTGAGAGGTGACCCCTTGACAATTGTGAGACCCTCGCGCTCTTCTAATGGAGCTGGATTGCGTACGAGGGCTGTGACTTGATGTCCTGTGGGAAGAAGTTAGCGTCTCTCTTTTTCTCTTCGTTGCTCTTGCTGGAAGAACATACCTTTCGAAAGGGCTTCTTCAATCACCAGCTGGCCTGAGCGACCGCTTCCGCCGATGATGAGGAATTTCATAATGTTGTTGGCAACTGGTGAGCACGTTTGCAAAGGGCGATAGATACGTGAGATGATGTTTGATTCTGATTGACAGAAGAACGGTTCTGCTTATTATATAGCATTTCTGTCGTCGAATTGTCCGTCGGTCGACTGTTGAGGGCGGCTTACACACGAATCGAATAGGCCGAATTGTCCGACGAAATGTGCGGTCGTGCTTCGTCATCCACGAGACGCAATGTAAGCATTTGATCCTTCGGAGTGCGAGACCTTCCGATTGTCCCTCGCACAATGACATGCTGGAACGGACAATTCGGGCTAACGTCTGATATTTCAGCTATAAGTAGCCAGGCTTGTCCTTGGTACGCTTCTAACACAACACTCGGGTTTGTCCTACTACATTCACGCTAAAGCAGGAAAGCTTCAATTTCCAAGCACTATCAACTTCACCATCTTCACAATGACACAGCCCCTATCCATCGCCATCATAGGCGCGGGCCTCTCTGGTCTCTGCTTGGCCCTCGCCCTTCACCAAGAACAAATCCCCTGTGTCATCTACGAAACCCGAGCTGAGCCCCTCGACATTGGTGGCGCCATCATGCTGTCCCCAAACGCCTTGCGCATCCTCGATCAGCTGGGAGTGTATGAACGTCTTCAGCCACTAGGCTACAACTTTGACCACCTCTACTTCCGCACCGAGACTGACCAGCTCCTCGACACTTTCGAATTTGGGGGCAAAGACAAGTTTGGCTACAGCGGGATGCGAGTGTACCGCTTCGAGCTCATCAAAGTGCTGCTCGCAATGCTCTCAGAAGTCGGCATCGCACCCCAATATGGCAAGAAATTCAGCCACGTCGTTAGCGAAGACGAGAGCAGCGTCACATGGGCTTTTGACGACGGATCGTCCAGCAGCGCCTCTCTGCTCGTTGGTGCTGACGGCATACACTCCCGCGTCCGGTCATATCTCCACCCGGACGTTTCGCCCACATTCACCAAGATGGTGGGTGTTTCGGCTTCTGTGCCGACCTCTCAGCTCGGAGTGGGCAAGGACTACACCCTCCCTGTCACCATCATGAACAGAAAACATGGCGCTTTCATTGCTGCGCCGCAACGTAAAGATGGTTCTGAAATGTTCATTGGCAAACAATGCCCCTTTACAGAAGATCTAGATCGAGCAGGGTGGGATCGCGTCCTCAATGACAAGCAGTGGTGCATCGACTTTCTACGCAAGGGGCAGGAGGACTACCCCCCTATAGTGGCCAGTGCAGTCTCGAGGCTGGAGATGGACAAAATCAATCTCTGGCCCTTCTACGTCATCCCAAAGCTCGCCTCGTGGATGTCCAGCAAGGGAAGAGTGGTGATCCTGGGTGACGCGGCGCATGCGATCCCGCCCACGGCAGGCCAGGGTGTCAACCAGGCATTTGAGGATGTCTACACATTCTCCCGCGTCATGGCCAGATTCCAGAGGTCCCTAAAAGGTGTTGCGTCAATGGTCCTGCGCAGGTGGCAGGAGAAGCGTCAGCTCCGGGTGGACGGTGTGCTCGCGCTCAATGCCACCATCAACAAGCGCAGGCTGCCCTCTGCCTTGGAGGATCCCATGGCGGCCGAGGGCTTTGATTTGGGATGGCTTTATAATATTGAATATGAAGAGTTTGTCGAGGAGATTACGGGGTCTGCTTAAGGCAGATAGATAGACTTCGCTGCCGAGCAGCGTCAGTGAAAGTGAAACAACAAAAGAAAAATACTAGTGTTAGTGTCCAGTATACTGTCAATCTTCGCGTCCTACATTGACGCCATCGATCCAAAGTTCGTGCCGTCTGCACCTCCCAGCTGCGAGTCGTCCTCGAGACCCCATGCCAGGTCGAGCGTGTCCAAATCCTGCGACAGGAAGCCACCAGGCCAGTCCAGCAGGGCATCCCTCGGATGTAACGGGGTGAACAATGACCCACTGGTGACTGCGCCCGATAGCTTACCCGGAGTTTCCTCGCTGGGGAGGCCGGCTTTGCTGGCCACGTGCAGCAGCATGGGGATAGAATTCGACGCGGTTCGGGCAGCCTCGTCCACGACGAACGATGCTCTCTGGTCAGGCGTCATTGACCGATTACCCATCACGACGTCGGCATATTGCCAACAGACGTTCAGAAATATTTGCGTTCGGACATCGATCAGCCCTGACTGCATACGAGCCACCGCCCATTCATAAACGTTGGCCATGTATGTATCGAGCCTGTCCGCTGTGCAGACGGAGAAAACGCCTTCATTATCGGCCCACTCTTCTGCTTGAGTGACAGTCTCCAAGGCCACTGCGAAGGCAGCCTGCATGATTATATGGCGGAAGAATCCCGGGCTGTTCTTGAACAGGGGAGCAAGGTCCGACTGCTTGTACTCGAGTATTGACCATCCCAGGATCCCCGTAGCCTGGAGCATGTAGACGGCAGTGTCAAAGCAAAATCGCCTGGAGAAGTGAAATCGGGGATCCCGGATCGAGGGTCCCAGAGCGGGCAGATGAAGTGCCAAGAAGTACCGATCAAAGAACACCTCTGCGAGCAGCCCTTGCGCACGGGTGACTGGGTGTGTATTTGGCCAATATTTCCAATCCGGAAGGTCAAAATCCTCCCGTATTCTTGCCCAAACCATGCTCAGCTCAGCATGAAGCTCGAGCATCTCGTCGTAGGCCATGGCCGGGCCGAGTCTGCTGATCTTACTGACAATGACCGACCGCAGCTTGAATGACTGGAATAACGAAAGTTGCACCGTCGTGTCGGTACGATGTCCTGAGTTAGGGTTGGAGACAACATGCGGCAATACATCATCCGCGAGATCATCGTCGGATATGTTTGAGGGCGGGGGAGTATCATAGTCCGCCTCGGTTATCAGCGGGGGCTTCCCAGCTTGCAGAGACACCAGCAGATTCAGTTCCAGAATAGTAGCCCACAGGCGGCGACGGATCTCTGATCGGCGCCGGGTCATGTGTTCCATACGCGCTGGATCGCGATGCAGATCCATACACATGGCTTTCCGCACCAAGTTGCCCATGTTGACCCAGCAAGGGTGCATGTGGTCTGCACTCGCACTGTTCAACTCGGCTAGAAGCACAAGACACGCCAGCTGGATCTCTTCAATCGTCATCTGCTTCTCGATTCTGGTCTTTGACTTCGACAGCCATGCCTGAGCCCTGAGGAGCCATTGGTGGGCTGCGTTCCGCCACCGCAGCGCATTTGGCAGAGCGACGCTCCCCAGGGCCAGGCAGACATGGAGTTGGAGGACGAAAACCTCGGACGGTCCGTTTGTATGCCTCCAGTACTCCTCGTAGTTTGAACGGAAGGTAGGCACGTCCAAAATCCGGAGGCAGCCTTCAAAGGTTTGGAGATACCCGTCTAGGAGGACGTCGATGTCGGCCTTTTGGTAGAGGATCCGCGCCTCCTGATCCTCGCTCTCTCCCAAGGGCAAGGGCTGGAATATGTGCTTCTCTATGCGGTCGCCGATCTTTTTGCAGTCTGCCATGGCGCTGATCAGCGGACAGTCCTCCGTCTGCGCCTGACTGATGGGTTGCAGAATGTTGAAATACTTTGGCCGTTAGCTCATGTAAACAGAACAACGATAGTGAGCAGGGCATATCAGGAGGGTACCAAGCTCGTGCTGTTTATCCAACTACTCTGGGCGACGAAGCGGTGGCCTTGGTGGCCATTGTTAACGGCAGGCGTAACGCCCGCCCCGGTGCCTCCGGCCTGGCTAGTCGCTGGCTGGGACAGCCTCGACACTGTTTTCTCCAGCTCTGTGATCCTGTTCAACAGTGCTGCATGGCTGCTGTCGTGGTGCAAGGCGGGCCTGTGTGCAACTGCCGGCGCGTCTGAAAGACGGTGCTCGGATGCTTCGCGTGCTCCGATTCCCTCGCTAGGTTCACGACTGCTCCATACGGGTTGGCTCGCCGTCCTGGGAGCGATGGATCCCTCGGGTTGATGCGACGGCCCTGCCGAGCCCGGGACATGCGTGTCGGGAAATTCACAGTCAGGGATCTTGGACTTGGTGCAGTTTGTGCACGGCTTCTGCTGGTCGCAGCGGATCTTGCGTCGTCTGCACTGTAGGCAGGCCAGCGCCGGTCTGCGACGTTTCTTAGGTGGCGTGGACATTTCCGAGTCATCGGGTCGCGAGCGCGGCGTCTGGAGAGACATGGCTGATGAACGGACAATTTGCGTGGGTGAAGGAGGGAGAACAACGGGAAATTGGGACGCGCTGTGATTCAACGCGTCTCGGGGTTCGGACTATTGGCTGGGACGGCACCTGATTGGCCGCTGACTGGAGCCTTCTGCTTTTGATCTCGGACTTTTCGTAATTTTACGCGGTCATGTATGAAATACCACAATCCCTTGTCAGGGGCTAATCAATGTCCAATAGGTGCCTCAGGCACGAAGCTTGCGAATCCGCGGGTTAACAAATATCGTTGAAATTTTGTACGTATGTATGCAAGTATTATTGCACCTCGCTCCAACCAGCAATTTCACTTGCTCACCATGGACCGGTGCGGCCCTCGGACTTTTCGGTCACGGCCCCGGCCCCGGCTCCGACTCCGAGATCAATCCACTTTTCCCGGCCCCGCGTCGCATCCGTTATCGGACGAGTCCGACGGCGGATCCTTCGCCTGCCTTACCATAGCCGACTGACAGCCGTCGCTTGCGGTCTCGTTGCTGCCAAAACCACCGAAGTCGGCTATCTCGTCGACGTCTGGGTGCAGTGCTGAAGCTTCATGCGCAGTTCAATCGACATTCCCTTTCCCACCAACAAACACTCCACCATGTCTTCCTCTTCCCAAAGTACAACCATTGCCCAGAACAACCTGATTGCCCTCGCGGCTCGGGGCAAGATCTGCACCAGCCTCGGCGTCAAGATCTGTCGGGGCGTGGAAATCGTGCACATTGCCAAGGCATCCGGCTACGACTCGCTCTTCATCGACCTGGAGCACACGTGCATGACCGTCCAGGATGCATCCCAGATCTGCATTGCGGCCGTTTCAGCTGGGATCACCCCGTTTGTGCGGGTGCCACATGAGTGCGGCCAGGGCATGATACAGAAGGTGCTTCATGTCGGTGCCATGGGCGTGATCGTTCCTCATATCCAGGGGGTCGGTGAGTGACATGGCCAGACTGCGTATGAGGCGGGTCTCTCGCTGACATGGAGAAAAGAGGACGCTAAAAAGGCTATCGCGGTCACCAAGTACCCTCCCCACGGCACTCGCTCGCTCAGCGGCGGGTTTCCCCAATTCGAGTATGCCTCGCCCCCTCCCCAGGTGCTGATGCAAGAAGCCAACCAGTACGGCTCGCAATGCTTCATCATGATCGAGACGGTGGACGCACTGGCCGCCGTGGATGACATTGCCGCCCTGCCTGGCTGCGATGTACTGCTTGTCGGGTCACAGGATTTGGCCGCCGAGATCGGGACCTCGCCAGACTGGGACCATCCCGGATTCTGGGACTCGCTCCAGAAAGTGGGCAGCGCGGCCAAGAAGCATGGCAAGCTGATGGGGGTTGCTGGTCTGTATCATCGTCCAGATATTCTGAGGAGAGTCGTCAACGAGCTAGGTGCTAGGTGGGTTGTGGGCTCACACGATGTCGGCCTTTTGCTAGGGGGTGGTCGTGCCAACTCGGAGCTCTTGAGAGGACTCCAGTCGTGAGGGCTGAAAATGATATGGAAAATAAGAACAAAGAGTCCACGACACCCATTTGACAGCAAGTGACCAAATGGCTCGAGCGAGGCTGGCCTTTTTCGCGGAAACATTGGCTTCTTTCTGAACTTGGACTCTCCTCTGCACTCAGATACGACTGAAAGTTGACTTGAAGTGTCAGTCTCCTCCAGCTTTACGAGTCGACCATGGTACTATGAATCTGTACCGATGGCAGCCCTGTGCCATTGCTTGGTTCACCTCATCGTTGAAAAATTACTAGCTACTGCTCACGCTAAACATACAGTAAGTATCTGATCTTGGCTGGCGAAGGATATACGTAGGGGTTTGTCTGCTTACCCTGGACCCCGTGGGAGTCGATCCCAAGTGCGTCTTGACGCTCGAATTGTGTCTATAATAACCGTGGGCTTTTGCAGGGGGGCGGAAGTACTGGCTGAAGTACTGGCCGAAGGAATTGGCCGACGGATATTTTGTCGACTTGTGACAGCATTTTGCTATCCTCAGGCGTCACACTGTACTTGGATCTCCCCTAGCAGGTCTAATATTCTTGCTAATATAACCCACATTACGACAGACAAACTTGAATGCGGCGACGAAGGGCCAGTCACGTCTAAGCTTTGAGTCATGTGAGCTTTAATATTGAACCAGTTTTCTCACTTGGTTGGCTGGCTGACCACCCCTCACGCAAATCGACACTATCCGAGAAGCTTGGAGTCATGGTTGCAGATCCGGCTAAATTGCCCGCAACCTTAGGTCGTCGGATCCGTGAGGCGTGGGGAAATCGCCCGCCCAATTCATTGAACAGGCGGCAGCTCCATCGGCAGTTGATCCCCCGAGGCGTCTTGGTCTTGGAGATGGCAAGGGAATTAGCCCGCCCTCCCTGCGTTGATCCCTTGGCCAGCGTAGCCAAGTACTGCTGCTGCAGTCATCCAACAAGGCTCGTGCTTCTCCATGCACGCTCGACCACAAAAGTACATGTAGAATGCGTTGGGGGCAGAAGCCTGAGCGTTGTCAACTCGGACAGTTACATCCAGCGTGTCGCCTCCACCCATTCACGTCCGCCCCCCTTGTCTCTACCGGTGAGACCTGTAGCCTGGTTGCCCCCAACGGGACACCATTACGCCCTCCAAGCGGAGTCCCCGCTTCTACGCCGCCATTCCTCGTCATGAAGCCTTTCCCCAGATCGGCGCGGACAGATCACCGCGCTGGGTCTGGGGCATAACCCGGAGAAAGGTGCGGGGATGAATGGTAATGACCCGGCCGTATAAAGGAGGCTCGTCGTTCCTGCGAACACAGCTATCTGGGACACCCATTTCTCTCCCTTCTCGTAACACCCATACCCAACCTCTTTCCCGTCTGGCGCCACAACCAACATGGACAAGAAAGCCAGTCTCGACGAAAAGGAGCACGTCCCCGGCCACATCAACCCGGATGACCCAGCGTCCGTCGGGGCATGGTCTGCGCATTTCCTCGCCCAGGATGAGGCAACACGCACGGCCTACGAGAAGAAGCTCCTCCGCAAGGTGGACATACGACTGATGCCCATGCTGGTGACCATGTACCTGCTCAACTTCCTCGACCGGTCCAACCTCGCGCAGGCGCGGCAGGGGAGTCTCGAGGCGGACCTGGGCATGACGGGGACGGACTTCAACCTCGCCACGTCCATCTTCTTTGTGGGCTACCTCCTCATGCAGCTGCCGTCCAACCTACTCCTGACGCGGATGAAGCCATCGCTGTACCTCTCGGCCTCGTGCTGTCTCTGGGGCATGGTGTCGACCTGCAACGCCGCGACGCACAAGTTTACGCATCTCGTCGTCGTCCGCTTCTTCCTCGGTTTCGTCGAGGCGCCCTTTTTTCCCGGCGCCGTCTTCCTCATGAGCTCGTGGTACACCCGCGCCGAGCTCACGAGACGCATTGCCTGGCTCTACGCCGGCAACGCGCTGGCCAACATGTTTGGCGGTCTGCTGGGCGCCGCCATCCTGGGCAATCTCGAGGGCGACATGGGTCTCGCTGGCTGGCGCTGGCTGTTTATCATCGAGGGTGTCATTGCCATGGGGTTTGCCATCATTGCGGCTTTTGTCCTGCCCAACTATCCGCACACCACGACCTGGCTCAACAAGGAGGAGCAGGCGTTTGCTGCGTGGCGCCTGTCGATGGACATTAGCGAGGCCGACGCTTACCAGGATGCCTCTGTCTGGGACGGCGTGAAGCTCGCGGTCAAGGACTACCGCCTCTACATCTTTGTGCTCTTGCAGCACATCAGTCTGCTGTCGCAGAGTTTCCAGTACTTCTTCCCCAGTATCCTCGGCACGCTTGGATATGGAAGGATCGAGACGCTGTGGCTGACGGCGCCTTGCTGGGTGAGTTGGCCTGTACATGGCCATTGACTCCATGATGCTGACAGGACGAATTAGTTTGCGACTTTCCTGATATCCGTGTGCGTGACGCTCAGCTCGGCCAAGACAGGGGACCGATCGCTGCACATTGCGTGTCTCTCACTGCTCGCTGCTGTGGGAAACGCCGTAGCCGCTGGCTCGACAGTCACCGGCGCGCGCTTCTTCGCCTTATTTTTGATGCCCATGGGTTCAGTCGCAGCTTGTAAGTGATTGAAGCCTTGCATGAAGCCCTTGCAACGCAATCCGTACTGACGACGTCTTGCAGACCAGATCCTCGTCTCCTGGGTCGCCAACTCGTTCCCCCGCCCGCTCGTCAAGCGCTCCGCCTGCATCGCCATCTGCAACATGATCGGCAACACGGCCACCATCTACGGATCGTACATGTACCCAGCCTCGACGGGTCCCCGGTACATTCCCGGAGGCGCGACCAACGCGGCCGTCTGCGTGCTTGTTTCCCTGCTTGCGCTGACCCTGCGCTTCATCCACAAACGTGAGAACAAGAAGCTGGAGCAGGCAGAGGCGGAGGCGACGGCGGCTGGGGCGGAAGGTGGTGCAGTGGCTGGTGGTGAGGACAGGCGCATGGCTGGCTTCCGGTACATCTACTAGTGTCCAAGCTCGGAGTTGCGGTGGTCTCGCGTCACAATGGACAGAATTCGTGTAGTGACTCTCTGTACGGAGTATCGTGACTGCATTGTTCGTTTTGCTTTCAGTGATGTATTGGACAAGATTGAAGCGCAGCTTGAAGGTGAGATTGTGATTGTGAGACATGTCTTATCGCTCGGATGTATCGATAACGATAAGACCCTTAGAGTTTAGACCGAGTGGGCCCCACTAGCCACGGCCACGCTACCTACGAGGCGTCACCATTTCAGGGCTAGGCGCGTCAATTGGCGGGATTTATGTCTTTAAAGTTGCGCCATCAGCACGACGCCAGGTACTGCAAAGTTAAAACTCACTTGGGCCAAACGTCAACAACAACAACAACAGCATTCTTATGACCTTTTCCCATACTTCATCAACATCTCATTCCCTACACGTCCTCCTGCATTGGCCAGGTCCTCCATCAGCCACTGACGAGAAAGGCAGAGAGAGCATTGCTGCATTCCTAAGGTACCGATACTGCGCCACTGTGCAGACGCACGTGCTCCAGTCTTTCTCCTTATCCGCCCCCGGTTCTCTCCCCACATCGACGCTTGGCCTGTGGGAGGGCCTCCTGATTCTACAGTCGACCGCGCTCTTTGCGTGTCGAACCAACTCTTCTTCGAACCCTGCCATTCGCATCGCACGGACGAGCGAGCGACGACACGCGACGCGACGCGACGTCAGTGCCCTCTCGAACCCCCAACCATGCGGCTCACGGCCATCGTCACAGCCCTGGCGGCGCTCAGCCTCGACCTCGTCGCAGCCGCAGCCGACGCGGACGTCTTCTCGTCGCAACACCTCTACGACTGGGGCTGGTACGGTCTCTTCCCGTACACCACCTTCAAGTCGTACGCCAAAGGCGGCATTCCCCGCGTCAACTTCCTCAGCTGGGACGAGCGATGCACGAACGGATACTACCTCTACACGCCCAAGGGACGCGCCGTCCCCAAAGACCAGGCTGGCCCACGGATCATGGACGGTAAGGGCAACCTCGTCTGGTCCGGCGTCGAGGACTTTGGACAGGCGGCCGACCTGCAGGTGCAGGAGTACAAAGGCAAAAAGTACCTCACCTTCTGGAAGGACACGGAGGGCATCAGCATGGGCTGGGGTCGCGGCATCCACTACATGCTGGACGAGAACTACCAGGTCTACAAGACGTTCCGCCCCGTCGGCGAGGGCATGATGAGCGACCTGCACGAGTTCCACATCACCAGGGAGGGCACCGTCCTGCTGACCGCGTACGCGCCTCTCACCTGGGACCTTAGGCCCATTGGGGGGCCAAAGGAGGGCTGGATCATGGACAGCTGGTTCCAGGAGATTGACATTGAGACGGGCGAGCTGCTCTTTGAGTGGCGCGCCAGCGAGAATGTGCCTCTGGAGGACACGGTCCGCTACTTTGCCGGTCGCGACGACGGGTTGACCCCGGAGAGGGGCTTTGATTACTTTCACATCAACAGCATGGACAAGGACAAGAGCGGAAACTACATTGTCTCGGGTCGCCACACGCATTCGATCCACGCCGTGTCGCCTGAAGGCCAGCTGCTCTGGACGCTCGGTGGCAAGGGCAACCAGTTCGAGGATCTCTCGGGCGGCAAGGCCATTGACTTTGCGTACCAGCACCACATCCGCATCGACGACAACGACGTCATCACCATGTTCGACAATGCCAAGGCCGAGCGCGCCGGCCCTGCACTCAAGTACGACTTCTCCCGCGGTCTTGTGATCCAGCTCGATCAGGAGAACCGCACCGCCAAGCTCCTGCACGAGGTTTACGACCCTGCGAACCGCAAGTACGCCGACTCTCAGGGCTCAGCACAATTGTGGGATGGTGGAAAGTCCATGCTGGTCGATTATGGCTTCTTCCCCTCCTTCACCGAGTTTGACACGGAGACGAGCGAGGTCCTCTGCGACATGCGCTTTGGACCCTCCCTCATGTTCCCCATTGGGTCCGTCAACAGCTATCGCGCTTCCAAGGGTAACTGGGTCGGGAAACCGCTCAAGAGACCGAACAGTCTCTACAATCCGGCCGAGGGTGTCCTGTACGTGAGCTGGAACGGCGACACGGAGACGGACATGTGGGTTCTGCAAGGCGCAGACCACAGCACGGCCGATAGCGGTCCGTGGACAGATCTCAAGGAGATCAGCAAGGACGGCAGGTTCGAGGTCGGCTTTGACATTGACGCGAGCATGCCCCCCTGGCTGCGCGTCGCGGCCGTCAACAAGGACGGCGAGACGCTCTACCACTCGCAGAAGTTGAGTCGCGAGTACGGCAACGTGCCACTCCCCGACGTTCTGGGCGATGTTTTACATGCCCTCCGGTGGATCTATACCCTTGTCGTCACCGGCCTCGGCCTCTATGCTTGGGACTCTACACGTCGTTGGCGAGCGACCCTTGCGCGCGTTGCGGGCAAGATGTGGCAGGTTGTGAAGCCAAAGCTGCGTCGACTCTTCTTTTGGTGGATGCCACGCGGTGTGCGTCTGCCGACGTGGATGCGCGGCGGGCTCTGGAAAGCTAAGGGGAAACCACACGAGATGCAGCCACTGTACGACGCGGACGAAGAGCAGCGTATATAATGAGCATTACGCTTGAGGGAGGCGTTGGTCGGTTACTCTCTGTCCTGGGGGCTATGATGTGCATACCTAGGTTAAGCCCCCTGGCATGGCGTTTGGTGTCTTTCCCCTAGAACCTGTATTCTTACTAAACATGGCATACCTAAATACCACATGGCAGCATTGGCTGCTTGTATTCTGCTATTTTGATGTTCAATTGACGTTCTATTGTGTCTGCACCACGATATTATTCTTCATCCCGCTGTTGCCACGCCGCAGACTGGCCTCGCTGCCGTCATAGCTCTCCGCCTCGCTCGAGACGGCCGGTTTGCCATCTGTATGCCGACCGTTATCAGCCATGGCCTTCGCGTCGTGATGATGACTGTCGTCAGGATCGTAGATGGTGTCCATCATGATGGTATCGTCGCCCATCCTACGCAGCCCGGACCCGCCACTGCCGCCGCCTCCTCCTCCTTGCCTGCGCATCTTGTTGTCGCTCACCTTGCTCGAGGCAAAGTCACAGTTCTTATCCGGCGTGGCGCTGAGCTTGGAGGCGCCCCGGCGCTTGCGGAGACGGCCGACGAGGGGGCCCAGCATGGGTAGCGAGACGCACAGGATGGCGAGGTTGACCTCTGTCGTGGAGAGGAAGTCGACCCAGACCATGGTCTGGGTGATGTTTTCTAACTGGAGGGATGTGAGTGTGAAGATGCGGCCGACGGCGACGCCCGAGACACTTGGTTTTTGTTAGAGGATTCTATACTGGCGAGGAGGAGGAGTACGTACACCAGACCAATGAGGAAGACGCCAGTCAGGCCAACCTTGACCTCGCGCCCGGTCTTGAGACGCCAGATCATGGGGATGGGGAGCAACAAGATGACCACGTCCGAGACAATGTTGTAGGCGCCAATCGCGATGAACACCTTGGGCCGGTCGGCGCAGGTGGCCGGAATGGTCAGATCGTAGTTACCGGCAAAGGGACGGCACATGAGGGCGAGGAGCAGCACGTTGGCCAGGGTGTAGAGACACACAAAGCCCATGACGACCAAGGTGACGCGGCGGAAGCGTTTGCCGACAAAGACCCGCAGGTAGAACAGCAAGACGCTGATCTTGATGATGCTGATGGCGACCGTGTAGGTGAGGGCGTACGAGATCATGAGCTGCAGGATGACCTTTAGGTTGGCCTGGGTCTCGACGAGGGGATAGCCCACGCCCATGGGCAGGTAGAGGCCCTGGATGGTGAGCATGCCGAGGCCCAGCGGCGTGGACAGGAGGATGAGGTAGTCGTCCCAGCCGAGCTGGGCGGACGTCGAGAGGCGGGAGAGGATGCGCAGGACGACGACGGCGAGCGTGATGACGACGAGGACGCAGTTGATGATCATGTGTATCTTGACAATCGGCTTCACCGGGAAGTCGACCGCTTGGAGCGCCATGTTTGGGAGTAGTGTGTGCTGCCTAAAAGCAGCTGTTGGTGTCGAGAAGCTGGTACAAGAGACACACGACGTTCGCACGAGGGGGAAAAGATGAGTGATATGGACTGGACAATTGACGGCAATTATCATGCGTCTCGGCCGAGGGAGCGGATGATGGATGATACATCATCTGGAACCTATGTCCTATGCAACATTGCCGGCCGATGGCAAACCTCTCATCCTGTTTTCTTGCAAGGCCCCCTGACCGTCTCGCGAGAGTCCCTGACACCCACAGAGTCCTCAGTGCGAGTATGCTCCGTAACGTACGTATATGTACGGAGGACGGCGTTAAAAGTTTTTAGTCGCGCTAATTCTATATATCGACGTAAATAGCTAGTTTTAGTGTAAATTTACTAGCGCCGTTCCCCGCCCCTCGACGTATTTATTTCTACCCGCTAATTTAATAACCTTCTAAATATACCTCGGGATACGTTTAATCTACCGCTATATCTACTCTTACGGGAGGTCTTTCTAAGCCTTTTCCTACCTCGTAATAGCTTCTTTTTATATACGCGGCGTACCCTTCTTCGTAATATATCTCTTTATCTACGGCTAGGTAGGCTCGATTATATTAAGGTCCGGCGAGTTACTAGGCTAAGGAAGGCGGCGCGCGCCTTCCTAATCGAAGACTTAGTATTAAAGAGAGTATAAGTATACTAAAGCCTTATCCTCTTAAATTAATATACTTAGCCGGCCGGTAGCCTCGTATTCTTTCGCGAAAGGAATTAACTTCGGCGTTAAGATAATTTTCTAATAACGCTATTAGTCGATACTACCTTTACCGCCTCTCGTAAGCTTTTTAGTCTTTTTAATCTATCGCTATTATAATACGCGGCCGGGGGCTTTACCCTCGCGAAGCTTTATATAATTCACGCTAACCTCTAACTCCTATATCTTCCTTACCTTTAGCTTAAGTACTTTATTTAAAGCCTTAAGTTCTTTCTCGGAGGCTTATTTCTCTTAAGTAATCTTTAGGTATTAATAATAATAAGGACTTTTTTTATCGTAAGAAAAGTAACCTTAGAATATAAACTTAGAAGACCCTTTCTATCGCTTATAAATATAGCTTTTATTAACTTTCTCTTTAGGCGTTCGCTAGATTTAATAACCGCCGCGGCGATATAATAATATTATAGAGGTCTTATCGGACTAGATTACCTTTTTCTAATTATTAAGGCTCTAATCCTTCCTTTCGAGGTATTATTCGAGCCGTTCTTTCTTTATCTTCTATATTAGACTAGGCTTCTTTATAAGCTTAGTCTTCCGGAAGCTAGCCCTACGGAGTATTCGCCGGATCGTCGTAACTAATATCTCGATACCGAAGTAATTAAGATCGCTAGTAATATTAGCATAGCTTTTCTCTCTTCTATATCGATCGCGGCGTATAAGCTTTAAGACCTTTTCTTTAATAATAGTCTACTTAAAAAAATAGCTAGAACGAGAGTTATTAATAAAGAGGGCGTCTATAAAAATAATCGGCCGGACGGTAGGGTCGAAGCCTCGCGCTATAGCGCGGGTAAATATTATATTAATTATACTCTTACTAACGCCTATAAGGGCTATTACCTCGATAATAGTCTTATTTAAGGCCTTAAGGCTTATAATTATAGCCTTTATTATAATATCGGTATACGGTATCTTCACGGTCGGCTTTAAAAGAAAAAATAGTTATATTTTATTAATTATAATAACGTTCGATAGTGAGGGGAAAGTCGGCCTAGTAGATTTATACTTAATATAGTGTAAAAATTCTATAGGTCTAGCTAATCCCTGATCTTCTAGCGTCTTAGCGACTAAAAACTTTTGACGCCGTCCTCCGTAAATATATCCGTACGGAGTACCTGTGTGGGAAACCGGCCAGCAAGGATTCCAAACTCGCAAGCAGGCGATGTTATAGGCGAGCATGGGTCTAGGAAGTCCCGGGCTGCCTCCCCGGCTCGAAAGGCGCTGGTAGGATTTCGACAGCATCTGCTTGGCATGAGGCGACGGCCAGTGAGGAAGAGTAGTTATCTCCACCTAGCCGTTGAAGAATGAAGATACTAGCCATTTTGGGAGTGCCATTTTTGAGGCCTGGTCGCCTGAAAGCTCCTTTCATGCTGGCAGGCCCCGATCCTAGCTTGACTCCCTAATTATTTGTGTTTTGCAGATTTGTCCTGTCGGTATCAGAAGCATGTAATTAGCCAGAATCCTCCTGCGGCTTCTGCGACCACGAAAAAAAAAAAAAAAAAAGACGTTCGTTCTCAGCGGCAGAACCCTGCTCGCTTCGACTCTGAGTCTGGACACAGGTTAATATGTACGTACTTGCGCACATATATATGTGCGGCAACGGAGGAGAGAAACTCGTCTCTGCCACGTCGCGGAGCCGAGGTCCCAACCTGGCCAAAACACCCTTGTCCCTTGGAGGCTGGAGCACCTGAAGGCCAGGGAATCCAACAGGTTAATTACCATGCATTCCTACATGTACTGTCGCACATGGACGGACGTGCAACTCCACAATCTGCATGGGCGCACTCGTGTCCTGTATCTGTCCGGCCAACAGTCGTGAGGAAGCATGGCATGCAATGTCATGCGTACCAGGCACATATCCAAATCTTTGGATCTTGTCGAGTTCGTCGAGCGACATGATCACCCCAGTATCGAAGCAGTTGGACACTCTTCGTGGCCCAGCCGCCCAATGCCAACTTTGCCAAGGGGTGCCCACCACCGAATGCCCTCCCTATTCCCGCATATACGGATGCCAGACACATGCGACGTGCGTCCTGGCTGGAGTAGCCAGTTCCAGGGGCACGAGTGCGGCGCGAATCACAGTGTGCAGCAGCCGCCGGGGTCTGCAGCTGGTCGGATCCAGGGCGACAGAATCCATCCCCTCCTTTCCAACATGTTGGATATGACTATGTAGCCAAGGACCAAGGTACGGATACTATGTACTGTCGTTATCGTGCCAGAGATGGACTGCCGACCAACAGTGCCTCCAGTCCACCCCGCGAGTCCGTTCTCAGGGGTCCTGGCGAGCAGCTTATAGTATCATCCTCCGCCAGGTTTCCTCCAGCAAAATCCCACCCTCTGATCTAGACCCCAGCGCAAAGCGTACCCCCATCACATCCCGCCAGCACCACCCAATGTCTGAATCGTTCGACTACATCCTCGTGGGCGGCGGCACCGCGGGTCTCACCCTCGCGAGCCGCCTCACCGAGGACCCCAGCATATCTGTCCTCGTCGTCGAGGCCGGCGCCGACCACACCAAGAGCCCCCTTGTCCTAACACCCGGTCTCGTCGGCGCGCAGTATGGCCAGGAGGACTACGACTGGAACTTCAACTCGGTGCCGCAGCGCCTGCTGCACAACAGGCGTGTGAACACGCCCCGCGGCAAGCAGCTCGGCGGGTCGTCGGCACTCAACTTTATGATGCTCGTCTACCCGTCGCGGCACTCGCTCGACACCTGGGCCAAGCTCGGCAACGAGGGCTGGGACTATGACGGACTGGCCCCCTATCTCGCCAAGTTTGCTACCGTGCATGCGCCGCCCTCCAAGGCCAGGGAGGCCGTTGGCCTGACATGGCATGATGGTAACCTCACGGGAGACGGACCCGTGCACGTGTCGTTCTCCGAGGGCTATGGCCCCAACAACAAGGCGTGGCTGGATGCCTTTGAAAAGCACGGCCTGGCCATGACGGGCGACATGCGTGATGGTGCCGCGTACGGTGCGTACCAGCAACCCGCGAGCATCGACCCCAAGGACAAAACCAGGAGTTTTGCCGGCACAGCATACTATGGCGACGAGGTGCGCAGCAGGAAGAACCTGACCGTTCTCACCGAGACGCTCGTGCACAAGGTCGTCTTTGACACCGCAGAAGGCAGCGAGCCCAGGGCCACGGGCGTCCTCGTCTCGGACAAGGAGGGCAACAAGAAGACCATTTCCACGTCAGGCGAGGTCATTGTCTGTGCTGGCGCACTGCAGTCCCCTCAGATCCTCGAGCTGTCCGGCATCGGCCAGAAGAAGCTCCTAGATGCCCTTGACATCCCCGTCCTCGTCGAGAACGAGAGCGTGGGCGAGAACCTCCAGGACCACCCCATCGTCTGCCAATCCTTCGAGGTCGCCGACGGCATCGTGTCCGGCGACGTGATCCGCGACCCCGAGGTCCTCAACATGCTCCTCGGCCAGTACAACACGAGCCGCGAGGGTCCCATGGGACAGTCCAACATCAGCGTCGCCCAGGTACCCCTGGCCGACGCGTCCGGCGTCATGTCCGCCGACAAGAAGAAGGCGCTCTTTGCGTCCAAGGAGGGCTTGCTCACGGACGCGCAGGACCAGGCCATCCGCGCCCTGTACGAGGACACCAACGAGCCGATTGTCGAGTACATGCTCTTCCCCAGCCAGGTCGACACCACCCTCGCCGAGCCGGCCAGCATGGCGTCGTACCTCATGCCCACCCGCCCCGAGAACAGCATCACCATCATGACGCTGCACAACCACCCCTTCTCCCGGGGCAGCGTCCACATCACCAGCCCCGACGCCGGCCAGAAGCCCGCGTGGGACCCCAACTACTCCGCCAACGCGCTCGACATTGAGATTGTCAGTCGCCACATTCAGTTCGTCGAGACCCTGGTGGAGACGTCCCCCCTCAAGGAGATGATCAAGCCAGGCGGTCGACGCTTCCCGGACGTCAAGGGCGATACCATGGAGAACTGCCTCGAGATCATCCGCCGGACGCAACTCGGCGACTTCCACCCGGCGTGCAGCTGCGCCATGAAGCCCAAGGAGCACGGCGGTGTCGTCGACGCGAGGCTGCGCGTCTACGGCACGAGGGGTCTGCGCGTCGTCGACGCCAGTATCTTCCCCATTGAACCCGTGGGCAACATCCAGACGACGGTGTATGCCGTGGCGGAAAAGGCGGCCGATCTGATCAAGGAGGACAGAAAGGCGTGATAGCGATGGTAGAGCAACCTCCAAGAGAACGTGAACTCATGCAACCCCTGTCTAAAGATCCGTGACTGGCAAATTCTGACAGCTGAGAAAGCCAGAGCTGAAATAGTGTGAATGTACAATTGTAAGCGCGCGCAGGAGACAAACAGCAACGCTATGCTACGTGCAAGCAAGGGTATGCGCTATCTAAATACATGCAGCCGAACCCCCGGTCAATGCCTCTTGGGTGTCTTCACCCGCAGCATACCATTCGCGCTCGCCCACACGCTGTCCGACACCTTCTGTGGGATCTTGCGGCCCCGGAGACGCTGGTCGATGAGCCACATGCCCACCACAAACTCGGCCCGGTCCAACATGCCGCGCCTCTTCCGGTCCACGAGTTCCCATACTTCCACCAGCTCGTCCTCCGGCAGCCTCGAGCGCCGCCAAATGTCCCTGACCACGACGTTGGCGATGTACTCGGCATAGTCGACTGACGATGCTGCTGCTGCTGACGTCCCGTCTCTGGTGCCGGAACGGATGCTGCTGGTGCCGGAGGACGTGGTGGGCAGGTGGTATCCCCTGTTGGATGCCCATACCGCTTCATATCGTTTTCGCTCCCGTTGGCGGATCTGGTCGCGCCACTTCTTCCGCGCACCCTCGTGGTGGGCATGTTTCCCGCTTCGCAGCTTGGGGCGACGACTCTTCTTGTGCCGGTCATCCTCGCTATCGGAACTTTGCGCAGCTGTATTGCGCATCGTGGTGCGCAGACGAGGTGACCGTGTGCGCTGTGGCAGTATCGGTGGCATCGTCGAGCCCGTGTTGGACGGTGTGAGGCGTGAGGAGGCCAAGGAGCCGGCCATGATGGCGCTCGTGAGCGAGTCAAGGTCAAGATTGTTCCTCGACGGTTGCTGCGACGGTCGCTGCGACCATCGAGTGGGTGACGGGGTATTGCGGCCAATGTCCCTTTCAGTGGGCGACGGCAACCGCTGCGACGTTTGTTGCGGTGGTGGGGAGCTGTACGTGGGGGAGGTCGGAGCCGAGACAAAGACGTCTTGTGGTGAGTCAGTCTCAGATGTCCTCGCCAAGTCCAGCTCGCTCGTTTTTATACGGCCCAGCCCGTGCTTCAGCGAACCAGCCCTGTTGACGCCCCTGGTGCTTCCTCGCGGTTTGGGGGGTGTTGGTGGCTGCGGTTGCGGCTTTTTGGCCCGAGGCGAGTCGCGCTTCTCAGGGTCGCCTGGAGATAGCAGCTGGGGGGAAGGCCGGCTGATGGTCTTTGAATGCTGGGGTGGAGTGGGCGGTGGCAACGGCAATTTGTTCAGTCTTCTAGGTGCTGGAGATTGAATCTCAGGCGTCGATGATGATTGCCCGAGTACCGGTGATCGAAGCTCCGCCATGTTGTACGATGTGGACTCCGGGATTGGTTTCGTAGTCGGTGTCTGGGGGGGCTTTGGGTCTACGGCTGCCGGTTTTGGAGGTTTGCTCGGCCTTTTCTGCGCGTCCACTGGCTTTGGCTTTGGCCTCGGCTTCTCGACCTCATCCCTCGCGGTGTCATCTTTTGTCGTCCGTGGTTGTCTTTCGGCCACTGGTTTCGGGGTTGGGGTGGGAGTGTGAGCCCGCGATGCCGGCGATGGTTTGTCCTGTTTCCTGCTGATCCTCTCGGGGGTCGGTTTCTGCTGTATAATGGCCGGCTTTGGATGTGGTGTCTTTGGCCGGGCCGACTGCCGGGGCGGTACATCGGGGGCTTTCTCATGCTTATGATCAGCCTCCTCCTCTTTTTCCTCTAGACTCTCCTTGGATGGATCTCTCGGCAATCTTTGGACCCGTTTCGGCGAAGGCGTCGACCTTCTGCGCGCAATCATTCCCTCGTCGACGCTACCTCCATGCCTTCTCCTAGGACTACCACCCTCAAACATTCGGATTAAATTCCCGGTAGGCGGAATGCTCGCAGCATCGACATGTTCGGTGGCGGTAGGCGATCCAAGATGCGACATGTGTGCATAATGTGACGGCGACCCCGTATGTGATCCAATCGTATTCACGCTCGGCGACCTCCTCACTCTGGGACTCGGGCTAGCGCTCCTACTCGCCGCCAGTGTGGCGGCGATGAAGCTCGCGTCTTTGCCTCCATTCTTGGGTGATAGGTATTGAGTTTGTTGCTGCAGCCTGGAATTGATAATGGTGCGCGCTTGCTGGTGGTCAATGTCCGGCAGTCCGGTGGTGCTGCCCCCTGTTGTCTGGGCGCTTATTGTCGCAGCGGCCAACGCGCGATCGTGGGAGTCCGTCGAGGGTGCTGCCAGGCCACGAGACTTGTTGCTGTTCTGAAATGCTAGGCTCGCCCCGCGCAGGGCTGCCGAGGACGCTGATGAGGATGCAGGCAGGCCATGAAGCTGGTTTGTGGTCATGGTCGTCGTCGTGGGGATCCGAGGGCTCGTCGTTCCGTGTCACATCTCGAGGACTAGTTTTTCCGTTCGTTCGTATACGACGCTAGGCAGGTAAAGCAAACGCTCGCGGCAAAAGGAAAAAGATGGAACGAAGCGAGGGACGACGCCAGAACAGGCAGACAAGCAATGGTGAATTGACGCGAGAAGGCCGGACGCAGTGGAAGGATGGTCGGATGGATGGATGGAAGTCAGGGCAGCTGTCATCTGCGTTTCGTCATGCGGATCCAATCTCAGGCGACCCCCAAATGGAAGCTAAGGCACGAACTCAATTGGCTGGTCAGGGTGCCTTTGGTGGGCTAGGCACCAACCACAATCCACTAATTCACGCTGCTGTCAGGGGATCGCGTGGTAGTGACGCGGCGCTAGAAGGGCCTAAGGCGCGGCTGTCTTGGGGGGCGTTCCAGGGGTTCAGCCTTCAACGCCTGACATGATCATCACGAGAGTCATTGTGTACTTCAATACCAGGTATTGATCAGACGCACGTGTGCAAATTGACATTGGACGTGGATGTCTCCATCCTCTCCTCTCCTATGCCCAGGGCAGCTGGAAATGGACAACAAGATTGGGCGGCAGCCGCAAAAACCCCAACGCCATGCTCTTACGCCTTTCTCGCTGAAACAAAAACGCCAAACACACAAGCATGACCAGCATAGCTCATCATCGTCATCGTCGACCACACCACACCAGACCATTACTTAGTACGCATCTTCATCCGTCCACTCGCTCCCCGAGATGATCCTGTTCCCCTCGGCGTCCACCATCACAGCACTCACGGTCGCCGGCCCTCGCATGCGTTTGCTGCCCTGGCTGCTATCCGGGCGGAACGCTTCGTGGGCACCCTCGTGCAAACGCTTGTTCCGCGCAGCCCGCAACTTGGCGTAGTATGCGTCCGAGGCGTCGGGTTCGGGTTCCGAGTGGTCGTCAAAGGTCTCCCAGTTTTCTGAGCCAGAAATCTGCGTAGATGACTGTGATATTTGTCTTGACGACCCCGACGAGGTGCTGTAAATCGCTGGACGCGAGGCAGGTGCGCGGACAGTGGCATAGGGGTCGTTGTATCTCGAGTCGTAAGAGTCCTCGTAGTACGAGGGCTGGTTGTGATAAGATGATGACCCATTCGAATTCGAACTGGTGCCGGACAGCCCACGCATAGCCTTGGGTCTGTCATCGTAGACATCCTCCGGCTCCGTTTGGCGCACAATGCTGCCCGCAATGCCGGCACCCTTGTATGGATTCCTGGGCGTCTCCAGCTCGGGCACAGAGCGCAGGTCGCGCATCTTTGGTGGCGGTGCCCTCATGGGTGCCCCGTTCCTATGCAAATCACTCCTTGACTCTGGACGTGCCCTCTCAGGCGAGTTGTTGCCGTGCTTGAGATTCGATAGCGGCGCGCGGGCAGGAATCCTGCTAGGACTGGCCTTGCCACTGGGCTGTGCCGCCGCAGGTTTTGCGGGCGTCTTTCTGTATGTGGAGGTGGGTGTCTTGGTCATGGATCTCGGCGGGATCTGTCTCGTGGTGGTCTTGCTTTGCACAGACTTGGGTGCCGCTTTGACTGCCGAGGCTGGTGGCCCGGCAGGTGTCTTGGAGCGAGGACCAGGTGCGGCGGTTCTCTTAGCCTCGCCAGCCTCAATCTCGTCCAGATAGCGCTCTCCAAAGACCAGGAACGGTCGGTCGTACTCGTCCTCCCATTTCTCGAGAATCTTACGCAGTTCGGCCGTGATCTTGGGCAGTTCCTTCGCAATGCGCTTGCGCATCTTCTCCTCTCGGAGAAGTTTGCCAGGGTCACGCTTCTCACCCTTCTGCCCTCGGGCCATGAGCCGCGAGGCATCCTGGCTCGATGTGGCAAGGTCGTCGCGCTCTTTGATGAGAGACTTGTGACGGTCAATCAGCGACAGAGTGGGTGCGCGCTGCTCCTTGAGCGCCTCCAGCCGCGCAACCTCCCTCTCATGAGCTTCGAGCAGGGCATCGCTGTAGACGTCTGAAAAGGCAGGTGTAAACTCGAGCATCTCATCCTCGGAGAAGTACAGCGAGTCCCAGAGTTCCTGAAGCTTGACGCGCGAATCCTCGACGAACAGGTGCAGGTTTTGTCGCTTGAGCTCATTGAGCCTGGCGAGCTCATCCTCAAATTCATTGATCTGTCGAACGCCGCAGCCGCGGTTTGCGTTGAGGAAAGCCTTGGTCTCGCCAGCATCGACGTCGAGCTTGATCCAGAGGGCCTCCACGGCAGCCTTGAGACTCTGCAGCTTCTTCTCGCGGTTCTTCTTCTCTTCCGACAGCTTGTCACGCTTAGCGAGGAGTCGGGCGAGATCCTCCTCGTGCAGACCGAGCTGCTCTGGCGATTCGCGGTAGTACTTTACAATGGCGCCGTCCTGTTGGGCCTGAGGGATGCCAAGCTCCGCCCAGAGCGATATGATACTGTTGGCTAGACTCTGCACGGTGGCGATCCGTTGTGTGTATTCTTCGTAGACGCGGGTGAACTCAACATCAAGGCGATCCACATAGCTAGGCGAGAGGTCAAACGTCGGTGGAATCGAGGCATTGGGACTGGTGGGTGGAAGAGCGATCTGGACAAAGGTAGGTTCCAAGTGAGACGAGTAGGATTCGAGGGCCTCGACAAGTTCTGTCTCGTTAGCACGGGCAGATCGTGTACGACGGCTGAGTCGACTCACTCTTGACCTGCTCAAACCGCTCCCTGTGTAGGCGCTGGATCTGCTGGTGCTTTTCCTTGAGGTGCGCTAGGCATCGGTTGAGAGGGTAGGTGATCTGCATGCTGTCGTCGTCGCGACTTCGTTTCGAGTCGTCGAGCGATGTCTCCATCTGGTGGATGGCTGTGATGATCTTCTTGGCCTCTTCGACCATCTCCTTCTTCTCGGCATTGACATGGCGGACTTGGCCTTCTAGGGCCTGTGAGAGCGACTCGAAGAGCTGGAGCAGTTAGTACCATGTCCGCAGCAGCACGGAAGATCGCAGTAAACAAAGAGTGGTCAGCGTACCTCGGCTTCGCGTGCCTCGCGCTCGTGGCTGGGCACGCCAATCTCGTCGAATAGCCCATGCAGCTGGGCTACGCTCGAGTTGACCTGCTGCGCCAGGTAGCTCGTGTCCATGGTGGCGCGCGCGATGAAGATGGTGGCGATGCGTTTGTGGTGAGTTCTCCCAGTGCGATGAGAGGTGTGCGCTTCTGGAATGTCGCGTGTCGCGGGGCGCGATGTCTCGGTCTGTGTAAGCACACACCGCGTGTTTACTCGTCGTGCACGCTGCGGGTCGGGGTTTGGCAATGCAGGGCGCGACGGTGGCAGGGCATGCTAATGGTACTCTAGAATGAGGTTTGCGACAGAGTGGCTCGAGTAAGGTAGCCAGGAACACGGCCAGTGAAGGCTTTGTTGACAATGATGTTGACGGATGGTGGTACGAAGCGGGAGGATGCGTGATCCACTTGTATGATGGCGCGCCGGAGTATAAACTCAAGTGGGCGTGTGTGTGGATGATGTTTTTTCTCGATCTGGAGGTTGGCCCAGTTGGCATGGCAACCATGCAGTCCAGCGTTTCAGCAGCCAGAAGACAAGCATGCCCACGCGCTCGTCGCTTGTTCTGTATTTCTGGAGAAATAACCGATCTGGCAATTGTGTTGGTTTTGACAAGGATTGCCCTAGGATGCTCTGCCGATGCATTACATGAATTTCACAGATACAAGGCAAATTTGATTGGTCTTTATCTAAATGCAATTGTCATGATCGAGATGGAGTTCGTCTTGGACTGCCATTGACTTGAAAGTTCCCCAGCAAACGCACATTGCCATTTGGCCTATTATAAAACATCAAGAACTCTTTGATTGCAGGTATTTGATACGGTGCAGACAACATTGACATTCTAATCATGATAGAACCCTAAAAGGAATCATTGTGATGGTTCTGGTGTGCGATACTACAGGGTAGTTAGACTCGAATGCGCAAAGTACAGGCTTACCGGTATGTCAACAATCTTAGGAAGACCACCCGGCAAACTTCAAGCTGCAAGCCTGAGACCCAAAGATCGCTTATTCATAATGAAAATTTTAATCAGCACCTTAGACAGCGCTCTCCAACTCGCTGCTTGCAAGACTGCCATCTCCCAAGACCAACATGTCCTCCCTCAAAAAGTTCCGCAGATCGTCCAGATCCAAGCTCGCGCACAGTCCCCCACACTTGGGCGGCGTGTGGCCTCTGCTCAGATCCACAAGGTGCTGCGCAGTGTCCCAGTGTGGCGGACTGCTCGTAGCTTTGCTTGCTATAGCAGTCGTCGTGGTCGACATGGGGTGAGTCGACGAACACATCTGGGGGCCATTGGCGTGATCATCGTGGAAGGCTATGGGCGGCAGGGTAAACCCCGACAGCGCTTTGTGAGATGTGGCAAAGGAGGACCTGGACATGTCAGGATCTTTTCAGAAGCAAGTACTCAGAGGGGGCTTACATCTCGATATCTGGCAGGCCAACATGTTCTTCCGCCATGCGTGGTGACAGATCTCGGACGCCTTGGCGCATCTTGGAAAGCCACCTGCTCACCGTGCTGGCATATAAAGTCGATACAGGGAATAGCGCCCCCATTATCTTGAGCAGTTCCACGTTGGCTTCGGTTGCCTCGACGGCCTCCTTGACCCTCTCGCTGACATCGACCCTGCCAGCTGGCAGGATCCGCCCAACATAGTACATCATTACCCGGCTACTCTCGAGAGCAAACCATGGCAGCGCGGCGTCGCTGAGGAGCCTTGGTCCGTGCTCCGCTGCCTCAGCAAGCAGATGTGCAATCTGTCGCGCATGGAAGTAGCTTTCTGCTTGCAGTGCTTGCCAGGCCTCATTCTGCTCTGGCGGGAAAGTGGGTGAGTTGGGCAGTCCGTACAGCTCCGGCAAGGCGATCTTGTACAGCTCTAGGTAAGCGTGATGGTAGGTGCAGTGAATCAGCATCAGCGCACCAAGTTGGTTCGAGTCCAGCCTTGCGTAGATGGTATCCGGGGAATATTCCACAAACTCGGGCAGCTCTCGCCTCCATCGGGACATATCTGCGTCCAAAGCGGCAAACTCGCTGCTGGGCAGCCACGGCGCGGGACCGGTATCGGGCTTCGACACATAGTTGCTGATGCGCTTCCAGAGCGTAACGATGCGTATGTAGTAGGCCATGATGCCCATGTTGTCCGCAGGTTTCCTAGGAACCATGGCGGGACTGAGACATTGCAGTACGTGTCCAACTCCCAGAGTCTCCGTAACACTCGCTATGCGAAGACCAAAGTTTCGTTCATTGCAGGGCAACTGAATCTTGATCTCGGACTCTTTCATCGTGATCAAAGGATCCGTGTTCCAGGCGTCGAGGAGATAGCAGGCCCACATCAAGCGGCGTCGAGACTCGCGAGGAACGACAGAAGGACTTGACGTATCAATGCACAGGATGTCAGCTGATGTTTCGCGATGGAGCTTCAGAGACTGCGCTGCACGTATAGCCAAAGCACCGAGCATGAGTGCCTGAGAGTGCTCCCCTTGCCGGTGGCGAAAGTCGCATAGCAATACGGTAGCCTACAAGGCGCTTTAGTCAAAGGAAGCCCAGCGACAGATGTGACCTACCATGAGCCGGTGTATGGAGATCTTGCCACAATGGCTCAGCACTATGGCCTCTGCTTTGGTAGCCCACTGATTGCCTGCGGCTCTGACAAAGTCCTCACTTGGCATTTGATCGAATTGTCCTAGACTCAATGCGTGGAATCTCCCTCGGTCAGCTATACCCATCGGTGGATCGTGGTCACTTACTTGGCGCCATGAGCACATGTTATGTGCAACAAGGCCGAGTCATCTTCCGAATTGATACCATTGTCCAACTGCCGCATGAAGCTGGGCTTGTGTACGAAGGCGAAGCATCGTATGGGGTGGATGTTGGCAAAGTAGTGCTCCACAAGCCTCCTGACTTGTCGTGGAGGTGGGATCTCAGGAGATAGTAGCCACTGCAGAGAGTCGCTTGGCTCAACTAGAAGTGGTGTTTTTGGAGGTGCCTCAACGCCTTCCCCGCCTCCTTCGACATCCTCTTCGGTCTTGACCCCTTGTGATGCGGGACTGAAGTTCTTCGCCCAGCGAGGTGTGCTGCCTCCGTCGTACACACAATCGATGCCCTTTGCACCACACCTTGCGCAGCGTGGTCTATCCCCGTTGCATTTTGTCTTGGACAGGCGGCAGCTGGTACAACTCCTGTATGTTCGGGTTTTCCGGAGCGAGGATGTCGCCAACGATGTCAGGCTTGCTCGTCGTCCTGCGGTTGGCGAGGCGAGACCCAAGGTGTCGTCCACACAGTCTAGCTGGAGACGCTCGCAGTTGCGACAGCCGTTGGGTCGTCCGTCACATTTCACCTGTGTCTGTCTCAGTCTTACTTCTTATTTGCTGTCCTGGACTCTTCCACATGCTCACCTTGCGCGCCCGGCATACTCGACAGCCCATTATCGAAGGCTTGCTTACTCGATTCTCTCTAGAAGTTAAGGGTGAGGAAAATACGAGGACGAGAGAGCGCGACAGCCCGACCGGCCCAGGCCCCTACTTCAAAGGTGTCACCGATCAGCCGAGTTGCGTGTAAGTTCTAATACGAGAATCTCTACCCAATCGAGACACAGCGCAATGACGTGCTCCAGAGGCCTCAAGACGTCTTTGCCGTTCTCGCCTACAAAAGGACATTGGGTCCAGGGTTCGCATAGAAATTGGAACGAGCGAGGTGCACAGGGAGAATAAGGAACGTGATGTGGGTTGCGTTGGTCGTGGTCTCATTACTGCTGCGTCGCACTGCGGGCAGACTAAACATGATCTAGAACCGCATCATAGCCCGACGGTCCGGAGGGCAAACCAACGGGCAGGATCGTTGTTGTTTCGCGCCCGGGCGGGACTGAATTTCTCGTATACGAGGACAACACGTGCCCATCTGCAGAATTGCAATAAGTGCTCGTCGTCCGCATCGCAAATATTGAGCTCGTGTTGGTTTGAGTGCGCCTTGGGTCGAGAGCAGTCGTGTTGGCTGCCTTATCAATTACGCATCAGCGCGCAGGGGACACTACCAAAAGGCAGCTCCAATCCTGCTGTAGCCTGGAAACACCCATTCTTTATGAGATTGATGAAGTGTTAAACCGGTGAAGACGCGCAACAAGCGAGAGCTGGCACCATCGAGGCGTGTCGTGCGTGACGATAGCAGGGGGTGGACCCACATTTCATTGAAGTTCTTATCAGAGATGATAAGCCGATAGCGGGGCGATAAGCCCGCCCCAGACCCACCACGGCAAAAAAGTTTCCCAAGTACAGCGACCGCCAAACCACCATCACCAACATCGCATTCTTGCTTCAAGTCCAGGTCCCGTCGCCAACATGCGGTAGGTCTCCTCTGACACCAACGACGCTCTCAAAGCGAGACGTGGAACTAACTCCATCACAGTGTCGACCCCTGTTTCTTCTGCGGACGCCCGTCCTACCCCTCCAAGGGCATCACCTTCAACCGCAACGATGGCCGCTCCTTTCGCTTCTGCCGCAGCAAATGCCACGCCAACTTCAAGCTCAAGCGCAACCCCCGCAAACTAAAATGGACAAAGGCCTTCCGCAAGGCGGCCGGCAAGGAACTCACCGTCGACTCGACCCTCGCCTTTGGCGCACGCCGCAACATCCCCATCCGCTATGACCGTGATCTGGTCCAGAAGACGCTCAAGGCCATGGAGCGCGTGTCCGAGATCCGCGCCCGTCGCGAGCGTGTCTTCTACAAGAACCGCATGAAGGGCAACAAGGCCCGTGAGCTCGCCCGCGCGCGGAGACTGGTCGCGGAGAATGAGCACCTACTGCCGAGACTGCGCGGCAGTGAGAAGAAGAGGATGGTGGAGATGGGTGCCGATGAGGAGGATCTCGAGCTCGAGGAGGCAAGGCTGCGCGATGGCAAGAAGGCCGTCAGCAGGGCATTCGGTGGTGAGCAAAAGAGACTCAAGGTGCGGATTGACGATGATGTGGAGGACATGGAGGCTGGCGTGGAGGACATGGATGTGGAGGAATAGAGAGACAAAAGAAAAAAGAACATACGTTTGTGCAGGGGTTACGTTACTTTACTTCATGGCGTTAAGGTCAAGCAGGTTACGGAAAGAAATGGAAATGATCAAGAACAGCTTGGTATTCTTTTGTTTTTGAACGCCGTGATCTATGCAGGTAGTATTCGTAACAATTATTCTCCCATCTCCTCGTCCTCCTCCGCGGCAGCAGCCTCAGCCGCAGCCTTCTTAGCCTTGTGCGCCACGACCCAGGCGTTGGCCTTGGCCATGATCTTGTCTTTGCCCTTGGGGTCTCTCTTCTCCTCCCAAGCAGCCCATCGCCGGAACCAGCTCTCAGCCTGCTTGGGCTTCAGACCCTTGACCCTTGTCCTCCTCTCGAACACATCTCGTACGGCCGTCTCATCGTCACCCTCAAGGTCAAGCAGTTGACTCCACAGATCACCCTTCTTAGGGTAGGCAGCTAGCAGACCCTCAAACATGGTGCGTCCTTGCTCAGGGTTGCCGTTGGGTGACCGGAACTCAAGCGCAGCCAGGCGGCTGATGATGTTCTGGTGGTGCATCTTGGGCAATTGCTGCGTGGCACGGGGAAGAAGAGCACGCGCACGGGCTGGGTCGGCACGGGTAACGTGCAGGAAGTGAGCGTAGTTGTACCACACGTTTGGTGACTTGGCGCCAAACTTCTTGACCATGGCCTCAAAGAGGGCATCGGCGTCCTGGCATGGTTAGCAATGTTCTCCATGAATTGGGCGGTGTGGCTTACCTTGAGCCTGTCTGACTGAATGTACATGCTAGCCAGTCGCTCATAGACCTCCTGCTCATCATTGACCTGGCAGGCCCTCTTGAAGACCTCCTCAACCGTCTCCTTGCTGCCGTACACAATCTCGAGGTTGAGATAGGCGCCCCAGACGGCCAACTTCTCAGCCTCCTCAGTCATGTCAATGGTCCGAATGGCCTTCTCGGCCACCTCTCGCGCCTTGGACAACTCGCTCACTTGCATCTGGAAGGCCATGTACTGGATCCATCGCTCGGAGGAGTTGGGCTCAATCAGACACAGACGCTCGTGATCAAAGGCGGTCTGAGGGCCGTTGGTGTCAAGGTCAGCTGTGCGGTCAACCTCAATCTCGGTACCCTTGCGCTTCTTGGGCTTGACCTCGGTGGGTTGGCTCTCGCCCTCGTCCTCGGAGCCGGACTCTGCAAAGGCATCAGCTGCCCACGCAGACTTCTTGCCGGCACCGAGACCGCCAGCTCGAACCTCGTCATCGTCGGACTCGTCCTCGTCGTCTTCATCCTCGTCTTCCTCATCCTCGGAGTCTGTCTCTCCGGCTGCGACAATCTTCAGTATGGCACCGCCGTCATCCATCTCGACGTCACTGTCGTCCTCGTCCTCGTCATCAACCTCGTCCTCATTATCTTCATCTTCGTCGTCCAGCGCGGCACCCTCGTCCATGTCTGTGTCATCTTCGTCAAACAAGGAGGGCTTCAGACCAAAGTTGATCCTCCTCTTCTTGAGATCAATGTCCAGGATCAACGCCTTGACGACATCGCCCTCCTTGTACAACTTGGCAGCGTCGTCCACCGGCTTGTCAGCCATCTGGCTGCGGTGGCACAACCCACTGACATTGGCAGAGTTGTCGATGCCGATAAAGGCACCAAAGTCTTCCACCTTGCGGACCTTACCCGTCACAACCTGTCCCTTCTTGAAGTCGTTGAGTGTCTTGGGAGCCACATAGTTCTCCTGGTCAACGACAGAGTTCTTCAGGGTCAGCTCGAGTTGCTTTGTGACCGGGTCGACAGAAAGAACGCGCGTCTTGACGAGCTGGTCGATCTGGAACTCGTCCTTCCAATTCTTGAGGAATCGGTCTGACAGGTTGGAAATCTTGACAAAGCCAGTGACCTGACCACCTAGGAGCACAAAGACACCCTTGTCGGCGACATTCTTGACGAAACCACGGATGACATCGCCAGGAGTGATCTGTGAGAAGTCGGTAATCTCTTTGTCGACGACGGGCAGCGTTGAGCTCATGATACGTGAAGGGCGCACCGATAGTCGGAGGCGCTTGTTGCTCGCATCCACCTCAACAACAGATACGCGCACAATGTCGTTCTTGTTGTACTGTGTAGTGTTGACATCCTTGAAGTCATCCTTCATATCAGGCAGATGCACAGGCCCAGAGACCTCGTCGCTCAGCTTCACCAGGATCTGGCGGTCGTTGACCTTGGTGATACGGCCAGCCATAATCATGTTCTTCTTGAGCGTGGACCAGGTGACTGCGGGCGCGGTGGTGTTGGAGCGCGCTGAAAGGTCCAATCGGTTGTTGCTGGCATCGACAGCGGTAACCTTGGCTTTCAAGGCTGAGCCGACGGGGAAGTTGGCAGACAAATCGTCAAGCTGCGAGACGTCGTCCGAGACCTCCATGATTGAAATGCGGCCACGTACGTTGGGCGAGATGTTGACCCAGAGGTACTGCGCGGTGACGTTGTTGACGAATGCAATCTGCTGATCGCCCGGCTTGACTTGTCCCAGTGCCAGAGGCTCAACAGGTCCCGCCTCAGCGAGATGGCTGCCCTTGACTGTCAACTCCAGAACGGAATGCGCCGAGCGATGCGAGAAGGGTAGGAAGCGGTGGTCCTTGGCATCGTGAACGCCAATGACCTTCGCCTTGAGGGTCTGGCCTCTGTGAAACTTGGCCAAGGGTTCCTTCGGATTGTCGATCTCCTCCCAAGTGTCAAAGCATTGGGACACGTCGATGCGTCCTTGGACGGTACTGTCCACAACGAAAACGTTCATTTGCGTCTCCTTGATGGACCTGACCTTGACCTTGATGATGCTTCCTTCCGACAGGTTGTCTTGGGGCGCGACCTTCTCCTTGCCCTTGCGCTCAGGGGTCTCAATGCTCGCGTCGGCCGGGGCCACTAGGATACGCTGCATGTCTGGGATAGTAGAAACAACCTTGACTTCGAGTGACTGATGCTTGTGCATGCCAAAGTCAGCGAGCGCATGAGTCTCCGCTGGTAGACGTGACTTGGGCAGCAGAGCGTTGAGCATGCCGCCAAATTGAACGAACACTGCAGTCAAAGTAATGTGCCTCACATAGCCCGGCACAACAGCGCCCTCCTGCACCTCGTCGAAGCTGGTAAGCAGCTTGCCCTGCTTGGCAGCCTCCACAAGGCTAGGCTTCTGGGACAAGATGATAGCCCGTCGCTTCTCGTCCATGTCAATCACAAGCAGCTCCGACATGGCCTGTCCGACATTGATGCGCTTGAGCTTGAACTCACACTTGCTCAGGGACTTGTCCAACAGGTGGCCAACCGGCAGAACAGCCTTGAGGCCGCTGTCGGCGAGCTCCAGGTAAAGCTGATCTTCCGACTTTTGCGTGACCTTGGCATTCACAAAGTGTCCAACCTTGAGCTTCTTCATAGCTTCCTGCTTGTCCAGGCCGAACGCAGCAGGGTCCTTGCAGGAGACCACCAGGCGCTTGGCCTCGGGATCAACTTCAAGGACGTGAACAGAAACGACCTGGCCAACGCGGAAATGCTCGTGAGGATCACGGATGTAAGCCTCGCTCATCTCAGACACGGGCAGGTAACCCCTGATGCTACCGTAGAACTGGATGAAAGCACCGTTATTCTGTAACTTGACGATGGTGCCGGGAGCCTGCATTCCCACGCTGATCTCGTTGTAATCCTTGACGACGGGAGCGTCCGAGTTTACGAGCGTCTTCTTCATCGTCAGGCGCATCCGCTTCCTCGACGGGTTCGTCGACAGAACACGAGCCTTGACCTTCATGCCCTCTCGGAACTTCTTCTCGGGGTGTTGCAGGCGAACATCAGACAAATGGCGCTCGGGCACCAAGCCAGTGATACCCTCGGCAAGTTTGAGTATCAAGCCGCTGACACCCTCCTCGGTGATCACAAGCTTCTCGACCTCGCAGGTGACCACAGCACCGATGGGCACATCGTCCATGCGGATAAAGGGCTGCTCTAGAACGCTCTTCTGGAAGGAGACAAGGAAAATGCCGTCCACCTCGTTGTAGCCAACCACGCGACCCTTGTGCTCCGAGCCAGTTTTGAAAGCACCGCTGGTCTCGTACAGTGCATCGACCTTGCCATCCTTGACGCGGGAAATGTGCACGAAACCACTGAATCCAGGCACACCCACATCGACAAAGAGACCGATTTCGCCTTCGACGTGGCGGACAGTGCACTTCTCGATCAACGAAGAGATGGGCAGCACCTCAGTCGGCAACTTTGTGCTCTTCGTTGGGAGCTTCCTGCCCATGGACGTAATGTGTGGCAGCAGAGAAATACCCAGCTTGGGCTCCTTGGCAGAAGGGAATGTGCAGATGACACGAGCCTTGACCTTGGAGCCAATCTTGTACGTGCTGTCCAAGTCAGTACCCTCGGGGCCGACGCCAGAGTGAATCACATCGGCGGTGACGTCCAAAGAGCCCATGACTTTACCCGCCAGGCCGCGCCTGTCCGTGTTCGTCACCAGGACGTCCGCAGTGGTACCGGGCAAGAAGGCGTTGATTGTCGTGGCGTCCTCGGGGTAGGCCTTGGGGTTGTTGAGGCGCTTCTCGAGAAGCGACAGCTGGACGATCTTGCCGCCCTTGCTGTTCACTGAGCAGAGAAAGACAGCGCCGGGCTGAAGTCTCTCTTCGCTGATGGTGGACGGGATTTCCTTCTTTGGCAGGAAAGCCCTGGTCTTCGAGATGCCCAGATCCATGACACAGCCGTGATCTTCCACGCTAATGACAGAAGCCATGACCGAAACGTTGTTGACTAATTCATCCCAGCCCATGCCTGTGTTTGCCTCGGTTGGCCTGAGGGACAGCTCGATCTTGCGTCTTCCTTTGCCGCCTGCGGAGTCGTCCATTGTTGAGACGACGTAGACACGTACGTACTGGCCGATTGTGAATATTGACTGGAGGTCCACATCGCTGTCATTTTCCTCCTCTTCATCTTCGTTTTGCTTGTCTTCGTTGGCGACGTGTTCCAGCTTCTGGGTCAACTGTTCGGAAATGGCGACGATGGAGACATGACCGATCAGGTTGTTGGGCAAGGTGACTTCGAGATCGAGGGCGTTGATTCGGGAAATTTGTCCTAGCACCAGTGACCCCTTGACCAGCTTTTTGAAACTCAGACTCTCGACTTTGACGGAGTCCTCTTCATCCTGCGCACCCTTCTTGTCGCCCTTTCCTTTGCTGACCTTGGCCTTGATCTGCTTCTTGGCCTTGGTGCCCTTCTTGGAGGTGGTGAATTCGTCTTCCCGCATGGCATCCGCTTTGGCCTCCATATGGATCTGCTTCTGCTCCAGAGGCGTCAAGACGCTGCCGCCACCACGAGGAAACATTGGCTCCTCATCTTTGAGGACAGAGGAGACCGATTTGGCGGGACGGTCTCCCTTTGGTTTCGCATCCTTGGCGGGCGCATCCTTTGTCTTCTTCGCCGTTTTCGCCGGCCGGTCGCCGCCGGGGGCGTCCTTTCGTTTGAGGGCGCTCATTGCGTGTAAAGGCGTTGAGGTTGTATAATTGCTACGCGGGCCGACTGGCGCAATTGATGGCCCTGAATTTTTTTTCGATGCGGCGACCGATAACGATAACGATAGCTCGACATTTTAGTGGGGGCAACTGCTTAGTCACCCGCCTGCTTCAGCGACTGGCAGCACCCACTGCGGAATTGGCGCCGTCACTTTCCCCGGTTGGCTTGGGTTCCGGGTACGTATGATGGTATCGTCATTTGCACGTGCAAGCCAGGTCAGCCCATCAGTCACGTCGACCACGTCAACTACATCCATGGACTTCCTCACCACACGCGGCAATCCATGACAATGGTTCCTCGCAAGCGGCAGAGACCGAATCCGGCCGCCGCAGAGAGTAAGAACGATTCGAACAAAGCTTCTCTGCCGACGCCGTTGCCAGCTTCAGCTTCAGACCCGACCAGCACCGATCGGCAACAGGAGCTGCCTGCAGGTTCGCAAAATGCCGATGGAAGCAACGAAAGCTCACAGGGACTACCTAAACAGGTATGAAAGCTGGACACGAAGGACTGTGGCGCTGCTGACAAGCTCAAGGTCCGCAAGTCGCAGAGCTGGTACGGATCTTGGCCGCGATCCCCCAAAGCGACAGCGTCGACGTCGGTAGCGAAAGAAAACATTCTCGGAGGAGGCATCAAACCTATAAAGAGCGACGACCTGAGCAAATACGACAAGAAGAACGATAGTGGCCGTGCGAGCGTACGTAGTGTTGCGGCACCCAGTGGATTGACAGAGATACCGGAGAATGGCGCGAAGAAAGACGCCTCAACGCAGGAGGCGGGTACACATGCAAGCTCAAACATCAGAACAGAGGAAGCGGCTGGCGGTGATAAAGCCGACGCTGTCGAAAACAGACCGGAGCACGCGCAAGAACAACGCGAGCAACAACCCCAGACCACCGACCAGGCTTCGAATCCGTCCTCGGGATGGTTGGGGTGGTGGTCACGAACACCTTTCCTAGATACGCAAGCTACACCATTGCTTCCAGTGCCTCCCGGAAACGGAAGCCTGCCACCCAGGGTGGAAGAACAATCCAAAGACGATCAACCGCCTCGACCTAGCACGCCGCCCGCACAAACAGCAGAAGGAAACGGCCTTCCGCATGCACCGCAAAGCGCCCCGGAGGCACCAGGCTGGTTTGGATTTTGGTCTTCAACTGTGCCTTCCCGCAGCGCAGCCGAGTCCATGAAGGATATCAAGGACGGGGCAAGTGATCCGGGAAGACCAACAAACGGTGAACGATCGAACCAGCCTGATGAAGTCACCATGTACGATGCGCCGTCGGAAGCCAAACCGCAGTCGGGACCACAATCCGGGTCAGCATGGGCATTCTGGTCGAAACAATCGCCCCCGTCCAAGAAGCAGGCGCAGCCAAATGAGCAGGGTGAAATCGCTGTCATTGGCGAGAGTTCTGAGGCACACCCAACACCAATGGCTGAGGGAGATGTAACATCGCCCAAGGCGACGAAGACCAAGGAGTCAGTCGGCATGCTGACGTGGAAGAGGAGCAGCAAGCGGGTGCGTCCTCCGTCTATGGACGTTGATGCTCAGTCGCCTACTCCCTCGGGGGTCTCGACGCCTCGTGAAGCTCAGACTCCTGTCACGGCAAAGGTTGACTCCTCGAGCAAGTCCATCAGCGAGTCTGAGTCGTTAGCGAAAACGCAGCCAAACCTCCTACTGCCATCATTCTCCGGCACGTATCAAATGAAGCAGGACCCTTCCATCATGAAGCAGATTGCGCAGCTTCTGCTCCGGTCGCAGCAGCCACCCGCGAACCATGTCTATCGATCAAAGGAGATTCCCACGGTTCGCAAAGCGATCTCAATAGGTGTTCATGGCCTGTTTCCGGCTACATACTTACGACCCATGATTGGGCAACCTACTGGCACTTCGATACGGTTCGCGACACTAGGCGCTGAGGCCATCAGGCGGTGGACGGAGAGGCATGGCCTGCCAGAGTGTGAGATTGAGAAAGTCGCCCTGGAAGGGGACGGCAAGGTCAATGACCGGGTGGACAACCTTTGGAAGCTGATGTTGAATTGGGTGGACCATATCCGCCACGCGGATCTTGTACTCATCTCCTGTCACTCACAAGGAGTCCCAGTGAGCATCATGCTGCTGGAGAAACTCATTGATCTGAGTATCCTCACAACTGCCAAGATTGGCGTCTGCGCAATGGCCGGCGTTGCTTTGGGCCCCTTCCCAGACTATAAATCAGGCATTTTTATGGGCTCAGCCGCTGAGCTGTGGGAGTTTGGTGACCCAGACAGTGTCAACTCCCTCCGCTTCGAGTCTTGTTTGAAGAGGGTGGTTGACTACGGTGCGCGCGTCACCTTTGTCGGCAGCATCGACGATCAGTTGGTACCCATGGAGTCTGCTATATACTCACCGGCGGACCACCCGTACATCTATCGAGCCGTCTTCATCGACGGTCGCATTCACGCCCCCGACTTTATAGCTCACTTGGTTGGCTTTGCTCTCAAGCTTCGCAACCTCGGTATCTCCGATCACGGCCTCATTCGTGAGCTATCCGCACCCCTCGCGGGCTCACTCTACTCGGGTGAAGGTCACTCCCGGCTCTACTACGATGACCAGGTGTACGACCTCGCCATCTCCCACGCGCTCGAGACGACCTCCATCCCCCAGAATCAGCAGCATCCCTGCCACATTCATCACAGAAACAAGGGCGCCATCGTCGGCGCCAATGCTCAGACAACAAACCCGTACATTCTGCCCTGGATCATGCGCGGCCTCCTCGAAGAAGACTTTGTCAAGACCGAGCTAAGTGACGAGACCAAAGAACTGCTGCGCCAGTTTGACGATTGGAAACCAACAAACAAGGCACTCAAGGACGTCAAGTATAGACTAGAGGCAGTCAGGAGTAAGCTTTAGACAGAGACGCCCCTTATGAAGACACCGTATCTCTGCCCACGCACGCTAACGACTTGTGTCGAGAGGACATTGGATGATTGATGTACACGATTACAATGCTTCTATGTTTCTATGATACACCACGGCTTATAGTACAGTGTCATGACCCGTGCATGCCTCGTCTAGCAGTCTTGTTGTTACCTTCGTCCCAACTTCCACTTGTCAATGCGATCCTGAATCTTATCCCAGCTCATAGTATGGCTCGTCAGTCCATACGCCTGCGCCTCCTGGAGCACCACCGTCGGCGCACCGCTGCCCTGGCCGGGATTCTGCACCAGCCCGCAGACGACTTCCTTTGCGACCCTCCTCAGGTCCTTGACGGTCAGGCTCTCGATGGCGCGACACATCTCCCGCACAGGGACCTTGCGTCCGTGCACCTGCACGCTCCTTCCCAGATCCTCGAGCTCCACCATGCGCGACTCGAGGTTCATGAGCAGGCTGCTCCTCAGCTGGTTCTTGGCCCTCTCGACCTCGTTCTCCTGCAGTCTGGCGTGTCCGGACTCGAGCGTCAGCGCGTTGAGCTGCTGGCAGATGATGTCCAACATGGCGCTGGTGTGGCCGGGCATGCAGCTCGCCGAGATGCCGAACAGACCACTGTCGGTGTATGTGTGGCTGAACGCGACGCAGCTCTCGACGAAGCCGTGCTGGTTCAGTACGTTGGTGTAGAGACGCGAGTACATGCCCTTGCCGGGCCCACCGGCGGAGAAGGACCCGCCACCACCGAGGAGAGTCTGCAGCGTAGCCAGGGCGTAGACGTCCGGCGACCCCACAGGCAGACCTTCAAAGGCGAGGTGGATGTGCGTGAAGATCTGCTGGTTCAGCGAGGGCGGTTGCGGCGGGAGAGACAGGAAGCCACCTGTGTAGTGCGATGGCTTCATGATCTGCTCCTGCGAGGGCGGCGTGAGCTGCGCGGTCGAGGTGCCGCTGTTGTTTGACGATCCCTTGCCAAAGAAGGGAATCTTGGAGAGTATCGGCGATGATGATTGAGAGGAGCTCGACGACTCTGAATCCGACCCGCTCGTTTCCGATCCTGTCGATGTAATCTCCTGGAGGCTCTTCATATCACCAAAATGCTCCTCGGCCAACTTGACGGCCTCGCCGTGCTCGATACCCGCAAACGCTAGCACCATGCGTTCCGGCCTGTAGAACAGATCCCGGTACATCATCACCGTGTCGCGATTAATGTTTGCGAGCCTCTCCTCCGGGCAGAGCAGCGGGTTGCCGAGAGTGTTGTCCTTAAAGGCCGCCGTGTGCACGAGCTCGGGGAGGATCAGCTCCGGCTTGCTCCAGATCTCGGCGATTTCATATCGCGCCGTCTCGAGCTGCGCGTCGACCTCGTCCTCTGTGATCTGGGGGTCGCGAATAGTTTCGGCGAGGAGTTTCGTTGTCTCGGGCACGGCTTGGTTGAACGTCGCGGCTTGGTACATCATGCTCTCCCGGGAGCTGGCGCACTGGATGCTGCCGCCTAGTTGCTCGACCGTCTCGAGCATCTCGTCTGCTGATCGCTGGCTCGTCGATTTGAACGCTAGACGATCCATAATGTGCGAGACACCTCGAAGAGACTCATTTTCGAAACGAGAGCCGGCGTCGACGTAGACACCAACACCCGAGAAAGACCCTGGGAGAGCCTCAGATGCGACACGTAGACCGTTGGGTAGGGTTGTGATGTTGTCGAGGTCAGTGGGCTCTTTGGGGATGGCGTCGATTTGTGTCGATAGGCCTCGCTTGGTCGCACGGCCGACAGTACATGACGATAGTGTTGACCGAGCAGCTCGACCCAGAGGCGCAAGACGTGCGCCTGTTTGTCGTAGCATTGTGTTGTGATTTGGTTGGGATGTTGTACATTGGGATTGAACCTGTCTGACCCAGGCACGTAATGGAGATTTTGCGACCCTGCATCAGTCCAAGGTTTAGGGTAGGTAGATCAGTCGGACATGCGTCCCGTCTGCCTCGGCGATAGCTCGGATGATCGCCCTCCGCAACTAGCCACCCGAGCGAGACTTGACAGGCAGCAAAGGCAGACATTTGAGCCGCATTTCTTGAGATATAAAGATAGTTAAAAGTATTTCATGGTATCTCTACGTAGTGCATGCATATTTCTCTCTGAGTCGGGTGAACAGCGAAGCCGTGCCCAAACAATACGCCAAAGAAATGAGTTGGCCCAGACAGCCCAATATGACTCCCAACTCCCTGCCCCAATGTGATGCTAAATGCAGGTCGAGACACGTACCGCCATTCGACTATACTTTCGCGTGTTGTATCCTCCTCTCTTGCTACCTTGTGGCCATTGCTTCCTGTAGTGTGCCATCCAAGGTCAGATTTGCAGTCATACTATTGGCAAGTTCTGAGTCTTCTGTCTCTTGCCGAGCGCGTCCAGCACCTCCATCAAAGACCCAAGGCCCGACCTCATTCCTCGGCGTGATCGGGCCTTCAGTATTGCCATTGCCAGGTGGTGACGGCGTAGCGTGTTGCCTCGCCGAACTGTTGCTGATAGGCAAAGGTTCCGAAATGGCGTGTGGAAGATTGCCCTGTTGCTGTTCGGGGCTTTGGCTCTCTCGCTGCGGCGCCATCGTCTCGTCCATAGGGTCACTATCGTTGTGTGGTGGTGGTGTGGTTGGAGGTGTCGCCCTGGTTGCATGGCTAGTGGGAGGAGCGCCGGCTTCGTCTTGCGCGTCCTCGTGCTGAAGCTGCTCCCAATCTTCCGCAGCGTCCTCTACGTCGGCTTCGAGATCGGCTCCCGCGCGGCAATTAGGGCACACAAACAGAGGATAGTGCGGCCCTGTCAGGAGCGAGCGTACACACTTAAAGTGCCATGTGTGCGAGCATGGTGCGACAAATAACGACTGGCAAGGCTACATTGGGGATTAGCGAACAGTCAGGCACGCGCTACCCGGAAGAACTTACAGCAATCATGTTGAGGCAGATGGAGCAGTCATGCGAAGAGCCACCAACGCTGGCCGTCTCTGCGTCCTTGCCCATGGTTCGTAACCTCTTGTGTGCAGCCATGTTGAAGGTGTTGAGCTTGTTTTGCCACCCACGATTCAGCTCAATGCGTACTTTGACACACCGGAAAATGGGCTCTTCGCCCCCCTTGAAGTCGATCCCTAGTTGCACAAGATCGCCATCGTTGATGGGGAATGCCTTGCTCTCCTGGCTTGGAGGGCTGAGGCGGATGTGGTTCAAGAATGTGCCCGATGAACTCTTAACATCCTTGATGAACCATTTGCCATCCTCGTACCAAAACTCGCAATGCCGGCGGCTCACAACCTTGCTTTTGAAGCCGACTGGTGCTCCTGAAGGCTGCGTGTTGTGCACATTGCCCATGTCGCGATTCTCGCGCTCCGAGTAACGACCGACTCGAATGACTTCTGTCCCGGTTGGCAGCGTTCGGGTCACGGGTGAGAACGACAGCGACGGGCGCGGCGAGCGAGGGTCGAGATAGGACGATAGTCGGATGGAAGGCAGCAACTCGACGGCATTTACAGCTGTGCTCGCTGGCGCAGCGCCGCCTGTCATCTCACCCGTCGTCGAGGCTCTGGGTCGCGGCATTGTTGGCTGTGGGTTCAGCAGCGGATCGCTCGTCTGGGGTGGCGGGGGCGCTGGTGTAGAGTCTGATTGATTGTGAGACGCTGCCGGATCGACGAAGCTGTTCTCGCTTGAAGAGTGCGGCAGAGGCGGGACTGGCGGGATGTCCTGGTCGACTGTGCGATTGGTGGTCGAGGCAGAATTATCCGAGGGGGCAATCGACAATGCGCTGTTGGTTTCCGTGGGCTGCGCCCGCGACGAGGCTGTATTGGATATGGTGGTCTGGGGCTGCGTTCCGTTGACCAAAGTCAGGCGGTTGCTGTTCCTGCTGGTTGTCGAAGCGCCTTGCTGGGCTGACCGTGGCACTGCGTTTTGCTGTTGTTGCTGGTACTGGTGCTCGTGACTGTTGTGGCTACTGCTGTCGCGGGAGAGCAGGTGACTGGGGTTATAGCGCAGCTGACTTAGCCTTCGCAATCGGCGGCGGGAGCTTGACTCGGTGGAGGAGGAGGACGACCCGCCGGGAGGGCTACCGCTGGTGAGGTTGCTGTGATGGGAGGAAGAGGACGAGATTGTCGAATGCAGCGCGGTAGATTGGTGCGCGGGCTGCGTGAAGCTGGCGGAGTGTGTGAACAGCATAGTTGTGGGGAAAGGATACGATAGCAAGCCGGCCGGAGTAGTACTGATGGGCTTCCAGGCGATCGGCAAGCGCTGCCGTTTCAGATGAAGGGCAAATGCCGGGTGGGACAATCTCTGTATCTTATGCCAGTACCTGAGATGAGTCGCGTGATCTTGCTTTGGTGGCCTGTGTGAATGAAGAGCAAGGTCGAGCACAGGTGGTGAAGAGGGAGGAAGAGGAAGGCGGCGTCGAGGGCAGGCAGGCAGGCGACTGGACGACAATGAAAGACACGATCTGGACTGGGCTTGGGCTCCCGGTGACGAGCGTGCTGCTAGCAGACAGGGATTTCTTCGGTCAAATTGGCAATAACGGACGATAGGAAAAGACCAATTTCCAGGCACCCAGTTGGAGAGGGCGCGCCACCCTTTTTCTTCAACCTTGGACCTGGACAACTGACTGCTCGGCTGGGACAGCCAAGAATCCAAGATTGTCCAAAAGTCATGTCACTGTTGACTCGTCAAGCGGCGCTTCCGGAACCTGGACCCCCTAAAGACCCCCCCTAAGCGGCGTCAATTCCAGTCGCTGCAGCGCTGTTCGGGTCGCGCCCGGCCACGCCTGGGCTGGACCCTCCTTGCGCTGACTAGCCCGGATAGGCTTGGCGGCTCCAGTCTTTTCCACTTTGGTGGCGTCACGGTACACATGCCCTGGTCTTGGGTCTGTCCGTCTGGACTCTGGAGCATCGCGTGACACGATCAGCTTCAACGTCCTACAGAAGTGACCCAAGCCCACCCAACTCCAGTCAGCCAGGCTTCAGAGGCTCGGTTGACTGTGGCAACGGATGATAATCACAGGCTTGGGGTGGGAGAACATTGCAAGCTGTGAGAGCGCAAACGGCCCGGCTGCGAGTTGCTGTGAGACTGAAGTGGCACTGTCTCGCGAGACACTTCCGTTTTCCTTCCTAATCGTCGCTCAGCCAGGCGGTGACGATGTCGAAGAGCTTCCACGTGCCAGCTCAGGCCCGCTAGGTACGATATTGTCTCTGCTGCATTCTCAAGCTAGCTGAGAGCATACTCGCTGAGTCGCTGCTGAAGCAAATTATGGTTTGAGGTAGAAACATTGTGAACATCCTTTGGAAACACTCCGCACAGGGCGCAACAAACAAGCCCTATGATCCCTATCCTGACTTCGCCTTGATCGACGCTGCAAGCTGGCTCAGCGACAATAATGTCTTTCTGCATTATTATCGACAGTCGTTCAGTCTAGCATTCTACACACTGATTGCTATATTCATAGGAGCGAGCTTTTTGAGATTGCTTGAGGCCAAGCACAATCAACAACTGAACTGGAACTCCCCCACATCCTTCGCACACCCCTTCCCCAAGAGGCAGCACGTCCCGGTCACTCCCACATCCTACCGTTACCTATCAAGAAACAGCGGACAGCAGAATCCCACGCGAGCGGCATTTGCCTCGTGGACATTCCAGCCGGGACGAATCCTGTGCGCTCGCGGCCGAAAGCGAGACACATGGCCGTAACCAGGGGCCGTGACACATTCCAGTCAGGTTGCCGCAAACGGCGGCAGTGTCAGGCTGAGCACACGCAGTTATTATATCAGACACCATTGCTCGCCAGTATTCGAATTGATGATGTCAGGTTTTCTGTGACAGTTGAGGTGTTCGTCTGTCTCCGGAAGACGGTCACGGATCCTGGTACGGATACTGACAGACGCAAGGTGTTGCTTTTGTTCAGCCTCGCTGCTGTGCCCTTGCGTACGACAACACTCTTGTGCGAAGCATCAGAGAGATTCATTACGCGGTTTCAACAGCTCTTGAGACTATCATATAACTATAGCGGACGTAATGCCAGGACGGCCTAAAATACAAGAAATGCGCTAACCTTCAGGTTTCGACACCATGGAGAAACGTGGCTGCGATCATTGCTTGACATTATACAACCCTGACACATTGGCAAATGCCTCTTGGTAGAGGCAGCCTCAGGTCGACTCACCATAGATTTATCTCCACCGAAACCTACCCCATACTTGTAAATCGAATCTGTTCATGGAAGCGTGGCATTAGCTGATCATGGCCAAACCGTAATGTTCACTGGAATGTCCCCTAGGTCGAGGCCGCATGACTCGATGCCGCACGGTTGGTATAGAAACTAGGGCAAAGACTAAATCCATAAACTAAATTCGTGAAACATAGCGCGAACTATGTGTGCTACTTGGTAGAAGTGTTTCGAACCGTCAAACAACATGCCTGACGTAGGTATGTCCAAAGTCTTCGACGTAGGGTAGGCAGCGAAACGTCACGAGGGTTGGAAATGTTTCGAATCTAACGTTGCGGGATCCCGATCAATCTACATTCCGATCAATGCAATACCCACATCATTCTTCCCAAGAAAAGCAAGGACTGCCGTGATGTGAATTAGGCCAAGCGCGCCTCTGTAGTTCTTGTATGGCGGATCTAGATCCATCCCGCTCAAGGGTCTGGACCTGGTCGACGACTCGAGTCACTCGACCATCCCAAACCCCATGTTTCGACTACCAGACCCCAAGAAGGTATCACGTAGTACTATTGTCGTTTGATGAAACAGGCTCAGCTCTTCTTGAATGCCGCATGTCCCAGCCGCTCAATCTCACGCCCCTCCTGCGAGCCTTTACCGGCGGCATCGAGGAGCCTCTGCCATGCCTCCTGGTTCTTTTGCTTCACAGCCTCCTCGGCAGCCTTGATGCGCATACCGCACTTCTCGTACATTTCAATAGTCTCCCCAGGCTCAAGCCCGGTACATTTGGGGATAAAGACCGCAGCCAGACGAGGGTTGCCGGCCTGCAAGGTGAGATTATAAAAGGGCTGTTGCTGTCAATACGCACCCGCAGGCTGAAGGGTTGTGAAGATACTTACTTGCCACCCAATCGGGCTGTTTCGCGACTTGGAGATATCCTCAATCTCGTTCCAGTCTCGCTTGGCGACAAGTGCACGTAGTCGAATCCACCACGCCACCTTCTCCGGTACCTTGAACTCGCTCTGAATCTTCTTCGCCCGCCCATTGTACCCGAGGCGCATGAGCTTGAACATGGTCTCGTTCACGCTCAGACCAGTAAAGGTGTCCGACAAGTCGCGATCAAGAGAGTCCTGCATGCGCAGAAGCGTCGTCGCTTCTTTGAGGGCGTGCACTTCAAAGGACGTCTCGCGAGAGTCCGAAAGGAGCTTGGCAGCAAGCGCCATCTTGTCCACAGCGGTCCTGGCATCTGGCTGTTGTAGAGATTCTCTGATGAACACATTTGCGCCATCAACGCGGCGGTCGTCCTGGTAGTACAGGTCCTTCAGGAGCGTATTGTCGCCTTCTCTGAGAGCAGACGCCTCGACCAACGCGGTCGCTGCCGGCCGTGAGTTGATTGTGCGGAAGAAGCTGGCGAGGGGTAGTTTCTTCTTGAGCTGCAGCAGCACTGACAGTATGAGGTCGGTATCACCGCTCTCGACGGCCTTGTCCAGCGCAAGCTCGTCCTCTTCCATGTCTAGCAACAGCGGCACCTGGCGGCCTCCCCGCGACTCATGGTTCAGAAGCTCGGTGGCAAGGCGATGGCGTCCTTCGTGGTAGGCTGCACGTGCGATCTCCTCGAAAGAAATTCCAGGCTTGCCTGATAGTCGATCGACCACTAAGCGGCAAATGGTATCGTCGTCTTCTGACCCTACGCGTACCTTGGTCGAGGCCCAATGCACGTAGATGCGATCTGTTGGCAGCTTGAGATATCCGGCAATTTTGAGAGCTAGCAGGTACTCATGGCGACTCAGGAGGCGTCGAATTAGTTTCTCGGGGGTAAGGCGCTGGTACTGCTCAAATGACAGGGCTATTCCAAGCTCATAGTATCGGACAGCATTGAGAACCCTCAGCGTTTCGCACATGTCCACGAAATCATCGCTGTTGTAGATGTCGAGCACCGATTTGCCAAAAGAAGCCGCCTTGAGTAGTTGCTTCTGCCAGTACGTCTCAAACTCGCGGCCAGCCGCATTCACGCACGTGTCCACGGCTTCCGTGAGATTCGGCCGGATGAGCTGGATGTAATCGTCCGCCTTGGGCGACTCGAGCTCCAGTTGGCCCACAGCATCAAGGAGAATCGATGCAGGCGATGATTCGGAGGCGTGCCCCAGTACCTGTATCGTCTCCCGCGGTACTCTCTCCAGGAATTCGCAAAAGTCGTTCGTGATGAGCCTGGCACCGTCGTATTCCGAGATTACATGTACCCGTGTGCTGTCGTAGATGTATGTCGAGGATTCCTCGCCGGGACCAATGATGTGCACCTCGTCCTCCCACGCAATGAGCGCATCGCTGCCGCACCATTCCACGTACTTGGGTGGCGTGTTGGAATCTGAGTTGTGCTCGAATATCCGTTCTCTGAAATCACTGGAAATAATGTGTGCTGTGCCGTTTTTGCCATACAGATTGACAAACTGACCATCCGGCGAAACACTGATGTGGCTGAAAGGTCCGATATCTAGAAACCGATCCTCGCACTCTGTCGCGTCGACAACGTACACGGTCGAATTGATGCTGAGAAGAACCTCGACGGAACGAGAGAGTGTGTGATCTGGCGAGATGATGCCCCATGCATGAATCTGCCCCTCCGGAGACCGCGCTAGTTGCTTTGGCCGCGGTTCTGAGTACGAAGACACCGAGATGAGAGCATTGTTTCCCAACAAAGCGACCATGCCGTTGTCGTAGAACCGGCATGATTCCACCCCAAAGTTATCGGCGCCATGGCCAAGCGAGAAGTGACTAAAGTCGCCTTGCAGGTCGTAACACCTCACGTTTCCATCAGATGTCACGACCAGGAGGGTCTCATCCTCGGACCATCCGAGACTCTTGATGGTCCCCTTGTCCCATGGTATGCTGCGCAGCTTCTTGCCAGCAAGGGTGTAGATGTCTATCGAAGGTTTCGACGACTGTCCAGGTCGGTACTCCTGCAGCTTTGTGTCGTCCCGCCATAATGCGAGTGCGCCTGCGTACGGAGCGCCGGTCACGACGTAATTGTCAAGGTCAAGATCCTGGTCGAACACCTCGGTGTAGAGCTGCGTCTTGCGGAACCACTTATCGCCGACACTCTCCCACTCAGCGCGTGGGTGGAGGGTGTCCATGTCGACGCGCTATCGCATGGCGATGGAAGTCACGCTTAATCTTGTTGAAGCAATCGCAGCAGTGGGTGAATTGGAGGCGCGTGATCTCGTCAAAGCTCAGGTGCCTTGCGACGCGGTGACGTCGATGGAAGATCCTCGGTTGAACCAGGCGCGTTGTCGGCCTGGCGATCAAGGGTGCCGCCCGACAGAATGAGTCGCACACAGGCGCTAGGATCACCCTCGTTTCTTGATACTAGCAACCCCTCAGAATGTGCGTCTTATTTATTCTCCCCTCTCTCATCTGGCTGCTTCCTCAGGAGCCTTGATAGGTAAACTTCCAGTCTCGATCGCTTCTATGCAGCCTAACTCCTTCAGTTCAAAATGCCTGGCTGGAGGGACGAGTACCTTACATCCATCAAGGATGTCGAGCTAAAGACTCCGGTCAATATGGAGTTGGTTCAAGCTTGTCTCGTCGCCAAACGGCCCCACCAAGTCCAGCACAAACTGACCCTTTGGCAGGCTCCCAGATGGCGGATCGCATCTCAGCGTTGGAAGCCGAGAAAGCAGCGCTGGAATCGCAAATCCCCAGCAAAAAGGCGAATAAGGGCAAGTCAGCAGCGCCAGATAATACCGAGACGGCGCAGGTTCGATATGAACTTGCAGAGGCCTTGCGCGCCAAAGGCGTGAGCGATGCCCGTTTGCGAACGGCAGAGGAAGAACTCGGGAAACTGCGCATCAAGACCAAGAGCGACGCAACAGCTTTGAAGAAACTGGAGGCTGAGAGGAACTCGCTGCGCACGCGTCTGAACGATCTCCAGCACGAGGCGAATGCCAAACGGCAACATCACGAGGGTTTCCAGGACGAAATTGTCGCTTTGAACCTCCAGCTTGCCATGGCCGACAAGGAAGTGGCCAAAGTGAAAAAAGAAAACAAGGAGCTCATCGACAGGTGGATGAAGAGGATGGGCCAGGAAGCCGACGCCATGAACCTCGCTAACGAGGGCACCTCACGATGAGCCACGGCTGTGTAACAACAGATTCATGTGGTATCCTGTACGCTAAATCCCTATCCGATACCGATAACTCACTCGCTAATCCCTATTTGCACAGTCTATTTCCGTGTTGAAATGTAGTATGATCCACCGGCATTCGTCCAGCTGACGTATCCCTCTGGATATGTCTTCTCCTCTGCGTCGAGGATGGTACTGCCCACGTCGTTGATGTTGTAGCTCGAGTCGGCGACAAACGACTTGAGCGATACGATCTTGCAGCCAGGCTTCAGATCGAGGAACATGCGCACCAAATCATCGTTGAGCTGAGAAGTGAACGCCTTATTGTTGACGAGCACCACGTCGGCGCGTTTCAGGGCATCGGTGATGATGGTGTTCTTGCGGAAATCACCTCGCTCAAGGCGCACAGCGCCAGGCTGGATACCCCAGAGCACGCAGCGCGCCTCAAACTCCTTCTGCTGCGCTTCGGCCATGTTGCAGGCATTCTCCATCATCTCACACCCGAAACTCTCACATCCAATCTCCAACGCGGCCTGCAGGACAACGTTGCCAACACCCGAGCCCAAATCAACCATGACTTGCTTGCACGTCATCTTGAGGTCGTCGACCAAGATCTTGGAAATGAAGGGGTGCAGGAGCTCGCCATAGACATAGTCGGTACCGTTCTCGTACTTGGACAACAGCTCGACGCTGGGGGCCACAGTCCGGTCGTATATCTGGTCGAGGATGAAAGCAACGAGGTGACGGGGCAGTTCGTGTTTGTTCTCGAGATTCTTTGCGATGATGCCGTCTTCTACGAGATCTAACAAAGTTCGATTGTACTCCTCCAGGGCAGCCTTGAAGCCGTTCAGGTCTTGCACATTGCGGTTGGAGGCTTTCTCCAGTCGTCGTATCAGGCCGGTCGATTGGTTTGTAAAGGGCTCGGCTTCGGCTTCGGTCAAGTAGTTCTCAGCTATCAACTGCACAATACGCGTGCTCGCCTCGACCGCGTCGATCTTGTCTTTAGCCCAGACCAGTTGAAACCTGTGCTTGTTAGTTCTGTCGCAACCAAGGGGGCTTGATAAACTCACTTCTCGCGTGGGCCTAAACATGGGTATTGCAGCTCTATTGCGACATCATGCTCTGTAGCGCCCATGACCGGCACGCACTTGCACTCGAGCGAGGCAACATCCACAGCATGGATATACTCAAGCTTCCCGTAGCCATCCTCAAACGACCGCTCATTCTTCAACTTGCGACTCGAGTCCTCCTCTCGCGCCTTTCTCTGTCGCTTCCTAGTCTCTAGTGTGAGCCACCCATCGTCCTCTTCCGCGTCGCTGTCCTTGTCGAAGGCCGGGCGCTCCACCACAGCGGGGCTTGCGCGCGCTGACGGCGTTTTCACTGCGCGCTTGCGCTTGCGCTCATCGGAGCTGGAGGGGTACGGCGAGTGACTTTCTTGTCGCAGCGACGCTGGCCTGGGCGATGCGCGGGCCGAGTTGGACCCGAGAGATCGGTTGGAAGAGGGGACCGCAGACTTGACAGCGCTGGTAGACGGGGGCTTCGAAGCGGGACGGTTGACAGTGACTTTCTCAACTCGTATCTTGGGAGGATTCGCCTTGAACTTGTTGCTCTTGCCGAAGAGTGGCATGTTCAGAGACTTGGGATTCTGCCTTTGGTGGTGGGGTGCTCGAGGCTCGTGGAGGGGTCGAGATAGTCCAAAGTTTGATCGCGTGCGAAGCGCGTTGTAGATTGGACCCTGGATGGGATATGCGTGACCCGGCCTAATCAAGAACGAAGAAAGATATTGGATTAAGAGTTCTCTAAGTCACACACACGTGTCGCAGAATGAGTGTGGCGTCTGGATCACAAAGAACGTGGCGGGCGGGATGTCCAAAGGAGAGACAAGAGTGAGGCGATTCAGAGGAGTCAGACGGTCGAGCCAGCCTGAGATCCAGGACCCTTCGATCCTGTGCTTCGGGAACGTGCACAGACCCGCTATTCCATAAATTTGCTAGTCTCGAATGATTACGTCAGCAGATCTACTGCCGCTGCGTCACTGTGGGGGGCGTAGCGCTCTCTCCGCTGAGATTCCAAACTTCCACTATCACTGGCCATTGTTCGACACAGAACAGACGCCTCCAAGCACCACCTCGCCGAGCGCTGTGTAACTTGCACGTTCAGTTCTCCCGAAAGCGCATTCTACTCGGTCCCGCGAGTCTGCAAAGCTGCCCATTCTCCCGCTGCTCCCAGTGCTCGTGCCCAACGCAGAACGGGCACCACATGACGTCCATTGGGTCAACCTCGCGCTTGATCTGGAGCAGACGTTCATAATTGTCGCCCCAAAAGGTTTCGGCGGGATTCTCCTCAAAGTATGCGGCCTCGTTGATGTACGACCCCATACCAGGCGTCAGCTGCACCATGGGCTCCCAAGCCTCCTTCAGGAGAGCCTGGGCCTCCTTCTCGGCAGTCCTGTTGAAGGGCTCAAAACCCATGGAGGTCACTGCAAGGTGTTAAACACAGAATACTCCCAAGTGGCGGGGGACATTTGCACTTACATGCGTGGACGTAAGCACTGCGCCACCCAGGGTTGACAGAGTTGTCACGACCACCGTTGGCAGCCTCATGAACGGCCTTGCCGGCAAGGGGATAGAAATGCATTAAACCGCGAACATTTATCACTGCCATCAGCGCCGCCTTCAGCGCATCTAGGTCGTTGGTCAAGACCCGCCGATCTAGAAGGCGAGACTTCAAAAGTGCGGTAGACCCGGCGTTGCCTGCATCGAACCTCTCGTCAAAGTACTCCATGAAGGTGTTGTACGTCCGAACGGGTAGGATAGTCACGGAGCCTGTGCCGTTGGACCTTTCCAGGAGCGTATTGTTCAACTCTGTGAACAGACTCTCGGTGTACTCCACTGACTGATTGACCACCGTGAAGGCGCCCGAAATGCCTGCCCATTCTGTGGGCACACCCTCGACGCCCGTGTCGAATCCAGTCATGGTCATGAAGCCATAGCCGCGCAAACCAGCATCGTTGAGATCGGGAAACTGACTTGCGAGAAAAGTCACAATGTCGGCAGCCATGGGGTTGCTCGGGCTGGTAGCTGCCATGAATGTGACGAACTGCATCTTCGGAGTAGGATGGGCCTTGATCGTGAAGCGAGTCACGACGCCAAAGGTCGAACCGCCGCCCTGCACTGGTCAGCTTGCTCCGCCATGCGATCGCGTTTACTTACGCCCAGGAGCGCCCAGTAAAGGTCGTTGTTTGATTCCTTGTTGGCAACGAGGACATCCCCGAGGGGCGTCACGACTTCCATCTCAATGACATTATCGGCAGCCAGGCCATAGTCGGGAGAGAGCATGCTGTGGCCCCCTCCTGAGATGTAGCCACCGACACTGACACTTTTGGCACCACCCCCGACCACGGTCGTATTATGCTTGTCGGTCTCCTGATAGAGGCTATACATGCTGGTGCCGCCACCGCAAGAGATGGAGTCTCCCTCGAACACAGAGTCCGTCCCGTTCAGCTGGAAGCTGCCAGCGTGGAACTCGACATTGTCATAATGGTGCATCCATATGGAGAGTGATCCAGGAGCAACGGATCGGCCGAGAAAGTCGTGGCCACTCGCCTTGACCACCAGACGGATGTTGTTGTCTCGCGCTTCCAAGAGTCAGCTCATATCTTCAGGTTAGAAAAAGGTCTCACCAAAGTCCACGCCAGCCTTGACATGTTCTGTCGTCGTTGCGTTGATGACATAGGCCGGGTAACCCTCGCCTGTGCAGGGGTCTTTGGGGTCTGGCAGACACGTCCAGTTGGCAGCGTTGTCGTACATCACTGACACTGGATCCGTGCTGTGCCAATCGTAGGATGCCCACTCGCTTTGACGGGTAGGACATTCTGCTTCGTCGAAATTAGGTTGGTCCTCGTGACAAACACCTCCAGGCAATATGGGCTGAATGAGACGACCCGATATCGTGTCATTCAAGGCTGTCCATTCGCTTCTCGTGGGCCAAGCCTCTGTCCCAGGGTAGGCTTTGCAGGAGCCACATGCCTTGGAGGGCGCCGCCAGAGCGGTACCAAGGAACCATAGCAGAGTTGCAGATCGCATTGTGAATATCAACTGATTGTACGATGCAGAATGTGAATGGTTCGATTGAATAAAGCCCGACTGCCATTTATGTTCCTTCACATGAGTAACGTTCTCACCCCCGCTGGGGATCTCGCGGGGATTGCGTACACCCTGGTTGACGGAGTATACGAGGAATGCGAGAGTCAGTCAGCCTGTGCTTATGGGGCACAGTAGCAGGTCACAACTGTGCCACATGTCTCCAGTCTTTGGGTGCATATGCCAGTATTACAAATTGTCAGACTCAACCATCCTGTGGATCAATGTTCACCACAATTATGGATATAAGGTAGCTGTTCCACGGTTGGACGGAACACACATGTCTTAGGAACGTGAGTGTTCATTGACATCGTATATTGACTCCTTCTCAACTGCCTCATTACTTCGACTCCTCGCCAATTTTGACCCAGTGACTGGGCGTCATCATTTTTAAAAACACGCAAAAGCAGAAAATGTTAACCAGCCTGATAGATAGCCAAAGCATTGACGTGGGGATTGACCATGCTCAAGTTGTAGGGCGTGACGTTCAAGTCAAGATCTGTCAAAGCCAGGAATACAGTCCCGTTGATCATGGGCCCACTCTCGAACACTGAGGTGTTAGGCTGGAAGGTGTATGCAGTGTTGTTCGTAGCCTGGTAAAGCGGCGTGTAGGTCGCGTTGAGCTGGTTGACCCAGAGGGCAAACTTGGGGTTGCCAGCGGTGGTGTTGGTGACATAGCTGTTGTTCGGTCCGATCGGTTTGCCAGGCGGATCCCACTGCAGGAAGACCTGACGTCCGGGGTAGCTCAATGGATTGGTCCGGTTCTGGGTGATGGCTGGGTTGCAACCGAGTCCAGCACCGGTGGCATTGACACACGACTCGCCGCTCTTGATGGAACTTGTATTCAAGGTGTTGGCATAGCCCCCGGTGGTCTCGTTGAAGACGGCGGAGCCGTTGATGCGGGCAGGATTCGGCTGGTTCAAGATCTTCAGGGCCGGGAAGTTCTGCCACACAAGGCGAGTCTGGTTGGCGGGGCACGATGAGATGTAGGGCGCAAGCAACGTCCAAGCCCAGGACTGAGGAATGCCAACTTCGAACCACACAGGCATGGGGAAGAGGCCTTCGAACTGGCGGAAGATCATCTGCTGGCGCGCCTCGGTAGTGATGCTCTGCAAAAGAATCTGGCCAGCGGCGCCTGAGTCCATGTGGTTCAGGAAGCCGTACACACCAGACTCGCCCCAGCGTGTGAGCTTCTGGTTGAAGTCAATGTATTCGCGCAGGTTGCTGACAGGGTAGTTGTAGGTGCATTGAACGGGGGCCTGGGCACCAAGCATGTTGGTCACGGCAGTAGCATGGCCGACCTCCTGTTCAGCCATGAATTGCAGGAGGTAGCGGTCCTCGGCCGTAAGACCATTGTTGGTGAACTCTTGCTGGGAAAACGTCGCCAATCCCCAGTGGAAGAGGTCAAGCTCAATGTACTCCTGGTAGAGGACCAGAGCAAGGGACTGGTAATCAAAGTCACTCATTGGCTTGTACACAGGCTCGGTGCCGTTGGTGCCGCGTCCACCGGCTGGTGTGTACGGCGCTGGGAAAGGGGCGTGGAGTTTCCCGTCCGCGGAATAGTTGAGTGCATTGGGTGCGGGACCTGAAGCCGCAATGGACGGTGCCAGGGCACTAGTGGATAGTGCGCCTGTTGTTGTTGGCGTGCCATTAAAGGCCCCGTGCGAAGTCACGTCTGTGACAGAGACAACAGGGGCGGTTGTTGTAGCAGGAGGAACAGAAGTGATCGTCGGGCTGGAGACGAAGGGCACTGCGAGCGAGCGGCCTACCAGGGCTAGAAAGATGGCTTGTGACAACATCCTGAATGCTGTAAGTATGGTATGGACTGGAGTACAAGATGAGGACAGCAAGACCTCAGGCTAGTGAGCTTGTGGTCCTTATAAGAGGACACACGCCTGGGACTGATACCACACTGCCCCATGGGTTGGCTGACTTGTTCGTCACCACTTGGTCATGACTGTGCAGGGTGGCGCATCCGTATCGCCCGATGCCTCGAACGTGTGCCAGTTCCCACGTGCGTATTGCGCGGCCAACATCTTCAGGACTCAGCCATGCGGATCAGGCTTGCCGAGCGTCAGCAGCAAAGCTTTGTCGTCGCCATACAGGTATTCCTCGCCCTGCAGACGCCATAGGAATTGGCCTTGGACGTATGCCCACTTGGTCGATCTCGAAGTTCCCACTGCCCAAGCCGGCATTTGATCTTGCCACAACGGGAACTAGGGATTTGGATCTATTCTCCGGTGCTCCGAAGTGGCCGTTCGGGTATCGGGGCATTGTCATGGTGGTGGGGGGACCATCTCTGATGCCCGTTCTGGCCGAGGAGTGTAAGATGTCATAGTTGACAAATAGACCTTACGGCGGCAGATGCAGTTCTTCCTAGACCAGGCAGATTCCCGATAAGATGTTGCTGTGGTCGGAGAGTTTGGGCCGCGGTGTAGATCATCCTGAATTAGACAAACCGATCTTTGGTCTGAACATCGATCTTCCACCATGCTTCTGCAACATGTCGATGACGGCTACTGTCTCGTGTGACCATGATGGTTTACAAGTGCCGTTGGATGCGTGCCGGAGAGCCAGTTGAATTCATGGGGTTGCGGCCTTGGATGTCGCCAGTGCAGGTTGGTAGGCCGACATTTGATCTCGCGTGAGAGCCATGGCAGTTGAAGATGACTGAAGTTGAAGTCGTGGGATGTCACGTTGTCCACCATCCAGAATGCTGAGTCACCCCTATGTTCGACCTAGCACGTGACAGGCGTCCCTGAGCTACTCTAGGGTAGGCAAAGTTAGCTGGTGTACTATACGTACTGGAAGGTAACTTGGGACGCTATAATTTCGCCTCCAGTCCTATTACAGACCACTGCGCGACAGCTGGTGCAGTTGTTATTGTTCCCATTGTTGATACATAAAGTGTCAAGGGATCCTATCGCTTCATGTTCTGCTGCTTTTCGGCATTGGTGGCCACATTCCTGCCCTCGACCAGCAGTCCCTTCTTCCTCCGCACGCTGTCCATGTATCGCTTGGCCACATTCTCCTTGTCCGCGAACTCACCAAGATCCTCCAGATCATCCTCAGTGAACGGCACCCAAAAGGGATCCTCGTCCAAGATCTCGAATCCGGCAAAGATGAGCTGAGGTTGCGCTGCGCCACTTGTTCGCTTCCGCATCTCGTCCGCGAAACCAAAACTTTCAGCGACGGGTAACAGTGCTTGGATGGTGAAGAATGGAGTTCCCTCCTTCATGGTCTCGGCTACGACACGCCCGCGACGTCTGGTGAGGACATCGTAGACGCGTCCCAGCACCTCAGTGGAAGCCTGGATCTCGACCGAGTACATGGCCAGCATCAGTCGTGGGGACCAATCGAGGAAGGCAGATCGGAGCGATGCTTGGAACGTCTTGATGATCTCACCAGTGAGACGCCCGACCTTGTCGCGGGCAGACGAGTAGTCCTCGTTCAGAGCCAGCGAGACATCGTCAATGAAGACGGCGACGCCCTGGACAGGCTCATGACAGAGAGGACCCTGCGCCATGGCGAGTTGGAAGGCGTAGTTGATCTTATCACAGAAGTGGCTTGCCTTCAGCGTCTCGCCTGCTTCTGGTGCGGCAGCTCTCGTCTCCGCGGCCGAAAACGCTTTGGTTAACAGGCGATCCTTGGTCGCGTCGATGAGTAGGTTGGGGCCTGTTCTCCGTGGTCCAAAGGCGGAGATTTGTTCCGTCTGACCTTTCCATACCTCACGCCCTTTACCCTCTTCCAGAAGCCCCTTCAGTTTCTTCTTGAAGTCTTCCACGGACAGAGCACTGCCGGTCGCCAGGTCTGTGTCCGCCACAATCTTCTCCTCCTCTCCCTCGTTGCTCTCATCATCCGCATCATGATCTGTGTACAAGCTCTTGACAGTGTCTCCATGCTTAAGCAGAAAGTCCGTGGCCTCGGCGGGCAAAGGCCTCACTCGCATCGAGATTGTGATTTGCTTTGAGCTTGTGATCCCGATGACGCCACCTCGACCCAGCTCCTTGTTGGCCGCAGGTCGCATTTCATCGGCACGGACAATGGTCTCGCGATAGGGGATGATGGGCGCGCCTCGCTGGATCTCGCAGTGAGCAAACCTCTCTTGAAGATCTGTTATGCATCGCTCGAGGTGCAGCTCGCCAGCGGTCAACAGCACGTGCTCTCCGCTACTCAACTGCTCGTACTCCGCGCAGGGGTCACTCTGCACGAGAAGCTTGAGGCCGTCGATCATGTTGTCGAGATCCAGCGGGTTGACTGGCTCCAGGGCCACGCGCACAATCGGCTGCCCTGCCATGCTCACACCCGCCAGGTTGACAGCACCCTCGAGCTTGCTGCAGAGTGTGCCCGATTTGAGAATCTTGCCTTCAAGACCACCGATGCCGAACACAACACCTGCGGGAACAGATTGGAGTGCCTCAAGATTCCGTCCCATGAGCATATAGAGGTCCGTGACGGTGACCTCCTGAGGCCTCGGCTCGACATCCGGATTAGCTGGCGACCACTTTGGCGGTACCACATACAGTGTGTCACCCACTGACAAGGTGCCCGAATAGATCCTAGCAAATCCAATCAAATGCTCGGGATCGCGTTTCTGCTCCTCTAGCTCGGGAACAATATTGTCAATGTTGACGTTGTCAAGCGCTTCTGTGAGATCAGATACGCCTGCGTCTCCATTCTCCCCTTGCGCCCGGGCAGCCTCAGCTCGCTTCCTCCTTGCCAGGTCTCTCGCCTCCTCGCCAGTCATCTGTCCTGGTCGTCTCTTGTTCTTTGGCAATTCGCTCTCCGGTACTGACACCATTTTGCTCACGTACGCAACCACAGGAGCGTCCTTGTCGGTCTTGAAGCTCACCATGGCATCCTTGACCTGTGAATCGATCGCGTCAGAGCCAGGGATATCCGCCAACAACTCTGGGAATCTTTCGGCTTGCGCTTTTATTGGTGACGGCAGGCTTTCGACGACGGAGACCAACAGCGCTGTCGACAGAGGGAGCCAGTTCGAGAATACCGTGGTCATGAGTAACCGGGGATCGCGCGCCTTGATAATATGCGGAGGTATCGAGATATTCAGCGATTTTGTGACCTTCTCCAACAACTCTGGATCTCCTTTCCCGTTGTCTCCTCCACACGTTGCTTGGTATGCCGTCCAGATCGTTTCTAGAACCAGCTGAACGAACATTGGCTTCAGGTTGCGTCCCTTCAGGTGCTTGGGTCCTAGGACCTTCTTCGTTTTCGGATCGAGGTAGAAGTTGCCCCAAAGCACCTTTTCCATGACACCGCGCTTGATGCCTAGCTTCTTCTCGTATAAACTGGCAAATTGCCGTACCGTAAAGGCCCATCCGTCGACGGCGCTGCTGAAAATAACGTTGTTCCTCTCTGGCGCAAAGTAGAGCTCTTCATCATCGCGCTCTTCCCACTCAATATCTCCAGTGTCGCCCAGCTGGTCCGCGATTGCAGATTCCTTTGCCGCCGCTGCGGCGTTGATGCGTTCCTCCATTCTCGACCTCCAATTGAGATCCTCCTCCATACGCTCACCTTGAAAGAAGCTTCCCAAGACTGCGTTGACCTGTTCCAGCAATTTGCTGAGGTGGATATACGCCTCCCCGGGCGTCATTTTGAGCTCCGTGATGAGGCGGTCCATTTTATTGATGACCAGCAACGGCTTCAACTTCTCAGTCCACGTTTGACGGAGAACAGTGACAGTTTGGCTGCAAACTCCCTCGACAGCATCCACCAGCACCACCGCGCCATCACACAGCCTTGACGCAGTAGAAACCTCGCTGCTGAAATCGATGTGGCCCGGCGAGTCGATCAGGTTAATGAGGTACTCCTTTCGCTTAGGGGCTGCCTCGGGGGTTGCTCGCCTGAACATGGAGAAGTATAACGAAATGGCCGACGATTCCATCGTGATACCACGGGTCTGTTCGTCTGGCCTGGAGTCTAGATATCGAATCTTCCCCGCCAATTTTGGCGAGATGATCCCGTTGGTTGCCAACAGGGCATCTGTGAGTGAAGTTTTGCCATGGTCAACGTGTGCGAGGATGCAGATCTGCAAAGTCAGTTGGGGCAACGCTCATTTCAGATTCAAGACTCACGTTTCGAACATCCTGCGGCTGCTTTTGCAAGCTCGCCAACTGTTCAGGCGTGACGACGGGCATTTTGATGATGATGTCCCAAGTGACAAACCTCTGCGATAAGTGCCCCTCCAATGCCCCTCTATGACGAAGTTTTGGGCGACGGGATGATGCGAACACGCTTCAAAAGTTTGTAATAGCCCCAGAACAGAGGAAGTGAGTTCGAATTCGATTAAAATTATCTGCGCAGGATCCAAGCTCTTTCATGTAGCAAATCACCAAGGCAACGCCATGCAGCGTGCAGAAAAAATGATAACTGTCACCTCTCGTGACTCACTATGGCTACACCACCATTACTGTCACCCACCAGCCACATCGTTTATGCATCTAACGCGTGTGCGCCACACTTGCTCACCCCGCCATGTGCAAGCCCTAACGGAACCAGCTAACGGCTCACGAAAATTAGCAGACGAAGCTGACCCCCCGCCCAGGCAAAATTTCGGTGCCCCTCAATCCACAATTCGATCACGACCTCCTCGCCTGCGACGACGAGAAGGACGATCGAGCGACCGGACACGACACCGACAATGGCGACCTACCAGAATGGCGTAGCTCCGGCACGCGCCATGGGTGACGACAGCGATGTTGAGGAGGAGGCTCTCGTGGCGGAGTACAAGGAACACGTTCAGTACGAGGACGGCGACGAGCTCAGCCAGACCAACTCGATCAACCAGGCCGACGATATTCAGGCGCGCCTCGTGCAGGCTGCGCAGCCCCTCGACTACTCGGCACCTCTCGAGGTCAAGTTTCAGAGCTACGATGCTTACTGCAGCTTGTTCCACTTTATCCTCAACTCAGAGGGTCCCGTCGACCTCGAGCCCCCATCGGTTCGTTCCGCCTGCCAATTGTCCAGAGGAAGGGAGCAAAGGAAAACTAACGAATATAGTACTACTGGGCTTGGGATGTGATTGACGAGTTCATCTACCAGTTCAACTCGTTCTGCTCGTACCGATCACGCATCGCACGACAGGCCAACAATGAGGAGGAGATTCAGATCCTACGCGAGAACCCCAACACATGGGGCTGCTACAGCGTGCTCAACGTGCTCTACTCGCTGATTCAGCGCTCGCAGATCACCGAGCAGCTCGCCGCCATGAAGCGCAACGAGGACCCCATGGCGGTGGCCGGCGAGTATGGCTCCAAGAACCTGTACCGCATGCTGGGCTACTTCTCCATCATTGGGCTGCTGCGTGTGCACACCCTGCTCGGTGACTTCAGCCTCGCTGTCAAGACGCTCGACGACATTGAGCTCAACAAGAAGGCCATGTTTGCGCGCGTCATGGCCGCCCACTTTACCACGTACTACTACGTCGGTTTCTCCTACATGATGATGCACCGCTACGCCGACGCCATCCGCATGTTCAGCCACATCCTCATCTACGTGTCGCGCACCAAGAACTTCCAGAAGAACGCCCAGTTCGACTCGATCACCAAGAAGAACGAGCAGATGTACGCCCTCATCGCCATCTGCGTCGCCTTCAACCCCACCCGTCTCGACGACACCATCCACAGCGCCCTGCGCGAGAAGTACGGCGACCAGCTGCTTAAGCTGCAGCGCGGTGGGCCCGAGTCGCTCCCCATTTTCGAGGAGCTCTTCCGCACCGCGTGCCCCAAGTTCATCTCGCCCGTGCCTCCCGACTTTGACAACCCCGAGTCCAACGTGGACCCCGTCGAGCACCACCTTGCCGTCTTTATGGACGAGGTCAAGACCAACATGTGGAGCCCCACCATCAAGTCGTACCTGAGGCTGTACACCACCATGGACCTCAACAAGCTGGCTGGCTTCCTCGAGGTGACGCCCGATGACCTGCGCTCGTGGCTGCTGGTGACCAAGCAGCGCACCAAGCAGCTGAGGTGGAACGACAACAGCTTGCTTGACGGCGAGCTTGTCAACGTCAGCGACCTCGACTACGCTCTCCAGAATGTGAGTTTTCTTTCCTCCTCCTTCTCGCCCCTACTCAGATATTGACTAACACGCGCAGGACCTCATCCACATCTCCGAGGCCAAGGTCGGACGCAAGCTGGTCGACTGGTACCTGCGCAACCTCTCGCGCACCTACAACTAAATTGTATGTATGTAAGAGCGAGCACTGGGCGACGGCGAACATAGACGGATAGGTTTTCATTGTTCGAGCGGTAGAAGCTCGGAACGGTATGCAAGCCCACTGGTAGGCAGCATTGGCATTGGCGTCACGGCGTTGGGCCCTTTTGAACGATGGAGGACGAAAAGAATGGGGAGGGGTACCCATCCATTTGATGTTCGTAGCATGGATAATGAAGAATTGATCACCGCATGGTCCAAGGCTTGTTGCGTGTGTAGCTGCATGTAATTGAGGCGATGAACAACTACTGACGCTCAGAGTGCTGTTGTAGGGTGGGCCAAGCGTGCTTGCGGCACGAGTGTAGCACGCACGTCTGGACGTCGTTTGGAGTCATAGACTCCTCCACGTATTCTGGCAAACGAACGGTACTAAGACGGCAAAAAACCAAGGACACTTTTTTCTTGGCTTCCAATTATAGAAAATGGTAGATGGCTTGGCCTCCAGCTCGACTCAAGGAGCTTATCTTGTCGTTGGATGACTCGCGAATCACGACGTAGCAGAGCTTTTGATCATTGGGCACCTCTGACGCCAAGTTAGAAGTTCTCAGAATACTACCTTACATAGCGCAGATGAGACATGCATAACGCACTGGTGATACCTACTCACACCTGAGCCTCGCCGATAAGCCCTGCATGTGTACGTACCAACGTCTCATTACAATTATAGCCTGATCAAAAGTGGCGCATGTGTGAGGCTACAGCACGTTCTCTGACTGAATCAACATCAGGCTGTCGTCAAAGAAGAATGAAACGCCGTACGCTATAACCGACAGGGACCAACAGCGGCAGCATCTCACCTGTCAATGTCATTCATGACATCGTGGAGACTCAAAAATCAAGCTTAAGAAGGGCTAAAGCACTCCGCCCTCCTGTGGACCCACATCTGCCGCACCGATCCGAGGAATAACAAGCCCACCAGCGGAGAGCTGCAGTAACCACTGGCTAATCAGCTATTACCTGTGGCTGGCTGAAGGTCGAGCTTGGCGCTGTGCGACATGCGGGCATGTGACACTTTAGAAACATGATGATCAGATCTTGAAGGAAGAGGCAGCCAAGCAAGCGCAGCTGTTTAGGATCGGCTGAGGGCATGAGCCGCTGACTGCAAGATTTGGCGTCAAGGGTCTGGTTAGAGGCTTGGCTTTGCGGAAGATCCCCGTGCTAGTCTTGAGCATCCATCGAGTTCCCTTTGCTCCATCATTTCTTCCCTTCCTTTCCCCTCTTTTGCGCTCACGAAGCTCATCAGTCCACGGCGCGACATCCCGACGACGGTCTCGACCTTCTGCGGCTACAATCACGCGTCCTTCCGGACACAGTAGGAACATTCGGCGCTAGGCATCTCAGAGTCATCGGTGTGACATATCATATAAAGTGTAACGGTGCGAGCAACTCGGTGACACAGACCGCGACTTTCGGACGTCCAGAGATCATTGCTTGTTCATCCGCTACCAATTGACAGCGAATCGCCTTGCACGATCGCCCTCGTGGTCCACGCCATACGCTGCTGGCTATCGCACTGGCCCTTGCTTCAGCCTACACGGTTGCCCGCAGTCGACAACTTACGGCTGCGCCCTCCCATCCCAGCCAAGACTCTTATCCGTTGCGATAAGCTCGTAGCTGCCTGTTGGACTTTCACCTGCTTTCGACCACGCTTTCCAAAAGTTAAAAATCCGACACAAGGCAGGCAAGCACTCTTGCCGTTGGCCTTTGTCAATTGATCTCATCACGGTGCTTCCAAACACCGCCCAACTTTGACGACTGATCAACAACATCTATCTATCAAAACCCACATGCTCCAGGACCATCCCTAGACTCAGCTCAAAGTCGTCTCCTATCTTTACCTCTCAAGGTGCGCGCGAGCACACAACATATTGATTTCGTTACAAAAGACACAAGTTTCAACCTGCCAAATGGCAGCTTCGGCTCCCACCACGAGCCCAGGGCACGACGTTAGCCCCAAGACTGCCGTTCCCGTCAACGCAAGCCAGGAGTATTTCCCAAAAGAGACCGGCGGCTCAACGACAAGTCATAAGACCGACGACAGCGTCGATTCGTCAGAGTTCAAGTCTTCCTACACCTCTACCCTCTCTGATACCACGCCTGCCCCAGCGACGACGCAGGAGATCCAAATTGGACAGAAGGACATCGGTCTTAGGAGGCACTCGTCTGTGTCTTCTGTCACGATTCAGCTCCCTAGAAACCCGAACCTACCGCAAGGCTGCGAGAAGCGCATCAACAGAGGTCGTCTCCGCAATGCTTCGCCCAAGCCAGAAAGGTATGTGACAACAGGCAAGTCCATTGCCCCGTTCCAGGTGTCCGTGATGTCTCTCAGGCGCGCGAGTGTGCGATCTGAGGCGTCGGTATAGCTCGAGGCCCATGACGTCAACACAAAACACGAAGAGCCAAGACTGGCCTCAATGTGCTCGATCAAGTGAGAGTAGCGGGCTGAGAAACGCATTTTCACAATTATGCCCTGTCCGGCAAAAGCGTCGTACCACCTACGATACATACAACACAAGGCCCCACAGCCGACATTACTGGCGTCTGGCGTTCAGTGCTCACCCGGTTTTACCCCGCCAAATTAGCTATGGCCGGATTCAGATGGACATTTGCGCAAATGACATGAGACCAGGCCCAGACTGCCTCAGCCACGACGGTCTCCCTTCTCCTTTTCCTATTCTGCGCCTGCATCTGCGAATGTTCCTCTGCGCAAGACATAATTCTTTGCCTTGCTTCTACACTTTCGCCTACTCCCAACATGGTCGCGCTAACTGACCCCCCCGGCCACAGGTTCCAGAACCGAGTCGCATTCGACAACATTCCCCTCGGCGAAGCTACCAAGAACAACACTCCGAGCCTGACGCTCAACGACAGGCATAAGGGCTATCGCGCTGGTCGCAGGTCGCGCACTTTCATGGTGGGCGTCGATGAGCATGCATATTCGGACTATGCGCTCCAGTGGCTGCTCGACGAACTTGTGGACGACGGCGACGAAGTTGTCTGTGTGCGCGTCATGGAGAAGGACATTCGATCACATGATAAGAGCTACCAAGAAGAGGCCCGGTCGATCATGGACAGCATCCGAGCGAAGAATACCGCGGGCAAGGCCCTGAGCTTCATTCTGGAATACGCCGTGGGCAAGTTGCACGGCACATTCCAGAAGCTTATCCACATGCACGAACCTGCCATGCTTGTGGTCGGAACCAGGGGCCGATCCCTTGGCGGTCTGCAAGGTCTGGTAAACACGCGCAACTCCTTCTCCAAGTACTGTCTACAATACTCCCCAGTACCTGTTGTGGTCGTGCGCCCGACGGAGAAGCGCATCAAGAAGAAGGAGAAAAGAGCGGCAGATGCCTCCCGCCAGACATATGCTGGGATGCTGTCGGCCACCGACGGCAAGCATGAGGCTGACAGTGAAGCAAGCCGTCAGTATGACCTTGAGGTCAAAATCTCGCCTGACGAAGAAGCGCATCAAGTCGCCAAAGTCCTGGGCTTACCTGCGTCATTCGACCCTACTATCAAACCCCTGGCCTCTGCAACCTACAATCGAGTCACGCCTTCGCCTACTGCTCCGACGCTCCAGATCATGGCGGACGTACCACAGACAGAGGCTAGTGTTTCCACTGGGCCCCTCAGTGCTGGCAGCGACAGCAGTGACTCGGAGGATGACGATGCCGAGGGCGAGTTTGAGGTTATGACGGGTGATCAGGTTATGGATCAAGCAAAGAAGAGGGAGTTGCACAAGATGGAGGTCGGCGAAGCCATGGCGTTGCGCGACCACAAGCTGGGCTCTGATTCCGACTCGGATGACGAAGGCAACAGTAAGAACGCATCTTAGAAGCTGTGTTCCACCACTGTCACGTTCGAGAAGCAGCCATTCAGTTTTCATATTGAGTCTCATTCGATGACGGGGGCTTGGACCGACACACGCGCATTCGTTTCGCGTCTGCGCGAGTGGCAGCAGGTACTCCCAAACCTCACTGGCGAATCTTGCAAACCTTCTCCGAAACCTCAGGACACTGGTCCTCCTCCAACACCGCCGACTTCATCCCCAAACACTGTCAATGATCCTCCGACATCTCGTCCAGAAGCCGGTCCCGCCCAGGAGGAGCATCCTGATGGTGAAGATACCAGACCACCATCAGGCCAACAGACCCAGACCGCTGTGGCCAACCCCTCGTCACAGGACGATCAGATTGTCGGCGGACCAAATAACCCGGATGATGGCGCTGGCGGCAAGGTCAATGCGGTCGCGGACGATGCTGCTGTCCCCTCCAACGAGGTCGACCGGTCCTGTCGAACTTGCTGTGGTCCCTTCCGATTAATGTGCTGCCCCTTGGGACGAGTCTCCAGCCCAGAGATCAGAAAGAAGCCCACCCAGATGTGGAAGTTCGTCCGAGGTCGACATGGACAAGCATCACCAGGCCCGGATGTTGGGGACGAACCGCAACCGATAGAGCTCGCAGAGCAACCCGCAGACCACCAAGTGACGGCCACCCCGGCGGCCGAACAGGATGTGCTGTTCTTGGATAACACAGAGAATGGGGCAGAGAATGGTGCAGAGAATGACACAGAGAATGACGCAGAGAGTGACACGGACTATGACACGGACAGTGACACAGAGAATGATGCAGAGAATGACGCAGAGCAGTCGCTGTCACCACCACCCACGTATCGTGCAACTGGGGTGGACGTAGTGTATGGGCGGACTTTTGATATCGACGAAGTCCGTTCCCCCAACAACGACCTTCGACCAAAGCAGTCGAATAGCTACCCCGAGCTCAGTACAGCAGATTACATTTTACGAAAGAATACCGAGTCGAGCTCGTTCTACGATGGGTTCTTCCACTGGTTTGATCGCTGTCCAAATTGCGGTACCGAGATTGCATGGGGCTTACCTTGGAGCTCCCTTCCTGAGTCGCATCCATCTCAGTCCGTCGAAACGGAGTGGCGAGCTCCCTGCATCCATTGCCGTCAGATCCTGCGCGCGACACTGGCACCATTGGGGCAGCCGAGTCTGACCATCCTGGCGAGTGTTGAAAACATAAGGCGACACCGAGGTGCACCTCGTTTGCCAACAGTCCCTAAGGAGAACTTGGACAATGGGGAGGGTCCCAGTACCTGGATGGAGAGAAGGGCTGAATCAGCGGATCCCGGTCCGAGCAACGCTGCGGCGGGCCCTGTCCCTGATAGGAAGGGCAAGCAAAAGATGCGCGAGCCTCAGGATGGGGATGATCTGCCAGAGTATCAAGAATTGCCTCCGAAGGGCGAGCAACCGAAGAGGGAGCCATTGAGAGTCCAGTTTATTCAACCGGCGGCCACACCACGCATGGCCAGGCTGTTGGAAACACTGAACCGCGATAGAGGCGAGCCTCGGAGCTTGGATGCTGTGCTAAGTCAAGAAATGTTTGAAGATGCCTCGACGGACGTATCTGACGCGTCCTCAGACCCAGAGCAGCCTGAGGCGGACGAGGATGGGATCCCGAGTCGGCAGCCCTGAGCTGTGGGCGTTTTTCGACGTGTATAACTTTGACAGCAGCGATAGAGTAGCGAATGAATGACCAGCGAGGTTTTCTTACTTACCTTAACTTTGTCTGCCATGGCGAATTTGATTAGACACGACTCAAAGTTAAGAATTCTCCGAGCATGGGCGAAGCGAGGCCACGCCATGCCCCACATTTTGACGCATCACCCTTTCCGGCGGTGCTTGTAGCGGAATGTGTCAGATTTCGATGTTTTGTCCCTGATGACGTCCAACCTCCAGGCCAGATTCAGGCTCCAGTCCAGCGCCCTCTATTGTGGACGAAGCTTGATTCTCGCGTCGCTCATAAACATTCGTTAAACGCGCCGGTCTTCTCCACATTCGCCTAATGATTTCGTTCGAATCGAGCACGCGCCTTGCTGCCCATCCAACATCAGCTCTAGCGCTCCCACACAGAGACAACGCCAAGATCTGAATACATCGACCGCCACGCCTCAAACGAGCCAAAACCACCGCCCGAACCGGTCGCGACGCCAATGTGGCCCTTCTCCGGGTGTAGCGACAGCGAGGATGCTTGTGCGCCCACTCCACCCTCGCTCCTGACCCCTTATGCCATCTTCTCGCTGCTACCGTTCGCCATCGTCCTGGCGACCACGTACATTACGGCCACGAGACACATCCTCCCCCGCCTATCGAAACCGCAGAACGGCGAGTCTCGAGACGGAGAGGGCCATGTCCTACCCAGACATGCACCCGAGGCCCTCAAGGCCGCCCACGCTGAGCATGGCGAGAAGAGTCTAGACAGGCGGTTGACGCGCGCTGTGTTCGGCGCGACGGTCAGCCTGGCGGCCACGCTGGGTGCGGAGATATTGGGGGAGATATTGCGCTGGGGCGATGGCTTTGCGCGAGAGTGGGCATTGCGATGGACGGTGAGAGGGCTGCTGCTCATGATGGTGGGCGTGCTGCCGTGGCTGGAGTGCAAGAACTTTGTCGCGGCGGCTGGATGGAACTTTCAGCGCAACGCAAAGGGAAAATCGGCAAAGACCGCGTGGGCTATCCAGTCCGCGCTGTTCAAAGCTTGGATCTTTGTCTTCTGGTCGGTAGGTGGTGCTGTGCCGAGCACAGGGGCTGCCCGGACGGGAAATACAGTTGATGACGGGTTGGTCGAGATGGTCACGCGCGGGTGCTTGGAGCGGGTGGGTGTGGTCGGCATCTGTCTCATGGCGCTACTGGCGGGCTTTGCGTCGGTCAGTTCGCCGTGGTACACATTTGGCGATGCCTCACAGCGGCGGAGGCGGCCTGTGACTGAAGCGGACGTGACGAGGAAGCAAGCTGGTCTCGACGCCGCAAGCGAGATGCTGCTCACGAAGCGGCACCGTCTGCAGATGCTGGAGCGTAGGACGTCGGAGCCGAGTCAAGGCGCCAAGAGCGGCTTCATGGGCAAGATGATGGGCTCGATACGAGGTGTCTCGGGGGAGGAGGCGGAGATGAGGACCCTACGCATGGAGATTGCCGGCCTCGAGACCATGGAGGTCAACCTGGCGAGTAACCTCGCCATCCTCAAGGGGCAGAGGGACGTGGCGGCCCGCGCTTCGACGCCTATGGGCCGGTTGCTTCTCGTACCGTCATACGTCTTCAGCTGTTACTGTGTCTACCGCCTCCTGGCTACGACCATGACAACGTTGAGAAGAATGTCGTCACCCTCGGCGAGCAGCTTCTCGAGCAGCGACCCCATCAACAGGTTCCTCGGTCTTTTGGCACGGCACTGGGACCCCAAGATGGACCAGCTCGCGTGGGCGCGGACCATCAGCTTCGCCCTGTCGGGCGTGATGCTCGTCCTGAGTGCCAACGCCGTGGTGCAGACGCTGCATCTCTTCTCCCGGTGGACGCCCAAGGTGCTGCATCGACACATGCAGTCGTCCCTCGCGCTGGGCGCCAGTCAAGTCGCGGCCACGTATGTCATATCGTCCCTGCTCCTGCTCAGGAGCCACCTACCAGGCGAGGTCCGCGACACGGTCAGCGGCGCCCTGGTGCGCGGTGCCCCCTTGATGAGTCCTGCCTTTGCGGACGGGTGGTTTGAAGGGTGGTTCCTCATCGGTGCGGGTGTCACGGGCATTGGTGTCTGGTTGACGAGGCGGATTGGCGGTAGGCCTGGCGATCTTGACGGCGACGAGTACGCCATGGAGGAGATGGGCGCCAAGAGATCATAGCATTATGGGCAGCGTTTGTTTATACGTATTGCAACGTTAATACTATCACGACTAATACGACCCAAGAAAAAGCCAAGTAAATGTGTCAAGTACCATTATCTGACATGTTCCGTTGTCTAAAGCAAGACTCCTCACATAAACAACACTGATTTTGCCTTCATACGGACGGTAAGAAGAAAGAAGAATAAAGGGGGTGGTTCATTACGTGGGATCATCATAACGTGCCGGGTCATGTCGCGGCCCTTCGTCTTTCCACATCATGCATGCCATCCTGACACGCCCCGGGCATAGTCTCATGTCCTCGTGTAAGAAACCTCGAGGTCTCTCTTGTCTCTCTCTCTCTCTGTCGCTTTCTCGCCTCCTCCGCCACCCGCACAACCTTTGGTTCTATCAGTCTAGAAATGGTCACCGAGGTGACCAGTTTTGGTGTTCCCTCCCTTCGTCTTATGCTCTTGTTTCTTGCATCGAGAATTCGAAAACTTTTTTGGTTCAGCACTCCTCAAAGGGTATCAATCCCAAGTCCGATCCTCCCTCCTTCTCCTCCCGCGCAAATCGCCGCCACCGCCCCGCGAACCGGTCCTGGCTCCTCTCTAGTCGTGAACCCGAACGTGATGCGGAAATTGGCGCAAGTCAGCTTGGCCATCCTAAGGCCTGCCCTGTCGTCCCTTCTTGCCTGTGGCGACGGTTGTCCAGCCATCGTCTTCCTGTGCAGGCGCCTCGGACTCGGTCGGGGTGGGTGGCACGGACGACTGGTTGTTGGAGCCGTTGGAGCGAGGGCCACGATCGTTGCGACCGCCGCGCGAGGCACCACCGCGACCGCCGCCGCGGGGACCTCCACGCCCGCCACGCTCGCCAGACGAGCGCCAGCTGTTGTTCTCAAAGGCCTTGCCGCCTCTTGGCTGCGAGGCAGGATCCCTGGGTTCGCGAGGCTCCCGGTTGCGCACAGGCAACCGCTGCTCGCCATTCTCTTGCTTCGCCGAAGCATCGTCACCCTCTGCCTTCTCGGCAGTCGGGGCAGCAGGGGCAGCAGCAGCAGTCTTCTCGGACTTGGCGGCGGCCTGGGCCTCAGCCTCTGCATCGGCAGCCTCCTTGGCAGCGCGGCGCTCCGCCTTGGCCTTCTCCTCGGCCTCTTGCTTCTCTTGCAGGGCCTGGACACGCTTCTCCTCAATCTCCTTCTCGCGGGTAGCGGTGTCGATGGGACGGGCGCCACCAAAGGGGTTGGCCTTGGTGTCGGTAGTAGTAGATGGGGAGGCAGCATCGGGAGCCTCAGATACGGTGCGCTTGGCCAGGTTCAAGCGGGGGCGGCCGACAGGAGCGGCAGGTGTGGCGTTGGCAGGGGCAGGCGAGCCAGGGGCACTGCCGGCTGGGGGGCTCTGCGCTTGCTCAGGACGCATGCGGTCGCGCCAGGCGTTGTCCTTCTCGGCGGCCGTTGGGGCGCGCTCGGGGGCGGCAGGGCGCTCTGGTCGCTCGGTGAATTCGCGACGTGCGGGGCGTGATCCGTCGGCACGGCCGTCGCCCCAGGTAGCTGGAGACTGGCGACGCTCGCCACCGCGGTATGACTCGCTGCGCTCTCCCATACCTTCGGGCGCAGGACGTTGGCGGGAGCTGCGGGCTTCCTGGCCACCCTCCTCAGGCGACAAGGGAGCCAGAGGTCCACGACGCTCACCCCAGTTCAGATCGCGAGGAGGCCTAGCATCGACGGCCGGGTCGCGGGGAGCACGGCGCTCGCCAAAGTCAGAGGCTCCACGGGGTCCAGGTCCACCGCGCGCAGAGGCGGGGGGCTCAAGAGGTCCCTTGCGGGTCCAGTCGCCCATGTCGCGGATGAAGTCACCGCGACCGCTATCGCCGCCTCGGGCTGTTCACTGTTAGCTGGTGCGTCTTGTAATACCATGCAGTGGCTACGTACGAGGATCGGCAATCTTGATCTTGATCATACGGCCTTGGAAGCTCTCGCCATCCAAAGTCAAAGCCTTCTTCAGACCCTCCACGTTGTTGAACTCAACGTATCCAAAGCCCTTGGGTCGCTGGAGCTCACGATCCTCGATGATTCGGACGTTGGCGACATCGCAGTCCTGGAAAAATTCGTTGACCGATTCTTGGGTGGCATCGTACGAGAGGTTGCCCAGATGAGCTGTGTAAGGGGGCTTGTCGGGGAGCACCTGAGGAGTGGGCTGCTCGCGGGTAGAGTAGCCTGGGGTAGGTTAAGATACGACTCGTGGACACATGTATCACATGGGATCTTACCTCGATCAGCCCAGCTGCTGGAGCCGCCCATGGGACGGGAGCGTTCGCTGGAGGGGAGGGGCTGGGTACCGGCCACGTAGGTCTCCTCGACCTCATCGGCCCAGGAGCCACCACCGAGACCATCGTCATTCAAGAAATCCCCAAGGGACATCTTCTGCGACTTCTTGGGCGCCATGTTTGCGGTTGTAGCGGCACGCGCAACGATGCACTGACCGATGCGCGTAGACGAAACGGGTAGAGGCGAGAGCCTTGACTGCTCGTCGTCCTCGGGCGCAAGAGCGTAGTGGTCGACGTGGAGTGGTCGGTCGTTTCGGTCAAGTCAATCGGTGCAGATGGTTGGATAGGCACTGGAGCGTGGGATGCGGGGCCAACGAGAGCAGAGAGAACCAGCCGACGGACTTGGTGATGCGTACACCTAGTCTCTGGGGGGTTCCTTTTAGATGTGGAAAAGTTTGTCGAGACAATGCAGGGTCCCCAAGTTGCTACTTTGCGGTTGCGGGGTCGAGTGATTGGAGGGGGCCGTCGAGAGATATATGGCTCGGCGAGAGGACAAGGTCAAGGAAAAAGGTCGTTCCTGTGAGGGTTCAAGTTGCCTCATGGAATTTTCACACAGCAGCCCGCGCGTGTGGAGGCGCTTGCCTCTCTTTGGACTAGCGGCGAGTCCCGGTTCCCTTCGCGCCTTCCGGGTGAGAGACGATCTTGGACCGAGAATGAGCCGTGGCCATTGGCTCAATTGACCTCGCAGACCCACTTACATCTCAACGTGAATTGAAGACTTGGACTTGGGAGAACTGAATCGCTCACTGAGCTTCAGACTTCCCACTGCTGCCTGTGATGCCTTTCTCAAACGATGCGCCAGCGCGAGGCTTTGTGCCTCCTTCTATCAAAGAAGCGGTTGTCCCACCCCTTGTACTGGGCGCCTATTGTGGTACGTTGTGTTTTTGCGATGGAGTTTGATTCGGTCTAATTTGGTGCTTGTGAAGGCGCTGCTGGCGCGTTTCTAGGCTCAGGGGCGGCTACATTTACCGGGAGAAATCCCGTGCTGAGTGGTGCGGCCACGGGCATTCAATGGGGCATGCTCGGAAGCACATATTGGTGTAAGATACTTGTACAGAGGTTCCTGGGCCGTCATTGACAAGAAGCCAGTCTCCCGCCAAATGACTTTGCGTGCGATGGGGGCATCCGAAAACCCAACGAATGGGCAGAAACTCCAAGCCAGCGGGTTGGCCAGCGTACCGGCGAGTGTTGTGATGATCCTAGGGTTTGGACGTAAGCTGGGTTTGCCCATTGTGAAAAGACGGACCAGTCTAATCTTGTCACAGCATACATGAGGAGCAATATTGTTTCTTCTTTCACACTTTGCGGAGTGGCAGCCGTGGGAGGCCAGTTTGCGATCGACTGGTATAGACAGTTACCCGAAAGGCCCGTGGACGAAGACAGGAGCTGGATGAACTCGCGCTTCAGCCCACTGAAGAAAATGTCAGACAAGGAATACACCGACATGTTGAGTGAGAAACTCTTGCGGGTTGATGCCGACATCGCCCTAATCGACGAGCGGATAGAGAAACTCAGGGAGCAGGCGGCATTTGAGGGTGCGCCGGCAGAAAGGCCGAAATGATTCGAGCGAGGTTCAAAAGGACATGGAGTCACGCTCACCTTGAAGCCCCGTGCGACGCGCACCTCGACGAGCCCAGCCAACGATTCGATCAGGGCCAACTGGCCACCAAATTCGAACTACGACACCTTCCAAACACAGACGCATACAGAGCGCTGCAATAATCTTGAAAGGCAGCGCTTCGTCAAGGCAACCTGCGGATGCCATAGTCACTAACAGGGACACACTGCCCAACCTTGAAATGAAGGGATCCAAGACAAATTGAGGGAGGGTACAGTATCGCAGGCCCCTGGCCATGTCAAAGGGCGAAACGCGCATACGGATTTGTATATTATGTATAGACATGAAGTATATCAAATATCAATACTAATTGTAGACCAAAATCTCATGACTGCCCTGTGCAGCACATCATTGCATGATGCGTCGCGCCTAATCTGTACGGAGCTAGTCTAGGGTACGTATCCCCTCGGCACGGGACGTACACGAAAGCTCCGTCAGAGTGGGCTTCGATTTGCGATGGTCTTAGCCGTGCTGCTAATTAGTACGTGTGCTCATAGCTTGCCCAAAGTCTAAAATCGCGACCCGTGTCATCCGGCGACATCATCGCGATCAGAGTCCATCAGAATATCCCGCTCGCGCGCGTGGTGCCCTCTTGCGGTGCGCACATTGAGGAATCTCTTTTTGACGTCACGCGGCCGTGTCCCTCATCCGCCCCTACCAACACACGCATCAAGCATCTGTTGTGACTGCGCCGACTACTCCTTCGAGCCCCCGATTCGAGCAACGTTTTGCCAGCATCTATAGCCGAGCGCGTCGAAACCCGACAAGGAATCAAGCGAGCGCGGACGTCATCAATACGAGGGTTGCGTTGGAACATACTTGGAGAGAGAGCTGAGGGGGAACCAAGCTTGCATCAACCAGAGCGTGTCCAAGAAGCTGCCTTCGACCCTGACCATGAGGCGCATTTGATTGTTCGTCCAAGTTTCAATCTGGAACCATGCAAAGCCCCCTTCAATTCGACATGTACGTTGCGCGCTTTGGTCGCCATTCCATGCGCTCGCTGACACTACTCCAGCTTAGCTGGCTTTGGCTTATCCCAGCCTCGTCGTAATGGCTCTACTTAACCCGACATTCGCCTTTGGGATATTCGTCCTGCTCTACCTCGCCTCATTCGTCTTCTTCGCCCTTCTGCGAATCGTTACCGGCATATCCATACAGCGCATCGGGTACCTCTCGCTGCGACGGCTCGCTTACACACCTCGAGATGGATGTCGCATCGAGATTAGGGGGCTGGGCTTTTCGATCCATCGCCCAACGTTTGCGCAGCCGACGTGGCTGAGCCTGGTCCTGAACGAGCTGGTGGTGACGGTCGACATCAGGGCACTCCAAGGCTCTGATAAGCACAATGACGGTCGCACGCAAGGCAAGACTGCATCGTCCGAGGACGACAAGGATGGTAATGGGGTCATCCCCATGCGCAAAACACGGTCTCGACCAGCGGAGTACGGGCCTCGGAGCGAGACATGGAAAAAGCTCATGAAGATCAAAGACCGCATCAAGAGGGTCCATCGAAAGGTGAACTGGCTGCGGATGGTAGATGTTGTGGCTACCAACTCTACGATCAATGTGGTCGATGTCGGCCACCTGCAGGTTGGCAGCATCACCGTGGCCGTAGATACTAGGCGTAAAATGGTCGATCGGGCGCGCTTCCTCTTCCAAAGGTCTACAGCCAAGAAGCATGATCGTCAGGCGGAGTGGATTCTCTCCGTGCGCAGCGTCCTGTTCACGGCGCGAGGCAAAGAGTCGCTTGAGGTGCTGGACCATGCGTTGCTCAACATTCATGGCCATCTCTATGAATCGATGGAGGGGCTTCGCGATGCAACCCTGGCGCTCAAGCTCGGACGCGTTCACATACCGTATGACGATCTGCACATTTGCACGCGGCACTACAAGACGTGTCGTCGAGATGCTACGGGAGGACCTGATGAGCCGATCGATACGTTCGTCGGCGAGGTTCCCCAAAACAGAGACGAGTCTGACCGGCACAGCGAAGACCTCATGCAAACAGTATCAGACTCAAAGGACTTTCTTAGCTCGATACTTCGAGGCATCAAAGAGGTCCAGTTCGCTGTCAGCTTTCTCAGTATTTCTAAAAAGGTGGACGAAATACAGCCCAGGCCAGGCTCGACCCTGCAACTCAACGCTGCGATGAAGGAAATTGGAATCGATCTCCAGCGACTGGACCCCAATTCGCCAGCCCATCGCATGTATTTCCCTTCCAAAGATATTGCCCACGAAGCGTTGGTGGCCGCTCTTTCAATATCTGTGGGGTTGGACGATGGTCACGGTAAGCCAGAGCGTCTGCTCTACGTGCCCATGGCCACCACGACCGTGCGCACGACACTGCCGTCCAAGACAGTCGAGCTTGTTCAAGAAGACACGACCGAGCAGAAGAATGCGAACATACTGTTTGAGAATTCCGTCATCACTTCACCGTCCATCGATCTGGACCCTCGTCACCTCCCGATCTTGCTTGCTTTGATGCAGCGGAAGCCTAAAGCGCCAAACGCTCAGAAGCAGCAGCGTCGTGCTCTTATCCCTCGACTCCTGCCGAAAGCCATCATCAAGGTGTCACTTCACGAGCCCGTCATGCGCATCAAACTACGGCCATTGCTGAAGACGGACAACGCGGACGATTTCGACCTCATAATCTCATCTATCTCCTCTATCTCGCTAGACATGGAGTCATCGCATTCCCTCGCGGAAGACTCCCACTATGCGCTGACCGGCGCCCTGCGACTCCAGACACACCATTTATACTATCAGACAAACGAGCGGGAAAGATTCAACCTCATCACCACAGATTCTTTTGATATGAAGGTGAATCTCACAGCGAATCCCGACGTATCAGTCGAGGCATCGGGCAACATCCAGACATTCTGCATTTCCATGGTGCGACCAGAAATTACGGATGGTCTCCGTCAGATTGTAAAGGAACTTCGTCTTGACGTTGAACCTGACAAACGGACGATCTCGAAAACGTCGAAAAGCAAGAACTTCCTGCGCACCATGCCTCGCTGGCTCACGAGTTATCATATCGGGGCAACAGATGTCAGCCTTGAAGTGGCTGGCATTGACTTGGACATTTCGGAAGACACTCGCGGCGTAAGCCTGCATCTCGATCAGCTCTCGGCCGAATATAGAGAGCATAAAGTCGAAGGCCTGCGAAGACGCTTGCCACGCACTAGAACCCATAGTAGGTCACTGACGCAGTCTGACTCGGACTTGACCGCCGGCCCTGGTTCGCCACACCCTAGGAGGAAGCCACAGCACCACGGCGATGGTAGGCGTCTCGTCTTGCATTCGCGCGGCATTGAAGCACAGATTGTAGAGAGCGTTGAGCGGCTTGAGGTGGAGCCTTTCCTCAACATCCCTCGCCTAGAGCTCATCTTCTCTGCGTCTAGCGATCCTCATGGGCCCATGTTCCATGTCCAGTCTCACATCAAAAGCATCTTGGCGCAGTACTCTCTGTACAGGCACTACTCGGTCGGCGTGGCCATGATGACAGTACGCAAGGCGTTCTTGAAGACGGGCCACGACCAGAAGCCAAGGCATCGGCAAGACACTGTTAGGCCCAACAGCCTGGCCCCGCCTGTGGCCCCTGGACAGTTTGAAGATGACGACGGGCTGTCGACCATAACACCAGAGCTAGTGACAGTCGACATCAAAACGTCGCTGGTTCAGGTGAAGGCGGAGATGCCTCACGATCCGCAGATGTTGCTCCATGTATATGGCTTGGAGGTTGGCCGCCACAGATGGTCCGCGCCGTATTGCAAAGCCAAACTGATTCGACTGTACGTCGAGCCTCCACGCGTGCGCAACGTCTGGGCACGCATGATCAGCATCAAGGAAGCCCGGTTCGATCTGCGCAAGTCCAAGCGCAAGACGCCTCTTGGCGGTGTTGTCGAGGAAAAGCTGTTTGATCTGTCAAGCTCAGCTGTGCGAGTTGGGGTTCCGCATGAGGTCATTGTGAACCAGATTACGGACAACTTTACGAACGTGTTCAAGGCATGCTTGCAACTTCACCATCGGTTCAGCACGGGGACCAACGAGTACATTCTGGACAAGCACCCCGAGGGTCCCAAGAACGTGCCCAAAGTATCTTTCCGATCGCGCAAGTTCATGTTCGAGTTGGAGGACGGCGCTTTTGAATGGAAACTGGGCATGATTTACAGGACGGGACGCATCGAGCAGACCCAACGGCTTGCGAGAGAAGACGCATTCCATGCCAAGATGAGAAAAATCAGGGAGGACGAGTCGAGGAAAGGCAACAGCAAAGTCAGATCCCGTTCTGCTTATCAACGAGGCCGCACGGAAAACACAAGCGGGTCCTGGTTCAGGAGCCGCAGCCTTGACGCCATCTCGCCCGCAGACAGCGGACCGGGTCCTGAGCCCAGGAGAATACCACGGTATGACCCTGAGTCGGAAACGGCGGGCATCAACGCGTACTCGAGGGTTTCCGAGCAGGACGCTCGTGTCAAGTTAGACTTGTTGAATGCCCAGACCTGGAAGAAGCGCATCGACAATGCATACGAGATGTCGCGCAACAGCGTCTGCGAGCTGCGGAAAGCTTTCTGGGGCCCGAAAAATCTGCCGGACGACGTTGAGGAAACAGAGAACATTCTCGAGGTGCCTCAACGCCCGGCACTCATGTCGACCATGATCACCGATCTCCGCTTCATCATCGACAAGCCGACGTTCCCGTTGAGCGAGCTACCCACCTTCCTCCACGATGTTGGCAAAGGCATGCCACGGGACATGGAGTATGGACTGCTCGTGCCGATGCATGTGACTATCGAGGTGGACGAGGCCAGAATGTCACTTCGTGACTATCCGCTGCCGCTTCTCCATATCCCATGGATGAAGACTGGGCAATCAACGAAGTTGCCGGCCATGTCATTGAAGACCAACTTTGTCATAGCGGAGGAGTTTCGTGGAGAGCAGTCCACGCGAAAAGTGCGCGTTAACATTGTGCCACCCAAGGATCCCGGGCAGTCGAGCGACGGCAGCTTTGATATCGAGGTCCGGCGCACCATCGGCCCTGTCAAGTCCTACTCGGACGTATTCATGGACATTAACACCGCGCTGCCTACAAGGATTACGTGGGCGCCTTGCTACCAACCTGCCATTCAGGACATGATGATGGTGATTGAGTCCTTCACCAAGCCCCAGATCGACCCTTCTGAGCGTGTTGGATACTGGGATAAGCTGCGCCTCGTCTTCCACTCGCGTATGCGAATCGCCTGGCGAGGTGATGGCGACATGCATCTGTCGCTCAAGGGCACGCGTGATCCGTACCGTGTGACTGGGACCGGCGCGGGCTTCCTCATGTGCTGGCGTAATAACGTCAGGTGGAACATCAACGCCGAAGACGACCCCAAGCGGTTCATGACGGTAGACAGTGGAGAGTATATCCTTGCCGTGCCCGACTATACGCATCAGGTTCGCGATGCGGCTCGCCGCGAAGAATCATCGGGTATGGTTGTGACAGATGACATTCTTAAGACTGGCGCCATGTTCAAGAAGGTCGTCATGAAGCTATCAGGCAATGTCCAATGGATGTCTGGGCTGACGTTCGAACGGGCTATCGAGGATGGCAAACGCAGCTTTGACTTCAAGCCGCACTACGAGGTCATCCTCAAGAGTCCCAAGTTTGCCCAGTCTACCAACGGGCTACCTTATGACTCTATGCGTGGCTTCAGAAGCCGCTACATCCACATGTCCATCGCAGTCCGCGCTCCTGTAGATCGCGATTGGATGTCGGACAGCCCTGAACCGTCAACAAGCTACAACACGGTGCACCTGACCCCTCGTTTCTTCACGCACTTCTTCGCCTGGTGGGATCTGTTCAAGCAGCCCCTGTCGCTACCGATTCGACAGGGCAATCTCTTCCCAGGCCGCGAGAAGAACAGCAAGAAGTTTGGGCGACACTTGGCGACCGTCAAGTACAATCTGCTGTTAGCGCCGCTGTTTCTCGCCCATGTGTACAAGCATAAGGACGTAGAGGATTACTCGGAAAATGCAGTCTCTGCTACGGGTCTCAAGGTCCGCCTGGATAGTTTCATGCTTGATCTGCACCAACGCCGAGAGTGGTTCAACACTTTGGACAAGGGCAAGAGCACGCAGCAGGCCAAGACGTCTGGCATTAAGATTCACGCAGCACAGCTTGATCTCGCCAATGCTGATCTACGGGCGGTGTCCGCTAGCCTGAAGGGTACGACAACAGAGGCCATCAAGCGTGGTTCCATCTCTACGCTGATCACCGACCAGGGAGAGAAACCAGACTTATCGCGCTTCAACATCCCGGACCATGACTACAGCTGGATTGACATGGATGACTTTGTCGAGTTGGACTGGATCTTGCCCACCGAGCCTCATCCTAGCACCAAGATCCTACCGTTGGGATTCGCACCTCGCCTGACATACTTTAGGCAAACGGACATTGACGGAACGATCGCCGGTGACCCGTCACGCAGAAGCCCCTTTGGCAACGAGCCTACGCACTTTTGCATCATGAGCCACAACGACGACCCGAAGCAGGTGCAGGCCAAGCTCATCGAGGAACGTCTCGAGCAACTACGCGTGCAGATGCAGACCCATTCCCGTGATCTCGGCGAGGCTGAACTCAAGATCGTGCGGACCAACGCTCGAGAAGAGGATTGCGTGGAAAACTTTGAGGCACTTCGGAAGCATTCAGCTGTTTTAGAAGAGAAGAAGAGGTTCCTCGAGGACATGCTCGAGCAAGTTCATGCCAAGATTCCGCCAGTTGGGCCGCAACCCAAGCCGACGGGGGAGCGCGGATCCGAGGATTCGATCGATGTCCATGACGAAAAGCTGAATATCCCGTCGAGGCCCGAGTTTGAGAGCGAGTTCAAGAATCGGTTCATCCTGCACAACATGCAGCTCAAGTGGAACAATGTCTTGCGAAACATTGTGCTGCGGTACATACACCAAAACAGTCAGCGTCGTGGATTCATCTACTACCTAGGCCGGCCGGCCATCAAGTTCATCCTTGATATTGTGGAAGAACAAAACAAGATGAAGAGCAACAAGAACGGCAAAGCCGAGCAACAGTCGTCTGTGCCGCCATCAGCTTCTTCAGACCGCGGTAGCCATCTTGACATTGAGGACCGAATCAAGAACATACTGGGGGAAGACCGAAAATTCTACTCCACAGCTTTCGAGTCCAATCTAGAAGGCACGAGTTGCAGAGGCATCGAAGACCTGACATCGGGCCTCTCTGACGAATTTAGTCCCCAAAGTAGTTATCATGTGCGGCTCATCGCTCCCCAGATTCAACTCCAGAGCGAGAAGAACAAAAAGAACGTTGTCATCATCACAGCCAAGGGCATGGAACTCAAGGTGATGGAGGTCATGGACAAGGAGCGCATCTCTGATGATGTCAGTGGTCTTGTACAGCGTCGATTCCTCGTCAACATGGATAGCACGCAGTTCTTCGTCACACATCACAAATGGTTCCTGACGAACCTGGTGTCGATGTATGCTGGGAGCCGGTACGGCACTAAGAGTGGTTCGTCGTGGCCGCCATGGGTGCCCATGGAGATCATGTTTGATTTCACAGCTACGCCTTTCGGCTTCAAGCGTGTGGTGGAGAAGACGTCCGCCGTGCTCCGTTACGACAAGTACAACACGCTTCGCCTCAAGTACAACGACGAGGTCAACGCAGAGGACACGTCAGCGCCTACTGCGGAAAACAACGAAAAGCGAATGGACAGTCTGTGGGTTGAGTTCCCTCAGGTACGAGCGCTCTGCAACTCGTCCCAATACTACGCCTTGTATGTCATAGTGCTGGACCTTCTCATGTACAGCGAGCCGCTCGAGAAGACGCGAAGCGAGCGCCTGGAAAAGATCATGCTCGCCTCTGACTTCAGCAACCTGAGCGGCGCGCCACAGAAGATTCAGAAGCTACAAGAACGCATCAGGCAGATGGAAGAGATCAAGGCGCACTTTCAAATCTACTCCAAGTATCTCGACAAGCGCGGCTGGGAAGACCGCCTCACACTTGAGCGTGATCTGGCCGCAGCGGAGGATGAGCTCTTCTTCGTCATGAAAGCAATCACCACATCGCAGCGAAAGTACGACGTCAATACCAGTGAAAACGCGCTGCTTAAGTGGAACATCCTGGTACGAGATATTGTCTGGCACCTGATGCAAGATTCAAACGAGCCACTGGTCGAGCTCCAGCTGAAGGATCTCATGTACGACCGCACGGACAACTCGGACGGCTCGCATGTGAATCTACTCCGCGTCGGCAAGGTGCTCGGTCTCAATCTCCTCCCTGACGCGACATACCCCCAGATCATTGGGCCCTATGACGATCCAGCGAAGGTCCCACAAGGCGAGAAGGCCAGCCACGAGATGATTCGCGTGTACTGGTACATGCTTGAGGCCATTGCGGGCATCACGGTCATGGATCGGTTCGAGGTGGATCTGTTTCCCATGGAAATTCAACTGGAGTATGAGGTTGGCAAGCGGCTCATGGAGTACATCTTCCCTGGGATGGAGGGTGAGCAGAACAAGACGGCGAGCAAAAAGGAGAGCTCTCACTTCGCCATGAAACACCAGCTCATGGCAGACCAGCCGCCCGAAGAAGATGACACGTCGTCCATCACCAGTTCAACAAGTAGACTGGGGACGCCGTCCATGGACAAGGACTCTTCTGGGTTCTCGACACGGGCTGGGTCACTAGAGCTCAGGTTGCGCCCCACGCTGACGTCTAACACGCCAGAACGGAACAACACGAGGAAGAACCTGACTGTGAACACGGGCGAGGGCCACCGCTTCAACCTTCTCCGCCTGGGCGGATCGAAACCCGCTGGCAAAAAGCCATCGTACGACTCTCTGCGCGCCGTTGCGCAGGCCGCTCCGAAGAAGGAGATTAACAGATCATCCACGAGCGTGTCCAAGGAAAGTCAAAGCAGTACGGTGGTCGGGGAGAAGAAGCAGCGGTTCATTCGGGGCCGCAAAGGACCCGACGAAGACAAGCAACAATCGGACGACCTGACGCAGATGATTGCGCGCGCCAGCAATTACATGACCTTTTCGTATATCCGTCTCCAGTCGGTTGTGCTCTGCGTGAGCTACAAGGGCAAGGAGCAGCGCAACTTTGAGGACGTGCACAACTTTGTCTTCCGGCTGCCCACGATTGAGTGGCAGAACAAGACGTGGTCGAGCATGGATCTCACCATGGCGTTCAAGAAGGCCTGCATGCGTGCCCTGCTGTCGCACACGGGCGCCATCATCGGCAACAAGTTCTCCAGGCACCGACCGACGGCCGAGCAGCGTACCAAGCTGAGGGACCTCGCCTCGAGCTCGGTGCTGATAGCACCGTCGTCCTCGGCGGGATCGCAGAACTGCGCGGGCAGCATGCAGGACAGCGACGACTCATCCAGTATGTACGCGCACTCGCCTGTCGACTTTTCCCGATCGCCGCCTCGCTCGCTGCGTGGCAGTACGCACGGCAACATACCTGGGCCGAGCAGGAGTAGCAGCATTGCGAGCACTAGGTCCCGCCGCTCTGCGCAAGTCCCGCCTGGCGGTATGCCGGTGCCGACCCATGTCAACTTGACGCCCCCGACACCCATAGAAGGACGAACGGGTAGTAGCCAAGGACTCGGCCATGACCTGCTCCGACCTGGGTCCAGTAGTGGCATCGGTCACCGTGGGCCCAGGAGGATCGGCACGGGCAGCTCGGATCGCCCAGCGACGAGCCATAGCGGCACCGACTCTAGAAGGAAGAGTGGCGGGGGCACTGGACTCCGAGACAAGATCAGTGCATTTACGCATAGAATGAGCCACAGAGAGAGCAGTGGGCTTGCGCTCGACGAGGGCGAGGAAGCAGAAAACGAGAGTGCCCACGGCAGTACTAATGGAGGCGGTAACAACAACAACAACATCAGCAACAACGGCAATGGTGAGGAGAACAAGCCCTCTCCGATCAAGAGGATGACGTGGGCGCCTGGGAGGACAAAGACGGGCTAACAAAGAACAAAAGTCGGGAAACGGACCAGGCGTTCTGGGATCAGCGGATACGGGGTTATCATACACACATACATACATGCACGCACTCGGTCGTTTGGACGGGGGATACACACTCGGGAGCATACAGGGTCTCATAGGTCAAATTCGATAGGGGACATGCGAGCTACATAGGTAGACAGCTCCAAATTTCATTCATTAATCCTTTCATACTTTACACCAATTCATTGTTTTCCTCATACCGCTCGACCATATGGTGTTCGGGAATCGCCAGGCAACTCGTATATAATGTGGTTGCTTTGCTCGGTTGGCGAACCAGCAGCAGCCAACTCTGACGGACCCTTCTCCGCGCTCCCCAGCTCGTGAGGCGCACTGCGCACGATGGCGTCTGCCTGCACGGCTTCAGAGGGTTGGGCTTGGGGAGCAGGTGGCTCGTCGTCTTCTGCGGATCGGCTCTTCTTTCGGTGTCGACGGAGGAAGAAGATGGCAAACCCAACCACGACCAGGGATATGGAGACGCCCACGCCGAGGCCAACGCCTAGACCGATTGTGGCGGCTTTGTCGGGATTTCCTTGATCATTCCCATCTTGCCCTGTTTCGCTCGGGACGAGCGTGTCTACTGGGAGAGACATGGACGTCCGTGTGGCAAGAGTGGACGCGGGCGTAGTCGATGCCGTGTCGGCGGTGGTGGTGGCTGTGGCCAATGTCTCGATCAAACTCGACATTGTAGAGACGTCATCGAATCTCTGTGTTGTACGTTATTAGCATCACAACTTCAAGAAAAGTCACAGGCGAGTTCCTACCGTCATTGAGTACTGCGCGGGACAGCTCAACGTCAGCTGCCGGGACGTCGAATCCACGACACAAGGGACGGCGAGTCGCCGATCGCCCTCTTGCGAGCCCACCTCGAGACCGTACTCGGCACAGACCTCCTCCAGACAGCACATGTAGAGGCCGTAGAAGCCTGGTGATTCGCACATGCACTGATGGTCGGACTCGTACTTGGCGCAGTTGTCCATGATGCCGAGGGCCTTGAAGCGGCGGTTGCATTCGCTCTGTCAAGGCTCTTCTTCAGTATGGGTAAGACCGTTGTGGGGGCCATTGAATAAGATACCTTGCATTTTCTGAGTTTCTCCACGTCGTCGTCATCTTGGGCTGTGACTGCCATGGCGACGAGAGCGAGGAGGACGAGGCGAGGTGGCCAGGATAGGGGCTGCATGATGAGTCGTCCGTGTGCCTTATTAGTCTAGGAGACTGAGATAGGGTGGTTCAGAGAGAATTTTTACGTGGAGTGATTGAAAAACGAATGACGGAGCATAAAACAGGATGTGAGCCTGAGGCTTCTTCTTCATCTGATGTGCGGTGACAGTGGCAAAAAGGGGGAAGGCACGATCAGATGGTCGTCGGGCTTGAATTCAAAGGAAGGAACGACTCGACCGAGTTTTCATCGACGCAGCAGAGCAGAAGACACGAGTGACGGGCTGTCTGTCCCAACACTTGCCCCGGCGGGGTGGTGAATCTGAGTGAAGTCGAGCAATATCCACTCGCAGGTCCTCAGCTGGATCGAAGTCTTTGTTTTGCCGCCAGATACATCAGGCCTCGCACCAGTCGTCCTAGTCTACAACCTCCAGCGCGCAGTTGGTCTGGAACCCATACGCCTCATCCCAGTCCCCCGTCGTGTACCGAATCGTCGGCTCCGGCCTGTTGCGCGCCTGCACATGCCGATACTCCAGCTTCTGGCTCGCGGGCCTCAGCAGCTCCGCCATGGCGAGCTCAGTCCGCGTCTGGACAACCACCCTATTCGCGACGAGGCAGGTCACCAGGCCCAGCAGAAAGTGCACGCCCGCAATGAGGCCGAGGATGGTGTGCAGAGCCGTCCAGTCCGAGATGCGGAGCTCTACGCCTCCCAGAGGCCGCTGGCCCGGAATGTCGATGTCATTGTTGGCCAGGGCCGTCACGGCGATGACGCCTGTCGAGAAGCTGGCCATGTTCAGCGCCATCGCGCTGGCGTTGCCGCCCTTTGGGTCGCCATAGGTCGATGCGGCGGGATAGCTCTGGAACTGCCGTGCTGCGCCCATCCCGGCGGCCGAGGAGCCCTGTGTCGAGGCACCGTAGGCTTGGAGGGCGATGGCCACGGAAGCCAGGGAGGATACGTTGGCGCCGAGCTCATGCTCCGGGAGCACTGCGTTCTGCACGGGCTCTACGGTCACGTTGCACGCGTAGAACCACGGATTCGTCCTTGACGCCTCAAAGGCGAGGACAACACCCGTGGGACCGTCGAAGCCTGCATCCGTGGCGGTGAGGAAGGTGGTTTGATCATCACCGTTGATGGCGGGTACCTCTAATTCGGAAGCATCCGCGTCGTCAATCGTAATGGTTGTCGAATTCCCATCGCCGCCTCGGATGACGCGATACGCCTCACAGTGGGCGACAGAAGCCACGGATCGGTCCGTCACGACAGTCAGGTAACTCTGTCTCTTGGAGGGGTTGGCGTCGTAGAAGACAAACTCGCACCTGTCCAAACCGCAGTAGAGCAGATTCCCTTCCGGACTCCACAGAGTTCCTGGTTCGGGACGCTGCTCGAGAGTGGCCCAGTTGTAGCCCAGCGCGATCTGGCCGTAGCTGTTGGCCGTGTAGCGCAGGGCGGCGTGGGCGTGGGTCGGCGACTTGATGACTCTGGTCGTCTCAATCTGGCTCATGTCCGGGACGGTGACAAGGCCGGGTCGGGTGACCGTGGCATGGGCAGCGGTTTCGACAGTATGCGTCAAGCCTATCGTGGCCACAGCGACTTGGGCCGCCTTGTACTCGGGGTGAGCATTTTGTCATCTTGAATTTCGGTCTCAGCCGCGAGGGGAGTATACGCACAATATGAAGGAGGATCCAGGAGACAATAACAATCCGCAAGATCCAATGGCTCGCCACGACAAAGAGCTTCAGCAGATAGCTAAAGTGCTCGCTCTGCAAGATCAAATCGGCCTCGGGCAGCGTCCAGTCTCGCAGACTGAGAACCCACCAGCGCAGGTCCCCCGTCATCGCCTTGAGGCAGCTCTCGAGGTTCAGCGACAGCATGATGCTCAGAGCGATGATGACGGCGTTGAACACGCGCTTGTCCTTGTACAGCATGACCCCCTTGTCCGAGTAGTGCACCAGGACGCCATAGAAGGAGCCGACAATCGCCGCCGTGATCAGCCATCCCGCGAAATGATAGAGGAGGAGCTTGTAGAGTTGGCGAGGCGATCTGAATCGCGCGGGGGCAAAGTCGTCGTGGGGACCTGCGACAGAAAGCTTCCTGGCGGCCAGATGCATCGCGAAGTCAGAGCAGCGCTGCCAGACGGGGGAAAGGCGGCGGCAATGTCCAGGAGAACTTGATCAAACATGGTCAATGAAGAAAGGCAAGAAGAAAAATCATGTGATTGAGGGATTCTCGTTCGGTTCTAGACCAGATTGCCGTCCAAGCCGCTGGGTTCAATCCTCCCCAGAGTCAAATAGACTTCACGCGCGGGTGTACCCGCATGCCTCCCTCATATACGGATAAGCTGTCTTCGAAAGTTATTCATTCATATTTAAAGCCACAGAGCACCGCCAACGACAGCCGCGACAGCAACCATCATGGCAGACCTACGGTCCACAGACACAGCAGCGCCAGGCACGTCGATCGGGATGACGGAAGGCGTCGCCGTTGGTGTCGCACTATCATCGTCGCCATCCGGCGTGGGGATCAGCCCGCCCGTCAGTGTCGTCGCGGTGCTCGTCGCGAGGGTGGTACTGCTGCTGCTGGTTGACGTTTCCACGGGCATGGAAGTCCACGAGGCCGAGGTCGACGTCTCGACAGGCGTGCTCGTCGTCGTCGTCGTTGTCGCCTGCGTGTGCTTGACCAACTTCTTGATGCCCGCCGTGATCGGGATCGGGTGGACGAGATCCCCCAGGTAAGTCGTGGTGCCGGTGATCTGCGCCGATTTTGTCACGTCGTCCTTGACCTGCGTGACGGCCGTGGTGCAGATCATGGTGCCTCGCGCAATGTCGCAGTCGTTGCGCAGCGTGCTGATCACCTCTCGTCAGCTCCACCTCGGGTCGAATCTAGTGTACACTACTTGGATTGTGCGCACGAATGGCAGGTAAAATGGGGAACATACTACTCGTCCACGCCTTGGATGTTCTGCCACTCCCCGCCATACCCCCAGGTCATGGCGCCCTGCGTAATCGTCGGGATCAGCACTGAGCAGTCGCTCGCCTTGGTCGGGCAGCCAAGCGCAAAGGTTGTCGCAGATGGCTCGACGTGCACCACCGAGACACCAAGCTCGTCGCTGGGCTTCCACTGAGCCGGGAGGAGGACCTGCGCGACGCCCTGCGCGTGAGCGGCGACGGTGGCAGCAGCGCCTCCTCCAAGCGCCAACAGCGTCGTAATCGTCTTCATTGTGAGTGTGTGTGTGTGTGAGAAATGAGCGTGGGTTATCAAAGATAAAAAAGAATGGACGGCCTCGCAAGGCCAAAACGCTGAACGAGCAATCAGTCAACAACACAATGTCGCAGGAGGAAAGTGAGGGAGGAGACTCTTCAAAGACATGATGAGGCCGCCATGCGACTGATACATGAATATGCCCATTTCTCTCCGGATGCGCGGCAACTTGGCAAAACATGGGGAAGTGGTCCTCGGCCCCCCTCGAGGAAATTAACAGCGCGGCCTTGGCGGACGGATTCTGTGAAGCTTGTCACTTGGCGATGCCACGCCAGTCCGCATTCAGCCTTCAGGATGCAGCTGTCATTTAAGGCGCATACATGCAGGAGAAGTTGAAAGGGAAAATCGCTTGATCACTACCTACACTACGTATGTAGAGACTCTACGTCAGCAGCTTTATTCAGTACCTGATGTTGAAGAATCCGTGACCCCTGGGCAGCATCTCCATGAAGCCCATCTCCCCCCTCTTGGCCACCGCGGCAGTGCCAGTGCCGTTGCCCGCGCCAGGCCCAGTGCCGGGCCCATTGACGCCACAGCCAGCATCCCACGGGTGACACGACTCCTCGCACGTCAGAATGTCCTCGGGCACCTTGCCCGTGTCAAAGTACTCGGCCACGGCCTGGGACGTGCAGTTGCTCGTCGCCACCAGCAGCGCGCAGTGGCCCGTCGACTCTTGGATCAGGACGCCGGCACCGGGGTGGTCCTTGGCCATGTTCTCGGCATTGCGGATGGGCGTCACGGGGTCGTACTGGTTGCCCATGAACATCAGAGGCGCAGCAGGCGTGCTCGGATCATCCTTGTCGGCCTTGGGCGTCTTAAAGGGACCGTCAAAGCGGTTCTCCGCGCGGAACGGCCAATGCGAGCAGCCAAACCGGATGAGGGCCAGCGTGGCGCCGTAGATCTCGGACACGTCCTTCATGTCGTTGACATAGTCGACCCAGTAGTCGCTGTCCTTGCCGCGCACGTCGGAGCCGTCGAGGCACATGACACTGTAGAGATTCTCGGGAGGCGACAGGACGAGCTTGGTGCCGTTCTCGTTGGGGCAGCCATCCTCGACGGTAGGGATCGTGCGGACGGTCTTGAGGAAGGTGATCAGATACGAAAAGTCACCCTGGAGTGCGGCGTCAAAGACGACGGCGAGACTGGCAAATCCTGTGATGCCGTTGTATGAGTACACGCCAAACGCCTCGCGGAAGTCGTCGCCGCGGACGACGACACGCTTGCCGTCGGGGGCCAGCGCGCCCATAGGATCGACGTCCAGACGGGCAATCAGGTCACGGAGCGTCTTCTTCATGTCGTCGGCAGATGAGTCCGATCGGTACAGGCGACACCTGTCCTCGGCCTCCCAGCAGAGGTCGACAAAGTGATCAAACACAGAATCCGTGTCCAGGCCAGCCGTCAACCAGCCAGGGCCAGTGGCGTAGTCGTGCACGTTGACGACGCCGTCGGCGAGGACACGACCAACACGCTCCGGGTGGATGCTGGCAAAGAACTGCGCGAGGACGGTGCCGTAGGAGAACCCCATGAACTTGAGACGAGGCTTCTCCTCGGTCTCGCGAACCTCCAGGCCACGCTTCTTCTGCTGGGACTGGCGCCATTCGTCCGACTTGTCGACCATGCGCACCATGTCTTCAACCACGCTGGCAGTGCCGATATAGGGGAAGATTTCGAGACCGTTGTCATACTTGGACTGGCACAACTTGCCCATGCCCTCGAATAGGGCCAGATCGTACTTGATGGCCCTCTCACCCGCGACAAGACCCTGACTGCCACGCAGCTCGAGGAAGAAAGCGTCACGCTCCAGCAGCGAGCCGAAGCAGTCGACTGTAGGTGTCGAGCTCGCAATGCCCCTAGGGTCAAAGGAGACGATCTCGTAGTGCTTCTCGCCAGGCTTGTCCACAGCCGCCTGGAGGCGCGCAGACGAGCTCAGCACAAAGTCGACACCCGAGTGCCCAGGACCGCCCGGGTTGGTGAAGATGGGGCCCGCCCAGGCAGGGTCGTCCACGTCCACGACGGCGGGCAGCTTCATCATGGCGATGGCCACGGTGCGCGAATCACTCTCATTGGTCCAGTCGAGGGGCATCTCGAGGCGCGCACACTCATAGATCTCGAGGCAGGGCGTCCACTCCAGGTCCTCGCTAGGCTCGAGCGTTGTGAAGTCGAATGACTGCGCAAGGGCCGTCGTAGCAGCACCTGCCAGCGCAAGCACGAGGGAGCGCATGACGGGCATCTGTAGGGGAAGGAGGTGGTGAGGGTAGGGAAGGTGCGACGTAGACGCAGTGCAGAAGAGACTGATTTCACGTCTCGAGGTACAGCTGGATACCTTGAGGAAAGACGATGGTCGACAGCATGAAGACGGGATTGCTGCCTTTATCTGCTTCCCTCGGTGGGCAGCGCATCATGACTGACATCAGGAAAGGATCACCGCCCCTGCCAGTGCTTTGCCTCCTTAAAATAACTTGCCCGCATATTAACCCATCCCTGCAATGCGCCCACTCGCCGTCTTGAGGATTCCGTCTTGCGGGCAGAGATAGTCTCGCCTTGGAGCAGCGTGGCGAGGGAAGCGGCGTGAACTATTCCATCGTGGGAGGAACTGCTGCCAATCGTGTTTCCCCATGAGGAAGTTGGCCTGAGCATCAACAATGCGCGTCCCCTGTAGTAGGTTCTGGCGAGTGCACAGCAGACTGCCCGGGATGGATTGCGCGCGAGAGTTGTGTGTAGACTCGCTCACGGTCGTGCACCCTCATCGCCCTCTCGCGGTAGGGAATGGGATGTTGAAAACAACGTCATTGAACCTGTTCTCAGCCCTGCAAACAAAAGCCAAGCCAAGCAACTGCCAATCTGTGGCCAGGGTCTGTGCCGCAACACTAGCAGGGCGTGGTCCGCTGAAGAAAGTCAAGCTTCAGGAGGTCTGCCCCCAGACGCCCCACGAGGTGAATCCTTCAATGCTTTATGACGACAACTACAATTGTTGAAAGCGATTCACGAGCAGGTCCAAATTTGTAACTCTTTGGACCTGCTCGAGAGAAACAAACACTGGAACCACGTCGATCGTCCGCTCACACATGGACATGCTCGGTCGTCGGCAACATGACACGCACACACTTGCTCCTTTGGGTGGTCGCGATGCATCTTCATGGTTCTCAGATGTGTCGTTGGCGTCGACTCGTAAGCACTAGAACTATCACGGCCTGACAAACGACCATCGGACATGCACCCCGACCGTCGACATCAGGCACAAAGTCTGAATATACAGCTACACACATATCGATCGAGATTCGAACCCTTTCTTGTGCCTTGCATGTCAGTTGCAGGGGTCCAGCTAACTCAATTGAGACGTCTCTCACGCGCGGCTCACTTCATTTGTGACGGTCGAAGGTTTCCTTCGTGAACAGACGTACTGAATATGTTCATAGCACACTGGCCCTCCTCGATGCTGCGCCTTTCACTCTGCGTCCAAGCGCCTCAATCCGACTTCTTCGCGACAACCTTGCCCTTGAGGATAACCGCCTGCGCAGTTGTGTAGTTGGGAATGTCGCCAAAGATCTTGGCAGTAACCTCTTGGCCGGCCGCCTTCTCAAAGGCCTCGAGAGACTCCCAGTACAAGGTGGCCTGCACCTGGTAGGGCGCGTCAGCCTGGAAGGTGAGCACGTCCCAGCTGAGCAGCCCGTGAGGTGTCCATAGTCTAGTGAGTGGAAGTCAAAAGTCAGCGCTGCACCGTGTGAACTCGTCCTATCCCACATCCACTCGCAAAAACGTACTCGGATACCAAGGGCATGTGTTTCTTGAGGTAGTAATCCAAGTCGAAGGAGGGCCCCGAGGGGTAGACGATGAGAACTTGAGCCATGATGTGAGGATGTTGCCGAACGTGCGTTGAATTCTTAACGTATATATCGAAGACCGCGTCAATGGGACATTGAAGCCAAGTGAAGCCGAGGATGCACGAGCTTTATACTTTCCGTACGCACCGGTACGGAGTAGTGACGAAGATCCGTGGTCCCGAGGCCCCCCTCACTCTCCCCAATTATTTACAACACCCCGCTTCACCATCCGAATCTCCGGTCACTCCGATACCGTTCGACCATACTCCGGAACCTTCTTCGTGACTTGGGTAGGAAAATTGGGGTTTCTTCGGAATCGCTGGCAGCTTCGTTGCGGGCTGTGGAGCAGCCAATCGCTGCAACTGGGTGGGTGGATGGAGGAGTGTCTTATAGATGATCTCGGACTTGCTCCAGTAGTGATCAACCGTCGCCTGGCAATAAGGCATCTATCAGGTTATCACAAATCTCCTCGCGCCTCACCTCCTTACACCTCACTCGGCGCTGTACATGTTGGCCCTGCCCACCCTGTCCGACGTCGAACCACCAGTCGCCTCCGCAAGCACCTTTGTAAACACCCTGTCCAGCCTCTTCAATATCTCATCCCCATGCTGCGCAGCCTGATAGTGCAGCACGATCCGTCCCCCAAAGAGCCGTAGCCCAGCCTCCTCGCCAGCCTGGACAAATTGCTTCACCTCGATACCGGCCGCGTCCAGATCAAGCCAGCACATGTTGGTATGCGACGGATGCACCAGCTTGCCCCCCCTATCCAGCCACATGGCTTCGACCTTTTTAGCCAGGTGGTGCGCCGTCCGCAACCAGCCATCACTTCCATCGCCCTTTGTTCCAAACGCCTCATCGACGGCGACCCGTGCTGCAGCCGAGATGAAGCCAGGCTGGCGGAGACCGCCGCCAATGGCCCTTCGGATCCACCGCGCGTGATGCAGGTCCTTTGTTGTGCCGACCAGCACGCTGCCGACGGGTGCGCCCAGGCCTTTGGAGAAACACATGCTGATGGTGTCAAAGAGGGCGCAGTACTCTTCCAGTGTGCCTGCGCCCGAGGCGACGGCCTCCCACAGCCTAGCGCCGTCGAGGTGCATCTTGATGCCGTGCTCGCGCGCAAACGTAGAGATCCGTCGTGCCTCGTCAAGAGGCAAGATCATGCCATTGAGTGTATTCTCCAGACTGATCACCCTCGTGGGGCAGGTGTGAATGTCGTCGCCGAGGACGACTTGCGGCTTGATGTCCTCTAGGGTCAGATGGATGCCATTCTTGGGCACGAGAGGCGTGGGCATGGCGCCCGTCAGGAAGGAGAGTCTGTACTCAGCGTCAGTGGGTAATCTTCCACGTGAGTATCGTGTGTGACGTACCCGCCAGCCTCGTACAGCACAATATGTGATCGATGATCGCACAGGACGCCGTGGGGAGGCTGTGTGAGAAGTGTCCTCAGCGCAAGCTGGTTACCCATGATGCCAGAGTTGACGAACAGCCCGGCTTCCTTGCCTGTCAAGGAGGCAATGTGGGCTTCGAGGTCACTTGTCGTGGGATCCTCCCGCTCAACGTCATCGAGGAGTGTACACTCTTTTATGGCCTTGAGCATGGATGCCGTAGGCGTGGTCATGGTGTCACCTTTTCGAGTCAGATACGTATGTCTCCTCTCATGGGTTTGAACTCACTTCGGAGGTCAAACGCCCCAGGGCCTTGGGCTCCGATCCACGCATTGTGTACTTTAGATTCGTCTGGTTTGCCCGACATGGTAGATAATCGCGGACGGCTTGTTGAGAATGTGCGACGACATTGTGATAGAGTGGCTTCTGGCCGTCTTATTTGTAGGCATGGTCGACTGCGTGCCAGCCTGCTAGCACTGAGAGACAGACTCATGATGCCTTGCGGATGATCAGGGGTTTAGAATGGAATAGCAGTATACATCAGAGCTAATGATGATGTCGAGAGCTCGTGCGATTGGCCGAATTACGAAAGGAGTAGCATTGTGGTTGTCCGTCATGTCATGTAATAGGTAGGTTCACAGGGCGCGCGAAAAGGCGCACGCGCTCGTGCAGTGCCGTAGACGACGAGTAGCCGCGAGACTACCTTACCCTGGACATGTAGTAGCTTTCATAGAACCCGTGGAAATGCGGCGCTATCAACGTTCCTGTGAGATTGATCAAAAGTTGATCCCATTGTTTTTGACGACTTCTAAACTTTGAATAGTCGGCTAGTTATGACTATCCTCTACGTTGTTCAAATGTTTGCTTAAAATAGGTATCTGTTTGACCTCCAGCAGTCACGCTTGTACCATGCAGACTGCAGCCAACATGAAGTGAGCTGTATGTCTGTACTTACTAACTCTTCTCCAGATGTTCATTTGACCCTTCAACACCATCTGGCAGTATCAAATCTTACACACGCTAATAGGGGAGTTCACTCGATCATTCCCTCGACATCAACCCCTTCGTGTCAGTGCCTAGCGTGTGCCCCTCTCATCAAACATCCCGTTCCAGCGCACCGATTCGTCCCCAAGAGCCCACCAACAACCAGTCAACGATGCCCATTGATCCAAGAGCCCAAGCCTAATAATTAGTTCCTGTCTAATGAACATGTATATATATCCAGTGGCTTTTCCTACCACATTTGCCCTTGAGCTCCCTACATCACGAGACTTCCCGTCATGACCGAGACCGGACAGTCAGCCGTCCCAGGGAACCCAAACCAACCCCCCTCACCTGCGTGATGCGTTGGCAGCCTTTTCGCCTGGGCTTCACTACAGTGCCCTCGGGTCCTTGATTTGCTGCCAACACCCCTCCGTACGCTCCGCACCCCCTGCGCTCGTCCAATCCGTGCACACGGAGCCGTCAGAGACGCTGACGGGGGAGATTCCGGGGGTGCAGGCACAGGGCTGCGGTGCGGTGCGGTGCTTTGCCAGCGCATCAAGTGTGGTCTGTGTGCTCTGCGCCAGAACGTCAAGAACCCCTTCAAGTCCACGACGCTGCTTGCTTCAGTGTGAACTTTGCCTTCTGGAAACTGCCCGAATGCTAATGCCGCTCTCTTGTAGCAAGTCAATGCCAATGGCGCAAAGCTCACAAGACTTCACACTTCGACTGCCCGAGCCCGGGCGCATCGATCGTACCATAGCAACGATGGCAACAAGCCAAATCCCCCGTCGAGGTCATAAGTCATCAGTCATTTGTCCGCTACCTATCCGAAGCTATGCTGCCGCATACAGAAAATAAGACGATACGGTGCACCCAAGGGAATTCCATGTGTTCGTCCCGGCCCCGAGGCCATGCCGCATGCGTTGCGGCCTCTTTTCGCTCTGCTCTCCCTCTCCAGATCCGCGCCGCCATACACAATCTCAGACATTGGACAGGGGGAGCTACCGTGCGTGGGCGCGCGAGCGCTCTCTCACCGGTTGGCATACTTCATCAGGAATTGCACAACGGCATCGAGGTTCGTCTCCTCCTTGGCACTGATGCCGTAGCAGCACACCTCGCGATCCCGGATGCTCTTGAGATCCAGCTCGTCTATCAGCTCGTCAACCGACATCCTCTGCGGGAGATCCGACTTGTTCCCCAGCACCAGCAGCGGGATCTCTAGCAGGGTCTGGTTGCTCATCAGCGCGTGGAGCTCCTCCTTGGCTTGCGGGATCAGTTCGGGCTCCGCAATGTCTACGATGAAGACGATGGCGTTCACCCCGCGACAGTACCGCTCCCACATGTTCCTGAACCGCGGCTGGCCGCCAATGTCCCAGCATTTCAGTGTAACATGCCCGCGTTGCACGCGCTTCATGTTGAAGCCAACAGTTGGGATCGAGCTACACGGCACTGCGCGTTAGCGTCCGTTCGAATGTCGGCGGCCGAGGGCGAGGGCGAGGGAACTTACTCGAGAGTGAACTCTCCTCCCTGGTATCGGTGAGTATTAGCACATGCACTGCTGGCGGCTCGAGCCGGGGAACGGTGGGGAAACCTACAGCGAGGACACGCAGCAGTGATGTCTTTCCGGCATTCTGCAACCCCACCATTGTCACTTCCATCTCCAAGGCCCTGGGGAAAAGAGCTACTGTCAGCACCGTCGACGAGCATGCGAGCGCACATGCGAGAGATCTCCCCCAACAAGCGACCGAGCGGGCTTACCAGAAGGTCCTCATCAACCAGTCGTACACCTTGCGAAATAAGCCTGCCATGGCGACGGTCGAATGTGGGCAACGAGCTGTGCGCGAGCGGGCTGGGATGGAAGGAAAAGGTGTCTTTCAGCGCAGCGGCCGTGTACAGGTCTGGATTGACTCTGCCTACTCCTGCAGGACCGCCGCGATTATTCTTCGACGTCGGACGAGCTCGGCAGTTGCGATGCGGCCAAAGAGGGCGACGGCGAGGGAGGGACGTTTGTGCGACACAACAGCGAAGAAAGGCCTAGGCCGGAATAGAAGGTGGGCGAGATTAGAAGACGTAGGCGGATGGATGATTTCCCTTCCAACGGAGATCGGTAGGTGAAAGAAAGGCTGGCCAGGCGCCAGGCTGCGGTAAGTTGAGCGGTAAGCGACGCGGTGACGACGGATCAAACCGATAAGGCGATGGGTGGACGAAGCGACGGGTGTTGCGCGCGTAGAGAGGACTGGACTGGACTGGACTGTGCTGCAACTGCTGCTACCACTGCTGCTGCTGCTGTTTGTGAGCCCACGGCACGGGTCATGGACGCAGACGTTGATGTACAAACGAGGGTCGAGCTGGGCTCGGGCTCGGGCGGGCTGCTAACGTTAGCAGCCAGACAGACTGGACGTTGACTGGGACATGAGGGGCACCGCTCAATCCAGAGGCAGTCCGTCCATCCCATGCGTGAATGGATGGATTGGATGTTGGTCCGCCGGGCGGTCATGAGGTGCACGTACCACCACTTGCAGCCACAGCCGCAGCCCACTTGGGGCCCTTGAGGCATCTCCCAGTGGAGGGCCCCCGCTGTAGAAGCGCGGCCTTGGGTGGCCCCAGGCGCCTGGCTCAGTGGCCCTAGCAAGTGCCTTAGGCGGACAACCCCACCCTGAGGTGGCTTGACGGCTGCCGTCCAAGTGGAAGTACCCGGTATCAAAGCAGCTTGTCTGTACAGACCTTGAATGCATCTCCGTCTGCGATGCCCCCATACTATGATACCTTAGCCTGAGACATCATGCCACCGTGAACACTGGGAAATCAGGAACAGTGAGGGGTGTCGTGAGCCCTACCTTGTGGTGGGTTGTCAACACTGGAAGTTAGCACCATTACACCTGCTCTGCTCTTGCCTCGCCCACCACAAGGCAGCGTCTTCCCATCCATGTCGTCAGAGCAGAGGGGTTACACCCCAAACGCGGAGGGACCAGCCGTGCCTCGCTCAGCGTCAGGCTGCTGCTGGCAAAGGTCACGTTAGCGGTTATCGTACACGAGTATCGACCCTCCCCCAAGGGGCACAGTAGGCCATCCAGCGTCCCGCAGCGTTGCAGTCAAACCCGGTTGGGGCGAGTCACCAGATCGGTCTTGCATATCGACGTCGAAAGCTTGAGCCAATGCTACAGTGTCGGGTCCCTCCATTGGCAGCAAATGGCTGACCGGCCCAAGAAGAACCAGCCAGGGGTTTGGCACGTACGGTTCATCAGTGACGGCGTGATCGAGGGCAGGACTCGAATCAAAAGACCTGGAGTGAACACCTGCAGGGACTGTACTCGCTGCTGCAGCCAGCAATGTACGAAATCCGATGCTCTCCACCACGCTGGAAGCGCCTCCCCCTCCTCCAAGCAAGATCGTCGAGCCAGATACAAGTCGTGCACTCTGTGGTCAAGCCATGAATGATGCAGAAAGGGACTGCGCATGGCGGCTGGAAGGCGGTTAAGAGAGCTGCGACTCGTCCAGAAGCGGCACAAGGCCATTGAAACACCGGGCTCCAGAGGCATTCTCGGTGAGGGTATGGATATTCATTGCTCAGGAGGGCAGAATGGATGTGACGACTATTATTATAGGCGAAACGCCCAAGTCGTCGAGCGCTTCGGCAGATGCAGGCAAGCGTCCGCGGGTCTGACTAACGTTAGTTGCATGTCGCCGAACCCTCTTGGTACAGAATTGGGCTGAGGCAAAGTCTTTGCTTGGATTCCTTTTCACAAGAACTGTTCAACAAGTCCAGCCTTATGATTCTCTTCATGCGGGTTCGCGCAGGTTGCAGCTCGAGACCGACGCCTGCGTCACCCGGGAATGGCTTGGTTGATGGCGGGCCAACACGGCCAGCCCCACGTCTATCGATAAAAGCCCCTTATCTTATCGTGTCAGCCTTCGATTTTTTTTTCTCAGCGCCGGCGGCATTCCAGATGGAGCATTTCCAACCTGAGCCGACTTGAGGATATCACTCTGCCAGCATAACCCTCTGTCGCATGCGACTGGCTGATAGCGCTGGAGAAGAAGTCGCACATTTCTCATTGATGTCACCAGCGTGAAGAGCATCACAGACGCCGGCCAGCGACGGGCCTCATCCTCACAATGGCACCCGCAGCCACAGAGACCGAGTGGAACCACGAATACAACACATTGCGCAGGGAAAACCTCTTCCGCAACCCTCCCAAAGACCACTCGGCGTATCCTGCCCTTCAGCTTGCCGTCAACCCTCACATCGAGTCCTTCGACCGCCTGTTCCGCGACGATGGCAAGCCAGGGCTCATCGCCCATGGTCTAGCCGACATTGGCACCAAGACCTACCTCGATGGCGACGAGAGGGCCGCCCCGGACGGCAAGAATGTCTTGACGATTCGGATCAAGGATGTGAACCTTCAGAAGCCTCAATTGCCGCCCTCAAACAAAAAGGCGAAGCGGCGCGAGATTCTCCCAGCAGAGTGCCGAGAGCGCCATGCGTCGTATCGAGGTCGACTTTCGGCAACGTTGGAGTACAGGATCAATGGGGGCGATCCCGTTGAGTTCTCGAGAGACCTTGGCCTTGTTCCAATCATGTTGAAGGTATGACTATACCGTGTGGAATGGATCAGAAAGGCGATAGCTGACCCGCCCTGCAGTCAAACCGGTGCCATCTCCAGAATAACTCGCCGAGCCAGCTTGTCGAAAACAAGGAGGAGTCGGAAGAGCTGGGCGGCTACTTCATCGTCAACGGTAACGAGAAGATCATCCGAATGCTGCAGCTCAACAAGAGGAACTTCCCCATGGCGATCTACCGACCGAGTTTCCAGAACCGAGGTCTCGGATACACACCGTATGGTATCATCATGCGCTCTGTGCGGCCCGACGAGACTTCGCAAACAAACGTTCTTCACTATCTCAGCGACGGAAACATGACCTTTAGGTTTTCGTGGCGCAAGGCCGAGTACCTCGTGCCCGTGATGATGATCCTCAAGGCGCTCGTCGACACCAACGATCGCGAGATTTACGAGGGCCTCATCGGTCCTGCCGGATCCAAATCTACAGAGAACACGTTCATGACCGACCGTGTCGAGCTTCTGCTGCGCACATACAAGACGCACCAGCTGTACACAAAGTCCGAGACCAGGGCGTTCCTCGGCGAGAAATTCAGGCCCGTGCTTGGTGTGCCTGAGAACATGGACAACTACGAGGTGGGAACCGAGTTCCTCAGGCGCGTTGTTCTCGTGCATCTCGGCAACGTGGATGTCACCCCTGAGCAGAACAACGACAAATTCAGCATGCTGCTCTTCATGATGCGCAAGCTGTACGCCCTGGTCGCTGGCGAGTGCGCCGTGGACAACCCCGATGCGATCCAGCACCAGGAGATCCTGCTCGGTGGCTTCCTCTACGGCCAGATCCTCAAGGAGAGGCTGGACGAGTACCTGGGCGTCAATGTACGCGCGGTTCTCCGGGATTACTTCAGGCGCAACCCCGCGGTCAGCTTCACATCCGAAGACTTCAAAAAGGATTTCCCGAACAAGATTTTCCAGAAGACATCGGAGAATGTCGGCAACGCGTTGGAATACTTCCTCTCGACCGGTAACTTGACCAGTCCCTCTGGTCTTGATCTCCAGCAGACTGCCGGTTTCACTGTCGTTGCGGAGAAGCTCAACTTTCTGCGCTTCATCAGTCATTTCCGCATGGTGCATCGTGGTGCCTTCTTTGCGCAACTCAAGACCACCGCTGTGCGAAAGCTTCTGCCAGAGTCGTGGGGTTTCATGTGTCCTGTACACACGCCCGATGGTGCTCCCTGCGGTCTGCTGAACCACTTGGCGCACAAGTGCAAAATTATGACGGATTCCATCGACGTGTCCAAGCTTGCGGGCTTGGCCGCCGAGATGGGTTTGAGCAGTGTCTCTGAGGCTTCGACGGCCGTCAGCGTGCCCGTAGCCCTCGACGGCAAGCTGCTGGGCTTCTGCTCCCCCAAGGAGGCACTCAGGATAGCCGACTGCTTCCGCTACTGGAAGGTGGAAGGGACCCACGGCGTGCCTCTTCACCTTGAGGTCGGGTACGTGCCTCCATCCAACGGCGGTTCGTACCCTGGTGTCTACATGACCTCGACACCCGCTCGCATGGTCCGTCCCGTCAAGTATCTACCGCTGCAGAAGGAGGATTATGTCGGTCCCTACGAACAGCCTCACATGTCGATTGCCGTTGTGCCCCAGGAAATCGAGTCTGGCCGCTCCACCCACGTCGAGTTCAGCCCTACCAACATGCTCTCCATCCTCGCCAACATGACCCCCTTCTCCAACTTCAACCAGTCCCCCCGTAACATGTACCAGTGTCAGATGGGTAAGCAAACCATGGGTACGCCTGGAACAGCCATCGCCCACCGCACCGACAACAAGTCCTACCGCATCCAAACCGGACAGACGCCGATCGTCCGCGCGCCTCTGCACAATACATATGGTTTCGACAACTTCCCCAACGGCATGAACGCCGTCGTGGCCGTCATCTCCTACACTGGGTACGACATGGACGACGCCATGATTCTAAACAAGTCGGCCCACGAGCGTGGCTTTGGTCACGGCACCATCTACAAGACCAAGAAGATCTCCCTCAAGGACGACTCGCGCACAAGGGTCACCAAGAGCGTCACCAAGGCCTTTGGCTTTGCCCCCCATAGCCACATCCCGGCCTCGCACCAAGGCATGCTCGACGACGACGGTCTTCCCCACGTCGGCCGTCTCGTGTCAGAGGGCGACATTATCTGCGCATGGCACACCGTGACGCCCGACTACAACGGCAACCTCATCAACCTCGACGGCGTGACGCACTACGAGAAGTACAAGGACTCCGAGACGGGATTCGTCGATGAGGTGCGCTTGATCGGCGCCGAGACGGGCAACGAGCCTCTGCAGAGCATCTCCCTGAAGCTGCGCGTGCCCCGATCTCCCATTATTGGTGACAAGTTCTCCTCGCGTCACGGTCAGAAGGGTGTCTGCTCGCAAAAGTGGCCTGCCATCGACATGCCCTTCTCCGAATCAGGGATGCAGCCCGACATTATCATCAACCCCCACGCGTTCCCCTCTCGAATGACCATTGGCATGTTTGTCGAGTCGTTGGCTGGCAAGGCCGGTGCCCTGCACGGACTCGCGCAGGACTCGACGCCCTTCAAGTTCGATGAGAAGAACACGGCTGGCGAGTACTTTGGTCACCAGCTGATGAAGGCTGGCTACAACTACCACGGCAACGAGCCCATGTACTCGGGCATCACTGGCGAGGAGCTGGGCGCCGACATCTACGTCGGTCTCGTCTACTACCAGCGTCTGCGTCACATGGTCAACGACAAGTACCAGGTCCGAACGACAGGTCCCGTGGTGCCCACGACCGGCCAGCCCATCAAGGGTCGTAAGCGTGGTGGTGGTATCCGTGTCGGAGAGATGGAGCGTGACGCCCTGCTCGCGCATGGCACGGCGTTCCTGCTGCAGGATCGTCTGCTCAACTGCTCGGATTACTCCAAATCGTGGATGTGCCGTCGCTGCGGATCCTTCCTGTCCGTGCAGCCCACCGTGTCGCAATTCGCGACGGGCAAGAAGAAGGCGCCGCAGGTCGTGAGGTGTCGCGGGTGCGCGACCAAGTTGGACGACGCGGAGGGTATCGACCTGACGGAGATTCAGGGTGAGATCTGGGAGGATGGCCAAGGGAACTCGTGGGTCGGTGGTGACCAGACCACGCAGGTGGTTGTCCCCGGTGCGCTCAAGTTCTTGGACGTGGAGCTCGCCGCGATGGGCGTCAAGCTCAAGTACCGCGTCGGCAAGGCCGATGAGCCTCGCAAGGGTCCGATGCGGCCAATTGCCGTGGGTGCATGATGTGGTTCCCCATCTCAGTTAGGTCTAGGCGTACTTGGCGTTGCATACTGTTGTTTTGGAATTAGGTCCACGCAGAGGTAGACGGTGTACATACCTGTATTGAAGTTCATGATAGCAAAACAAGCCTGCGATAGGGTCATGTTCGAGATCGGTTTCGAAACAATTTGTCGTCGGCAACAGAAACAATGGCCTGTTTACTAGGCTGGTTAGTCTACAGCCTAATGTGGGACGTTCACGCAATAGGAAGGACGCCAAGGACGGTTGTGACATTCCAATCCTTATGCAGGGTCTCTCTCCTCCGCCAGCCTCTCCGCGTTGGAGACTTGGCCTACTTCATGCCACGGCGAAGGATCAAACGAGAATGCATTTGATACATCAATGACAAGCTCGTTGCCAGCCCGCAACGTTGCAAACTCGTACATTTTGGCAGGGATGAGCCGATCCTACGCATCCAGATGCATTGATGGATGACGCCAGCGTCAGCGGTGATGTCCCCCTATTCGACGCAGAATGTTTCGAAAGCTTCGAAATGGACAGAAATTCGGCCGAATCAACCCAGACGGACAAGAAGCGCTGCGCAGATACGCCCCTGAATAGACCATCATGCGAGGATTCATCGCAGAGGGATTCCAGCGCCAAGACGGCGCTCAGCAACGTTGCTCGGTATTCTAGTACTATATAGTTGGCCTATGTCCATGGACTATTGCAAGTAGACAAGAATCGCAAGAAGCTGTTCACAACATATCTCGGACTTCACTATGTATATCCCACGAGCTCTCATCGTCGCCTTCTTGGCGCCCGTCTGCACCAGTGCTTTGGCCACGCCCAACACAGTCAAACGATCCGCCGCTGCTGAAGTCGAGAATGGTAAATTCATCGTCGACCGGCAGGCCGAGTTCGCCAACCACCAGTCCTGGACCTTTGACGGAAGTGGTATCCCTGAGGGACTTAAAGTCAGCACGTATCCCGTCAACGACCAACGAGGCTTCTACGCGGAGAACGCCGTCGTACGGAACGGGTACCTCGAGCTCATCCAGTCGGCGGGCCCAGACTTTCCTTACCGTGGGGGTGAGGTCGTCACATCTGTGAAGAACATCAAGTATGCCAGTGTGCGTACAGTCGCCATCCTCACGGATACATATGGCACCTGCAATGGTACGTGATCACACGAGCTCGTGATATACATCCAGCTCTCCGTCCGTGCGTGTAGTTGCTAACACCAGAGCCTAGGCATGTTCTTCTACCAGTCGAACACGCAAGAGACAGACATTGAGTGGCTCTCTGACCCCAACAACCTCTCGAATCAGGGCACCCGCAAGCTCTGGCTCACCAACCAGGACACCAACGGCGACGGCAAGACGTACCTTGCCATCGATCCGCCCGCCAACCCTACTACCACCGAGCACGAGTACCGCATCGACTGGACGGAAGGTCGTGTAGCTTGGTTCGTCGACGGCGAGCAGGTGTGGGAGACAAACAAGGATGTGCCCAGTGTTCCAGGTCCCTGGATCTGGAACAACTGGTCCAACGGCGACATTGGCTGGAGTGCCGGTCCTCCCACTCAAGATGCTGTCTTCAAGGTTCGGTCCATCGACATGTACTATAACACTGCTTGAGCGGGTCTTGTGGTCTGTTGTTGGCGGGACTCCTGTACATTTTGAACATGAACGTACACAGATCTTTTGGATATTCCAATCACTTAGCTTCTTGGATCAGTTTAGATATATACGCCACAGTATACAGGAGAAGGTGTCTCCTCCAAAATATGCGGCCGTCTGCTGGTATAGTTTTGCAGTCACAATCACTGTTGGCAAGTCAGATCACCACTGAAGATCAACTGTGAGACATATCTGGAAGTCTATTCCACCATTTCCTCTGACTTTCTACCCCAAACAGATATTAAGCATGTTCAAGTACTATAGTCACAGGATCTGGCGACTTCTTATTAAACTTTAGCTCTGTTAGAATGAGCCAGCACCGGACATTATGAACTTGTATGTAAGTACGCCTTCTGGTGCTCTCTCGTCAATGTATGTATGTACTTTGTCGTCTCCAATTTACGTACACAGGCGGAGAGCCTAGGCGGCTACCACTTACTGATATCACCATTGCTTTGTGTAACCTCGCCTATTCAGCTTGCCCCTTTTGGCATTTGGTCTCGGGGGTGACGAGCACAGCAACTACAAACACGTTTCAAACACGATAACATGGACATCCGATCCGAAACACAGTCGTGAGATCTATTCCTTCATAAGCCGTCAAAGCAGGTCCTTCTACCGTGAACGCCCCCGACGCCCCACGATCATAACATTCCAACGAACCACCCCAGGCTGACATGATATGTACCGTCAGCCCTTTCCATGCATAGTCATTACCACCAACTTGCGTGAGCCTCGCATACACTCTCGCGCACGCGAGAAAGTATGCCGCGTCTAAACAGGGAGTGTACTCCCACGAGCAACCAGCGAGCTCTGCTCTCGCGCCCTTCAAAACGTAGTGTGCCTCCAAACTGAGCTGGACTTGCTCTCATGGCTTTTGATCGCCCGCCACTTGTGCTTGCGAAGCCATCTCGCGTCCGTAGAACTCTACCAGCATGGTAGCGTAGGCCTCCAGTTCCTCGACAGGGATCGCGAGTCGGAAGTCGTTCAATATTAGGAATTGTAGCTCCAGATGATTGAGCTCGGCAAGTGGGAGGCCACCGACCTAAACTGTTAGTATGAGAGCCACTCGTGCGCAGCTGGAAGAGTCTTACCTTAGCGTATCGGGAATTTGTATAAAATACATCCGAGAAGAACTTGCTTGAGCATGTGACGCCCGCAATCATCAACCGATGTATGTTGAAGCTGTCCACAACAAAATATGTTGAAGGGCCATGTCCCAGGGCAGGCACGCCCTCCAGGGCTGGTGTCGAGGCAGCCTTTTCCATATCGTCATCGTCATCCGCAAGGTCGGAATCGGTTTCGTCGCCCGCTTGGGGCTCCCGCACGGGCGTGGCAACCTGGGGATGCTGGAGGCTCACCCCTGATTTCTTTGACTGTGCCTGCGCCATTGCGCTCCGCCCCGCTTCCTCGCTCTTGGCCACCATGTCGTTGACCCGCTCAGTCATGCGATCAAAGTATACGAGTAAACTGAGAAAGACCTCGAATGTGGTAGGACAGTACTTGTGGATGCGAGCGAGATAGCTCAGAATTGTTATTCCCGGCACGTTCTTTCCGTGGAAGGCCAGGACAGAGTGGCTTAGAGGGCTAGACGAGCCCCCGGGCGAATCGCTTGACTGATTGGCTTGCTGCTGGTGTGTCACGTTACGCTGCATGGCGTCGTGTTGCTGGTCGTTTGTCGACGTGATCTTGGTGAGAAGGGCCGCCACCATCTCGATGATATCGTCCACGGGCATCGCACTGATATCGTACTTTGTCTGCTCTAAGGGGTGTTCGTCGGCGCCGGAGCTGGTAAACGTATTCGAGGCGGCGAGCGCTTTGACATGAGCAAGATCGCGCACGTGAACGACGGTGGACCTCATCGCGGGCGGCGAGTTGTCTGAGGAAGAGAGTGGGGGGTTGGACGCAGCTGGCGAGAGCTGCTGCCACGGAGGCTGCGGCGAAGATGTCTCTGCGACTGCTGTGGTCGACATGGTGGAGTCCATGGGCACTTTCTTGGCATCGTCGGCGGGAAGCACGGGAGACGCGTGGGCTGGAGAGGAGGATGAGGGTGGCGAGGGCAGGCGCGAGGCCGCAGAGTCGTCTTTCGTGTGTGATCGTGACGCAGATCGCTGTGGCTGTTGAGGTTCGTGGATATGTGTATAAGAGTGAGGGTGGTGGTGTTGTATAGACGGGTTCGCGATCATAGCGTGGAATCGCGAGGGTTGAGTGATGTAGTCGTTCAGTACAGCTGCCATAGCATTGAGGTAGGTGATGAGGTGGAGGTGCGGGTCTGGGTGTGTGGTTGTCGATGGTATTGTCGGCACGTATAATCGCTTAGCTGACTGCGATGATTTCTGGGCCAAGCGAGGGCAGATTTATTAGGTATGGTGTGTGTTGAGGCGTTTCAGCAGGCCGGTTGTGATGTTGGTCGTCGAGTGGTTCGGGAGATAACGTCGTACTTGGCTGAGGACGAGGGGCAAGACGTAATGCGGGCGAGGCCTCACGAGTGAAATGTTGCTACACAATCAATGACTGAACGCGCAAAAGAACAGGTCAAAAGAAATAGGAGAAGAAAGTATCGCAATGCAATGCCGTGTGCTGGGTATCTCTGGGGCACTGCGATGTTGTCGTGGCCGTTGCTCTGCTGTTGTTTGGGTTGGGATTGGGATTGGGATTGGGATTAGGACGAGCCGGACTGGTGGATGCAGGGCGGCGGCGGGCACGGGCAGGGAAAAGACGGTGATGGAGTAGGTGGCAGTGACAGGCTTGGGGCTCCACTCCCACCTACACTGGCACTGCAAGTTGGAGGCCCCGAACGCATCGATTCTGCCAGATGTGGTAGCAGATGCCGACAAATTCTCGGAGTCGGGACTGCCTTTTGCCTCACCAACTTTGGCGATTCATCAAGGACTGGAAGGCTGCCATGCTGCTCAGACAAAGCAGAACAAACCCCCATGCACGGTGACGGCGATGATGGTGATGAGCGCCCATTCCATGCGGATGCACTGGTCAACTGGCCTCGCCCACGTCATCGGCTTCAAGTTGGCTGGCAACGGCGGGCCAGTTGGTCCATTCCAGCGTGCTCACATAGGTATTCAGGGTCAAAGACGAGGTGAGATAAATGCTGGACTTACACAAAAATGCCCAGAGGACTGCCATTCGGCGACGTCCAATTTCGCTTCGAATCGCACTGGATCTCTTGTCGGCCGTCGCAGCCAAAGGCTAGCCCCGAAGCTCCAAGATAAAATGCAAGCGTTCGAGACCTCAGCTCCGAGCCTCCAACAGAATTTCAGGGTTCAGGGACTCGAGCTGTAGCGTCGGCGACCTAAGATAGCCGCGCCCGGATCCAGTAACCCTGCACCGGTTGGCTTATTCTTTGACGACTCGCGTCTGTTTCTTGAAGCCTGTGTCGCGCGCTCTTCACCAGCTCCCTGACGTCGGCTCCTTGGGTGGGGGATGTTTCCGTGGCAAACCCCTCAGCGCCAGTTGCGCCGGTCTCGAGCCACTTCTGGTGTTGCGCCCAATTCTTGCGCGCTGCGAAGCTATGAGACGCGGCGAAAAGAGGAAGAAAAGGATCAAGAACAAGTGTTTGCAATTCAAGAAGCGTCGCCTCCGCATATTTCTATGCCAGCTGCAGTCCAGTCGCTCTTGCCTTGCCAATCCCCCCGATAGACCCGTTATCGGTCTGGGTAGCTTAGCAGCCAAGGCCCTGCCCACGTGGGCCGCCTAGTGGTCCTGATACTGGAGATGCATGCCTCCATCGTTGATCGCACGCAAGAAGCGATGCGACGCATGTCTTTTGCTTCTACACGTTCACCGATAGTTTCAGGAGATCTTTCAAGGTCAAGGTCAACTCGCTAGCGGTGAGTGCTCAAGAACGTGGCCGGCAGAATTCTCCATGTCCTCTCCGAAGGCACGCGGCGGACGGATAGGCAATTGGTAACGCAAGTCATGAAACTCAAAGTAACCACGTTGGCGTAGACACGCCTTCTCATACGATCCTGCAAAAGGCACATGCGCAGCAGTGACACGTCAGAGCCACGACTTTCAGCTCTTTTTCTGATTGATGCTGCTCTATGATGGAAGACGCGCATGGTTGTCCATCCCCTTACATTTTCTGGGGCTTGTCATCCGTCGGCTTGCTGTAGTCGTCGTCTGGCGTGAACAACCATCTCTCGACGCCTCGCGCCGTCAACACCGCCAGACGGATGACGCCACCAGAGCTGCCGTCATTCCTGATCGCCTCCCGCACGCTCTCCTTCACGTATTGGATGGCCTCCTTCTCCTCCATGTTCTCTCTCCAGTTCCTGTAGCAAAGCGCCCGGATGTAGGTCGAACCCGAACCGCTAATCGCCCATGGCTCCTTGTGCAATGATCCGCCAAGGGGTACCTGGTATACCTCGCCGCCGTATCGTGGGTGCCAGCCGGCAACAAGAAGCCCCGCCCTAAGTTTGTCAGAATATCTGCTCTTGGAATTGGGAGGCTATACCCACGAGAGCATGTCCTTGTTTGCATAGCAGATCTCCGCCAGGATACTCGCTGCTTGTCCGGTCGTAGCTCGCTCGCCGTGGTGCACCGCATGCTGGTCGAGATGGCGCTTCACAATGTCTGCCACAGCCTGCGTGTCGGCGGCTGATCCTGAGCGGCAGCACCAGATGTTGTCGTCGATCATTGTGAGCTTGTCTGTCACGCGGTTGGCGATGACGGGTCCTGTGGTTGTGCGGGAATCGGCGCCTAGTCTGTCAGCATAGGCCGGTTTCGAGGATCTTCCCTGGCATACCTAGAATGACACCGTCCTTGAAGGTAACTGCCATGCTATCATCCTATTAGAACATCGGCCGTGCTGGGAATCGGTGGGACGAACATTGTGGTACCCAAGCTGCAAGATGTTAGCGAACCGACTCAACGTGGAAACGAGTCCAGGAGCAATTACTCAACCTCGCCCGCCTTGAGGGCCTGCATATCAACGTGAATGCCATCTGAGCAGCCCGTTAGAAAGTGATCGTAGGTACTGCCCGCAGCTGGACTTGCCTGCGTTCAGCACGCCTGCGCTGCGACCATAGGCCATGATTGCGGTTCGTGTCGGGACTCGGGAATCTTTCGTTCGTCTGCACAGGTCCGGGGTTGTGGCAAGCTCGCTGTTCGTCAATGTAGAGAGAATGTCGTATGCTTCGTGGGGTTGTAGCTCGGGTTTGGGTCGATGATGGAGCTCAGGCAGCTCCTCGACGCGCAGGCCCGCCGCATGACATCAGTCACGTGATGAGCTGTGCAACAAACATGTCCGGCGCATGAACGGGCTGGCCAAGATTTGCCCAGTACTTTCTCAAAGATCATTTTTCCATAATTAGTCTAATAGAATTTGAATGGGGTTGGCTAGGTACTTATTGTTCCAACTATCAGAGGTTGTTGGCGCAGCTTGTGCTATGGAGAACTGGCTACCCTGTTCATCTGTCTTCAAGCTTCCTTGTGAAGACGATCCACGTTGAATGATGTGAAAGCCGACTGTTGCAAATACTCCTTAACTTGCGTGTAGCATAAGCGTTTTCCACTGTGTAGTAAACTGATATTGCCACCTGCTCGAGGTGCCAAGCAGTGAAGTAGGGCCTCGTGCCGTCCAGCAACTATCAACGGAGCAAGGGTGCCCAAGAAAATCAATAATTAAAGCCGGCGTGGTGTGGTATCCAGGCCGCGTCACGCTGAAAATGATAGTAGTTATGCAAGATCATGGGACTGCCTAGTCTCTGCATGACGTTCGTAACATATACGTCGTATTTTCTAGGTGAAAATTCCAGGAACCAACTCTCTCTGCCTATGACTTTTTCTCCAGCTTCAGCTCAGTATTCTCTTGGGGCTCCTCAGGTGTCTGCCCCTCCTCGCTCTTTGCGCCCTCCTTACCTTCTTCGCCACATCCGCAGTCGTAAAAGTCGCCAATATTGTTGCAGTCGAAAATCTCCTTCTCCAATCGCTCATTCACGAGGTTGTGCGCAAAGCATAGCCACCCCGCGGCAGCGTTCCTGCTGCTCGTCTGAGGAGGGTATTCGGCAAGGAGCTGGCGGAAATGCCGCGCGCAGTCGCCACAGGGATAGAGTCGACCGAACAGATGAATGAAGGTCTCGAGAGCGGTGCGGTCGGAGGGGGTCGGGTTCTCTGGGAAGCGTGCGGCCATGGTGTGCAGGAATTTCCACGTCGCGCGGCCAAGCTCGGCCCTGTGGACAGTTAGCAAGTCAATCGGGATGCGAGCGCTGCATGTACTTACTTGAGCGTCGCATTCTCCAGCTTGGGCGCAATGCTCTCTCCTTCCAAGATGCCTGCTGGCAGGGCCTCCATATCTACCGCGAAACTTGGCTGATCAACAGCCTCAGGCACAGTCTTCAAAGGCTCAGATTCCAGAGGCTCAGACTTCAAAGGCTCGGCCTTCAGAGGCTCAGCCTGCATCTGCGAAGGTACATAGTTGGGGTCGCGGTTGTAGCCCGCATAGCCGCTGCTGGGCGACGAAGAGAAGAGATACGAGATGCTGAAAAAGACGACGAGCGCGAGGACGACTGTCAGCGCCAAGTTCGAGCGACGAGCCATGCTGAGCGCGAAAATGTAAAGACGAAGCAGAGCGCTATAATGTGAATTGTCGCAAACAAAACAGAAGGCCGTTGTGATCTAAGATGATACCATGGAGTCGCGAGAGGAGGAGGCGACGCAATCGCCCAGTCGCCTGATGAGCTGAGGTCGCAACAAGGGGTCTTGGACTCTTGGCCAAGATGGTCTGTGCCCGTAGAATTGTAAGGCGACTTAAAGTGCCCCACTGCTCAATCGGCGGGGCTGAGTTCCGGCGGCGTCGGCCGGGTTGGACCCTGAATCCCGGGCGAGGACATGTGACTGTGACGAGCATAAATATTAAAAGTGTACCTCGCCATACATCATTGCCAGTATTCGCGCTGCGTGTAAACAGAGACTGAAACCTGAGTCTATGTGCGAGGGTGTCGCGATGCTTATGACATGGTCAGACACCATGATTAGTACTAAAAGGGTCAGGAAGTCAATTGATTAAATTCATGTGTACGACACGACTGAAGGAAAGCCATACAAAACACACCGGCCCAATTAGAATGTTGGGAGAGGGAAGTTGACATGCCTCTTTCGTGGAAGCAGACTTTGGTAGAGAAATACTTAGTCGCTTTTCTGGCGACCCTGGTCCACCTTCTCGGCGGCCCGGATCTTGTTTGTTACATCCGACATGTGTACGATAGGGGGGAGTATAAGGTCCTGAGAAACTAGTCAGATAATCTGAATGGGGCTGACGGATACAAGAGAGAGAAAACAATACCCAGATAGTCGCCCAGCCGAATGTTGAAGCCAGCCAAGTGAAAAGTGCATTTCCTCCCGCCCAGAGATGCATCTTGGGACTTGGTCGGATCGCGTTGTTAACAACAATCTCGGCATACATATCCACATCCATGGCACTTTTACCAAGCTCCGTTCCCGCCAGTGCTGGCTCGATTACATCCTTTGCTGGGTAATAGAGAGAGCTCTCGGGTAGCTTAGGTGCAGTCGCAAGGTTGTCAAAGAACTTTGTCTTCACTACACCCGTGGTGACGAGGATGGCCCGGACTCCCCAAGGCGATAACTCGAGGCGCATCTGGTCGGTCAAGATGGCGACGGCAGCTTTGCTTGCACCGTAAAAGCCCTGCCATGGTAGTGGCATGTTGCCAACCACGGAGCCAATGTTGATAATGGTTCCTTTCGCGGCAATCAGAAGCGGCGCGAATGCTTGAGTCACCGCAACGACAGCGAAATAATTGACGTCAAACATCTGCTTGGCGACAGCCATGTCCGATTCTAGCAGAGGCATGCTGTACCCTACCAAAGAGTAAGCTTTTACCAATAAACCGAATCAAATCTTCGAGACTTACCTGCACCCGAGTTGTTGACGAGGAAATCCAGGGATCCACCCGTTGCAGCCTTGACGATTGACACTGCTTTTTTGATCGACCCTTGGTCGGTGACATCTAGCTGCAGAGTCTCGAGGCCAGCATCCTTGAGGTGTTCAACTTTGGCGGGATTGCGAGCGCTTGCGAAAACCCGAAGCCCTTTCTTGTGGAAGGCTTGCGCAAGGGCATCGCCTATTCCGCCTTCACTGCAGCCTGTGATGAGAACCGTCTGTTGGACCATGTTGGCGATTGGTATTTAAAAGCTTGAATTGATGAGTTCTACGGCAAGTAGGAATCTTGGTTTGCTACGCATTTACATGTATACATATAAATCCAAGAACCGGAAGAAAGGCCATGAGCATTGCGCTTCCGTGGATTAGCAATCAGTTCGAATTAAGCTCTGGAGCTACCGTCATCGATGTAAGGCGACGCTAACTCTAATTGTTGTTCCTCAAAAGTCAATGTGACTAAGGTATTGTGGCGTCGTCAGACCGTTGAGAACACGTCTGACTGCACTGTTGTGGGAGCGTAACGGTTCGTGCGACGAGTACATTGTTATGAAGGGCAATCTCATAGCGAGCATTCAGATCGTCGGACAAAGTGTGCACCAACTTTTAGTACTGGCTCTGCCATCTGATTTTGAGCCCATCAACTATGCCAGTTCTATTCTTATCTATGGAGGCTCCACCGCTTCCGGGACCCTGACGATCTAGTTCGCCAAGCTCTGCGTCTATCTGCTCGCCCCACAATACCTCAACCTCGTCCGTATGTAGGTAGCTTTGGCACAGACGCGGTCTTCGACTACGAGCCTTGAACTATATCCATGGACGCAAGAATGAAAGAAGAACGGATAAAAAGATTGTTTTTGAACACACGTTTATGAAGTCGGTCCGAATCTTCAGTGATGAGATCATGAATTCGTTCGCTGTCAGTGGCCGAGTCAATCGGGCACGCGCGAGGCAGCACGGATAGCTTGGGCGCTATACTGGCCGGAAGGGTCTTTTCCAGCGCCCAAGGTAGCTAGTAGCCATTCTTGAAAAGCCTGATGTTACGTAGTTAGGCGGAATGATGAGTGATCATGTCGAACCTCGACTCGAGTTATTGGTGCTCAGCTGTCTGACGATGAGATGACGATGAGACGACTATCCACATCAAGCATGCGCCACGGCTGCTTGGTGAATTAGCTTATTCAACAACTTGCGTGACCGCCATGGTTCATGTTATTTGGCGTCAATTGGCTGCATCATCCACTTCGCAGAGGAAGTATATACCCTTCGCACCAGTAACCTACCCTATACTCGACTAGTGCGCCATCGTGTAACAGTCGTCAGACCTGCTGTCCCAAAAGAGGACACTGATGACCTACTGTAGAGCCGGATGGCAAGATTATCATGTTTTTCCAAAGATAAATGTCTCCTGCAGACAAATCGAGACATCTACCTGAACGCATGATGTGGACTAGCGGAATCAGAATTCCCGTCTCCAGCGGAGCCGTCACTGATCATCACTACTTACGTAGCGATCTTTGTGCAGAGGCGCCAGAGGATCGAGGGAACAAATACCCAGTAACAGCACCCGACGTGTGCGAGCGACGTGGAGGCTGAGCTGTTTCGGAGCCACATACGCCCACTGCGATCATTTATGTCAGGACATTCCACCAGATCACCTGCTCCAGCGAGTCTCAAGCAACAGGCATATGTACGCGAGCCTCGAGCGCGTACCACTTGCCTTGGCTTTGTGACACACGCGGGAATGTCAGTGGCGAGTGGCTGTCATCTGTTAGTCAGCTTCACATCACGCGTTGAGCGGTGCGCGTCGTCCGTGTCGTAGCCCAAAAGGCGGGACTGGTATGGTATGGCGGGGTGATGGACTGACGCGCGCGCGCGCAAACAGGTTTGCTTGCATTCCTAAAGATGGGCACTTCCGATGATGAAAAAGGACTTGGAGCGATGATGGAACGATTTCGACAGAGCCGCACATCGATCTACAGCTGCTCTTATAGATATGCAGAGTCAAAGCGACCTTGACGGTCACGTGCTAGGCGTTAAACGACACAGACTTTGCGGGTAGCTTTTGCACACGTGGAGGCGCTGCAGCGCTCCTGGAGCTTAATCAACACACAGTTCAACAGTGCTGGGGCGGGGAACTGCCGGTGTCTTTGCCACAAGTTAGGGGACTCCAGCTGCTCTCCCTACGGTACTTGGCGCATACTTAATCGGAAATTGTGGCGGTCGTTGATTGTTGCATCCCGTGTAGGTACGTACTCCGTAGTGTTGGTAAGGAAACGGTGGACTGAAATGAGCGCCAGATAAATCAATTGGCAGAGCTACGTACATGATTCGAGCGATTTCTCCCAACTTACCAAATGTGGTCGCTGCGGTCCTACGCAGTCGGGCACTGGCGGCACTTGGTCCTAGACTCCCAGTCCCAGCAGATCGACCCTTTCTGCCCCCAGTTGGCAGTATTTCAGCAAATCCCTCTGCCATCTGGTATAATACCGGCAACCTGGCCGGATTGTCGACGCAAATCATCAAAAGACAACCTCTGTGGTTTTTGTCGTCTTCTCTCCCCCATCGCAATCGGGCGCTAAGGTCGGACCAGTCACTTGGTGGGACAGTCTGCGACCAGCCAGCCAATGATCTGCACTGCTTGCTGCGTTTCCCCTGACACGGTGGCCCCGGTGCCGCATGGAAGCCAGAAAGGGCTGTATTTGAGGAGTACTTGACCCAAGCTGTGGGCTAGCAGCAGATAAAAAGTATATCTCTATCGCCGTTCCTGGATTGAGGCGCCGCGACTTCACACCCCACAACGCCATGATGGACCTGGACCCGCCAAAGTAATTTCCAGCCAGGGGCCGTTCAATCTCGTTTTCACCGGCAGCTACTCGTTGTAGGCTGACAGGCTGACAGGCTGGCAGCAGGCGACGAGAATCATGAGAGGCTCGCAGCAAAGACGCGCCTGGCATGAGTTGATCATATCGAGAGTCGTCTCGAGGAGGCGGCAAGAAGCAATGCTGCTAAGAAGGGGACATGAGACTTCATAGAACCGGATGCGCATCCGAATGTCTCTAGCTGACGCGTGCCCTCCATTCTTCAGCAAGTACGGAGCGCTACGTACTGTAGAACACGTTTGCGCTGATGAGCTGCATGTCTGTCTGTTGTGTTGCAACGTGTCGGTGGGCACTCGCTGCGTCGCAACTCGCAACCGCCGCCAGCCCAACTCAAATCTCCACCATCGCGGTTCTGAGCGTTCCAACCATGGGCGATTGTGAGACGAAACGAGACGGCCATTATCGAACATTGCCAATACTATCAAGCCACGGCTCTCTTCACTGAAGATGCTGAACCTGACACAGGCGTTCATGGTGGGGATTGCTAGTGCGGTGGTGAGAGCTGCAGGCTAAGAATAACTGCTCGGGATTCTGCCTGATTTATGAGGCCTCTGATCGACTCGACTACCACCTGCCCCTTGCGCCCCCCTTCACGTACACCCCCTTGTCTCTTTGTGTTTCCAACAGCCTCCTGTACGCATTCTTCTGCATTTCGGTCCTCACTTTCGCTGGCGCTCTTTGCGAGGCCTCTGTCGCTCATTTTCAACCACGGTTTCGCCACCGCCAACTGCCGTTACACTGCTGTCATCTCTCGCCTTTGCGCAGCGCTGCCTTTTGAATCTTTCCCGCTCCGTCAACTGACTGTAAGTCAATCTGCTCGTACCAGGTAGCCACTGGCCTGTAGCTACCCCTGCCCATCCTGCTCCCTCGTCCTCTCCAAAGTCAGGGCGTCCAACAGTGTCCACCTGTTTGTCACACCCTGTCCACGCCCCCGGTCGAGCCCAGTAGGCGAGCAGCGCACGCCGCACGCACGCATCCTCCCAACACATCCTCTTCTGGTCCCTCCCACTGCCGACGTCCTTCGCTCACCTTCCTTCGCTCGCTGCAACCCGACTGACAAGACAAGCTCCCTCCTCCAGGCGACGTCGTTTCCTTCACTTTCAACCAGCGCCCACCGCGCGTGCGATTGTCTTATGCCGCGGATCATCGACTGGTTTTCGAGCGTTTCCCATTGACACGATTGGATGAAATCGAGTTCCGTCTCATTCGACCGTTCAACGCCTCGCTCACACAAGACCACGATTCCGACTTGCTTATTGCTCTGACGATTTGCCCGACGGCGTGATTGCTTTTCTCCCTCGACGAATTTCGTCAAGTCGCTCTTTTCACACATATATCCCGTACATATCGTACAAGTAAGTGGAAGCTGCGCCTACCGTGCTTGTGGACGACTTTGCTGACGTATCGTCACTAGACAACATTCGTTACAAGACCTCAGGTCTACATACATTCGTTCTACAAATTGAACATACAGTAAGGGAGCTTGTCAGCTTGTATGAGTCTGCTCACTGACAAGGGCAGTACAACGCGCAAAGCGTCAACGACACTCGCTTATACATAACTACTACAAAATGCAGACGAAATCATGGGCGCTGGCTACGGCCCTTGCCCTCACTTTGTCGGGAGTCTCCGCCGAGAAGCCTCGTATCTACTTTCCGCGTCAGGTCCAGCGCCAGTTCGACAATGCCACCAGCAGCGCTGAGCCTATCACAACCCGCGGCGGCCTCCTCGACCCCCTTTTGGATCCTGTCCTGGGTGGTGGCGACTCGACAACAACCGACGATGCGACTCAGACCGACAACGGAGATGATGGCATCCTGATCGGACCAACTGGCATCATCAACCTCCCGGGGCTCATTGGCGACGAGACCACATCATCGACACCCACGCGCAGTCCCACTGTGGCCAAGACATCTTCAGATGTGAAGGACGACAAGACCAGCGTGACAAAGACTGCCGACACGTCTGATTCCACCAAGGAAGACACCGTGAGCGAGAAGACAGCGGAACCCACGTCCACCAAGGACGGCCTTCTCGACCCTATCCTGGACCCCATTCTTGGCTCCGAGTCGACGACGCAGACGAGCGCCACCGGGTCAGGAGAGTCTTCCGGAACCGTCACAGCTGAGCCGACGGCAACTGCGACAAGTGACGAGGACAAGGTGACGGAGGCCTCTTCTTCCACCGAGGGCGGCCTGCTCGACCCCGTCCAAACATTGATCAGCGACATTGTGGGACCTGGCGATTCTTCCACTACCGTTGACCCGAGCGCCAATGCTACCGAGCCCACTCAGACCGGGACCGAACAAACCTCGGAGGCGACGGACGCTCCCACACAGCTTCCCACGACGACCAAGGGCGGTCTTCTGGACCCCGTTGAGACTTTGATCAGCGATATTGTTGGTCCTGCCTCATCCACATCTTCTGCGCCCATTGTCAGCGAGACCGACAGTGTCAGCGAGCCGTCCTCTACCAATGGCGACATTGTTAGCGGGATTCTGCCCTCGCTGACACTGTTCCCACCTGAGTCTACCACGACCGATTCGGTGGCCACTGATTCTGCTTCGGTGTCGGAAGAGCCTACTGCTACCACGACAGGTCCTCTTATCCCTACTGATGTCACTTTGCCCCTGCCTGGTGATGGTACCACCAGTACCGCATCAGGTGAACCCACGGTCCCAACAGACCTCCCTGGCAACGGCACCGTCACAGATCTGCCACCCTCGACAGATGTTCCCACCGATATTTCCACCGACGTGCCCACTGATGTGCCCACCGCCGAGCCAACGAGCATCCCTGGCGAGTCCACTCTGGAGCCTGTTCCCATCGGTAATGCTACGCAGACAACCGCCGAGCTCCCCCCTTCCACCCCTGGCTCATCGCTACCTTCTCTTGTCCCCACCACTCAAGTGGACGAGGAAACGCCCGTGTCGACACCTGCGTCTTTGGTGCCCGTGCAGCCTACGGAGAAGCCAACGACGTCTGTCGTAGAAGAGGAGCCCACGGCTTCGGAGGTACCAACGGCTACGGAGGTCAGGGATCCCGTGACCAGCATCCAGCCCACGGCGACTTACACCAACACCAACGACTGGCTTCCCACGACAATTGTAGCTGATCCTACTACCTTCGTCTACACTCGACCCACCGAGGAGCCCACGGGCACATCTACGCAGACCTTGCCCAACAACATTCCCAAGAAGATTCTTCCCAAGAATCCTGTCAATGATGCTCCCGATGGCACCGTTCTCATCAACATCGGTTTCAAGTACCCGCTCAACTACAACCACGTTGCCAAGAACACGGTTGCCGCGGCGCAGATCTTCCAATTGCTTCCTCAGGCTCTGTCAACTGCCGGCAAGATCAAGTCGGACAAAGTCTCCGTGTCTATGCTGGTGCCCTACGATACGCGTGACAAGTGGGGATTCGTCACCACCCTTGCCAAGGTCTATTACCCTGAATCTCTTCTCGACCAGCTCAGGATGGACATTGACGATCCCAACTCGCTCGTGTACAACACCAAGAAGGTCGTGGTTAACGAATTGACTGCCGACATCGAGCCCCGCATCGATTTCTTCGGTAACATTACCGGCGACGACGGTGAAGCCAGCCAGGGCCAGCAAACGGGCTCGAACTCGGACAGCAACGACGACAGCAACAACAACTCCATCGACTCTGGTGACAACAACACGAGTACCGGATCCTCCAAGGACCAGGCTACCACTGCCGGTATTGCCGTTGGTGCCTTTGGTCTTGCTGCCCTCTATGGTGGCGCCATGTTCATTGTTGCCCGCCGCTACAAGCGCAAGCGTCAAGGTCACCGCCGTACGAGCTCGGTCACTGGCAGCGACGCCTCCTCCGACATGCAGTACACCCGCAATGGCAGCCCCGCCATGATGGGTGGTGCTCTCATGAGCCAGGACATGTCTCACTACGGTGCCGCTGGCCAACGCGAACGTGACAGCCACGGTAGCGGTCCTTCTGCGCGCACCGCCAACATCTCGGCGCCCGTCGCCACGGAGAACTCGCTCGGCTGGAACTAGAAGTCGACCGGCACTCCCCTTCTCGAAGCCAACCTCTGCACCATTCTTTCTTACCTACACTTCGATACCCTGAGGGAGGGTCCGCGAGCGGTCCCCTCTGCCTCGGATGGATCTGAACTTTTGAGTTGCCGCGCTCGCCAAACAACCTACCGAAATCGCGCTCATCTGGCTCCGCACTCTCCCTGCGTTCCCTTTTTCTTTTTTTGTTTAGCATGACTTTGACGATGACCCGTGCATTGTCTGGTCGGTCACCTTTCTCCTGCCACAGTTGCGACTTATCTATCTTGGGATACACCATATTCTTAGTTGGATATGTACACTGCGGTTGATCTTAATCATTTTTTTTTATCTTGTCTGTGAAAAGAAGTGGATGATGTCCGTCATTGGATAAGAAGACACGCGCCTCTTCCTACTTCGAGGCCAACACTTTTCTTTTTCTTCGTGGTGTTCTTAGAGGATTGGAGGAAGACAATGGCGCGTGTGATTCGGGGGTTCGGGGCTGCCTTTCTTGTGCATACTTCAGGATGGGAGTGGTGGCGGTCACCGGATCCCCTGGTGGGGTTTGTGTCCGTGTGTGTAGGTTCGTATAAACTGTTGTATAGACAATCGAACCAGTAAACAAAACATATATCGGGAATCTTTGTGTGCATCCATCGCAATTCGACATCTATCTATGGCCCCCTCGACCTCGCCCTCGACCGCCTCGAAAGCCATCATATGGGCCGCCCCATCTGTCTCCTCCCCTGCCACGACCTCTCCCCCTTCCTCTCCCACGATAACCGCCTGTATCTTCTCTGTGAGATGGTCCCGTGGGATGTTGCGGCGGCGGCGGGATAGGCTCGTCAACCTCGACCTCGTACTCCTCAAAGTCCTCAGTGAAGTATGTCCTCACCGTGTCGCGCTCTGCACCGGCTGCTTCCGGGTCAAACACAAACCGCATGGTGCTGTCCTGCCCCTTTGGTTTCAGCGATGTCCCCGACGAAGCCGGTGTGGCGGGTGACGTGACCGAGGGTGTGTGGGCGTCGCTCGCGTCCTCGCCGTTCATCACCGACGGCGTGGCCTCGCAGCGTGGGCAGTAGGGCGACAGATGGCGCGGCATGTCCTTGCTTTCGAGGTCGCGGTTGAGTTTGATCTTGATGTCCATCAACAGTTGTATGTCAAACTGTGTCCCGAGGCGGGTGGACTTGGGATGCTGGATGTACAGGTCGAGGAGGTCGAGGATGGTCTCCATGACGGCGGGACGGGAGTATTGGCGTTTCGACTGGCCAAAGTCGATGGCGCGCTCGACGGTGGCGGGATCTCCGCCCAGGAGGCGCGCGGTGAGCTCGACAATGGCCATGACCATGGAGAAGGTGGTGCGTTTGATGGGGATAAAGGTCTTGTACATGTCGATGCTCATGGCGTAGGCCGTCGCGAAAAAGGGCTGGCCTGTGGGATCGTCTCGCGCCAGGACATGGCGGATGGTCTTGACGAGAAGTTTCTGGGGGTACCGCGTTCGAAAGTCGAACCCAATGGTCTCCAGGATCAACCTCTCCAACCCTATGATGACCTTGCTCGGTCCCTCAAAGACCTTGTCGTCCGGCGCGAGCGGCTTGTCGGGGTTCTTGATGTTGTGCGCCGCGGCGAGGATCTCCCGGCTTTTCTTGATGGTGTCCTCAACCTTGCAGGCGACGAAGAGGCTGGCCATGGCGGCATCCTGGTAGCTGTAGTCGGCGTCGCGAAAGGACAGACGGAAGCGGTGAAAGTAGATGCATGACGTCGCAAAGGTGCGCACGGGCAGCTGCAGATGCGTGCGTACAGAGTTGAGGAGGGACACGCCCTGGAGACGATGGATGTCCTCGCGGGACGAGACGAGCGAGCGGACGATGGCATCTGGGGTGTACTGGTTCGAGGAGCGGATGTGGCCTGGGTGAGGGCCTACTTTGACGGGTTTCGCGTGGTCGCCGTTCGACTGGCGCTCGGTTGGGGGAGGCATGATGCCTCGCAAAGGCGCTTGTGGCTGTCGAGGCGGACACTCTTGGATTGGGTCAGGACTCGGGAAGAATGCGACGAGGCTGTTGTCTGTCGGCGCTGTCGATGGGAAGTGAACAAAGGCGATCTCGTCGGGCCGCGGATTTTTCACTAAAGCTCTATCTGGGTCGAAGGGTTGCGAACAAATAGTACGTGCGGTCGTCTACGTTGGTGGGACGCGTCGAGCTGGGATCTGGCAGTATCGCGATAATTTCTGGCGTTGGCGAGGCTGCGATTTCGCCAGTGACGAAGTGCAGCAGTAGCTGGCAGAAGCTAAATTCGCACTGTGTATACACCAGCAAATGGCCCCGGCACAGTGCGCCATAGCTCATCCCTAGGAACGGCATAATGGCGCGGCATGCTGCCTTTTGAACTTATGTTCACTATGTGATAAACTGGGAGATTATTCTAGAGGTCGTGTCAATCTCAACGCGGTTACAGCAGAATGCGCTGGCTGTTTGGGACTAAGGGTACGTAATGAATGATACTATCACAACCTCAGCGAAAACCATGTCAAACAAATTGACCAACGACAAAAGCGCGACGGCAAGGAAGCCCCTCAGGTATAGTTTATATTGAGCTTTGAATAGTGTGGTATATGAGAGCTCAAACCTCTGGCCTTTACGATCCTGAAAGCCTGGCTCAAATCTTCGTGTATATAACTCCCAAACGCCAGGACCTTGATAATTTGGACGAATGATTTCCCTCAGCCCATAATCGACGACCTATCCATAATGCTTCATTTGTGATCTTTTGTCTGTTAGTCCAAAGCACAGCAATAGAGAATGAGCGACGAAATATGGCAAACACTGTCGGGTGAACTCAGTGCATGATCACGAGATATCCTTTTCCAGTCGAACGTTGGAAAGTGCACGAATAACATTTCGATGAACTGGCAGGAAAGCAGAGATAGCTAAATCAACTTACTTTGTTTCAAACTTCATTCCATATCCGTCGACGAGACTGTCGGGTGGAAAGGAATCAAGCCGCTGTTCTCGCCAATGAGAGGGAACAAAGGCATCGACGCGGCCATGGCAGCGAATGAAGCCACGAGGAGAGTTGAGAAGTTCATCTTGGCAAGGGTCGTTGTGTGGTAGATAGTTTGGCGTTGTAAGTCGATTTGCTTGGCAATAAGTCGAATTCGCTGGGTCCCTGGAGCCTGCCAAGAGATGCCAAGATTGATGTAGTGAAAGAAGAACTGGAGATGTGTGAAAGTTGGAACGATAGTGCTGTACGTGAGCTTGTCAAAGAAAGAGTGCGGTAATGATTGATTGTTTGAAATGTGTAGAGAGTGAGAAAGAAGAAGAAAAACGACAAAGCACCAGCAAAGAGGGAGAGATCTACTACATAGTCAGATGCCCACACGCGCGGCCGGCTCACTTGAGCGGGCTAATATCTCAAACTTCTGGAGCCTCAAAGCCTCCTCCTGGGGTGACGCAGCCAGTTCCGTACGCAAAGCTGCGGTTAGCACCTAACAGCCATCCCCTGGGAGATCTTGGTGCTGCGAGCTTGCGATCGACTGGTGATCGATGGGGCGAGCACTGCCTCTCGGCGAATGGCACGGGCGCATCGACGGCAACGCGGCACTTGCTATCGGTTTACTAGCGCAGCAGAAGCGCCGGGTTCTCTCCTGTTTCAGAAATCAAGGGCAGACATAGGTCCAACGGTGGCGCTGGTCGCGTAATCTCGAACGCAAGACCATGTGTTTCGAGTGTACAGGGTCGACGTGGCCCGGTGGGCGGACGTCGGGAGTGGTCTCGAAGTGGCAGTGCGGCATGTCACTTTCGGCGCTTGGAGCGTCCTCGTTTGATGAAGATTGAAGAATATCAGGTAGGCAGAAATGGCTGCGTGGTCGTTATCATTACGATTAATAGCAAACGCCAAACGCGACAAAAACCGATGCTCACTCGGTTGTGCGACGTTTCTGGACTGAGCAACGTCAGATCACGTGTGCGGCACCTGCCGAGTCGTTGTTTCCCCATCTGGAGTATCGAGTGGACTCTGGACGGACTCTGGCTGACGCATTCGTATCTCGATCATCATCAACTCGCCTAACCCTCAGGGCCTCACCAGGCGCAGTGCAATCTCTGGCACGAAGTATGCTTCGTGCTCTTGACTACAATACACCTGCGGCTGGGAGTCGCAACTCTTTACATGTATTGCTGAGTTGTAGCCGCACGCTGAGGATAGCGAACCGTCAGGCGATGAATGGTCTTGGGCCCAAGGTTCGAGGATCGTGACCTGGGAGTCACAGTCGCATTGGGCGAAACTGCCCCAGACAGGCGTACCTAATTGCGCCGCAGCATCGTTAGCATGCTTGTTGTCCCGCTAGTCTTGACGATTGCCTGTGTCTGCCTTGCGAGGGGGCCCGGCCGCTGGGCTGACCAGCTTGAGCTGGGGGTCGTCACGTAGGTGAGTAGGTGATTGTCGAACCCGACGACGAGTCACCAATTGCGGTATGCTGCGGGACTATCTCCTTCTCTTGTTGTCGTGATACAGCGCTCTTGATCTAGCCTAGCACCTGGTACCCGTCTTCCTCGTTCCGAAACTTGTCATTAGCGACCTTCGCAATGTCTGGATTGGAGGTAGCGGCTGGGGTGATAGCTGTCGTCACCATCGCCGCGCAGGTGGCAGGCTTGGCAATGGACTACGAGAAGAGCGTGCAAAATGCCTTTGCCGAAATGAATAGCCTGCTGAAGGAGGTAAACAGGCTCCAGCACACGGCCGAACGCGTGCAAGCTCTCCTTGACGGACCGCAGGGCCACTTGCTTGGTGCTTCGAAGCCGCTCCGCGAGGCACTGGATGAAGCGGTGCTGCTGCTAGAATCCACCAGGGAGAGGCTTGTCCTGCCTCCTCATTCTGGCTCATGGAGACGGATGTGGAAGCGAGAAAGCTGGTCAGCTCGGGGCAAGGGTACCGACGACACTGTTGTGGGTCTCTCCAGATGTGCCCAGAACATAACGAATGCTCTTCAGGTCGATCAGACGCACATCCTAGCTGGCTTGGATAGGGATCAAGTCTTCGAGAAACTCCCACATGTTGGCGCAGCCGCGTATAACTCCTACGCCGAGGAAAACGAAGCCTTTTGTCTAACGGGAACGCGAACAGAATTGCAGCACACTATATTGGCGTGGGCAAAGGATCCCACCTCGAGCACCCTGTTCTGGCTTCAAGGCATCGCTGGTACAGGCAAGTCAACCGTAGCTCGAACAATTGCCAGAACCCTTGATTCGGACGGTAGCCTCGGCGCCAGCTTCTTCTTCAAGAGTGGCGATGGCGATCGTGCCAAATCCTCCAAAGTCATCACCACCCTTGCGTCGCAACTGGCCGCCAACGACCCAGAGTTGGCCGCACTGCTCAGGAAGACCCTGGCTTCCGATCCACTGTTGCCCGACAAGTCTCTACAAGAGCAATTCGAGAAGCTGATCTATGAGCCGTGGACAGGATTGCAAGCCTCTCGCCGTCACAATCGATACTTTGTCATTGTACTGGACGCCCTGGATGAGTGCGACGACGCACCAAGCGTCAAAGTACTGGTCCGCCTCTTCGCAAAGCTGTCAACGCTCAAGTCACCGCGGCTGCTTGTTTTCGCTGCCAGCCGGGCTGAGCTTACGGTGCGACTGGGGTTCCACGGCGTGCAGGGCACGTATCAAGATTTGGTGTTGCATGAAATCCCCGAGACGGTTGTAAAGACAGACATTGCTATATTCATTGAAACAGAGACAAAACGCATTCGCAATGACTACAACGACACGACCATCAGCGCCCTTCAGCTGCCGGAGAGCTGGCCGTCCAGGCCAGACTTGGAGGCGCTGGTCAACATGTCTGTGCCACTGTTCATTTTCGCAGCCACTGCCTGTCGCTTCATTGGAGAGCTGATGGAGGGCAACCCCCAAGAACAGCTGGAAACGTTCTTGAGCTACAAAGGTGCGGGTGGCGGGAGCACTCTGGCAAGCACGTACACGCCCGTGCTGGATCGTCTCATGAAAGGAGTTCTCGACAGAGAAAAGCGTATCGCAAACTTCCGCATGATCGTTGGGACCATCATACTCGCAGAGACACCGGTCTCTGCAACCTTATTACATCGCCTCCTCGATATTGATCTTGCGACTATTTGGGGCATGCTCAACCTTCTCCATTCCGTTTTACGCGTGCCGGATACCAAGGTGGCAGGATGCGAGAATCTGCCCATCAGACTTTTGCACCTGTCACTCCGCGACTTTCTGCTCAATCCTCTGACTATTGAGCAACATGTACTCGGCATCAGCGAGAAGGAGACACACCGCTACATTGCGCAGCGGTGTCGCATTACACTGAGTCGCAAGCTCACTCGTAATATCTGTGAATTGCCATATCCTGGCTCCCTCAGGGAAGACATTGACGACGAGCAACTGCAGCAGCACATGGCCCCTGACTTGATGTATGCCTGCTCATACTGGATGTTTCACACGGTCAAGGGCGGCGTGCCAGGTGAGATTTGCCACGAAGTCCTGCATTTTCTCCAACAGTTCCTGCTACAATGGCTGGAGGCGATGAGCTGCATGGGGTCGACGCATGATGTGGCAGATGCCGTGCACAACCTCAGTCAGATACTCGACAATGGCCAGGAGGACCTATTGAATTTTCTTGAGGACACTCGGCGCTTCATACAGGCGCACGCAACGCAGATCCAGGAGGCACCGCTCCAGGTATACTCGTCTGCACTTGTCTTCTCGCCCAGGTCAAGTATTGTGCGCCAGTGGTTCAAGGAGAGTGAGCCCAGATGGCTGTCTCAGCTTCCCACTGCGCAGGAATACAGGGACTCTGTGGCGCTCACTGTCCCTCACCCTGCTGAGGCCATGCATTATGCGCTGTCTCCGGACGCCACTATGCTGGTCTCGTACTGCAAGGATGGTTATATCCGCAGATTCAATGCTCAGACTGGTCACCTTATTGCAGAGCTTCGATACTGGACGGAACGCCCTAGTTGCTTTGTCTTGTCCCGTTGCGCGACCTTCCTCGCTATTGGCTATTCCAAACAACTCAAACAGGCCAGGGACGGAACGGCCGGCAGCCTAAAGATTGTTTCCCTGGACACTGGGAAGCAGTCCCGTCTGTTCGCCAATGCTGAACTGGCGACTGGGTGTGTAGACTTTGCACCCAACGAGCTGCTGCTAGCCTATGTCTCCAACACGGGACGTGTATCGCTACGGTCGTTGGTGGATGGCGAAGAGACGCATTCGTTCAACCTTCCCATGGTCATATGCCATTCCATCAAGTTCTCCTCGGACTCGCGGTACCTGGCTGTTCTTGGGACCCTCGACGTGGGGTTCGAATCAGCCATGACAAACATGTCGAAGAAAATGGGCATAACAATATGGGATGTCCGAAATTGCTCCATTGTCCATGTCTGGGAAGATGTCGCTGCGCAGGTCACACGCATGGTCACAGAAGCATCTATCAGGGCGAACTCCGCCACAGTCATTTTGTCAGATGCAAGCCCCGAATCGGCATATTGGTACAACCTTGAGGATCCAAGGCTCCCAAATTCGGAGATGTACTTGGCGAGGATTACAGACAACCTGCCTCAAGTCCAGCGCTGGTTTCCCGAAGGCAACCTGAAGCTGTCGGTGACAGGAACCCGAACCTCAGTGGCCTCGGATCGTGAACCGTCAATCTCCAACAAGGTATGGGGTCAGAGAATCGAGGGACCTTTCCTTGCACCTTTAGGTTTGTACGGCACGAAGGCTGTAGTTCTGCCCGAGGCACGTCTCATCGGTGCGACTACTGCCGACGGTGCTGTGAAGATATACAGAATGGTGCGTGGTGTTACTCGAAACGCCGCACCACATGTGCTCGGTCACGAGTCGCACATGCTCACGGCCACGGAGTCCGAGGACTACAATCTCTCTGTCCTCCCGGCCTTTGCCCGATCACCCTCGACCCTTGTGGCAAGCCTGGCGAATAATCCGTCGCCAGGCCGTCGCCCTCATTGCACAGAGGTCTCTGAGGATTTGTCACTCATCATTCGAGGCTATGATAACGGTGAGGTTTCCATCTTTGACCAGGATGGCTTGCACACGACTACCTTCAGAGCCCAAGAAGATCAGCATTGCGGTGTGATTGGGGTAAGCTGTTCACCCGATGGTGCACGGCTAGCTACAATCACGACCGGGAACAAAATTCGAATCTGGCACTGGAACCACTGCTCTCCCCCGGTGTTGAAACTCGAGGCTTACCTCAATACAAAACTCGCTTACAGCTACACATTGCGATTTTCGCCAGATCTCGGCTTCCTGAGCACTGTGGAGGTCTCCAAAGGTTTCGAAGACCGACTAGTGGGTGCCCATGTATGGGAATTACAGGAAGCACCATCATCCGTACTTCGAAGACAAGATACAGGCACCATGCTCTGTCTGGCTGGCAAAGCGGCTATCTTTTCACCTTGCTCCACCAAGATCGCCCTTCTCACGAAGTGGGACATTGAGCTGCACGACTGGCGCAGGAGTAAGTCCATCGAAGATATGCCACATCTCGGCTGCAGCGCGCTGTTGAAATGGCCCTCGCCGGGGACGATATACACGGACCACGGCCCCATTGATGTACCTGGAACACAAAACACGATCCCTAAAGGGCTCAACGTTATCAAAGAGCGAGGTTGGCGTACGCTGGTGACATGGAATGGACATCCTATACTATATCTATCCCCGGAATACGCACAGAGACGATGTTGCGTTTCAAGCGAGAAGGGCGCACTCGTCGTCTGGGGTAACACCGACGGGGTGGACGTCCTTCGCGTCGACGAGGAAGAGCTCAACGTTGAGTTCCCCTTACTAGGTGCACGCGCCGAGAGCTGGGATAGCAGGAGTAGCACTCGCCTCTATAAGCGATTTCGTCCCGTTAAAGCCCATGAGCCCGCCTACCGCGGAACGCGGCGATGTTTAATAGACTTTTCTACTTGGCTCCTTCTCACCTAGTTCTTCGCTTCTTCCAGAAAGAACTCGACGCTGAGTTCTCCTTGCTGGGTGCACGCACCTGGGGCTGGAAACACCAGAATGCTTTGCGTGGATGGTCTGCATGTGCTCATCGGCAAGACTTCATTCCTCTCTCAACGACAGTCTTCTTCACTTCTCGCATTGGTGGCGCCTCAAAGTGCACATTGCGTTATGCAAAGCCACCTCATCAGCACCTGAAAACTGAGGCAAACGTCACCCCACGAGTGTGATGCATCTACCATGTTTGCAACTACCTGCACTTTCGTGGTGCATATGGACCACACGCAGGCGCAACCCCGTAAATCGTTTGCGGTAATCGGTATAATGGTCGTCCACCAAGCCGCATGTTTGTAGGCACAGACACGTGTGCAACACACCACAAACGAGTGAGGCTGTGGTCATGCTGGACAGTCCCTCCGCCTTCTCAACTTTGCCATCATGCACAAAGCCCCCCAAGTGTTCTGCTTATTGAAATAACCATCCACCGGCTCCATCAGGTCGGTGGACTCTTTCACATACCTCTTCTCACGTCGGACATTGAAGAGATGGCGCCCCTGGATATTGTCTGCGCCGGCTGGTCTCCTGACAACACGGCTTGCCAGAAAGATGGACGTTTCACCTGCAAGAATTGCAAGCTCGTCCTGGTAAGTTGACAAGACATTCCCTACTTGTCAGGGCAACGAGAACTTCCACTAAGACACACGAAATAGTACTGCGGTCCAACATGCCAAAAATCCCACTGGGCGTCTCACAAGACAGACTGCAAGTCGTGCCTTGGCAAGGAAACATGGCAGCCCGACTGGGTCCTGGAGTCGCGAAAACCGGCTTTTGTAGGAGACGACTCGCTGGTGAGCCAGTTTGGAGGAAAAACGTACGTCTGGGGCAACATGCCTGCTTTTGATGTCTTAAAGCTTGGCTCCAACGAGGGCGTCGACTACAAGGGCCCCCTGAATCTTTTGTTTGCTGGTATGTGGATATTCGGGCTCAACCCTGCCTCGTCGCTCATCACGCTGATATCGTCTCTCCTTCGGCACATAGCATCTGGGGATCTTCGAAACTTTGTGAAGACTATGACCCAGCTTCCCGCCGGGTACAATGGGGTCGTTGCTGCGACGTTGAATGATCGCGAACTTGATGTTGTGGCTCGCAATGCCATCATGCTTCTCATAGCCTTTGTGATCGACAACGTCGAGGAGGCGGTCGACTGTATCATGCACGTCTGGTACTCTGCTCTCATCCGAAAGTCTCATCAGGAGATTCTTCATCAGCGAGTCCGACCACTAGTCAAAGAGGTTTGTGACAAGACAAAGACCAAGGACCCGACGAGCGTGTTGGGGAAGACATGGCAGTTTGGTCATCACACTCTGAGGCTTGTGCTTGCAAAGTCAGCGTGGGACGGCCTCCTGTCGTATCTGGATGTGCCATCAGGTTTGAAAGTCGACGATGCGAGCCGGATCCGCCGAGCTGTAACCCTGGCTGAGGCTAGACGGGATCATCGGGATAGGCATTTGCTGTTTCACTCGCAATTCCATCGAGTCGCGAAGCTTCGGTACTGGGAAGACGGTATCATGCTCCCATTTGGGTCACACCGTGATGATTTCGTCGAGCCGAACCCGTCAGTGTTAGCTTGTCTGTGGATATGGATGTAGTATTGACGCTGTTGTAGGACTCTCTTCCAGGCTGCTGACGCATGGCCTCTGAGTGATAGTGCCGACCCTCTCAACGGATGGCTCTTGAGTGATGTTGACGCCACCTCGAGCGGACCTGCGACCAACGACATATATGGTAAGCTCTTCTACCATGTACGCGACTTGCTGGGGTCATTTCTTCGTCGTCTGTCTGCCGTCAAGGCAACTCTTCGGGTCCTGCAGGTCAACGCCCTCGAGCTTCCCGACTATCTTGAACTGGACTCCTTCGATCGAATTGAGGTATGAAGAACTGCTGAGAAGCATCCTTTCTCCTGCCCAACGCTGACATGAACCCGCACAGGTGTCGAATATCTCGGATCGTGGCTATATTGGACCGCATCGTACAGTGGCGCTCATGGTGCCTCTGCTCCAAACACCCGCAGCGAACCCGAACGCGACCCTCATCACGCTATTTATGAACATTATTGCCGAAACAATGACTCCCGAAGACGAAGTAGCCGGCATGGCCAAAGGAAGCAAGTCAACCAAACAATTGCTCAAGTACTTGCAGCCACCAACTGCATTATCTACCGGGAGCGATAGCATGGAATCCTTCATGATGAAGTCCATGGCGGCCCATGATTTCGTGACATCCTATGACCGTTACTTCGACCGGTAAGTACAGGGTGTCTTGGTGGGCGACTATCGATTCGTAGATCTCTGACGGTGCCACCAGTGTTGTGAAGGAATTGGAGTTCGCTAAATTGGCAACACTCTGCGGGGCCGCCATGAAGGACAGGCACACAGTCATCGAGAAGTGGCCGTACAGACTGAAGCTCAAGCCTGGTCAACCGGGGGCACAGGAGGAGTTTGATAGGGCGCTCTGTGGAAGTCCGACGAGCAAGGAGCGCTATGTCGAGTGGCAGAGAATCGAGTAAATCGGGCTTCGCTGTGAAGATCGCGAGGCATGTTCATGCTAGCATATCTAATTGCGGAATGTTTGCATGAGCAACAAAGCAACCTTGGCTTCTTTTTACGCCCCTCCTGAGGCCATGCTAGGTCATACCAGCGATGCAGCATCCGCACTAATTGAAGATCTTGATGGAAACTGGTATCTCGCCTTGTGCGAAGGACATTCAAAGTAAGTTGAATTTAACGTCTGCAAAGATGCAGGGTGAATTATATTACGTGCCAAAGTTTCCCATGGCCAAAGTCCCTCCAACTTAAACGAAAAGAACATGTACCACGGCCAATAGACCGATACCGAAGCTCGACGCCTTCAGGCCACTCGCTGCTCCGGGGTAGAAGGTAGGGACAGAGGGCGAGCCAGTCTCAATAGGAGACGCTGTGGGTGGTGGGTACGTTGGCTCTTCGACACCAACGGGGCAATGCCAGTGCTCCTCGTGAGGAGTGCACTCGGTCTCGGACTCCTCACCATCATCGCTAGGCCCTTCGCCAGGGGCGTAGTCTGGCTCCTCGACACCCTCGGGGCAGTGCCAGTGATCACCGTGAGCTTCGCACTCGGTGCCAGTCTCCTCGCCACTGCTAGCTTCTTCGCCAGGGACGTAGTCAGGCTTCTCGACGCCTTCAGGGCAGTGCCAGTGGTCACCGTGGGCCTCGCACTCCTCAGAGCCGTTGTCAGCGCCATCGTCAGTGCCAGGAGGCGAAGATGGTTCCTCAACTCCAGGAGGGCAATGCCAATGGTCGCCGTGAGCCTCGCACTCTCCGGGGGTCTCAGCGCCGTCATCACCGTCATCGTCGGAGTCCGGGGGGTTGGCTGGCTCTTCAACACCAGGAGGGCAGTGCCAGTGGTCGCCGTGAGCCTCGCACTCGCCAGGCTCTTCAGTCACTGTGGCACTAGGAGCTGAGGGGGGAGCAGTGGGCTCTGGCACACCGGGCGGGCAGTGCCAGTGGTCGCCATGAGGTTCACACTCGCCAGGCTCTTCAGTGGCTGTGGTGGAGGGAGCAGGAGGAGTGGTGGGCTCTGGGACACCGGGTGGACAGTGCCAGTGATCTCCATGAGGCTCACATTCCTCTTCTTGGGGGGGAGGAGTAGTGGGCTGAGGGACGCCGGGAGGACAGTGCCAATGGTCGTCATGAGGCTCACATGTCGCAGTGGACGAGGATCCCGCCGTTGGGCACGACGTGATGGTGCTCACAGACGTGACAATGTTGAAGCCGGCTGATGTCAACGCATGGCTGTCATACCAACCGTAGGCGGAGACGGTGTTGCCTGGGGCCACCTCAAAGGCTTCGGTGAAGAAGGGGACGCGGGTGCCGCTGAACTTGTGGCCCGATGTTGAGTACTGGGCGTCCATGGAGGACTGGAAGCTCGAAAAGTTCTCAACAGTGGTGTCAATACCGAAGCGAGTAGTGACGGTGGTCCTGCAAAGATCAAGAGTTAGTTTCAGCATGCTGGCAAGACAATTACTTTTGGAAGGGGAGCTTCTTGCTTACGAGCAATCCTCCTGGGCTGCAGACAGCCAGGCTTGGCCCAAGGCCAAAGTAGCGAGAGAGACACGATTGAACATGTTTGCGAATCCAGCTATTGGGCTTGGAGCGCCAGTGTAATGGAAGCGAGAGATGAGGCTGTATGGCTTGGGTCACTGAGGTTACACGGTCTGAGAGGCCATATTTATAATTCATTCAAGTCTACGGATCGACAGAAACGGAAGTTTCCCTGTTTCTTGAAAACCTGTTGGTTCTCACTTTTCACCCCGACCGAGGCGGGTGTTAGGAAGGCTGAAGGTCCAGACTAAGCGTGCCGTCGTGGCTTGATGCAAAGCCAGGGGTAATGATGCGGTCCATCAACCCAATTCAGGCCTTGTACGGAAAGGATTCGGTTTGCTCGCTCGAATAGTGTACGAGCCTCAGGGAAACGCGTGGGAAACCCTGCGATCTTGGAACCCTGATGGTCCCGCCGATACTGCCAAGCAACGCCTCATCACATCCATCACCTGCGGCCCAAAGCGGCCCAAAAAGGTTCCAAATCAGCTGTTATTTCTTTTGGGTGGCCTCTTAAGGAGGTGAAGTGTGGTTGACGGGTCATGTCCCGTGGGGAGGTAGTGATGTAGGGCTGTATGGGGTGGTGTGTTCCGCCATGGAAGATCTTGACTGAACGTCTCTCTGTAGTCAGTAAACAGACTATTTTAGGATCATCAACCGATAAACAAGAGCTTGGAAGAAAAGTCTCGTTACGATTGTAGAACGTAGTAAATAGTGTGGTTCTGAAGGAGTTCTGTACAGCAACTCAAGGTACCATCATCTTCCGTCTGAGGGATATAACCCTTGTTCCCATCACCTGCAGGCTGACCAAAATGAAAAGAACCTTTTCAGCTAAGCATAATTGTAGTCACATGCGATCGAATAACCTTATTATTAGAGTAATGGGAGGCAATCCACACGCCGTGCTCCCCACCACAGATGCGAAGCCCCCCATGTACATAGTCATACACGCTGCGCACTCTGATCTGCACGAACTGAGCGGCCAAAGAGTAGAAAATACGATTGGTTCGTACAGCTGCAATGATTCCAAAGGATTTGAGCAATTGAATTGTCACTGGATTTTGAGGGCCGTCTCTCTTTGTGGGGGTTTGCAGGTGTAGCGTGGGAAAGAAGTATAAAGGGGCTTGCTTGGCTTCAGCTTGACTCAACACCAGAACCAACACGAGCAGAGCAGAGAACCAGAATCAAACTCAATCACATTTTATCTTTGCTACTTTACAGAATGGTCTCCCTACGAAGCTTCCTGGCCATCGCGGCCCTGACGGCCTCCGCTGCCGCGAGTCCCGCCCCTCGTGTCCCTCTCTCGCCCCTGAACAAGCGCGACACTTGCGAGTTCCCCGTCCTCGACTCGTTCCCTGCTCCACGCTGCTACGAGGTGGGCGCCGATGCTTCCTGCCAGTTCTGCTGTGTGGGCGGTATCTCCCTCCCAGCGGAATACCACTGCCATTTCGGCCATACTGGCATCAACTGCGCCGAAGAGGGCTACGATGGTTATAACCTCTGGCACTGCGACGATCACTAAGAAGCTTGAGACCACAATCAGATTAATTGTAAGTTTCACTGAGCTCGCTATGGAGCTTCTGCTGACCAAAGGCAGGGAAATCCTGCTCACGGATATGGGGACCTGGTGTGCGTGATAATTGTCCATAGTCCGTTGCCTCACCACAAACACTGGCAGCGTGAGGAGTGTGGCATGGAAGGAGTGAGACGAAGGAAAGACCGATAGGCAGAGAAATTGAAAATATCGAACTTCGTTCTAGCTATGGTATGAAGACTCGATCGACGTGAAAGCCCAAGGAGCATTGAGCTATCTTGAACCCTTACTGTTGCTCATGAGGTCCAGCAGTAGCCTGGTATACTTTCCAACGTGATGCCAACGTCTTTTTGTTCGTCGTGTCGGGCTGGCGGCTGTTGTCCAGCAGGTTAGTCTTTAGCAGCAGTGACGCAGTTCAAAGGACGGCACTGAGTCCCCGCGCGGGCTGATTAGCCCACTATGGCTCAATCAGGGCCACAGCTGCAAAGCTCTCGCTCAGCTGCTTGTTGTCCTTGCCATCCTCCAGGAACTTCTTGGCCCCCAAAGTCAAGGCGTTCTCGCCCAGCATGTCTTCCTGGTCGCCTATCAAGCCACGCGCCAAGGGCTGAGCGCGGCGTCCATCAAGCTCCCACAGCTGACCGTCAGAACCCTTGACGAAGCAGACATAGTGGAGGTCGACCTGATCCTCCGCGTCGGGTGCCGCCGTGTCGCCGCTCGAGGCAGCTACCTTGTAGGCATCGGCAAGCTCTTTCGAGTTCTCCAGAAGCCTGGCCCGCTCAAGGGGGCCTAGATCGACAGACTCGGTGATGATCTTGTGCAGTGTGGATCCTTCCTCTGTTTGATCATGAGTGTCAGTACTGTTCTAGTAATTTGTAAGATCGCAAGGCTCCGCCCACCTAGCAAAGTGTCTTTGGAAGGCACATTGGCCACAGCGTGAAGCAGCGCCATAAATCCACAAGCATTCTTGATTGTCTGCTTGAACCACATGACCGGCTCTTGGGGCCCCTTGCCGCTGTACTCCGTCTTTGTATCCTCTGCCATCCGGGCGGTCTCATATGTGGCCGTGACAGGGAAGACGAGCATGAGAGCATGCGCGGGCCTGGCGTAGAACTCCATCTCTGACGGTTCGAGGGACCAGATTTGCTGAATCTCGAGTTTCTGGGAGGCGCCGAGCTGATGGATCAGATCTGTCATCAGCTCTGGGTTGCATTCGAGGGGGATGAACGCGGGGGCGGCAGGCCCCGGGTCAGGGTCGACAGTGCTGGAAAGGTTGGTCAGGGCTGCCATGGTTGTGTGTGAGGTTGTTGGCGTGTTGATGGATGGGAAGGCGATGCAAGTGTTATGGAGATGAGTGAGTGAGCAATGATGTTTATTTGACATGTGACATGAATTTGAATTGCTGTCATCAACAAGCGACGTCATCCTGGATGTGGTGGGGCTTGATTACCCTACAGCCGTGAGCAGACTGGTCACAGAAGTCAACCATGTAGCTGAAGAATTGGCGAAGAATTATCACCGCGAGTCTTGGAGGTTCAGATCGAGGGACAATACTCATAAATAAACGTATTTGCAGATTTGGGGCCTCGGCACTCTCCTGATTGTCACATCAAAATTAGGCAGCCTTTCTGTGAGTTAAAATCGTTCTAGCTGAATTAAATGAAACCATGAGGGGTCCTCTATTGGAGCTTTTGTGACAAACTTATTTCAATTCTTTTACCGCCACGTACCGACGTACGCAAGTGATATCGTCAAGCTACGGAAGTAACCCCTGAAAGTTGAGTAATAGGGGCTGCACCCTTCTAGGAATTGCTGAACTACTTATGACTTGAACTTACCAATGGATGGCATTTTGTGCTTCGGGAAAACGGGGAGCTTTGGGATGAACTCCAGGTACGAATGTGGAGATATATCGGGCTCGGCATAATCATGAATAGACTGGTGTTTGCGTAGAAATACTCAGCCGAGGTTAGCTCCAGTAGCAGAACTGGCCTTTGGCACGACATCTTGCGCGCAATTGCTCCTCTTGATGGCCAGATTATCGAGACTAGAGCCACGAGTAATCAATAGATCCAAGCAAGTGGCATGTTTAGTTTACCTCGCTAACTACGAAGAACTAGGATCCGACCAGACGGCATACGACATACGAGACGTGCATTAGCGTCAGGATGCTCGATGCCGTGCCCATAGTTCATAAGGACCGATCTTGTATCTTATAAAGGGGAAGGAACTTGTCAAGTGTTGGTCAAGAACAGCACTTTCTGTCTTTTCAGTAAATTTCTCTACTCACTTCGCAATGTCTGAATCCGACACCCACCTTTCCGTTCTCATCACTGGCGCAGCCGGTGGTTTGGGCCGAGTGATCGCAACTACATTTCTCGAGAAGGGTGCCAACGTCGCCATTTGCGATGTAAACAAAGAGCGTTTGGCAGAGACCTCGGACCTCTGGAGCACAAAGTACCCCGGAAGATTCATTGTGCAACACGCCGATGTCTCCTCCCTTCCAGAGATGGAGGCAATCGTCCAAGCGATCGTCGCCCAGTTTGGCCGTTTGGACTTGCTCATCAACAATGCTGCCATTCTCGACAAATTTGAATCGGCTGGTACATGCTCGCTGGAACTGTGGGATAGAGTGTTGGGCGTGAACATCACGGGGGCTTTCATCTGCAGCAAAGTGGCCATTCACCAGATGCTGGCGCAATCTCCCCCGGGCGGCTCCATCATCAACCTCGGGTCTAATGCCTCCGTGTGTGGTACCGATGGAGGTCTGGCTTATACAGTGTCCAAGCACGGTGTGCTTGCTCTGACGCGCAACACGGCAGCGTACTACCTGGACAAGGGCATAACGTGTACCATGGTCCAGTTGGGAGGGTTGGCGCACACCAACATTCAGGACTCGATGGCTCATGGCTTCGACAAGGAAGGCATCGCGCTGATCGACAAGCACATGGGTGGCTTCGAATATGGTGTGAACGATGTTCCATTGGAGGACGTGGCCAAGTTCTGTGTCTTCTTGTCGGACAAAGAGATGGCAAAGACCATGAATGGGGCTGCCGTGCCCTTCAACCGTAACTGGCCAGCTGGACATTGATCAGGACATCAGGTGCACAAGATGATGAGGAAGAGGCGGTTTTTGCCAGCATCTGGGCATGCCAAACCCGTTCAATAGACATGTAAAAAGAAACCAAACATCTCGCTGCACGCTCAAACCTCCATATACAGTCAACTACACCATGACAAATGAATTACCGTTCCCAACATCCTTGAAATCCACATCTTTGCCTCCCTCGCGCTCCAGCGCCCAGTCAAGCGTCCGTGCCGTGTCAAACGTCGTCGCCCGTAGTACCACGCCTTGATAGCCAAGTTCGGCCTCGTGGGACATGATCCAGTACTTGCTCTTCGTTTTACGATACATCCTCAGTCCAGCCTCGGCACCGTGCGTCGTGCGCCAGAATCGGGTGGTGAACGACTCCTTGAGCCCGTGGAGGAGTGCGAGTTGCTTCGTGGGGGGCTTCGAGGCCAAGAACGCGTTGATGGGGGAGCTGTCTTGATACAGGGACTCGTTACCATGCGGTGAATCTAGGATCGATTCATGGATGACCTCGCCAGAGGCCGTGGTGTGTGTCCAAACAAAGACACCGACAAAGTTCAGGAAGCTCTCCCCCGGCAGTTTGAATGCCGTCAACCACTCGGGAAATGGCGATGGGCGCACATTATCGCCCTGCCAGGTTTCCAGGGACGCATCGAGTTCCGTCAGCGTAGTGATGCTTTCAAAGTGTTGCCACGCGGAAACCTTGGCGACAACCTCCTTCGACCCGATGAAGGGGATGCGCTTGTCAAAGGTCTCGAGCGTTGGGCGGTGGCAATGATCGACTTCGTCAAGGAAGAGGAAGATGGCATCCACTACTCCGTTGTATCCGTCTCCCTGGGTTTCACTGCGGACTCGGACGACGCCGTTGTGCTCCTTGGCCACAGTCGCCGCCGCTTGCTCGATGGCGCCCGCCGCTTCCTGGACAGCATCGCCATGCGCCATGGCCGCCTCAGTCTTCAACGAGATGTGCACCAGCCATGATGAAATTTTCGTCGTTGGCCCTGTCAGCCAGGGCTCAAAGGCGATGTGGTAGAAGTACTTGGCGTGACCGTCCTGTTCAGGGCGAGGGAAGCTAAAGAGCCACGAGTTGTCGCCGTTGAGGGATGTCAGTACGGGTCGAAGGGGCCATGTGAGGTTCGCCTCGAGTGTCTGGGCGCGATTATCGGTCATGATGATTTTAGTCGCAGAAGCGCGACGGTGAGTTGGTGAGAAAGGAATAGGCGCGCATGTCAGCAGCACTGCTGTAGATCATTCTCCGCACGTGGCGAAGCTGACGTGAACTCATTTTGTGTCACATCAAGAAGGGTGAGACCAGGGCCAGCACAGCTAGTAGTGATGAGAAGCGAATGCTTGCCCATTCGACGAACATACGCAAAGAGTCGAGGTAAATTCGAGCATGTCATCGTCCAGGATTCTCTGGGTCGGCAGCAGGCGGGGGCCAACGCTGAACATTTCGCGATGAGAAAGGATGCACGTTGAGAAACTGGTGAGAGTAGATCGTCCATGTCCCTACTGTATCATAATAATAGGCTACACATTTGTTCAATATACGCTGATGCATTCCACTCTGCTCGACACGTCCTCAACCCCATGTGCCTCCACCACCCGTCCGGCCACTCTTCTTCTGCGCACTGATGCGCCAGTCGTCTTCCGTGGCGAACTTGTTGTACAGCGGCTGTATCCTCTCCGCTTGCTTCCTCTTGCTCAGCTTGTCCGTCGGCGCCACCTTGAAGAACGTGGGCGCCGCCTCCACGAGCCACTTGGGCTCGATGCTCGTCGTGTAGTGCATGTACTCCTTGGACGTCAGGACCAGCGTGTGGTACACAACCCACTCGGCCTGCTTGCCGAAGAGGGCGGAGCTCGGGTGCAGGTAGACGGGCGTGCCCTCGATGAGCGTCTTGTAGCCCTCTTGGGGATCTTTGCGCGCAGTGTTCCGGAAGAAACCAGCGCACAGGGCTTGGCGTACCTTTTGCGTGTTGCGACCGCAGGAGGCGATGGGGTGCCGGTGGCGCTTCATGGTGTCTTCGAGCTGGTTGCGAATGTCCTTGGCCAACCGCATGGCGCGTGCTTGGATGAAGTTCTCAAAGCACCATGGGTTCGAGAAGCCGCTGTTCTTCCACCCGTTGTAAACGTTGAGGAGGGTCAGGTGATCGCCGTGCGGATCGTGGAACTTGGATTTCTTCTGGTCGGCCTGGGATTGCTTTTCTTTTGGGCGGTAGAACACGGTCGGCAGATTGAGCATGGCCACGACCGTGAGCATCTCGTCGGAGCAGCCGTGATCGACAGCTGCGATAACGACCTTGGCCAACGACGGTTCCATAGGGAAATCTGCCATCCTTCGCCCGAGGCGCGTCAGGAGTCCTTCGTCGTCCAACGCCCCCAGCGCGTACAACTCTTCCAATGCTGTCAGCATCGTGTTGATGGGCGGAGGATCCATAAAGTCAAAGTGCAGTAGATCGTTGATGCCCATTGCTTTCAACATCAGGATCGTTAATGCCAAGTTCTGCCTCTGGATTTCGGGGATCGTAGTGGGCAGCATCTCAGACTGATACGCTGCCTCGGTGTACAGGCGGAAGCATTTTCCTGGACCTGTACGTCCGGCGCGACCAGCTCTCTGGTTGGCTTGAGCCTGCGAGATAGGCGTGACCACCAACGAGTCCATGCCCAGCTTGGGGTCGTATGCGTTCTGCTTGACGAAGCCGGGGTCCACGACGTAGTAGATGCCGTCAATGGTGATGGATGTCTCAGCAATGTTGGTGGCGATGACGACTTTGCGTGCGCCTGGCGGTGCCGGCTCGAAAATGCGACTTTGCATCTCGGGCGGGAGCTGCGAGTACACGGGAAGGATCACCAAATCAGGTACATTCGGTCCCAGCGCTTTCATCCGCTCGTGTAACACCTCGCATGCCGTGTCAATTTCTTCTTGACCCGTGAGGAAAAGTAGGATATCTCCTTTGGGCTCTGTCAGGTGAATCTGCATGATGGTAACCAGCGCGGTGTCCAGGTAGTCTGATTCTGGCTCTCTGGAATAGAGTATCTCCACGGGGTACGTTCGACCTGGGATCGTGAAGATGGGGCATTCATTGAAGTACGCTGAGAACTTGTCCGCATCGAGTGTCGCGGAGGTGACAATCACCTTCAAATCGGGTCGACGCTTCATAGCCTTCTTCAGCAGAGCGAACAGGACATCCGTGCTGATGGTACGCTCGTGCGCCTCATCCAGCATGATGCAGGAATATCGCTTGATGTCCGGGTCCACCAAGATTTCTCTTTGCAGCATACCGTCCGTCATGTACTTGATCTTCGTAGCAGGCGACGTGCAGTCCTCAAAGCGAATCGTGTATCCGACCTCTTCGCCCAGCTTGCAGCCGACTTCTTTGGAGACGCGATCAGCGACCGACTTGGCGGCCACTCGTCGTGGTTGCGTGCATCCAATCATGCCATTGTTGGCAAAGCCAGCTTCGGCGAGATACTGGGTCAACTGTGTTGTCTTGCCCGACCCAGTCTCGCCAACGACGACCATGATCTGATTCTCCTCCACAGCCTTGATGAGTTGATTTCGGAATGCAAAGACGGGGAGCGACTCGCGCTGCTCCTTCATGCTCATCTCCGACCGTTTCATCGGCGTCTGTCCAGGCTTGTTGATGGTCTTCTTCCATTCGGGCACTTCCTCGTCTCGGGCTGCCGCGCGCATGTCGGACGCGAACTTGCGCTTGTCAGGGTCGGCCATGGGGTCATGCCACGACGAGGCCAAATTCTCTTTGGTCTCCCCCTTCTTGGCCGCATCGGCCTCCTGCTGCTTCAGCTCCTTGCGCTCCTTTGCGAGCGCTGTCCCGGACATTGCTGATCGGTTCATCGAGCCGTCGGGGGCCTTGACGACGCGGATGGGGGACAATTCCAGGGACTGCTTGGTCTGACCCGCCAGGAACGGCGGCTCCTCTTCTCGTACTTCGATATCGACATCCTCCTCTAGTTCTAGATCGCCTTCACCTCGTAATGTCGCATTGTAATCCTCCTCAAGGTCAGGGTAGTCGGACGCTTTCGCCACTCCTGAGGCGATCAACTGTCGAATTTCCCACCTCTCTGGCGAAGTCATTCTCTTCTTTTGTCGTTGCGGTGGGCCTAGAGTATCCCTTGGCATAGGCGGACCTGAGTCGAATCCGTTCCGCCCTGCCCCTCCCAACGCCTCCATGTTGGCGCCAGTCGTTAATCGCGCCTGTGGCTCTAGATCCTGCCCTGTCTGCTGGTCGACATCGCGCATAGACAGTCCTATCCTCTTGCCCTCAATATTGCTCACTTTGACAAAGACGTGTTGTCCAATAGCGACCAGGTCGGACGGGTGATTCACGCGCTGCCCAGCTACCAACCGTGACACATGGACAAGCCCATCCACCTTGCCACGGACATGGTGCAGGTTGACGAAAGCGCCAAAGTCCTTGACACCCGTGACGTGACCCTCGTAAATCTTGTGTAGCTGCGGTTCGTCGTCGATGTCTGGTTCCGGCGCCCTCTGGATGTGGTCCTTGTCATAGTCCTCGTCCTCGTCTCGCCGACGGCCGCGACTTTTGCGCGAGGGCTTGAAACCGTCTCGCCAGTCCTCATCACCGCGCTCTTGTGAACGTGACCGGGAGCGGTATTTGTCTCTTTTCCGTCTCTCGCGCGACCTGGATCTATCTCGTCTGCGTCGTCGCGATTCTTTGTGGTCGTCGCCCGGACTTCGACTTCGTTTCCTGGACTTTTCTGGTCGTTGCGCCTTGGGCTCGAGGCCTTCCAAGAGCGCCAGTGTATCATCGATAGCATCGGCGCCGTTCTTGTCCGGCAGGGCGAGCCCGCTGAAGACCTTCTCCTTCTCTTCGATGGTCCTCGACGGGCGGTGGTCTTCTGTCTGTGGCGGCGCCTTCTTGCCCTTCATCTTGGGATGCATCGTCATGACCAGCCGGTCGATGCTGTCCACCAGACTAGGCGGGAAGTCGGCGCCCGTCGCTTCGAGTTTGCTGCGGAAGCCATCGCTGCTGTCGCTGTCCACACGCTGCGCAATGAGAAACTCTGCGAGTGTCTTGTCCCCAACACCGACGTGATTCTGAAGCTCAGACGTGACCTTGGAGACGAGCGAGAGAATCTCGAGGTTGAGAAGGTCGTCCATGATAGGAGAGGTGCGCGCAGCGGGATGCGTGGAGGGAATAGTAGAGACAAGTCACCAGTCGCGCAACGAAACTTCGCGGATCTAGAAATCCTCGGTGAGCGGAAGGTTAATCTCGGTGAACTGGTCTCCACCTTTCGGTGAGCCACTGACACTAAGCCAGACTCAGGCTCGGTCAGGGGTGGGTCGGCCCTCGAGGCTCCAATCAGTGCAATCACCGATAACGTGCTGCGTCATACGCCGCGCAGGCAGGCAGCGATCCTCTTCCTGGGCACCGCCACGCTCCTGTCCTCAAGTCAGTCTCCGAGCCATCATCAACTCCATCTCCTTCACAACTTCTGTGCTAATATCCAGTCGGCCTCCGTAAACACTCTTCTTTCCATCCACCATGTGCTCAACCGATATCTTCCTCGGCGTCCTGGCCGTTCTCTTCCCCCCACTGCCCGGTAAGTCGTACCCCACGAGGGGTCCAGTCATCCCACATCACGCGCGCGCGCATGGTCTGCGTCGAAGCTCCTGCTAACGAGGCATAGTCTGGGTCAAGCGTGGCATCTGCAGCGCAGACTCTGTCATCAACGTCCTCTTGTCTATCCTCGGGTACCTCCCTGGCCTGATCCACGCCATCTACATCATTGCGAAGTACCCCGACGAGGATATGGCTGATTACGACTACGAGTCACTCCCTCAACGTGGCCGCGGCGGCCAGCGCCACATAATCTACGTTGTCGATGGCTCGCAGCGCCCCCAGCAGTCTGGGTACGGCACGCAGGGACCGCCCAAGGCTCAGCCCCAGCCCCAGCACCAAGGCGTTGAGGCGGGCGGCAGCTCATCCCAGGGCGACCACGGCGTGCCACCGTCGTATGCGGACGTTGTTGCTGGCGACAACAAGGTGCAAACACACGACTGAACGGGAGTGTTGGGATTGGTGGCACTGAGGAAAACCTCCAGTTCACTCGTCACTGACAGGACTTGATTGACGAACAAGGATTTGGGAACAAAGTCCTGTGATAACTGTCGCTACTGGTGCAGTACATTGTATTTTATGATTCTTTAACATTAAGCTTAGCACAAATAATAGGAATGGTCAGGAAACGACCTGGGTTAATTGATCTTGGTCATTTCGCTACTCTCGTCGACGAACGTTGTCTCACTCCTCAGCAACAGCTTCGAGCTGCTGTGCCTTCAACTTCTCCTGATACGCCTCCCATTCGGCACTGCCATCATCCACAATGTCATGGACCGACCTAGCAGGCCGATCATTTGGGCGCGGCTCGCGAAAGTGGCGCATCAGCTCCTGCGGAAGAAATGTGTAAAACGACGGCACAATCTGGCGTATCGCTTTGATGAATTTGAGGTCCGAATCAGTCTGACAGACCGTGGTTTCCATCTTCATGCCAACCTTCATGTTGGCCAGAATGTCGTCGTCCAAATACAGCGTCATGAAGCCTTTAGCGAACGGGTTGCTAACCTTGGGATGGACCAGCTCGTCTTCGATGATGGCAGGAATGACTCTGATTTTGCCAATAGGGGCCAGCCTCAATGGCGAGCCATCCACCTGGAGACCTTTGAAACGCTTGCAAAGAGTCTCAGGGAGGCGCTGAATGTCGCTAATCTCGACAGTGCAGTCAAACTGCCGGATGACCCTGTGGTGAGGCTGGGGTAACTTTGCAACGTCCTTTGGATTTTCCAGCAAGGTGAGAGAAGTCATAAGCACGAGCTTCGGGTCAAAATCTTCTTTCTGAGGATCCGCCATATACCAATCACTCTCGTCGTAAACGCCAAACACTTTTGTCGCAGCGAGATTGAAGAGGCCGGGAAACGCACCTTGCAGGCGGACCATCATCGGCCATTCGACAAGCGCGTCTTCGCAGACTTGGATGGCCTTCTTTACGTCGTCTTCGTACTCGGGGCAGACGTCGTGCTGCAGTACATAGCGCAGAAAGTTGTCGACAACGTTGACTGCCTGCTTCAGGGACGTCTCCTCCAGTCCGGTCATCTTGGGCACCATGTATGAGAAGAAGCCCGCCGCGACGCCTGCGAAATCCACAGACCAGTGCTCATCGTCACCGTTGTAGAACTTTTGATCGCCTTCGCCCTGGTGGACATGGCTCGTCGCGGTTGCTTCCCGTCGCTCCGCTGGTGTGAGGCTCTTGAGCGCCTTTGGGTCCTGACCGCCGAAAGGGTTGGGGTTAGAGTCGATGCCGCCGAGGAACAGATATTCGTTAAAAAAGCGGTCATACGGGGCCTGCAGGCGGCGGCGAGTGCGGAAACGTGTGATGCAAGATTGAATGCGCCTACAGTCGTCAGTCTAGAAGAACTCCTGTCCACCACGTCTAGCTCACTCTTCAAACGGCAGGTCACTATTGATGATTAGGTCAAGTCGAACTCGTTTCTTCTGTGAGACTTACACTGAGTATACGTTTTCTTCCTCTTCCTTCGCCTCTTGAGGCGTCATGGGAGCATCGGCAAAAAACTCTACGGACCGTCAGGAGGTTATAGTCTAGTGGAAATCGGGCCAACCTACCTTCCAGGCCAGTGCCTCTGCTCTGTGCTAGTGCCGTGGCCCCTCGAGCTGCTGCGGTCTTTCCTTTCTTCTTCTTCCTCTTCTTTGTCTTGATCTCCGTGGACGGATCTTCCATGAGAGAGTCCGCAACCTTGGGGGCTGACGCGGGTTGATCATGGACAACTGCTTCGTTTGCATGTGAAGCACATACCGGAGCTTCGGGGTCGCTATCAGTCATTGTGTCAAGGCGTACGGGAGAGAGGATTGCTACAATGTTCTTGAAAGACTTGAGAAGAAAAGCGTGAGTGAAGGAGAAAGATCAAGTCACTCTCGTCTCGCCAGTGGTTACAGCATTGGCTGTTTAGGCAGCTCACCTCGCGTCACGTAGTCTTTGCCTGGCTATAAGATCAGATGGATTAACGCTCCCAAAGTTTACGGAAACGTTGCTGCAAGTTTGTGCGTGCTTGTGCACGCCAGGATATCTGCATCGTTTGCTCCCGTCTTGCTGCTCGAGTGCGGTGGAAGGCTGGGCAATCAAGGAATCTCGATCTGACAACTGTGTACACTTAAGCTCTACGAACAGATCGACTTTCCTTGGAGCTCAAATCTGTCGCTCTTAGGATTATCGTTGAAATTTCTGGTCGAGCTGCCCAGGGACCACGATCAAAGCTTCACAGAACATTTACAGTTCTTGTGGCTTCCACCTCTCGACCTGCTATCTTCCTATATCAAGGGATTGTGCTTTTAGCCTCACGAAGTAGACATGCGGGAGTGTGCAGTTGAGTTGAGCCTCATGTCACGGGAGGCTTCACAGGCGTTGGCCGCGTTGCGATACAGGCGTTTTGATACCAAGTACCAACGCGTGTATCGGTTACCAACAGGGCCAGACTTGGCAAAGGTAGACAAGCAGTTGGTCCCTTTGACTAGAGGCTGATATCGGCTTCCGTCGCATAGCCACGACAAACAAGGCCATTTGTTGGCCTGCCTGTGCAAGACGGAAACCGGAGTCTGCCTTGGGTTGAAATTTAAACCCCTGTGCGGGGCTTCCAGTAGGCGATTCGCTGTGCGATCCCACTCTGATTGGCCAACAGCTGGAGGTGGCTCAGCGTGACGACGACTTTGCCATTGTCTGTAGCTCCGCCATGGTCAAGGTCCTCAAATGGGAATTCGGTTAGGAGCCGTGCCACCTCTGAAAAGCACATGCACGAGTTTGTCAGATGCTTCTGTCAAACTCATTTGCAAACGAGTGAGGCTGGGGGAGGGTAAGGTACCTTGCCGTATGGAGCCTGGGCGGTAAGACGCCCGTCAGCCCCTCCATCCTTCCCTGGCGCAACGTGGGGTCAAGGCTCAAATGCGCGATGATCTTCCTGACCGCAACATCCATAAACCCTTGAATCCCATTCCCAGCATTTGTTCTGTCCGTCTTTGACCCATCATTCCCATTTGCGAAGCGTTCTGCTGCATTGTTTGCGACGCCTTGGCTCCCGACTGCTCCTGCCGCCTGTTGTTTGCCTACCTTACCCTCGGCCCCCCACACAATTCGCGACTGTGCTGCACTGCTGTCACTCTGTGGCTTGCCCGACATTATTGACGCTTGACCTGCATATTCTTCCGCGACTGAACACGCGTATTCCAGTGCTCCCAATTCCGCGCTGCAAGACTTCTTCACCATGGAGGCGGCCGTCGACATCAGTCAGCTTCAGGCGTGCGGGCACGCTGTGGCTGGCCAGTGAGTTGCATAAACGCCAATGGAACAAATCAATAGGCTGACCAATCTGCAGTGCCGGCACTATGCAGGACCCCGATGGCAACCTGTTCATCAAGCCTTGCACGAAGCAAGAGCTCGATTTCTACCAGGCCGTCTATGACAAAGCAAAGGAGGAGGAAGCTGTTGAAGAGGAGCTGGAGAACAAGTTCCTGGCCGAAGGCCTGAACCCCGAAGACATTGATGCGCGGATAGACGACTGGCGCGACGAAAACCCCGATGCCACGAAATGGCGCGACCTGAAGAGCATCATGCCCGAGTTCATGGGTAGTCTCAGCCTCAGCGGCTCGGCGGATCTAGCAGTCAGCGAACTCGTCGCCGCCGTCGTGGGCGATACGGGCGATGCCGCCAAAGACAAGGAGCAGGCGGCCAAGTTAATAGACAAGCAAGAGCAAGAGCAAGAGGCATCTGAGAAAATACCCGAGGAGTGGGTGCCCACCAACGGCGGCAAGATCTCTACCGACAAGGCCATTGTGCTGGGCAACTCCTCGGTTGGGTACAAGCACCCCAACATTCTGGATCTGAAGCTGGGCAAGGTTCTCTATGCGCCTGGTGCGCCGGAGAAGAAGAAGCAAAAGATGGACAAACTGAGCGCCGAGACGACCCATGCCAAGTACGGGTTTCGCATTGCGGGCATGAAGACCTTCCGCGGGTCGACTGACGAGTCCCAATTGAACGAAGAGGAGTACATGGTGTATGATAAGGAATACGGGCGCACCTTGGTCAACGACGATACCCTGGTGAACGACATTGGCAAGTTTCTGTTCAACGAGCGAGCGGGCATCGACGAACCGCTGGCCAAGGCAGTGTGCCGGGCTATCTCGCAAGAGGTGGAACGCGTCGAGACAATCCTGTCGCGCATCGGTGTGACCATGTTCTCAGCGTCGCTGCTCATTGTTGTCGAAGGAGATGGCAAGGCGCTCAGGACGGCAATCAAGCAGCACAACACACTCGCCGAGGCCCTGGATGCTGGTGAACCCTCCACCGTCAAACTGGAGGATCGCGTTGATAGTGGCATCGCGCTCCAAGACGAGGATGACGACGAGGACGAGCTGGGTTACCCGCCAACCTGGTCCGTGAACCTGATTGACTTTGCGCACGCGCGCTTCTTGAAGGACGACAATGGCAATATCACGAGTGAGCCTGACTCCAACTTCATGGACGGTATAAGGAACGTGAAAGAGATCTTCGCCAAGCTTGGGCGTGAAGCTTAGAAGTGAGAGGCATACATGCAGCGTTTAGTTCGAATACCCAATGCGTACATACTAGAACAGGGTCCCGATGGCGCGTACTCGATGCAATATTGCCGTGAACGTGTTGACTTCCTATGGTGGTCTCCATATCAACATCACGACAGCGATTTACCACAGCTACAAAGAGGCCGAAAGCTTGCGCGCATTAGGGACTTGAGTTATTGGCAGATGCGTGTCAACATGTATCATCACACTTGAAACAGCTTTCTCAGGAATGAGAGGAAGCCTTGCTCGAAAACAGCCGTTCTGTCAAACGCCAGTTGGAGGATTAGGGTAGCTGGTTCAAGGCCGGTGGGGTGACCAGTGATCCCCAAAAAGCTCGAGCTCCGACCATATCCCAGAGTCAAGCTCGACGGCAATCTTCGCCTTGACCGCGCTCCAGCCTAACGCCAATGTAGCCGCCATGTCAATTCCAGGCCTGGGCCAAATTCCGTCACAGGTACGGCATGGATCCATCACATTTCCCTTTTCGATCCGCTGACTGAACTCAGACGACCACAGCGTCGGCACGGACGATTACGCTTCGCCCAGCCTGGGAGTACCGCTTCGAGACCGAATCAGGCACGACACTCACAATCAAGCTGAACAATGGCGTAGCCGAGAAGGATGGCATCGAGCTCGCGCCACGAACGCCTTACACGTTCGCCAACATAAAGTCCAAGATCACGACGTGGCACGGCTGCGAGCTGGACATTGAGGGCGCGACGGCCAGCGAATCCGTCGCCGAGTACGCTACACTGGTAGACAACCCGGGAAATGCACTTCTCAACCTCCATGCGCGCTTGTCCGAAATGCGCGACAGTGCAGCGCGGGAGAGGAAACATGGCCCACGCGTACTTATCACCGGACCAGCAGACGTGGGTAAGACGACCGTCACACGAACGTTGGCGAGCTATGCGACGAAGCAGGGCAGCCAGCCACTGGTCGTCAACTGTGATCCCGAGGAGGGTATATTGACGCTCCCCGGAACGTTGAGCGCGGCCGTGTTTGCAACCGTCATGGACCCCGAGGCCACCGACGGATGGGGTTCCACACCGACCAGTGGCCCTAGCAGTGTGCCGGTGAAACTTCCCATTGTCCAGTACTACGGCCAAAGAAACGCCGAGGACGAGCCTCAATTCTATCGTGAGCTCGTTGCGCGGTTGGCGGACACGGTCAGCGGTCGCATGCAGGAGGACGCGGACGTCAAGGCATCGGGCGTCATTATCGACTCGATCGATTTGGTCGCCAAAGGTGACGAGGGCTACGACATCCTGGCCCACATTGTCGACGAATTCTCAGGTGAGAGTTTTTACTGTCGAGTTTGCTGGCACCGTAAACTAACGCGGGTTCAGTGAATGTGATTGTCGTCCTCGGCTCGGCCGAGATGAATTGTACGCTGGCCAAGCGCTTCGGCACACAGCAAACTAGCGTAGGCGAGCCCATCCATGTTGTCAGTCTCGACAAGTCCGAAGGTGCTGGGCCCAGAAGCAACATGCTCATGGAGCGAAACCGGGAGGCTGTAATCAAGGAGTACTTTTTCGGCGATGCTCGGCGCACACTGAGCCCGCAGATCCAGCAGGTCGACTTTGGGAGTCTGGTCATTTACAAGCTACAGGATGGCGGCCGACTGGTGCGCGAGCAGCCCTCCTCGGTCATGCAGCACTGGACGCTGGCCATCATGCATGCCTCAACCAGGGACACCCCCGAGACCATCCGAGCAGCTGGCGTGATGGGTTATGTCTACGTCTCGGACGTGGATGAGGAGCGCCGCAAGGTCAAGATGCTGGCGCCGGTCAGTGGCCGGCTGGGAGATCGACCCATGGTCTGGGGCAGGTGGCCGGAGCCGTACATCAATTTGCTTGGGTAGGTGATGCCGTCGGCATTGTGATAGAGGACGTGTGCTCGTGCGTTCGCCGCCACCGAATCTGGGAAGACCCCCGTGTATAGAAGCTCGCGGCTCCCGACACAGAACACGCAGACGGATTGCCTGCTGAAACAGGGACCAATACAAGACTTCAAGATTCACCGTGCCCACGGATGGTGATGCCACACTGCGGTCCAGATGGAAGTTGGACGTCCGTGTCAACTCGAGCAACATGCCCTCGGGTCTGTGAGATCTTGTAGTGCGGGCCCGGACAATTGGGTCTCATTGACCCAGTTCAACTCTCCCGCTATTGATGCTTCCTCGAGGCTCACTACCTCTCCGGCTCTGGTTGTGCGAGCAGAAGAAAACCCTTTATCACAGCTGCCATCATTACACGCCCAGCATTTGTGTCTGCTAGAGTGAAACCACATTCTAAAATGCCTGTCTCCGCTTTTCCAGGAGTATCGTGTGGTGGTGTTTGACGGTTGACCGCTTCATGCAGCCAACTCGACTGCAGTCCACAAGAGTCACGATAGCTTATAGCCCCGTCCATTATCGAGCAACGTCATCTTTATTTGAATGCAACTCGCATCGCACAATTTTAACTGACCTATCTATACGCCGTGTTTGATGGTGAATGCTACATGTAGACAATCTGGTGGAAACCGCCAAAAGCCCAAAGTGCTACATAGCCGCCGGCCCAAGATGCGTAGCCGCCGACCAAAAATACACACAATAGCCGCCCAGAACGTCCAGATCGACTGGCTACAAAGATTGCAAGTGAAAAGAAGCACTGACATGATTACTTGGCATTTTCGGGCACCTGAGCAGACATTACGGATCTACAGATGTCCTAGTTCTGTTGTACTCCCACACCTTTAGATCTCGAGCTAGACACGATTGTGTTACTTGCTCATTGCATCGAAGGCAAATCACAGGACCATGAACTTTGTCAATCCACCACCGGACGATGGGAACCGCGACTACAGCGACAATCTTGTGTATCCCCTCGGGCAGGAAGTCGATGTGAAATGGACGCCGAGCGAAGTGGAATCGCCGACCTCGGTCGTCATGTGGCAAGTCAATCTCACGACCGGGAAATGGATTGGGGATTTTGAACATGTCACACGTATGTCTGCATCAAGTCGGACGGCTGAAGTAGCATCATTGCTGACATTTATATCAGGGAGAACGGTCAATATCCGAGAATGGGAGTGGTTCGTGGGAACTGGAAAAGACCTCGATGTGTCGAATGTGTTCTTTCTCAGCTTGTATGAGGATGAAAAATCAGTGTCGACAGCAAATAGTCGCTATTTCAACATCACCAAGGTCGAGGAGGACTTCAACGTAACAACCACGTCCACACCCACACCAACATCGATGAGCACGAGTACAACAGTCCCAGAACCGACAACATCGGCAGACAACAATCCGAAAAAAGATGAGATCGAAGATGCGGATGGGTCCTCAGATGGCCTGAGCACGGCTGCTTACGTCGGCATAGCTGTTGCGATAGCATGTGTCTTCGCCATCCTGGCTTTCTTGTTTTGGTGCTGGTTCCGAAGACGGCGGAATACAAGGAATCCATCTCAACAACAAGACTATATGGGGAACCCTGGCGACGAGAAATGGAGCGACTCGGCTCACACGAGGGAGCTGGGACAACAATGCTATCCGGCAGAACTTGCGGACAAGGTACATGGACCGCCAAAAGTCTACGAGTTACCGGCCGCAAGGTTCTCGAGGGCGGAACTGCCATCTTAATTATCAGATTGAACCTTTCACACGATAGTTGACGTCCACCTGAGCGGCTTGCATTTTGTCAAGCATGTGTACGAATATAGTATGATGGGAATACTCCTAGATCATGAGTGCTGAGCATCGAGTTAACGCAGGCTGTACATGTTGCACCTCGTCCTCTGCGGTATATTAACATCTTGGTGATGTACGGTATCCTAGCTATTTAAGATGATGCCAATGGAATACTCGGCGTGATTCTATTGTGCAAAGGCCTTTGCTCACTTTGCATTATTTGAGCTCAGGCCTAGGTAACCTGGTGTCTCGGGAGTGACCCTCCGATGTTGATAACTTGATTTAAACAAGACTTCACTTTTAAGCAGTCATAGCCCCGAGGGCAATGCTTTCAAGACAGAGGCCGGTGCCGAGCTAGATGTGCGATTCAGTGGACATCTTTCCAGTCCAACGTTTGACAATGGCACCCAACCATGTCACTGACGCTCGACCACGTAGGATATCCACGAATTGTTCCATTGGCCAGGTGGAAAGTTTGTCCACGCGAATAGCTCCCAGTTTCTATCGAATATTCGCCGTCAGGTTCGAATAAGCTTCCATTGATCCGTGATGCACTAGGACTCTCCCCGTATGCTTGCAAACCCTGCGCACCTCGGTCTAGACCAAGAACGCCCTCGTAGAGACGCAAGTACGTCTCGCCCAAGATTCCAGAGCTCAAACCCAGTTGCCGGCGCTCTGCAAGACTGCAACTATTGTTTCGCTATCCGCAGACCGCAACGTCCACGTCGCAATATGTCGGACATTGTCCGAATGCCAAGGTCCTGATCCCCTGTCTAATCGATTTCTCTTCTCCTCCATGCCCCTCCTCCAAGTCTTTGCAAGCGCTGAGTTCTCCGCGTTCTACCGCTTTGAGGCATTCGGGACATGGGGTTAAGCTCACGCCCACACAGTGCGTCCGCACGAAATGATACCTCCCCGCATCCCGCGTAACTTTATTTGAAGCCAGGATGCGAGGTATCGTGGGCCATGGGCTACCGGTCCCTACTTCTGCGGTGCGGATGACTTCCAACCTGCAGGTGGTTTCCTTTGGGGACCCCGCCGGCGTGAATCCGTGAGGCCTCCGGCTCCCGGACGCGGGAACAGGGCTTACAATGTCGGCTTTTCGAAGACACAGAGACGTTCCACGGCGCCGATGGCGCTTTCATCACGGAGGTCCGTCGGAGACCGAGCGCTGTCGGAGGATACTGCATGGTTAGCTGCTCCAGTCCCCAGTCAGGGAGGTCGACACGATGCATCCGGAACTCAACTCGCAATGCCTCTGCTTCAGTTGCCTGCGCCAAGCGTCCTGCTGCATGGACTGTGCCTCCCTCGTTGCATTGATATCCGTCAGAGAGAGCAATTAATTAGATGTTGTTGCTGAAGCCGTACGGCACAGGATTCGCGAGGTGTGGCCTGCTCGGCTGAGGATTGGCCAACCCGAGCAACACCATGCCACTCCCAAAATGGATGAAATATGCTTAAACTTAGCGCGGCGCACGTGCATGCCTCATGTCCCGGGAAGAGGGGTTCGATACACGTAAATCATTTCGATTGCAACGTCCTTTTTTTTTTTTTTTTTTTTTTTTTAAAAAAGAAAAAGCACCGTATTGTCCACCTGCTCGACGATCGTTCGCCGCAAATTGTACGTGCCTCATAGACGCTCTGCTTTGAGGCAGTAGAAACACGGGCAATAAGTGAATAAGTGACTGCACCAGTGTATCGAAGAATGGGCACGCGAGTCGTCAAGCGCAAGGGAAATCGTTCAGATGCAGCCAGCTACGGAAGTTGTCCGCAGTTTCCTGTCTCCCGAGAACATTGGCGGCAGGGTGCCACCCTTGGGAAGTCGGGGAAGTCATTGGCTTTCTTCACTTCTTGGTATCCCACTTGTGAATTGAATCCTTGCTCATGGATAATTAAAGTTTAACGTTTTGCCCCGTGGATGAGGGGAAGCTCTCGCGCTAAATGGGACTCGACTCGGTGGACTCCAGCAGTCCAGCCTCAGAAAGGTCAGTTCGTCAAAGGCTGGTCCTTTGCACGTCGTTGTTGCCTGCTTTTGCGTTTGAAGCGACGCTTGATATGATGCGCCCACCGCCACCAGAGTTGGCACATTCCCTGTTTCTTGAATTGTGGAAGTTGGCTCTTACTGTGCTAATCATCCAGGCTAATCAGTTGATGACGACGCTGGGCAGTGAAGCAATCCGCGGCCAATCAGCATTGGCCATAGGCTCTCCACCATTATCAAGCAACCCGTGACCGGCACCGTGCTGCAGTAGTGTCCAGACAGCTCTATCTACTTGCACAAACAATGCGCACAGTCTTCGGCTCATACTTTGCACCAGAGCCTGGCCAATCACCCAATCATCGCAGTATCCAGGTCTTGCAGCGCCTATCGCTGCAGGCCTCCAGCTTCAAGTCAAGCAGCGCTGTGTCCCGGCGGATCTCTGTTAGCGCTCCTTCCCAGTCTGCTGATGTCATCGTGAAAAAGGCCCATGTCTGACTAGACAGCGAAGCAAACATAAGCCCGCACGGTCGAGGACTCGTGTGACGATGAGATGCATCTGATACCGCTCCCTTGCTTTTCTTCTTCCAGGCGGGTTTTGTGCACCTTTTAGTACGCGGTACCCAGCAAGCCAGATCGCCCACTGGCCGGAGGCAACCGGCCAAGAGTGATGTGGTAAGAGCACACAGTGTGGCTTGGGGAGCTCAGCCACCTTTGTCCGCCACTGGCCTCCCTGAAGCACGGGCTGGCCCTCTGAAGCACCAGCCGCAGCCTGAGTAGCACAGTGTGTGAGATCTGCATCGATTGGCTCCGCGTACACAGGGAAGGACAGCCCCGCTCGTGACTGCTCCCCATCTTCCACGACGGGCAAGGCCTCGCGTCCGTCCCCCCACCCCTGTATTCCGGCAGCATCAACCACATCCGGGTCTCCCACGCTGCCCACTTGGCACTCACTCGTCTCGTCGAATGGATGGCCGCTCGCCTCGCTCGCTCGCTCGGTTGCTTGCTTGCCCGCCCATCCATCCATCGTGATTAAAAGCCCGGGATCCTACCCGTCCCTTTCACTGATCTTCTCCCCTTTCTCTCCCCAACGCCTCGCGCCCGAATATACATTCGCCCGCAAGCCTTCCTTATCCATCGTCGAGCACTACTACCTCGACCTCGCCTCACTTCAACGCACCACTGCCCAAGCCCTTCACCCCCCCCTTCTTAGCATTACCTCCAAACCCCTTCGATGGGAGAAACCGAAGCCAAAAGTACGAATGGTGCACTCCACACCCACTCCTCTGCGGACTCGACGGCCCTCGCCAGCCCAGACGACCAGCCTCCTATATGTGGGCCACAGCATGCGATAATAGAGAAATCAATCTTGCCCCATACGCTCCCGGCCAGCACCGTCGCTGAGAACCTCAACACTCACGTCGACCATGGTCTGAGCAGCGATGAGGCTGCCGCCCGCCTTGAGCGGGATGGCATGAACACCATCAAAACCTCAAAGGGCCCGTCCCTCTGGGAGATCTTCCTGGCTCAGGTCGCCAATGCCTTGACAGTGGTCCTGATTGCCGTCACGGTCCTGTCCTTTGCCATCGACGACTACATTGAGGGGTCTGTCGTTGCGGCCGTCATCGTCCTCAACATTGTTGTGGGCCTTGTCCAGGACTACCGCGCCGAGCAGACCATCCAGTCTCTCTACGCCCTCTCCACCCCCAAGTGCAAGGTCATCCGCAATGGAGTCAGCGACACGGTCAAGGCGGAAACGCTTGTCAAGGGCGACATTGTTGTCCTCGCGACCGGTGACATGATTCCTGCCGACCTGCGTCTGATCCAGGGCATCAACCTCGCCACCGACGAGGCGCTCCTCACTGGCGAATCCATCGCCATGTCCAAGAAGCCCGAGGCCGTCTTCCAGGACTCTGACATGCCCATTGGCGACCGCACCAACTTGGTCTACTCTGGTAGCTCTGTCACTCGCGGCCGCGGTACCGGTATCGTCATTGCGACTGCCATGGAAACCGAGGTCGGCCAGATTGCCGAGCTCCTCCGCCAGGAGAAGCGTGACACCACCGGCAAATCCCCTCTCGCCAAGTTCATCATCAAGGCGTACACGTCTTTCCGCGGAATCATGGGTCTTGAGGGCACTCCCCTCCAGGTCACGCTCAGCAAGTTCGCCCTGCTGCTGTTTGGCTTGGCCATCCTCCTCGCCATCATTGTCTTCGCCGCCAGCAAGTTCGACATTTCCGATGAAGTCTTGCTGTACGGTATCTGTGTTGGTGTCGCCGTCATCCCCGAGTCTCTACTCGCTGTGTTGACTGTGACCATGGCTGTGGCCACCAAGGCCATGGTCAAGGGTAACGTCATCGTTCGTCAGATGCCCTCGCTCGAGGCTGTTGGTGGTGTCACCAACATTTGCTCCGACAAGACTGGTACTCTCACTCAAGGTCGCATGATCACCCGAAAGGTGTGGCTCCGCAATGACCTCGAGGGTAGCGTCACCGGCGCTGGTGACCCCTACGACCCTGGCAGCGGTACTGTCTCCTGGTCTGCTCCGCTCGCCGGGAGTGTTCTCAGCCAGTTCCTGACCACCTTGATTCTGTGCAACAACTCCACGGTCACTGATGGCCGCAAGGAGCCCGAGACGGACTCCAGCAGCGTCACCACCGCCAATGATAGCGATTCACAGTGGAGGGCTATGGGCGAACCCACTGAAATCGCGCTTAAGGTCTTTGCTATGCGCTTTGGCAAGAACCACAGCAACGGCGACGACCTTTTGGCCGAGCACCCCTTCGACTCCTCCATCAAGTGTATGTCGGTTGTCTACGGCAACAAGATTGAGGGTACTCGTACCGCCTACACCAAGGGCGCTGTCGAGGTTATGTTGACGTACCTCGACGAAGATGAGAAGCTCAAGAACGAAATCCTCGCCAAGGCTGATGCACTTGCCGAACAGGGACTCCGCGTTTTGTGTATCGCGTCCAAGCCCATGGGCGACTCCCCAGCCGAAGATGTCAACGACCGCGCCAAGGTCGAGAAGAATCTCAAGTTCCTCGGTCTGGCTGGTCTCTATGACCCTCCCCGCCAGGAAACCGCGGGTGCTATCCAAGCCTGCCACGGTGCTGGCATCACTGTTCACATGGTGACTGGTGATCACATCAAGACGGCTACATCCATCGCTTACGAAATCGGTCTGATCAAGAAGGGTATGGCTTTGCCTCCCAACGCCGTCATGGCCGCTGCCGACTTTGGCGCCCTTTCGGATGACCAGATTGACCAGATAGAAAACCTCCCTGTTGTCCTGGCTCGTTGCAGCCCTCTGACCAAGGTCCGCATGATCCAGGCTCTGCATCGTCGCAAGGCCTTCTGTATTATGACTGGTGACGGTGTCAACGACTCGCCTGCTTTGAAGCAGGCTGACGTCGGTATCGCTATGGGTGACCGTGGGAGTGATGTCGCCAAGGAGGCTTCCGACATGGTTCTCACTGACGATAACTTTGCTTCCATTGTTACCGGTATCAAGGAGGGACGTCGTTTGTCTGACAACATTCAAAAGTTCCTCCTCCATCTTCTCACGTCCAACTTGGCGCAGGTCCTTCTCCTCTTGATCGGTCTCGCCTTCAAGGACGGTGACAACAACTCAGTCTTCCCTCTTTCTCCGCTGGAGATCTTGTGGGCCAATCTGATCACCTCATCGCCGCTCGCTCTTGGTCTCGGTCTGGAAGAGGCCCAGCTTGACATCCTGCAGCGCCCTCCCCGCAGTCTCCGCACCGGTGTCTTCACCATGGATCTCGTTCGCGACCAGCTTGTGTACGGTACCTGCATGGGCTCCGTCTGTCTCATGGTCTTCATGTTGGTCGCCTACGCCGGCCCTGGCAAGGGCTTTGTGGACCTGGACACGGGCTGCAACACGGACGGCGGCTCTCACTGCAACCTCATCTTCGAGGCTCGTGCCACCACCTTTGCGACCCTCAGCTTCCTGTTGTTGGTCACTTCGTGGGAGGTCAAGCATTTCCACCGCTCGCTGTTCGCCATGGACGAGCGCTGGTCCGGGCCCTTCTCGGTGTTCAAGACCATCTACCACAACAAATTCCTGTTCTGGTCGGTCATTGCGGGCTTCGTCATGACCTTCCCCATCATCTACATTCCCGTCTTCAACACGGAGGTGTTCAAGCACCGTGGTCTGACGTGGGAGTGGGGTGTTGTCGCTGGTGGCGTCGTGCTCTACATTGCCCTCATTGAGTCGTGGAAGGCCGTTAAGCGTGCCTTTGGCTTGGGCGTTGACCAGCACCCCACCGCAGGCATGACTGTCTAAAACAGGAGGGAGAATGGTTTGAGGAGAAAAAGTGAGACGGGGTGATGGGACGGGATTTGACAGGGTTTTCAAAGATATACCATTCACAGAATGACTACATAGGATAAGGTATGCCTGAAGGACAATATATTTTCCCCTGGTGATTCTTCGCGCTTGCCAATGCGATGTTTGTTAGTAGTGCAAGATTGCCAGGCAGACCGTGGGTCGAGGCAAGGAGTATGTAGGGTAAGCCACTGTACTAAAAGGTGTCATGAGAAAGGGGCTGAGATTGCGGGGGCAATCAATTGTGCATGGCGGGGAAGACTCCGATTTTGGTAACCGTTCAAGCCACAATCAGGGCTTCAATCCGTTGATCCCCAGCCCCGTGACCTGACTGAAACTCCTACCTAAACACTGAGCCTTGCCTTTGCCCTTGTCACCATCGCCATCATCTTCACTTACCAAGAACCGCCGGCCACCGGTGACGACAAAACCAGCGCATCTCATGGCATCACTCGTGCCCCTACATGGACGACGCGCCACAGACATGAGTCTCGCCCAAGAGTAGCCAGTCAGTCACTCGACGGACAGACGGCCATGGGGAGCCGCATCAACAAGGCCTGCGATGGCTGCCGCGTCCGCAAGGTCAAGTGCAGCGGCAGCCAGCCCTGCTCACAATGTGCCCATCTCGACCTGCCCTGCCAGTTCTCGCCACCCACGGGCAAGAGGAAGCCTGGCGTGAGGAACAGGCTGGTTGAGCAGCTTCGAGGGGGCAATGGACCGCCACCAGCGTCTTCACAACCTGGCGCGATCATCGCAACACCACAGCAGCAGCAGCAATCCGGGCCTCACTATTCGCATCATGCTCAGCCTCATTACCAGCAACAAACACCGGCACCGGCACCGGCCCAATCTCACTACCAGCCGCACCCACACCAGCCGCAATCAATGAGTCCGCCCTCTGTGACCTCAGTCGCTGGAATCATCAATGCGCCTTCACCGGCAAGCAGCACGGGGACAGCCATCGAGTACACGCCCGCCTTCTTCCAGCGCCTCCTCCCAGACTACGAGTCGGCTGTCTACCCACTCAGTCCCATCATCACGACGGACGAGATGCGCGCTGCCATTGACACAATGGGCTCCTCCCACGAGGATGCGGCGCTCGTCTACGGCTTCGCCGCCGTCACGATCAACCTCACACAGATATCATGGACGACGCTCAACGGGGACGTCGCGACGCAAATGACGGATCTAATCCAGCGCTGCCTCGCGTCCCATCGCCTGGCTGACCTGGGCGGCGTCACGCGACGCCACGGCATGACCAACATTGCCGAGCTGCCCGTCACCGTTAAACGCGTCATGACATGCATATTCATGGAGATCAGCATGATGGCCTTTCGCCTGTTTGAGCGCAGCTTCGCCATCCTACGCGAGGCCATCGCTCTCATGCAGACCATGAAGATCTCTCGCCTCAAAGACCTCCCCAAGCACGAGCTCGCCCGCCGCCAACGGCTGTACTGGGAATGCTTCATCCACGAAAAGTTCGTCACCATCATGAGCGGGTGTCCCAGCATCCTCCCGCCGCTCAGCACGGGTCTCCCTCTCGAAGACGAGACTATACCCGCCCACGTGGACTGCGGCTTCAAGCGACTCATGACCCTTTTCGCGGCCATGGATGATTCCTTTTTGCAGCACTGGACGGCGCAGCAACAGTCGTGGCATACGGATGTCGAGCCCATGACGGCCGAGTGGGTGGAGAGGAAGCAAGCTCAGCTCGACGCGCACGAGGTCGAGACCGCACAGGCCGAAGAGGAGTTACGGATTCGAGGGCAGGGCGGTCTGACGGAGCTGCAGCATGCTGATATCTTCGTGACGCGCCTGTGGCTGCGCACGCTCATCTGGCAACTGGCCCTGTCGCACGGTCTGCTGCGCAGCGCGCCGCCCGACACGAGCCACCAGGGTCTGTCCCTGCACTTCCCCGCCCACCGGCTGTCGTCTCAGCTGCGATCACTCGTGTCCAAGCTGTCGACGTTTGCCAGTGTCGGGCGGCACGGCAGCGGGATACTCCAGAAGTTGTTTGAGATCACCACGACGGTGGCGGACGTGCTCGCCATTCCGCCGGGGAACACGGCGAGTCAAGAGGACGTTAAGAGCCGGATGGAGGATTTTATCTTTGTCGTTGGATTTTTGTTTCGCTTTGAGCGCATCTCGCCCGAGGAGAGGGCGTATATGCGGGAGAAGATGGAGGTCCTGCGGCAATTGTACACGGTTGTTGACTTTGGCAGCTTGGCGGTTGGGTCTGCTTGAGGCGAGGACGGGCGGAAGTTGGATACCAGGGATTTGCTGGTGGGATTAAGGCGATACATGGTTGGAGTGATGATACCTATAGCTTGGCGTTCTAGTTTTCTTCTATGGAGCGGTAGATTGCATTCAGCATAACACATATTCAAACATCCCACACGAAAGCTTCCCCCTGGCCGAATCAAAGCATGCAAACGCCGGGCCGTCAGGAGAAAGAAGTACGCTCCGACAGTCAATGGCCACACTCTTGTGTGCCGCATCGCACTGTACGTAGCCGTTGTCCTTTCAGTAGACCCAACACTCTCGCTCGATACCGACGTTACGCCCTCTTGTTTTCCTCGCACCATGGAGCGTCCACGTCCCACCCTGCTCGCTGGTCTTTAGCTGGACAGAGGCGACTTTTTACCGCATGCTGTCGGTTCTTGACGGTAGGCTGGAGGGTGGTACCGCGGTGATGACGAGGTCCCTCGCGGCGACTTTATCGAATCTGGGTATACTGGCTCGACACCCGTGACTTCGGTGACACTCGAGAAGAAGTCCATAAAGGCGCCTGTGTCAAACGAACCGCATCCCTTTTGAGCCATGCAGTACTTGAGATATTCGACAGCATCCTTTAATGACCTGACGACTCGTTCCCGCTGAGAGGGACCGCGGTTCGCATCTGATGTAAAGTCAAGGGCATATTGTGCGAGATCTAGAGCGAGGCAGTATGCGCCAAGCATTTTGTTCGCGTCGAAAACGGCTTCACTCTCTGTGGAAGACCACCGATATCTTTCCATCTTCTCAAGGTGGCGATTAAAATCTGCCGCCTTTTGGATCTCTCATGGCGATAACGACCGTCTACCATCTTTCTGACGTGGTGTTTGGTCGATCTCGCTCTGGCAAGCAGCTTGTCGCGAAGACCCGTGGCATCATGCTCATGGGCTTCCTCAAGTCGTGGGCTGGTGGAAGTGATCTGATCACAGTCGCCGTTCTGACAGAAATGATGATCCTTTAATATTTTGCTGATGCGTTGCGTGGTTGCTTCCACTCCAGGGAGCAGCTGCTCGTAGCGAAGGCCGGACGCATCATGCTCAGGGTGCTCTTGTAGTCGTGGAACGGTCGAGATGATACGGCTGACGTTGGACATTGCCGTTTGTAGTTCAAGGTTTGACGAGGGCACCTTGTTGATGAAGGATCGAATGTCATTCTCCAAGGTCTCGCTGGAGTGGAGAACATCGTCTGGTGTCATGGCTCTGATCAGAGTACGGCGTGGATTATACGGTGTGTGCTACGGTCAGTGAGTCTGCCAAGGAAAAGGCTTAAGACAGTACAGATCAAGATGCATAGAGAATAGAAAATTAGAATGGCGAAAGACGCTGGATATAACGCTGCTAATGCCCGGGGCCACAATCTCTTTTTGGCAGGGTCTCATCACAATGCATGATCCACAAGGCTGACTGACAGACTGCATCAAGTTCGGTGGGCGGACTTGCTGGATACATTCACAAAGCCGTAAACGCGGCTGTTGGCGATCTTCGGCGCTTATTAAATCTGCACAGATAAGAGGGCAGGGCGCAAGGGCCATTAGAATCGAGGCAAGCACTTGATCCGATTCACGAGAGCAGCGTAAAATCTGGTGGCCAGTTTTTGCACTTTGGTGAAGGATTCAGAGACTAGCCAAAAGACTAAGTACCCTTTTGCTTCGCCATGAGGCCAACCAAGGGCCCCCTGGGTGCATCGTCCTTGTCCAGCATAATCTCCACCATTCTCAACCCCTTGCCGTCACTCATTCTCTTGTCCTGCAGAATGTTCTTCAACTCGCCATACGTCTTGGCCCGCGCGGTGAAAGTATCCTCCTTAGCACCGAAGAACTTGGGCGCCTCGAGGTAGCGCCAGTCGGCAACATCGTTGTACGCCTGCTCCCGCCCGTGGATGCACCGCTCAATGGTGTACCCGGCGTTGTTGATCAGGAAGACGACCACGTCGAGATTGTGCGCGACAATCGTGCCCAGCTCCTGCGCTGTCATCTGAAAGCTACCGTCGCCAATGAGGAGGATCGTGCGCGCGTCCTCGCCCGAGGCGCTCTGGTCGCGACGGGCGAGCGCCGCGCCTTGCGTGGCGGGGAGCATGTACCCGATACTCAGCCATGTTGCTGGGTTGAAGAGCCGCACGCCCTTGGGCAGGGGCATCTCGCGCGCGCCATAGCCGGGTGTGCCTGTCTCGGCGAGGAGTACGTCGTTGGGGCGTAGGAAGTTGGCCATGACGTGCCATAGGCGATCTTGCGCGAGGATGTCGTTGTCGGACACGTCAGAGTAGGGAATAGCGTAGTCGCGCGAGATGGTTGGGTAAGTGTCGTACTTTTTGAACGACCCTGCTGCGAAAGACTCGAGGAGACGATCGGTTATCACTTTGACGGGAACATCTCGAATGATGTCCCCGCCGATGATGAGTTTGGTGTCCTGGAAGGCAATGGTGATTTCGGGGTTTGGGATGCTGGTGTAGGCGTGCGTGTTTGTCCAGCTGTTGTGAGGTCCGTAGGAGAAAACCAGGTCGACATCCTTGATAAAGTCCTGTCTCTCCTGGAGGTCAAAGGCACCCATATTGATACCGTGGAAGTTGGCCACCGTCTCGTCGACAAGTCCCTTGCCGAAGCATGTCGTAAAGGTAGGCCAGTTTGTGGCTTTCATGATGTCTTCCACTCCTTTGATCATGTCCATGGGCCGCGTCTCGCCGTCGATGAGGATCATGGGCTTTTTCGCCTCCTTGACCTTGGCCAGGATCTTTTCCAGGGCGGCATCAACGTTTGATGATGGAATTGCGTCAGAAATTGTGATAGGCGATTTCAGTGCAGACCCGTCGACCTCAGCGCCGACCATATCAACGGGTACCTCGATATACACAGGTCTGGACTCCCTCATGCAGGTGGCAATGACCCGATCAATCTCGTCGCACGCCACACGCGCATCGAGCAGCCTAGTCTGCGCAGCCGTGACCCGCGCCGCCATGTCGCTGAACCTGCCAAACTCGCCATCGCAAAAGGTGTGATGGACCAGGGCCCTCCCGTTGATCTGCGCCCTTGTAGGGATGCCCACAATGTGCACCACGGGCACTCTCTCGGCATACGCACCCGCAATGGCGTTGATGGCTGACAGCTCACCGACACCAAAGGTGGTCACCAGCGCACCGAGACCGGTGAGGCGCGCATAGCCGTCGGCTGCATAGGCGGCGTTGAGTTCGTTGGCGTTGCCGACCCAGAGGAGGTTGTTTGGCTGCACGTAGTCGAGGAGGGTGAGGTTGAAGTCGCCAGGTACGCCATGCATGGACTTGACACCCAGTTGGTGCAGGCGCTGGAAGAGATAGTCGGCGAGCTTCATTCTTGATTTGCTCTCAGAGAAAAGGGGATTCGAAGAGGGAGTCTAAAAGGGAGGAGGATGAGAAAAAAGAACGACTGAGTGAAAGCTGAATCTATTGTGAGGTGGAGGTGTCTGTTTACATGGACAAGTGTCGGGACTCGGCTCTGGGGGTTTTATGTTGTTGATCATAGCGTGCCTTCTCCGCACTCGGATCCAGGATTCCTGGACTCCGATCCCCATACATTGCCGTCCGAGTCTCCATGTGACCAGCGACTGATTGTCTGGTCCTAGGTATCCGTAGACTGGATGGAGCCCACTATGATAGCGGCGTCGTAGGGCGTATCATAGGGCGCGTTGGGCAAGCTCGCGGCTGGACGCGGTATAAGATGATTGGCTCTCGGTTCCGAACATGGAGCTCTAGGGTAGGAGGACTGTGTTGAATTCAAGAAGATAATATCGCCCAAGTGCTCGACCTCACGTGTCTGCAAGACCCCGGCTTCGGCATCCGCACTTGACGTCCGTCGACATGCTGCCGTGGTCATCGCTGCGTGACCGGGTCAGTAAGTTTGCAGACCCTGAGAAACTGTTGCCGTATCCAGACGACTTGGTCCCCACGCAACCCACGACAGATGAGCTCTCCGCCCTCCTTTGACAGCACTTTGATCAGACTATTCAAGTGAAGCAGTGCGTGCGAAGGGCCTTGAACCAGTACATGTCGCCTGTAGTCGAGGAGACTCATCGCTTGATCCCCTCGGAGATACTGCGTACGCACGGCTTCGTCCAAGTCTTGGTCGTGGTAGTTGGGGATTCTGATCGCTGGGTCCGCGAGGTCGCGCATGCCTCCGTGATTTTGGCGGTTGCCCAGGTAAAACGGCATGGACCGGCAGATGGAGTCCACCAACTCCCTGCCGCGATTGGGATCTGGGAAACTGTATTCCTCGGTACATGTAGCAATCGAGATGGTTTGCTGCAGCGTCTCGGGGGGCGCTTTCGCAAGCAGACAGAGCTCCATCCGTAGGACCATGAGCCGACAAACGCGCCATACATTCCAGATGGTGGCAATCTGGACGGTCGGGTATATATCGCAGAACCCAAAATAAGCAAAGCTGTCCTGTTCGGGTTTTGCATAAGGCTGCCATGAGGCCGGCACCAACTGAACCCAACCCAAGAGTTGAGCGTCAACGGACGAAGCGTCCTGCCACCAAGTCGCGAGGGCCAGACTGTCCAGGTTATTCTTGGCCAGCCCGCACATCAAGGCGGATAGTCTCTTTTGCAAATCGGCAATCGAGAGCCCGATCAGGTCCAAGACTGCACTCGGGTTCGCTGGCATAGAATCGTCCCAACCCGCATCGAACCATACATCCAAGCTCGCGGTGTCGTCCGGTTGCATTTCCATAAATGTCGACACATCGCAGTGCCGCAGGTAGCTCCTCAAGTATGCGCGACAATCCGAGTCCGGGACGCTCCCGGCGCCATGTTCGAGCAATGCACGAGCCCCGTCCTGGTGGGCGCGCATGGTACGCTGGTGCGTCGATCGAGCAGCGAGGCTCTCGTAGAAATGCATCAAGATAGCGCCGAGGACGGTACTGTCCTTTGACCGCTCGAGGGGATCATTAAGAGCTGCTTGCAGGCGACTCAACGCCCTGGTGAACGGAGGATGAGGCGTTTGATAGCTGTCTGTCGGGGTTTTCCACAAACTCCAGAGTTTTGTTGACACGGCGGTCAGGACGGTCGAGAGGACAGAATCCGGATGCTCCTTGGCTACGACAGGGAAAAGAGGCTCCAGGAAGCCCTGGGTCGAGTCAAAGCTGCGTCCTAAGCTCGCGATCGAGGTGAGGAAGAAGCAGACAGCGGATGATTCGTCGCTGGGGGTAATCGTTGCTGGCATGACAGCCTGCCTTGTCCATTCTGCATGTGGCGTTGTCGACATGCGAGGGCTCCTGGACCGTGATATGGGCGAAAGGAGCCTTGCACCAGTACCCTGGTCCTTGAACCGAATCCCGCGTATCTTCTTCTCTGGCTCGTAACCTCCACACACCCGTCGCAGCCGGAGGCATTCACGACAATTTGGCCTGCCCTCGTCGCATTTGACGCGTCGTTTGCGACATGTCGAGCAGCCCTTTGAGGGGCCATGGTTGACCATGTCCAGTCTGCTGCGCAATGATCACGAGGGCCGATGTCGCTTCTGGTTGAGAGTTGCCACGCGGCCGGTTCTGTTTGCGATTCGCCGCATCTGGTCCAGGCCTTTTCATCTACTGGACTTTGCGTGTTGCTAGTAAGACTTGGGTCTTATGGGCTGGGCTATGCTTATGGCGCATGGATGACGGGGGGCAGAGCATTACAAGGCGACCAATCGCAAAGAAGTTGCCTTTTCCGTCCTAGTCGTCGCGGTATTATTCACGGGAGCTTCATGGTTCCTAATCCTGGCGACCTGGCCCCTGGGAGTGCGCAACCAGGAAACCCGAGTGCGAACATGAACCAGGAAAACACCAATCGCAAAGAGGCTCGATGCACGGCTGGTGCATAGTGTATACGTAGGTCCAGGTTGGTTGTGGGTTGCTCTCGCTGGAACAGATTGCGAGCACAAGCAAATGAAGATCAAAGGCAGTGCATCGCCGCGAACATTGTGACGTGATCAATATTCAATACCGTCATCAACAACTCTACCTGATCTTCCTACTTTCGAGTGCCTTTCAAAATGAAGTCAACTTCCCTGTTCAGCGCTATTCTGCTGGGGACAACGGTAGCCTCAAGCTCCATTCTCTCCCGCGACTCTGGGCCATCATCTTCGCCAAAGGACATGGAGCCGGAGGATCCCATCATCCTCTTGAGCGAGGACGAAAGCTTCCATTTCGAACTGCTCTTCACCCTCGGAAACACCATATTCGGGGCTGGCGACGTCAACGACGTCTTGGCCGCAGCGAAAGACATCGAGGCCGGGAACTTGACCAGCTGGCTGGAGACCTTCCACGCGTTGGCCGAATACACCAAGAAGCTAGCCGAGGATGCGGACAATGCGTACGATCCATTGAACGTCCGCGAAGCCTGGTTCGCCGCATCGAGCTACTACCGTCAGGCCGACTTCTACAACCATGCGAACTGGACGGACCCGCGTATCAACAGCTTCTGGCTCGAGCAACGCGCTGCGTTCGACAAGGCGCTTGCTGCACTGCCCGTTCCTGGCGAACGTATCCAGATCCCGACCGACAACTTCACCATTGAAGCAATCTGGTACACAGCCGCAGCCGACGCGGTCAAACGGCCGACCTTGGTCATCGGCAACGGATACGATGCCGGCCAGGAAGATTCATACCACTCGTTCGTCGTACCAGCCTTGGCCCGTGGCTGGAATGTCATGACCTACGAAGGGCCAGGGCAGCCCACGGTTCGTCGCAATGATGACATTGGTTTCATCCCCGAGTGGGAGAAGGTTCTCACGCCCGTGATCGACGAGTTGATGGACCGCAAAGGCTGCTTCGTCGATGAAGACCGGCTGGTCCTTGTTGGCGTTTCCATGGGTGGGTATCTAGCCGCTCGTGCCGCTGCGTTTGAGCCTCGGATCAAGGCTCTTATTCTCAATGGCGGCGTGTGGGATATCTACGAGGGATACGCCGGTCAGCTGACCCCGGACCTGAAGGAACTTCTCGCTGCGGGCAAGCAAGAGGAATTTAACGAGGCTGCCTTGCCGCTCTTGGATAGCCCACAGGTGCCTACAACCGTGCGCTGGGGTCTAGGACACGGACTGTGGTGCTTCAAACAGCATTCCCCGTACCTATGGCTCCAATCGCTCAAGCAGTACACTCTCAAGAACGTTGTTGACAAGATCAACGTACCCGTCCTTGTCGTCGATTCCGAGTTCGAGGGGTTCTTCGCTGGCCAGCCGGAGGTTGTCAAGGACGCACTGGGCGATAAGGCAACTTACAAGTTCTTCAATGGAACAGCTGGATATCACGTCCAAGTTGGAGCTGGGCAGGAGTGGAACAGGTACCAGTTTGCCTGGCTGAACAAGACACTAGGATGAGCAGGAGTAGCTTCAATGTGTCGTGACCCGGCTTGGAGGTTAGCCAAAAAGGTCGTGTGTATTAGATCGCAATAGATGTATATTGGGCATGCTCGAACCGTATCACTGGCTGACAGCGTTTGCCGTGGAACCTCATCCTCTGTTCGCTGATTACCCGGGCCGTTCATGTAGACTGTTGAGTCTGATAGATTGTACTTGTCGAGATGGCCTCTGTAGCAAGCAAACTTGGACTCGCATCATATGACCACGCTCTTTTCAAGGCCAGAACAAGTATATTGAGCTCTTATACGAAAGAGAATAGAGAAAATCTCTCTGTTCCACAAACACCATCATCATCTCAAGCCATCCGCGGGACATGATGATCCCTCTCTAAAATCAGATCGCTCGTGCTCTCCTTGCTATCCGTCTTGACATCAGCCATTGTGTAAATCTCACAATCTTTCCCAATAATCTGCGAGCCGCCCACTGCCCGTTTGCGTCCGGATCGAGTGGCAGCCGACTCGCTGAATGACAACCCAGACCCTGTGTTTTGATACCCTGAGCTCTTCTTCTGACTCCAGCGCGTTTGCCACGTTTCTCTGCGGAAAAGGGCCGTCAATATGGGCGCATTGATGGCGAAGATGGTGGGTGACCAATGCCTCTCTGAAAACCCAGACGGAGGACTGGGCCACTCCAGGGCCATTGTCGACGGAAAGAATGCAGCGTGCTACGGCCATGGCCATGACAAACAACCCCAACGACAGGAGGAAGATGATGCCCACACGACGCCAGAGAATCAGGGGTACATCCCGTAGGATGCGAACGGGGACCACGAGGAGTAGCGCATCGACGAGAACGTTGCCAGCGGCAATGGCGATATTCTGGGCCACGCCGGCAGAGCATTCGAAGCTTGGGTCGGGGAGGATCTGCCAGTTCCTGCGTATGGGAAGACAATGGAGGAATGTCGTTAAGCAGGCCGCAATGAAGCACGCCCCAGCTACACCGGCAGTTGCCCAGACGTACGTGTGCATGCGTGTCCGACGTCTGTTATGCAGTTAGCATTGTCTGCCATCCACTCGAATACGAATCTGGCCACGGTTGAATAAGGGCACATACGTCAGCTGCAAGAAAAAGGCAATCAAGACTGCCTTTGCGCTCCAGACAAAACAAATGAGGATGAAAAAGGAGGCATACATGCCCTTGGCCCCCCTTTTCCAGCTGTACCCTCATCTCTGGCGTCAACGCCTCGCGCATCTCCTGCGTGAAGCCCAGAGGAGCCCCCACGACGGCGAGGTACTCGACCATGGCAAACAGGGCCGAGTGCCACACAAACACCGAGACGGAGAACCAGTCGTCCCAGTGCCAGCCGCGGATGCCGAGTGTCTTGAGACGAAGCAGCCAGCGCGTGGCGAGGATCAAGGACCCAATGGCATATTCGGCGCGGCTTTCGATCAGCGCTGGAGGTACTTGTGCCATTTTAGTTGATCAAATCGAATTGAGTTTGCTGCTTGTGAGCTCGGTACTAGTAGTTTGTACTTGTATCGATGGATGGCGGCTTTGTACTCGACAGGCTACATGTGCTGCACTGACAACATCTAGGTTAGCAAGCAGAAGTCTGGCCTTTTCTAGAAAGACCAGCAGGGACGAAAAGGAGGCGAGAGACCAGTACAGTGTCACTGTGTCAGACACTCGCAAACTGCACATCGGACCTTGTTCCCGCCAACACGAGTGATCAACGTTTTGGTAATTACATGGGCTGCGACAGCCGAGGACGGAAGTGCAAGGGTGACATCCACGGTCGGAGGTAACTGTGACTTTGCCGGTGAGACGCGAGCAGTCAAAAGATGCCCGTTCGAGTATTACATGTAGGGGTGTTCCTTGCCAGGAGTGCCGGCTGTCAAAAGTCTGGTCGTGTCTTGGCAATGAGCGACATCCGGTACGTCGGTATGATCATTGCAATGGGGAAGATCGGCTCACTGCTTGGATGGCAGCCGTTCGTCTTGAGGCTTTGATCAGCCCGGTTTCAGAGTTGGGGAGCTCCACTTGGCATGCACATCGCATGGGAAGAACTGTCAAAACTCAAGAGCCTCACGGACCAGGATCAAGTTGTGATGCAGTTGGCTGCTCAGGGGTGCGGTTGGTTGTGTCTGCGAGCTTCGAAATTTGGCCAACTTCCTGTAAATATTATTATCATACTTGAGGGGCCAACTGTCGAAGGCTTAGCTTATATCAACAGGTTCATAGGCGTAGCGTATTTAATAAACGCTTGAGATATGGACAGGTGAAAATCTGACTTTGGTGATCGAGTCAACGCAGACCAAGATCCCGATAGTCCTGACTCATTCCAAATCATGTTAGACGTCGTTGGTTGCCTTGTCACCCGCGGGGAGCTGATATCCTGCAGCTGTCAGTCAGGATTTGATCCTTGTCCTGGACTCGACTGCACCGTCTCATTGGTCCTTTTGAATTTGTATCCATCCATGCCAACATGAGAATTGAGCGGATAGGCAGTTTATTCTCCCCGTATCATGCTGCGCGCAGAACATCCATACCTGTTCTGTACGTCACGTCGCGTACCTGACACACCTGCCTCAGCAGGCAATTCCTCCGGTTCATGTTGGTTGATACAATGAGAAGATAAAAGATTGAACCTTGGCGGTTCATAAGACATGCTGCGTTTATAACGTGACAATGCGGCACCCTGAAAAATGAACCTGATGAAATGCTCACTGGCAGTGGCAAACTTGAAACTGAAAGCACGGACCCAATACCATACCATGGCTTCAGACCTCGTCAAAAAACTCGACTCCGTCGAGCGAGCCGATTTCGAATCGGACAGTGATCGATTCGCTGTCAAGGAGGCAGCTCGTCGCCTCCTCTCGCGGCTCGAGACACCTTTTGAGCAAGGCTGGGCCATTGACTTTGAAAACCCGGGCCTCATTGCTGGCCTCCAGATGGTGCAAGACTTGGGCATATGGACACAATGGACAGAGGCAGACAAGCAGCGCCCTGGCTCGAGGAGAACGCTTGATGAGCTTCTGGGCTGGGCCACTGCAGCATGCGAACCCGATCTGCTCCGTCGATTGCTTCGACACATTGCCGCCCTCCATCTGCTCGAGGAGGTGGACGTGGACACATGGAAGCCAACGCCATTCTCGCTTCACATGGGAGCCAAGGAGACATATGTGGGGGATATTGTCAAAGCTGGGTGCGTGCTTCCCAATGTGAACGCTTGAAGACATACCGTTAATAACCATTTCGTCTCACAGACTAGATCATGCGATTCCATGTGGAAACAACCTCGCACGCTTTCTTCGGAAGAATCAGTACAAAGAGCCACTCGACATACCCTCCTTTGACAACTATCGGGACGTATTTGGGGACGATTTCTTCACCTACGTCCAAGCCCATCCCGAAGCGGGAGGCTCATTTCAGGGTGTCATGACCGCTCTGACCCATTACAAGATGATCTGGACCGACGTTTATGATACAAAGCCGCTCGTAGCTGGTGCTGACTTGAGCAAGCCTCTCTTCGTCGACGTCGGCGGCGCCCAGGGCCTCGACACGCAAAGCTTGCTAGATCGTCACCCAGATCTCCCCGCCAATGTTGGCCTCATCGTCCAGGATCTGCCAGAGGTTATCACCACACACAGCAAAGAATCGCTGGACAGCCGCATCCGCAAGATGGCCCACGACTTCTTCCAGCCGCAGCCCGTGGTGGGCGCGCGCGCCTACTTCTTCCACTCTGTGCCGCATGACTGGCCCGACGCCGACGTGGCGCGCATGCTTGCTCAGATAAAGAGTGTCATGACGCCGGGATATTCGAAACTTTTAATCTACGAGGTGGTGCTGCCTGCGCGGGGCGCGACGCACCTGATGACGACGTTGGATCTGGCGTTGATGAGTTGCACGAGTGGACTGGAGAGGACGGAGGGGGCGTGGCGGGGATTGTTGGATGCAGAGGGCTTCAAGATTGTGAGCATATCGAGACATCCAAGGGCGGTGGAGAGTGTCATTGAGGTGGAAGTCGCTTAGACGTGGCGGCCTTCAGTCATGTCCAACTGATCGGTTTAAGGCCTGGGGCCTGGTTGCCTCGCACTGACGATTTTTTTGATTATTTTTGGCGACGGGATCAGCTACTCTCGTCGCAGCCAGTTATTTCATCGAAACTTTGGATTCGCATCGTAAAGTTTGAGGGGCCTAGGACAGCGGTCAGGTTGTTTATTCAGAACGTGTCCTAATTCCTAACGGAATATCAGTGTTTACAGCATGACGCCGCTTCACAACCAAGCCTCCACCGCTGCATAAATGGCTCTCCAGATTGTGACAATGGTTCAGGTAAGGTATCCGTACTGAGAAATGGTCTTATTGCATAAAATACTGCACTATTCACGGGCGGTAACAGGCTAAGTTGGCTAACAGCGACCATGTCGACGGTGTCATCCTTTTGAGGTCATGTGATCAGCCTCCCCCTGTAAAGGCGGCGCATCATGCATGCATGCAGCTTCACGCCCAATTCAGTCTCCTATTCTCCGTCACAGATCTACATTCATCGTCCTAGCCTCACAGTATATAAGCGTAATTCCTGTTCGTCTCTTTCTTCGTTTCCTGCTTTTTCGACCCATCTATCAACTCGCCTCACGAATGAATTGGCCATCGAGTCTCGGTCCCGGCGACACGTTCATCAGACGCGCTCGCGCAATCACGCGTCAGTGCTGACACAAGTAAAGCAACGACGACCATGCCGCCCACCATTGAACTTGTTGGCCGTGGGCCTATTACACTTGAGGAGGCGCTCATCGCTGAAAAGAACATTGTCAATTTAGCATCCTACCGCTCCGCCCACGACTTGTTTGATCAAGAGCTTTGGGGACAAAGAGACTCGATCCAGACGCTTGTCAAACGTCACTTGGCCCTGGGTAGCCAAAGCATGTGCATAGTTCTTCCGCCGGAGCACTGGACCAGGGGAGGGTTCAATGTTTGTGTACTCGTCGAGGTGCAATGTGGCAATGTGTCCAAAAAGGTCACCTTTCGTTGTCCCATGCCTCACAAGGTTGCGGAAGCTAGGTACCCCGGAAGCGCACACGAGAAGTTGAGCACTGAAGTGGGAGCGTACATATGGGTGGAAGAGAACTGCCCCGAGATCCGCTCACCTCATCTGTTTGGATTCGGCACATCCGACGGCCGCCACGTGAGTCTACTCACCACTTGCTGTTCGATTCTTCTCTAATGAGTCAGTTCACCCATACGGACCATATGTCATTCTTCACTCGACTCGCCCGGCAATTTTGGCGCCATGTCTACAGAGTTCTCCAGCGCCCATTGCTCTCCAAATACATACGGCACCGGCTCCCCTGTCAAATGAGTTCAGCCTATATGATTCTGGAGTGGCTAGGCCCAGATACAGGCCAAATGCTCTCGACTACATTTCATACGTACCGCGACAACAAGGACTACAGAGCCAGGCTTTTCAGGGGCATGTCTAGAACAATGTTGTCCCTCGCCCGCATCCCTCAACAGCGGATTGGATCTTTCCAGTTCCATGACGACGGCACAATTACCCTCACTAATCGACCTTTGTCATGTTCGACAATGATTTTGGAGAACGACGGGGCCCCTAGGACGATGCAGAGGGACGAAACGCTTTCTTGCACAGATGCATATGCATCGGACTTGCTGACCTTCCACGATCGCCGCTTTCTCAGTCAGCCACACGCTGCTCACGACGAGAGCGATTGCCGCGCGCAGATGGCAGCCAAAGCACTCCTCCGGGTCGAATCGCATAACCATATCCGACGAGAACTCCGTGACGGCCCGTTCGTCCTACAGCTTACTGATTTTCACGCGAGCAACATTCTGGTCGATGAACAATGGAATATCACCGGCTTGATCGACCTGGAGTGGATATGCGCCCTGCCTGCTGAAATGCTCTCAGTGCCATACTGGCTAACTGGCTGTTCGATTGACGGGATCGAGGACGAAAAGTATGACCAGTACGATGAGGTACGAAGAGAGTTCATGGAGATCTTCACAGAAGAAGAGGAGGCAGCGCAGGGCAGGACACAGCATGGCATTTCTCTCTCGAACATAATGCGGGACATGTGGGATTCAAAAGGAGTGTGGTTCTGGCATTGTCTGTCTTCCATCAATGCCATGTATTTCCTGCCCGAAAGTCATTTGTTACCGCCTGACTTTCTTACACTAGAAGCCGAGAGCATTGTCTCGCGGCTTTGGTGCAGGGACTCGGAGGATGTGGTACGGAGAAAGATCGCAGACAAGCAAGCGTACGACGACGAGCTGCGAAAGTTGTTTGGTAGCTGAATGGGCTGCCGCGAGCAGCTTGGAAGCAGAATTGGTTGAGCGAGCGTGGTGGACTTGTGCGTTCTTCATCTCGGCGTGTCGACCTCGATATACCCAGCGACAGATCGGTCACTCTCCTTTCTTCTCTCCAGCCTCTTTCTTCTCTCGTTCCGCCTTTTTTCTTTTCTCCGCGTTCCGGGCTCTCGTCTGCTGAGCTTCTGTACCTGAGGAAATCAGACTGGCGATATCCTTCGCATTGCCGCTCATTCCCACAGATGCATCATGAACAGTGCCGCTATATTCACCGGATGAGTGGTGGTCTTTCTCTTGGTCTGCCATTTTGGGAGTCTTTGCGATCAGTCGATCGTTGAGGAGTAATGTGAAAAATGATTTAGCTCAATTGTTGATAGGAAGCTGAGGTGTATAGTGGTAAAGGTACAGGAATTGGCTGTCAGGTATTCATCGTGGTCCCTGCGCCTTTTAAATAGGCGCTGCTGTGACACAAAGGCTGCACTGGTGCCTTGAGAAGGCGACTTACGCCCCAATACCGTTACCATGCACATCATGTTTCATTCGATACGCTTGGGCATAGGCAGCCATCCGCACTGCATGAGGAGGCTAGAGTCCAGAACGGTTCATGTTGTGTGGGAGACCAACAACGACTACTCCGTACATCAAGTAAGCGGGTTCAGCCAACGGAACCCGCCATTCACTCAGTTCAGCAGCGGGCGGTTGCTCTTCACGCATCTGTATTTATGCGGTTGGCCGCCACATCTGCCGTCATCTGTCTGCCTTGGGCTAACATCGAGAAGTGTTGACGGAAAGTGCAATTAGGCGGAACCTGGTAAGTGGATAAAGGCATTGCAACGCTCAACTATCAAGTTACTCCGGCTACGGGCCAATCTAGTGTCACAGAGTGGCATCGTGCACATCAATTATGTTCCCATCGGGCCCGGGAACCCTGTCCAGGGCCCGGTCTGGGACTCTCTAGCACTCGTCTTCGAATTTCGATCTTGGAGCGACACACGGACATTCAATGCCATTGAATAAGACCAGGCCATTGCGCATAGGTGTGCCGGGGGGATTCAAATCATACAGTAGATATTGCTAAGAATGCTATGACTCGTGGGTCTTGCATGGAGTCCTCTATGTATACAGTTGACTCATCGATAATTTACGTGGCCATGCAGAAAGGCTAAGATTGTCGGTATACATTTGTCGAATAAGGGCATTCACCAATTGCAGCACCTGTTACTTCAGGAAACGCAATTAATCGAGGCTCTATTGCCTCGCTTTACGCGTCCATTTGGACCCCTGGGTGGCGAAGCGACACTCTACGTAGTAATTTATATGCACAACCACTCAGCCCATCAGTCAGGCGTCGTGCCCCAGGAGCGACTACAATCATGCAGACGCCGGCAGATTCGCTGGTCCACGAGTAGAAGCATCATCCCTGGTACCAGATACCTCCTCAGGCTATAGCAGACTGCCCGCCGGCGAAAACGCCATTTTTGGACAGTCTGGAGTCTCTGGAGGTGGACAAGACGCCCTGAACATCTATGAATTGCTGAGAACATGGAAATGGAGTTTCATCTGGCAACGAAGTGGTGACTGTCTAATGCTGGCGCTCTGCATCACGTCACGGGTAGGATGAGACTTTGAGAGATAAGGTGGGACTTCATTCATATTGATATACAATCCAAAAGCTTCGATGGCCTTGTTCGCTCACAGGTCGCTCGCTCGCTCCCTACTCTACTCTACTCCTTGGTGTGAACACCGGCGTGCTCGACCTGGACAGCATTCTGCCCGTGGGCCATGTCCTTCTCGAGCGTGACACCCTCATCCACCCTGTCGACCACGGTCGAGGCAAACTTGCGCGCGCTGACCCTCTGCTCAAAGAGAATGTCGAGCTCGGCGTAGGTGCGGCCCTTTGGCTCGGGGAGACGGAAGTAGGTCCAGATGGCGCAGATGAAGCAGGTGCCGGCCCAGAAGAAGGCGGTCTTGGCGCCCCAGTTCCAGGCGGTGGGGTTGAGCATGTTGGGCGTGAAGGCGTTGGTGATGAGGTTGGAGAGGTTGTAGCAGTTGCGGGCCATGACGACGGACTTTGTGCGGAGGCGGGTCGAGGTCATCTCGGAGACGATGGAGTAGCAGACGGGGCCGACGGTGGACTGGTAGGTGAAGGCGAAGACGAGGAGCATGGAGCCAATGGCCCACTGGGAGGGCACATTGTCCTCGCCGGCAAAGGAGGCGCAGGCGATGACGAGGAGGAAGACGATCATGATGCACTCGCCGCCAAAGTAGAGGGTGCGACGACCAAACTTGGTGATGAAGAACCAGGAGATGATGGTGCCGATGGCGCCGATGCCGTACTGGGCGAGGGACATGGAGAAGCTGGCCGAGGTGGCGAGGCCGGCGTTCTGGTAGAAGTAGGTCGAGTAGCCGATGAGGGATGCGCCGCACCACGACTGGACCATCCAGGCGGCGCAGACAATCTCTGTGCGGCGGAGGTTGACGCCCTTGAAGAGGTCGGTGTACGAGGTGCCCGAGGTCTCCTCCTTCTCCATCTCGTTGGTGTGGACCATCATGGAGATGACCTCGTCGGGCTTGAAGTTGTTGAGGGAGTTGCGGTCGGTGAGGCGGATGAGCGAGCGTTTGGCCTCCTCGAGGCGGCCCTTGCGGACGAGCCACCAGGGGGACTCGGGGGCGAGGAAGACGCCGATGGCGATGGGGATGGGCCAGATCCACTGGAGAGCAAAGGGGATCTTGTATCCCCACTTGTCGTCGCGGGCCAGCATGGACTTGAGGACGGCCGAGGCGAGGAATTGGCCCATAACCTGTGAGGTGCGTGTTAGCGTTTGGTCTCATCTACTGGGGCGACAAAAAAAATACCCAGCAGAGGTTGACATAGGTCGTGAGGTAGGCGCGGAGGTGGACGGGGCTGGAGGAGGCATGTTAGCAAGCTGGTTCCAAGGTTCTGCTTGGGGGCGTGGTCAAACTCACCAAACCTCCGCGGCGTAGGTAGGGGCGAGCGTCTGGAAGACACCCCAGGGGAAGCCGATGAGGATCTCACCCGCGAGGAGCTGTGGCAGGGACTCGGAGAAGAAGATGATGAAGATGAAGGCGACGCAGGCGGTGAGGGCGCCAATGATGGTCTTGCGATAGCCGTAGCGCTCGGCGATGATACCGTTGATGAAGAGGCCGAGGATCTGGCCGGTGAGGGCCCCGTTGGAGAGGCCGGCCTGCCAGGCGGCCGTGAGCTGGTAGCCACCGTCGGGCTGCTTCTCGCCAAACTTGCGCTGGAAGGGTGGGTAGGCGTAGAGGTTGTTGATGAGGGTCATGTCGAAGCCCTCCATGACGATGGCGGTGGAGAGGAAGATGGACCACATGCAGGCCTTGCGGTAGAGCTTGAAGGACTGGAGGATGCCGAGCTGGTGCTCTGCCTCGTTGGCGGCGGCGGCCTCGATGACCGTCGCCTTGTCGACGACGGGGCCGTTGGACATGGAGGCGCGGCGGACGCCGTCGTGTTCGATGGACGTCATGTTGGCTAGCTGGCTGGCTGGTGAACTGTGCTGAGCAGGAGAAGAGCCGAAACAAGAAGCCGGTGATGGAGAGGAAGAACCCAGTGCTGGTCAGGAGGTAAGATGGTGTCCCCCCTGGGCTTCTTATAGTTGACAGGGACGAGGACGATATCCAGGAGATGGACGTCGTTTCTGTGGCTGGCTAGTGTCGAGCCTGGTTGGCTGGCTGACCTGGGCCCCTTGGCCTGTCTGTCTGCGTGTGTGTGTGTGTGTGTCTGTCCTGTCGGGACGATGAGATTTTCGGATTGGCTTTGGGGAACCTGGGGAGCCGAACTGGAGGCTTGGGGTTAGTGCCTCTCCAGGTTGGGAGAGGGTCCACCCCCGTCCAGTCCTGCCTGTCCTTTATGCGGGAAGATGGTGTGGATGGCGTTCCAAGCTACCTATGGTAGCTTGGGAAGCTGGGTATGGCACCAGACGGCCGGCTGGCGGACTAGGGCGGCTCAGGTTCCAATGCCCAGTCCAGGGCCCCCAGCTTTACCCCAATTGGCCAATGCGGAGGCCGAGGCGTCTCTTCGGGGCTTCTGCTCGATCAGCATGTCCTGCCACGCGACAACTCAGTTCAGTCAAGACTCCGTTGATGGCTGTGGCTACTCCGTACTCGCCAGGCCAGTGCAATAGAGGCACGAGTGCGCATCTCTACAGAACGGTCTCGTGACGCCATGGACTAGCTCGACAATCTGGCGAGGCTATATTGATCGTACGACTCAGACCCGTCCAACGGGATTGGTCCAGGGCAATCAGGTTCCCTCCGTGCTAAGACCCGTCGTCGGAACGAGAGAAGTTCCAACAACATTCCCCATCTCACCCGCTCATGGTCCCGCGACCAGGCGATTTTAAGCTTTAGGTGGGTGTCTTTGCCTGCGTCTGTCCGGAGTAGAATGTCAGGGACTTGGCAGGCCATGTCAATATCGATGTGCATGGTGCGTGTCGAAGGCCCGAAAGATGTTCATGGATTGATCGACTTCTGCACCCCAAAAAGGGCAACAGGGTCAATCAGCACGTTTCGGCCTGCGCCGGGTTGTACTGGAGTCTGGAGCTGAGGCCCCACGAGTCGCGACCGTCGACACTCACGTTCTGTCCTCGAGCTCTGGGGCCTGAGCAAAGACTCTCCTCATCGCTCAGCTGGATTGCCCACGGATTCCCCCAGCCATGGTATCGCGATTCCCCAGATTCATGCCAGACACCGAGTGACCGACGAGCCTTGTTGTCGGGCCGGCGTGCATTGTCGTGCGTCTCCTTCGGCCGTACTCCAGGTCACGCGCTGGGGCAGGGAATCGATCGCTCCACCACGACCACGGCATTCCCTCCCAGCCAGAGACGGCAGAGAGCCATAGACGCACGCGGCTGCGTCGTCGGTCCGACGCTGAGCCAATGAAATCACCATCTCGCCCTCGCTGCCAAGACGGCCTCCTCATTTCCCTCCTCCCCAGATGCGGAGTATCGCCCGCCTCCATCACGGTGGCCTGGGCATCTCGGAAACCTGTCGGAACGACGAGTCCAAGCGGTGCGTGCCATCGCTGACAGGTGACTCGCACTCTAAGGTACCTTTGGTTTATCAGGATGGACCTCCACGTCTGTCGAACCCCGCGAGGGGCAATCATCGCGACTGGGCGTGCGTTGCTACGTTGCGCTCCAACGAGTGTGGAAGCCGGCGAGGTCAGTCCACTCTAATAACTGGAGAGGCTCATATGGTTCAAAAGGAGCCTCCTGCTGGTCCTCAATGGAAATTTTGCGCCTGTTCTTGGTCAATTCCTAATTCATAATTGCTGCTGTCCTCCTTTGCGCGACAGCGTCTGCTCTTTTCTCCAAGTCTGGCTGGCTACCCTGCAATTGGTGAGCCCGATATTAGCACGCACACTCTGAGCGCCGCAACCAGACGCTGAGATCACCAGAATTCTTTTCAAAATGACTGTCAATGGCAAAGTCCACGTGCAGAAATGGTGGAAGCACGGCGTCGTGTACCAGATCTATCCCGCGTCGTTCTGCGACTCCAATGGCGATGGTGTTGGTGATTTACCAGGCATCACGTCCAAGCTGGACTACCTGAAAGACCTCGGTGCTGATATCGTCTGGATCTGCCCCATGTACGACAGCCCCCAGGTGGACATGGGCTATGACATCTCCAACTATGAGGATGTTTACCGCCCATACGGCACCGTCCAGGACATGGAGCACCTGATCAAGGAGGCCCACGACCGCGGCATCAAAATCATGCTCGACCTGGTGATCAACCACACATCAGACCAGCACGAGTGGTTTAAGGAGAGCCGCAGCAGCAAAGACAACCCCAAGCGCGACTGGTACATCTGGAAGCCCGCCAAGTACACAGAGGACGGCAAGCGGGTGCCCCCCAACAACTGGCGGTCCAACTTTGGCGACCACTCGGCGTGGACCTGGGATGAGACCACACAGGAGTACTACCTGCGCCTGTTTGCCAAGGAGCAGCCTGACGTCAACTTTGACTGCGAGGAGGCCCGAAAGACCATCTACAAGTCAGCCATGGAATTCTGGCTCGAGCGCGGTGTCGATGGGTTCCGTGTCGATACGGTCAACATGTACTCCAAGCCCATCGGTCTCCCCGACGCCCCCATCATCGACCCCGACTCACCGTGGCAGCCAGCCGGCCACGTCTACTGCAACGGTCCGCGCATGCACGAGTTCCTCGGCGAGATGAATGAGATTCTCTCCCGGTACGGCGCCATCACCGTGGGAGAGCTGCCCAACACCCCCTCCATGGAGAAGGTTCTCAAGTATGTCAGCGCCGAGGCCAAGCAGCTCGACATGGTGTTCCAATTCGACGTGGTCGACGTCGGCCATGGCGTCACCCACCACTACACCGCCAAACCCAAGAACTTTGAGCTTCCCGAGGTCAAGTCCGCCATTGACAGGACACAAACCCTCATCAAGGGCAACGACGCGTGGACCACCGTCTTCCTGGAGAACCACGACCAGGCGCGCTCCGTCTCGCGGTTCGCCGACGACTCCCCCCGCTTCCGCGAGGCGAGCGCCAAGATGCTCGCACTCATGCAGGCCTGCCTCAGCGGCACCCAGTACGTCTACCAGGGGCAGGAGATTGGCGTCGTCAACGCCCCCAAGGACAGCTACCCGCTCGAGAACTACCTCGACCTGAACAGCTACCTTTACGTGGACATGATCAAGGAGCGCTATGGAGCCAACAATGCGGCCAAGATTGACGAGGCCTTTGACTCGCTGCAGTACCTCGCCCGCGACCACTCGCGCGTGCCCATGGCCTGGAACGGCAAGGGCAAGTACGGCGGTTTCGCGGACGTGGCCGAGAAGGAGGGCAAGGATATCAAGGAGCCGTGGATGAAGGCCCACCCGCTGGCCGGCGAGATCAACGTCGCCTCGCAGCTGGGCGACTCCAACAGCGTGCTGGGCTTCTGGAAGAAGATGATTGCCTTCCGCAAGCAATACGCGGATCTCACCGTCTATGGCGACTACTACACACTCCGTCTCGAGGACAAGGATACCTTTTTGTTCTTCAAGGAGATACCAGGCGGCAACGGCGACAAGCTTGCCGTGCTGCTCAACTTTACCAAGGATGAGAAGAAGGTCGAGCCTCCCACGGCGAGGGAGTTGAGACTACCAGAGGAGAGCAGTCTTAAGTTTGAGTTGATCGCGTCGACGCACGGGGCGAAAGAGGTCCAGGAGGCCCTGGCGCCGTTTGAAGGGCGGGCGTATCTCGTTAAAGTGTAGACAGCGCGCTCCATGGAATAATACATTGTATAATGCAAGTCTTGAACGCGTGCCATTCGTACACCCTGACCGATTGTTGACACCGAGGGACAACAGGGCCCCTGAAGATGACATGATGCCATTTCTGGTTAGTGACCCATGGCGCTCGGTTTCTGGTGCAACGTATAGGTTGCGCAAAGCTACATGTGCAATGTGCGTGCAGAGCTGTGGCCGACTATGTGAACCGCAAGTGTGTGTCCTCGACTTCCACGTGTTCTGGGGCGGCTGGTTTTGCACTCGTTCTGGCGAAATGATGTTTCTCGATCGGGGCTTTTGTTCGTAGGTGTCGAGCATGGGACTGATTCTAATCGTTCTACCGGTGAATCTCTTCGTCGACCCGGCGGCTTCGTGTCGATCCTTGATGGTGCGTGGTGCCAGCCAGCGCGATGGTAGGGTGTCGCCTTTCGATTCGGGGGTTCAAACTCAAATGCACAGGAGATGACAGTCAACCGATTAGATTTGTCCAGTCGTGAGGAGTTCTTTCTAGGGCGTCACGAGTTTGGAAGCGATCAGAAGGTCGTTGCTTCCTTCCTCCCCTGATCGGGATGCGAGAACCTTGATGGCCGCAGCAGACCATCAAGGTGCCCTACACGCCGCATCGCCACCATCCTCATTCGCTGGCGACAAGAGAAGCACGGGACTTTATCATCACTTGCAGTGAACCCCCTCATTTAATATCAGAGGGAACTCCCGTCCATTTGAATCGGCGGTCTGATGAAGGAGGGGGGAGGACGTCTATATCAAGGCTGCTGCCCCTCGCGTCATGGTGCCTTCAAGTCTTCATTCTACCACACAAGCATCCACGAACTCCAGGTGTATTAGTCCACGAGTGTAGACTGGGAGACTGGAGTTGCTGCTTTGCAAGTGCAAGCACAAGCCACTCTCGCAGAGTGCTCGAGTCCCCATGCCAGCACGCACGCCACTCGAGGTGATACCATTGCCCCTCGGGACTTGTCGACGTCACTGGTCTGGTCAATCACAACGTCGAGGCTGACGACCTGTCCGCAATACTCCTTGAGTGCCGGAAAGGAGGACATCTACCCAACGACAGTGGCTACCAAAGTCTTTGCCCGAGGCTTGACTGACGACAACCTCAGGCATCCGCCATCCTGTTGCTTCCTTACCTAAGACTGACCTCAGGGAGATCCGCCTCGCTCTCCGTCGCATCGAGCGGCAAGCAATTTACAAAGCTTTCCCCGCTTTGCCCATACGCTGTGGGGGTTCTGCGTTGCCTTGACACCAGCCAGTGGCTGGTCCCCAGTACGCATTATGTCACACAACCGACTGATATCTACGTCCTTCCCGTCTCAGCTGATAACGTTATTCAATATCCCCCGTGCGCCGGACACTTTCTCCTGTGCCAGGACCTCAGCTGGACTGATCTAGCGATGGGTGTCGCACCCAGGGCCTCACTTGGTAGGCTGATCAAGTGATCTCATGCAACGCTGACATTTGAATCGACAAAGAGAATTCGTGCGATTCCGTTACATCATGCCTACATTTGTCGCCAGTTCGATCATTGTGTCCGACTATGATGTCTGAGTGACGATCATGTTTGCGGTAGTAGCCGGCGACCCGTGGGGCAAGGGGTTGTTAGTTGTAGTCTAGTCTCCAGTCTTGGTAGGAACTAGCCAAGTGGGAGACATCCCGTGCACCTATCATCCAATCGACATTGTTCCACGGTCTCTGGCTCGAGAGTGGCGCTTTAGGTCTGCTACTCCTAGAGTGCGGGCCTTACTGTGCCTAGAACCAAGAGCACAACAGTCTGCAAGGAACCAACACTCAATTAGTACGTCTTCGGCCAACGGAAAGCCTCAGGTCCCACGGCAAAATCTCTTCTCGAAAGCTCGTGTTAGTTGGAGAAGCATCGTACGTAGTACATACTCTACTGACTCCTCCGCCCGAACCTCCCCACACGACCCACGTCTCCAACGTCACGGTCACTGCATGTGTGTAATGTGAGCATCCACACGGCCAGCACACCCCAATCCACATCGCGAACAGTGGCTCCACCCTGAAGTCAGACCTCCCACCCTCACAGCAGCACAGACCTCGCAGAGTACTTTCCACGAGACTGTGATCCTCAGAGCGAACAATGTACCTGGCATCTCAAGCATCATGCGCCGTCAGATTAGGGGAGAAGAACTTGCGTCGGGGAGGGGAGGCCTCATGCAGTCGGTATGACGTCCTTCCCAGGCAGTAGAATGCGTATATAAGGAAGTCAGTTCCTCCATGTTGTGCCTCGCCTTGTCCCATCATCAGCTCACTCAAACACAACAATACCACAACACACTCAACAAGCCTTCAACCGTCTTCACGACACCACTCAAGTCAACATGGCTCCCTGCAACTGCACCACCTGCAACTGCTCCGGCTCTTGCGAGTCTTGCAACTGCTCTTCTTGCGGCGTACGTTGCCTCGCACCAATCCACACAATGACGGCCCAACACTAACACGAGAGCAGCACTAAATTCCCTGCATGGGCCCCCTTAAGGCTTTGGGAACGGGCAATGGTACCGATCTGGAAGTAAATTTTGGCAACGACAAGACCTGGGCCGACTTCACTGCGCAAATAGTTCCCTCGAGGTCAGGATAAGAGGTTACGACCAAGCACATAGCGCCTACGCTCACGTCCAATATACTACCTTGGTGTAATATCACTCTTGTGGTCCTTTGCCCCTCGAGTTGACATGTCCTGTCGTGATTCATGCTGTGCGGCAACCCTCACGGCGCTCACGGGGCGAATGAGAAGCGGGTACTGCCGGAATGATGCGTGAGTTCTAGATGAGGGGTAAGACCATGTGGACGTGTGGCCAAGAAAGCGACATACTGGCTACGTGGGGGCAGATACTTCACGCCACCCGTCTGCAACATTCCAGAATGACCTCGCAGGATTGTCATTGACTCGGCTCATTTTCTGTAGCTACATGTGCCTGCAACACATCCTTCCATTTGGACCAAACGGAATAAAGTCATCCACAGCTTCGGGGATGTGGGTCTCATCCGAGGCGGGATATCCGTCGCACGGGGCCAGCCGGCGCCGGGTATTGTGGAGCTAATCTGATAGTGTCCGGGATCGAATACTCGAATTCCCACGCTTCACTGTCCTACCAATGCTCTGTGTCTATTATCCAGCCCTCCTGAACCCAGTATTCCTGGTTGCCTCGCTGCCAGGGACCGTCGGGGGAGTCGCAATCGGCCGCCTGATATTCCACCCAATACCTCCACTCATCATACTGCCTCCCGCTCATGACCATGCCGTTCCTCGGATCGACGAATGACACCTTGTCGCGCGGGCACACCCAATCCAAGCCCTCCCAACTGTCTTTCCATGCCAGCAGATTGTGCCTGCCGACGACCTGTATTTCTTTGATATTTGGAAACTTGCCAAGATTGTGACCCCCAAAATGTAAGAACCACTCTCCGATTTCCCTCTCGAAGCGCAGCCGCTGCACCAGTGGCGAATATGATTTCAGCATTAGGAGCTGGCACGTACCGATAGAGAGCATGTCGAGGTTGAAATTGACCCAGGTATACCGGCCCAAGACATGTTTTCTATTGTAGGGGATGAGACTCCGCTGATACAGCCTGGGACGGCTGAGATGGGTGCGTGATTCATGGCACACTTGCAGCGCTGGGGGCGCAGGAGCCGATGTCGTTATGCAAGTAATCCATACTCGGTTTTCATGCTCTTTGCTCCCGTGTGCCTTGCAGTCGCAGAGGAATTGCTTCAGTTTGAGATGGAGAAGACGAGGGACGACTGTCAGTTCCCAAATCTGCATGCGCAGCTCGAAGGGGAGGGCGGAGAACGACATGGCTGTGGTTGACCTACTGGGTCGAGATGGAACTAAAGATTCCTGAGGCTTCCGCTCGGATTATTATGTCGTTTCATTCGCATCGAAGGTTTGTTTGAACTGATGAAGCTGAAGAAAAAGGTTGAATGGGCGGAACCCCGCAATGTGAAATTAATTAAAGTGGCTGGGTTACAGTCACGATCTAACTCATGCTGAAATCACATTCTACCCGTCATACTTCTCGCCTCTCCAGCCTGGTATTTCCAAGAGCCATTGTAGAATGTCGACCATGCGCGACGAGAATGTATAGGGTAGTCAATTGCCCCGCTACAGCGGGCCTCAGCCCTACAAGGCGGAAGTTGTCTTTGTAACACTAGCCACCAATGTGCGGAATCCCCAGGACATATAGCATCTAATCTCCTGAAAACCTCAAGACGCATAGAATTCCTGAATGTGCTTGGCATCAGCCTTCGAAAGATGCGGTTGACGATGACCCTTTGTTCTCAGCTCGTGCCGCTTCCCCAACCTCCTAGTGCTTGTTGCTCAGCCTCTCTTCTTCCTTGAAAGCCAGGACTTGTTAGTCAACCGTCACTTATTCGCAGGCCGGATTGCCGACCGTAATTCAACAGAATCAATGGTCATGTACTACTTACTAGTACTATTATAAGACATGAAGTCACTTGGAACTATGACGTAGGACGCTAGCCAAGCTAATTCCAACTTCGGATCTCGAGAGCGGGCGGGGGAAGGCGAGATCCAGCTGCAAGCCACGATCGGGGTGTAATTGGATGTGCTACAGAAGACGTCACCCCTTTAAAGCACCTCTAGACGTCGGCTCTCACTTATAACTGCCACTAAACATCCTCAACTTGCTCATTATTCTCAACCTCACTCTTCTCAACTAATCATCAAATCTTATCCAAAGCTTCATCAAACCAAACCAAAATGGAACAACTCGTAGCCGTCCAGCGCCCCATGGGCATCTTTGAGCAGTACATGGCTCCCAGCACCCAAACCCTGGTCCTCAAGGAGAAGGTCTTCTCCCTTTCGCAGGACAGCTTCGACGTCACCAATATCAGTGGCGAGCCCGTGCTCAAGATTGAGGGTCGCCACATGACCATCTCGGGTCGCAAGACCGTCAAAGACATGGCAGGCCAGCACCTCTTTGACATTGTCCGGGAGAAGATGCACGTGCACGAGACATATGTGGCCGAGGATCCCGCCGGCAAGAAGTTGATGGAGGTGAAGAGCTCGTTCAAGGGTGAGTAAAAGCAAAGCTCTGCGCCACCGCACATGCCCTTACACTGACAATGTAGTGGTGGGAAGCAAGGCGACCGTCACATTCATGTCCAAGGGCGACCATGCCGAGACGCTGACCATGAAGGGCAACTGGCGCGACACGTCGGCGGACATTGTCTGCGAGAACACGGGTGCCGTGGTCGCGCGCATTGACCGCAAGCTCCTGAACAAGCGTGAGTTGATGGGGAGCCAGCAGACGTACGCGCTCATCGTGGCGCCTGGTGTGGACATGGCCCTGATGGTGGCGGCGTGTGTCGCGCTGGATGAGAAGAACAATGATTAAGTATGGCTTATGTTACGAATGGCGAGTAGCGTGCAGCACGAGCTCAATTGACGAACCTATAACGACCTCCATTCTTGTGCATCGTCATTTTCAGTGACCACAACCAACTCGCTTCACACGGCGCAAATTTGTCTAGACGGACACATAAACCACTTCGCCTTGTTGACAAGTCAAACCCATCCAGGCAATTCACAATCGCCGTGCGAACGTCGCCTGTAGCAGATCCTGGAGAGCCTGCTTGTCATCGACCTCGTGCATCTCCGCAAGGTTGGCCGGGGGCACACCACTGTTATCGATTGGCCGTGAATCCTGCTGCAATGGTTGAGGATCTGGGTTGCCGTTGCCAAAGTACATCTCGCCGTTCCGCATCGGGTATATCCCAGGGCCTGAGAAACCCCTCGATTCGTTAAAGACCATGTAGCGACTGATCGACAACTCCGGTTCGATCGCTAACCTTGGTTCCCTGGTCCAAGGAACTGCGTCCCCACCTAAACTCACAGACTTGCCCCAAGCGATGCGAAAATCAACCAGTGTCTTGAGCTCTGACTTGATACGACCGAAGAAATAGTGCCAGCGCCCGTGGTACGTGAAGACTGCATCGTTCCGGCTCTGGAAGCCGTAGGCGCCGAATGGAAGCCGCTCCCAGTCGTGGGTCACTGGGGTCATACCCAGAATGAAACTCTCGGTGAAAGATGCGTGCGTCATGATCCTGGTCTCGGAAAGATATAAAGCCTTGAGAACTGGCATGCGCAATATCCAGTCGAGATGGTCGTTATGGAGATCATACTCGGGCCCATATTCATCAACTTCAGTATTTACGTGAAGATGTAGCTGCCGAATGTCCTCGATGACGCTCTGAAAGAGGCTAGAGGCCTCTAACTCCTTGTCGTAGACGTTTTGGAGATTACTCAATGCCAGACAGGTGACGGTGCTTTTCTCTTGTCCGCCCAGCTTGCGCGCTTCGATGGCGTGGAAGACTTTCCACAGGCTCTCCTGGCGCATAAGAAAGGACTCTTCAAGAGATCCCCAGTAATCGGGCTGGTCAAACCTGTCGAAGTGGACCTCGACGGCGTTGAGGTTAGACAGCTCGGCGATGCTATCAAGGGCGTAGGTGAAGTCTGGGAACATGGTCCAGCCGGGGTTTTCATCCTGATCGCGGGGCATAGGACAGTCGTCGCCTCCTGTGAAGTACCAGGTTACGGGCTCGACAATGACTCTTCGAGCCGCGCGCTTGACAACCTCGAGATCGACGGTATGGTGCCACTTGTCAAATACTGTGGGTCTCTGGTCTTCCGCGTTGTCGCTTTGTGGTTTTTGGGCGGCCTCTTTTGGGGAAATTCCATGCCACAGATGCAGGATGCGGAAAAGATGTGGACTGGCAGCACAGTCCCAGTGGCAGACAAGGCGTACGGTGGGATATTAGATCACAAGGTGCCAACGGTATCAATGACCAATTGCACAACCACCATATAACACATATACGCACCCTCGTTATTATAGCCTTACCTAAAGAGCTACGCACGCTATAGAATTTAATTCTATAATAAATAAATTAATTTACTATAATCTAGCGATAGTAAACTTCGTGATAATAGTATTTATTTTTTATATAAGGCGTATAGTAGTTATCACGGAGGCGCTAAAGTTCTTAAGTAAGATATATATTCGTATTTAATTAGTTATAAAGTAAGGCTATAAGTAAGGTTATAAATAGCTATAAATTTAATTACGACCGCCGCGCCCGGGCGGTTAGCCTAGCTTTACGCCGTGAACGGCGAGGTCGTACCTCTTTATTAACGCTACCCGCTATAGGCGCCTTTAGCCTCTTCCTAACTACCTTATAAGGTGCCTTAGCGGGTGCCTTATCGGCTGCTTTATCGGGTGCCTTAGCGGGTTCCTTATCGGCTACTTTATCGGGTACCTTAGCGAGTGCCTTATCGGCTACTTCGTCGGGTGCCTTAAAGGCGCCGATCTTAGTTAGTAAGAGGTCTATATTATCCAACGCTTTAGATAAGGCCGTCTCGCTATATATCCCACCCGCTAGGTCTTATAGGAAGGCTTTAAGGCTAATTAGCTCATAGGGTGCTGGATTTAGCTCTGATTTAACCCGAATTAAAGCTAGCGTTAATTCCCTTTGCGACTATTCGCTTAGCGCCGTAGACTTAGCCCTCGACCGCGGCTTCCGTAGCTTTAAGGCAGGCTTTTTAGGGCTATCTTCGATAAATTAAAGCTTAATCTACACGATAACCCGGCTATTACTAATAGCCTACTAGAAATTATTATCTTAGCCTAGTATATCCTAAAGGCTATTATTTTTCAAGGAAACCGATATAAACTACCTAGGCTCTTATTTACCGTTCTTCTAGAAGGATATACCGATATATATTATCGACTTATCGAGTATTTTAAGGGTATTATAAAGAATAAAAGGTTTAAGGTATATAGTTAAAAAATCGGCTTTTATAAGGAATCTAAGGTCGGCCCACGAGATAAGTAATAAATCTATTCTACCTACGGCGAATTAGCTATATTTTAGAATATCTAAATTAGCTTACTTATTAATAAAGAGCTCGAGGCTTTAAAGATACTACCTTAGAGCCTGCGACCGGTGGAATAGACTAGTTAGACCCGGATTTTAAGGCTATAGGGATTTTTAAATAGCGAGATAGGCTTAGCCGGCCTTATAGCAATAATAGCCTGCCTTATATAGCTACGTAGGTTATTAAGGCGATCGCTACGCATTAAAGATAACGAGGATAATCGGGGTAGCGCTTATTTAGCGATACTATAACCTTCCGACGACGCGTAGCCGCTGATTAACGGCGATCTATATATAGTTATAGGCGTTAGAGGGTCGCTAAACGTATCTAAGGCGTCGATCTCGACTAGCTTAGGCTATCGCCGGCTATAGAAGGGGTAGAGCAGCCCGACAAAGGTAGCGCGTATTCTATCGTGTTTTTCGCGTTATAGGTACGTATCGCAGACCGTAGGAATCGATAGCGGTAGCTCGGGTATTTCTATTACTAAAATAGATATTAAAATATATAGCCGAAAGTAAGAGATTAATTAAACCTACTATTTAATATAATACCGCCGGTTAGTAAAGAAAGAACGTAGGAAAGGGCTATATTCGCGGATATTATATAGTGTTATAGGGGGGAAATTACAGTGGGTCTAGTAGTATAAGGATTATATATATATATATAGGCCCGTCGCGTAAGGCTTTAAATACTACCTTATATAGCGGTGAAATAAAGCTTTTCGCGATCTATTCTATATTATCCCCTTCCTCGATAGCCTAGCTTATTTATACCTGAAATTCGGGCGGTATCGCGTTACTATAGAGGCCTAGATTATCGAGGTAATTCTGCTATAATAAACGTTAGTATTCGGTAGCGCTACTAGTATAAACTTATAAGATAGCTAAGATAGGCTACACGCTAGAATTTTAGTGCTTTTCGATAATCTCGCGAAGCTTTAAATAAAAGCTAATAAACGGCCTTTTAAGGTTATCCTCTTCTACTAGGTTAGCCTCGAAGCTAAGCCCTTAGAGCTATGCCTTATACTAAGCCTCTGTCTCGGCGGGTAGTAAACTATCGATATCTATTGTCTCGAGAGGCTCCTATATTACGCGAAGAAGCTACTACTATAGGCTATCGTCGTTATTATCGAAAGGAACGCCCTAGTCCGGGTTAGCGGTTATATAATATAAATCCCTTAGTATACTAAATCTAATATTAAGTCGGTTCTTCTAGTTACGGATAATATACCTATTCCATAGATAAATAAAGTTAGTAAGTTTATCGCGGATTATCTCGCCGTAGATAGCGTAGACGGCTACTTAATCGATAAGGCTATCTTCGCGGAAGAGGCTATAGCCGATTAATTCGTTAAAGAAGATAATCTAGCGGTCTATAACGCTACGCCGCAGCTACCGCTACTAAGACTCGATCCTTACGTTCCTTATGCTTAGGCTATATAAATAATAGCTATCTAGCCGATCGCCTTAGGCATAATAATAAATATTTCTATCTTTATCGGTGTATTTAACTTTCTTAGGGCTAGCTTTAGTAAGTAACGCCTGCGCCGCTACCTATAGCGGCGTCTCTATACCGTAGTTAGATCTCGTGAAAAAAGGCCGCTTTTATAGGCGCCGGACGGCCTTAAGATATTATTTTAACGTACTAAGAGATATTATTGCTAATCGGCCCATATAAAACTATATAATATAGCGGGAATAGGCGTCGATATAACCGTAAATCTAGAAGCCGACCTTCCTAAGCTTTTTATAGCTATCGAGGGACTATAAGAAGTTCGGTCCGGGCACGCGAAAGTCGCCTCTTTACTTAAAGTTATTATTATAGCGGCTAGCGACTTCCTCTAGAAAAGTAGCCCGATAAATATCGTATAGATAGCGCTATAAGACTATAATTTGCCCCTTCTAACGAATATATTAGTATAATAAGCCCTTACTAAAGCTTAAGGCCGCGCCGCTCCTCTAGAGGTCTTAGTAAAGGAATTCGATAGCGTTATCGAGCCTCTCTTATTATTCTTTAACGGTCCTAACCCGGCGTTTTATACCGTATTACTAGTAGACCTTCTTTATAGCCGAGAGGTAGGTATAGAAGCCTCCTTAATAAAGCTCCCGTAGAATCGATATATTAGATAGCCCGAAGTTAAAGAAGAGGTATTTAATCCGATCGATTAGGGCGTCCGAGATATCTAGCGCCTAGTGTCTTATATCTAAGCCCTACGCCTTTAGCTAGCGTAGTAAGGTCCGTTTACTAATAATAAGATTACTAGCTTCTTATAGCCGTAAATTAGTATCTTCGAGAATATTATTAATTAAGGTATTTAAGAAATACTAGCTATAAATATAGTCTTCTAAGATAGTTAGGGTCTAGCGGGCTATTAGACGAGGGGTAGTTTATAATACTAGCGCTCTTTTAAGCGTGATTTTTAATATAGTATTCCTACCGTTACTAACGATCGTATTATTTAGAAATTTAAGAATTTAAGTCGCTAAGAGGCCCTTATTGCGTGTATCTAAAATTAAGGCCTGATAATTTTCGATATTCGTTTATAGTAGTATATTAAAAAGTATATAGGTTATAAAGTATAGGAGGGTCCACCGGTGTAGTGTCGTTGCACTACGGGGGTTAATACCGTTAGCACCTTGTAATCTAATATCCCGCTGTAAAGGCGGGTATTATACGGCGGGATATTAGATTATAAGGTGCTAACGGTATTAACCCCCGTAGTGTAACAATACTATACCGGTGGACCCTCCTATACTTTATAACCTATATACTTTTTAATATACCGCCACGAACGAATATCGAAAATTATTAGGCCTTAATTTTAGATATATATAATAAGGGCCTCTTAGCGACTTAGGTTCTTAAATTTCTAAATAATATAATCGTTAGTAATAATAAGAATATTATATTAAAAATCACGCTTAAAAGAGCGCTAGTATTATAGACTACCCCTCGTCTAATAGCCCGCTAGACCCTAACTATCTTAGAAGACTATATTTACGGCTAGTATTTCTTAAATACCTTAATTAATAATATTCTCGAAGATATTAATTTATAGCTATAAGAAGCTAGTAATCTTATTATTAGTAGACGGACCTTATTACGCTAGCTAAAGGCGTGGGGCTTAGATATAAGATACTAGGCGCTAGATATCTCGGACGCCTTAATCGATCGGATTAAATACCTCTTCTTTAACTTCGGGCTATCTAATATATCGATTCTACGGGAGCTTTATTAAGGAGGCTTCTACGCTTACCTCTCGGCTATAAAGAAAGTCCGCTAGTAGCACGGTATAAAACGCCGGGTTAGGACCGTTAAAGAATAATAAGAGAGGCTCGATAACGCTATCGAATTCCTTTACTAAGACCTCTAGAGGAGCGGCGCGGCCTTAAGCTTTAGTAAGGGCTTGCTATACTAATATATTCGTTAGAAGGGGTAAATTATAGTCTTATAGCGCTATCTATATAATATTTATCGGGCTACTTTTTTAAAGGAAGTCGCTAGCCGCCGTAATAATAACTTTAAGTAAAGAAGCGACTTTCGCGTGCCCGGACCGAACTTCTTATAGTCCCTCGATAGCTATAAAAAGCTTAGGAAGGTTAGCTTCTAGATTTATAGTTATATCGACGCTTATTCCCGTTATATTATATAGTTTTACGTGGGCCGATTAGTAATAATATTTCTTAATATATTAAAATAATATCTTAAGGCCGTCCGGCGCCTATAAAAGCGGCCCTTTTTCACGAGATCTAACCACGGTATAGAGACGCCGCTATAAGTAGCGGCATAAGCGTTACTTACTAAAGCTAGCCCTAAGAAAGTTAAATATATTAATAAAGATAGAAATATTTATTATTATACCTAAGGCGATCGGCTAGATAGCTATTATTTATATAGCCTAAGTATAAGGAACGTAAGGATTGAGTCTTAGTAGCGGTAGCTACGGCGTAGCGTTATAGACCGCTAGATTATCTTCTTTAACGAATTAATCGGCTATAGCCTCTTCCGCGAAGATAGCCTCGTTAATTAAGTAGCTATCTACGCTATCTACGGCGAGATAATCCGCGATAAACTTACTAACTTTATTTATCTATAGAATAGGTATATTATCCGTAACTAAAAGAACCGACCTAATATTAGATCTAGTATACTAAGGGATTTATATTATATAACCGCTAACCCGGACTAAGGCGTTTTTTTCGATAATAACGATAATAGCCTATAGTAATAGCTTCTTCGCGAAATATAAGAGCCTCTCGAGATAATAGATATCGATAGTCTACTACCCGCCGAGATAGAGGCTTAGTATAAGGTATAGCTCTAAGGGCTTAGCTTCGAGGCTAACCTAGCAAAAGAGGATAACCTTAAAAAGCCGTTTATTAGCTTTTATTTAAAGCTTCGCGAGATTATCGAAAAGCACTAAAATTCCAGCGTATAGCCTATCTTAGCTATCTTATAAGTTTATACTAATAGCGCTACCGAATACTAACGTTTATTATAGTAGAATTACCTCGACGATCTAGGCCTCTATAGTAACGCGATACCGCCCGAATTTTAGGTATAAATAAGCTAGGCTATCGAGGAAAGGGATAATATAAAATAGATCGCGAAAAGCTTTATTTTACTACTATATAGGGTAGTGTTTAAAGCCTTACTATAACGGTTAGGTTAGACTAGCTACGGGTTAGGTAGATCTAAGGTCGGTTTATAAACTAAGTATACTAGGATATCGTTGACTTAAGCGGTCGTGTCACAGTCTATGTGCGAGATAGTAGATCTTGCGTAGATAATTGTATTGATAGCTAGGGAGCTAATAGAGACTGACTATAGTGAAGCTAGGCTTCCTATATACTAAGGGGATTATTGTGTGAAGCGAATGATACCCGTGGATCATGAGGCTTATGAGATAAGTGCGATGATCTAGATTATAATGTTTTATGGATAATCTAAAGTAATTAGTGAAAAAGAGTGGGTCACGCGTCATGTCACGTGCGGGCCGCATGGCGGCGCATGCGGTCGCATATTAAGTCGTAACACTTACGCGACGGGCCTATATATATATATATAATCCTTATACTATTAGACTTACTGTAATTTCCCCCTTATTATACTATATAATATCCGCGAATATAGCCCTTTCTTATATTCTTTCCTTATTAACCGGCGGTATTATATTAAACAGTAAGTCTAATTAATCTCTTACTTTCGGCTATATATTTTAATATCTATTTTAGTAATAGAAATACCCGAGCTACCGCTATCGATTCCTACGGTCTACGATACGCACCTATAACGCGAAAAATATAATAAAATACGCGCTACCTCCGTCGGGTTACTCTACCCCTTCTATAGCCGGCGATAGCCTAAGCTAGTCGAGATCGACGCCCTAGATATATTTAGCGACCCTCTAACGCCTATAACTATATATAGATCGCTATTAATTAGCGGCTACGCGTCGTCGGAAAGTCGTGGTATCGCTAAATAAGCGCTACCCCGATTATCCTCGTTATCTTTAACGCGTAGCGATCGCCTTAATAACCTACGTAGCTATATAAGGCAGGCTATTATCGCTATAAGGCCGGCTAAGCCTATCTCGCTATTTAAAAATCCCTATAGCCTTAAAATCTAGGTCTAGCTAGTCTATTCTACCGGTCGCAGGCTCTAAGGTAATATCTTTAAAGCCTCGAGCTCTTTATTAATAAGTAAGCTAATTTAGATATTCTAAAATATAGCTAATTCGCCGTAGGTAGAATAAATCTATTACTTATCTCGTAGGCCGACCTTAGATTCCTTATAAAAGCCGATTTTCTAACTATATACCTTAAACCTTTTATTCTTTATAATACCCTTAAAATACTTAATAAGTTAATAATATATATTGGTATATCTTTCTAGAAAAACAATAAATAAGAGCCTAGGTAGTTTATATCGGTTTCCTTAAAAAATAATAGCCTTTAGGATATACTAAGCTAAGATAATAATTTCTAGTAGGCTATTAGTAATAGCCGGGTTATCGTATAGATTAAGCTTTAATTTATCGAAGATAGCCCTAAAAAGCCTACCTTAAAGCCACGGAAGCCGCGGTCGAGGGCTAAGTCTACGGCGCTAGGCGAACGGTCGCAAAGGGAATTAATACTAGCTTTAATTCGGGTTAAATCAAAGCTAAATCTAGCACCCTACGAGCCGATTAGCCTTAAAGCCTTCCTATAAGACCTAGCGGGTGGGATATATAGCGAGACGGCCCTATCTAAAGCGTCGGATAATATAGACCTCTTACTAATTAAGATCGGCGCCCTTAAGGCACCCGACGAAGTAGCCGATAAGGCACTCGCTAAGGCACCCGATAAAGTAGCCGATAAGGAACCCGCTAAGGCACCCGATAAAGTAGCCGATAAGGCACCCGCTAAGGCACCTTATAAGGTAGTTAGGAAGAGGCTAAGGGCGCCTATAGCGGGTAGCGTTAATAAAGAGGTACGACCTCGCTATTCACGGCGTGAAGCTAGGCTAACCGCCCGGGCGCGGCGGTCGTGATTAAATTTATAGCTATTTATAACCTTACTTATAGCCTTACTTTATAACTAATTAAATACGAATATATATCTTACTTAAGAACTTTAGCGCCTCCGTGATAACTACTACACGCTTTATATAAAAAATAAATACTATTATCACGAAGTTTACTATCGCTAGATTATAGTAAATTAATTTATTTATTATAGAATTAAATTCTATAGCGTGCGTAGCTCTTTAGGTGAGGCTATAATAACGAGGGTGCGTATATGTGTTATGTGGTGGTTATGCAATTAGTCATTAATACCGTTGGCACCTTGTGATCTAATATCCCACCGTACCCTTGAGGCACCTAACGAAGCAGCCGATAAGGCACTCGCTAAGGCACCCGATAAAGCAGCCGATAAGGAACCCGCTGAGGCACCTGATAAAGTAGCCGATAAGGCACCCGCTAAGGTACCTTATAAGGTAGTTAGGAAGAGGCTAAGGGCGCCTATAGCGGGTAGCGTTAATAAAGAGGTACGACCTCGCCGTTCACGGCGTAAAGCTAGGCTAACCGCCCGGGCGCGGCGGTCGTGATTAAATTTATAGCTATTTATAACCTTACTTATAGCCTCACTTTATAACTAATTAAATACGAATATATATCTTACTTAAGAACTTTAGCGCCTCCGTGATAACTACTACACGCTTTATATAAAAAATAAATATTATTATCACGAAGTCTGCTATCGCTAGATTATAGCAAATTAATTTATTTATTATAGAATTAAATTCTATAGCGTGCGTAGCTCTTTGGGTGAGGCTATAATAACGAGGGTGCGTATGTGTGTTGTGTGGTGGTTGTGCAATTGGTCATTGATACCGTTGGCACCTTGTGATCTAATATCCCACCGTAGGCATTGCGCAACGTCTCGAATCCTCCTGGACGCTCGTTATCTGGTTGAGCTTGGGTCGGCAGTCTGGCCAATTAGCCCATGACCGCGTCGAGCATCTCGTGGGGTAACTGTTGGATTGACATGCCGCATTCAGCTCTCGGAAAAAGCAGCTCTCAATAGGGGAAAACAAAGTAAGAAAGAGAGAAGAAAAGTGGCTGCTGCTGCTGATGATGATGTGAAGAGCCAGTACCTACGTCCGCCAACGGATTCAATGTCTTTGCCTAAACCCTTACCGATGGCGAAAATACTTCATAATGGCCATCATGCTCGAGCAAAGCCACTCCGCGGTCTCATGTTGCTTGCTCTTCTCGGCAGACTATCCGGCGCATACGAATATGATCAAGACTTCCGCCCATGTGTAGACGACAAATGCTTCGCTGAGATCCATTCGGACGTCCCACTATGCTGGATGCAAGACGACAACCAGAACGTTCACTACATGAGCCCGATGGACGGTGGCCTTCATAGGATTCCCAACGCTTGTAGGAGATCCAACATATTCGGCGGCGACAGATACCTTGTCGCATATCCCTCCACGGGCGGCGTCGTGATGCTCAAAACCCCGTCTGCTGTGGATCTTCAACATCTGGAGCTGCCAAACACGCACGACACGGCGCGGTCGGCGGACGAAGACGATGACCTTGCCACGCGCATGGTCCAGCTTGGCGCACAGTGGTGGCCGAACTGGGATCTGTACTTCAGGCACTCAAACAGAATCGATATTGGAATCTTCTATGATTATCATTTCCCTTCGAAAGTCGACGTCGCGTTCCCGACAACGGGTGGCGCATGGGTGGCCAATTTCACGCAGGACGCACCACGACATCAGTATGAAGACAAGGCCTGCCAGTCATGGCTCCCCCATCCACCAGACCTGTGGCGCGTCAAGATGCGATACGCGTTGACCATGGACGACAAGTCGGAAATGATCAAGGAGCTGGGCGGTACGTTCTACATCTCCGTTGATGAGGTCCCCGGTCTCGCAAAGACTGTTGGTGAAGCTGTTGGCTTGTTTGAGCCATTCAAGCAGCGGCTGAACGACATGGAGGATAATGCCTATAGAGGACGATTTTGTAGGCATGAGAAGGAGGACACGGACACGGACACGGACACGGACACAGGAAGTGAGGAGATCCAGAAGCCGAGATGGGGACTATGGTCGCTTTTCCATGAATTACGTTGACGCTGGTACCTCAACATGACCATGCTGCACTCCGCGGCGCCACATCCGGGGGGCGTTCAGGCCAGGAGACACATCAATGAACGCTCAGGCACATACAGTGAGCCTCCAGAATAGTAAGCTGATTTGTCACTTGTCCATGAACAACGTCCAGGCGGCCCGAGAATATTGTCGCCGTTGAAGCTGGAAATAAGAAGAATATAAGCCCTAGGTTAGTTTATTTAGGTTTCATATGCTTGATATAAAGACGCAGAATGATTCATACCTATCTGTCCTGATCAATGGGTTCAGCGGGGATACCTATATTAGAACGGACTGGAGTTGGAAGCTATGACTACACTATCATCAAACGGTGGCTCACAATAAGCTATAACACACGGCTATGTCCATATTGGAGACTGAATCGCTTTAGCGACATATATATCGACCCCGGCATTTACTCATTGCAGGATAACGAGACACAGACGCCCAGGAAGTTGGCATATATTGAGGTCCCGGTACACCGTCAACGTCCAACCTTAACATGACTTGATATAGTAGCTCATCTTGGGTTTGCTGTCAGACTTCATGGAGGTCATTCTGGTGTCGGTCTTACATGATTATATCGCTTGTCAGAATTTCACTAGCATTCTATATGGCAACCTCCTGCTCCTGTTGTCAAGCCATACACAGACAAACCGGCTGTGGGAATCATCTCGCACCCACGCATCAAGGGCGCTCAGCGTACAGCTTGACTGGCAGGCAGGACCAGCTACTTGGTGTAGGAAAGCCTGGAGGACCAATCTGCGCGACAATCCTCCCATTCACCGGACAGGCGTACCAGGAATCCTGGTTTGTGTCATAGGCACACTTGAGCTCCCAGTCATCCTCAGAGATATGGCAGCCCATTGTCACGAGGGAATCCCGTTGACGAATAGCAGCGTCGGCCATCCAGGTGGCACCGAACGCCCCTTGAGCCCTTGAGACGTCCAGCGCGCCGAACTGGGCGTTCTGTTCCGTCATCAGGGCGTTGTTGTCTGGAGAGCTCATGTGGTACTGCGTAGCACCCGCGCGGCTGGTAAAGGCTTCTGTAGGTTGGTAGACGGGTCAGTACGCGTTACTGGATAGAGCTGGTCATGCGACCGTTTATGTAGAGGGACTGGACTTACGGAGGAAAGAATTCCTGGTCGAGTCGTACTGCCAGGAGTAGACGTATTGTCCATTGACGCGGCCACCGACGGCACGGACGACCTGGAAGAAAGTGCTGTCAGCTTCGAGTTCTGGCGCGCCACTGGTCATGATCAACGTACAAAGGTCTCCCAAGGAGGAGGGGCCACCACAGTCTTGGTAGTGGTGGTGGTTACGATGCGGGACTCGGTGTCAGTGACGGCCACAGTTCCCGTGGTCGTCACAGTCTCGACCAGGCCGATGGTGGTTGAGGCGGTGACTGTCGAGGTGGAAGTGACCGTGACGGTCGGGGTCGCCTCGGTGACGGTGGTCGGGCTGATGCCGATGCAAGAACAGGCCGACGAGTAGGCCTCAACGCTGCGGCAGGCGGTGGCGTAGGTGGGCATGACCGACGGTTGGACGGTCACCTGGCGTTTCTCCTGCTGGTCGATTCCATTGTCGCGCCTGACGATGGCAGGGTCCGCGGTGACCGTGGCGGTGACGGTCTGGGTCGTGACATCGATAGTCTCCAAGACGGTGACCGTCTCCAGCTCGGTAGCGACTTGGGTGCTGTAGCTTGTGGCGGTTTCAGTGACGGGAGTGACCGTCTCCCAGAGCGTCTCGGTGCTAGCATTTATGTCAGCACAGTAGGTGGGCGCTTTGGGAATAGCGATTGAGGGTGACAGCGTACTATGCGGCGGGTGTGACAGTCTTGCGGAGGAACGACGAACAGTCGGCCTGGGTAGGGCGGTTCGGAAACGAGCCTGCGATAACCTGGGGTCATGGTGTGAGCTGGAGCCATGAATCAAGTTATAGAGCGAGAAGAGGTCAATCTACAATCACATGTCGGAGGACTTACGGCGCGCAGGCAGTTATTGTGTGAGCACTGAGGCGCCGCCTGGGGCAGGGCCTCGACAGAGGCGACGAGGCTCAGAGCCAGGGGGAGGGTGGACAAAAAGTGCTTCATGTTGCCGGTGCCAAAGCAAGGACAAGAGCCAGAGCAAGATGCGAAGTCCTTCTCTGGTTATATACGCTTTCTCCGACATCGTGGCCGACTGTCTGTCAAGGCCAAGACCAGGTCCATCGCAGCGTGCATGGCGATGGCGCCTAGCATGGGTTTGAACTTTGAAGTCAGGACTCAGCTCTCAAAGTCCCAATAGTTGATCGCTAAACCAATCGATTCTCGCAGTCTGGCGACTTCAGCTTCGGTGTTGTCCGTCTCGTGTGAATGGAACGGCACTGGAAGAAGCTGGTCGACATGCGTGGCGTCAATAGCCTGGCGGATGCGAGGTATTCAGGTCGTTTGTCGTCGTGATCTGGCGTGGCCGGGGCTAACAATAGGTAACAATTGTAACAGGCATAAGAACAGGCCAGCAAAGGCGCTGCCGGATCTGCTCTAGAGTCATCCCTTCCATGTTAGTTACATGTAGGAGGGAGGTTTCCTCCGCCAATTGAGCACAGGACTCGAGCCTCATGTGGCCCCTGTCAGGCTGGTCACGATCACAACGCTGAGTCCTGACTATCGATTATACCCCTGCAGATCCCCCAAATATCGACGTCCAGACCTTCAGGCCTTCAAAAACCCGTTACTAGTCTTCTGCACGTGGCGAGCTGAAAGCTGGGATAAGTCTAGACCCAGATGCTCATGGGTCTGCGGCTAGAGTTATGGGATTCGCCAACTGAGGACATGCAGCTGACGGCAAACGCACGCGGGTCTCGCTCAGGTCATCGGTGCGACTCGCTTTTGTTGCACGAAATAGGTCTTGTCTCCTGAAGCCACAGGACAAGCAAAGCGCAATCGTAGTTCAGCGGGCAGTCAGACAGAGTAGTGTATGGAAGCACCAGGTTGATTGATGCTTTTGAGGTTGGCACTTCCAGAGCCAAGACATTTTCATCCTACATGATGCCTCGCAGACTCTCCACCACCCGTCCATACAGTCTATCCCTTTCCTTCTTGTTGAAGAATTCGGGCTTGAGTGGCTTGTCAAAGCCATGCGCAGCATCCTCCGCCACGTCAAGCTCGACATCACAACCCCCCTCCCTCAACTTCTTCTCCAAAGCCACAGTCTCGTGGTAAAAGACATCGCCCGACGCGGGAAACAGCACAATCTTCGTCGACAGGAACGTACTCGCATCGGCACGCAGCGGCGACGCCAGCGGATCCTCGCGATCCTCCTGTCGCGGCACGTACGCGTCGCTGAATAGCTGCAGCCCACGCACCGGCAGCGGCGCAATGGGCCGGTCGACTTTCTTGTCCTCGGCGGGGATGGTCCAGTCCGTGCCGGGGTAAAAGGCGTAGACGGCGCGGATGTTCAGCGACGGGAATCGGGGCCGTATCTGGGACACGGCGCCCAGACACATGGTGGCGCCCGCGCTGAACCCCGACAAGGCCACACGGTTCACGTCGAATTGACGAGACTGGTCCGCGACCCAGCGTAGTACGTCCTCAGCATCCTCCATGGGGAGGGGGAACGGATACTCAGGCGCCTTGCGGTAGTCAGCGTCCAAGACGACCACGCGACCCTCTCGCGCGATCCGCTCGCAGAAGGCATGGTCCATGCCGAGATTGTCTATAATAAAGCCGCTGCCGTGCCAGTTGACCACGACAGGCGCGGGGGCATTAGGGTCGTGGCGGGGAGGGTAGTAGATCCACGCGTCGATGAAGCGGTGGAGGTCCCGCGACGGGATGCGGATCGCGCGCCGGTGGCATGATGGTGAGGGTGTGAGGTGTTTGCGCGAGGCGCGGCTGCTGAGGAAGCGTATGAATGTCACGATGAACTTGAGCCTCCAGTACTGAAAGAAGCCGTGGGATCCCATGGTATTTGATTGCGCCTACGAGGCCGTGTCTGTCCACGTGGTGGAAAGAGACTGGAGATGGCCTTTTTGAAGCCGGGGTGTATCTTGCTATATGCGCCCGTGATGCACTCGGCGTAGGATCGACAGGTGAGCAATCGAAATGGAGATCATCGAACCGCACAGGCACGGCGTGCCCAATTGGGCAAGCCTTCTGGGTTTGTTTGTCGCCAATGACCGTGTGAACTGAAAGCTTGCATTCGGTTCGGCGAGCAATCTTGCCGTTGACTCATCGGATCTGGTGCGGCTGTACGGCACTCGTGGCACCGCGTGAGAGTGGCATTTGGCCTCACTCATTGCCCCGGAAGACCAAGGCAGACAGACAGCAAGAGAAAATACAAGTGATCCAAAATATCAATTAATTATTGCCCTCATACGCCAGCCCTCATTGGTATCCCCATACGAACGCCTGGCGCTCAACCCGCCCCGTCCACGCGTGCCACCGTAGATAGATATACAGGGTCATAATCATACAATACAGGTGCAAATACATACATGATAAAAAAAAAATGTCGTCGCGACAGTGTCACATCCTCGAGTTATGAGGCCGCCAGCTCTTCGTCGCAGGTCGCTGCCACTGGTTCCAGTGCTTCTTGGCGTCGTACCCGTGCAGTCGTTGCTTGTTCATCAACTCGGTCACGCTCTTGGTCTCCTCCATGGGCACCAGGTGCGGGTGTGCGTGGTAGGGCAAGACGGATTTCAGCGACTTCTTCGTCGCGGTCTTTGCGGAGGCGCCGGATGCGGCCTCGGCCTTCTTCATCTCCTTGATGAGATTCTTGACTTCTTCGTCCTCGCTCAGGATCTGCGCCCGCAGGAAGTACGGGCTCTCCTCGGCGGCTTCCTGGATCGACTGCATCACCGGTGTGCGTGGCGTGTATTCAATGCCATCGAGTTTGGGAGCATATTTGGGATCGGGGACGACCTTGGGGTCCAGAAGTGCCTCGTCCCCCTTCTGCAGCAGAGATACAATGTCGAGACTCTCGCCGTGAGGAATCGGGGTGGTGTGGCTAGGCGTCACGCAGTCCATGTCCACCTCCTTGCGCAAGACGTGGTCAAAGTCCACGGCCGAAAAGTAGGCACACGACTGTGGCAGGTCGTCGATCCCGACCTGTTGGGCAAACATGGCGCGCGTCCAGACGTTGGCCACTTGGAGAGCCATGGCAGCACGGTACTTGTCTTCTTCTTTGACGAGGTAGCGGATCTCGTCATGCACAGTGATCGCCACGCGCGCGTCCAGGTTGAATTGCCGGATGAGGTAGTCCATCGCGACGATCAAGAGGTGCAGATAGTCCACGCCAGACGACTGGATGGCCCAGTTGATGCGGGACGTCAAGTAGCCGCCTTTGTTGACAAACCGTCCCATGAGAGCTTCAGTAATCCCTGCGCCAAGGACAGGCGTGCGTGGTCTTTCCTGCTCCGCAAACTCTTCCAGCTTGTTGAACACAAACGATTCCGTACCGCCGCGCCAGAAAGAACGCTTGTGCAGAGTCCGTCGAGTCGTCTTGGTTCCTTTTGTGTTGGCATAGAGCTTCGAAGCGACTGTCATAGTCTCCTTCTCTGACAGGGACGGATTGAACTGGCGCAGGAGTGTTGCGGCGAACTTGAGACCGGCTCCGTAGATACGACCGTAGTTGAAGACCTTTGCATCGTTCCTGGTAATACCGAGGATGGAGGCTGTCCGTGAATGCAGATCGGTGCCCGCGGCCTTGGTTCCCTCCAGTGTCATGAAGCCAACAGCGTTGCCGCCGTGGAGCTTGAATGTGGCGTCGCCCACGAGACTGGCGATCCACAGCTCTTCGGAGTCAACGTCGGCACCTACAAAGGTATAGCCCTCAGGAGCCTTGACCATGGCCTTGAGCTCCGACCCAACGCGGTTCTTCTTAGCATTGCTCGCTGTCAGCCACGTGTTCTCGACGGCTCTGCGCGTGATGGTCCCCATTGGAATGATCTGCGGCAGAATGTACCCCTTGCTGGCGGCCACCGCTTTCTTCGACTTGCGCTTGATGGCACCTGGGATATCCTCTTCGTAGACGACCATCTGTGACCTGATGCGGTCGCGAGCGCTAATCCAGTAGGAGCAGGAGGCGTTCATTTCGAGAGCTTCCTTGGCGTACGGGTACTCAGACGATAGTGTCCCGTTCTCAAAGTACGTCAGATATGCCTTTGCCATCGGATTCGCACATCGAGCCGTCGGTCCGTCCTTGTGCGGCAACTTAAAGTACGCATGGTCGCGGTCGTCCCTGAGCACCGCCTCCTTTTCGTCAAATGTGCACTGCACCATTTGTTTGCCAATGTACTTGGATGCTTCCGCCTTGGGCACTCGAAAGGTCCATCCATACTCGTCCGACCAGGTGAGCGGGTGTCCGTCCCAAGAAAGACGCAGTAATAAAGGTGCTATGCGTGTGCGCACTGAGATGTTGATCGGCGCGTCATTCTTCGCGAAGAGATCCTTATACCATTGCGGCATGCCTGGCTTCTTCTGTCGAGCCGCCGGTCGAGGAGGGTCATTCTTCTTCTTGCCCTTGACCATTTTGATCTCCTGTCCAGACCAGTCCAGCTGTTTCATCCACGGATCATTCCGCCAGGTGTCCGTATCCTCTTTAATCTCCAGCGCTTTTTCTGTCAAGGCTACGAGGCGTTCTTGGACAGCGTCAGACAACTTGTGATAGGTCGCCTCCGCATTCGCAAGGTACGCATCCCAAGACTTGTTGACCGGGAGTATGACAGACGACAGATGACGGAGTGCAGCAAAGCTGACGGGATGCGGGCAAACTTCCAGAAAGTTGGGAAAGACAATCTGGTAGACGCGGTGGGTGATAGCCACATCGGCTGCGCAGTAATCCAGCAATTCATCCAGCTTGCCCATAATACCGCCTCTGTCGAGCTCGCCAAAGTCGTCCCGAATGGCCTTGTCGATCGAGACATTGAGGTGGAACTTGGCGACATCGCGTAATGAATTGACCGAGCTTCGTTCTACCCAGAGTTCCTCCTCATCATGCGCGCTCTTGCTCGACAGCAGCTCGGCAAGGCTGTGATCCTCGGTTTCCGTGGCGACACGCTCTCGCAGTTCACGATTCTTCTTGTGTCGCATCCAAGTCGGTCGCTGCCGGGAACACATGCCATTGACGGCGACGTGTAACGACATGGTGTCCATGAACGCATTCCTCGTTTGCTTGATATCGTATTCCTCCAAAATCCGGGCGCGGTCGAACCCAACATTGTGCCCAACAATGATGCGGTCTTTCGTAGGGTCTCCCATGGGAATCAACTGCTTCTCGTTTGTCGTCTCGCCCAGCAGCCAGGGCGAGAGCCAAGCATACCAGGCTGTGGGACTCGAGGCGCATGCCATGACGGCAAATGGACTCTCCTTCCACATCACCTCGGTATCGAAACACAGCATGTTCTCGTCAGGCGCATCGACGGCTTCGGTCTTGCCGTCTGGGTAGTACTTTGTCCATCCGCTGCGTCGTACCCATTTCCGCGGTTTCGGCGGCGGGTTGGACCGCGCAAACTCCTTTGCATATCGCAAGAATGGCTCCGCGCTATCCTTGCCAAGCTTGAAGAAGTGTTCGTCGAGGGTGCGCCCTTGCAGCGGCGGCAGGTTGAACGCGATCGGTTCAGAGTTGTCAGTGTTTTTGCCGAGGAGGTCGTGACGTCGCAGGTGGTCTCTGGACAATTCGACCAGCTCTTTGGGAGCAGGCTTGCCTCCATCGGGGAAGATCTGATCGTACACGTGGGAGCTGAGCTGCTGGACGCCGATCTCGTTGTATCGCGACTGGGACGGGAGGGCTAGGCTTTTCTGCTCTTTCGCGACGCCGTCGGTGAGGGCTGCGAGCCATCGAATGTGCGCGCGCCAGGCATGGCGACGAGAGGCTTGGTGGCGAGCTATGCGAACAAACGCGGGTGTCGTCCCTTGGCGGAGGTGGCCAACAGAGGCACTGAACATCATTCACACGCGGCGCTGTTACATCACGAGCTCGTGGCTGTGTGCAACCGTGTCGTCGCTTCGGCTGTGGTGTCGAGTGGAATGATTAGGGGTCTTCGTGTGTCATCTGGTTGATTTCGCTGCTGCGCGAGGGATGAAATGAATGACGGCGGCTGCATTGCATAGGGGACGTGGGGCAGCAGACAGGGCCAATCAGAGTGTGACTCAAAGCTGACTCAGCAGATTGGGGTCGACTAGTGATGACTACCCTACACATCAGATTGCCAACACATTCGCATGCGTGTCCTAGTTTGAAATGGCAAATATTAGCTGTCGTTGTGTGATATCATCAAATTTTTGTCGCGTAATTGCCAATTCCATGTTTGATTTAGCATGGTTTTTGGCTTTTTGACACCAGCACAAGTGATGGTGATCCCATGGTAACTGTCCAAACTCAAACTGGAGTGTGATGTAGGTATGCTGGTATCAGGCCGAAAGGCCACCATCGGATGTATAAAAAGCATTTAGGTGGCTTCATTGAAAAGATCAGAAATTGGAAGCAACGTACTCCGTATGTATAGCATAATCTCTAAGACCCAATCGGCCGTGCTTGGTGCAGATGCCATCGCCTCTGCAGATCCATCCCTGTCTGTGCGCCCTGTCTCCCTCCTGCCTGGGCCCTGACTAAATCGCATCTCACCACCAGGACAACAACGGTGGACGCACCTCAGATTCTTGCCTCCTGCGTCCTCCGTCTGAACCTGTGACTTAGCCCACTGGACCGCTCCAAAGGCTGCGCCGTCTGGCATTTTCACGGCTCACAATCGCCGGCGAATCTCTCAGATGTCCAGCACCCAGTCCTCACCGGGCGCATCGCATGCTGCTCGATCACGTCTGGTCCCACCCAACCCTCCTCGAGACTTCAGCCGCGTCCCCTCAAACCCCCGCGACAAACGACCGCCGCACCGAACAACCCTCGAACCACCGATCGGCCATCATCACCAGCGTTCTTCCTCGCCTCGACTCCATGCTACCAACTCTCCATCACTCACGAGACGTCAAAGTCAACGAACCTCCTTGCCCGGCGAACCCGCAGGATTAGTCGACCCTGGTGGTGCCTCCGACGCCGCCAACACCAACGCCGACGCTGCCGCCTCGCCACGACGTCACGCCTCTCCTCACCCACCACGCGTCTGGCCCAACGACGAAATCTGGCTACCGCGTCTACCTGTACGGGACGATCCTATCGATAGAGCCCTCGCTTCATCTGGCTGGTCGCCCGACGCCTTGAATCACCTCTTCACCAGTGACGCCATACTCAGTGACCTCGCCAACAATACTTTTTCCTCGCCCTCCACCTACCCATCCTTCACGACCACGAACCAGCTCTCCCAGCCGCACATCTCTACGGAGGACGCTACCATCTCGCCACTGGTTCTTGCCGACAACATGCCCGCCACCACTCGCCGGCGCAGCACGACTGCCATGCCCGCCTCCTCTCCTCCCACCACAGCACGAGCGCTCCATGTAGGGTCTCGTGACAGCGGCCCGCCCGCCAAGAAGATGAGAATAGGCAACGACGAAGACGATCCGTTCAAGAGCCCATCACCACTCTTCAGCGAGGAGCCCATCGACCTGACCGATCCCGCCATCCCCCCCGAACAAGCCGCACGGAGGCCAAAGTCGCCGCCTAATGTGAAACTCGCGAGCTTCCAATGTGCCATCTGCCTCGACAATGTAGAGAACATGACAGTCACACACTGCGGTACGTTTCAAGCTAGAACTGTATCTGTTGCCATAGTTGCTGATCAACGCAGGCCACATCTTCTGCGCACAGTGTCTTCACTCTTCGCTCTGCGTCGAATCCACAAAGGGCCGCTGTCCAATGTGCCGCGCCAAGATCGACATCAAGCCGCGAGACGAATACAGCAGCAAGACAAAAGGGTTCTATCCCATCGAACTAAAGCTGATGACCAAGTCAAGAAAAGGCAAGCGCAAGGCCGGGGATACATCATAAAAGAGCAGTAGTAATTGGGCGTGGAATGGGCATGGGCGGCGTTTTGGGCACACTCATCATACTACATGCATTGCAAGCAAGCGTCACAATCTTGTTTTCAGGTGTTGATAGGGCTATTCGGCGACCCAAGCGTTAGTCGCCTTGCATTTACAATGAATACATTCGCAAATCCAAATGCCCGTGCAAAGCCGAATCTAAATCAAAAACCCTTTCTTTTGTCTCCAACGCCGACTCTATCAAGATACATGATCCTCATATGCATGTAGGCCGGGGACCTGGACTAGTGAAACAGCAAATCGCTTTGCTTCCTCGTCTCTTGCACCGTCTCCTCTTCGAACTGCGGAGAGTTAGTACTGGCGTGTGTTCGTCGTCATGCGATATTGCTTACCTCGAGAAATCCTGTCGCAGCAATCATTATGACAAGGGCCTCTGCTAGGTCTTCCACCTTCTCCTGCAACCGCGCGGTGACGTCCTCCATCCCGATGCCCGCACTTCTCTTCAGCGCATGCGTGACGAGCGAGCGATGATCGACTAGGAACTTGCGGCCCTGCACGACATTATGCGACCCGCGGCTCACAACGGCAGCGCCGATAATACGCACTGTCTTTGCAAGCAGGTCGTAGTGTGCCTCGAGGGGTGTCGATCCTCCGACTTGAAGCTCTGGATCGGCAGTGAAGATTTGGGACGTCGCGAGCGTACGCAGCAGGTTGGCGTGGAGAATGTGTTTCGCGCCAGGCCGTGTTTGCGCGAGATGCTGGATGAGTGCGAGACGCGCGTTCTGGAAGTTCTCCTGCTCTTTAGTCCCCGATGTGAAGACTTGGTGCCACTCCTGCATAATGTTCTGAAGAGAGTCGACAAGGACGCCGATAAAGTTGAGCCTATTGAGCATTTCCACAATAAAAGCGTCGCCCTCAATCTGGTCGATATGAACCAATGTCCCCAGGAGGATCAGGGCTGCTGTTTGGCATCGAGGCTCGCCATTGTAGGCATCGTCGCAAATCACGTTGAGCAGCCTCTCCCCATAAACCCTGATTGCCTTGACGACTTTGGTTCGGTTTTTGACGAGGCCATCATCATCCGGCATGCCGGTCAAGTACGTGTAGCAGTTCTCATAGTAGACCGATCGTAGCTCAGCGCTGTCCACCCATTTTCCAGTGGCCTGGATGCAGATCTGGAAAATCTGGTAAACCTTGTCGTTAATGAGGTTTCCCACCGCCAGAGTCGTTGTATCGTGTGCATCAGAGGGTTTCGGGGCGTAAAGCTTGGACAAGAGGATCTTGGACAGCTTGGCGAGAATGATGGCATCGGCTGGTCGTTCAGTAGCATTGGCCTCGAAGCTAGGTAGGATCGACTGCAAGGCCTGCAAGAAGAACTGGGTTCGAGCGGCGCCTTCAAAGTCGTTGCATTCGGCCATCACCAGCAACAACTTCGCCCAAGCTTCCAGGACAGAAAGGCCTTGGGATGCGAGCTGCACCTCCCGATTGGTCATGACCATGCTGTCTTCGATGGCCTGCTCCTCTTCTGCCAAGATTTTGGCTTCCGAGTCGGCAATCACAACGCCTGCGTGTTTCATCGCGCTGCGTTTCAAGAGGATCAGTTCGCGTGCGCGCTCCACGTTCCATATTTCGGTGCCGTCAGGCCCCTGATCAGAGCAGATACCGAGGTCAAGGTCCCGATAGATCCGCAAAGAGGGAGGCTGTATTGTCCATGCATTAGGGGGGAGGTGAAAGTCGAACAAGTCAAAGATGGAGGGCACGGCTATCGGTTCGTTCTCATCACCCATGATTTGTCCGTTTAGTGCCTCAAAGATGCGTCTTTTGACGCTGGGCGTCTTGCCCTGTGAGATCATGCAGAGCTCCATCGCAATGTAGTCGAGAGTCATGCCACGCAAGGACAGCAGATCCAACAGCGACGTCGCACCCTCGGTGACCAGGAAATAAGGACTGTCAGCAGCCTCGCCTTCCCAGAGTAGACGCGGGTGAATGACAGTCTCGCGCAGCAGGAGATGGAAAAGAAGCTCATTGGATCTGAGCTCCTCGATGACAAGCGAAGCGGACAGCGGTGACGACCACAGGACTTGGAGAATGCGCAAAGCGCGCACCCTCAGGCCCACAAGCCACTGCCTCACACCGTTCTGATCAGTTGTTGGCGTATCGAGTAGTAGCCTCAGAACAACATGGAAGAGCGACTCACGCTCCTCAAAGAGACTGTTCGATTCGATGGACACGGAGTCAACGCCACACTTGAACCCTAGCAAGAGATGGGCTATTGTAGGCTGTCCACTTGTGTCCAGAAGACATTGGTAAAGGAAGTCGAGGATATAGACTTTTGTGGCGTAGTTCGCAGACTCAGCTTCGCGTGTCGGGTCCAACGGTTGCATCAGCTCGGAAATGAAAGCACGCGCTATGGATTCGTGCTCCCCGTTTGCTTCCATGGCGACAACAGCTTTATTGCGATGGTTGTGTCTCACTGACCCAGACCATAGCGACGTAATCTTTGACGAGGATGACATGCGCTCCATCAACTTCAAACAGGCGAGTGTCAAGTTGGCGTGACCGAGACCGCAATAATTGCCCATATCGACCACTAAGCCGAGCCTCGACACAAGGCCATCTTCGAATGTGGGATACGCTGATTTGGCAATCGTTTGTGGTCTTGACCTGGGCTCAGAGCGAATAAGTGGCTTCACGATATCGAGATAGGTCGCCTGTAGATCGAGAACTTTGCTGATGACCTCGACGCCGCGAAGGATACCCAGAATCAAGGGCGAGTCAGGAGCCGCATTGGCAACATCCACTGGCTCTTGATGCACGGTGCTGTACAAAGCTGCTATGACCCGCTCGTTGTACATCCACTCCATCACACGTGTGAAGGGATGCAAGCGAACATAAGTCGCCAAATCAGCCGTGGCAATGATGTTGTCGACAGCCATATTGGTTCTGTTCGCTGTGATGATTAAGTCCTCATTGAAGGTATCCAGGCATGCCATAATGAAATCGAGGCAGCAGAGTCGCAAGACACGGATCTGGTGAATATCTTGCAGCTCGCTTGACTTGGCCGCGAAGATCATCCCCACAACAAAGTCGACGTACACATCGATACCTGATGCGCGGTATGCGGATCCCAGGTTCTCTGGGAAGGGCAAACCATCATTGAGGGGACTGCTGTCGACGGCTGGGCGCACCAAGGCAAGGAGTAGCTGTGTCAATGATTCTGGGTCTTCGAAACCATGGCTCATCTCGTCGAATGAGCGTTCCATAGAATTCTGAGGGGATGATTGGGGTTGGCGATGGTGGGCTGTCAGAACAGTAGCGTAACCACCCGTCACCCATTGGTCGAGGCACTGCCACATCGTGTGGCCCTCAGCTGTCGACTTTCTAGTAAGTAGGGCCTTGAGCGCGGTGAAGCCGCAGCCGCGCAGGCGTGGGGGTATAGGCGCGCTGGTCAGCTCCAGAACGGCCTCGACGAGGTTAAAATTCGTGTTTTGGAGCAAGAATAGTCGGGCTGTCTCGTTCTCTGTGGCAAGCCTGGTCATGAGACGAAGGTAGGCCTCCAGCATCATCGCCGACTCGGGCTCTGTCTCCAACACATCAGGGACAACCTTGCTGGCACGGAAGCGTACAGACTGTGCCGGGGCAGGCTTGTTCTTCGCTTTTTCAAGGAAGAACTTGAGCTCTCGGAAAATCTGCGCCCAGGATAATGATTGTGACCTCCTCATCTTCCCCGAAGAGTGATGCCCCTCTTCCAAGAGGAAATTGTGGGCATATTCGGCACACTCTTCATTACCAGACACGGCGGAAAGCATTTCACAGAAGGCCGTCACAAGTGGTGTCGAAGCTCGGCGGGAAGCCCATTGCAAAAATCCGTTTAAGTTGCTGTCAGGATCGTCCCAGAAGTTGATAGCTGCTTGGGGGCGCTTATCGTAGGCGTATGCGATAATGAGCAAGAACCTCTCCAAATCCAGATCTTGCTCATGAGCCTGGCTCAGTTGCCGCTGCTCGTCCTCTTCCAGGCGAAGTCGGCGGAGAACATCGGGCAGGTTGGTGATGAAGCTGTCAATGAACGCTTCGAGCTGGGAGACCAATGCCTCTTGGAAGAAATCGCTGAACTGCACCAATTCAGCGTTCAGAGTCGGGGACTTCCTCTGTAACCAGCGATGCATGCCGGCTCGCACTGAATCGTACCAGTCAGGAGACCTGGTGTCGCCGGCAACCGACAATAGAAAGTCAAAAGCACCCTCTTTCAGGGAGTCAAGAAACTGCTTCGCTCTCTGCCGATCTTCGGCGTCTAAATCAGCCCCAGCCGGAATTGCTGCCTCTGGGGGGTCTTCCAGGTAAAAGCTGCTGTGTTCCGCAAGCCACCAGGCACGCACTGCCGCTTGGAAGAACGACAGTGCCCAAGGCGGCTCGTCGGTGACTGGGAACAGGCGCTCACTGAGTGGGCGAACTTGTAGAAGATCATGCCCGCCGTCCAATGAGCCAAAGGCTTTCATGAATGCGCCGACCGCAGGGATATTGTGGACCAGGGTATTGTCATACTTGTCCACCTTGCGCAGACCGTCCATGAAGTCAGTCAGATCCTGGGTGGTCGCCTGCCGTTTCTCAATGAACCAGCAGAGGAGCACGCCGAGGAGCTCATGCTGCTGTATCAAACTGATTCTGGCAAATCCAACGGTTTCCAGCTCTTCTGATATTCCGCCGCCACCTGACTGACCCAACATCTGAGCTGCACTGACTTTGTCCGACAGCTTTTGAATCCACGCCTTGATCGACTGCATAGCTGTCATGCATCGGGGAACCATCTGAGTCGTGCGACTCGCACCAGGCTTTGCGCTGAATGTCTCTGCAACCCAGCTTCTAACTGTTTCGTTGTTCATATTTGGCGCAAGGTCATCCAGTTCTTCGTCCATGTCCATCTCGATCAGAATTCGAAGTGCATCAAGTGCATATTTGCGCTGTTGGTGAAAGCGGACCATGCCGCACTCGAGCAGAGACCTGCCGAGGGTCGCCAGATCGGCCTGCGCTTCGAGAAGACATTGCGCTGCAAGCTTTTCGTCTATGCCGAGCTCGTCGGATAAGGAAAGTGCTGACTGTTTAAAGTCCTCGTTGATAGAATATTCGACCTCGTCGACCGTCACCTTCCCTGCATCAATGTTAGCCAAGAGCGCCTGTAACTTAAGCTGGGCTCAACCAACCACTCTGGACATCCTTCCTGGACTGGTCATTGTTGGGAGGTAGCGACCATATTCGATCGAGCTCGGTCTTGAATGGAATCACGAGGGCATCGTTGCCAAGGGTGTCGATCGCCGGCAAGCGTCCCTCCTGAATGGCCAGCAGCTCCTGGTGGAAAGCCTGGAGAGTCTCTAACGTAGACAATTCGGCCATGATCGCGATTCCCTATCGTTGCATTGTGGACTTTGTCTGCTCTTGGACTTTGGTGTCCTAGTCGTTTGACGCGCCCAGACGATACCAGGAGATGGATGGGTGCAAAAATGGGTGCGCTAGACGCGCATCGATCCCTTATCTCCGGGGAGGGCTGTGATGCTTCGGTGAGAGAGCGACGAGTTCGTGGACGGCGACGTTGGTTTGCTCGTGTACTTTTTCTCAATTCATTGGAACTGAAGCTAGCAGGCAGGCTGGGGGTGAACAGCTGTTGCGCGGGCGGTGAGCGATTCTGCCGCCTGCCTGCAGATGCACGATATGGCGTTGGCGGCGACGGGAAGGCGCGTGGGCCGCCTTCACTCAAGGCAGGTTCCATCGCTACCGCGCCGCCACTGTTCCAGCTGGGTGCTGCAGCTCAACAAGCAACTTATAGCCCACATCGGTAGGACCGTGACAAACTATGAGTAAGACGCGTTTGACGTGATCTGTACTTCGCCCATTTCACTTATCGTCACGCTGAGTCGGGATTGTGGCCGTGACAAATGCAGTCAGCTTCATGCTACCTGGCGATGGCGTGTATGCCTTTTGATTTGTCGCGCTGTTCTGTCGAAGCATATTATTCGAGCTGGCGGCGAGCAACAGCAGCATTCTGAGGCGCCGCGTTCACAATTGAAGCGAATCGAGCTACTCAGTTCAGTACAAAGACTAGAGAAAAAGTGTACCCTCACAGCCTCTGCCCGTCATGTCTTTCCAAACAGCGTCGGAGTTGACGAGTATGTTTATGCAGCCCCTTTCCTGGACGCTGTCTCCAAACTAACAAACATAGGCACCATCAAAGACAAGTCTGCGAGTATCACAAAGAGAGTCAAAGCCATTGAAGGTCGTATTGCATTGATTACTTAGCTGCACTGTGACTGACTTTTGCTCAGATCTTGGGTACATGTTGGATCCCCAAAACCGATCAGCCAATCTGTAAGCGACCAAGCAAGTTTGATATTAGCGGAGCTGATGGACGTCTCATTAGCGACCCAATCAAAGATCGAGGATATCGTGACATTCTTGAAACCTTCTTCAATTTCGTTTTGGAGCAGAAGCATTTGTTCTACGGAGCCACGAAAAGTAAAGCACCACAGGCTGGTCCGCGGCTAGAGAAGTGCGCCGATGCTGTCAAGAAGACCGTGTCTCGCTGTTTACCCAAGCTCGGCACCAAGTCGGTGCTTTCAATCGTCGCCCACATCACTGAGATCTTACATCGATCCAATGGTGGCTATGTCGAGCCCTTGGTTTCAGGCTATGTCAAGACCTTGGCCATTCTGCTCTCTCGGAATGCTTGCGTCGAACTTCTTGTGCGGAAGGAAGATGGCATATACTGGGACTCCTGTGTGGATCTTGTACTTGGACTCGCTTCATATTACCTACCTGAGCATCAGTCCAATGTGTCGAACAGAGCCTCGCCCGCCCCAGGGACAGGCACTATGCGCATGAGCGGAAAGTCCACTGCCTCGACGCAAAGCCAGAAGCTTTCTAGTCAGGGCGAAAATGACGCAATGGGCCGACTGAGAAGCACCTTCGAAGCACTCCTCGACTTGCTCAAAGTTGGCAACGCCCCTGTGATGCGGCGTTCCCAGGAAGTTGTTGAGCTTACTGTGCGTACCCTCAACGCCAAGTCGTTCAGTCTCGGCACTCTTCAGAGCACTTGCTTTTCGATCATCAACACGGTGTTCCCAGTCTACCAGACCGAGGCTTTCGAGGAGGCCATCTCGCTCGTGCACGATTTGGTTCCGCTTATGAGCTTTTGGTGGCGTGCCGAAAAGGTGTCTCAGGATGAGCTGATCCGTTCACTGAGAAACGAAATTCTCAGGTCAATATTCCTGGTTCAACATCACCTAGAATACATAGCCTTGCGTCAAGAGGATGCTGCATTTCCCGTTATGCTGGAAGAATTGGCGCAACCACTCTGGCGGGAGTATTCAAAAAGAGGGGAGACGTTTCGTCTTCAAATGCAAGACATTACATTCTCCGTGTCTGATCTGGCGGTCAGTCATCTCCAGAATTCGTTGTTTGGTCTTCGTCCACACAACGTTGAGGGCGAGAGTTATTGGGCCCTGGTCCAAAACTTGGCTACTTTGGAGTCGCTGCTGTCTAAGAGACAGCATGCGGGTCCCACGCGCGACTCGGACGACGACGAAAAACCACGGAAAAGGCCGAAGACCAGCGTGCAGACCAGCCGGCTGCGCTCTCAACTTCGCTCCAGAGACATTGGTATCCGTCGTACGGCACTTCAAGTCATCCCGTTCGTGGTGGGTTCTGGGAGCCTCGCGGACCCGGAAATCACTGATCTGCTCGAAGAACTTCTCATACTTGGAACAGACAAAGATGCAATCATAGCTTCGTGGGCCCTCGTGGCATGCGCTAGCTGCGGAATTCGACGGAAGGTTGTCCAAGACCAGCAAGCGACCTGGCGTTACGTTTGGCATATGGCTGTGAGACTGGTCAGCCTGCCTCCCACTAGCCGCGCTGCCTGTGTTGTTCTTTCAACGATCTTGACTGGCAATTTTCTTCCATATCACGAAATATCTGAACACATCAACCACATCGTTACCACTGCCGACGTCAGTGGTCCCGCTGTGCTGTCAGATGCGTCGTTGGCGTTGATGCTGCAACTTTTCCACGTGCGCAACATTCGCCTCCCAAGCGCGAGCCAAGCAACCAGTGGCCACATCATACGATGGGTCTTCCTGAGATGGAATCCCGGTGAGCTTGGGTACGCATCTTCTCACTCGCTTCACTCCCAAACTGGGCAGTTCGTGAACCTGTTGCGCGCTTGCTGCGGCGAAGGTCCGGTGTCCTTTGGACATCCGCTTGCCTCTGTTGGTGGTCGTCTGAGTGAGACGTGGATGGCGCAGCAAAGCGTGACTCCTTTCATTAGGTATCTCTTGTTGCTCGACGAGGGAGAGACCCAGGCGAAGGACGAAGCCACCATTGTGCCGGCCGAACAAGCCCAACGTTCGGAGACGGGAAGCTTCTATCCTTCAAGAAAGCTTGTGCTAGAGCTACTTACCCCACGCTTGGAAGACTTGAACGAGCTGTGCACGGCCTGGACAAAGAAAGCTAGTGATGGAGGCGTCCAGATCTCTTTGGAAAAGTTCCAGAGTTTGTTTGCTGCCGTTATTGTCGGCTCAGCACTTCTCCCACAAATCTCGGATCTTAATTCGACCCAGTCAGCTACAGTCGGTTCGACCGTCCTTGGTCTCGCCGAGAAGAGCCTCAACGTTGCGCTGGAATCCATCGAACCCCAGGTTTTCATCGAGGCCACTCTTCGTCTTGTCAGACCTTGCATTCCAACGTTGAAAAGCGAGACTATTTCCAATTACTATGTCCATCACCGTGGTCTGCTGAATCTACTTGCGAAGATCTATGAGCTTCTGTACAAGCGCCAGGCCACCGACAAATCTATGCCCAATGTAGATCTGATGGAAGTTGATGAGGAATTCGAATCTCAAGACAGCGGCACCGCAGACGCGTCAACTCAATGCGTCGTTCCGAGACGTATTGAAGAGCTCCGACTGGACTCGGCATGCTATTACATTGATACGAAGTACCGGTTACAGCTACTGAACATTGTTGAGAATGATGAAGGTCAAATAGGCGTGCTGCCTGATGGTCTGGTTGACACGCTCCTCGTCGCTTCTGATGAGGAGCTGCTCATGTCATCCAACTTCATTCTGGAGGCATTCCGATCCAATCTCACCCTCGGCGCGGACACGGCACGCGACGTGGTTCATCGCTTAGGCGACATTGTTGCAAGGCTAGAGTACCAGAGCTCAGAAGTGGCACTGAGTACCTGCATTGATGTCATTGACGGCTGCCACGATATTTGGCTCCAAAGCTCGGGCGATCTCAGGCAAAGCATTGGCGACATGTACAATCATTTTGTGGTTGTGTCCCTGAGGATGAACGGCTTCTCTCCCGCGGGTTACATCTCCATGGTTGGCCTACTCCTGACCTTGCTACGAGCAGAGCCAGACTACGCTACCAATGCAGGCCTTGAGTCTTGCAGAACGTCCCTCCTGTACATACTGGCGAACGCTCCTCTTGAGGCCAAATGCTTCATCGCAGATCACATAGCCGACGTTTTCGGCCTGTACATCCTGAAGCTGCACGACGAGATTTTCATCGATGTTCTGAACAACCTGCCTTCAAACTCTCAAAACGTTGCTGGCATAGCTTTCCGCCTTCAAGTCCTGTCAAGGCTAGCATGCCGCTGGCCAACTCTGCTTCGCAGATGCACATATCATATCTTCGAGATACCAGGCAAAATCACAAGTTCACTAAAACATGCCGGCATCTGTCTCCGAGATATAGCGCAACACTTAGACTTGGCCTCCCCGGCTGAGCTATTTCGCCTGTTTTCCCGCCAATTGCTGTACACGTGGCTTGACAGCGAGCTGATCGAGGACATTCCTTACGATATCTTCGGATACTCTAGTCTTTCCGAGCTTCTTTGTGATGCTCAAGGAGAAGCCCTTGGACTCATGATCATGCGAGGACAAGTTGACATGAGCAAAGAGCTCGCTCGTCATGTGCGTAAATCTGAAGCAGATCTGGTCAAAAGCAATTTTCATACGGCATTGGCTTACAGTATGATCTACGGCGATTCATCCGGCGGCGATGATCAGGGTCTAGGCGAAGGTCTTATCGAGCGGGCAATTGGCAAAAAGGGCATGGCCGAGGCTCGTTATGAGAGCTTTGCTGACATTGTCGCCTTGTTCATCGACGTCATTGACCAGGACAACCTTATCGAAAAGACGTTTCTGAAACACGAAGATTTCGCTTATGCTGGGAAGATCATGGCGAAAATCAAGAGTCTGTCGCATTCGAGCGCATCGCTGCCGCCGAATCAACAGCCCACCTTCAGGGCTCGTTTCTTGCCGTTTGAGATACAGCGTCTGTGTGAGAGCACAATCTTTGACTTTCGGGAGATTTGGACACCTCCCTTGGTGCTCTCTGTCTCACGCAAACTCTTGAACACCGTGCATCCGGCACTCGGCTCTCTGCATGCGTGTTCCGTTATCCGCAAGGTGCGCATTTTGGTTTGTCTGGCCGGGCCAGTTGCATTGGACTCTTATGTCATCGAGATGCTGTTGAGCTCTATGCGTGCTTTTCTAGTTGACTCGGAATGCGCCGATGATGCTCTCGGTGTAAGCCAGTACCTTCTGTCCGAGGGTTCTGCCTATCTCAGACTCGTTCCCTCCTTCCTCGCAGGCTATGCGTTGTCAACCCTGGCTTCTCTCAGGGTCTTTCTTGAGTCGAGCCAAGCGAGCACCACTCAGGAAGAACAGTTTAAAGCCACAATGAGTAGGGCAAAAGCTTTTCATTCCTGGTTCGCCGAGTATCTTGCCAAATACGAGTCCAACGCATTCGACGGTTCTGACCAGCGCAAAGGGTTCTATGCAATTACCAGCGCAGCTGCTTCCATTCGATCGTCTGGGAATGCTGAGAAAGGCACGTCAGAGAGCAAGCTTCTGCTCGAGATTTTGAGAGACGGAAGAAGCGCCAGCCAATTGTTGAATGAGGCATCGAGACGATCAGCCATTGCCATTCTGTCTAACGACTTTGTTTTCCCAACTCAGAGGAACCGTGATGTGATCGACACTGACGAAGAGGCGATCGCTCTTTCGACCCCGGTATGGAAAAGCTCTCAGGCCAGTGCGCTGAGCGACCCCTACTTAGCGTGGGCTGGCCGAGCTGTTGGCCGGTCGTTCTCAGCTTCTGGCAACATTCCGCTCGATGTCATCCGTGAGACCCGGCTGACGGAGTATCGGCGTCTGTCCAACGAGCTGGAAAGCTCAGAAATGGGAATATTGACCCTCCTTCAGCAGCTTGCTTCCAGTGCAGTGTCTGCAACAGCGGGCCTCGCCGAAGCTGCGCTACGAAACACCATCTCGCAGGCCATTCAGCAAGAGGACGAGTCTCTGTTAGTTGCATGCCAAATGTGTCTCCGCGAGCCCCTTTTTCTGGCATCTCAATGGGGCAACTACCGAAGCCCTCCATCTGAGATAAAGAAAACACAGGATCCTCGCAACGAGCTGATTTGGACTCAAGATATCGCTTCGCCAACCTGGGCGCAGGATCTTTCAGTCTACCTGTGTCAGTCCGCCACAAACTCGATCTTGCTGCCCAATCTGATTCCAATATTCTCGGCCGTCAAAGGATTTGCAGAGGAGGCTTTCCAATTCCTTCTGCACCTTGTGCTGTATCTGCAACTTGACCAACAACAGGCTGTTCGGAAGGCTTTCAGCGGTTCTATGAGGCAATGGCTCAGTGCCCACCATCCTGACGCGATTCCGAACCAGACACTGCTTCTGAACTCAATATTGTACCTCCGGACCCAGCCGTACCCCAAAGAGTCGTCCATGGCTGATCGCTCGTACTGGTTGGACGTTGACCTTACCCAAGCAGCCTCGACGGCATGCGCTTGTGGCATGTACAAGTCTGCCCTCTTGCTTATCGAGTCCATCCCACCCGACACAGGTCGCGCCTCTCGGAGATCTTCAGCGGCTGCGGCTCAGAATACCGGCATAAACGACACCTTACTGACAATCTTCGAAAATATTGATGACCCGGATGCTTACTACGGTCTGCCCGAGGAGCCAAGTCTGGCCAAGGTGTTGTCGCGCGTCGAGTATGAGAACGAAGGCACCAAAAGCCTGGCATTCCGTGGTGCTCAGTACGATACACATTTGCGACAGCGTGACGCGATGGCCAATGATGATGCACAGCATATCGTCAACGCCTTGAACACCCTGGGACTGGCTGGTCTTTCTCACTCCGTGCTGCAAACTTTGCAATCGTCCGGTGCTGCCCCATCGTCTCTTAGGAATACCTTCACGACAGCACAGCGACTTGAATCATGGAACTTGCCGGCGCCAACCCAGAGCGACCACTCTGCGGTGGTGGTGTACAAAGCGTACCAGGCCATGTCTCAAGCCATAGGTCCTCAAGTAGTTCGTTCCACCATCTACGAAGGCTTTGAGCGAACAATGCGAGCGTTGGCGACCTCAGGGGCTCGAGCTGCACACATACGGAAGCACTTGTCAGCGCTTGCCGTTCTGACAGAGCTGGATGATGTGATGAACGTATCGGATTCGGCTGAATTTGATTTCATGCTGCGAAAGTTCCAGGATCGCCGCGAGTGGATGAAGTCCGGGCTGTATGAAGACGTCAGCCAAATCCTGTCGTGCCGTGGCACGACTATGAGCATGATGAGCCAGCACACAAACCTCTTACAGAACGCGAAGATCAGCGTGGCAGATTTCAGAGCGATGCAAGTAAAGTCCTTGCTTGTGTCTGCCAGCATATACCGAGATTACCGCGCAAAGCAGGAGTCAACCAATGTCGCGACCACACTCATGAGCCTGATCCCCATTTGCGCCGAGCAAGGCCTACAGGTGGACGCGGCAATCAAGATGGAGGTTGCCAACTCATTGTGGGACCATGGTGAGATGAGCACATCGATCCGCATGCTGCAAGGCATTGATCAAGACGCGTCGCTCAAGTCACAGAGCGTTACCGTCAGCCGGTCAGATCTCTTGTCCAAGATTGGGCATCATGTTTCAGTAGCTCGACTAGAGAAACCCGGAGACATACAGAAAAGTTACCTTGAGCCAGCTCTCAAGGAGCTCAAAGGTTTGACGGACGGTCCCAGTGCCGGCACCGTCTATCATCAATTCGCATTGTTCTGCGATGGCCAGTTGCAGGACCCAGCGGGCTTAGAGGACCTTGCGAGACTCCAAAGCTTGAGGCAGGCAAAGAGCGACGAAGTAGCCGGACTTCAATCTCTTGTAAGCAGCACTCGGGACAGCCAGTTGAAAACTCGTTACAATCACGTCTTGTCGAAGGAGAAGCAATGGCTCAACCTGGATGAACAAGAACTGCGCCGCGTCGAGCAGACCCGGAGTGAATTCGTGCGGTTGAGTCTCGAGAACTATTTGCTGTCTCTCATGGCTTCTGATGAGCACAACAACGACGCGCTTCGCTTCATCGCGCTGTGGCTCGAGCGATCTGCGGAAGACAAGACCAACAAAGCTGTCTCGAAGTTCCTTGAACAGGTGCCCACGAGGAAATTCGCAGCATTGATGAACCAGCTATCATCGCGCCTCCAGAGTACGGACTCAATGTTCCAGAAGCTGCTGTCGGACCTCGTGTACAGGATTTGTATAGACCACCCGTACCACGGCATGTACCAGGTCTGGTCAGGGACAAAAGTGAAAACCAACACAAAGGACGAGGTTGCCATGCAGAGGTGGAAAGCGAACGAGAGAGTCGCGCAACGTATAGGGACGAATGAATCCGCCGCAAGGGTTTGGCTGGCCATTGATAAGACAAGCAAGTACTATCATCTGCTCGCGATGGACAAGAACGCAACAAAGTACAAGCCTGGGGCCAAGATCAACCTCAAAGATTCCCCTGCCGCGCAAAACCTCATCAACGCACTCAACAAGTACCACATCCCGCCGCCTACCATGCACATGGAGCTCTCCCCGACCATGGACTATTCGAACGTCCCCATCATTGCCAAGTTGGAGCCACAGATGACCATAGCCTCTGGTGTGAGCGCGCCCAAAATCATCACAGCTGTGGGTACCAACGGCGTGCGGTACAAGCAGCTTGTCAAGGGTGGTCACGATGACCTTCGGCAGGACGCAATCATGGAGCAGGTCTTTGCTGCCGTGTCGTCGCTCCTGAAACTGCACAGAGCCACGCAACAGCGGAACCTGCAGGTCAGAACATACAAAGTGCTGCCGCTGACGGCGTCTTCTGGCCTCATTGAGTTCGTGCCCAACACTATTCCTTTGCACGAATTTCTCATGCCAGCCCATGAGCGCTACTATCCCAAGGATTACAAAGGAAACCAGTGCCGCAGAGAGATCTATGGGGTCCAGGGCAGCCGGACCGAAACCCGGATCGCGGCATATCGTAAGGTGACGGATAGGTTTCATCCCGTCATGCGATACTTCTTCATGGAACACTTCTTGGACCCAGACGACTGGTTCGCCAAACGCTTGGCGTACACGCGGACAACTGCTGCCATCTCCATGCTAGGCCACATTTTGGGTCTCGGTGACCGACACGGCCACAACATTCTTCTCGACACCAAAAGCGGTGAAGTGGTGCATATTGATCTCGGTGTGGCATTCGAGGCAGGTCGAATCTTACCTGTGCCCGAAATGGTGCCATTCCGTCTCACGCGTGATATTGTGGATGGCATGGGTATTACCAAGACCGAGGGCGTTTTCCGAAGATGTTGCGAGTTTACGCTGGACGCACTGCGCGAAGAGCAGTACTCCATCATGACCATTCTGGACGTGCTGCGGTACGATCCACTCTACACTTGGACCATCTCGCCTTTGCGTCTGGCCAAGTTGCAGAAATCGAGGCACAACGAAGACGCCTCGGTCGATGAGACGCAGCCCAGTGAGACTGACGATAGAAAGAGGGGGAAAGCAGGTGGCGATGTCAACGAGCCCACCGAGGCTGACCGTGCGCTCGAGGTTGTCCGGAAGAAGCTGAGCACGACGCTCAGCGTGACGGCAACGGTCAATGACTTGATCAATCAAGCGATGGACGAGGGCAATTTGGCGGTGTTGTATTCTGGTAAGTACCTTGTGTGAGATGGTGTTGTCGCGATGCTAACTGAAGCTAGGCTGGGCGGCATACGCATGAGTGTCCGTCACCAACTTGAAAGAATAAGTTGATCATGATATCTGTACAAGTTAATAAGGATAGGGTGAATGTAAATATAGTACCTAAAAGAATAATGATCCACAATCTGTCGGACTTTACGCGACTTCACGCGTCGGTCGCGCAAACGCCGTTATCGCCACCTCCACATTTGGGACTTATCGGGGAGGTACTGCTAAGGAAGCCGAGCTGCTGGCCCATGGACGTCGTCATCCATCTTCCTCATCGTCCTCAAACGCAGCTGTAACCTCACATTCTTGTCTCGCATTGCATCGTGTCGTCTATCTGCGCACACGTCTTTCTCTTTCCATGCCAGTCCTCGTTTAATTCCAATCATAGCCTACCGTGTTCATCGCCGCGACCTTGGCGGTCTCCATCGCTAGCACCCCACCACAAACACCTTGGCCGCCAAACGTGACGATCCTTGACATCGAGCTATACTGCGATAGCAATCCTTTCTGTCGCAAACTTTCATCCGACCGCAGCCTGTGCCCATGCAACCGGCACCAGCGCCCACCTCTCCTCGCCGCCGCCCACGCGTCGACTCCTCCCCAGCGTCCACGAGCAAACGCCCCAAGCACACTGCCACCCCGATGGCGACCACGCAGCCCGGCACGCGGCCTATGAAAATGGCCAATCAGGGGCATGAGCAGGCTTTCGAGCCTTACAAAGGCATTAAACGGTTGACCATCAAAAATCTCAAACCGGCGAGCTCGGGGAAGGCCAAAGCTGGGGTGGAGGAGTACTACACAAGGGCACTTGGCGACATTGACAAGACGCTGCAGGCGGTCTTTGTGGGCGAGAAGCCGCCAGTGCCCTACGAGAGGCTCTACCGGGAAGTCGAGGATCTTTGTCGACGCGGCGATGCGGAAGAGGTCACCAAGGTACTCAAGACGCGGATGGACACGCACATCAGCAAGATGGTGCTACAAAGGGTCAACACCGAGGGCAGCAACTCTGATCTCGAGACGGCCAAGAGTCTGGTGGAAGAGTGGAAGCAATGGAACACGCAGATGACGCTGATCCGGTCCCTCTTCAGCTTTGTCGACCGCACCTATTTACTGGCCAACAGACAGAAACTATCGAGCATCAACGACATGACGATCCACCATTTTAGAAAAATGGCGTTCGCAACGGAGACGTCGCCTGGTAGGCGGCTCGTCAATGCCATGTGTCAAATCATCGACGACGATCGTCGGAGCAGGCAGTTTGATGGTTCGTTGTTGCGAGACTCGATGCGCATGCTGTACATCTTGGGTGTCTACACGAAACACTTTGAGCCGTTGTTCCTACAAAAGTCGAGCCCGTACTTCACCGAGTTCGGCCAACGATACGGCACGGCGAAGCTCGAGGCGTACATCAAGGCCTGCGAGGACTTGCTGCGCAAAGAGCACTACCGCTGCTTGCTGTACAACATCGACTCGGTCACGGAGAAGCAGCTGATGGACGCGGCACACACCATACTGATCGATGACTTCACGGACAAGTTGCTCGACCGGGCAGAGTTGGACAAGCTTCTGGATGCTAAGGACATTGAGTCGATGAAGGGGTTGTACGGCATGCTGCGACTATCAAACATACAAACCAAGCTACGCGATCCTTGGGAAGCGTACATCGGGGACACTGGTGCAAAGATTATCGGCGACAAAGAACGCGGAGATGAGATGGTGGTCCGATTGTTGGATCTGCGTCGTTCGCTCGAGGTCATGATTCGAGATGCATTTGGCGCCGACGATATTTTCCTCAGGGGGATGCGAGAAGCTTTTGGAAAGGTCATGAACAGTAACACCGTGGCAGCAATGTGGAGTACCAAGACCTCCAAGGTCGGCGAAATGCTGGCCAAGCACATTGATATGCTCCTCAAGGGTGGTCTCAAAGCAATCCCTGCCTCTCTGCTGTCCGACCAGCAAGATCGCGCCACGGCGCAGAAGGAGGGACAGTCCAGCACGGCGGACGAAGACGCCGAGCTGGACCGCCAGCTTGATCAAGCTTTGGAGCTCTTTCGCTTCATCGAGGGCAAGGACACATTTGAGGCGTTCTACAAAAAGGACCTCGCCAGGCGGTTGCTCATGGGCCGCAGCGCAAGCCAAGACGCTGAGCGTAGCATGCTCACCAAGCTGCGCAGTGAGTGCGGCGCCAACTTTACGCACAATCTGGAGCAGATGTTCAAAGACCAGGAGCTGGCCAAGGACGAAATGGACTCTTTCAAGAGCTACTGCAGCCACAACGAGGAGCGCCAGTCCCCGATCGACCTATCCGTCATGGTGTTGTCCTCTGCCGCCTGGCCATCTTATCCGGATGTCCAGCTCTCGCTGCCGGATGAAGTCGCCACGCAAACAGAACGCTTCATCAAATTCTACGAAAACAAGCACAGTGGACGCAAGCTGAATTGGAAGCATTCCCTTGCCCATTGCACATTGGCTGCCAAATTCCCCAAGGGCGGGAAAAAAGAATTGATGGTCTCGGCGTATCAAGCTGTCATCCTGCTGCTGTTCAACCCTGTCGCGGCCGACGGTGCTTTGACGTATGAGCAGATGCAAAAGGGTAGCGGTCTGTCCGGCTCAGACCTCGACCGGACACTGCAGTCCCTGGCGTGCGGCAAGGTTCGCGTGCTGAGGAAACACCCGCAGGGTCGGGATGTCAACCCGACAGATACATTCACATTCAACAAGGCATTCACCGACCCGAGGATCCGCATCAAGATCAACCAGATCCAGCAAAAGGAGACCAAGGAGGAGAACAAGGCCACACACGAGCGCGTGGCACAGGACCGACGCTTCGAGACACAGGCGGCCATTGTGCGCATCATGAAGAGCCGCAAGAAGATGACACATCCTGAGCTGCAGGCCGAGGTGATCACCATGACGCGGAAGCGAGGGAGTGTTGAGCCGGCGCAGATCAAGAAGGAGATTGAGAGGTATGTTTTGACCCGAAGACTGTATTGTGGACGAGGTATACTGATTCCCGCGCAGCTTGATGGAGAAGGAGTATCTGGAACGAGACGGCAATTCGTATGTATACGTATCGTAGACGATTCATACAATGTCAACGGGGTCGTATGTCATGACTCCTCAACTGCCAGGATAAGTCCGCCCAAGAAATCAATTACGCAGTGATCAATGTCTCGCGGGTTGTATCGAGCCGTGCTCACAAATCAGCATTCCAACGATCATGGCGAGTAGCATCTCGAGACTCGGACGATGATTTCTGTTATCTATATTATCTACATTATCAGCGAAACTGAACTAAACAAGCTTAGACCACAGCACTGGCGGAAAAAGGAAGGTCGGTCCGTGACGGCAGTGCGCGCGCAATGGTAGTCGATGCCGAATTCCAATGGCGTCTTGGTACAAAGCTTGATTCGACTGGCATGCTCTGCCCGACACGTGGGATCGCCATCGGGAACGGAACAAGCAATAAGCAAGCTCTCCGAGCATCGGTCATGTTGGAAGGATAAGATGAGATCATGGAGCACTTTTCCATCCTTTTCTGTGTTGATGGGTTGCAACGCGACACTGGCAGCGATCCCATCAATTTACTCGGCACCACATCACGACAATCCATCCTCACAGCGACAATGTGCGGTCCATGTGATGATGGCGACAGCCAAGTTCTTGGCAGCGCGGTCAACCTGCACGAGCATTGGAGGCTAGGACTCCCAGCTCCCATCATGCACATGAAGAGCCTGCAGAGATGGGGCATCACCGTCAAGGCGAAGCGGCAGCTCGAGCAAGACATCCGACGCATCTGCATCAGCTTTGGCATACCCGTTGCCGCCATACAGTTCCGAGAGCAGCGGGACTTTCTCGCGCCGTGCGACCCCCGGCGCTGGATGCACAAGCGCACAAATCTACACGTGCACATTGCGACACCATCAACCTTGGATCCCGACAGTTTGGATCAAGACAGTCTGGAAATTGTGCCACAGTACTGCCTACAGCTTTTGGCGTCGTACAATATTGTGGATGTTACATGCCAGATCGTGACCAGCCTTCACGATGACAGCAACACGTGCAAGCTCAGGGTCATCTGCGATCCGTATGAGGGCGTCCTGCATCGTGAAACAGTCCAGACGTTGGATGGCATGACCATCAAGGAGTGGCTCGACTCTCGACGACAACTACCGATTCTGGGGGACCCGCATGCGCAAGGTTCATGCGTGGCCTGCAAACTCAGGGAATCCATGGTGTTCAAGTGCAAGGCTGTGCTTCGGCGGGCTTATGAGGCTGACAGAAGATCTCACCAGCCATGGACGATACCATATCAGAGGGGACCGTTTCTTTGGTGGTTACTGGATGGGCACCTTCTCTTTGCCCACATGGATGAGGAAGAAATGGGGATACGTGTGTTCTCGTGCTCGCATGCCACTTTGGATGTCGTGGGGGCACGCAAGGAAAGGTTACACGGGACAACAATTGCTGCCTCGGACTGTATGGACTGCTGGAAAACTCACGAGGAGAATCTTTCAGAGGCAGACACTCTTGTCATGTCGGACGATGAGGATGAGTGAAAATCAAGGCCAATGCATTACATGTTTCTATGTGAATATATATGTCTACTGCTTGCAGATGGTAGCAGTCAGATCCACGGGCTGGGGGCAGCCGTAGACCTTCTTGTGGGCAGGGGTGCTGTAGCAGCTCGCTTCGTTGGGGTCGCAGTCAAACACCTCACAACCAGCTCCGGGGCTCAGAATGTTGTGGTCCTTGATCCAGGGGTTCCCCCATTCGCTATGGAAGGTCAGCAATCAGAGCATTAACATAGGATAGGTGCGTTTCGGATTGTATCGGTGCTATAGAGCTTGTTGGGGGAACATAGGGCTTGCGAAGCGATGTATACTTACGAGCTGAGTTCATCTAAAAGTGAAGAGTCAGTAAACCATATTCTCATGTATACTGGGCATAAGACGACTTACAGTAGGCATAGTCGGGGTTGCTGGAGAAGGAGTAGCCAAAGAACAGAGGCTCGCTAAGAGTCTTGGTCTTGGCAAGCTTGACGGTCTGCAGAGCCTAAATTAGCATCATTGATCCGTCGGCATAGGGCGCTCAGGCACGCCTTGTTGCGGTACGTACAGATCCAGACGGGCGGAAGTCCTCAGAGAAGGACTTGCCGGGCTTCACCGTGGTGAGAGGACCGGGCTTGCCACCGTCGTAGGGGTAGGACTGCACATAGATGGCTGAGTTGCAGTTGTTGACCACGACAGCCTTCTGGGCAGAGGTCAAGCCGAGGACGGCGGCGAGGGCGAGGACGGAGACCTTCATGGTGAATGTGGTGGTCGGTTAAGATGTATTTGGGCGTCAAAGAGGTGTATCTTGGGATTGATGCTGGAATTGGACGCTGGTGATGTGCTGGAGAGGAGGATTCGATTGTGTCCCAGAGACGGCAAGGCGACTTATATACGGATTTCTACACCTCGTTGCCACCACGGAGTGAGCATCATCGCTGAGCTCACCGTGCTGCCTTCATGCGATTGAAGCCAGCGTCGTATTGATGTCAGACCGAGAGGCAGCGCACAGTTCCGCAACCGAGGCCCTGCTGATGGCAACAATGATTCGTATCGTGGATCCGTCCCTGGGATCAGCTGTCTGCCGGTGGGTAAGAAACCTCGTATTCCGCACAAAAGCCCAGCGGGCTGAGCATTAAAGCCAAGACAACACGTCATGAAACGCTCACCGCTGGGGCAATTGAAGCTCGCTGACTGTTTGTCATTCGCGCGGGCCCGGACAAACAGAGGGCTGCTGCTCGTGTACGCGGGCGGACGATGTAACCGACGATCTTTCGTATTACTTCACCAAGGGGCGCGGACATGCACTCAGCAAGGCCCTTCTGCTCCCCCACAGAAACAATACCCCGCAGTCTAGACTTAGCTTTCGAGCTTCGGCATCGGCATTGTCTTACCTGTTGGTCCATCGTGGGGGCCGATCCGGCGACCATCCGTCGTCGAGTCGAGGCGAGGCGACTTGGCGGATGTCATATGTTTATGCACTTGGTCGGCAGTCTTGATTGACAACCGGTGCTAGATCTCAAGGGTACGTCAGCGGAAAGCTTGACCAAGAGAAAGATCCCAGCAGCCGAGCTCCGTCCGACGGTTCAGGTCATGCACGTTTGATCCGCCCATCGACAATGGGCGGGCTTAGGGGTATATTCATGCAAGTCTCACCTACCCTGCACTTCGCAAGCCTCACACAGCAGCCTCCTGGCGGTCACCAAGGAGCAGACTTCTTTGTGCCAAATGTGCAAAGCGCATGCCATTCTGGCCTTGTGTCTTCAGAAAATTGTCGTGTTATTAATAAGATTTGGCACGCACGGAGCCTTCGTATTAGGAACGGGCTCATGTAATGTTCAATCTCCACATGATGCTTTGGAGCTAAATATAGCAGCGGGAAGTGCCGAGACATCAGCTCGGTAGGTCGTAGCTTGACTCTACATTTACCGAATTATTCAGTATAAAAAATGTGTCGTTCGTATTAGGAAGCATTATATAGCGAGGCGAACTATGAACTAAGCCATGTATGTTAATGAGCCGTGTTAATAAGCGGTGTGCTCAAATCGCGTACACATTGCGCAGTTTTGGTCCCGTCACATCGCCAGCGTGGCAACCGATAGCTACCCTAGAGTCAAACCGGTTCTTGCAGCCTGAGCCTTCAATCAAAGGCAGATCGTATTCACCTTCATATTCCCAATTTGGCTTCAACTTCCCAGGAGTTGCTCGTTGTTGAACCAAGATCTCTTGCCACACGCGCTTTGGTCAGAACATTGAGTGGCTCATCGCCATGCCCAAGGTTTCTTACTAATGTTTCCCTGCCGTCGACCAGAACTCCGAGTAGTGCCATTTAGGAGCAGCAGACGCTTCTATATTGTGCGAATACCAGATTAATTGCTGATATCGTGCTGTCAAACGTCACATGAAGCCACGATTGCCACCAGCTACAACTGTTACCTCGGCTGTGACACGCGCCAGCACATCACCATCGCCAGCCTCACGGACATGGCAAAGTTTGGGAATCAGTTGTGAGGTGTGCTGGACCCGTGGCGAAATGGAAATGCTGATGCTGGCCTACACGAATGCCATCTTCCCCCGCGAATATGAGAGCCGGTCATTGTGCTCCGCACGTGGTAGGCGTTCGTTCATGCGCGCGCGCGCGTGCGAGCCGCCAGTCCCAGGCGGCTGGGCGGGCTGCGCTGGCAGGAGGATCAACCAAAGGGATTTACACCGGTCTTAAGCACAGCGACTTGGACGTCGGGCACTGGCAGACGGAGACCACATGACAGTCTTGGCAGAAGTTTCTTCGCAAGTTCAACCGCGGCCAAGCGTTGTCGGTCTGGGGATTTGCTCATAAGGATTGAGGAGAGGGTATCTGTGCGACACTGCAAGGCGACCATCTTCCTTCCTGTAGCACAAGGGACAACGAACGAGGCAACCAGTTACCAACACGTTACGTCGCAGTCAGGCTTAGGCCAAGGCCAAGCCGGTCAGCGGCTACTGTCCGCTCCGCTCCGCGGTCGCCTGCATTTGTTAGTATCGGCCTTGGCCTCTCGCAATGCCTCGACCCATACATGGTGATATGATCAACTATCGATCGACAGAGGTTGAGAAAAGAGCTCTCACCGGTGCGACATGCTGGCGCAGACCAGAACAAGGAGTGTATGGGCAGAGGCAGCCATACGGATGAAGAGAAACTTCCCCGGCATCGACGTGCATACCAAAGGCTGTGAGTCACTCGTGTCAGTCTGACAGACGCGTTTGCTCCGTTGCGTAGCATCTGTTGATCAGGAGCAGAGCCTCGACGACACCTTCATGTTCGTCCCCGACCTCATCAAGTATCGCTATCAATGGTCTCGACCCTGAAGTTGGGAAAGTTTTGCTCAAAATGATGAGGTCGAAGTGCAGATAATGTGCATTTCAGAGAGAGCATCTGACTGCCTGCATGGCATCCAGTAAACAGATTGCGAAGGTAAATCGGGAATGTCTTCCCCAGGGTCCTCAGTACCAGCAAGCTCCTCAGCGCTTCTGAAAGATAGTAGCAACGCGCCTGATCAGCATAGTACCAAGTGCTGCTGCTAGCTACCTTATGTTATCACGGGTCTCAAGCTCGGGGCAATCAGATATCAAGTCGATCGAATCCTCTCTGCGACACAAGAGTGGATGAAGCAAGTAAGGCGATCACTCGGTGGCAGCGTGCTAATCAACGTGCACTTTGCCACGGCTGTGCATGCACCTCGAATCTGGGCCGTATCCCAATCCGAGGATTTCACCCGGAAGGGCACCACTTGAATGTTGGGCTGCTTGGCTGATCTGCCTGCCTTGTCCGGCGTCCCTCCTGGCCATGCGAACCATCGTGAGAGGCAACCGCACTGTCGTTGGCTGCCCAGCAATTCCGTGTCAGCCCTGCCTGCACACTCAACTACCGCCTGGTGAGGTGATACTTGTCGACGTGGCAGAGCACACCACGTTCAGAGTTGACATCATCGACTGCTGCGATGCGCGCAAGGCATCGCGCCGCGAGGCCTGCAAAGGCCGGATCGACCCGACAAAGATAGTGCACCACTCCTCCACTGGTTCACCGAGATAGCAAGGACGCATCTTCGCATAAAGAGAGCCTCTCCGTCTCAGCCATGCACTTCATGCCTCATTCACTCCTTCGTTGTCCAAATCCATACCTTGCGCCCTGACCGCAGCCTGCTCCACGTAGTTCTGAAGCATCATTCTCAGCATCCACTTCTTCCTTATCAGTGTATCCCGTCTTCGACCACCAGCGTGTCAGCAATGGCTTCCCGAGCCAGCCCCTTCGCAATGGGCAACGCTGGACCCCAGGGCCAGCCTACACAGCAAGCCACCCCAAATAGAGCGCTCGTACATCAAGTGCCCCGCCAACAAGCCATGAACCCTGCCTTCCGCAACGACGGTCTGGACGGCACATACGCGTTGCCTCAAGCAAACATGGGAGCGCTTGTTCAATATGGCGACGGGGCGGAGAACCTCTACCAGACCGGCCTAACCTGGATCCCAGGTCAGCGTATGGCACGAGGGTACTCCGACGAGGGTCCGCGCATGAGCCGCCAGGACTCGATGTCATCAGATTCGGTTTGGACATCGCCATCAAGCAGAGCCAACAGGTACGACAACGACTTTCAACGGCGACCCAAACGCGAAATTTTCGACATCCGCGAGGACGATCAGTGTATGACAGACGCCCAGGCCCGTGACAAGCTTTCCTCCTATGTTGTGATCCGCATGGAGAAGGCAAATGTCGACCATGATGTGGATCGCGACGGCAACAAGAGGCAGCCCACGTGGGAGAAGGCAGAGCAGGTCATCCTGACCGACGTTTCCGAGAAAGATGCGCATCGCAAGGTCAGAGAGCTGGACACCTTCACGCCCTTCATCGCCGATAAAAGGAGCGACCTGGCGGCTCCTATCAACCGTCAACTCGACCACGCTCTTAACAAGCTCGAAGAACAGGAGATCGACTCTCGATACTGCTACGAGTTAGCGCAAATCGACCAGAAGGAGAAGAAGGTGGAGGTCGCCCCCGAGACTCAGCAACCATACTACATTGAGCTCCCACCCAGTAAATCCAAGAGCAAGGGACGCAAAGATTCCAAGAAGAGACACAAGAAGAACAAGCCCAAGACGTACCTCGTCGAGCCACACAGCTCCAAGCCACGGCGCGAGAAGCAGACTGTGTCCATAACTGCCTACTTCAGGCGAACGCCCAAGCCAGACGAGAATTGTCTCAAGATGCTCCACGAGGCCGACGACAACTGGAATCAGGAGGAGCGTGTCGGCATGCAGTCGGCCAGGCAGCGCCAGCCAAGCCACCTCTTCCCCAACAGACGCCATCACTCCCCTTCATCGCCCGAGCGGCGTCCCCGTCAGCAAAGCGGGCCTCTCGCCCTTCAGGACCTTAGGCAGACGGACCCGCGTGTCCAGTCCATGGTACAGGCTCAACAGCCAGGATTCGCCCAGCACTATCCACAACAGCGACTCGGTCCTTCTTATGCGTATCAGGTTCAGCAAGATCCTCAGTCGCAACAGGGAATGGCAACGCTGCCGGCTGGCCAAGCCAACTCACGCGCGCAGAGCATGCACGCCCTGCACCAGCAGCAACTCCAGGACCAGCAGCGACAGCTCGCAACTGCGCAACGGATGCAACAGTCGGCCCAGAAGCCCGCTGTACAACAGACAGGCACAAAACCTGGAGCAAACATGCAGAGTGTACGTGGAGGAGGCCAGGTGCCGCCTCCGCCCCCCATCAACCAACAGCGCGGTCAGCCCAGCGGGGTATCACGGGAACCCCAGCCCCAGGCAAAGCAACAAGGAGCGCGGCCCGTGCAATTGAAGCAAGACAGCAAGGGTCATCAGCCCAAGAAAACTGAGTCAAAGGGAGGGCGCCGTGAGGAAGGCCGCAAGCATGTTGTACACAAAGGAGGGGCCAAGAACAGAGCTCGAAGCGTCTCATCTCATGACTCCGATTCCGAAGATAGTTTGACGGAAAGCGACAGCGAAAGCGGGACCTCCGTTTCTTCCATGGACTCACGTCGTGGCCGAGGCAGAGACAGGCGTCGCGGGCAGGGGTCGCGGCACAGCCGCAGCAGATCACGTCCTGAGTATTACGGTCGACGTAAGCAGTCGCGAGATGATGAGAGACGCAGTAGGTCAAGCTCCGCCTCTTCTTCCGGCTCATCAAGGAGCCGTACAACGCCCACGCGGGTTCATCGTACTTCACAGACCCGTCGGAGAGACAGCAGACCCGATATGTCGCCAATCAGAGTGGAAGCCCATTCGCAGCAACCAAGGCAACCCAACGTTCGCTATGTTGACCCGAATGTAAGGAATACCCGTGGGGTCACCTTTGCGGATATGGATCAGCATTTTGACAGGACGAGTATCGATGGCAGAATCCCTCGAGCCCAGGCAGGCACTGGGTTTGGTGGGAGAGATGGTCCTGGGAATGGGCCGCCAGTTTTTGGACGCGTCGCTGTGCCCCAAGACAGTGGCGTGGCTCCTAATCACCCATTCGCGCCGCGGCCGTTTGGGCACCGTCAGCCAGGGGCAGGCTACTGATCATGACGAGGGATGGTTGGATGTTGCTTTAAGGTTCTTCTAGCGTCGAGTCAACGGTATCGTTTCATTTGTTCGGCGACGGGAATATCAATCAAACTGGCATATGACTACTTATTGTGTATGACGCGTGTGACAATGCAATGCGAGGAAATCAAAGAGCGTTGCAGTCAAGATGTAGCTGAGCCTGCCTGGGAGTTGGTTGGGGATCCACGTGATTACCCACAAGTTTCGCGCTAGAAACGCGGCGTGGTGGGAGAAGGCGCGTCAAGGTGCTACTGCCGCAACTACTCAACGCGACTCCTCGATAATTACTGATAGGTGACTTGATGCCACAACAGTAAATATTGGAACGTCCTGGCATTTCTCGATTCAACAACGACCAGCCAGGAGGTCGATCAATAGCGCCTCGATTCCCACTCTCATACCTCGAACCGACCGCACGTCGCAGTGGGCTGGAACCGCACGACAATCCTCCCCTCTCGTACCGTCGCGTTTCGAGGGCTGATAGATAGCCTTGGCCTCGAAAACAGGAGGGACCGCTTTATGAAGGCTACTCTTGCCAGTCTACCCCTCCGATCCTCGCCGACCCGCCGCAGACTCCTAGAGAAAGCTAGAGACGTTTCTCAAATTTGCGCCTCTCATACGTCCCCCGAACTACCAAAAGATTGCGACGACACAATGTTCGCCCAGGCCAATAAGAAGTTCGTGGCGAAGGCACCGCCGCCGCCAGCAAGCTTGGGCAAGCAGTTGTTCCCTTCCAGCAGCCCAACATGCACCAGCGACATAAGGGATCAGTTTAAGAAACCAAGCGCAACTGGACATGCGACGCAGTCGGCGAGGAGCGGGAGAGAATCAGAGTCATTGCAGGATGGGGACCGACCATCGGCACACAAAGGAGCAAATCACCAAACCCTCACAGCTCTCTATAGCAACGCCAACAACGCATTCAGCCATAGCAAGAACGAGGTGGTCGATTTGACAGGGTCCGATTCCCACTCTAAGAGCAAAGCTGAAGTCATGCTGTTAGAAGACGATTTCAGCGATGACGAGGATCTGGATCTGGATTTCGAAGCGCCCTCTGCGCTACCTACGGCCTCGAAGAAAGCTCAGGCCGAAACAAAGGAGAACATGCCGCCCCCTCCTACCCCAACACAACCAATGGAATGGTCGTCCTCGCCTGCCTCCCATTGGATGCCCCCGCAACAACCTCCGAAGGATGAGCGGACGGACACTCGTGAGAGATCAATGAAGCGAAATTCTTCGGAAGACGACTCATTCGAGCTTCCCGCTCCAAAGAAGCGAGTCCTGCCTTGGGCGAAAGACGAGGATGGCTTCTCGGCAAAGACACCTACCCACTCTTCGCGGAAAGACTTTCTCGACCCTAGCGCTAGTGCCATCAAGGAGCAGAAATTGAAGCTCAAGAATCAGCGTCAGCCTCAAATACCAGAACCCGGGAACGATGGTGCGCGTGGTGCGACAGAGGCTGCCAAAGGCGGAGCCAAGGCTACTGCCTTCTCACTCAGCAAAGAACAGCGCAACGTGCTTGACATGGTCGTCAACAAAGGACAAAGCGTGTTCTTCACCGGTGCAGCTGGAACAGGAAAGTCTGTTCTGATGCGAGCGATCATCGAGGAGCTCAAAAAGAAATATGCCAAAGACACGGAACGTGTCGCAGTCACAGCGTCAACAGGTTTGGCCGCGTGTAACATTGGTGGCATCACGCTACACAGCTTCTCAGGTACGTGATTTCTTGACATCCTTTGACAGGCGACTAATCATTCGTAGGCATCGGGTTGGGCAAGGAGGAACCAACGCAGCTCATCAAGAAGATCCGAAGAAATCCCAAGGCGAAGAACCGTTGGCTCAAAGTCAAATGCTTGATCATTGATGAGATATCCATGGTCGATGGCGACCTATTTGACAAGCTTTCCCAGATTGGGCGCACTATCCGCAACAACGGCCGGCCTTGGGGCGGTATACAACTCATTATCACTGGCGACTTCTTCCAGTTGCCTCCCGTTCCTGATGGCGAGAACAAGAGGGACATCAAGTTTTGTTTCGAAGCCAACACATGGAACACATCCATCGACCACACCATCGGCCTGACAGAAGTCTTCCGACAGCGTGATCCTCAGTTCGCAAACATGCTCAACGAGATGCGCCTCGGTGAGATCAGCGTAGAGACCGAGAGAGCATTCCGAGCACTATCTCGGCCCCTTTCCTTCGATGATGGTGTCGACATGGCGCAGCTGTACCCCACTCGAAATCAAGTCGAGACTTCCAACGCAACACGGCTCCGTGCCCTACCTGGTGAAGCCCGACGATACGAAGCACTGGACTCAGGGGACCCCAAGATTCGAGACAAACTTCTCTCGAACATGATGAGCCCCAAGACCCTCGACCTCAAAGTTGGCGCACAAGTGATGCTCATCAAGAACTGGAACGAGTCTCTGGTGAACGGCACCCTCGGCAAGGTCATTGCTTTCTCGGACGAGAAGACGTTTGAGATGAATGGTGTTGAAGATTTTGACTCGCACATGGACGACGCCATGGCCAAAGCTCGCAGGAAGCTCAAGGGATTCAGCCGTGACAGCGATACAGATTCTTCTGCCTCGAGTGGCCAGATCCTTCCGGTCGTTCAGTTCATTGATATTGACGGGAACCCCAAGATTATCTTGTGTCAGCCTGAAGACTGGAAGGTCGAGCTGCCCAACGGCGAAGTCCAGGCAAAGAGGTCCCAGCTGCCGCTCATCCTGGCGTGGGCTTTGTCCATCCACAAGGCCCAAGGGCAAACGCTGGAGAGAGTGACAGTAGACCTTGGCAAGGTTTTCGAGAAAGGCCAGGCGTACGTGGCGCTCAGTCGTGCTACCAGTCAGCAAGGCTTGCAGGTGAAGAACTTCCACAAGAGCAAGATCATGGCCCACCCACGGGTTTGCGCCTTCTACAGGAAGCTCTACAGCGTCGACGTGGCTTCTAGTAGAATGGCTCCAGCGGCGCCAAAAGTAGCCGACGTGTTTGCGAGTCGGAAAGGGGCAAATGGGGCCCCCAAGCAGCTGCCGGCGCAAGACGAAATGGACCCAGATGAGGAAGCGATGAGAGATATGGGTTATTATTAAACTTTCCAAGACTAGCGATCAAGATTATTACTACTTGCATGTATGTATACACAGAGGATTGGCGTATTTGGGCATCGCATAATGAGACGCTTGCATTTGGCAAGCTCACTAGACTGAGATAAGTCTATAGCACGGCAAGCTAGATTCGTACAAGCAAATGATTCAATCACAGATGGGTCAGCTACGAGAAGTGCTGAGATGTAGGGTGGGTAGCATCATGGCAGCCCTGAAGTGCCGTACATGCAGCGTTGATCCTACAGGCCGCTGCGGCACGCTCGAGATGGCCACCTTTTAACCACTGGATGAATAGGAATCCTAATTACCGCGTGGAAGAACAGACTTGCAGAGGTATTTACACCCAACGCGACGGGCGCAGCGTCGATACGAGGACCAGTTTCGAGAAGCTATATTATGTGGTGAATCACGTCAGCATCAACGCGAGCGTCACACATCAGACCGGTCCTCCAATTATTTGCTGAAGCCAAGAATAACGCGAAGCCAGACACGTGCGATCCTGCGGATTATGTGTACTCGCAGTCAGAAGCTGCATGCCATGCATCCGACCTGAATCCTTTTCGTTGAAGTTGTGACCCTTTTTTTATCGATAAGCGTCCGCCGGCGGAAAGTGTCCTCGGCGAGACGGATTTGGCCCATCCAGGCCCACCAGGGGCAGGAGCGGACGGGCATGCCATCGCATCAGCAGCAGCATCCACGATCGATGGGGGGGATTTGTCGAGGAGCGCACTACTGGTCTTCCTACCGCCACTCTTGATCTTTGCTATCATCAAAGCGCTCCCCTTCTTTGCGACCCCGTTGTGCCCGTGGATTGAAACTGCGTCGCCCGCTCTACATCGTCGACACTCGGACGTGCTCCAAACTTGTGAAACCCGGTCAATCCGCGATCGACGTAATTTGGCCTTTGTCCAGACTTGGACGATCGACAAACTTCCGACCACCGCATTCCACCCAACGTCGGCTGCGATCGCGACGTGAGTGTCCTGTTCGAGGCGGCGACGCCGTTGGAGGGCGTTTTCGGTGTATCGCTTTCAAGTTTTCGCCTCTCGCACGGTCCCCCAGCCTGCGCCGCTCGCGAGACGATTTGCCTGGCCTCGAAACGCTGAATATCGAGGCCGACGACCATGGCGGAACAATTCATTGGGTTGCGCATGCGCGTCACTCTTCGGGACCCCGCAGCCTACAAGCTCGATGGAACCATTCGCGACGTTGCGGCAGGCAGTAGTCTGACGCTGACGAACGGTAAGTGAACCGTACATGTGATCGAGACGGGAGGGACTCTGGCGCTGACCGAACCTTGCAGTGTTCGTTGTTGGTACCAAGAACTGGGCTCCTGAAATGCGCATCAACGCGATGAACATCGCGGACCTCACCCAGATCGAAGACGAAAAGCCCTCGCTCTACAACGCTCCTCCACCAGCCCCTGAACCTGCCGCTCTTCCCGCCCGCCCGCCACGGCAGGCATTCGAAGACCCTGCGATCCTCAGCTTTGGAAGGACAACAGCTGTGCCGGACAGTACTGTTGCAGGCCCCGAGGTACTCAGTACCCCGGAGTTGGCCTTGGATCTCGAAGACAGTGATTTGCCAGGGGTTCTGAGGGGCATCCACGTCGGTCGGGGCATGGTCAAGCCTCTGACGCCGATCCAGGATGTAGTAGAAGCGATCGATCAGCAGCTGCGAATCGAGAATGGGGGGCAGCACAGCGAGGCTGGAAAGGCCACAGATACCGAAGGTGAAAGGCAAAGGCGGAAAAGACGTCGCAACAAGGCAAAGAAGCAGCATGCCCATGATTCGGACGTTCCGAGCTCACCAGGCGACAAACCTAGCGTGCCTACGAACGGTCGCGGCAAAGGCTGGAGGCAGACACCCATGCTGCAGAGCACAGCATCATTCCAGCCATTCTCTTCGCTCAAGAAACAGGGGCGTGGGGGGAAAGGCGCGGCCGACAATGGGTGGGAGTCTGCCGATGTCACAGAGGAGATGGGCGAGTTTGACTTTGAAAACAACCTGGCCAAGTTTGACAAGCGTGCCGTGTTTGATCAAATGCGCAAGGAAGACCAGATTGACGACGCCAGCCGACTTGTCGCGCACAACCGACGACCGAAGCCCGGTACCGGCAATGGTAAAAACCTACACTACACGGAGAATGTGCTGGACCTTCCACCATCGACCAGGTCACACGCCGACTTTTGGAACAGCGAGGCGGACGAAGGGCTGGCCGAGGTTGAGGTCGAAAGGCTGAATGGGCGTGACTTCAAAGGAGCGCCCGCGCTACGCAGAGCAGAGAGCAAGAATGGGATATCCAGGAGGTCGCGATCACGCAAGGCCAGCAGCGGCATGACTGGGGGCCATCCCCTGACCCGTGTCAACTCTGGGGTAAGTCATTACGTGACAGTGATCTCCCCAATTCGCTATGCTAACCTTTTGCAGCAAGCGTATAACCCGGGACTCTACCTACTGCCTTCGAACCGACGTGTGGAAGCGATATCGACACTCCAGATGCTTAACCTTGAGAACATTGCTGCAAATGAGGTCGGGTTCACGGAGGAGCTCATGGCTGAGAATGCCGGTCGAGGCATCGCAGAGGTCGCAATCAAGGCATTGTCTGACCCGGCGATGAAAGTCCGCTTTGAGCTTGCCACCAACAGCTCGTCAGCCGGTGCCCTGCTCGCCAGTTCGTCCACCGTCATCCTGGCGGGAAACAACAAGTCAAGCATCCGCGCACTGGCAGCAGCGCGTCATCTCCGCAATCGCAACATTGATGTGGTGGTTTGCGTAGTCGGCATTGAGCGCGAACGGGATCTCATGGAGGACCTCCGACGACAGATTGCGCTGTACCGCGCTTTTGGCGGTCGTGTTCTGAGCAAAAACGAGTTTTTTGAGCATCTTCGGAAGAACGCGGCTTCTGGGGCCAGTGTGCCTGTCTCGCTCATCGTTGACGCAATGCTCGGGCTGACCATGTCTTTCGAGGAACTGCGTGTCGGTGATCAAGCGTCGGTGTATGAGCTCATGGAGTGGGCGAACCGAAATGAAGCGTTTGTGCTAGCGGTCGATATTCCTTCCGGCATTGAACCTACGTCGGGCAAGATCGCCATCATCGATGGAGGTCCTCTCTTCGTCAAGCCCCGGTACGTCGTGGCAATGGGGGCCCCAAAGCGAGGACTGCTTGAAGCTGTCACGCCGCCGCGTGAAGACGAGCCTGGGGCCTTGCACTACGCCGGCCACGAGGACGACTGGCGGCTGTTCGTGGCCGACATGGGTCTGGGCAGCGCTGTATGGAAGAAAGCAGGCACCAAGCTACGGCGCGGCATCGACTTTAGCGGCAACTGGGTGCTGGAGATGGAGTATCGCACTGATGGATACGGGTCGGCGCGGTCTGGGGAGCATTGATATCAACAGGACTAATGGTCACAGTTATGGTTTACAGGATGAACATTGCTGGAAAAGCAAAGCGTGCGGGTCGATCTTTTGTTTTGTTTTTCATTCATGGGTTTCGCATCGCGAAGGGGACAACATGTTCAGGGCGTTCAAAGAGTCGACAACACTGTCGACCTGATACATTTGTTTACATACATATAGGCTGTACCAACAAGACGTGGCAGGTTTTCGTTCACATCTTTTTGCACATCATCACCGAACTGAATGAACTCAATGGGCTCGATGCGGCTCTGTCGGTAGATAAGTGCCAAGCATCGCGAGATCGTTGGCCAAGACAGCACGTGCATCTAGCGTGCCCTCAAGCTTTGCCAAGGCAGATAGGAGAGGCAAGCAGCCGATCGGCTACGCGGGTGACCATAGTCAGACTTGGCGGCAGCCCACCGCATTCTGAAAGAAACAGCCAGTCTCACGGGAAAATGAGGTATCATTTCGAATGCGCAACGGCGCAGCGAAGTGAATGTCATGACGAGCACGAGGACGAGGACGATGGTCGAGTGGGGTTGGCAGTGTGACACACTCACACGAGTCACACCGTGGCAGCAGGAACAGTAACCCGTCAAGGACGAGTTCTTTCACCTACCTTAAACATGGGAGTGCACGCAGAGGAGAGGGTCCATCAATGTAGAAATAAATTTACGACATCAAACATCTCCCACAATCATTCAGAACTATTTTCGACCTCCACGTTTATCAGGGCCGGGGACAGCCCCCGGGGCTGGGAGGCGGGGGGCCGGATATTGGAGCTCACTCGGGACTCAGCACTTGTCTGCTTCACAGCGTTACATCGTCGCGATGCAAGGGCAAAGGCTATCGTTTTCTGCATCGAACGAACTGCGGTCGTGGATCCATTGCGATGCGTCGGCCTGGTGAGATTTCGTTCCCAGTCGCTAATAATAATACGTTAGAACTTGGCCCAGCGGCTGAAAGATTACCTTCAGTTTTGAGGCGCTGCCCTTTCCGTGGGTGGCTTGAAGAGCCGTTCCCCGCCAAAGGCATATACAGTGCATCAACAGACTGTGAAGCTTTAGAGGACTAGGCGTACACTTCGCCGAAGCAGTGAACCGAGTCCGTCATAGATCAGAGGATATGGAAGCAGTGATTCTGCTTTCTCACGGGATGCCGGTCGAGTCGACATACCGTGCATTGGTGCACCAAACAAACGGCCTCAGGTGCAACTGACGCACACTGCCACACACAGTGCCTTCACAGAGGGCGCTGGAGGGGTGTACCGTGTGTGTGCGTCCAGTCCACGTCCTTCCTCGCCCGCCCAGTTCAGCATTCCAGATCCCCCAGCGCGCGGCGCAAGCCCCCTCAATTCCTTCCTGCAATTCTTCCTCTCCTCCAGTGCCCGTATCATCCTCGTACACTCACAACGTGCCTCTATTACGAATCATCTCCAGATCTCCCACAATAGCATCATTTCCCGGGCCAATATACAAGACGCCCACACTGGACAAGAGACAAGGTTCGTTGGCGTCCCTAACTTATTCCTTCTGGAAAAGCCTCGCTGCCAAGTCTCCGGCAAAGCCAAGAGCCTGCCGACTGGGCGCCTGGGCCCCCCAATCCCATCCCATCTCCTAACTCCGTTGCTCACGATTCGCTTTCCACACAATCATCTGGGAAGGGCGATTACAACTTCGCAAGACAAGTCGACTCTGAATATTCATCTCGACTAACCCGACGCTCGTTTATCCAGTCTCTCTTTGACACTCGCTGTTCGCGCGATCCCGCCATCCTGGCCCGACATTCAAACGGGCACTCCGATCGAAATCGCATCTCCCATCGCGCCGCCCCGTCTCACGATCCGACCGTCGATAGTCTACCACCACCCTGCAGAGCTACTCCAACTCAATGGCGTCCTTCCCCTAGGACTGAGTCTCACAACTGGATTGTCGCCTGCGGCGGCGTCTCATCTTCACCTTGCCATCCATCTCTAGGTCGGTCGCGACCATGACGTTGAGCACAGCGTTCGCGGCGCTGCCGACTCTTTGCGCGACGACACTTCTCCCGGCGAACGCGGTACTCGACCTCGGAAACGGCATCGGGCCTTTCACGCTGACGCAAGACGCGTTCTTTCATGGACCATGCCCTACGATCGCCGCGCGGGAACTAAACGACTACGCGGCTTCTCCCACCCTCGATGCTTCCAGTCTCATACCAGCTGACAGCCAGGAGCATCAGTTCTCCGACTTTCGCGACCCCTTCTACATTACACAATTCCCCATATGCTACGCGTTGGCGTCCACCACAATAACGGCCTGGATGCTTGTACTCATACTCTTCGTGAACCAGCGGTCTTTCCTCGACGGCGGCGTTGTGTATCTGGGCCGGCGCGGAGGCTTCACCAACGGCTCGCCGAGCGGCGTCAGCATTGGAGGTCGACCATGGTTACAAAAGGTGGCGGCCCTGACCGTCGCCATATCTCTGACGGTAGCCACGTCAAACACATTTACAGTTGCTGAGCAGCAGTACAGGTGGGGGATCCAGAATGCCGGGCTCATGCAGCGCGAGGTCCTCGGCAGCATTGAGATCAAAGTCATCCGGCTTATATCTGACACGTTCCTGTGGCTGGCTCAGGCGCAAACCTTGATACGGCTCTTCCCGCGACAGCGGGAAAAGGTCATTATCAAATGGACTGCCTTTGCGCTCATCACCTTGGATTTGATTTTCAGCGCATTGAACAGCTTCCAGTATTCCGAAGACGGCGTGTCGCGTCCGAGCACGCCCAATAGCTTTGTCCACCCTGTGCCGGCTCTGAGCTATCTTTTCCAGCTATCACTCGGAATCCTCTACGCGGCGTGGGTCATCTACTACGCCATCACGAAGAAACGGTATGCCTTCTACCATCCGCTAATGAAGAACATCTGCCTCATTGCCATCATTGCCATCACTTCCGTCATTATTCCCGTGGTCTTCTTTATCCTCGACATCTCAAAGCCGGACGTTGCGGGATGGGGTGATTATGTGCGCTGGGTTGGCGCTGCTGCTGCGAGCGTCGTGGTTTGGGAGTGGGTGGAGCGTATCGAGGCTCTTGAGCGCGAGAAGAAGAAGGATGGAATCCTTGGCCGAGAGGTCTTTGACGGAGACGACACACTAGAGGTTATTCCCTTTGACTATCCATGGCGGAGGAAAATGAGGAGAGATCATAGTTCTGATGATGGGGGTGAGAATGGAGCTCCTCCCCCCCTTGGCGATATGGCACGAGATGGCCACGTCAACAACGGTCAGGTCCAACAACGACAACAACCACAGGGTGTCATGGGCAATATCCTGAGACCTCCACTGTGGCCAGCGCGGCCAGCGCCTGCGGCCACACCCGTTAGTCGCACGGAGACACAAAGCGCAGCAAGCACAGTCTATGCGATACGATACCCGCCCATGTCGGAGGCGACGACGCGAACGCCAGACATTATGTTGCAGTCGAGCATGCCTGACTTGTCCCGGCTGGAGAGCTTGCCTGAAAGCTATCACACTGACGAGGATCCGGCGGGCTCGCAGCCTGCGCCAGCTTACGCTCCCTCTAACCCGAACCTGCCGCCGTCAGGGCTACAGACGCTGGACGAGGTCGACGCAAACAGCTCAGCTAGTCAAGCCGCATGGCGAGACCTCACTGCTTCTACAAACCCGCCCGCAAGTCAAGCCCACACGGGCTCGGCTGTGGGGACAGGGCGCAATGTATCATACGCACTACCGCAACGCCACTCTGCCAGGGGCGGTTCCTCAAACAGTCGATGGGCGTTGCGGGCGAGGCTCGAAGAATTTGCGGCGAATCAAGCTGAAAGGATCCGCGAGCGCGTTCGGCCGACAACGGACACAGACAACCTCCCGGTCCGTGTGATTCCTGCACCAGAGCGCAGGGGGACAGCCCTCCGGCAAGTCCTGGAAGAGGAGGGGGTGGGCGACGGGCTGCGTCGCGGCAGCAGCGATTCGAGGGCAACCTCGCTTGAGATGAGTATCCTTGAGCGTGAAAGGGAGCCAGATGCATCCACGCAGCGGGGTGCCGATGGGCTGCCTATCAACAATCCTCCGCTGTGGCCTGGCGTGCAGCCTCGACTCATATACGATGACGATGAGTGTTCATACGACGGAGGCTCGCTCACAGAGGGATCAATCTCAGCCGGCAGGGGACGTCAAACATCAGATGAGGGCACTGTCTCGGGCCCTTCGAGGCGTCAATGATTTGGATTATCGGGTTGCATTCTGCGAGAGGCATCATATGAGCAAGGCGTTGTTGGATTTAATTTTGCGGCCGGCATTCTGGGCTGGAAGCGTGTATTACAAGATACCCGTCCGTCTCATATGGGCATGTCCGCTTGTATATATTGATGAGCCATGTCAATACAATGTACGTGAATAGTATAATTGGGAATTTGAGACTCTGTCACTCCTGGTCGTGTGCGAATTCTTGTCACTCCTGCTCGCGTGCAAACTCTTGGCACCCTGCATGCACATAATGAAACCAACCTCAAGGGTTCCCGCGGGCGCCGTAGGTCACTTATCACATTGAAGGGGCTGGAAACTTGGAAGACAATATCTGCGTGGTGAAATTGCGGGGAGGGTCGTAGATCCAGGGCTTCTAACAACCTCGGCGCGGATCTTGGAGAGCTGGTGTTAGTGTCGCGACGCGCTCCTGTGGCCTCTGGCCTTGGCGCATATTAGGGAAGGAGAGGAGGGGCGAGCGCTCATACGTGCTTGCCGCGAAAAATTGGGCTACGCGGGAAATGAGATTTATGTGATGATGCAAATCCTCCTTGTTGACCGACCTCAATCACTCCCACGTCCCTAGCATCACGCAGGCAACTCACACTCCTTTCACCAGTATAATAAGCCTGCGTCCATTGCAACGACCCAAACAGGTTCTCGGCGACAGATTGATTTCATTCTTACTGCGAACCCTACCCATCTATCCGAATTCCCTGATCGCACGCAACGAGACGAACCGAAACGCGATTCATTTCCAGACAGGCATTCGGCGATCCCGGACCAACTTCGTGCCTGTGACGCATCTTGACAGGATCTTCACAGTCAGCCGATACCACCTTGTACACGGTACCAAGGGCGCTCACGCGTGTGACGGCTTCAGCACCCCCAATTGACACCCGTAGTTGGCGTTCTCGCAGACAGCTCGCGCGCCGCCAATTCCCTTCCCGACTTTGAGCACGCCGAATTCGAGACTTGCTTCCGGGCGCTAGATTGCTAGTACTGGCGCGACTCGAAACTACAAACAAGCGTCCAGATATATCTGCCAGAGCTACAGCGCGCTTGGAGCGAAGCTTGGCCCATCATGTCGGAACCCTTCCCACTTCTCAACACCTCGGCAGACGCCCTACGTAACTTTGAGGAAGTCTCCAACACCACGGCCACCGATGCCGGCACAAACAATGTCCAGAAGCGCCGTCCCAGGAAGAGTAGCGCATTGGGGACCATGGATATCCGTGCCGGCGACACGGGGGCTGCTCTGGCTACCAGCAAGGCGGCCTTCGATGCTGGGGACCACAGCTCCGTATCCGGAGGCTCCAATGGCCCAGGGCTTAAGAAGCGCTCTGTTCGTCGCCGACGAGGCTTTTTTGGTCGTGCGCGCCATATCATGATCAAGCACACATTCGTCCTGCCGGCACTGATCGCCTTGGCCATGCTTGCGGCCTACGCTGTGCGCCCAAACGAGTCGAACCCGATGCACCGCTTCATCTTCCTATCGTACAAGGAGCCTGGTAACCTCGACGCCAACGGCAACGTGCAGTACGGCAAGGGACCCTGGGACATTGCCTTTGTTGCCTTTTACACAGTCGTCTTGTCATTCACCCGCGAGTTCGTCATGCAGGAGATGATCAAGCCCCTTGCCCGTCGTGCCGGTCTCCGTTCCAAGGGCAAGCTTGCCCGCTTCATGGAGCAAGGATACACAGCCTTCTACTTCTTCTTCCTGGGCCCCCTTGGTATGTACGTCATGAGCCGCACGCCCGTCTGGTACTTCAACACCCGTGGCATGTACGAGGACTTTCCCCACCGCCACCATGACGCCTTCACCAAATTTTACTACCTTTTCCAAGCTGCCTACTGGGCCCAGCAGGCCATCGTCCTCGTCCTCGGCATGGAGAAGCCCCGGAAGGACTTCAAGGAACTCATCGCCCACCACATTGTCTCCCTCGCCCTCATCGGCCTGTCGTACCGCTTCCATTTCACCTACATCGGCATCGCCGTGTACACCACCCACGACATCTCCGACTTCTTCCTCGCCACCTCCAAGACCCTCAACTACCTGGACCACCCCATCACGGACAAGTTCTACGCCTTCTTCATCTGCGTATGGATCTACATGCGCCACTATATCAACCTGAAGATCATCTGGTCCCTCTTCACCGAGTTCCGTACCGTCGGTCCATTTGAGCTCAACTGGGAAACGGAGCAGTACAAGTGCTTGCTCAGCCAGGTCATCACCACCTCCCTGCTCACCTCGCTGCAGGCGCTCAACATCTTCTGGCTCTACTACATTCTGCGCATTGCTTACCGCGCGTTGTTTAAGAACGAGCTCAAGGACGACCGCTCCGACGACGAGGAAGAGGAGCCTTAGGAGGATGAACAGGTGATCCTGAACAGCGACAAGCAAATAGGCCACACGGCCGTCAACGGTGCCACGCACTGAAGAATTTGCACGAGGATACGATACAAAGGAGAGGAACGCACGCACGCAAATACACGCATGTTCAAAGCAAGTCACGTACAAATGGGAGAGAGTCCAGAGCATTGCAGGGGCGAAACGGCGCATCAGCACACAACATACGCATACGCATATGCGCATAACCACTCGTTTTTTCTTTCTTTCCAACTATAGACATTCGCTTCGGGAAAGACACAGTCAAGAAGCCAACCGTTGACAAACGTTGGCTTATATACATTACACACTCGCTTCGAGCTGGCCGCGATGGTGAGGGAGTTTCCCCATTCATGGAATTGGGACGACATGCATGGACGGGTACGGTTTGTACGAATGACACGGAACGCGAAAGGAAGGATCACGACTGTTTACAGAATGGGGGGGGTTGGGATTTCCCTTCAATAATGAGACGCGTCAGTGGTCTTGGGAGGATACTAATTGTAATCGAGTTCAGTTCGTACCCCTGAGCTTGCTGCCCTTACTCTGGTCAGAGAGGGCAGCACAGGGGGGCGTCTCGGCGAAGCTGTCTAGTGGTAGCCGGGTCTTATATCGCATCCTACTTCCTATAGGTACCTAATGAAAGTTAAGCTTCTCACGAGTCACCGGATGCCAATCCTTTGTGTTGTCAATCTTGGAATTGGTCTCCTATTGCTGGGGCGCTGTAGTCTTCGCCATCTACCGATTGCCGCGTACCTGGAGGGTGATCGTGGTGGCCACCGTACCAAGGAACACGGCAAGCGTAGCTAATTACCATTCGAACGAAAACAAATCCAAGGCCAATGTCTTTTGCAAATCTCATTCCCCAAGGCACCCCTGACCTAAGTGTCCTGGTGCGCATTTTGTTCGCCGTAATCTGCATGTATACGTTGCCGTTCATGAATCTTCTTCCTCTTCTTCTTCTTTTTTTTACCCCCCTTTCTGGGTCATTCCCCTTCTGGCGATGAAAAAACCATTACGAAAATCGAGTGTAGCGAGAGCGGTGTTTTCGAATAGGATACGGCGGTGAGGATCCTGAAGTGCGATCATAGAGCGATGCGGTGCATCCGCCAACACGCGCATCGCGTCGTCCAAACGAGAGTATTAAGTTGAGTCGTCAAAGAACATGCCTCGTGAAGTTTGCGATCGTAAATAAATAAAAAAAAACAAGAAAGTAGAAAGAATCGACCTGCACAACGCCTGACCATGCTCTCAAGTTCGTGTCCATGCGTGCTACGCATCATCGTATGCTGCGAATGTGAATGCCTGCTTGCTCCAAATGGAATCGGAAAGAAATCAGTATTAGGTGGATGGGATTGCATCGTTCCCTGTCCTGTGTTCAGCCGTGGCTGGAACGGGGCTTCGGATCTTCCTCGTTTCGTGCCTCGGCCGAGTGGGTGGACTCGCAATCCGAACTGGACGTAGATGTGCTCGACTGGGAGGAACCTTCCTCGGTGCCTTCATGGTTGGCGTCGTGGCAGTCATGGTCTTGATACGATCCCGAGTTGTGCCTGTTATGAATCTTGCCGAGATCGACAGAGACCTGATCCAGCCTCGCCTTTTTCACCGCCCGCTGGGCTTTCTTCGTGGCGACACTAGCCTCACGTTCGGCCTTCTCAGCTTGGCTCTGCCTACGCCACATGGACGCATAACGCCCGCCTCTAGAGAGGAGCTCATCGTGGGTACCCTGCTCAACAACTTCTCCGGCGTGCAAGACAATAATTTGATCCGCGTGTGTGATTGTTGACAGTCGGTGTCTGTCACGTGTTAGTCTATCTGAGTCCACGGTAATGTACGGCTGTATACTTACGCGATGATCAAGAGAGTTTTATCTTGCCCAACGCTCCATACGTTCTCTTGGATTTCTTGTTCGGTATGTGAGTCCAAGGCCGACGTGGCCTCGTCCAGCATGATGATCTCGGGGTTCTTGAGAATAGTACGTGCAATGGCAACACGTTGCTTCTCACCCCCGCTCAATCTCATACCGCGTTCACCGACGTTGGATTCGTACCCGTCTGGGAAGGACATGATCTTGTCGTGGATTCTTGCGGCTTGACAGGCTTCCTCAATCTCCTGTCGAGTTGCGTCAGGCTTCGCATATCGGAGATTGTACATGATGGACTCGTTGAACAACGTGGTGTCTTGAGGAACGACCCCAATGTTGCGCCGTACGGAGTCAATCGTGAGGTCTTTGACATTCTGTCCATCGAGTTCAATGGAGCCAGAGTCGCAATCGTAGTAGCGAAACATGTGTCGAAACAGCGTCGATTTGCCGCCTCCGGACTCACCGACAAAGGCTGTGGTCGTTCCAGGCTCGCATTTGAAACTGACATTCTTTAGGGCTGGCTTCCGGTAGTCGTATGCAAAGCACACGTTCTTCCACTCAACGCGACCGGTGAAGTTTTTGAGGGGTTTGGCGTGTGGCGTGTCAACAACTGTTGGTTGGATCTTGAAAAGTTCAAGCAGGCGTTCTCCAGAAATCATGGCCTGCTGCACTGTGCGATAAAACGTGCCGAAGAAGTTGAGCGGACCTTGCAGTTGGGTGAGGTAGGAGACGATCGTGAACCACTGCCCTGGCGTGCGAACACCCATAGCCACCTGCCAGCCACAAACAGTGGCCGCCAGAACTCTTCCGAGGTTATACACGATAGCTTGGCAAATGTTCATCTTGACCATGCCGAACTGAACCTTTGCTTCCGCATCTTGGAACAGCCCAACCTTCTCCCTGTAACGGCGAGCTTCAAACCCTTCGGCGTTGAAATACTTGACCGTCTCGTAACTAGAGATAGAGTCGTTCTTCACCGCTTCCTCCTCGCGATCAGCGTTGGTCATCTCACGCCTCTGATCAGCCCTGGTAGACGCCATTTTGATGGTCATGTACAGATACCAGCAGGTACCTACGGCGTTGATCTCGGCATAGAGCGGGCCGTACTCAAAGTAGAAGACGGAGATGGTCAAGAGAAGGTCGAAAAGCATGGGAAACACCTGGAAGGTGACCTGCTCGAGGAAGTTGTTGATTGATGAGCCCTTGTTGAGTGCGGAGAGAACCTCGCCTGTCCGTTTTGACAAGTGGAAGTCAAGACTCAGTGAGTGGACGTGGTTAAAAGCCGCGGTCGTCAGCCCACGGTAGGAATACTGAGAAACTGGAATCCACAGCATCGAACGCAGAGCGCCTAGAAGCCCAGATTGTCCCTGGAGGGTCCAAAATGCGCCCAGGAGCATCATGTCCGCGAGTGGGAACGAGTCGAGAGTCAAGGGGTTGCCTGCCTTGACGTCCTCAACGGCGAAGACAAGTTTGTCCACGACCCGCCCAATCTGTCGAGGTACAGCGACGTTGACGAGGCGTTGAAGAATGACAAGGATGAAGCAGAGCAAGACGTTGAGTTGCAGCTTCCTAGAGTCCTTGGGCCATAGGTATGGGAAAAAGAGCGTGTAGCCGCGCATATACTCCCACCAGGTTTTGTGCGTTAGCTTTTTCTGACGATAGAAAGCCGCACCGTCGTCGCCATCCTTGACCTGGGCCGTTGGCTTCTTGGCATTGGAAATGGTACGCCCTCGCTTCCGTCGGCCTTGCGCATCATGCGTCTTGACTGTCCCGTTGACAACGTGGTCGCCATTGGTCTCAGCGCCACCATTCGGATGACCATTCTGCGAGTCATATGATCGTTGGTGACCATTCAGTAGGGGAGTTCGTTCGGTCTCCGAAGGGCCGTCCTCGAGCTTCGACTCCGATCGACTACAAGCCTTGTTGATCCAGGCAGTTCCAAAGAAGCCGCATAGGGCCAATAGGAACAGCATACGTATGAAATACAGAACGAGATCGACTTTCGCCCAGTAGTCTAAGCAAGTCTCTCTGCCGCGGGTCCTGGCACCAGGGGCGTATGGCTCACGGTCGGCGTGGCATTCGACGGCAGCTTTGTAGGTCGTAGTAGCGATTGTGATTTCTCCGGCAAGCGCCAGGATCCACACTGTAAGATGCACAACATTGGGCCCCTTGCGCCAGTCGAAGAGCGAGACGAAAATGTAGAGGTGGAAGAACGTGGCACCAAGGAGGTGAACCTGCATAAGAGAGCGTCATTAGCGTTTGCGGCGTGTCACGATGCACGTGCCCGACGACGTGGAGTTCGTCGGAACACTGAGCGCGGGGAGAGTGCAACGTACCACCGACCATTCGCCGCCCCAACTCAGCCCTGATTTGGACCACCGATATGGATCATCGTACTGGAAGGCGTGACGAGCGACCAGCACGTCGCTGGCAACGTAGGCCAGGAATACTCCGGCTGCTAGGACTCGGAAGACGTTCTTTGCCAGTAGCCCGAAATGGGGACCGAGTTTGCGCTCTCCATCATCCTTCTTCCTGGTGCGCGTGACGGGAAGAGGCTTGCCTCCTGGGCCTTTGACGGTGGACTCGACGACATCGTCCGTCTTCTTCGCGTTGTAGACACTGTACCAGGCAGCTAAGCCTACGAACGCGACTAGGAGGATGGCCGAGTATAGATACTGCGTCCGTCGGAGGACTCGATCGGACAGATAGTTTTCGTCAATCGGCGTGATCGTATGGTTCTGGCCATTGGGCGAGCCCAGTGCGGCCTGAGCCGGCCCAGAAGCCACCATGCCGGGCTGCTGTTGGAAGCCGGTGTCAGTATTGGTATGCTCTGTGACACGTGTAGATCGGGTTTGAGGATTGGACAGCTGCGACTGTGGCAGCAGGCTCGGCCGTGATCAGAGTTGACGTTGCCGTTGCCTACAGCCTACTGCTGCACAGACGCCTGGTACAGCTTCCGTGTACGTTGGGTGGGAGTGGTGCACAGAGCGGGTTCGCGGACGATTGAAATTGGGACTGTGGTATACAGGTTCTTGCCACGGGGCTTTGGTGTTCGTGGCTTCGAAGTAGCGAATGACGTACAGGCTGGGTAGGAGCGAGCGTCAAGGTTCCTATCTCCAGGACGGAACCATGATAAATTCGAGTCAATACGCAGGCAGCAAGAAACGAATGATCTCGCGGGTGGTCGGCGGGAAAAAGAGAGGAAGAGATGGCGGGGTGGACAGACGCGGGTCTGAAGAATGGTTGAAGAGAGTTTGACTCTAAAGTGAAGGTGAAGAGAGCAGAAGTGAGGTCGTGAATCACTGTTTGAGATTAGCCTTCTGGTACCGACAAGGTACCGCTACCGTGCATGCAGTGCTTGGAGGGGCAGACAGGGAACCCACCCGCATCTGGAGGTCCGCCGGGTCCTTGTCGAAGCAGGTCACGATGGAGTCTGCAGGTCGGTTGGGTGCTTGCCTGTGATGGATGTCCGGCGAGAGTGGTGTGGTGCGGTACGGATGCAGGACATGAGGTGCGTGTGGGCACCAAAATGACACACGACGTATCCATAAAGCCACATGGACCTCACACTCAGCAGTCAACTCGTGCCTACGTATCGATATTTCCAGTCTATCATACGGCAATCAAGCAGGAATCCACACATTCACGACAGTAAGGCTCACTGGCACAACGCGTACCTACTCACCCGCCCAACATGAACCCAAGGGAGTATTGTTTGCCAGACAGGCACGGCAGGTGCATACCGCACTGGACTGAGATGGTGCTTCTCACTGCCGGATTGGACCTCCACCCGACGCGACCAGATCGGGCGTACCTGCCTTTCAAAAGCATACATAGGTACTTGTAGTTGTAGTCCTCTCGCCTCATTCTCATCAGGAGACTTGAATACGAATTGGAAGACATATTAGGCGGGAAATGCAATATTATTACAGCTAGGTACAAACGGAATCTGGACCCCGGGACTCCAGGCCCAACTGACCACTGACCAGGCACCGTGACCATGCGCAAACCTTCGCCTACCATACTACGTACTAGAGAAGCTAAATCAAGCCAGCTTTCCAACAGTTCGGTTCCTGGGGCCTAGGGATCTAATTATACATTTGCACTTATCACCGACAGTGTTGCTTAGATTCTTTCTCTCGAATCTAGCAATTGGGTGAGCAAAGAGTCATTCGGCTATATTACTTCACCCTCAATCAGCTGCAGAGAAGCCCTTCATCATCTACCCCGGCTAAGCGTTCGATCGATGTCGAGTCGAGTCCGACTCGGGTCGCAGTCGAGTCGGGATGTGGTCGGTCCACACAATGACAGGGGTTTGTCGACTTTAGCTGCTGTTGTTGCTGTCGTTAGGTAGCCTGGACCCGGTCCCGGGCTGTTCAAAGCGGGTCCTACAGCTCCTGTGGTGCACTCTCCCCCAGACTAAAATATCCCCTATTATCACAGCATCGCCAGAGTTGGCTTCAACACATGCATACGTACAGCTGCACCACTCAAAAGGGTGAAAAGGGGTGATTCCAGCAGGCAGATCTCGATGGCGGTATGAAATTGCCAGCTCGCCATGACCTCCTCAAAGGAACTGACATAACGCCACAGCTGAGTGCACCGGCGCAGTGTGAAGTTTGCGTCTTCCAGACTCCATCGATGCGTCTGCACGGCCACCAATCACGGGTCTCAATCAGCCACTTGCCTTGTAGCGAGAGGCGGCAGTGCTGCTGCGTCCTCGGCCGATGGGCTGGGCTAGCCGCCGCCGATTGCACCTTACCGTTTTCGCGGCCTGTGGGTGCGATGGTGAGATGGTGCTGGTATTGATTAATTGTTCATTACAGTACCAGTATTCCATCCAGGCTTTTAATAATAAGACAGCTGACTTGCACAGTGGCGACATGGCGTCAAAATAGACTGACTGTTCAGTTGAGCCAGTGCCTGGTCGTCGTTGTACTGTACCTGCCTGAATGAGGTAACAGTCGTGTGACGTACTTCTCCGTACCATCAAAGACATGGAGACGGAAGATTTGTTTTGCTTCCGCGCGGTGCAGACCCAACAATGCAATCACCTGATGAAGGCCTCCACGTCTATCCACGGCATATCCGACCTTGACAGAGCCCAGAACGCATGATGTTCGTGTAATACGCAATGGGACTGATGAGTCAACCCCTCCAGAGACACGCACTGCCACTGTTAGGTGGGGCAGCCGTCGAGTCTTCCTCAGCGTTGACGCGTCTGTCCTTCCTCGAGCCCAACACTCGTGAGACAAAGAATCTCACATTCATGCCTCGTGGCGTCTTGTGGCGTCTCTGAGACAGCCTTGCTTCGGCTACCGATGGATCCAAGACGGCGACAGTCGGCGATAGCAGTGGCCACGCGCCCAACATCCAGTCGTAGCGTCTTGCGCCTTGTGACTGGCATCGATGACGGTGGATACGCTGAGCCTTGGTCACTGTTGTGTGTGAGCGCACGCGGTCTTATGGATTGCTGGGTTGATGGAAGCCCAACGATCCGTCGCCTGTCTTCTGTATCACATGAAATCTCCGACCATGGCTAATACGTCCAAAGGTTCGCCGTCTACACGAGTAGGTTAGCCATCGGCCCGAGCTCAGGAGCATGAGCCCAACAAACATCAAGCCACTCGCTGCCCTTGACTCGATGAAGCAGACATCCTGCTGTTCAACAATCAACGGGAGACCCACGGCAAGGTTGCCCATCAGAGACATGGAGTGAATGCTTTGTGGAACACTACCTCACCGGTTGCTTACAGGTGCTGCACGTCGCCTCTGGAAGTGATATCAAGAATGACTGCATACTTTCCCAATTGGAACAGATGATTGGCAACAAGGATGGGTGCCTATGACTTGCTGCTATCTGCAAGCCAGGCTTAAGATGCTGCTGCCGCATTCCCTTGCATCATGCATGTCAACTTGAGTCTCACTACATTCCCACTGGGTAGAGATTCAAGCCCATCTTGTCGAATCACCCTCAACGGCGCAGATGCCCGAGATTTACTGCTTCTCTCCATGCCTGCGCATTGCCCGTTGCATGGTGAGTCGTACTCTTTACGCCCATTGTTATGCCGGTGTGTTGCAGCGCAACGCTTGTCGGAAGAAGACGAGCTGCTGATATGTGCTAACAAGTCACTCTCGAGTGGAAGCCGCCGCCCATATGCCAGCCCTGATAAAGACGTACCCAGTTAGCGATGCTGGCATGCGCAATCATCTCGCAGCACATGTGGCGTACGGATAGTCGGCCAGGTTGTGTCGTTGGGCAGAAAGAAGTGTTGGGCAAGTAAGCCACAGGCGTCGTGGAACACCTACATCTACGCTGTCTGGGTGTCATCGCTGACAGTAGTTTTCGGAAGCTTTGCTATCTGCACGGCCCTAATATATTTCGGCTCTCTTTCGGACTCCAGCACAAACTATTGCAAGCGGTCGTTGCAGATATTGAAGCCCTTGCTTTTGGCGGATGCATACGTGGCATATTCAAAGATTGTCGCGGCGAAGACGTAAAGAGTGTCACTGGCCCAGCGTCATTCAAGTGTCACACTACAACCGTCTCGCAATATTTACGTACAAGGGCAGGACGCCCAAAGGCCGGTCACGACATACAGAACCTGGAGCTACTACATGACAAGAAGCTTTTGGAAGATCTGCATATCACAGGCTGCATCACACTGAGTGGAGGTTCTCCAAACCCACTACCCCAGATAGCTGCTGGCCGTGCTCCTGGGAGTTGCTATGATCGGAAGGCTATACGATTTCATGTAACACATGGTTCTGTACGTATAGCATGTCCCGGCATGGTGCATCGGATCTCGACTCCCACAACAGCCGTGGAATCTCGGCATGACTGTTTGGGGCGGGCGGTGTCTGGCTTCGGGCCTCTGAGCTTCTATTTTTACCTATCCTGGCCTGCGTTGGGTCACTTGGATAATCACAAGCTACCCCTGCGTCTGAACCTTTGAATTCGGCCGAGGGGCATGTCGATCGACGCTCCGTCAGCAAGGGGTGCACGACTTTGGTGCCAGCACGTACGTACGTACGTATTCTTCGGTGAATTCCCTCCAACGTTGTTGTCGGCCATGCGCTGCCTACATTGAGTCACGCATGACCAACCTTGATTCTGCTGGTTGACTCGGCAGGGTTGGCGGCGCCCCGGATGGAATGCAACTAGACTCTGAAATTTCGTGCCGTGCCGTGCCGCCCAAGCAATTCTTACTTTTTTATCCAACTCTAGGGTCTTTGCAGATAGAGAAACGCCACAACTGGAAACTATGCGAGGCAGCGCACATGGCACATTGGCCACATCACTTCGCAAGACTCCAAAGCGCACGGTGAAAGCCATCATGAGAACTGAGACATAGCGCAATTCGCGATTAGAGTTGCTTGGCCGTTTGAAGGATTGTGATGTGACTCGATAAGGTGAAGGACTAAGTACGTACATGTATCGCGCCATGCTTCTGGGGGGCCCGTTTGTTGATAGGAAGCTGGGGAACCTGGAAAGCCAATGCCAATCCCCTGACCCCAGTAACGGACGGCTAGCCGCCCAGGACTCCTTCCAGGTCCCGCCGTGGTTGTGCCTGATAATTGATTACTAGATCAATAAATTACCTATCTTGGGACTTCTTCTGCTGGAGCCTGCGGAGGTGGGTTACGGTCGACGGACAACAACAATCAGTCTGAGCATGATCACATGCAATCAAGCCTGTTCGACATGGAGGCTTGTTATTCGCTCCGTAAGGTCGAGTCCGCGACACTAATTAGGTCCTTGATTCCTTTGTGATCCTGGCTACCGGATCATAGGTGGCCGGCATATGCGCCTTGCCACTGACTGGGTGGAAGCTCAGCATGCTATCCGCGGTCACCGCCATTCCTACATGTAGGCGACCGGTGAGCCTGCAGGCAGTGTCACAATGTTATTCCCTGACTCGCTGGTGAGCACCTTGTCGCCTACATGTGCGCTGACGGCTATCAAATGGGACCTTTTCGATCGCATTACAGAGCTGGTATCATTGGATCGCGTCCACTCACCGGGTTTCGGCCGTTGGATTCGATCACCAACGCACGCTGGATTTCATTTCCCTTTTCTGTCTTATTGATAACAATGCAAGCGACATGGATACATGCCCTGGTAGCTGTCAGACTGGGCTCCGAGACCTGGGATGGCTGCGGCAATACCCACGGGCCACGCTATACCACCTCATGCTTCCCCATGCCACTGATCACTGATGCAGTGATGCTGTAGCAGCACCCTTTGTTGAACTATTTGCTTGTGATCTGGACGAAGCACTCGCTCAAGTAGAATGTCTTTGCGAGACGTCAACGCTTCAAAATATTCACCATTGCCCAGGTGACGCTTGGAAATGGGCGGACTGGTGTTTCCTCTTCTCTCATGGAATAAGCCGCCATGACATGGCGTTCAACGCTATTCCATCTCTACTAGTCAGTCCCAGAACAATCAAGGAATACCCCGGGAACATGCCATTGATTCGGCCAATGGGTTGGTTGACCAGAGGTATTAGTCTTGAAAGACAGGTTCTTCACAGGTACAAAGAAGACACTTCGTGGTGGAACCTGTCCTCATCAACCATATCAGACGATGACACGTAGCGATAGCTATTGCGGAACGGGCACCCGGACAAATTCGTCTCTTGCATCCTGTTTGCCTCACCGCGGACCGGTGCAGCTTTCGATATGGCGACCCATCCAACCGTTGACTCTGTCTAGGTATGCGACGTCCGCCACCAGATCACACCGTGTCCAATGCACCAACCAAGAGGCATGATATGCGAGGGTAACCTGACGCTGCCTGATGTTATAGAATTGGTCAGGCTCGAATGCCACGGATGGGACAGGAGAATGACAGTGAAATCTCGCGCGCAATGGATGACTGACTGGTCACCGAGCTGTCTGCATACCGTCGGACGTGACCTTGGAACGGTCTGCCATCCCTCGACCGAAGCATCGCGCGCATGCAATTATTACCCACAAGTGCACGACCACGCGCTCCAGTCTCTTTCGCGAATACTTGTACGTAGACGGTAGAGGGGGGCGGTCAGATCCCTCGTGCATCGCGGGGCACCAAGATAGGGCCAAGGTTCATGCTAGCCAAGACCGATGAGACATGGATTGGGTAAGGTGAGCTGGAGCCACCGTCTTGCTTTTGCTTGTAAGTTTCGATGTTCTTCTTCTTCTTCTTCTTGCTGTGTTTCATCGATCCAGCCACAGCCTTCGAATAGCTGCTCACCGCCCTCAGGCAACAGCCATGGGACGCGGTGGCTTGTCTGTTCCCTGCTCTTCCTGACGATGCAGTGAGACTTACTTCTGCGCGCTTGGACTGGTGGATTAGCTAGGTTTCCTAAAGGCGACCAACTTTCCGAAGGGCCCGCGGCTGGCACGACTCATGTGATGCGCGTAGCTTGAGCACGACATTGGTTCGGTCACATCGGTGTTTGTCGGTGAGGGATCTGAGTCTGGGAAGCGGACGGGCGGGTTGGAGAAGCGCATCCATCGCCCCACGTCTATTGTGGATTTATTGTGCTTGTAACTCACGTCCTTGACCAAGGGCAGTCGTCGACGGAGGGACACCCTCCCATAGTTGTATCCACGGCACGGGCCGTGGCCCGGAAGGATGATTGAATAGTTGTAACTATTCGTACACTAGTGCAGGCAGCGAAGTTTAGTATACCCGACTGTAGGACCGCTATCACCAGGCAAAAGGCAACTCAGCGATCTGATTTTGAATAATCTTAGGTGCTCAGTTGACACCTGCAATGATTAGCAGGAATTGGAATTCGCGCAAGCCTTTTACATTCACCGAGTTCGGAAGGGTGAGGTGTGGACTATGGAGGCATTTGTTGGGTGTACAGGGTAGGTGATTACTATCTATTAAATCAAGCCGCCAGTCATGAAACTTGAAGCAATGCCTTGTTGTCTCCCTGATTCAATCACGTCCTTGAAAAACAGTCCCTGTGTGAAACGCAAACTCTTACTTCGAGTAAAATATCAGACTTTTCTCTATGATTGGCTGTTGATCTTCACACGGCGAAGCAGAACGGCCGTGCAAGGAAAAAGGGGCTTGCAAGCAACATCCCAGAGTCTGAGATGACCAGGTACGAGACTGGGAATAAGAGCAGTCTGAAAGTGTTCAAGATTCCGATTGCTAGCCTTGCTTTTCAGCCTGCGCATTGATCGATTATGCTTGGTGATCACATGCACTGACGCGAACAGGACCAACCCCACGGACCGATTGTTGAGTGTTGACATCCAAAGAGACCACGAGAAGCGGGAAAACCCACAACAGCTACCAAATGTTGCTTGATGCTTTGCGCTCAGCGAGATAGTTGCAAGGGGTGAGATGGACATGCCGACCGGTGCCATTGCAATTGATACGTTCGAAGCCTGCAATGACGAATGCCCAATGTCGAAGCACGGCGTTCGTGTGCCACTCGACTGTGCCTCATCGGGACAGGACGTGGATATGAACAATCTTGCAGGAGATCGAGCACATCGTGTGAGAGTTCTTATTTCGGATATCGACGATTTGCCATTTTTACACTGGTGCACGCCGACACATAACAAGCATGCGTACTGATGTAGGCACGCCGCTATCACAGCTTGTCATTGTTCACATAATAGCGACATTGTTGAAAGCCTTCCAAATCCTCAAAGAACCGAGCCGCAGTCTTACACTCGCGGCAGGTGAGATCGATCCGGATGGGCACGATTTGACCTCAACCGCCACTATTGCGGCCTTCACGCAGCGAGAACGTCACCACGAGAGTGTACAACTTCAACGACGCCTTTCTAAAGTGAGCCAGTCACCGGGTGTTAACAGTATCGCGGTTCCTATTCTAGCACTGGAGCGTACCTGAGAAGCAGGGATGCTTCTCGTCTGCAAGGACGAGTATCGGATCCAGAGCCCAGACTTCGAGGGAAATGCTCTTTGTCCCGGCGGTGGGGTCATGTCGGATCCCTTGCGCGCTCGGGCGCGATGGAACTCTGTGCTTGATGTTTTGTAGAATGTTTACCGGAAATAGAGACTGGAGGTTGTTGTTGTTGCAGTCCAGTAGGGAATTATCACGATCTGGTCACATGTCCAGTCGTCGATCGAACTCCGGGGCAAGCCCAGGGCAGGCGCTACCTGCCTGCCTGCCCCACCTCTGTCACCCTCAGCCTTGCCTCACTGGCGTCTCCCGAAAACCTCCCCATCTCAGCCTTGCCACTATTACACATCACCAAAGCGATAATTGGCAACAAGCATATCACCAAGCGCATTTCCAACTACACACCTGCGCAAAGCTCTTCATCACCACAGAACAAGTCCGCCTGCTATAGCGCACTTCGTCACAGAAGAGTTCGCACACCCGCTGAGCCACCGCAGCCGATTTCGAGTCGTTGACGCTTCTCGCCTACGCGCCACCCTTTGCGATTGATTGACAGACACGACGTTATCTCGACATATACTACATACAGCTCTTGCCACAACGAACAACGGCCTAGCTGGCTCCGCCAGCGTCCGCAGCAGCCATGGCGAATTCTAACCCCTCCACACCCGTCAAAGTGCCCTCGTCGGCGGCATCATACAGTAACGGCGTCCTCGACCCCGACATGCGGTCCCAGATCAACACAATCCTCCTCAGTGACGGACATGCTACAAAGTACGTCGCCCCCAACAGACTCTCACATGTCTCGCTATATCCCCCCTCTCCGTCGCGCGCCCGACTGACTCCCATGTTCCAGAATCCAAGAAGCCCTTCTGCACTCCTTGCATGCCTCCCCATCCAACTGGCCGACCACCCTGCGCAGCCACGCCCTGTCTCTCCTACGGTCGGGCGAGATATCCACGTACCCCGAGCTTCTCCGACGTGTTTTGTCCGACGTGCGCGCCGAATCAGACGTCTCTGTCCATCCTCCACCAAGCACCAACGGTACCAACGGCGATAAGCCGAAACAGGCAAAAGGCTCCAACAGTGACAAGGTCAGCCTGGCGATTCCACAACACGTAATAGATGAGGCGCTACGCGTCACCCGGGAGAGTCTAGAGACTGTCTGTGAGGTAGACGAGAATGGCAACGTTTGACGGTGCGGCTCGCCGCGAGCGAAGGCGGTGAGCGAGACGGAGGGGGACTCCAAGGACTAGGTGCGCGTTGGAGAGAGATATGAACATGGAGGTTATAATGGTCCCTGGGGGGCATGGCTATTGAAACTCATCGCTCGAGCAGATTGCACAGCTGACTGTATGGAGCCCGCTGCGTGAAGAGGAAGATGACGCTGGCACGGCTACAAACGACCCGACACGAATTACACGAGATATCAACTGTCCATAGCAATCGTCTTTCTATGGACATACATGATGGAGTTATGTTTGCAAGTTGGTTTGAGTAAATGCATCGTGAATTTCATTCATTTCTATCATTGAAGTCCAGTCTACCGAATTATGTAGCACCTCAATCTGCATACTAGGTGACCTCGTCTGCGGGTACCCTGCATAGCCCGCCGTGGTTCACCTCCCAGCGCACCAACTCCAGCGTGACAAGGTTGCTCCTCGTTCCGACGGACGTCAGTGCGTATGGTCTCGCGCGTAAGTGTAGAATACAAAAGATTGAGTCTCCTCATCCCCCAACATGCATGCACCCTTCGCTTAGTTGTAGAGGTCGTCGTCGTTACCGGCATCGCCAAAGGCATTGTTTGAATCACCTCCGGCAGCGGCCTCGTCACCCTCGGGGAACTTGAAGAAAGCGCCTGGGCCGGCGCTCTTCATCTGCTGGGCAAAGGCTTCGTAACGGCGCACCTCGACGTCAGTGACCGAGCGGCGAGCCATCTGCATAGCCTCCTGGAAGTGAGCCTTGGTCAGCTCGGGCACGGCGTCCTCGGCGTCCTCGTCCACCTCCATGTCGTTGTCGCCAGCAGCCTCTCGAGCCTTGGTACGCTCAATGTCAGCAGTGATGGCCTCCTTGATGGCAATCTTGACGGCACGCTGGGCAATGAAGGCCAAATCGGCACCGGAGAAGCCGTGGGTCTTGGCCGCAATATAGCCAAGGTCGACGTCGTTGGAGACAGGGGTCTTGCGAAGCTGAGCCTTGAGGATGCCGAGACGGCCAGGCTCATCGGGCAGGGGCACGTAGATGAGAGAGTCCAGACGTCCAGGACGGCAAAGGGCAGGGTCAAGCTGCTCAGGACGATTGGTCGCACCAATGACGAAGACATTCTTCTTTGACGTCATTCCGTCCATTTCTGCAGTATGTTAGGTACGAAAGTTTTGACTTTGAGGAATTCTTGATGGAACTTACCAGTGAGCAGTTGGTTGACGACACGGTCAGAGGCGCCACCAGCATCGCCCATAGAGCCGCCACGAGCCTTGGCGATTGAGTCGAGCTCGTCCAAGAAGACAACGCAAGGGGCGGCGGCGCGAGCCTTGTCAAAGATATCACGAATGTTGCTCTCCGACTCACCGAACCACATACTCAACAGCTCAGGACCCTTGACGGAGATGAAGTTGGCAGAGCACTCGTTGGCAACGGCCTTTGCCAACAGCGTCTTACCGGTACCCGGAGGACCGAAGAACAGGACACCGCGCGAGGGCGACATGCCGAACTTGAGGAATTTCTCCGGATGATCGACGGGGTACTGAACGGACTCGCGGAGGTCCTGCTTGACGCCCTCGAGACCACCAATGTCTTCCCAGCGGGTGTTGGGAACCTCGACAACAGCGACCTCGCGGAGTGCAGAGGGGTTGGACACCCCAAGGGCAAAGCGGAAGTTCTCCATGGTTACACCAAGAGAATCCAAAACCTCGGCATCGATGGTGTCCTCATCAAGATCGATCAGATCCATCTTCTCGCGGATTTGTTGCATGGCAGCCTCCGAGCACAGGGCGGCCACATCGGAACCGACATAACCGTGCGTCTCAGACGCGATCTGCTCCAGATCGACATCATCACCAAGTTTCATGTTCTTCGTGTGGATCTGGAGGATCTCAAGACGGCCTGTGGGGTCAGGGATACCAATGTCGACCTCGCGATCGAAACGGCCGAAACGGCGCAGGGCAGGATCGATCGAGTTGGGACGGTTGGTGGCGGCCATCACAACGACGTTGGAGCGAGCCTTCATGCCGTCCATCAGAGTGAGGAGCTGAGAGACGACACGACGCTCAACTTCACCGTTCGTTTTCTCACGCTTGGGAGCGATCGAGTCGATTTCGTCGATGAAAATGATGGCGGGAGAGTTCTTCTCGGCTTCCTCAAAAGCCTTGCGCAGATTCGATTCGGACTCACCGGCCATCTTGGACATGATCTCAGGGCCGTTGATGAGGAAGAAGAACGCACCGGTCTCGTTCGCAACAGCACGAGCCATGAGAGTCTTACCGGTACCAGGGGGACCGTATAGCAGAACACCTCTCGGGGGCTTGATACCGATGGACTTGAACAGCTGCGGGTGACGGAGAGGAAGCTCTACCATCTCACGAATCTGAGCCATCTGCTTGCGGCAGCCACCAATATCGTCGTAGCCAACCTCGTTCAGGTTGTTCTCCTCCTCATCGCGCTCAATAGGATCGCCTTCGCAGTGGATGACTGTGTCCTGGGCAACTATACCGTACTCTGGAGGATCGACCTCGACCACTTTGAACTCCACTTGCCTCATGCCTCCACGTACTATGAAGAGGTCTCCTTGGCGCACGGGCCTATAAGCTTCCCGGAAGTAAGGGGCGAGGAAAACATCGAAAAGAGAGCCGGTGATACCCTCGACGGTGTCGGCGATGGGGAGGACCGCGATCCGCTTAGCCTGGAGAGAATGTCAGCGTCGGCGTCACCAACTGTTATCGGTACCCCGTACGTATTTGATATCGGGGCAGGGGTGAATGGTGATCATATCGCCATGCTTGACCCGAAGGTTGTGGCGAACAACACGGTTGATGCGGGCGCTACCATCGTCGAGCTCGTCGTCCGCGAGGACGATAAGGACGGTGTCCTTGCGCTTCTTTCCACGGACCAGAACCGTATCGCCACGGAAGAGCTGCAGTGTGTCCATCGTAGCCTCTGACAGGGCGATAATGCTGTTATCGTCGTTTGTGGCATCGGTAACCCTTGACCACCGTTAGCTCATCTCCACCCTTGTGATGCAATGATTCGAATACGCACATTAACTGGTTATCCTTCTTCTTCTTCTTGAGAATCGCGGTAGACACGTCCTCCTCCTAGAGCATGTCAGTTTCCTCGTTGCGGTCGTACACTAGGCGCGAGACAAACATTCTTGATGGCGGCGCCAGAAGGATCACTATGGCACTGTTAGCATATTGCGAGTCTTTGGCACAGGACGCAAGGCGCAAGGAGTGCACACTCGCTTGGTGTCAAGACTTACGTCAAGTTGACCTTCTTCTTTTCCTCCTCGGGAGCCATCTTGGTGTCGAGTCTGCTTACTAGCAGCTGTGTAGTTGATTATCGTGCGATGTTCGGAACCGGGCACCTGTGAAATCAGAGGTGGCAGGTGAGGTTGCTCGGTCTCGTGAACGTGCGAGACAAGAAAAGCAGTGGTTTGGTGGCGGATTTGGTGTGAAAAGAGGTGGGAAGGAAAGAAAAGGGTTTGATGGTTGGAGGTGTGCAAATCCCAAGCTGTCCTCACAGGCAAACAGCTGGTTGACGAGTTGGAGAGGTGACGGCGAGGCAAGAACGGCGGGCCAATGATCTCACCGTGAGTGCTGAGCGGGGCGGAATATCAATGACGCGCAGGGTACGCGACAGGGTCTCGGTACCTGCATTCACGCTCAATAAGGCGATACTCGCATGTATCAGTAGTGGAAGACGGCAGAAGCTTCCACCTGCGGTGCTGACAGTGCCCAGGCAGAAGACGGACGACGCAACCACCTGCACGCATTAGTTGGAAGATGTCTATCCGCCAACCACCATATCGCCGTTTGATTTACACAAGCCTCGGTTTTTTTCATTGCGCACTGGCGGATGACTCACGACTCGAACATTCGAGACTTACAAAAACGCATTAATAAACAGCTCACCACGGGTCACAGTGAGGGCATGGTGGAATACGTATAGTCGTAAGTCTCACAGGTGATCAAGTCGCTTCTCAAAAGTGTCTATGAAAATACTCGTGGCTGGCTAGCGTGTCATTCATCTTGATCGAAACTACTGTTGAGATGCCGTACAAAGGCTTCTCTTGATCTGTCATTAGCCATGTTGCCCACCGCTTCCAGGCCAATACCACCCCGATTCAGACCAACGAAAGCTCTCCTCAGCCTCTGCAACTGGGGCAGGCCAACCTTTTGACCTGCCGGCAAATGTACGACAAGGTCCTCCTTTCCTTCAGCGCTCAATGGTACCTTGACTTCGCCGCCACCTTCGTCACCCTGCTGGTCCAATATTCGTTTGACCACGTCTTGTGTCTCACGATCCAGTATGTAGAGATAGTCACCGCCCTCATTTCGGCCCCTTTGCAACGTAGCCTGGTTCGGTCGGACGACCTTGCGTCCCTCTCCGGCAATCGAGTCCCACAAGGTATCAAACACCTCCCTTGTTTGGTCCTCGTTGTCATCCCACACTAGAGCGAAGAGCGGGCTATCCCACCGTGTCATAGGATTCGGCTCCTCGTGTCGGAAAACAAGATTCTCCCAGTTACCTGGTTCGTACGGTTCAGGCTCGCCCTCAGCGGGGATGTGCCCAGCCTCTCTCCGGCTCAGCCTCTCCTCGTTGATCTCTTTGGCCTTGTCCTTGGCGCAGCCAATCTGCAGGATGCAGCTTGGGGTTCGTACTGCCTTGGCCTCGCAATGTAGCTGGTAACGCCATCCTTTAATATAGTTCAACCCGTCGAGGATGACGATGTCCTTGTCGCTCAGCACCCGCTTCACGGCACCGTATATGGCAGCTCGGGCATCCTTCTCCGAAGCATTGGCTGATCGCGCATGAGCCGGGACCTTGTCAGGCGAGAGGTCGTACACGCTTCGCGATATCGAGAGGCTGTCGTCTGAAATGAAGTGCAGACGATACTTGGTGTCAGCGATGCGCTTCGCAAGGTATTCGTGCAGCTGCTTCGAGCGAGTCGTCTTGCCTGATGTCGGCCATCCGGTCACGATGATCAGCTGCGAGAAATGTGAGTAACGATCATACCGGAACCATCAGGCTGGAAATGTTACCGGCATCGCAGCATTCAGATCGTGTAGAAAAGTGCTTTCTCCAAAGTTGGCAAGCGCGTGGAGGGGCCGAAGCTAGGTCATTTTGCCCCGCCAACCCGTATAAGATTGATTCAAGGCGCAAGGCGCACGTCACAAACCGACGTCAGCATTTCTGGCACGTAGAGCAAAACACTGTCGCAACTGTCTTCATTTTTTACTCATAACTCATGGCCAATAGTACGCGTCTGGGCCTTTTGCGTACGTGTATCAACTCCGAGAGAAGGGCCGCTCCAACACTCAAACAGTTGAGGCTATGGTGAGATGTGACACCGCCAAGACTGGCGCCTGGGACTTGACCGGTTTTGGACATTGATTCGAGCAAAACCACAAGGCTGTTGCAAGGCTTATTTGAACTCCCACGTTCTCGGAAGACGGCATCGCAGCGACTGCCGTGTATGACCAGGAACGTGAAGGAGTCAGGCTGTCAGCACTAACACTTGACAGATCCGCTGGTCAGGGCACGCACAAGTTCCGCTCTGATTCGTCGCTGTTCCCCAAGTCCGTGACGACAGCTGAGAAAATGAAGTGAGACCATTCCACAAGTAGCAAACGTTTCGAAGCGTACCTCAAGCTGGGTTTATCGGATATCAAGCGATAGGTACGTCTTAGCCCACCCAGCCATAGTGATAGGGCTGTCGCGTGGGCCATTGTCAGATTGTCCTCGCAGTTCTCGGAAAGCGGCACCTCGAAAGTCGGCAGTGCTCTTTGATGAGAGGCCTCGTTGCCAACGCGCCCTCCGAAATGTTCAACTCAGCAATGCAATAGTGCTTTGGCTGGCAACAAGGTAATCATGTTGTTTCCCTATAAGTATGTTTGGATGTCTGCCTCGTTCTTCAGCTCAGCTTTCAAGTTCCAAAACCAATTCGCCTGTTCACACTTCCACCAGACCGCTATCATCAAATCGCTTCCTTCCCCCTATCTACAAGTACCATGTCTCGTTCGCTTGACACGTATGATCACATTTCCATTGCAGAGATTGTCATCTACGCCTTCTTCCTGGTAGTTGGCGTCTACCTCTGCTTCAAACACGGCGTCCGGCGCACCACAGGATGGGTCTACCTCGTCATCTTCGCCATCGCCCGCATCTTGGGCTCGGCGCTCCGACTGGCCACTACTTCAAACCCTAGCGATGTCGGTCTCTACGTTGGCTGGCAGGTCCTCAATGGAGTCGCCCTTGGTCCCTTGATCCTGCTGCTCCTTGGCATGCTCGGGCGTTGTTACGACTCGATCAATCGGCAAGGGCATGTTGTTGTCAAGCCCTTGTATCAACGCATCATCAGGCTCATGATGCTTGTGGCAATCATCCTCACCATTGTCGGGGGCACGCAGTCGGATATGACAATGCAAGGAGGGCATGTGCATGTTGCGTACACAACACTGAGCAAGGCTGGCACAGCCCTGATGATCCCAGTCTTCGTCATGGTCATCCTCGTTGCCATCATTGCCCTTTTCAACCAGGGATATATCTCCCAAGGCGAACATCGCATCCTGTTCGCCGTTTTCGCTTCGGTACCATTTGTGGCGGTCCGCCTCGCATACTCATGCGTTCTCGTTTTGGGCGGTCATCAAGGGTCAGCCTGGCTGTTTCTTGGCGCGAGTGTGATCATGGAGATGATGGCGGTTCTGATCTGCGAGGCCGTTGGCGTGACTCTCGCAAAGGTGCCCCCCGCGCCCAAGGAGGATCACCAGTTGCGAGAGGGGCACACGCGCGCATGAAGGCTCAATGAACGTTGAAAAAGAAAGGGTCAGGCACCCAGAAATACACCTGAGACCTGTCGTTCTGTTATTCTGTAGGCCCTCTTTGGTTGTTTTGGCCAGGCAGACTGTTGACAGTGCGTTTCGTTGAACAATGTAGCGGACTCGAAGGGCACTAGACTACCTTTTTTTTTTTATCATTGCCGACCAAGTCAATTCGCTGCTGATAACTGCGTGAAATCTTATCTCGATCTAAAACAATTGTATACGTATCCAAATGCAAATGGTATAATTATGCCAAAACCACACGCAAGCCTCTGGGAGCTGCTTACATGACAACGCAACAATGCTTCTCAAGCTTCTTGAGCAAGCGAGGCAAGTGCTTCTTGACCATCTCCTCCACTTCATCCTGCTGCTGGCCCTGCTGCTGCTGCCCACCGTGATGTGCTCCGGGGTAGCCTGATTGACCGCCCTGGCCACCGTGGTAGACTGGTACTTCCTGCGGTCCTTGCGGCTCGCCTCCTTGCAAGTTGATAAAGATCCTTCCCGCGTTCTCCTCTGTCCGGTAGTTCAGGCCCATCTCCCGGCAGAGTTCCTCGACCTTGGGTTTCAGCTTCTGCACGTGGCCGTCAGAGTGATTTCCTTTCCCAACGATAGCGTGAAGATGGTGTTGCCCCGCAGCTTGGTCAGCGCGAATGCGCTGCTCGAGAATCCGCTCGGCCTCTTCGACAAATTGGCCGTGGAGGTCAATGACATCAGCCTCGTTACGGCCGGCAGCGTTGTTCTCGCGGAAGATAAATTCAGACGCCTGGCGGTTATAGTCGTCCATTTTCGCATCATGGCGTTTGCCTTGGTTGGATAGCTCTTTGGCAGCGGCACCATCTCCGTCCTCGTAGGCTTGCCTGGACTATGGACTGTGTCAAATTTGGATACAGCTGCGGCAAATGGCGGGACGAACACGTCGAAAACAGTCGTTGCGCTTATCAGCCTCAGCGCGCGCTAGATCGCGCAGACGGTCGTATTCTCGCTCGATGTCGTCTTCGTTGCCGTGGCCACCACCAGCGTCTCGGTTCAGGGCTGTTATCATATTAGTCAATTCTGCCCTGCTGGGTAGCCAAGGGGTTTGGCAAGGCAACGGGGTTTACCTCGACCGCCCAGCCGCGACATCTCGTAAGCCATTGCGATTGCTGCGTATGTCCAATGGACTATTTATCAGCCCTGCGCGTTGTTGCTAATGTCGGCCAGCCTTCGAACGAGGACTGCGCACGTCGTTTCCTTGCTGTGCAGCTGTGGGAGAAAAGGTATGAGGTTGGGTCTGAATGCAAGGTCACGGCGAATGGCGGGACTCCAGCCGATCAGCGAGATCCAGACACATCCCCACAGCATCACGGTGGACCCTTACTGAGCCTTGCAGCGAGAGTCCAAAAGAGCGGACATGATGATGTGGCAGCCAGACTTGTACAAGTATCAATATTAATATTCACGAGCTCATTCAGCTCGTCCTTTCGGTCCAACATGCCTACATGGTACAGCATGCCGTGGATGAGGTCTTCACATACTTCTTTATACTATAACCTTGAAGACACGTCTCGCTGAGAAGCCCATTCTCGGGGTCACGAGAAACCTCGCAATGACTTTTGTCTGTAATTAACGGCTTGTGGCTTTTATTGGCCCAATAGTAAGGTTTTTTGTCCCTGAATCTCGCTTTTAGAGGACATGAGTATCGACACGACTCATCCAACTGCCCCTCAGATTTGAGTCTTGTTGGTGGACTGCTGCTCGCTGATTTCGCCAGGGCTTCTGCCGGAAAATTACGCGGCTCCCCGTATTTATCACGACGGCAAGTCAGTCATAGGGATCGACATGCTCGCCAGAAGCTAGAACAAGGTACTGGGTTGCAACTTGCAAGTCTTCTTTTGCAGAGTAGATACGTACGGCTATACGTAGATTCCGGGGAAGTGATGAACGCTGCTGTGCGTTGGAAACAACTCTGCGGCAAGTTTCAGCCCTGGGTAACTTCTTTGTATCCGTATACGTACTAAACCTAGCAATGCCGGGCTCTTGGTAGTCTTTGATGCTATCCGGAATAGCCACGTGGCTGTACGACGCCTTCAACCCACAGAAGATTGATAGGCTTTGCGATATTCATACTGTACGTACCAAGCCCGCTCTCAATCTCCATCGAATTTCTTGCAGATCTATTAGGCTGTTGTCGGATGTTGTTAGCGTGGCAATCCTGGTCAGGAGAGATAGTTGCGGGGACGCTTTTCCAACTATCAATGACTCGCATTTGGGGCGCCAGGAAATTTCACAAGGAGTAATTATAATTAATTAAGCCATGGCCCAACGGATGAACATGAGCCTCCTGTACGTAGCGGTCCTAGCGGAGCACTCTGGCAGATGCGCCTCTCACCGCGCCGCGATGGGGTCTTCCAAGCGACTATTGAAGCACCAGGCGAGTCACGACCTCATTTCTAGGAAATTCTCGCCTCAAATACGCGCAACCCCTGGGCGAGTGTCGATCTGAAGGAGCGGCTTCGCGCATGTCACTGGGAAAGGCAACAGGTCCCAGTTAAGCATCCATGCTTGGACTGAAACGGCAGGTTGCCGCTGATATGGCGCAGGCAACCGGCTGACCTTCAGAGCTGGTAATATCAACGACTGTGTGGATGAATGAACTCCAGTCTGCCCATGCGGCTCTTTCGATGAGTGCTTGAATCGTAAGTTGCTCGCAAATTTCGACCAGCCAGGAGCGAGGACCTTTTTTGAGATTGGTAGCCTTGTAACTATATCCAGACACTCATTGCCTCTGCAAGTCTGTGTCTACTGTATCTTACCGTAGATCGATGAGGATATAATGAGGGTACTTGGCCAAGTCTCCCCCTATTTCTGCTCTCCAATGCGCACTCTGTTATTTCCATACGGAGTTCCCGGCTTGATCATTCAGCTTTAGTGGCCGTTCAAGTCGTGAACCCAAGCTGCAAGCGTTTGCGAAGCTATAAACGCGTTGAGAAGCCATAGTTGTAATGCATCAGTCCGTGGCGGAGATGCTTAATTAGACTGAGCTGGAAACGAGCGCGCCTCCTAAATACTGGGGCTCAAATCGCGTCAGTCAGCTTCAATTGGCCGCAAGTGTGGGCTAGCGGCTCGGGTCAACCACAGGAGTCAAGGTTCCTGGTCCCACTGCCAGGGGCTCGCACAACGGGCCTCTGAGCGCTGTGTCTGACTCTGCGATCAGGGGCAGGGCGGAACTGAGGACTTCATGTGGATCTGCGATACTACAGGCACTGTACGACGGCGAGGCTCATGTCTTTGCACTTGATGCTTTTCGCGAGAGGCTCACAACGACTGACGTATTAAAGAGTTTCGTGGTAGCATTGCCGTAACTACAGCCTGGATCATGGTCAATGCTGCTTCATGGTGTTGCGTAAGTAATTACTGAGGTGATATGATCCAAAACACGTATGCGACGCCGCGATATAGAAAATGACTGGGCACAAATCATAACGATCCGATCTGCGTTAAAGAAATGGTGATGCCGATGCACTGTGCATCCACACAGAAACAGCGAGTCACGCCTGCATTGGGGCAAGGGCATACAGTGCGCCGGAGCTGGGGAAGGAACGTCGCATGATACTGCCAGGACTGGAAACCTTGGCCAGAAAACCCGCTGTGAGATGAACAACGGCCGCTGGAGAATAGGGCAGTCATTAGAATCCAGTACGAAATGCCCGTCTGAAGGCCCTGATCCGTCGGTCTTGACATGGGTAGCGCCGTGAGCGGGAGCGTTCAGTGGATCGAAGTGTGTGTGGAGCCTAGCGCACTGTCGCCTGCTTGTCCCAGGCGAACCTAGCCAATCCAATCTCCAATCCCAAGCTGTCGCGCAATCCATTCATTTCCCTCCAGTCCTTGGTCCGACCTTCTTTGTCGAATCTCCTCCCCTTCCTCCTTGTCTATCCTCTTGCTCCCGTTCTCGATCCTCGTCCTACTCCCAACCAACCAACCAACCTAGTGACCGACCGACCGAACGGAAAGCCTCCCTTCCTCACCATCACCAATCTCTCCAGTCGGGCGTGGATGCCAACGCTCGTCCTGTCATCGTCAATAGCATTGGTGAGTTCCGTCGCAATGGCTTCTTCCCCTGAGCGATTGCCATGTCACAATGTTGGCAACCCATGCTTCCCTCTGCCGCAAATCGATCCACGCGCCACTCGCAGTCATAGGGATCCTTCACAAAGGCCTATTTGTAGCCATGGATTGCTTTCCCTGTATACTGAAGAGTACTGCGGGCGTGTTTCACAGCATTTGGCGTTCGAGCTCTTTCTTCCGTGCTCGCGCCGGCAATCATAGACTTCTAATGCCAGACGGCTAACACATTCTCCTTGCTAGGTTCGCTGACATCACGATACCACTGTCTGCCAGTTCGACGCGATTTCAAGTTATTTTCCTAGCGCGGACCTGAAAAGGCCAACTGATCGACAATATGGGTTGTGGCATGAGCACTGAGGAGAAGGAGGGCAAGGCCCGCAACGAGGAGATTGAGAACCAGCTGAAGCGCGACAAGATGATGCAGCGCAACGAGATCAAGATGCTGCTTCTGGGTAAGTCTCACACATCATGGGCGCGTGTTCAATTACTAAGTGCGGTTAGGTGCCGGTGAATCCGGAAAGTCGACGATCCTCAAGCAGATGAAGCTCATTCACGAGGGAGGCTACTCTAGGGACGAGCGCGAATCGTTTAAAGAGATCATTTTCAGCAACACCGTGCAATCGATGCGCGTCATCCTTGAGGCCATGGAGTCCCTCGAGCTGCCGCTGGAGGATCAGCGCATGGAGTACCACGTCCAAACCATTTTCATGCAGCCTGCGCAGATTGAAGGAGACGTCCTGCCTCCTGAGGTTGGCAGCGCCATTGAGGCTCTATGGAAGGATCGTGGTGTGCAAGAGTGCTTCAAGCGCTCGCGCGAATATCAGCTCAACGATTCGGCGCGATAGTAGGTTTCACAAGTGTCTAGGATGGGTTCAATTGTCGGCTAACATGATCAGCTACTTCGACAACATCGCCCGCATCGCGGCTCCGGACTACATGCCCAACGACCAGGATGTCCTCCGATCGCGAGTGAAGACAACTGGTATCACTGAGACAACCTTCATCATCGGCGACCTGACCTACCGCATGTTCGACGTCGGTGGCCAGCGATCTGAGCGCAAGAAGTGGATCCACTGCTTCGAGAATGTCACAACCATTCTCTTCCTGGTCGCTATCTCCGAGTACGACCAGCTTCTCTTCGAGGACGAGACCGTCAATCGTATGCAGGAGGCTTTGACTCTATTCGATTCCATCTGTAACTCTCGGTGGTTCATCAAGACCTCCATCATTCTGTTCCTGAACAAGATCGACAGGTTCAAGGAGAAGCTGCCCGTCAGTCCTATGAAGAACTACTTCCCCGACTACGAGGGCGGTGACGACTACGCAGCGGCTTGCGACTACATCCTCAACCGCTTCGTTAGCTTGAATCAGCATGAGACCAAGCAAATCTACACGCACTTCACATGTGCAACTGACACCACCCAGATCCGGTTCGTCATGGCTGCGGTAAACGGTATGTCCCATCGACGTAAATTCACCATGGCAAGACGCTAACTATGGCAGATATCATCATTCAGGAGAACCTTCGCCTCTGTGGTCTTATCTAAACGATTTCCTCTGAGACATTTATAATAATCACGAACAACAAATGGGCCACAGGAGTCACGGCTCATGACATTTCCTTGTACTCCTTTGGCATACACCAAGGACGAGTTCCCTGGATGCTTCTACGATACCCGCTTGTAACCCGACTTTCAATGTACGAGGCTTCGGGGGCGTTCTTGGCTGCGCCAGTCACCTCTGCAACCCTCGAATGTGTCGGGTGGGCTGTCCTGTCACAACCTCGCGGGAACTGCTCTGTATCACAACAAGAACGATGTTTACCTTTTTTTCGGCGATTGGAGAACAAGCAGGGTGCAAATGAATGGTGGGAGCAGGCGGCTGGCTACTTGGAAGGGGTTGACGCGAGGCGCCGAAAAGGCTTTTTGCAGGAAACATGGCAACTCGCAGTCGCGCAGTCGAGCACACGCGTCCACCCATGAATGGGGGATGGTCGGATGTTATCTACTTTGTTTAATCACGAGTCTACATTGCGCGCGTTCAGGTGTCTACGTTAGGATTTGCAGTACGTATCGGCGTTGCTTCATTGTTTTCCTATCCTCTTGTTTCACGTCTATCGATAGAATCTCAGGACCAAAACCACCTTGGGGAGTATCGCAGCGTTGCCCCTAGGCTTTCTTGAGTAGGTAGAAAACACGATTACCCGTTCATTCATCTGAACTGTCTTGTGAACTGTCTTCAAGCAGGCGTTCTGTCATGGACGGGCTTTCCTAGTAGCCACGTCCGGTCCTGCGATATGCCTTGTGTCCACAAGCCTTGCATATGGCCTTGCGCGGGTGGATGTACTCCAAAGACTGGGCACTTGCAGCTGCTTCTGCTGGCGGGTAAGGCTTCCGACAACTATGGATTTGTTCCCAGTACTGATGGCCGGTGTACCGCTGGCTCATTGGCACGGGGTCGCCGTACCAGAAGCTGTCCGCTGTCTGTCAGGAGAACTTGTCAGCGTTCATGTTCGCCTAGGGGCACGGCAACAACTCACAGCTTTTGTGGTCTGCTGTGCAGTTGCCAGAGAATTCGTGGCGAGGAAGTTTGGTAAGTTCTCTGCAGGCTTCGCCAAGTACTTGGGTTTTTGGAAGTACTTCCTGGCCTTTTCCACTCGCTGTATGCTCTTCACTGCTGCTCTGGCTTGGCGAGCGTAGTCAGAGCCCCATGATGGACAACCCATGAACGGGTCCGATTTCTGTAGGGCATTCGGGGAGGGCTTCGTACACGCGGCTACAGTCCTGTTTTTCCATATACCTCTTCTCCCGAATTGCTTTGGCCAGGCTTGGGGCGTATAAGATCGGCGTGCCGTAGGATTTGCACTTGGTTGTACGGCACTGCCACCTGGATTTGAGCTTGAGAATCCGGGGCCTAAGTTTGTGCTTGTAGTTATAGATGCTGAATTTGGCTGCATAGTCCCGGAAGTTGAAGCTGCTTCTGGGTTCGTGGGATTCAGTGCTGGCCTCAAGGCCCCGGAACCTGCATTTTGTTCTGGGGTTGGGAGAGGCAAACTCCGGCAGTCAGTAATATATTATTGCCGTTTTGAGATATGTGCTGATTTCAAAAGCTGTATATGATGATTGACGGATGTGAAAGGGGCAGGAGAAGGGGCAATGTCTCTAACAGTTGCATGGTAACATGATGGTGCGCGTGGCCGGAGATTCATGCATTGGACGTGTTGACGGTGCAAAAATAACAAGAGAAGATTGTCTGACTCACGGATAATGAGGGACTGCTCTGGAATGAGTATTGGATGGTGCTGATTGAGGGCCAGTAGCCAGGCCGTTGGTGTTGGAGCTTGACATCTCCAAGCACTCCTGGATTCAGTCTTTCCGACAGCGGCCAAATGATATGAGAATGAATGGATGGATGAACGAATGGACGAAATAACGAATGAATAGATGGGTGAGTGAGTGAGTGTTGAGCTGAACGCGTCTGCTCGAGTTACAACTCGCTTCGTGACTGGGGGTGCTTTTTAAAGGACAACAATGCGCCCCGTGGTTGCTCTTATATCCAAGGTTTCAATGTCGAAATATGGCAGGGCTGATTTAATTTCGCACGGCTCGAGGCTTAAATCGTATCGCAAAGGTAACAGTTTGAGAACTTGCCGTTGCGCTTATGACACCCGGTCGAAACTATGTACTGGTGCCACCCGAAGCCTCAGCATGTTCCCACATCCCATCGCCTTTCCCCTCTGTCAGCACCCTCCACTGGGCCAGGAAGTCTCGAAGACCACTTCCCCCGGCAGCACTGGCATCAACGACCTCCTTGGGCAATTTGTGAGCCGAGTATTGAGGCGCACTGAAGTTGTAGGCGGCCGGATCGTTCTTCTCAATGAGCCTAAACTCTAGCTGGCCAAAACTCTGTCCCTGGCCAGCTGCGCCATCCTCATCAGTCTCGTCGGAAGTAGTGATATCTTCCTCGCTGGGGCTTCCTGATACCTCCTCTTGGCTGAGTGAACCGTAGATTGGCTTCTTCACCTCGAGATCCAAAAGTTCTCTCCATGAGAACAGAAGACTGTCAGTGGATGGAGCCCAGGGGTTGATGTCAATCAGCCTGACTTTGCCGAGCCCGTCTTCGGCATCATCATTCTCGGGAACATAGACATCGAAAACGAAGCACGAGTCCGGGAAAGTGAAGCGCAAGACACTGTCGAAGAAGTGCTTGATCTTCCTTGACAGGTTGGGTTTCAGATCCGCCAAGAAGTCGTAATGGTTGAGGTCCCTCTGGGTGATACCAATCAGCGCTCTGTGCTTGACGAAACACCTGAACTCGAGAGCGTTATGGGGGTTGAAAAAAGGCCTCAAGACTAAGACCGGCGCAAAAGGTTGTTTCGCGGGGGAGTCATCGCAATCGTCAAAAGCATGGTTCAGATCGTGTGAAACAAAAGAGGAGGATTTGAGTAGCAGGTATATGTCGCTGGGTGTAGTGCACCGAAGTGTATTCTGGTGTGGGTTGACCCATTTCGCGTCCTTTGGTGACGACCAGTTGAGTTTTGGAACCACGGCTCCTCCGAGTTCAGCGATTGTATCTTTGATCAGCTGGTGAGTTTCGGGGAACCTCTCATTCGGCGGCCTGGAATCGATCTCTGCCTCATCTTCCTCATCTGAGGAATAGACCTCTTCCACCCTGGAACCTTTCGCGCCCTCAGAGTGCCATTCCTCTTCTGGATGCTGCTCAGCCTCATCGTCAGCGAGGATTATGCCGTCTTCTTGGAGATATGACACCACGGCCGGTGGCAGAGAGATGATCCTCGACCTCAGACAAGAGCTCTTGTACCCGGGAAACCACGAGTCATATGAGCAGTTCAATATGTGGTCTCTTGAGATGAGGGGAAAATTGAGTTGCTCAGCGTCTTTGGTGCCAGTATTGGCGGCGTCAACCGCAGTAGATAGATGGGGCATCATGAGCCAACACAGCTGTTCAACCGGGGTTTTCTGTTTGCTCGACAATAAGTATAGGCAGAGATAAAAGATGAGATATTGGAGGAACGCTTGAACAGATTGATCAGAGGTTGGTGTCTCTCTAATTATAGTTGACTCATTGAGTGACTACCTACAACGGGGACATGGACCCTGGCCCCACCATGATGTATCTTTAGTTTTGCCGCCAAATGCTTGCATAGTGGGCCTCACCGCCTTCTATTCCAGGCCACCGGGCTGCATATCTCCCCGTCCGCGGCCAACCTACTGGTACCAACCAATGTTAGACGACACTGACACTGCACCTGTCCCAGCTGTGCTTATTATCATCCAACTGAATCATGTCTGACAACGTCGGCTTGTCCACGCCCCGAGGCAGCGGAACGTCCGGCTACATTCAACGCAATCGCGCCTACATCAAACCTCGAGACCAAGCTGCGCCGTACCCGCCCAAGGATCTCGACAGCCTGCGACATCGCCAACGGCAACCTGACAAGGGTATCCTCGAGCATGACCGGAAACGAGAGATTGAGGTCAAGGTCTTCGACCTCCGTGATCAGCTAGAAGACGAAGAGTAGGTCACGCGCGCGCGCGCAGCGGCTCCTCTATGCTGACCTTGCCTAGAGTGGACGAGGAGGAAATAGAGAAGAGGTGCGACGAGCTGCGCGAAAAGCTCACGTCAGAAATGCACAAGGGCAAGAACAGCGGGCCGAGGCGAAACTTTAAGGAGCATCAAGTACACGAGATGGCGGACGCCAAAATCAAGGAGAGCGAACGCCTCAGGAAGGCTCTCAAAATCAGCTCCAACTACGAGGAAGGGAGCCACTGGAAACGGCAAGAGGAGCGGCTCAAGTCGGCCTTGAACGAGGAGGAGGATGCGCCCAAGGACTGAGGTGTTGCCACACGAATCGAAGCATCGACTAAACAGGGGCGCCGCTCAGAACATAACCACTAAGCTTCGCCTTGTTGGCGTGAGTTCCTGGACTCCAGTCGTGCTTGTCCAGCCGCCGCAATGGCGCTGCTCGCACCATTCTCGCGGCTCTGGCGGCAGAGAAACGGCACGCTTCACGGATCGATCCGACAAGCATCATTAGCTGCATAGCTAATCTCGCTGGATGGGACGGGCATTCCGGTTCGTCATACAGGCGACGTAACTGCTCGGGGACCCAGGCTCGTAACTGCATACCCTAGAGTGCCTAATTGAGCAACTCTTGATTGCATTGCGCTGCCTGCAAGATAAATGATAGAGCCTTGTATAGGTTGGCTCCATGGCCCTTCATTCAGAAAACAGCTTTTCACTTCTCATGAACTTGCAGGGTGTGTAACGCTCATGGTTATCGTCACGACAGTCAATTGCGTGTTTCGCTGGTAAGAGTATTTACGCGTGGAATGATGTCGGTATTGCTAGGAAGCGCAGAAATGGCTTCTACTTTCTTTTAAATCTGAACCTGTACCTGAGATAAATATGCCCAAGAGCTTGGTTCAGCTGTTATGACTGATTAACTTAGTTGAGTAGGATGGCATGAATGGCTGTTCCTGGCATTGCGCCTGGTACCGTCATCCTGGAATTTTGGTGGGGTGAAGCCAACTACAAGCTGGCCACATCCAACGTCGCCAACCTGACCAGAATAGTCATCTAAACAAGTTTTTGTTAGCATACCGATGCACTGCACGGCTCCGAAATCATGGCGCGCTTGTCAAATCCAGGTCGAGCAGCTATTCCACAAACGAGTGATCTTGATCGATCATCAGCAGAGCTAGGACAGCTCCTCTTGCGCCTCCAGCGTACTGTTCTCCATGCCGATCCCGCACGCGAACAAAGATTACGGACGTCAGAATATGAGCGCGCCAAATTAGAGACGGTATGACGCTGCCAGATGGAACAAAGAAGGCTGTCTAATGTTATAGAACTTGGACTACGCCAGGACCTCGCTGTCAAGGCTCGAGCAGGAGGCGATGACCCTGCTAGCGCCTGGGAGGAAAGGCGACGTGCAGGCGGACCTGTACAAGAAGAGAGAGCTACTTGAACTGCTAGTGGACCGGCTACACGATTTCCAAAAGGTAGAGCAGCGACGGATGCTACCAGCGGAGCTTTGCTGACGCGACAGATGGCGGTCGAGGACGACGAAGACGCGTCGGAAGGGGAGGATCTGCTGGCGTCTGTAGGATATACACCGAGCGAGAGCATCTCCTCGACGAGCGCGGCTACACCCAGCGATGCGGATCAAGAAGCGAAACAGGTACAAACACCAACGCCGAAGACATCACAACCCCCCGCGCCAGCAACAGAACCTGGTTACGCAAGCTCTGAATCGACTCCGTTTACCCCAGACGAGCCCACGAAAACCACGCAGAACCCGCGGTCTCGAAACCAAGAAACCCAGCAGCCATCATATGCCTCAGCGCGGGCCGCTTTGTTTGCCAACAGGAAACGAACCGATCCAGCGCACGCCGCTGCCACCACAGGCGTGTCCACTGCCACTGCAGAAGCCATCCTCGACCAGCAGGCCGGCGAGCGCGAAGATCTTTCCGACAAAGTGTTCAAGATGGCACAGGCCATGAAGGAGAAACAGTTGAGCATTGCGTCCAGTCTAGACGCCGAGAAGGACATTATGGGCCGTGCGACAGAGGGCATGGAACGAACGGGGCGTGGCATGGAGGCCGCAAAGGGAACCATGGGCTCGTTGATGAGGATGAGTGAAGGGAAAGGCTGGTGGGGGCGCATCATGCTGTATGCTTGGATTTACGGGCTGATGGTCGCTTTGGTGTTACTGGTCTTCGTCATGCCCAAGCTCAGGTTTTGAGGGCATGGATGGTATCATGGCGTATGCCTCACGCGGCATCCGTCGGCGACATTCAATGTGGGATTCGAGGAGAAGTTGAATTTCGTGCTACGATGATGTGGGATCTGAAGTTGTGGTATCCGTTTGGCTCTTCTCTCACCACGCGTGTGCGAAGCCGAACAGTACGCGCTCTGCCTCGATCAGGGCCAGTTCTGCGTCGTGGGTCCTATTCCTGGCTTGGGCCACCGCCATGTCGATACGAGCCAACAGGTTCTTGTCATCTTTGATGAAGCTTCTCTGGCCGACGGCGACCTCTTCCATGGTCGTATCGAGCTCCATCTGGCCCAGGAGCTCGTCAGCGCTGCAATCAACCGTCATAGGGGTCAGCCCTCCAGCGTCGCCGATGCTCGAATCTCCCACTGAGCTCTGGCTGGAAGACAGCGAATGTGCATCCGTATCCTTCGTCAGCTTCTCTTCCACCATGTTCCGATTATCTGTCTCGGAGTCGATCCCGGTCATTTCTGTGTCGTCGTTTCCGTCCTTCTCGGCATAGCGTGAAGAGTGAATGCTCTGCATCGCTTCATCTTTGCAGTCACTGTCGTCGTCGGCATCGTCAAGGTTATTCTGGTGTTGTCGCAAGACCTCAGCGGCATCTCCGGCAATGGTACATTCATCTGCTGTCGCGGAACCCCCGTTCTCCGGAACGGGAGTTGGCCATGGGAGACCTCGACGCTGGGCGTTCAACCTCCAGCACTCTTCAGCATCGTCGCCACTGATCCTCGTGCCGACTGGCTTCCCTCCCATCTGGTCACTTCTAGTCAGCTTTGGCAGGCGCAAAGAATGGGCACCACTCACCGGCGGCGTGTAAATAAATTTCCCGGGGCGGCTTTCGTCATTGTAACAGAGGACACGGTCCTCCCACTCGATCCCGGTTTTCTTCTGGAAGAAGTCCATCATATACTTGAGCTGCGGCCAGAATTTCCCCGCGCACGGGGTGAAGTTCAGAAAGGACGGTCTGTTGTCCCCCTTGCGCCTGAGGTGTTTAACTGTGCATTGGTAGAGATGCGGAAGGGCGTTTGACTGCCAAAGCTATGTGGTATTATCAGCAACACAGAAAATCACTAGGAATCTTGGAAAGACGCACCGTAATCTCATAGCGTTCTTCGTCTCCAGTGTCAGTATCTTCGCGATGGATTGGAAACTGATAGTAAAACCCGACTCGGTCTCGGTAAACGTGGAAAAGATCTGGTGAGGTTAGCCCATGTTCTGTACTCTCGGATCGCAATACCTACTAGTGTTGATGTAGTTTGGCCTCTCAGCATTGCGATTGCCTTGTGCTATCCTCCTTTGCTCTCTTTGTTTAGCGGTGTCGTACGCCCAACGGTCCTTGAGTTGGTACTCTCCAACAGGCAGCTTCTTGTTCTGCGACGCGGAGAACTCGAACCAGTCGCAGTGAAGTATGAAGATCTTTGTCTCGTTCTTGCCTCGATCGAGGGCTTTCTTGACTAGAATAGGTGAGCATTGGTCGATGAAAGAGCCTAAGTGTAGCATACTGACCTGGGGTGTCTTTGACACAACGTTGCTCCTCGAATTGCTCTCGCGTGCACAGAAGATGGGTAACTGTGTCGTCAAACGTACGAAGAAATGTGCCTTTCCGGATCGTGGTCCAACGCTTGACGTTTTCAGGAGTGAGTTGCCCTGGTAAACTGCCAGCACAGGCAAGGACACAACCTTTGAAGATCTGAGGAGGCATGCTTCTGGAGAGACCGAGGTCCGAACGAGGTGTACCTATGAGAATACAGAGTCTACCTATGTCTTTGGTGATGATTGGAAGGAAGAAAGAGGAATGCGAGTATGCACAGTACACACAGGGATAGAGGCGGATGGCTTCAGGCCACAAGCACGAGGTAGAAGGAGCCTCAGCAGGAGGTTGCAATTAGGTGTGCAGTGTAAAGGGGTTCCCGGAGATTCATCTCATGTATCAAAATTGAGGCTTTCTATGTGTTGGAGTGTAAGTGTGTAAAGCGAATGACAGTCGAGCTCATCTCATTCAGGTGCCCAGGATCCAGGACATGGGCAGACCGATGGAAGACATCGCGATGAACCAACAAAGCTTGAGCAACCTTCTGATCACGGTGGAGCGTTCTATCCAATGTGCGTATTGCGAAGCCTGAATCTATGTCCGATTATCGAATCTGCTTGGCTGCGTTGACAAATGCCGCGATCCTCTTTAAGCTTTGTTTCCCGTCTTCCTCAACGCCGCTGCTGACGTCCACACCAATGACACGCTTACCCAATTCACCAAGCGAGTTGACTGCCTCTGCAACGTTCTCAGGGTTGAGACCACCGGCCAGGAAGATTCTGAGCTCAGGATCCTTGCGAAGGATCTCTTCCACCTTGGACACATTCAGCAACTTGCCGGAGCCGGCACCTGAATCCAACAGAGGCACGGTGTGATATCCTCGCGAGCCGATACCAACATGGCCGGGTTTGAAGCACCGGATCACGGGCACGGGAATCATGTTGGCCCATTCAAGGGGCTCATCACCGTGTAGCTGCACCACATCCAGATTGTAAAGCTTTTGCTTCTCTAGGACTTCGTGGAGCGGCTGGTTCTGAAAAATACCGGCCAAACGAGGGCGCTCGCTCGCTAAACGCGTCGCAGCGGTAGAGAAAAAGTCAGTGGCCTTTTCATTTGTGATGGGTACGTCTGCCTTGGATGGCAGAGGCCCGCCGTATGAGTGGACCGCTTTCGATATCTCGAGAGCCGTCTCGTGCGTGATGCACCTCTTGACCCCTGGCACGAGGCAGATTCCGACAAAGTCGGCGCCGGACTTGACAGCCTCGGTGGCAGCTTCAGCACTGCGTGTGCCACAAATCTTGACGTAGAGTGCGGAAGGCTTGTCATTTTGGGCTGGTGCGTCCACGCCCGAGCAGAGTTGACTGATGAACTGCGTGGCATCGGGAGCTCGCATGATAGCCTCTCCAACCAGGACAGCATTGACGCCATCCTTCTTGTTCTCGAGAACATCCTTATAGGTGTTGATGCCGCTGAGGGCGCAGATGATGGTGTTCTCGGGTACCATGCTGCGCAGACGGCTAGTCGTCTTCAGGTCGACCTCGAAGCTCTCAAGATTGCGGTTGTTGACACCGATGGCCTTGGCGCCGAGTTGGACGGCAATCGTCATCTCATCCGCATTCTGCACTTCGACGAGGGGCTCCATCCCGAGTGATAGAGAGTACTTGTACAGTTTCTCCAGCAACGGCGTGTCCAACATCTTGACGATTAGGAGGACAGTATCGGCGCCAGCCAACCTAGCCTCGAGGATCTGGTACTCATCGAAGATAAACTCCTTCCTTAGGATAGCAGGGCGGTTGGGCATGCCGTTGAGTACTTGGCGGACGGCACGCAAATCTTCAATACTTCCCTTGAACCACTCAGGCTCGGTCAGCACCGAGATGACACTGGCTCCGGCAAGCGCATACTTTCGCGCTTGCACAGGCGCATTGATGTCCATGGCAAAGATGCCCTTGGAAGGCGAGCCACGCTTGATTTCGGCCATAAGCGCTACTTCGAAGGGGGTATTGCGCAGCCTTTCCAAGAAAGGTACCAGAGGCGGAGCAGCGTTTAGATCATAAGCAGCTTGCAGGTCAGCCATGCGTTGTGATGGAATCTGCTTCTGCGCCTCCACGGCAGCCTTTCGGTTTGCGTAAATTTGGCGTAGAATGTTGTTGCTCTTGCTTTCGCCCGTTCCTGGCGCTGCGGCGGACTTTTGCTTCTCGGCATTGTCTGCCCAGGTTCCACCTTGGAAGCGCAAGAAGTTCTTGATCATGGTGCGACCTTCAGCAGTAAGAATACTCTCCGGGTGAAATTGAACACCTTCAACGGAATACTCCTTGTGACGAACACCTTGGATAACGCCAGGTGATCCATCTGGTTTCGAAACCCAAGCCGTAGTTTCCAAGCAATCTGGCAGTGAGACTGGCGTCCCAGCCAAAGAATGATATCGGGTCACAGGGATGTCCTTCTTCAAACCAGAGAAGACGCCCTTGCCATCATGAGTCAACGGGGACGTTTTGCCGTGGAGCCACTCGCCCGCTGAGCTCACTTCGCCACCATAGACATCAATGATACATTGCCTTGTTTCGTGAGCAAGTGATCTAGGATACGGGGGGAAGCTGAACAGTTCACTTACAGACCCATGCAGACACCAAGAATAGGGATTTTGCCGGCAAAGTGCTTGATGGCATCGCGGCTGATCCCCGAGTCCGTCGTTGGGTGGCCAGGTCCAGGGCTGATGACCAGCTGTGTTGGGTTCTTCGCGATGAGTTCCTCCAACGTGATCTTGTCGTTGCGATACACATGGACAGTAGCCCCCTCCAGCACCAGGTATTGGTAGATGTTCCAAGTGAAGGAGTCGTAGTTGTCGATAAAGATGAGATTCGAGGCCGTCGCAACTGGAGGCGAAGGATCGACCTGATGCGGCGAGTGATCCACGAGGTCCAAGGACGACATCCTGAATGGCACTTTGTGACACAAAGGGCAAGCTGGATCTTGACGTTTGATGAGACGATCCCCTGCAAACGTCCAGCGCTTTGGGCAAATGACCTAAAAAAGAAGGATCAAGAATGTGCTGTGTCCCCAAGGCGCAGATCTGAAAGACAAGATCGATCGACAAGGTGATACCTGAAGGCTGCGGGAAGCGTAGAATTTTAGTATTGTCCTCAAAGACTCGCCTTTGCCTCAAGACCGCACGGCTTTGAAAGCTCCAGCTCCGATTCCGGTAAGCGTCTTTGTTTCCCTGCCTGCAGCAGGTACGTACCTCAGGCTGATCCACTTATCCGGCTGCACTTCGGGTTCCTGGAGCTCGTCGCAAAAAAAGTGCAGGCGCGGTCCAGCAACAGTGCATCATCTGGTAGGAGCTACCGGCGTTTGTTGATCGCGGTAAGAGGCGCGACACAGCAAAACGACGTACCAGAACACCACCGAACACCAACAATCCCCAGCATCTCAGCGATTTGTCGGACTCTTCAGCATCAACAATTTGAGGCATGAGTTGCTGATTCTTGCCGCGACATTGACCGAACTCGGCGATGGCACCTGGGTCGGATATCCACTACTTTCCAGCTCTGGAGGAATGTCTCTTTGGCTACTCTGTGCTCCTTTCCTGGCAACATGTCGCAACAGCGCTCCTCGATTCTACATTTCAACGGCAGAAGAGCCCGGCTGTGGTCGCGTTCCTGAAGGATAGCTACGTGCAAGGGCTCTTAAAGGATCCGGGCAATGTCTTCGACAAGCCTTCTACCGCGACTCAGAAATCGTTCGAAACGAAAACTGCACCGATCAACGTCACTACAGCCTCGAACGAACGCATAGATGTCAAGACGGTCAAGGAAGACGCAGAATGGCTCAGCAAAAACGCAGGTTTGAACCTGGTGGATTCTCTCCGTATCGTCGTGGTGGAGTTTCAAGCGCGCAGTGCGCAGCATCTCAAGACGCCTTTGTCCGCCCAAGATGCTGCGAACCTCCAGGACGCGGCTGGGCTGGTCAATGGCCAGGGGGGCACTTTCTTGGCGGAAATTGGCATCACCACGGCCGCCGACGCGGATGAAATATGGCATGACTTCGAACTACCCGACTCAAAGCGAAGACGCCTGTTCGAAACATACCTCTCTGAGCGTCGATACTTCACCGCCGTTGCTGATTACATGCATTCCATAACGCTGTATCGAAGGCTTCCGATACTCCTTCCGGTGGTAGACGACTCCGCGACACTCTATGAAGCGCCCGAATGCACCAAGAGCGACATGGGAGAACGTTTGTCTGCGTACACACAGTCTCTGGGTTCTCGTCTCGACTTGCTCTGCTCAGGCTTGCGTGGAATCACTGATACGAAGCAGCTCATGGCAGAGCAGACGGAAATCCGGTTTCTTGAGACACTATTGACAGAAGTTGTCCATACGGTGTCGGTTGTGATGCAGCTCGCAGATGCCCTGGGCCCTGACTGCCCTCCCCCAAACATTATCAGCTCTTGGTTCTCGATTATGAAGACTTACGAATTTCTCTCTGGCTTGGCTCCTTATGGCTACTTTACCGAGCTCAGTGACTTGGCAAAGGTCTCAGCTATCGCAGCCTCGGTAGCACTTCTCAAGCCCGTCCGAAGTATGGACTATGTGCAGGAAGAGTTGCTGGCTCCGTCTGGCGAGAGCGTTAACAAATCATTCGTCTTTGTTCCCGAAGTCTTGATGGAGGTGCATAGCACCATTATTGGTGCTTTTGAAGCGGATGTTTCCTCTGTGTCACCCCTGGCCTACGTGTGGCACTCCTTCTTGAGTATCATGAAGAACTCCCGCGAACTACGGATTGGACAACGATACGACAAGTCACATCCTGCTCGTATCGAAGGCAGGCCGATGACTAGACCAGGCGCAGCAGCGCGACGTAACTCAGCCAACAGCATTCTCTCCATAGAGTCTTCGAGATTTGACTCCTTCGAAGGGGATGTCGACGTGGCGGTTATTGACGATCTAGAAGCAAAGCTGGTGGGAGAGTCTTTGATTTTTGACCTCATCACAGCCATGAGCAATCTGGCTTCGTCGATTGGATCGGGGCCCATGACAGACTTGGCCAGCTCTCGCATCAGGGCTCAACTCGCTGAGGTACTGCAGGTGACCGAAGGGCTGCGTCCTCCATACCTGCCTGCGAGCGTCAGCGCAATGCTCGATCTACTGTGCACCGACCGCGGTTACTGGGACATTGACTCACGAGATCATCTCCCACTCAACGCCGACTTCACCGCTTCCATGCTTCGAAGTGAATGGTTTCAGGAGGCGTATCTGAAGCCTGCCCTCAGACGCTTCCCTACCGAATTCGTCCCCTTCGTCCATTTCTGCCGAGTACTTTGCACCTCTCTCAATGGACGAGATGAGGACGCTGACATTATACTTGACCTTCTCCGAGAAACCCCAACTTTCACCTTCGCTTTCGATGAGGAGCTCTTGAGGCGAGGCTTGCTCCAGCCCATCGGACACGCGGGTAACGGATTTCAGCTCTTGCAAGACCTTCCGTTTGCTGATCAGACACTGTCATGGCAAAGGCAACGGAGAGGCGCCTTCGAGTTCGTCGTACCGGCAGGCACAAATTGCGAGCTGGTCGATGATCTTGACATATGCCCGACGGAACGCAGCTGTGTCGCCTACTTTGGCTATTCCACACTCTCCTTCCTTGGTCAACGACTGGAAATGGATCTGTTGGGCCAACCCAATTTCCTTGGTGCCATGTCCCCCGACATGACGGCGGCAACCATATCGTTACTTGCTACAGTCTTCCGCATCTCCCATGTTCGGACAGCAGACGCAAGCGGACCGGGCGCGCTTGTGTCTGTTGATAACGATATCATTCAAGAAGCCAGCAGGTATCTCACTGGCGGCAAAGATGTCGTTGCGGTGGTGATGGACATTATGGATTCCCTATTACAAGATGATGCTGCTCTTGGTGATGATGCTGCGCTCGGCATTCTCAACGCCTCCATTCATTTGCTGCATTCGCTTTTGCCATTGCAGCCAAGCAGAGTATGGTCGTACATCGCAAGGTGTGATCTGCTAGGCTCAGATTCGAGGAATGGGAAGCTTGCCAAGATTATAGGAGATCTGGACCTGGTAGCTGGCAAATATGAGCTACTCAATTCATGTTTGCGCTTCTTCTCAGACCTTCTCGACACAGCTGCAACGTCCGCTGTGCAGCGAGGTATGGGCGACCATGCTTTGGGCAGGCAAAGGCCACAAAGCAATCCCTGGGCAGGGCTCTCTGATAAGCTGATATCTGTGGTGAGCTATTCCATAGCGCAGATCTCCATTGACGTTTTCGAAAACACGTCAACCTGGAGGCTTGAGAATGGCTCGAAACGAGTGGCCCTGCTCGGCCAGGTCACGCCGATTCTACAGAAGCTGGTGAACTACCGCTACGGCATGGGCAACCCCCTGAAGCCGAGCAATCTGACGTCTGCCTTTGATGAGGCGGGCTCGTACGTTGTCGACTGCTTCTTGCAGCCATCGACGGGGACTCTACGTTACCGACCGATCCTTACATCGTGCGTTGCGGCAAGCACCTCATCGCATGATACCTTTTACACCACGTCAAACCGCCAATTGCGAGATCAAGTGCACTCTATACTGGGCTTTTGCACAGTCCTGCTGCGGTCGGCAACATTGCTCGGCAGACCATCCTACGTTTTCCAGGATTATCTTTTCAAATGCTGCACCCTCATCTCGCGTTGCTGCGCAGCATCTACGAACTTTCTTGAGCCTAGCCTTCGGCTTCTTGAAGCTCTCATAGTCGTCGCTGGGTCAGACACTGGGGAGCCACCGTCGTTGCTAGGATACCTCGGACCTCCCATCTCCAAGTCATTCCTGCAAGTCTTGGCTACCATTGACAAACCCTTCGAGCTCACAACGAGCGTCAAGGCTACGTGGGATTTCTTTGTCGCCATTCTTCGCAATCGCCAGCAATGGATGTCGAATTGCTTACTGACGGGTCGTACTCCCAGAGAAGCAATGAAGACCGATCCGAAACATCGTGGGATTGCCAAAGATTCCATATTTGCTCTCGCGCTGAACAAACTGTCCCACCTCAAAGAGCTTGACCCCTTGCAAGCTGTGGTCATTCTGGATTTTGTCTCCTCAGCTCAGAATTACTGGCCATGGACTGTCTTCACTCTAAACAAAGACACAGACTTTGATTATCTCAAGGGCCTGCAGTCATACGTGAGTGAGCTTCAGTCGTCCAACATTCGAAGCAGGAACAGCGTTGCCATGGCCGCAATTGAAGCCCGCATTGCCTCCTTTATTGCAGAAATTTTCGCTATGCAATTGTACCACTCGCGACACTTGGCCGTGTCCGAGGCAGGCGCATTAGCTCAGCAGCTCATCAACAAGTCCATGGATTACTATCTACGAGACGGCGTCGAGGTGGCTGGCTACAACAGATCGCTTCACATCAACTTCGCCAAGAACTTCTCCAACAAGTACAGCGGCTGTTCATTGGAAGACTTTAGACGGACCAGCTTCCAGCCCTCTGAACTTGGGGCAGCCTTCTACTACGACATAGACCGCGCCAACAGCATGCTCGCGTTCGATCCTGGATGGCTGGGGCGGAAGCACAATGGGTTCAAGGCGGAGATGGAGCTCGCCAATTCGAATCTATCGTTGGTCGATGCTCAAATAGTGAGTGGAAGCCCATGCATAGCCAGCGCATACTGACATGATTACCCAGGAACTGTTTCATGCTTGGGAATCTCTCCTATTGGAATTAAGCATCTGCCTTCCAAAGAACGATGTTCTGGCGAAACAACTGCAGCAGGTGGCAGTGCAATGCTTGAAGGCGGACCGAGACGCTGAAGGGGCGCCCGCTGTCTTCGTACGAGTGATGGACGCGCGCGTCAACTTGGCGCTCGTCCTCGTGCAGCGTCTGGAGAAGATGCCACTGTCGGTGGATGACCATCGCGAGTTCCTCGCGGCTGTGACACTAGCTATCAATGCTTGTGACACGTCTTTTGCTCCGGAGACTGCCCTTTATTATCGGAAGCTGCTGCAGACGCTGTACGTCTCCATGCGCGCGTACCAAGTACGGCTGGACAATACAAGCGACAGTAAGGAGAAGTCGAACGCCAAGCACTCTATCGAGGTGACGCAGATGGTCCTTAATATACTGGACCGGGTTGTGGCTCAAGGCTTCCGCAATCTCGTGAGCCTGCTCCATGACGATACACAAAGCGTCACACAGGGCGACTTTGGACTCATCACGGCCTTGCTTCAAGCCTGTCTTGCGATGCCTGGAATGGAGCAGTCACAAACGCAGATTCTGAATATCATGGCGTCGCATAACTGCTTTTATGCGGCTTCGTCACTGTTTTCCTGGGCCGACAAGCTGACCGACCAGGGTGACCCGGTCTACGGCGAGCTCAGCATGCTGTTCTTGCTGGAGCTTTCAGCACTGCCCGGAGTGGCTGAACAGCTGGCTTGCGATGGCATCCTCAACATCTTGTTGACAGCCAACCTGACCAAGTTCATGATAAAAGGGAGACTGTCACCGTACGCCGAGACGCCCATGGCTCAACGTTGCTATGGCATTTGGGTCAAGGGCTTGTTGCCGCTGATGCTCAATCTTCTCACAGCTCTTGGCGGCACTGTCGCGCCCGAGGTGGCTTATCTTCTGAACCAGTTCCCAGAGCTGCTGGAGCTTAGCGTCACAAGGTTTGAAGCTCCGGGAGCCAGTCGCACACAACTACGATCGTCTGCGCAGCATCTGACACTGATGGGCACTTCAGAGGTGCACTCGCTGGCCCTGATCACTCGGATTCTGAATGCCTTGCGTATCAATCTAGGCCGCGAGATTCCCAAGGTGAACTGGAACGCGCCGTCGGTACTCGAGAGTACCGAGATGTGGCTGGCGTCGGAAAGGATGTTCAAAGATGGCCTGCTACCCCTAGGGCCGCGCGAGATCGAGTGGCGATCGATGAAGAGGACAAGCAAGGATGAGCGGGGTGACAATGTTCTGGAGCAGAAGGTTTACTCGCAACTGGAAGCAGTACGCGACGTGCTGAGCGAGAGCCTGGAGACCGAGTAAGCAGGTGCCAAAATTCAGACTACATGTGCATTTTGGCCGGCGTTGGATCAGACCTGTTGGGCGGTCGGGTAAATAAGATAGATGCAATTGCGGCGTACCATTGGCTGAAGACCTGAGTATCTTGGATTGAGTTGGCATTGTGAGCTTGATTCGTGAGAGCGCAAGCCAGGGGCAAAAGGCATGTGGAACGGCCCTTGCAATATAGGTCGGTTTGCGATTTTCTCTCAAACTCTTTCTATACATCGACAGTGGTAGTACAATAGTAACTGGCATGCTTTTCCGTGCCAAGTTGTCCTTTAGATCATCCAGCTCGACCATGGCATTCCATATTCAAAACCCAGTCATATTTATACATGCGCAGCCACCTCATCAAAGCAGACAGACTGTCGTGAACAATCTATCGGCTGGCCTGGTTGGCCTGTTGCTGGGCCAGGTTCTGGTTGTGCTCCTGGAAACGGTCGCTCACGCGCTGCTGGGTCGCCATCCACTTGAGGACGCAACGGTTGATGCAGCCGGTCTCGCGGGTGGACAGGGCCTTGGAGGTGAAGTCGTCGACGCAGGACACGAAGCAGTGGTCAACAAGACCGCCGAAAGCCTGCATTGGACGTTAGTACGGATTGCTCGTCGGGGGGGAGCAAGACGGGGAAAACGGACGGTCATGAACTCCTGGACTTGGCGCTTCTGCATGCGCTGCTCCAGCTGGCGCTGCTCGGCTTGTGATAACCTTTGAAAGAACTGTCAGTGATGGCGCAATGATTGGGAACAGGGCAAGTCGTACATATCCATGATGGCGGGTTGTGTGGTTTGTCTTGATGGAGTTGGAAGATGATGTCGTCAATGCTGATGGTGTAAATTTTGGCTGCAGCGGCTCGAGACGCGCTGGCGGGAGGTTGCGGCAGCGACAGCGATAAGCCCCCAGGTACTCTGGCGATAAGATAAGGCACCGGGCCAAGCAGCGACGATAAGCCCGGCGCGGGTTATCGTTGATGCTACGGAGCACTGGCAAATGACGTCGAATCAAAGCTGCCGTTTTCTTCGTGACATCTGGGTTTGCGATCTACTAACATGATGTGTATGCTTGGGATGTTGGACCGTGCCTTTTGCATGGGACATTGAGTTTCTATCCTTTCACGTATCAATCAGTGTTCCGTCGGCGCTTTGGGTAGCTGAGTAACATGGTGGCAGATCGTCTCACTGACTCAAGTGTGAAGGGGCCGTGTAGGTACTGATAATTATTAGTCCTAACTGCGGAGTACAGGCTACATGTAACTGCCGGCACCAACTGGAGTGTTGCAATTTCGTGGACAGTCCACTCTCTGTATCCGTATTGCTAGGGCAATTGTCCATCATTGCTGCGCATGCACAGACTTCAAGTTGTCGATGAATGCGAGGCCCTGGCCTTGACACGTCACACGCGCAATGCGTGCTAATAGTAGATTTTTGAAAGCTACCAGCAGAATGACCTCACCGTGCTTCCAAAACAAGATGCGTGCTGACTTGCGACTCGAAATGAGGCGCAGGCAGGCAAACAGGCGGCAAAGCCCAAGTGACTTTTGGCAGCCGGACGCCAAGCCACCTTAGCTGCCCTGCTCTGGCGCTAGGCAGTCGTCCCGTCCTTGTACGTGCAAGTACTCGATGGATACGTGCGCTGAGAGCTCTGGTAAAGAGGTACCTCTTATGAGAGGAGGGTCAGGTATTGACTGACGATGCAGATATCGTTGCGGGAAACTGCGTTAAGCAGGCGCATCGAGGGGAAATGAACATCACGCGCGCGCAGCGCTCTAGTTGGTCGATCAACCAGGTATCTTCCGTTGAGAGTTTGCAATGTGTCTTCTTGGCACGTATTGAACCAGGCGCAAACTTCACGCCAGTCAATTATAATACGGCCAGCTCAGCTCAGTAAGTTCTTGCTATCCTGGCAAATGGTATACGCAAAGGCAGAAACAGATGAGCTGTTAACATCAAGTTAGAGGATTAATCCCCCAATATCTGCCTCCCTGCCTGCCTATGTGTGTGATTGCGTCGCAGCCTGACTGGATTTTCCATCACACCTCGCCCGCTGCTACTTTCTCTGCCTTGTTTCAGAAATATACTTACCAGTATCCTTAGTCTGCCAGCGTCTACCAAGGACGCCAGCCAAGTGCGCCTGTCGACCAGCAGGGTGTCGAGGGTAGCGATCTGTAGCAGTATGATGGCAGAAGATCAGGTACTTGGACGAGTGAATGCTGTACGGTCTTACTTGTTATCTTCATCAAGCACTGAAAGACCAACAATGAGTAAAGCAAGTATACAGGTAAGGTAGTAATTATTAGTAGGTACGGAGTAGTAATAAAGTACTTATATTTAGCGTCCGCCAAGGCCTCCAGAAGGGAGTCTGGCCAGCCGCCAATCACCGATCGCGTCGTCTCACCCAGCGCAACCCTCCATGCTCATCAAACGCACCGCTGCTGCTCCAGTCCTCTTGCACCGAGCCTGGACTAGACTGGACCTCGACCTTTGACGACCTAATTACTCCGTACTTACTTGGTTACAGCCAGGATAATTTCCTTCCTCCTCGAGCCGCCGTTCACTGCGACCACCCTTCGATCGTTTGCTTTGGCTAGTACCAAAGCACTCATACACAAGTCGGAACCCGTCCGCTTCCTCGGAATTGCGCTGCGACCTTGTCTGCCATCATCGTCGGTCGCATCGCGCGAGTCGAGCAAGCGCAGTCATCCTGCTCCCCCCATTCGATCTGCGCCCGCCGCGCACGTCCCGACCCCTCTCGAATCTCCATTGGGCGCTGGGGTCGAGGGCAGTCCGAACCAAAGACAAGCTGTTCTCACCTTTGCAAGACTATTGTCTTTTCGAACGCGGGCTCTCGTCGTTGCGCACCCTCTCTTGACTTCCGACCGTGACCACCGTCGTCATTCGCCATGGCGTCCGCGACGCCCTCGGCGCACCCAGCCAGTCCACCGCCGCAACATGGAGGCGCACCCGTCAATCCCTCCTCGTCCCCCGCGAAGCGTGACCTTAAGTCTTGGTGGAAGAACTTTACTTTACCGCGCAGGAATCAGGAGCAGACTGGTATGTGCATGGCCCATTCCACCAGCGATGACAGGCGACCCGCTTGTGGCCCAGATCAACAGACTGTCTCAAGCCGCCCCGGTCGGAAAACAGCTTGAAATCCCACGAATACTCGAATCCACATTCGCCAGTTATTCGTCAAGCTGCATGTCACTCAAAACGATCGCTAACAATCATCAGAAATGCAGAAAGCCCCAGGGATCTTCGGCATCCCACTACGACAGAGCATCCAGTACGCGAACGTCGCCATCTCGCTCGAGGAGAATGGCCAGAGCTACATCTACGGCTACGTGCCCATCGTCGTCGCGAAATGTGGTGTGTTCCTAAAGGAGAAGGGTGCGTTTCCCATGATCAATTCGGTTCTCATTTGGCTAATCGATATTAGCAACTGGCGTCGAAGGAATTTTCCGTTTGAGCGGCTCAGAAAAGCGCATCAAAGAACTCAAGACCATCTTTGACTCACCCGATCGTTATGGCAAGGGGCTCTCGTGGGACGGATACACCGTTCACGACGCAGCCAACGTCTTCCGCCGCTACCTGAACGATCTCCCAGAGCCTGTTGTTCCACTCGATCTCTATGAGAAGTTTCGCGAGCCCCTGCGTGGAGCTACAAAGCAAGCCGTCGGCGATGCTGAGGGACCTCAGTACATTGACAACTTCGACGAGAACGCTGCCATCGAGAAGTATCAGAAGCTGATCACGGAACTGCCTCCGCTCAATATGCAACTGCTCCTTTACATCCTCGATTTGCTCGCCGTGTTCGCAGCCAAATCTGAGGAGAATCGGATGACATCCCAGAACCTAGCAGCTATCTTTCAGCCAGGCATGCTTTCCCACCCCGATCATGCCATGGCCCCCGAGGAATACCGTCTCAACCAATGCGTCATTATATTCCTCATCGAAAACCAAGACCACTTCCTCATTGGCATGCACGGTACCGCAGCGGACGAGACCACGCGTCGGCAAATTGAATCTGGGGCCGGCGTCCCACCTGTGACACCCACAGGGACCTCCGGTGGTGTCACGCGATCTGCTTCAAACGCGAGTGCTGGCGCTGCTAGTGTTCGTCGCGAGGGTCAAATTCGGCGCAACCGCTCAGTGAACTCGCGCCACTCGAGGAAGGAGGAAAGCACTGGCCCTAATAGCCCGGCGCTCAGCATGACGCCGACTGGTGGCTTGGGCAGAAGCAACACTGTTCCATCCAAAAAGTCACCAGCCATTCCCGGAGGCAAATTCAGACGGCCAGACAACAGCGCCGGGCCTCACTCGCCTTCCGCCCTGGAACCGCTAACCCAGTCGCAACCATTGGACACACCCCGGATGTCCGAGCAGTCGAGTCTCGCGGTTCCAATGGGTGCAGCCGTGAACCCTTCGCAAGATCCTGACCGCAGTCAAGAGCGTCTGTTGAGCGTACCCCAAGATCAAGGTGTACTTCAAAAGGAGCGCAATTTACCCGGCCTCTTCAACAGGTCGCCAACCGATGACAGTAAAAGGCAACCCAACAAGCTTAAGAAGAAGAGGATACCTGGCACCATGAGCCAGAGCGCCCAGAGCTCGAACACCTCGCTACCTCAGAGTGGACCACCCTTCTCGCCCAGTGCAGAGCAAAGTAACCCACTAGAACAGACGACAACCTCTGAGCCGAAGTCTTCCCAGCCCCAGCCACTTGCCGCTCATCCAGTCAACGAGGCGTCGAGCGACATCCCTGCGATGCCCTCTACCCAAGGCGAGAGCCCCCGCACCGACAACGTTTTGAGGTCCCAGAAGTCGCCTTCCACTTCCTTGCATTCCTCTTATAATGACACATCCGATCGAGAAAAGGGGACAGGGTTGCTCAATGGCAGATCTAGTGAGGATAAAAAAGGCACCCGTCCCAGGAAATCGACCGACAGCAGACCTACCAAGCACGCCGATACCAGCCAGACGTCTCTACAAAGCTTCGGGGGAAGACCGAGGAAAAGCTTCACTGGAGAGTCTTCAGAGGCGGCCGCGGCCAGCGCTGATGCTCAGGACTCTGGCAGGGATGAGCCTAAAGGACCTCTGGGCTGGATCCGCCATAAATACCGCGAGGCCAAAGAGACAGCCGAGCAACGACGCAACAAATCGCCCCCGCCGTCCGACAATGGAGCAGCTAGTTTTCTGTCAAGGGGCAAGAGTGTTGACATCAAGCGGGATCCGCCGAGTGAGAGGCGAGTACCCTCTGGGTCCGAGAGGAAAGACGCAACTGGTATGGAGAAGGCAAAGGAGGCCATCGCAGAAGAGCCGCAGCCGGCATTTGCGCAACCCGCCGTCGAGCTTGAGGGGTCACACCCCTCCGCAGATCGCGAGGCGGATGCTCCGGCTGAGTCCACGCCAGTTACGACGATCAAGGAGGAGCCTACGACGGTACCGGCAGAATCGCCTGTCGCACCAACGGAGCCCACGCCACATGCGCCCACCATCGACACTATTGTTGAGCAGCCTGTGGACGACCAGAAGCCGGACGTCGAAGTCGCTCACACGGAGCCAGCTCCCAACCCTGAGGCCCATGTCGACTCTCCGACCCCAGGTGTCGCTGCTGACACGGCGGCGACCGAGGCTTCCAAGTCATGATCATGATGAAGCAATGAAAGTACAAGGCAAAAGGTGGCGTTATCGTTGTCGTTGATGGGCAGGCACGTTTGAACAATTCTCTGAGGGTCTGATATCATGGAGTAGCGGATGTCTCACTATTTAATGCGGGATGACTTTTCGCCGAGATCTTCCTGGATGACCAAGGCGACCCAAAATTTTGACATGTTGAATAAAGGGGCTCAATGTGTACACGTCCTCTTTTTTTCTTGTAATGTACCCCGTCTGAGCGTTATTCTATTTTACTTCGCAGAGAGGGAGGGGGCGGCTGTTAATGTATTCGAGCCCGGTATTTGGGCGGCGCCACTATAAATATAGAACCCCAGGTGTTTCCTTTTCCATTTTGCAATACAATCACAAATCTGCGTGACGTTCCACTGGCGTTGTTTCCCAAATGACCATCCTACCAGCTCTCCGCCAGTCTTCATTGAAGAATCCATTGAATGCGGACCACACTGGTTTCACGGTGACACCGAGGTTCCTGCCAGTGGGTGTTGAATCGAAGAACTCGTGCAACCAGGGTTCTATGCCTTCGAATCCAGCAATGTACCTTGGTAAGGGAGATCGCCCCTCTCCAGCGAAAAGTTCTGTAGACAAGAACTTGATAGGATCATCGTAGAAGCGATCTGCTTCGTCCCGGTACAAATCCCTCTCCGGCGTGTCTGGCGCTGTGTGAAGCGGGGGCTCGCACGTGAGCGCATAGGCGTTCATGGAGTCGTGCGCGAGGTGAGACCGCCATGGTGTGGAGTGGCATGGCATGAGAAAGAGTACATGCAGATCATCCTTCTGCGCTGCAGGGGACTCCTGGTAGGATTTCCGAAGGTGAGAGACTATCTCGAGGGGTGCGCGTTGGTGGACGAGGGAGAGGTAACCCGCCAGCAGGACGTTGATGCCCACAGCGAGGTATAGCCACATTTTGTTCTTGAGCCGAGGTGGTTGAGACGTTGTGGGCGGCGGGATGGTGAAGAAGCGGGCTGCGAGAGGTGCCGCGAGGATGTTGAGCATGGGAAGCAAAGGGTAGATGAACCTGACCTCCTTATGCGAGATGAGGGAGAGCGCGGTGATGGTAACCCCAACAGCCAATGTCATCGTCCTTAGAATGTTGTACCGCTCCTCTGTCGACGCCGATGGCTTGTATAGCGTCATGAGCACAAAGGGGAGAGATGTCGTGCTCAGAAGGGGGATGCCCTGCAGTATGTAGTAGTGCCAGGGGTTTCGGCCGTAGAAGACAGCCAGCGACTTTGAGATATTAAAGTACAGCCAATTGTACGGCGGAAACGTCCAGAACCCGAAATACAAACGATCCGAGATGAGGGAGACACCAAGAACGACGGTGCCGCACAAGACAGCCTCTCTGAGTAGGACGACGACCTTGGCCAGGGTCAGCGGACTCGGCCCCTTTAAGCATAGTCTGGTGACAGAAACGAAGATGATTGTCGCCCAAATGAGCACGTTTGTAGGTCTCAGGAGGACCGCAAAAGCAGCGCAGATGATCGACAGGCGAAGCGCGCGGGGCCTTTGGTCGATGCTGTTGGCCATCTTAGGGTTCTCCTTGATTGTCCTTGCCACGCCTAGCAGGTCTTGCCAGGGGAAGTAGTACAAAGCCGTGATGGTGAGGGTGGTCTCAAGTGAGTTGGAAAAGGTGCGGATGGAACAATACCATTGCCATGCGCTGAAGAGCTGGAGGAAGAGCTATGTGTACAGCGTCAACAGTGGTCCCGCGCAGTGTGACCCTCACTCTCCAAGGCAAGTACTTACGGCAAAGGAGGAATCATTGCTGTCGGGATAGATTTTCATGGCGAGCTTCCAGGTGAAGAAGTCTCCCAGGGCCGCGATGATGGCCTGCACGAACCGCGGTGCGCCAACAATGACCGCCGTCTTCGCGGTCGAGCCGATAGGCAAATATCTGGTCCCATAGTCTGCTACCAGGTAGGCTGCCGAGAGGATGACTGGATGCAGAGACGACCTCAGCTGGTGACGCCATTCCTGGTTTCGTTCAGCATTGCGATCGAGGCGATGAAAAGGGGTCTTTGTTGTTTTCTTACCCACGTCAGCCAGGCGCCGCTACGTGCCCCAAAAGCGAGCCCCCAGGCAGGCTCCAAGGCTTGAAAGTATTCATCTGGCTGGAAGAAGGTTGTCACCCAAAAGGCATTGATGAGTCTTATGATGATGATTGCCCGCAGGAAGACAAAACTTTTCTTGATCGAAGTGACAGACATGTTGCTAGAGTGAGGACGACTCCCATCGATGTGCGAGTGGACCCCTGAACACGTCGTTCTTCACATGATGTGACGCTGGCCTCGATGCGTTCGTTGGAAGCCTGAGGGTCGTTTAGCGGGGCACCATATCATTGGCGGCGATGAATGGAGCCTGGGCGCAGGGTGCGATTGACAACGACATAGGGAAAGCCCCACCTTGTCAGTGGTGGTGGTGGCAGGGAAGCTTGCGCTTGTCAGCTCACGTGTTAGGCGGCTCAGGGAGAGAATGGTCCTCTGGACCTAACTGGAAGCGCCAACACTGTACGTAATTACGCTGCACTGATTGGTTTAAGCCGGGCCGGTTTCTCTCGGCTAGGTGCTATCTGGCGCATCCAGCATCTCGACCGACATCACAGCAAGGCAGGCTCGCTCGTGACAAGAAGGAGCACTTGCACTTAGGGGTATAGCGTCGACCACTTTTTCAAAGAGGAGGGATCACGCTTGAATCACGACGGGTATAATAACTGAGGGGAATTCCTCATCATGGGATATCGTCTGACCTTTGTCTTCTGCTTCGCTCGCACAACATCTCACGGTAGAATTGACCAGTTATCAATTGTCCACAGGAAGCGACGTCATTTGTCACTTACACGACCAGGTAAGCTCCAAGCCTTCGACCCAGGGAACTATCTTTGCGAATATCCTGCTTGGCAAGATGTCCGTGTGATTACGGTACTGACATCTGTTCAGATCATAACAATTCAAATCCTAAACCAAGACTACCCCCTTAACATCAATCGCCAACATTATGGCACCCCACGCAGACGAGAACGGTGCCCCGCGGACGGGCAGCGCTTCAACCCCTCGCTTCCACGCTTCTTCCACGCAGTCGGCCATCAAGGCTGAGGAAGAGTTCGCAGCACACAACTACCATCCTCTTCCTGTGGTCTTTGCTCGCGCCCAAGGTGTCCACGTCTGGGACCCCGAAGGCAAGCAATATCTCGACTTCCTCTCTGCTTACAGCGCCGTGAACCAAGGCCACTGCCATCCCGAACTCATCAAGGCCCTGACCGACCAGGCTAGCCGCTTGACGCTGAGCTCAAGAGCCTTCTACAACGATGTCTTCCCCCGGTGGGCAGAGAAGGTGAAGGACGTCTTTGGCTATGACATGGTGCTGCCCATGAACACGGGCGCAGAGGCCGTCGAGACTGCCATCAAGATTGCAAGAAAGTGGGCATACAAGGTCAAGGGTGTCGAGGCTGGCAAAGCCTTGGTCTTCTCCGCGACTGACAACTTCCATGGACGCACGGTAAGCTCGCTGTCGAATACCTAGCAGGTGGTACGCAAATGCTGACTAGACAGATGGTCGCGATCACACTTTCGACCGATTCTGACTCCAAGGACAACTACGGCCCATATGTTCCCAACATCGGCGCAACGTGCCCCTCGACCGGAAAGGCTATTCGCTACAACCACATCGAGGATCTAGAAGCGGCATTCGAGGCACACGGAAAGAACACTGCTGCATTCATTTGTGAACCCATCCAGGGCGAGGCTGGCGTCGTGGTTCCGGACGAGGGCTACCTGGCCAAGGTCCAGGAGCTGTGCAAGAAGCACAATGTGCTGTTCATCTGCGACGAGATCCAGACGGGTATCGGCCGCACAGGTCGCATGCTCTGCTCTGAATGGGCTGGCATCAAGCCCGACATGGTCACTTTGGGCAAGGCCATCTCCGGTGGCATGTACCCAGTCAGCTGCGTGCTCAGCAGAAAGGAGGTCATGCTGGTTGTCGAGCCTGGCACGCACGGATCGACCTATGGCGGCAACCCGCTGGGCTGTGCCGTGTCGATCCGCGCTCTGGAGTTGATGGAGGAGGAGGATCTGACTGCCAAGGCCGAGAAGCTGGGCAACATCTTCCGCGACGGCATCAAGGCTCTCAACTCGCCCATCATCAAGGTGATCCGCGGCAAGGGTCTTCTGAATGCCGTCGTCATTGATGAGTCGGCTGCGTCAGGCAGGACGGCTTGGGACCTATGTCTCTTGTTGAAGAGCAAGGGATTGCTTGCCAAGCCCACCCACGGCGATATCATCCGCTTTGCGCCGCCTTTGGTCATCACCGAGGCTGAGTTGAAGAAGGGTCTGAACATCATTGCTGAGGCCATCAAGGAGCTGCCTAGCGTGGAGAAGGCCAGTGGGCACTAGATTGTCCGACGCGAGTCTCGAAAAAAAAAAGACATTCAGCATTACTGTAGTCACGGCGTTGTAGGGATTTTAGTATGAAAATGGACGACTCGGGTGGGATAACAAGACAATGCATGAATGAAATGATACCATGGAGTTTGCGTCTGCTGAATTCTAAGGACATGGGCAAGACACAGAAAGCCAGCATGATTCATCTCCCACGATTGCATGTCAGCACGTAGCAGTGATGATCTCCACAGGACGCTATTGATGCCCCAAGGGTCCGGGTGTCCATCCACATATGTAGCATCATGTACGCAGTCCATTATTGCGGGACTTCAGTGGCCCTCGGCGACATTGACACTTCAATAAATTACAGCGAGATTGAATAAGTGTACATCCTGGATGAGCCCCCACCTTGTGCCAATGATGACGGCAATTGGTGTGTCTCGTTGTGCTACGATGGTCCAGATGTATCGAAGCGCAGCATGTCGTGACACCCAACGAGTAGGCTGGGTGTGCGCATGTGTCTGCAAGCTCGAAGCTCAGCGGTAAGGTGGCTTGGCCTAGAATGTGACAGGAACTAGGGATGCTTCCAAAAAAGTATAACCATCAAAACGTTCATATCGTGGACATGGAGCCTGTGGTAAATGTAATAAGGCAAGCGAGACATGTAACGAGGCCGGTTCTAGGTAGAGCCTATCAGGGTAGCGGTCCACTTCTGCACATCGGGCCAAGAGAGCATACGTAGGTAGATACCAGTTTGACTGCCTATCAGGCAGGGCTGAGGCGATAGGGGATGGGGAGCGGACCTGCACATCAGCGGATTCGTCACAATGAGGGTGTATTGATGCACCGCTGCCTACGGACGGATTGCCCAGGAACAGAATAGTCAGGCATGAACAATGCTGCTGAACAATTGCTCTGCACCCAAGACACCCAACTTGGCGCGCAGTGCTCCGTAGAAACCTCGTAGTGGTTTCATGAGTACCCGTACTTGGTAACGAAGTGGTCGAAGCGTGGATGAAAGCGGCGTCAAGTCAGACAAGGGCTGGAGCCTGGAAGCACACTCAGTTGCACATGTAGCCATGTCACATGTGCAAGTGGAAAGTGAACAACATCACGAAAGCTTCCCTGAATCTAGATCTCCGCTCCGAGAATGCGCAAGATGTGCCCGTGATCTCGCGATCAATTGATGGGTTGCGAAATACAAAAGGAAGGGTTAATAATATGAGGTGACTGGCCACGCCGCTATCGTGACTCGAACGTGCCTTATCGGTTGTCGGGGACGACGCCATCATGAGATGGCCTGGCGATAAACGTCAAGACTGGAGCCGGCGGGGCCCGGCATCCTGGTCGGTGATTCACATCTGGATCAAAAAAGTATCTTTGATAGGCACGTTCCAGAACAGTCGCCGCATCGACATTGTGCAATGTGATGGGGTTTAGCAAAAGGTACCATTTCGGCACAAGTTGGAGACATCCCAGAAAAGCTTAGCGCCATGAGTGAACGCCTCGATTGGTCAAGGTACCTCGAGCCCCTGTGGGATCCGGGCCTGCAGTGACTGCATGCGCTGTCGTGCCAGTGGTCACTAGAGCGGTGGGGACTGGCAGCGCATCGCATCACGAGCTCAATGAGACGGGGGCGCATCCATCTGATACTGCCTTGGGTGCCTCAGCTGCCTCCATGTCGAGTGCGGGCCTGTCTTATCGTCGTTGCCTTTTCCATGGCTCTTTGTCTACTTTGTCCTGTCATCATCCTGGAATTTTCTCCCTGAGCTCGAGACTTCGTCTTTGTTTGTTCGTTCACTCGTGCATTCACACGCATGGGGAGGCTCGTTTCGCGTTGAGACTCCTCCAACGCCCGACTCCACTCCCCCAATCACCTTGCTCCGCTTTCGCGATACTCACGACGACTCGACTCGAAGAGACGCGCCTACTTACTTAGCCACGAGCATCAATCCCTACGACACTTTGAACTGACGAAGTATCCTCTATCCATCAGGGTGCACTCTCGGCATCTTTGTATTCGAAGCTATAATACCCTGACTTCAGGACCCCATCCCCGGAGTAAGTACCGAGCGATCCCCTTGAGTCCTACACCACATCTTGACGTCGTTTCCACTTGTGCCACCGCCTTAAACGGTTAAAGCCCATCTGGGTCTCGGTCTGGTCAGCGCAACAGCACCATCTATCCCCTGCGATCATAAAGGTTATTCATTCTGGACTTTGGCTGGCTTGGTCTGGAAGAACCAAATCGAACAGTGTTTTTTGGGGAGGGACGATAGATAAGCTCCGAGCTTCTCTAGTCGAAAGTCACTTCGCCCAGGCCTAGACACCCTCCATCCCCAGACTGACTGACACCATACCCTTGCTCATCTGCATGTACACACCGGGGCGCATGGTTCGAGTCATCGATACTTCTCCTCGACCTTCCACCGACTGTCTGGGGCATCGCACGAGATCACCAACGCCTTTTGTCATCCGTCTGACAACGGTCTAGCTGACAGACGTTCCCTAGCCTCCATTACATCCGTCGCTGCGCATCACTCCGAGCGCTGCCGTTCTCGCAGACGACAACGGGCCGTTCGACGTTCCACCGGCCTCTGCCATCTCATCTATCAGCAAGCCCACTAGCCCTTTCACCGCACTGCGCATCTGCGCCCGATCCGACCCTCGTCACTTTGCTCGACCGAATCCCTCTACGCCTTCCGACAGCGTATACATGACGGTCTCGCCGTTCGCTCCCCGTCAGACGATCTAGCCTTCGGGCTGAGGTGGAATTCGCATCGTCCCTTAACAGCCAACAATCACACACCTCGACCACATCATGGCGAGCTCCCGGGATGCCGGTCCCCAGGGCATCCGGAGACCAAGGCGGACAACAGTTGGGCAGTTCGTCATCGAGAAGGAGATTGGCAAAGGAAGCTTCGCTCAAGTATACCAGGGTCTACATAGGGTGTGTGCAGCTGCTCTAGCAACTTTCTATTTCTGTGCTGACGATACCAGGACACCAAACAAATTGTAGCCATCAAATCGGTCGAGCTAGAGCGCTTGAACAAGAAGCTCAAGGAGAACCTCTACAGCGAGATCCAAATACTCAAGACCCTGCGACATCCACATATCGTTGCCCTACATGACTGCGTGGAGTCATCGACACATATCAACCTCATCATGGAGTATTGCGAGCTCGGGGATCTCTCCCTATTCATCAAGAAGCGGGAGAAGTTGATTACGCACCCGGCTACCCACGACATGGCCCGGAAATACCCCAGTGCTCCCAACTCTGGTCTTCACGAAGTTGTCATCCGCCACTTTCTTAAGCAGTTGGCAAGTGCGCTTGAGTTCTTACGGCTGAAGAACTACGTTCATCGTGATGTGAAGCCTCAGAATCTCTTGCTTCTACCCGCGAAATCAGCACGACAGCATAGCAACACGCCAGTCATGGAGGGAAGCCACAACTCGTTAATACCTTGCGCGGGGTTAGAGTCTCTACCAATGCTGAAGCTAGCCGACTTTGGCTTTGCCCGAGTTCTGCCATCGACATCGTTAGCAGACACTCTCTGCGGTTCCCCGCTGTACATGGCGCCAGAGATCCTTCGTTATGAGAGATACGATGCCAAGGCTGATCTATGGTCCGTGGGAACCGTGCTGTATGAAATGATTACAGGACGGCCCCCTTTTAAGGCAAGGAACCACGTGGAACTTCTGAGGAAGATAGAGGCTGCTGAGGACGTCATCAAGTTTCCCCGCGAAGTCACGGTCACTGCTGACCTGAAGGCCCTTGTACGAGCACTGTTGAAGAGGAATCCCGTCGAGCGCCTGAGCTTTGAGAATTTCTTCCAGCACCCCGTCGTCACTACCGACATCCCAGGGTTGGTGGAAGATGATGCCCCAAAAGCAGCACCTCCACCCAAGGCAGAGTATGAACAGCCAGCCGGGAATTTGTCGCGAGCAAGCTCACGCCGACACACTGAAAGAGATGCACCCCGCGAAATCGCCTCGAACGAACGAATCCCTCTGTCTTCGAGCCCTAGTCAGGTACGGCCCAACACAGGCAAGGGGGCAGAAGAACGGCCTCCACGCTCGTCTCCTCGTGAGGATGGAGAAGGTCTGGGCATTCGAAGGCCTGTTCCACAACACTCCGCCACAATGCCTGTACAACCGCGCCCAGCCGAAACAACCTCGCGTCGCAATACTGTGAATCCGGACGTGCGACCCTACAGTGGTCGTAAAGTCCCAACTGGCCGCACGCCGGAGGAGGAAAAGGCTGCTCAAGATGTTATGTTTGAGCGAGACTATGTGGTCGTTGAGCGGAGACATGTTGAGGTGAACGCCCTGGCAGATGAACTGGCGGCGAACGAGAAGATGAGTCCCCGAGCTGGCCAGATGGCGAGACGCTCGACCCAACAAGGTACCCCGACTTCGACCACGGGCGCCATCCCGACGCCATCGCGCACCGAACTGGTTGCCCGGGGTCACGCAAGTCACGATCGGCGATCATCTTACGAGAAGGCATTGTCCTCAAGCCCCGGCTCGGCGTCAAGTGCCATATCAAAGGCCATACAAGACGCGAGCCTGCGGCTGTTCGGGTTCAAGGTACCTCATATCTTGGGACAAAAGGGGCAATCCCCGCCTATGTATCAGGCTTTCCCTGCCTATCCCATTCCAGCAACAACTGGGGCTATCGGCGACGTCAGGACGTCACATGCCGCTGACGAAGATGCGATGGCAGCGCACACCATCGAGGAGCTAGCGACGCGAAGCGACTGTGTATATGGGTTCGCCGAAGTAAAGTACAAGCAGTTGGTTCCTATGGCTCCTTCGGCGGAGCGCGGCCTAGGCGGAGCCGACGTTGACCAGCTGAACCCAGTCGAGGATGGGCTAACTGTTGAGGCTGTCGTGTCACTTTCCGAAGAGGCTCTCGTTCTCTATGTCAAGTCACTGACTCTGCTTGCCCGAGCCATGGACATTGCTAGCATGTGGTGGTCAAAGAGGAGTCGTGGCGAGACATCGAGTGGACTTAGCAGTGCTGTCGCACAGACAATTGTGCAGCGCATCAACGCTGTTGTGCAATGGGTCCGGCAACGGTTCAACGAGGTGCTTGAGAAGTCGGAAGTCGTTCGCCTCAGATTGACCGAGTCACAGCGGGGATTGCCTGAAGACCATCCCAGTCATCCATCCAACCAAGGACACGAGTCCACCACATCGGCCGCGGGTAGTACAGGAGTCAAAGACGTCTACCTCACCCCCGGAATCAGTGCGGAAAAGCTGATGTATGACCGCGCTCTTGAAATGAGCCGAGCGGCCGCCATCGACGAAGTAACCAACGAGAATTTGGGGGGCTGCGAGCTGTCGTATGTGACCGCGATTCGCATGCTGGAGGCCGTGGTGGACAGTGACGAGGACAGCTCGAAGAAGATCATGGCTGGCAAAGAACCCGCGAAAGATGTTGCGCCCGACATTGACAGTGATGAGGAGCAACATATTCGCAAGAGTAAGTCCATCTTCGCACGTGCTTTCATGATGCTCCATGCTAATTACGTGCAGTGGTCAAAATGATCTCGGGAAGGCTTGCTAAGGTTCGCCAGAAGCAACAAATGATAGCGGATGCGAACAAGCCCCAGAGAACGCACTCGCCAACGACACGAGGGGCGAGCGGAGATGTGACGCCACGTAGTGTGCCTCATCTTGAGGCATCACCGAGACCGATTTGAGCCCCGTCGTCCTCTCACGAGTGAGAATGACGGGTGCTCCTGATACCATTGTTATTGTTTCTTAATTGTTAATTTGGCAATTTTGCCACACATGGAGCCGGTGTTAGGAACAAGCAAGAGTGTCACATGGCTTGATTTGCGGCGTTTGGGATATGTATTGTTGATGATAGTCTTGGATGAAAGTGGCACTCTGCCCGCATATATGGCAATGGCACTTTGTGGATATACAGCACACGGGACAGAGGACGAAACGAGCACAGCTTGTTGAGCAGGACCTGGCCAGGCATGACGGCACGCATCGATGATAGTGGCATGGATTGGCGTTTAGATGCGCATTGTTTGATGGCCAAATCTCTAGCCCAGTTTGATTTATTGATGATTTCTAGAGTTCTCAGTTGCGCCAGGGGCTCCCAAGCCCACGATGTTGTCTTCCCCTTGCAACTCCAGTGGATACAGAACTGGATAATCGCTCTCCAGACTCTGCTCATTGTCGGTGTTGAGCAGCGGTAGCAACAGATGCTTCAGTTCGGCAAGATGGCCTTCTGCAGCTGGCATTCTCTCTAGTCCGTCCAGCCCAGCTCGTGCAACCGCAGCCTCCGCTGGAGTCAGTGGCCTCTGTCTTTCACGCTCAAGCGCGTCCTTCACTCCTCCCTTGATCTTGCCATTCTCGTCTCTTTCAGAGACGAAGGCGACCAAGTGGCCTCTCCTTACCAGGATCGTTCGGTCCACCAGTTTCTCTTCATCCAGCCAGGCAGTGGCCTCCAGAAAGCCTCTGTAAGAATCATCATGTATCTTTGCGGGCGTCAAGCGCAACGGCAACCCCCGTGATGCTGCCTCCGGCAGTTTTTCATAGAACCTCACCAGGATCCCCAATCGGCTCAACGCGTACGGTGTCGCGAGAACCACCACACTGATCGTGTACCCTTGTCTGTGAAAGATCCGTACAAGACTCGTGAAATCTGAGGGATGTCGACATGCCGACTCAATCACGACATCTTGACGCCTCAGGCTCACTTCACTAGCCGCCATTTCCAGCCATAGCCTGGCGTCGCTGCCGGTTGCTGCGGAGGCTATCTTTGGATCTAGCGCGGCATATTCGGGATGATATTTCTTGTATACGTCCGCTATGAGATGCACCGGATTCCTGCCTTGGGCGTGAAGCGCAGAGAGGAGTGTGGGTACGAGACGTGTCTTGCCTGCACCGGTCTGTCCTAGTGTCAAGAGGGCAAGTGGTCGCGTAGGGTATGGTGAGGGCGGATGAGGGAGGATGTCGGCGGGGAGTATCTGGGTGGTGAAGATTTCTTGGGCAACAGAGGCATCGAGACGGTATGAGGCAAGATCAGGAGGTGACATTGTATGGCGCCCCTCCAAGCGAGACTGTCTGAGGAAATCGCAAGGAGCTGCACTTGCTTGATTGATCTCTGTGCTTCCAAGATGAAAGCCATGGCGTAGACCCTACTTACCCTATACCGATGCGACGACTTCCTCCCCTGTTTTCTCTTTTTCATGCTCAAGATCATCCGTCTGCTCATCCCAGACTCCACAGTGCTGTGGCCTGGGTAAAGCAAAAGACGCTGTCCAGCATTCTTGCAAACCTCCATTGACGACATCAAGTTTGATGCGGTTGCGTACTCTGTGCCATTTGCGCGCTATTTCATCCGCATATTTTTCATCTCCATTTGCCTGCTGCTTCGTGAATCTGAAGCGGCTGTCAGCAGGATTCCTGTAGTTCTGCTGCCAAAAGCAGCATTCGTCTCCTTCGCCGTGCCTCCTGCAGACGCTGCAAGCTTCGCTTCTCACGCCGCCCATCTCAAGTGAGCATCGCATTTGACGAACATCACACTGCAGACACTTTACCCTGAGAGAGCCCGTCAGCCTGTCTGGGAAAAGCGCCGGCCTTTTCATTCGGTCTCGGACGGGGAAGCCCTCGACGTATCTGAAACTCTCCGTTTCGACCTTCCCCTTGTGTGTCTGGAACATCTTCTCAAGATACGCTGTCAGATTATCCATCCGTGCTCTGAAGTCTGCGTCGCTCTCGTACTTTGCCTTGCGTAGCAGACCCCTTTCGCGCGCCCAGGCCTGTAATTGGTCTCTTGTCTCGGTGAGCTCACCCATGCCAGCTCTGTCCTCTACATTTCTTCTCTGCCTCTTGTCTTGGAGAGCAGCATTGCTTGCTTCTTGGGCTTCGCGCTGCTTGTCAAATTTGATCGTCCACTGCGCCTGGGCCTCTTCCTTCCTTAGAAGGTGCTTCATCTCGGCTTGCACCCTTTCACTTCGCTGCTCTGCGCGGCGAGCTGTAGCTGCGTCGGAATTTGACGTATTCTTGACGAGTTGGTCATCCCGCAGTGTTAAGATCTTGCTCAGTAATGGTGGTAGCGGCTCTTTTAGCTTCCTGGGCGGGAGGAGTCCTATGGGCAACTGACGGTCTGGGGTGGCTTTTGAATAGGGCATCATTCCTTTAAGAAATCATGTATGGAAGTATAATGAAAGCCTTTGGATTTGAAATGGCAGCTCGGAAGCTCTAGCTTTATAACCAAGTAATGGCTGATGTGCACAGCTTTGTCAGTGTTGTTTTCGCTTTCAGCCCCTTTTGAACAATGAATTAGCACAGATAGCGCAGATCGGCGAAACAAGCGACAAAGACACATCTGCGACCGAGAGATGATGAGGACCACAGCAAGAATATCTTGCTGCTCCGCTGGCGCGACCAGCTAGGTCAACATTACAGGACCTGGATCCAGGGCCGAGTGAACCGCTGCACCTGCTCGGAAGCTTCGCCAATTACTTCCGCCAAAGCCGTTCGAAAGTGCACCTACCCGTGGTTGAATATGCACAATCGATTTCTAGGCCGAGTGGTGTCGGCTGGTGTCCGCTCATGAAAATTGTTGTTGACCTTCCCTATCACCCAATGTGAAATGCTTGGAACTCTGATTCATGACAACTGAAGAACACATGTCAATAACACCACCATAAACCGGAGTCGCGGCGCCCACTTCCCCTTGGCTCGCGATGACATCTATCAAGTTGTCGAGATCCCATGGAAGCGGCCTGATTTGTTCATTCGCGTGCCAATTTGACAACATTCGCTCATCAAGGCGCTCAAAAAACTCGACGTGCTTCTCGGATGTGCAGAGCCAAGGATGAGATTGCGCTTCCGAGATACTGATGCGTTGTTTTGGCGAGATTCTCAGACAGCTGCGAACAAATTTGCGAGCATTCAGAGACGGCGTAGGATTAGGAATGTCGAAGGCGTCTTTCAGGAAACGATCTAAAACTCCCTGGCCCTGACAGCGCAGGTCTTGGGGTATGCCATGCTCGACTGAGACCATGGACAAAGCAATGGCACCTAGGGACCATATATCCACAGCGCTAGTTTGAGGTACTCCTTTTGTTGCGATTTCACTGATCACGTTAGACAAGCGGACAATGGGACTAGGGGATATTTGAAAGCTTACGGCGCCTGGTAAATCAACGTACCTACCGAGGTCAGCATCCGACTCCTGCACGAGACTGCTGATGCACCAAAGTCTGCGAGCACAATGCGGTGGTGTGATATGCTTGGCGAGTATGCCATAAGAACATTTTCCGGCTTCAGGTCGCGGTGCACAATGCCTTTGCTGTGGAGGTACGATAGCCCCCGAACAATTTGTCGAATTATGATTCGGGTGTCAAACTCGGGAATGCGTTCGTGTCGGAAGAAGAACGACATGAGATCGCCCCCTGAGGCAAGCTCTGTGAAGGTGTAGCTATCAGACATGAGAGATGATTTTCGGATGCGGGACGAGGTTCTTACAGTGTATGGGGGGAGCATATAGCGTCCACGTAGGCCAATATGTTGGGCTGAGATTTGTTAGCTATAATCGATGCATCGGACAGTTGATATAACGTACATGTTGCAATTGGCGCAGTATGTCCGTTTCTTGAAGCTTCCGACGGCGCTGGTCTTTGCCACGCCTCCCTTTTCCCTGGAGGCTGTCCAGATCAACCACTTTGCAAACGAGCTGCTTCTTGGTCTTCGTATTAAGCGCCAAATAGACAGAACCATCGCTACCTTGTCCGAGACACCGTTTAGTGACCTTGTATTGATGAGAGAATGACTGCATGCTGTCAGTATCAGGCAGCGAAGGACTCGGGGTTGCTAACCTCGCATTCCCCTGACTGGACTGGGGTCAGATCCGATTCGATGCATTGGGCTACCTGATGGTACCGAAACTTCCAGTACGGCTTGATCTCGATAACATCGCCATCTTCAAGTAGATAACCAGGTGTGATATCAGGGCCCTGGCCAACATAAACATTATTCACGTAGGTTCCGTTGACAGACTGGCGGTCTCGGACGAAGACATGGCACAAATTCGCTTCATAAACAATGGAGTATAGTTCGCAATGATTTCGAGATACTGCGGCATCGGTGTCACCTCCGATGACCAAGTCACTACTCGAATCAGCACTGCCTTTGGTAGTGGATAGATAGGGCTCACTTGGAAGTGGCAAAGCGCCCGATCCTAAACACATCGTGACTCTGAATCAGTATCGTATCTGAAGGAGTCAGTAGGATGCCTCAATCGCAAACACAGTGAGGGGGTACCTTGAGGCCCAGGACCCTTGCGGACATCGAAGAATTGAAGCGTGGCCACTGGCTCGCCATTGCTGTTTGGGCGCAAACCTGGAAGCATCGTGATCGGTGTTATCGTCCAAGAGGGTACAATTTCGACTTTTCACAATGTAGAGAGCGAAGTGTGTGAATTTTGACTGGAATTGTTACATGCTGCCCGTGTATGTGCCCCAAGCAAGAACGGGAACCTGCCAGGTGCTCCTTCCACGAGCGAACTCTTACAAGCACGCACACGGCGCCATCTACCTGGGTCGCACAAACGGCCAAAGAGCTGGACGTCCTCATGCAAGCAAACTTTGGGTTGACAGTGCGTGGTCAAAAAACATCGATGACCTAAAGTGGTCATCATTTGAACAAGGTCGCGACAGCTTCAGGTTGTAGTTGAATGTGGATCATAGCTTGCTGCAGGGACACAGTGTGTGTCACAGTTTGCGAGCGAGATCCGCGCTGTGACAAAGTGACGTAAAGTCCACAGGCCACACGTGACTGGTCAAAACCTAACCCTACTAGCTCGGCCTGCCTTAACCGCCACACTTCTCCCCCCTCACCATTCACATTGTTCCTTATCCAACAACGATTCTCATCCACGAACCTGTACGTCAGTCCCCATAGCAATTGCGACGCTCGCAAGTCATCATCACGCGCCTACCCCAGCCAATGGCGGACGGTGCCGTCGTGGTGGCAAGCTGCGTTGCCGGCGCAAGCTTGGTTGACATTGGCCTTGACTAACAATGCCGCAGCAAACTCGTTCAAGATGAGAGCCAAATGGAGGAAGAAGCGCGTTCGTCGCCTCAAGCGTAAGAGAAGAAAGATGAGGGCTCGCTCGTAAGTCACCTGCATGCAACACGGCTTCTACACTACCGTATCTAACCTGCTCGGCAGCAAATAAGCGTGTCACGCGACAACCTGACCTGAACCATCTTTCATGATTGACGAGAACCCACGACACCTTTTCGCGCCTGAGTCTTGCCGACACAGGGAAGGACAACCTGCAATGCTTCCGACGCTCTGTTCCCAGATCTTGTTGGAGGAGGACATGGACGCAACCCTGACGAGCCTGGATGATGACGACGTGAGATTGGAATGAGAGATGCGCTTATTACGCCAAACGGAGGGTCAGGCACTCAGCTGGACGCAGGAGCGACCACCTATTTGAAGCTATCTGCCATGAGAACGCAGGCTTGGAAGCCACTCCGAACGTTACTTGACAATTCAATCAGAAGCTTCGTGCACAACTACCAGTTTTCCATGTGACTATTCCACGCTCTCCCCATAAATGAATGCGTAAACCACATGCCATGTCAATTGTTTCTACCGGGAGCTTTGATGCTATCGTCCATGTGCCATTGCACCCCAGCACAATTCACCCTCAAATTCCCTTTTGTGTGCACGCGCATAGCAGTGTGTGACGTCGCCAACCTAGTCACGACTCGACTTGGTGGGGTGGGGTTGCCATCGGTCCAGCTCCATAAGGCGCTGGCACACCGCCCCGGCTCAAGTCCGGTTCAATCAATTTTCTGCCGCCAGTGATCGCTGCAAAGCGGAAGAAAAAAAATAGTAGAAACATCCCACCTTCTCAGGCGCCACTCAATAGTTAATCCCCGATTGACACTCACAGCCCTGCATCATGGCCAAAAGGAAGAGAGAGGGCGAAGGCTCTGCAAAGGCCTCCAAGAAGGTCGCCATTGACGCACATGCACCGCAGGCCAAGGTGTCGTCTGTTCTGCGACCAAAGTCCTCTCCACCGGTGATAGGTACGGATGCGCCACGAACCCTCAGCAACTGTCAGTGATCTAACTCGAGACTAGTGACTGCCCCAGGCATAAGCGTAATGTCTGATTCGACATTTCAACCATACGTCCCCCAAGATCAGATCATTGCGGCGAAGAACAAGTCCAAATCCACACAGCAAGAGCTCCTGCTACACTCAACGTCACATCCGAATCTCGACTACACAGCCAAGGAGGAAACGTCCCGTGGATCGAAACCGCTGGTCAACCACTATGTCGGAGTCTACGACCCCAAGACTGGGACGATGCAGGTCATCGAGGCGAAGAAGATGGTTGTCCGCGGCGCAGTAAGGGCTAAGCAGCAAGCTGAGAAAGAAGCCGCGGCCAAGAGGGCACTCGCCGTAAGGAGCTCAAAGTCAAAGCTGGCTGTCACAGTGGCTAATAATCAGCAGACCAACTTTGAGCGCAGAACCGAGTTGGGACAGACATTCGGCACCAGGAAGGCCAAGAAGGCCCTCGCAGACGTAACCCTCAACGCCATCGGCCCGGTGCGCAGGGATGCAGACGAACCCTCAAAACCGTTGGACGCCGCATCCAAGGCCATGCTCACTTCCGTGGGCTCGATTACCTCCACCATGGCGTCGAAAGAGGAATTGCAGGCGGTGGTGGACGAAGCCAAGCCCGTGCCCAAAGCCAACCTCGATGCCACCGATATCCTCGACGTCTACGATCCGAATGTTATCATTGGCCGGGACATTCTCAACCAGGTGCCCATCCGCGAGTGGCAGGAAAAGGCGCAGCACAAGGAGAGTATCCAGGCTCCATCGCGGTTCGTGGTGTCCCGCGTGGCACCCATCGCCATCAATGCCGACGCTACGCTCCGCCTACGCGTGTTGCGGTACCTGTGCTTTGTGCTCATCTTCTACATGTCGACCAAGCCTGGTCGCGAACGCGGCACGCGGTCCATCCCGCCGCGGGACAAGCTGCGCCAAGCCCTGGATCCCGCGCCCGAGGCCGTCGTCGAATCGATCCGTCGCAAATTCTCGGATGCAGGCACCATGCGAAAATTCCACATGGATCTGCTGATGACGCACTGCTGCGTGTTCTCCTGCATCGTGGACAACTTTGAGTCCGACACGCAGGCGTTGCGAGATGACTTGCGACTCGACCAGAAGACCATCAATTCCTATTTCCATGAGATTGGTGGGCGGGTGAAGCCCGTCAAGACAGAGCACGGCACTGCGCAGATAGGTCGCTTGGCGCTGCCGCTTGATTTCCCCAAGCAGCGACACTTGGCGCCCAAGAAGCGATAGGCGATAGAATTATGATGGTCATCAGCATAGCAAGGGCAGGAGTCTGTCAATTCGATATCACTTGCATCGTCTTGTAATTGTTCTTGTTTTTGAGCCGTGTGTGAGAAGTGAATGGTTTGCGTGTGGTCAGGCCCGGCAGAGCTTCGCGTTCCCCGCAAATTCATACCGAGGCATCTTTGGGGTGAGCCACTTGTCCGGGATTGGCCTGGGGTACATTGATAGAACTCCATCCCCGGATGAGCATCTCACACCTAATTATTGCCGGTCAAATATCTTATAAAGAACCGTTGGGTGTTCGACCTATCGTCCTTCCATCACGCTCGTTGATCACGACCCCCATAAAACAAAGCCACCACCATCATGTCTTCAAGTGACAAGGTCATCAATGTCGAGTACCGCGGCCGTGTCGCCATCATCACCATTGCCAATGAATCCAAGCTCAATGCCTTGTCGCAACCCGATTACTACGAGCTGGCACAGGGTTTGAGAGAAATCGCCACACACGACGAAGTCTTCATCACTGTCATCTTGGCAAAGGGCCGCTTCTTCTCTGCGTAGGTTCTCCCTGCTCGACTGGAGACGAAAGGCATCAAGTTCATACTAGACTAACACTCTCCTCTCACAGCGGTGCCGATGTGTCCATCACACGAGCAGCCCCGTCAGCTGGCAATCCTGACATGCACAAGCACTGGCTCCAGAGCTTTGTTGCCTTCAACCTCAACATCTGCCACGCCTTCAGCACGCACCCCAAGATTCTCGTCATTGGCCTGAACGGGCCTGTCATCGGTCTCTCGGCTGCCCTTACCGCGTTTGCCGACTTTATCTATGCCGCCCCCTCGACATTCCTGCTCACCCCCTTCTCGAGTCTTGGTCTCGTGGCCGAGGGAGGCGCAAGTCGGGCGCTGGTGCAGAGACTGGGACCTGCGAGGGCCAACGAGGCGTTGATCATGAGCAAGAGGATCACGGCCTCGGAGCTGGTGCAGTGTGGCTACGTGAACAAGATCTTTGAGACAGGCAACGGCGAGGATGCCAAGTTCAGAGAGTTGGTGCTACAGGAAGTGGACGACCGCCTGGGCGAGCACCTCATTGGGAGCAGCCTGATTGGTATCAAGGCTCTCATCCGTCGGCCGGAGCTGGATGTCATTGACGCGCAGAATGTGAAAGAGGTGTTCGCCGGTCTGGACCGCTTCACTTCGGGTATTCCGCAGGAGGAGTTCCGCAAGATTGCCTCGGGCGAGAAGAGGCACAAGTTGTAGAGGGTTGCTAGATTGTACCTTTTTTTTTTGTCTATGCCAAAAGGCCGAATAGCAAGCTTGTACGCTGCCAGAATGCGTCGGCACCCTTGCTGATGCGAGTGCGCGACTGTTCCTCTAGACCGGTTGCCTTGAACACTGCCTCTTCCAGGTCCTTCATCGCCTCGCAATCACTACCTAGGCAAGTCCTGGCATATGATACATCGAAAAGCCACTGAATGAGCAGCTCTCTCTTGGCGTCCGATTTGCCTTCTTCCGTGTCGGTCTCCTTCTCGTCTTGCTGCTCATCTTGGCTGGAGTCTTCTTTCTCGACCGTGGCAAGTTCGTCTTTCCAGCATTGCGAAAGCTTCTCGTCCAGGTGCTGCTTGATCACTTTGACCGCTGCCGGACTCCAAAGGTCCATACCAGCGCTTCCCATATCTGTTGATAAATTCCGCAAGAACTGGAAAAGGGCTGGCGAAGGTTGATTTGGTATGGGCGGCTCACCCTCCCATAGGGGCCTACCAGCTACCAATCGCTCCGACAATCCCGCTTCAGCGAATTGCCGTAGTGGTGCGGTAACCACATGTATGGAAATCTCCTGATGTAGCGGAGGCACCATGGCGAGACCGAATGACTTGGTTGCGGGGCGGTCGGGTAGTTGGCGACGAATATCTCGTAACACGCGCAGGAAGTACATGGCCACAGGGCCTCGATTTGATTGCGGTGCCTTCTCCGTCCACAGGGACTTCAACTGGATCTCCAGCTCTTCAAATGATTTATCGAATGTACTGTCGAGCTTGGTTTGCAGCATCAGAGGGTCGTCTCTGCTGAGCGCCTGCTGCCTGGCCTCGATTGTCTCCTCGTCCTCCACCTCATCAAAGTCATTGTCCCAGCGTTGCTTTGTTAGTGACTCTACCACCTGTTTGACGTCGTCAATCACGTGGAACCAGGATTTGTAGCAATTCGACGCCTTCGAAACGGCATCGTTGCGTCCGTAGACCCTCGCGACAACTTCCGCCACGAAAGGCGCAGCGCCTTGCTGCAAGGCGGTATCGTAGCCTTCTTCCTCCCATAGGCCTCGATTCTTGTCGGTAAACCCATCCTGCCAGGTTTCCAATGTTGCCCTGACTTCTGATCCGACCAGGTTGAGCTTCTTGACTTTGCTCTCCAGCACCGCTAGCATGCGACCATTGATAACCTCGCGAAAGTCGTCTTGCATCTCGGATGGGTCGAACCCACGGGCTTTCCCACCCTCCCTGATCCAGAGCTGCAGCAGGTTGGTGCGGAGCTCCATCACGGATTTGAACTCGTGCATGCTACTCAAGGCCGCCTTGAGTCCAGTCAAGAGAACTTGCCCGCCCTTGTCTGCCCATTTGGCGAGGGTATCTCTGGCAATGGTCCTGTCCAGGTCGTCATGCCGAATAAATGGCGTGAAATATTGTATCTCTTCACCACACCATCTTTCGTACAAATCGAGACGCAAGCCATGCAATTGCTTCAAAGCTGGGTCGGCTAGCAAAGGTTTAGCCTTCAGGCCTTGCAACGCCTGTGACAGCTTCGCCGACACGACTGCTTGGACGTCGAGTAAGGTCCGCGTATACAGCCGTAGACTCTGCATGACATGTTCGCTCCGGTCGCCTGACGTGGGGTTGTCTGCATCGACGGCCGCAGCCATCGCTTCGCCCCGAACGTGTAGAAAGTGGCGAACAGCGTCTCGCGCTCCCGAGCTGGTTGCCAGGCTGTATGCACATAATGCCATGGTGACATCCTCGCGATCACTGTCTTGGGTCACTCGGCCAAGTACTTTCTCAATGTGCCGGAGTAGTCGCCGGCGCAGCGCACCAAAGCTCTTCTTCAACGCCTCAATGTCGTGGTGCATCCCAGGGTTTCCAGTAACGTCGCCCAGGCTCTTCAGCAGTAGTCGGCTCAGAACGAGCACCTTTGCCGCGAGCACCAGGCGCTCGCCCCTCGAGACGCTGTCTTCCAACCCGCCGCCGCCTTTCAGGACTCGTTCCACGACCATTGCGCACGCATTCAACATGCTTACTCGCACCAACCGTTCCTCCTCTTGATTATGCGCCTCCTTTCTCACAAATGTGGCCAATCCGCTGACCTTGCCTCCGACAATGCCTCGCCCACATTGCGCACCCATGTGGCTCAGAAGCTCTTGGACTGTCTCATTGTCATCGCGCATGCGGACTATGGTGTCCGCCGTGCCGAGCAGTTCGCGATACGAGGAGCCGACCTGCGTGCGCAGACGCTGGGCTTTGTCGTCAACGGCATTGAGGATGGATCGGTGTGTCGTACGGATTTGAGGGAGCGTGTGTGTCGACGTGAAGATGTCCGCGGACGAGGTGAGGGTCGATGGGTCAGGAGTCGCCATGGTGGGGGATGGGTGACGGCTTGCGTCCGCTTAGGGTTCAATGCGCATCGGTGATGATAGTATTTACAAACCCCTAGCCCGGCGAGCGTGTTGAGTTGCAGTTGGCCGCAATTGCACAATTGAAGTCAGGAGGAAGATTGTACAGCTGCCACGACCTATGTTCGGCCATGTGGGGTAGCTCCCTGTCACGCTTAATCCTCCAACTCGAGCATTTTGAATCTTGATACATTAATAAGGCACATCGTGAAACTGGTCACTGCGCTCGCTGGCAAGAACTTCAATTCCACCGCAGGTATTCAAGTAACCAAATTGCCTCGACAGAATCGGATGGCGCATTGGAGACACCTGGAATGTGAAGGGCGACTGGATCGAACGTTCCTGTATTCTCGTAGTCAATCAGGATACCCTACACCAAAAGGGGGCTTGATTCGATACTCCTGGGATGAGCCTTTTGAGTAACAGTATAGCTTCCATATTAGAAGGGGTTCGATCTCGAGCTGAACGCACTCTACTGGCTCATTCGCCGTGAACCGAGACGCACGAGGGGATATTCGTAATTCAACTCACATTTGTAACGCACAGAACCTAGCAGGGCTAGAACACAAAGCCAGGCAATTCCTTGAACACCCGGCGTAATAGGTCTCATGGAAAATATAAATATACAGGCGAGAAATGTTGATATATGCAATTGTATGCTCCTTTCTATAGCTTGGTGCTCTTGATGACACCAGTGTTGATACCCGTCACCTCTCCCCTGTAGCCACCCTTTGGCTCGCCGCCCTTCCAGATCGGCTTCATGCTGGCCAGCTTCTTCTGCTTGGCCTCGAACTGCATCTTCTTCTTCACCCTGGGGTTGCGCACCTCCTTCTTCCTCTTGGGAGCGAGACCCTTGTTCTTCTCAATGGCGTAGGTGATCTTGCGCTTGCCGTCCTGGCCGACCTCCTCACGCTCGACAACCCGATCGGCCTTGCTGGCCGCGGCAAACGCGGCGTACCGAGCCGACTTATCCTGCTTGTTCTTGTCGGACGTGTGCTTGACCATGTCGTAGTACTCGTCCTCGTCGTTGCGCATCGTCTTGGCATGGGTCTCCTCCTCGCTGTCGCTGTTGTCGTCCAGGTCGGCGCCCGTCTTCGAGCCGGACTTGGCTCGGTTCTCGGCTTCGCGGAGGAGACGAGCTTGTCGGTCCTTGAGGCGCTCGCGGTAGGGAATGTCCATGTCGCCACCCGCGTCGCGACTGGCACCAGCGCGACGGTTGGCCTTTTGTGCGACCTGTGACGTGTAGAACTTGAGACTCTTCTTACGCGCGGCCTTGTCGGCAGCGGTGCGCGCATCGAGGCTCGTCTCTTCACCAAAGTCGGAGTCGGAGTCGTCCTTGGCGGCGACACTCTTTTCCTTCTTCTTGGTCTTCTTGGTGACGAGCGGCAGGTCGTAGAGGTCAGCGAGCTTGTCTTCCACGGCTTGGGCCTTGGCCATCTTCTTCGCCTTCTTCTCGGACAGGGCCTTGTCCGCGACCTTCTTCTGCTTCTTCCGAAGCTTCTTCTCAGTCTGATCGAGGGGCCCCTCAATGTCGTAAGGGGCGACGACCTCCTCTTCCTCCGCTTCTGCGCTTTGTAACGACTTGAGGTCTTTGATCTTGCGCCATGCTTCGCGACAATCGACCAAAGTCGCCATGACGTCGTGGTCCCGTAGCTCTAATGCCTCCAGGGCCTTTTGTTGCCTGCTAGAATCGCGCGCAGGCGAGGAGAGGATCGCAAAATATCCAGCTAACGCCGCCACGTAGCAGCCCAGGACCCAGTACTGGACAGCTTCTAGTGACTTGCTGCCACGAGCTTGGGCTTGTTGCTTGAGTACTTCCAGAGCAGCAGTCTGTTGCTCAAGCTCCGTCGCGATATGCTCAAACTCAGGATACCGCATCCTCAGCAGTCGTCGGCGCTCGTCCGTGCCCATATCGTCTGTGATTTCGACCTCTTTCAGCACTTCGGTAACCGGCTGGTCAGCCTCGTCCTCTTTTGATCCTTCAGTCGCCAGCCACTCGTCGCCGTCGAACATGAAATCCTCGTCGGTCATTTTGGAGAGCTTCTTCTGTTGCAGACGCTTTGCCTCAGCTTCTTCTTCGAGCGCATCGGCCTCCGTCTCAATCATGTCGGCGTTGTAGTACTCCTTCCTCGAAGACCCCCACCACCTGTCGTCGCCCTCCTCCTCGCCGTCACCTTCCTCTTCGTCCGACTGGACTCCCTTTGTCAACCTCTTGGACTTGGCCAGCTGCTTGACATCCACGTCGTCTACTTCATCCGCCTCTTCGGAATCATCGTCGAGATCGTCGAGGTCGTCGTCCGAGAGCTCAATGTCGTCGCCAGCCCTCTTCCTGCGCTTCATATTCGGCTCATCATCGATCATGATCTGGTCTCGGTTGATGAAGTATTCGTCCTCCGAATCTGCGACATCTTTGTAACTGGTAATGGGCCCGAGGCGCGCATCTGCAGCGTCGACCTCGCGGGGCCCTGTCGGCTGCGTATTGCGGCCAGAAGCCTTTCTTTTCTTCGCCATGTCGGTCGGTCGTGGTGGCTGTTGATTGACCAAGTCCGTGTAGGCAATAACGTGGGTGGGACAACAAGCCTGGCGGTTGGGATTCAGAAAATTTCCAGTTGCGATAAGAAACGGCGGCACGATAAGAAGACGGGCCCCCACTCCAACGTTTACTAACGCCGGCCGAGAAGGCGGAACTATGTCCGACAGACTCTGGCTGGAGGGACTTCTGTTTGGAGCGACGTAACCATCACCGATAAGTGTACTAATAAGGTGACAATTGTCTTTTGAGCTTCCGCTCAATAAGCTCATCGCTTACCGCGCTCTGAAGTATTTCCACCCGGGACGCATACCACGGGCATGCTGGAAAATGGGTCGGCAAGTGACGTGACCGATGGGCGCACGCACGCACGGATATTTGAGATCTGCGTGTGCAAAGCAGCTGTCAAGCAACAAGCTGGAAATGCTATGGTGGTTCTTGACCTGACAGTATCTTGAGTAGCGAAATTCCACCTTTTTATAATACTTGTAATGTATTCCAACATTACGTACGCATCCGTTAACGACTTAACGTTAAGTTAGGATGGTGATGGACCCTGAATGTGAACGTCTGTGCCTAAAAAGTAGCGTCCCTCGTTGATTACAGGGGCTGGCACTGGACAGGACATGACACGGACTGTGGAGCCGCCCGCTGACACCGCCTGGCCAGCCGCCAACCTCCTGCCCCATTGGCATCAGCCGACCTCCTTCTTTCCTGCCCTTGTTCGCGATTTCCTCCACACTCGAGGGAGCCTGAGGTATTACATGTGCGTAGCCTCGTCGTGTCTTCCTTCGAGTGGCCTGGAACTACTCCGTACGGACAGTAGGGGACGAGTCAGCACACTTGCTCCAGCCGTGTCATCAAGACGCGAGGCCACACTCTTTCACAACTCCCAGCGTTCCTTACTCGGGATTGCTTTGGCAGACAGTGACATCAACCTCGAGGCGTGCCGCGGCGACAGCTTGGCTCCACAGCGGCGTGCATCATCTGGGGTCGTTTGACACACTCTACTCGCCCACGTGAACAGCCTTCCAAGACCTAATATCCGCCTCCACGATCGTCGGGCCAAATACGAGTCTGGAGGCACGTCCCTCGCGAGGCCTCACGGGCTCATTCCAGCATCTACACCAGCTTGCTGCCCTCGTGAGCAATCCTGCCCTGGCCTACTGCTGCCCGCACCTTTGGTTCTCATCCGTGGTGTCGAGCTTAGCACGCCCTCACTAGGGTCCCAACTTTGAGGACAAGTCCCTCTTTAGACATCCGGCAACCAATCGCTAGGACCTCATCCACCTTCACCGAAACCTTGCCGATGCCATTGCTGCTCGACTCGCGGCGCACTCTCCTCCCTCGATAACCGCCAGCCGCCGCCAACTGCCACCATGTCCGGTCTCAGCAGGGAAAACTCCTTCTCCCAACCGACGTCCCCTCTTTCGCGGCGACCGAACCTCGAGCGACATGTATCCCTTGGAGCCGATGAGCGGACAGCTCTGCTCGGTCGATCGAGGTCCAGGATACGCCTCCGCAGTGAGACATCTTCGCCTAAACGCGGGAGCGATATTGCGAGGCACGGAGCATACACAGGTATATGCTACGAGTCATTGGGAAGACCTAGCGCTGACTCGTTGTTTGTGCAGGTGGCCCTCGTGCCCGTCACCATAGCCGACATCCATCCTGGGGCTCTAGGATCATCCATGCTCTATCCGACCGACAGCAATCTATCTCGGGCCCGTCCAAGGAATCTTCCTCATTCGCGGACGACCGTGTGTGGTACGATCAGTTCACCAGCACAGATTGGGTTCACGATACCATTGCGGACTCGTACCGCGTAAAGGCGCTGCGGAGTCGCAAGGACTTCTGGGGGCGCATCTTGGTCATGCTGGATGGCGTACAGGGGTGGATACTCAGTGCCTTGTCTGGCTTCATCATCGCGCTTGTTGCATATACGGTGAGCGTCGCCGAGACTGTCGTGTTTGACTGGAAGGATGGCTACTGTGCTACGGCATGGTATCGCAATGAGCAGGATTGCTGCCCGGACGGACCCTGCGAGGACTGGAGAGACTGGACAGAGGTAATCAAGTCTCACCCTTTCGGTAAGGTTGGCACTGAGTACGTCATCTACCTACCCATGGTGGTAGGCCTTGCCTGTGCATCATGCTGGATGGCCTTGTTCACCAAGACGGTCGTGCCATCCGCCTACCGCATGTCTACCTTTGATGAGAACCTAGGCGCAAGCGGGGTGCCCATCTTGGCGGAAGACATTCAGACCGACGATGACGAGAACCCTCGACAGCCACCTGTCGAGCCGGAGCCGCCCGCGCCGATGGTCTACTATCCCGCTGCAGGCAGTGGCGTTGCCGAAGTTCGCGTCATTCTCAGCGGCTTCGTCCTCCACGGCTTCCTGGGCCTGAAAACCCTCTTGATCAAGATGTCTGCCCTGATTCTCAGCGTGGCGTCTGGGTTGAGCATAGGCAAGGAAGGCCCCTATGTGCACATTGCGACGTGTGTGGGCAACATCCTCTGCCGTCTTTTCTCCAAGTACGATCGCAACGACGCCAAAAGGCGCGAGGTCCTCTCTGCGGCGGCCGCCGCTGGTGTTACTGTCGCCTTTGGCGCTCCGTTGGGTGGTGTTCTCTTCAGTCTGGAGGAAGTCTCATACTTCTTCCCCGCCAAGACCTTGTTCAGGACATTCTTCTGCTGCATAGTGGCGGCTTTGTCCCTCAAGTTCCTGAATCCTTATGGCACGCACAAGATTGTCATGTTTGAGGTTCGGTACTATGTGGACTGGGAGTACTTTGAACTCGTCAGCTTCATTTTCACTGGTGTTATTGGCGGTGCAGTCGGCGCCCTCTTCATCAAGGCGTCCAAGCTCTGGGCCGAGAGCTTTCGGCGCATTCGCGTCATCAAAAAGTGGCCACTCCTCGAAGTGTTCATCGTTTCGCTTGCGACTGCGCTGCTGAGCTACTGGAATGTGCTCACCAAGCTGCCCGTCGCCAAGCTTCTCCTGAATCTCGCCTCGCCGTGCGACGATCCCAACATCAGCAAGGAAGAGCTTGGACTTTGTCCCAGCTCTGTGGACGATATCCCTGATATCCTCATCACATTGCTCGTAGCGTTCCTGATCAAAGGCTTCTTGACAACGATCACATTCGGCATCAAAGTCCCTAGTGGTATCTATGTGCCGTCCATGGTCACAGGTGGACTGCTGGGCCGCATGATTGGCCATCTTGTGCAATGGGCTGTGCTCAAGACCCCGGATTGGTCAGTCTGGGGCACTTGTTCAACAACACATGACGGAACATGCATCCAGCCAGGTGTATACGGTCTCATTGCTGCCGGTGCGACCATGTGTGGTGTCACCAGGCTCTCCGTGACCCTTGCCGTAATCTTGTTTGAGATCACCGGCAGTCTCGACTATGTGCTGCCCTTTTCGCTCAGCATTCTCGTGGCAAAGTGGACGGCTGACGCAATTGAGCCCAACAGCATCTATGTGAGTGCTTCAAAAAAACAATGACACATAGGCAACTGACTTGGCTAGGATCTTCTCACTGCAATGAATTCGTACCCCTTCCTCGACAACAAGCACAAGCCTGTTTTCACGGGTGAGCTATCTGATATCCTGCCACGGGTGCGCCGGGAGCGAATCATTGATATTTCCAACTCACCCGTCATTCGAGCGTCAAAGCTGCGCAGTAAACTGGAGCTGCTGCATCGCGCTGGTGAACTGGATGGCGGTCTGCCACTGCTGCGCAATGGCGTTCTCGTTGGTCTGATCCCAGCCCCTGATTTGCAGTTTGCTCTGGATCAGCTGGATGACGAGGAGAGCACGCTTTGCGTAATGGACCGCATCCCTCACGCCAACCAAGAAGAGGAGATCCTGGACGACCCGAGCGACTTTACCAAATACATTGACCCGGTAAGTTCGGCGCAGAAGAAGACCTTGTCCGAGCAGCCACTGACTCCAGCGCAGGCGCCCGTGTCACTCGATATCAAGTCGCCAATGGATCTGGTGTACGAATGCTTTTCGAAGCTCGGATTGAGATATATCTGTGTACTGAGAGATGGCAAGTATGCAGGCATGGTAAGTCACCCAGTAGCGGCTCTGATGCGATGAGGCGCTGACACACAGGAAGACTCACAAGAAAACTTTTGTCAAATACATGCGTGAGCAGCACGAGGAGGAGTACTCCATATGATCGCATATGATGCGATCACTACACGATGGCTTTTGACAAAGACAAGACATATCTAGACAGAGAGTTGTAACTGGACAGGGGCTTGCTTGATACGGCATTGATTTATTTAGCTTTGCTTTGGGCAGCATCGCATTGATGGGCGCTACTTAGACTCCCTCGCATGCATAGACTGGCGCGCGGATTGCATCTGAGTTTAAAGACAATTGATTTTCATATACAAGTAGACTCTCTGACGAACCCAAGCCATATGAACTTGGGCATGGCGCACCATAATGCCAGGTGCCAGCGATGAGCACTTGACAATTCATCGGCTCCAGTCTCTCCAAACAATCAAATCTGGGGTAGTACCACTACAGAACTCCCGGTCCGGCTTCGGACCCGGGCCGGGGGGCTAGTTGCGCGATACGTACATAAATAGTACGTATTGTGAATGACGCGTTACGCCCACTCTGATGTCGAATTGCAGCGCTATCAACTGTGGTGTGGAACTGTGCATTCCCCCGCCGTGCGAGACGATGTATTCTCTTCACGAGAGCACCGTGTGTATTGTATCACTGGCAAGTGCACAAATCTTGGTCGGCCAGCGTGAGCATCTCGTCATGATCACTTTCCTTGTTGAAGAGTGAACTTTCTCGTGTTAGACATCTCTCAGTCTTATCTCAACTATGACTCGGATACATATTCCGCTGTGGAGTACTCATTCTCCATATCGTTGAAAAGAAATCAATCATTTCATTAAGTTCTAGCTACGTGCTAACTTGGAGTAGAAAGCGGATTGGAGAGAGAATGCCTAATCAAGCGTACGCCTACTGGCGTAATCCAATAGGGCGTGTTGAACAAAACAATGCACGAATTACCCCGCGGACAACAGCTCCGACTCGGAGCCTAAGCGACTGATAAGCCGCCACAACCCGGCTGGCTCGTGCGGTGTGCGGTGTACGATAAGGACCCTTAATAAATTTGGGGAAAGCGCGATCCGGGCCGGTGCAGTTTACATTACGAGATATGACACCAGCTTGTCAAGCTTTCGCTGTTCTTGGTGGGAGGGGAAGGCGAGAGGCCTTCTGCCCATGGGGATAAAGATTGAGGTGCTCCCTGTCCTTGTCTTCACCTTTAATTCAGCATTCCAAACTTTATCGTCTCATCCAACTACCCCAAAGGACTCGTTGTTCGCAGTTGGAGAAAGTGGTTGCGTACCTTAGCCTCACACACTTCCAACACTTCGATCGGGCCCTGACCTCTTGCTTCCGAATCTTCACAATCGAGAGTACACTTGCTCACGATGCTGCCTACCATGGCTTGGAGGCCATCAGCAACCGTCAACATGCGGGCTGCCCTCTTCCACAAATCTCGAATCGCCACTGTCGTGGGGCAGCCGCGACGAATGCTGGCCACTGCTGCCGCCCAGCACCAACCAGGCCATGCAGAGCGACAGCAGCCTTTCTACGCGGGCGAGCCGGCAGGGCCCAGCGTCAAGACGGCCATTCCTGGCCCGCGGAGCAAGGAGTTGGCCAAGGACCTGGACACGGTCTTTGACACGCGGGCGCTGAACATGTTGACGGACTACAGCCGGAGCTCCGGGAACTACATTGCGGATGCGGATGGCAACATGCTGCTTGATGTGTAGGTTTCCCACCAATCGTTGGTCAAGCGCCGAGGGCTGACTCTCATGCTTCAGATACGCCCAGATCGCCTCGATCCCTGTGGGCTATAACAACCCAGCTCTCGCCAAAGCTGCCTCCAGCCCTGAGATGGTCAGCGCAATCATCAACCGCCCGGCGCTCGGCAACTTTCCTCCCCACGACTGGGCCGACGTGCTCCGCTCGGGCATCCTCAAGGCGGCGCCAAAGGGCCTGGACAATGTGTTCACGGCCATGGCTGGCTCGGATGCCAACGAGACCGCATTCAAGGCGGCCTTTATGTACCGGCGCCAGCTTGAGCGTGGAGGCCGCGATGTCGAATTCACCCCCGAGGAGATTGAGAGTGTCATGAGCAACAAGGGACCAGGTGCCTCGCAGCTTTCCATCCTGTCCTTCAAGACGGGCTTCCACGGCCGTCTCTTCGGCTCCCTCTCGACGACTCGTTCCAAGCCCATCCACAAACTCGACATTCCCGCCTTCGATTGGCCTCAAGCAACCTTCCCTCAACTCAAGTATCCCCTTGAGGAGCATGCAGCCGAGAACGCTGCTGCCGAGCAGGTCTCCATCGACGAGGTGGAGCACTTGATCAAGTCCTGGCATCTGCCTCCTGCAGCTATCATCGTAGAGCCCATCCAGTCAGAGGGAGGCGACAACCACGCATCGCCAGACTTCTTCCGCAAGCTGCGCGAGGTGACGCGCCGCCACGGCGTGCTGATGATCGTCGACGAGGTGCAGACTGGTATCGGCGCCACGGGACGCTTCTGGGCACACGACCACTGGAATCTCCAGGACCCGCCTGATATGGTCACCTTCTCTAAGAAGGCGCAGGCTGCGGGTTACTACTATCGTATGCCGGAGCTGCGGCCCAACAAGCCCTACCGTCAGTTCAATACGTGGATGGGCGACCCAGCGCGCGCGCTGCTCTTCCGCGCCATCGTCGATGAGATTGAGAGGCTCGATCTCGTCAACAACACGGCGAACGTGGGTGCCTATCTTTATGGCCAGCTGGAGCAGCTGTCAAAAGTGCATCCCGACCATTTCCAGAACCTCAGGGGTAAGGGCCAGGGCACATTCATCGCTTTTGATACGCCCAAGAGAGACGAGTTCCTGGTCAAGGCCAAGTCTCTTGGAGTCAACATTGGAGGCAGTGGCGCCACCGCCGTTCGGTTGAGGCCTATGTTGATACTGCGCGAGAGCCATGCCGACATCTTGGTGGACGTGCTCGATAAGATTGCGAGGTCATTCTAATTTGTCTTTCGGCACCTCGGCGTTACACATGTTTTCTAACTGCTCCACACTCGGAAATGTAGTGATGGAGTGTGCTTGAGTCTTTCAACTCGTAAGACAGTACAGGATCTAGACAGGTCTAGGCCATATTTGAATTTGATGCATCTACCAGCCGACCTCGTGGGACGAGAAGGCAGATTGAGGAATGGTGTTCCAGACACTTTCGGCATTTGTGCACGTTATCTTCAACCTGGTGTCCCATTCAAGAACCCTGGCTTCGACGGTTGAAGCAGTGCAGTATTCCGTAGGAATAAACTCCCGGTTGAGGGCTTGAGCAATGCTATGCCTTTCTTCTTGACTCCGACTTCCTCCGTTGTTTGACGCTCTAATAATGTTTAGTCAACAGAGCACACGGCAACAGGGGAGGAATGCTCACTCTAGATTCGTTGGCTCTCGTGAGCCGATGTGGTGTCTGGCGCGCGGGAGTGTAGGAGATTATCTGGTGGCACGGGGCCGAGAGTCTCTCAACCTCCCCGCGGGACGAGATTTGGCTGATATGCATATTCAGATGCCGAAAGATCTCTGGGAGATATGGAAGCCGGGGCGTTCCTAGGCCGCTCTTGTCTTGGTGACATTACGGTATGTTGGGTCCGGGGACTGCGCGATGTTCTTGTTGTTGTTGCAATGTACGCCTCAGGTGGGGTCATCGGGCGCGCTGTCGACGAGGGGCTGGTCAGTATTGATGACATTGACGCGCGTTTTGCCCCTGGAGGTGCTGCCGGCTCAAGCTCAGGCGGTCTCAAAACTGGCGAAGCACCTGTCGCCTGGGGAGCGGTGATCTGAAGCCGTGGTGACAAGCCAGGGGCTTGAAGGCTGTTTGGCCGCGGTAGCAAAGGTTGGAGTTCCTTTTTGGCCTTGTCGGCTCTTGAAGGGCGACCCCTTTTCCGCCTTTGCTCGGGCTGTGGAGGGCTTGAAGGCCTTCGGTACTCAGCGCCAGTGGGACGAGGCAGAATAGGGACATGAGGTGCCGTCAAAGGCGGCAGCGCTTGGTAGCCTGGTGGTTGCAAGGGACGATAAAGCCCGCCGTAGTCGGGGAGCTCAGGCACTGCCACTCTTTTTGCTGCGTGGTACTCGCCATGGTCGCTGGAGAGGCGCCGCTTTTGTAACAGTGTAGGATATCTGTCTCGCAGAGCTGACTCGCACTGGTGGATGGTTCGACCTAGGGGTTGTCAGCGACTCTGGCAGTAGTACTCATCCAGACGCTGAAGGCTGACCGTGTGGTATCTGCATGTTTCGCCAGTCGGCGTCGACATTTTGGGATTTGATGAAATCCACTAGACTGTGAACATTGATTTGACTGGTCTTGATAATTTCGGCAAGCACAAAGCGCTGCTCTTTCTCTGTAAAAGGCTCCATCGTAAGGACTTCAGCGCCAGGCTGACTCTCAGAAAAGGACTGAGTGATGACTGAAAGGAACACGGTAGCGAGATGTCTGCTCGTGAGGCATCAGGGAAGCTTTATGCACACAGCTTTGACTGTAGATGGGCTCGGTATCGCGCCCTGCTTGGGGAACAGATGAGGCACGGGCCTTGTCGGGCGTCGCTGTTGCTTGCTTCTTTCTTCTGTGGGCGGTCGTTGATCGAGTCCAGCAGTATGACGCCACCGAGTATCTTGTGACAAGCACGCGAGAGTACGAGTCTTAGGTTGGAGGTAGACGTGGTCTGTCGCTAGCTCTTCGTTCGTCGATGGAAGCGAGGGGTCCAGAGAGCCATAATAACCGAGTATGTGGAAGGACGTACGTCCGATGGACCTCCCAAGGGACGAAAAGGAGGCGAAGCTTGACTGAATCGGGCCCAGTGCAAAGGTGAGTGAAGGGGAAAAGGCACACAACGCAGGTTATGCCTTGAAGACTCGTTCCCGCGAGCCGCAGCGCCTCGTTGGCTGCTGCAGGGAATCAAGGAGCAGGAAGGCGGATTCCAGGTTGACCAGTCGTCCCTGTGCTCTAGGCTGTCGCGCGAGCCAGGCTTGCCGGGGTGTTTGCGCGGGTGCGGGTCGACGCCGGATGGGTACAGTTGTTGGAGGGGCTCGCGGCGCTGAGCAAGGGTCCTGTGATCCCACCATGAGGTACCTGGAAGTAGTACTACTAGTCAGAGGGGACTACTTTGTCCGTTGTCGATGCTAGCCTAGTGACTCGTCACTGATAGGCTGTGTGTAGACTGCAGTGCATAATGTGCCTCTCGTGTCGTTACGATGCAGATACGTACGACGTGGAGGACTGGATCTAGAAGGCGCGTCGGTACTCGGTGGGCAGCGAGTTGCTGCAGTCGATAAGGTGGTCGATGAGCACTGGCAGCTACATTTCTTGCCATCGCAGCATCATGTGCGCGTGCAGAAAGCTGAGCAGCGCGAGAGATGCTTCAGGTTGTCTCGCTTGGACAAAGTGGAAGAAGTACCAGGCAGCCGTGTGCCAGAAGGAAGGTACATCCGCCTGGGCCCCTGGGGTGGCAGAGCAGTACTGTATAGAGCGGTACCGTAGGGGTATGGTCAGTCAGTACCGTACAGCTAGGTTTCTTCAGTCCTTTTTGCCTCCCGTCTCCAGTCCTCTAGTCCTGCTGACTTGCTGCATTACATGTATGTCTGCACTGTAGAGGGACTGGACATACCTGAGCAGGGTTCGTGGGCTCATGGACTGGAGACTGGACTGGACGGACATGGCGCATTGTAGCGCTTGCTGGGCGAGCCAGCGGGTCCGGTCTTTCCCTGCCGCGCTGCGCTGCGCTACCACCTTGACGCAGACGCGACAGCGCGCATGACCTCTGCGACTGGAGTGGCCCCAAACACCTGCAGTTTTCTCATCGTACATTCCCGTGCCCGGTCGCCAGTTGTAGCCGACCCAAAGTGCAAGCAAGCACCATGCGCACCCGATGCTCAGACGAAATGTGCTGGTCGCCTGGTCGCCTCTCCTGCTCCCAGCAGGGCGTCGTGTTGTTGAGCGTCTAGGCGCATGCCGCTCGACAGTAGGCATTCTGCTGAGACAGACAGACAGGATTGAAGGTGGGTGGGTGCCTTTCCACAACCTTGATGCGTCATTGCCCAAGGCAACTTTCACGGCCATACCCATACGAGCACCAGGGCTGATCGTCTGACGGCAGTCCATTTCATTGCCGCTGTTTCTGCAGCTGATATCTCCGGTGGGCTCTGCGCGCAAGCCAAGACTTGATGATGCTCTCGTGTCTCAGTCTCCCCTCCGAACCGTTCATTCGTTTCGTTTGTGGATGGTGGGCAATGGATCGTCTGGCGCCCCGTAACTGATGCGACAGTCCATTGCCATTACACTCTTCAGCTCTCACCAAGCGATCATTGCCTCCAGTCCTCAGAACGTCGGCATCGCCAACACTACCGATGAGTGTTGATCCTGCGGCTCGACGTGCAGGTGCATCCCGCTGACTGCCACACGAACTTGGCCAATCCCGCCCGCAGCCCTCCGGATCGCCTGACTGCATTCTCCATCCATTTGGATACAAGCCTGCAGGACTTGCAGACAGTAGCTCGGAATCTGCGTCGCGCAACCCCAGGCTTGTTTGTGTATCGGTCGATCACAGGGTATCCAGAACTCGCTGGACGCGCATCCATGATCAGTCGCCCAGGAGCAGCTTGGCAAGCCCACGTCTTCGAGGCCAAGCTCCCCATCCCGAGTCCCTTTGCCTCCGCCTGGTGCAGCCTATGCTGCAAGTGTCGAGGTGGGCATTGCAGATGGCCGCGATAACTGGCCTCGAGGACAAATCCGGTGAATGTCCCTGGTTTAACTGGTCGAGCTCTTCCGAAGCCTTTTGCGTCGCCTCTCGCCAATCAGGCCACAGACACGTCCAGATGCAGCTTTCTCCACGAGTTCGTCACAGGTGACGGACGACGACATGTGCTGCGCTGGTGTCCTGATTGGTGAGGCATGTCAAGGAACGCCAACGACTGCAGGTTCTGATCGCAGCAGCGTTCTGGTTGTCATGAAAATTAGCACGAGGTGAAGAACATAACTACCACGCCACCGACCTCGCTGGCGGCATCGACCGCTCCTTATAAGATGTGCCGGCTCTGCAACTAATTACTGCCACTGCTTCCCTGATGGACTCGAGAGCATGCATAATGAGCTGGCAGCACAGCAGGGCTACTGCCCCACCCATGTACAACACATCAGAGATCTGGACAAAGCAACCCCAAGGGCCCAAGGACTGAAAGCCTTCACCGGGGTCTATTGGTTGGCGTCTACGCTTGCAAACGATCGTGGCTGCAAATGACGTTCGTGGGGAAGCTGACCAACCTCACTGTCCTAGGCCGGTATATACGGATGATGAGCTGACCTACACAGACCAGACCGACAAAACCTGAACCCGCCCAAGACTGCAGCATTTACGAGTAGCAAAGGAATTACCCGTGCCAGAGCACCGTCATCCTCGGCAAAGACTAGACACGTGGTGTTTCCGCCATGAGCCGGTCCCGAGTAGCGGTCAAGCTCATGCATTGTACTTCGTACGTACCTAGCCTGGGTCCTAGGACGAGGTCCAAAAGCTCTCTGGCGACCAGGCTCGCGATTTATCCCAAGGCTTTGTACATGGGCCAGCCAGAATGAGCTCATCATCCAGAGAATTGGTCGAGGTGTATTTTGTGACGTTGGGATCCAGCCTTGGTGGATTGAAGGACGGTATGTGGTCAGAGATCTGATCTACCTTACCTTATACAACAGCTCGTGCGAACAACGCTCCTCCGGCGTACATACTGCTAGCGATATTTCATAGACACCACCTTCAATGTTTCTTCCAAATTCAGAAGTGCTGAAGCTTGCGTGGCCTGTTGTGGTGGCTTGTCTTTGCACGATGAACTCCCATCTGCTTCGAGGTTCAATGTCAGCGACGCACGGACCACGTCGCCTTTTCTGCGACCGACCACGGACTGGCTGGCTGGCCGGCCGCCGCACCAACGCCAGCGCGCCTCATCAGCGGTTTACTTTGTGCTTGAATTCGGCATCCACCGTTTCTCCTCCCAAACAACGCCTTTTGCTGCCTTCCCGGGGGTCTATGAGTCCTTCTATACCTCGCTAACTCACCTGCATCAGCGCTTCCTACTTTCGCGCCGAGTCCGCTGCCGTTCTAGCCTCAAAAGGGATTTCCTTCCTACGCGTTGGCCACTTCCTTCCCTGCGCGCGCCAGCCAGCGACGGCTCGACACTTTGCCGAAAACCCCCCTCGCGCAACACGGAAGCCACGCAAAGCCCACAACCACCATCGACTCAGGCTTGAAAGTGGACAGTGGCCATTGTTCTCCCGTGTGACCTCATGTCGTAATGGAGGAGGAGGACCGCACGGCCAGCAAGATGAGCGGCATAAAGCTGGAGGACGGCGCTGTGGATGGCGCGCGGCTCGACGGTGAGGCGATGGCTATCCTCCCCAAGAAGGAACCGAGCGACGTGAAGAGCGAGAGGTCGCCCGCGCCCCCTGTATCAATGGACATCAAGTCGCGCAGCCAGAGCGTGGAAACCCCGACGGCCATGCAAAAACCAAAACTGAGTCGGAAAGCATCGCAGCAACCCCCGAGACCACCGGTCCTCTACACCGACCTGCCCGATGCGACCGACGAATCGTGCGAGACATTTCAGGTCATCCCAGATTGCTTGTACGGGTCAAAACATTTGGGCTCGACGGACAATGACACTTTCGACTGCGATTGCAACCAGGCATGGAGTAGGTTTTTTTTTCACTAAAACTGCGAGGCGGGAGCGTCGTGCGCTGACAGACTGTAGGCCAGGGGAAAAACGATGCCTGTGGGGAGGATTCGGATTGCATCAACCGCGCCACCAAGATGGAGTGCTCCTCGACCGGCAACTGCGGTGGAGGCTGCCAAAACCAACGCTTCCAGCGCAAGGAATACGCGCAAGTCTCTGTCATCAAGACGGAGAAAAAAGGATTCGGCCTGCGCACTGACGCTGAGTTGGAGGCTAACGACTTCATCTTCGAGTACATTGGCGAGGTCATCAACGAGCCGACGTTTCGCCGACGCATGGTGCAATACGACCAGGAGGGTATCAAGCACTTTTATTTCATGTCCTTGAGCAAGTCGGAATTTGTCGACGCTACGAAAAAGGGCAACCTTGGTCGATTCTGCAATCACTCCTGCAACCCCAATTGCTATGTCGACAAATGGGTCGTCGGCGACAAGCTGCGGATGGGCATCTTCGCCCTGAAGCAGATTCAAGCGGGTGAGGAGCTGGTGTTCAACTACAACGTGGACCGCTATGGCGCGACACCCCAAGTGTGCTACTGCGGCGAGTCGAACTGCATAGGGTTCATTGGCGGGAAGACCCAGACCGAGCGCGCAACCAAGCTGCCAGCAGCCACCGTGGAGGCACTCGGTATCGATGCGGACGATGGCTGGGACACCACTGTTGCGAAGAAGCCACGCAAGAAGCGGGTCGAAGAGGATGACGAGGAGTATGTCAGTAGCTTGCAGCCTCGCAGTCTCACCGAGGAGGACGCTACCAAGGTCATGGCCACGCTTCGCCAGTGCAAGGAGAAGTGGATCGCTGTCAAGCTGATGGAGCGTATACAGCGCTGCGAGGAGGACCGCGTGATGAATCACATTACACGGCTGCACGGCTACCAGATCCTCAAAACCGTCCTCAACAACTTTTACGACGATGCGAATCTTGTCCTGCAGGTATTGACCATCATGGACAAGTTTCCTCGGATCACGCGCAACAAGATCCAGGACTCCAAGATCGAAGCGGCCATTGAGCCGCTTGTTCGGTCCGAGCACGAGGACATTGCAGCCAGGGCCGACAAGCTCATGAAGGAATGGAGTCAACTGGAGATGGGATACCGTATCCGACGGCGTCAGAACGACGGCAATACGCCTTCCGTCAATGCCTTTGACGATCGACGAGGTGCTACAGCGCGTGAAGAAGAGAAGGCGCCGGCGCCAGCGGCACAGCCCATCGACGCACCCAAGGGTCCTCGGGGCAACATGCCGCAGCAGCGCAGCAACGGACATGCGTTCCAGGCTCCGCGACCACGCCCAAGGCATTTCCACAGCAATCGTGGGGCACTGCCCGAGGGCTGGTCGGCCACTGAGGACAAAGACGGCCGGACCTACTTTTATGACAGGCAGGGGGTCACAACATGGGTCCGACCTTCCAAGCCGTCGATCCAGCCCGTGGTGAACAAGGCGGCGCAAGAGCAGCTTGCGATTGCGGATATCATCAAAAAGGTCACGACAGAATCGCAAGCGTCAAAGCAGCAGGCCGCTGCCGGCACGCCCAAGTCCGCAGAGTCTTCTGCGAAGGAACCTAAAGATGAGCATTGGCGGTCACTGCCACTCGAGAAACAACAAAAGCTGTACGAGAGAACCGTAGGTCCATCCATTGCCCATTGAAGTCATACACCACTAACAGATCCTAGATACACCCCCACGTGAAATTTGTGGTCGACAAGTTCGGAAAGAAGCTTCCAAAAGAAGAACTCAAGAGGCTCGGCAAGGAAGCCTCCAAGAAGATCATCGCCTCTGACTACAAGCACAGCAAGGTGGTGGACCCGACGATTCCCGTGACGGATAAGCAGAGGCACAAGATCAAGAGCTTTGTCAAGGAATACCTCGACAAGGCAGTCTTCAAAGCTCGAGAACAGCAGTCCTCGGGAGCGTCGGGGACACCTGCTAGCATCGCAGCCCACAATGACTCCGTCAGGGTCGACGGCAGCGCCACGCCCACTGATTCGCCAGCCCTCAATGGGACGGACGAGGTCATGAGCGATCAAGTCAATGGGCAAACACCCTCAGACGTAGATCGCAAGCGCAAGAGAGACGATGCGACCGCTGACTCACCCGCATCCCAGCTCATAGACAGTCACTACTCGAAGCGTGCCCGTGAGGCTGGGGGACCGCAGGATACGACGCCCCCACCCCCACCTCCGCCGCCGGCTGGTGCTATTGGCCTGCAGGACGATGTATCACCCGAGGAGCGGGAAGTCCTCTGCCAGCAAGAAGAAGCACTGATGAGAGAAAACGAGGAGGCTCAGCGCATGGCCGACGAGGCCTCTACAACGGAGCATTTGGAGCATAGAGCCGACGAGATGCAGAGAGAGATTGACTTGGTCAAGGGGGCATCTAATCAGGAAGTCATGGGTCACTAAAGGCGTTGGAGGCGTTCTCACAAGCCACAGGCCACAAGCCACAGGCCACGTCATCCAGGTATATAAAGCCTTGGCGCTGGCCACCCCACTTCGAACTTACCAACCTGCACACCTCTATAGTAACTTACCTTACCTTTGTATCGTCAGGTCATCACAAACCATCCCACACAGCCATAGACACGGTCTATCCATCATTCTCCATCACCATGCCTCCTGGTCAATTACCTCCAACGATTGGCGAGTTCACGCCGGAAGACATGAAGACTTTCCTGAAGACTTTCGTGCAAGAGACGGTGCAAGAGATGGAGCCGTTTCTGCTCAATATTGCCACCAAAGCATACGAGCGATCAACCGACTACCGATCCTCTATACATGGCCTCTGGATCTTGCAAAAGCTATCGCCTGCCACACGCTCTTCTATCGCAGAAGCCGGCAACCAGCTGATACGTTTTCTCTTATAGACCATGAGAAATAGCTGCGTGTTGGTATGTATTCATAACACTGTTGACTTTACGAGCTATACTTACATTTGATAGACGATTTATATCATCACTGCCGGCGCGATCACTCAAAGAAAGGCATTACTACACCGAGTAGAGTGGTACCTAGCTGCAATCACTTCGGTGACGATTGTGTTAGCAATGTTAGTGATGGGGCTTTACTCCAAATACTCACAATAGCGACAGCGAGGAACACAGCGAGGAATACAGCGATAATTCATAATTCTAATTCAATGACTACTCGCTGGTATCATTTGGTTCTCGTCAATCCTCGTCCGAGTCGTCGTCCTTTCTCCTTTTCCTTTTGCCAGGGGCACTTTTGGTATCGTTGCCATCCTCGACCTTTTTGATAAATACGTAGCTTCTCGCGCTCCGCTGTTCACCTTTCCAGCCACCGCCCTCTTCTCCTTTCCTGTTCTTGATCACACCACATGTCCTCGCGTGCTTATAGCCAGGATAGGCCTCTGCTTGAAAGGCAAAACTCCTCTCGACCTGCAGCCCGCAATGGCGGCCCAGATCGCGAATGTTCCACAAGGTGTACGGTTCGCCCTCAAAGAGGGTGACGATGATCTTGCCGTCGGGCGCGAGGATGGGAAGCACGCGCTTGAACGTCTCGACCAGGAGGTGCTGGTTGTTCCGTACTTGGCGGTTGACATCGGTCGACAGACCGCCTACATGGGGGAAGTTGAAAAAGACCCGGTTGGGTTTCGCGGGTCGCGCGACGACGGAGGGCAGAGGTTTGGTGGAGTCGATGTTGTAGAGGATCTTGTTGAGCCACGGCTGCTTCTTCTCGGGCGCTTCAAAGTCGGAGGGGTAGTCTTCCGGGTCAAAGTCGGACGGGAGATCGTCCTCGTCGTCCGAGGCCGGCGCGGGGGCGGTCGTGATGGCGTCAATGTTCTCCTTTGCGTGCGGATACTTTTCCAACACCTCTTCTTCCGATTTTTCGTACACGGTGGCGAGGACATTGGTGCAGTTGTGGTGTTTCACGAGGGACGCGGCAAAGCTGAGATCGCCCTCGCCGAGTAAAAGAATGCGATCCGTCTTGGAGAAGGGAATCGTCGGTTTCTCATGGTGTTTCTGCTGGTGAGGTTTCTTGGCCTGCGATTGGGGTTGTTGCTCCTGGACATGGCCCTTTTTGTAGTGGGGGCTCTTTGTGTTGGGCTTCACGACGAGCTTTGTGCGTTTCTTGGGCATGCTGAAGAATGCAGGTGACTGTGAAGTCACGAAATGCTTGAGCGCAAAGATGGCCAAGTGTGTTGTTCGCTCGTCGTCTGCGCGATGGGGAAATTTTTGGAGGTCTCAGCCTCTCATGCTGGATCGGACGTGGGGGAAGATGTTGCCCCCACTTTATGTAAGGGACCTGTAGTGGAGTGCTTCTTGTCATTGACAAGCTCGTGTGCAGTCATCGGGAGGCCAAGGACAGGAGAGACATATTAGCAGCTCATTATGCAGAAAAGGATGAGCAGCGGCGTCTCTTCTCTTGGATATTTTCCTTGTACTGCACCCCGATCGAAACCATGGCCAAGGCTGTCCAACAGGATTTGAGCCGCAATGATACTGATAGTGCCTCGCGTGCCTGTGAATACAAGCACTAACAACAGGCTTTGCGGGAGCGCTTGCCGCTTTGGGACAGGTAACGGCAGCGCATCGGCAACGCGCCGTCGCCCGGCCGTCCGGATCCGACGAGTCATTAGCCAAGTTCGGTCTACCATGCGCAGCAATGTCCAATGCTTCGGATTTCGTGTCTGCTCCAAGTAACTACACTCCTTTTTTTTTTCGAATTTTCCTCTTCTTAATTCTGAATGAACTGCGCCCGTCTTATCTCAAGCCTGGCGAATGCCTCTGCTAGGACTCCGGGTGCTATGAAGAACGATGTGGGGCAGGCAGTATTATAAGGTATCGATGCATTCTAGGCAGCTGTGGCAAGTAAATCATCACAGCCGTGGTGTAAAGCATTGGAAAGAGATCATGACCAGGCTTGATACATGCAGGATGGTGGCGGGTCATGAGAAGTATTTGCGAAGATGATGGTATGGTTGGCGACTGAGAGTGAGTCGAGCATTGATTGTCCTGGTCATTTCGCACGTCTCGTGGTCACCATCAGGTGGACCCACGAGCAATTGGGACTTGGGATGTGGCCACTATTACGCATCGCAATTAAGGGACAGCAGCTTGAGACGACGCATAATACTGCAGTCTTTGGGCACGAGAATACACTCATTCACCTTATCCGGAGCAGGAGATTATTTGATGGCCAGAGCAGCTGGCAGTGACACCCCTTAGACTTAGACCCCTGCGTGCCCGACCCAAAGAGACTTTGTCGTCAATGCAACGCAGGAGCCTCCATGTCGTCCATGCAGGTGTTACAGTGCACTGAATGCAGATTGCGCAAGGATTGCCATCTGGTGGTAGCACGAGGTGTACGCTGCCTATGTCGCGCGTTGCGCAGGGCGAACTAGGTCTAGTTCTTGCACAAGGTTGCTACCGTTGGTGCCTCACGCCCTTCCCCTCCCGGCTCTTCCATCAGTATACTTTGACCGGGTTTCTCGAAGACGTCGATCCTTTCAGCAGAAGTGATGCTCGGTCCAAAAACCACATTATTAAGGTATAGACCGACTGACCGAGCAGGAGGCAGGCGCACGCGGCACGAGGCTTGTTTGTGGCCTGTCCTGTAGACGGAATATCCAGCCGTCCGAGCCTATCACAGTGCATGAAACTCACCATTCGGTGTCCAAACAAGCCTAGCTCGGGAGGTGGGGTCAGAAGGGACTGCACCAGGAACCAATGAAACACACCCAGCTCAGCGGTACGTGCCGCTGGTGTTTGTCCACTCAGGCAGGAGCAGCCTGCACTGGGAAAATTGGACTCCTTTCGGTCCAAGTCCTCGTTCGTGCTTTTGGTAGCCATCAAGAGCCTGCAACAGCGACACGACACCCATCGCCATTTGCAAATTCATTCTGCAGAGGATTCTGGCACGTTTCGTGGTGTCTTTTTGCTCTGACAATCCGCACAGCGTTGCTGCGCTGTCCCAACGACAGGGAGTCTCTTACTTCGGTATTGGTATTGGCTCACTCACAGCCAGCCAGCCAGACCAGCCAGCAAACCCACTCAGGCCAGGTTAGCGGTCGCATCGCATCACATCCACTCTCACCCTCCAGCCTTCCGGACTGTCTTTTCCTGTACTCTAGGCCACGACATTCAATGCACCACGGCCTTTCCCCAATCTATCAATACCCTCTTCACATTCTCCGCTGCCTCATTTACGTTGAGAACTACTTTTTGATACCCCCCACCGCGCCGAACTGTCGCTGGCTCAGGACGCTCTATCACGTCTTTTTCTGTGCGCAGGCCGGCCTAGCGCACCCGTCTTTTCCCCTGCTCTCAGACAAAATCACATACACCTACGCTTTCCGTACGCCCTCTTGAGCGTCTCCTTCACATGATTGTCTTCACCCATCATGCCTTCAGAGAATTTTGATTCTCCCGTGCCTGACGCCTCGCCTGCACCAGCCACTCGCGGTCGCGGCAGGGGACGTGGGCGCGGTCGAGGGCGTGGCAACGGCAGGGGCGCTTCCAACAACGCTGCCGCGTCCAAGTACACTTCAAATCGAGGTGGTCGAGGAGGTGCTCGTCGCGGAAGGGCAAAGACCTTTTCGGAGCCTCGTGTGCAAGTGTCTTATGAGCGCACACGCGACCTCAAAACGACGTACAACACCGTGGCGTCCGTCTTAAAGCCCATCTTGCAGGAACTTGCTGAGCGCGGCATTGATCTACTCACAAGCAATCCCAATGCTTACAAAAAGTTCCCCGAGTACAATGAGGTGATGCAAGGGTTGCGAGAGCGCCTCGCCTTTCGCAACCGCTGCACTGAGAAGCGTCTTGAGTGGGATCTGAAGCTGGCCAAGCAGACGCGGGAGGCGGAAGAAAAGATCATCCACCAACAGTTCGAGGTAAGGCGCTGTCCGCCGCACTGCTCACTACACCTTATTAATCACATTGAAATCTACAGAAGCAGGCTGAAGACTTGCTCGAACAATATCTCGATGGCCAGGCGAACCGCCTCCGTATTCTGAGAGCGCTTCACGCCAAAGACCTCCCGGTTGACGTAGGTTCAACGTCCCTGCATTATGATTGGCTGGCTGGCTGACCAACTACCTTAGATCCGCGACGACCAGTATGAGTATAAAGCCATCACAGATGAGTATCTTGATGAGGAATTTGGCCCATGGGAAGAATATCTCGACGGTCGCCTTGTGCCTTACCCGGCTGGCGTTGTAGGCACAAAGTCTTGGCAACGCTCGCAGGAGCAGAAGAATGTCGAGGCGGCCCCAGCCCCATCCCACGCCTCTCTACTGGCTACTAACAATGTCACCTCCGCGCCTACCTCTGCGCCTACACCTCCTCCGGGCGCAAGGGGTCGCGGTCGAGGTCGTGGTGCTGGCGCTGGTGTTGCTGCTGGTACCAAGCGCAAGCCGCAGGGCGAGCCAGACGGCCAACCAACACCCAAACGGTCGACCAGGAACACCACTGACGATTTGCAAACCTCGCAAGCACATATCCCCGCCAAGGGGCTGCTAGCTTCCGCTGCCTCTGTTGACATTGACCCGGAGGGAACCCCAATGGAGGAGGATTCGCCACGCGCTACACCTGAGCCAGGCAGTTTCTTCTCTAACCCGCAGGCCAAGAACACCGACAGACTACCGGCTCGCGCGAGGAGCCCAACATTACCCAAAGCGACTGGCGAGCCAGACGAATATGGCATCAGAGTATACAACCAAAAGGCATCCTATAGGGACAAGATCCTTAATAGTCGCATCTTCGTGCCCCGGCCGTTCGAGTTCCAGGATCACGAGATTGGCTTTCGTGACAGTTCAAATGACTCAACCAAGGGTCACACTGTCGCAAAGCGTGGCAAATATCTGAACACGCCCAACAGCAACGGCTTACACATTGACTTTTGGTGCAACGGCTACGATTACTCGCAGTTGACCCCCGCGGATTTCGACCAGGACCTGGTCAAGAAGTATGGGGTGCACCCGCTGTACGGCATCCCGCTCCCGCAAAAGGGCAACGAAGACAAGAAATTGCCTCGCAACGAGCAAGAGGCTCAAAAACCATATGTAATGCCTGGGAAGCCAATCGTCTTCCTGGCCAACCCCTCGGGCAGGGAGTCCCACGCTTCGCGGGCGTACCAGTCGACAGTCAACACGCGGCGCATCCAAGACGGTCCGTGGCGCCGAAAAATGGCCGCCAGCTTGCGCCGTTTCTGCCACTTGGAGGAGGTCGACGAGGAGGAGATCTCTGTCGCAGAGTACCTGCCCACAGACGCCGAGTACAAGAAACGCTCGTTGGGCACCGCCCAGCGTGACCTCTCGGCTCGACCTACCCCTGCTGACCTTCGCCAACCCAAGGACGAGGTGGAAGACGAGCAGAAGGCTAGCGTGCTTAGTGAGCGCTTCGCCCAAGAGCGACCAGATCTCAGCATCTTCATCGATGCGGCCAGCCACATTGCGGCCGACGAAGAGCAGAAAGCCTCCGCTGCGAGACAGCCAGCCAAGGCCAGAAAATACGACGCCATCCGCAACATCTTCGTATCTGGCAAGGCAGATGAGAGCTCGGCGGCACCCCCGGCGCCCAGTTCCTCTGGCAGTCACGACAACGCACGGCTGAACGAGACGGCACAGATCATGCTAGAGATGGCAGGGCTGGCGAGCCAGAAGGCTGCGGCGTCTTCAAGCATGGGCCCCCCTGCAGATCGTACAGCTGTGACTCCAGCCTCGAACTCGACCTCAATGGCTTCTGGGCGCACGCCCGTTATGGAAAGCCAGAAGCCTGTGGCCCCTGAGCGTGGAGCCAGCTACTTGCCGCCCTCCAACATTCGCGGCTACGGAGAACCATCCCAGAGTAAACCTCCTGCGCCTGTTGAGCGCGAGTCCATCTTCCTGCCGTACGCCTCAAGCCGCAATTACATGGACTCGAGAACAAGTTCAGAGTCGCGAAAGCCTACCGAGCAAAGCCCAGTGCAGCCGCGGTATCACACTCCACGACTACACTCGGAGCAACCTGCTTCCAACTCACCATTTACCCAACCTCCCCGCCAGGCTCACCAACGCTCTCCCTACCAAAGCGAGCTACAGGACTATCCCTCACGGGGCTCATACGAACGCTCCCAGCCTTATTCTGCCCAGCCCAATGCAGGTGCGACGCAAGAATACCGACCGATGCATCCGTATGGGCAAATGGCGGAGAGTGCAAACTATTCAGCTCGTTCGAGCGGTTCCTATCAATACAAGCTTCCTGGCGAGTCGAGGGAGCCACCTTCTTCCCGTCCATTTGATCACATATTCGGAGACCGTCGTGCGAGCGCCTTCGGATCCGACCATCCAGCATATCAACGTCCTTACTGGGCCCAGCAACCTCCTCCTGGACCTGGTGGCCCTGGTCCCGTATCTGGATCAGCCTTACCACCACACCCTCCTCCACCATCCTCTGCCGCTGCGCCGCCTGCACAAAGCCAGACACCTACCCCTGGCGGCGGACAGCCTTTTTCTGCCCCTCCTCCGCCTTCGTCCAGGGTTCCATTCTCTCACCAAGCGAGCGCAGAACCGCTGCCACCATTGAGGCCGCCCCGTGGTCGCAACCAGTCTGCGGGCGAGGAGAGCCTGATGGAGGGCTCACTACGACCGTCTCCCCAGAGCATCTTTAGCAGCTTCAGCAACTACGGGCAGCCAGAACGGCATCGGTCGGTGGCAAGCGGCTACGGCGCACCAGCTCATGACTCTCACCACGCGTACCCAGCGAGGCCAACCGAGCGTACAATGTCAGGGCAGCCACTCCTGTCGAGCATGATGGGCTCCCCCTCCCAGGGCTATGCACGTCCGAGCGGCTCACCGGTGTTCAGCAGCGACATGCCAATGAACGGGTCGCAGATGGGCCACAACCCGCACGAGCAAACCGCGCGAGACGGTATCTTCCGTCATCGATCCACGTCCTCGGGAGGACCGCCCCCCAATTTTGGTGGCAATCCGACGCTCGATCCGAAATATCGCAAGCTGCAGCCCGCCCCGTTGCCGCCGCATCGTAGCTGGCCCAGCAAGCCGGAGCTCAAGACGATACCATACGACCACAAGGATTCGTCTGGTGGCTCGGCTCCCGCCCTGCCTAGCTCGGGCCCCACGCAAATCCGGGGCTGGAACGTCAACCAGCACCGTCGTCGAGTGCGGGGGGACAACAAGGGGGATCCCAAGGATGCAGGCATGCCCGAGAGGGAAGACTCCCGCTAGAGGAAGGGCGGTTCCTCCACTCGAGGCAAGAAAGAAGCCAAGACCGAAGCGCCTCGACAGCTCAATCCTCAGAACCGGGAGGTTATTGTCATCAACAGCTCCCCTGAGGTGGACGTTCAGCCAAGGCACGATACTATACGAAGCGAGGCTGGGGACGAGGAGATCGTCAAGGGTGCAGTCTATACCATGGCGGACAAGCCGACGCATCCACCGCCTTCCGATCGAGAACTCCGACCTAGAAAGACCAGAAAAATCAAGGACTGAGCCGAAGCATCTCTCGCAAAGAGAATTGCACAAGGCGGTACCTTTAGTTACTGCAGATATGCAGTGAGTGGACTACGAGCATCCACCTTCTTGTTTCATCACCATGGAGCATTCATTCCCCAGGCATTCAAGGTTTCCTGATTTATTTCGACATTACATGAAGAACACGTGGTTCGCATGGGAGCACTGGGTCGCATACGGTTGTTTTTTTCTTACTTTACTTTGCTTGCGTCTTTTTGATGATGTATGTCTATCCCCCTCTTGCATGACTGCAAGTGCTTCAGTATTATACCATGCTAGTGAGCGACGGGTCAGTCACGATATGGAGGACGCTAAAATATAATGAATGCAATAATTGACTCACCGTACTTGCACATTCTGACGGGGAACAACGAGGGCTGTATGATGTGTGTGTGCATGTGGCACAGATTGACTCTGAACGCCTTTTCCTACTGCGCTACCTACCTAGTTACTGTACAATGTCTTCTTGGTATCGTTGCTAATCCCCTATTTTCACCGTGCCTAGCTGCCTTGCGGCGCTACGTCCCCGGCTGCCTTGTCAGCAGCACTAGCCGTCCCGGTGGTTGCTGGAGCCCCTGAGCCCGACGCAGCGACATTGGACTCGCCTGGCTTGCTCTCCATCTGCGTTTGCGGTCGCGCGTTTGCCTCCTGCTGTTGTTGCTGTGGCGGCGGCTGCTGCTGTTGCTGCTGCTGAAGCTGGAGTTCATTCATCTGCTGCTGGGGTGGCGGCGGTGCCATGCCACCCATCCCGTTGTTCATCATGCCCATACCGCCCATGGACGGATCATATCCCATGCCCATGGCCGACATGTCCCCGCCCGGGGGCATCATCATACCCGCGCCGTTGGGCGCCATCGCGTTGTCGCCGCCCCCCAGGCTCAGCAAAGCGGCGCCGATAACGCCCTCGGGGTGCAGTGGGTACATGAGGGCCTCCATGGTCGTGCCGTCAAAGATGACCATGTTCTGGATGGGCTGCTCCTTTTGCCCCAGGACGTTGATGACATCCTGGGCGAGCTGTCCGCCGAGGATGGCCGTCACGGGGGCGATCTCGCTGCCCAGGTTCTGCAGGAAGCTGCGCAGGAACTCTGGTGTGAGGGTCTCCGAGGGCAGGGAGAGAGCTTTGTGTTTCTGCGTCGCGATCTGGGTGAAGAGCTTCAAGTCATCCCTATTGCCTGGTATGCGACCCCCGTTGATCTGCATAAACTCCCACAGCGCCCGCAGGCACGACAGCGTGGGCGAGACGCCGCGCAGACGACGTTTCGACTTGAGATAGTCGTCTGACAGGGTGGCGAGGTCGCTGGCGAGGAACCACGTCGAGTAGAGCTCGCGCTTGGTCACGCACTCGATGGTGCGGGTGCCTTCTTTCTTGGTCTTGACATCGACGACGGAGCGGGTGCGGGTTTCCTGCTTGGGGCACTCGGTGGGCACGTTGCCGAGATCACGCTCAATGACAAACTGGTGCTCGATGAGGTCGCTAAAAATGAAGCCGTACATGCCATGTGTGGAGGCGGCGTAGAAGGCGCGCCCGTTCAGGCGGGTCGCCGTGTTGATGAGGTTCATCGTGTCCAGGTCGAGGTCAGTGGCGATGACAATGTCAAACTGGGCAAAGTAGCTGGGTCCCTTGACCTTGACGCCGGCCGGGTCGGCCTGGACGCGCACCCTGGGGTTCAGCTTCTGGATGGCTGGCGTGGCGACCTGGGCGCGGTTCTGGCCGACGATGGAGGACGGATCGTCGCCCGCCGCTTCGGCGAGGAAGAACTGCGCGCCAAGATCGGATTCCGAGACGGGCGCGTCGTCGAGGATGGTGAGGGAGCCAACGCCTGCGAGCACGAGGTTCTTGGCGATTTCGGTGGCCAGGGCTTTGATGGTGATGAGGAGGATGTTGGCGGACTGAATCTTGGCCTGGGCAGCGACACCCCAGAGGCGGATCTGGCGATCGTAGAGCGCGACTTCATCTATCAAGCTGGTTAGCCATGTGGGAAATGATTGTGTGCCAGCGGCCACATACCAGCGCTGAGGCTGCTCGGTGGGACCTGCGCTTGTCCGTTGGCGAGCATGAGCGGCATCATGAGCTCGGCCCCGGGCATAGGCATAGCGGACGCGGAAGGATCAGGCATAAAGTGTTGGCCATTCGGCATGCCACCATTCGTGGGGACTTGGTTCAGGAATTGGTTGCCCATCTCAGGCATGGCCATGCTCTGTTGGTGGTTGATGCCGTTGCCGTCCATTGGTTGTTGTGGAGGGAACTGAGCTGGCTGGGCAGCTTGTTGCTGCTCAGTCTGTGCTGGATCCATGGTGTAGAGGCGGCCTCTATGTGACAGAGGCGAAGACTGGACTGGCCGCGATGATGCCCACGCCTTTCTTGCTGGCTACCAACTTGAGGTCCAGGGCCAAGCAGCCTCAGTTCAGGACCAGCGCAATCGTGGTTGCGTCGTGCTTATGATGGCGTGACCTATTTGTGGTCTCGTCTCTCGTCTTTCCCCTGCGCCTCAATTCTCGAAGCAGGGCGGTAATTATCGCGTGCGTGAATGAGTTGAGCGAGTGAGTGAGTAGTGAAGCCCAAGTGAAGTGAATGAATGTGCCGTTGACAACGCTGGAGCGAGCTAGCCTTGATCGGGACTAGCTCCGAGATCTCCAAGACTGTGCCGAAAAGTGGGTCTGCTAATTATTGGTCTGCAACGTCACAGGGCAATGAATGACCCAGCTGGACGCGAATGCGACCAGAGTCGCGTAGGAGGCTGCAAGAGGTCTCGCTGCGTCAATGACTGGATCGGGGAAGAGACTGTGATACAGAGGTCTAGGCTCAATAAACCGAAGGCTTTTGCGGTGTACATGCTACATACATGTGCTGTACTACACGTGCTGAGGGCAGGCGGCTGTTCCAACTGTTGTGCGCCGCTTCCACTAATCGCTAAAATATCCAGTGACTGACTGGACAGGCCCAAAGTCACTGGACCCCGACCTGGACAGGCGCCCCTCTAATTAATTCGGCCAGACCGCTGCCAGGCCCTCGCCTCATTGTGTTCTTTCGCCTTACATATCATATTATATCCAGAGCATCCCGTGTTTTCGCTTTTCCGCGAGATCGCTGGTCTTCCAATTACGGATAACCGCACTTTGCACGTCTCCAGCAGATTCTCGACCGACCTCAGCTCAGCGACGCCCATCCCTTTTCGTACGACACGACGACATCCTCGACAGACACGTCGCCCATTCGTTCCTGTGATCCCGAGAAGCATATCCTCCTCTGCGGAGGGGCGAGCACTTGCCCTGGCGGCTACCCCATCCGTCAAGCACAGAGAGGCCGACCTCTCGGCCAACTACAGCGAACTGCTCTCTCGGAACAGATGCCATGGCGGATAGACAAGATTCAGATCCCAACGATGGAAGCCGCTCGGGCAATTCCAGCCGTCGACTGCGCGCAAGGAGACGGAGACTCAGCGAGATCAACAATATGCGTGGCTGGCCGGATGGCTCAAATCTCGAATCCCACGAGCACCTGAACAGCAGAGGGCGTCAACGTCCTAGTGACGAGCTTCCGGGCGATACGGCGCAGCCTGCGTCGTGGCGGCGATCGAGTCGACTCAGCCTCCTCGACAATCTCCCAGATATTCCGGATCACCAGAACCTCTCCTACGGCGCACCTTACGTCGGGATGTACAGGCCGTTACGCGGGACAGGCACATTTCGACCGCTGGAGTCGACCGCAACGGCGGACAACGAATTCCGGCGTCTGCCGTGGGCCCCCATTCCGAGTGCCCACGATGACAATCCCCAGAACCGCCCGCGGCCAGCGGACTATAGCGACCAAAGGCGGTCTCTGTGGACGGCTCTTCAACACCAGGTTGACGAGAGTCAGCGGCGCGTGGAAGAGAGTCGTCGCCACTTGGAGAGTCCCCTGCGGACAGCCGACTCCAACTTTGACGAGCCATCGCGCGCTCTGCTGACGGCACTGCGACGCCAGGTGGAAGAGAGCCAACAGCGTGTGGACGAGAGTCGTCGTCGTTTGGAGCATACGCGGGATCATCCCCTTGCGCCTATTCAACATCACAACGAGATGAGAGCTCTTACGCAACAGGGAATGCTATCACACTTCAGCAGAACTTTTGGCGATGCCATCCGGGCGCGTCAGAGCCTACAGGACGACGACTCACCATCGAGTGATTCGGGCCCTCCGACGCGTCAGCCCTCGCAGGCACCCGATACGGATGCCCATCGCCAGAAGCGCCGGAAAGTTCTGACAGATGAAGGCGACAAGAGTCGCGCCCCTTTGCGACGTGGACGCCGTGGGCAGGTTGAGCCCGGTGAGTTGCACATGGAAATGGTCAGCTGCGACGGCGGCATGTTTTCCGACGAATCCATGTACTCGGCCGCCAACATCCTCAAAAACGATTCCTCAGTCTATTGCACCAAGGGCAGTCGGTGCAACATTGTACTGCAGCATAGCGGATCGGGTCCTTTCGCCCTGCAAGAGCTCGTCATCAAGGGACCCAGGTCTGTCAATTATTCACATCCGTAAGTCTGCTTCCGCATGCCACGTATCTCTGGCAAAAATTCTGAAGGGTCTATAGTGTTCGGGAGGGAATGATCTTTGTCGCAGGCGACAATGACGATGATCTGAAGCGCACGACACAGTACCAGATCGAATACGACGCCCCTTTGAGATCTTTAGGCCGCGATGAGGACGAGCGAGGCCACCTGCGCAGAACGATTGCGACCACGCAACGGGATGAAGGTGGCACGACGAGTACGAGAATCAGGAGAGCACCACACTATCGAGCAAACGAGAGCGGCTATCGGACACCCCAGATGCCAACAGAGTTCGACGCCCCCCGGAATGACATTGTGGCGACTACGCAGTGCAGCGATGACAACGTCTTCCTAGGCTCGGACCCGCGCTCGCGGTTCAGGAGGCTGCCCACATATGTCGGCCAGCCGATCGAGACGTCTGAGATCCGGCCCAGTGCGTTTGGAGTCCGCCTCGAGGAACTGGATGAGCCAGGTGCTGGGCTGGCTCTGATTGAGGATGAACCGACTCCCACGTTCTCGAGATTGCTGCAAAACGAGCAAAACGCTCGAGCCGCTGCTCGGGCCGGAGCCAGTGCCTCGCAGCAGAACGACAGAACACAGGACGGCACCACACAGCGCACCAGGATGCTGCAAAGAGAGCTGGCAGGGTTTCGAGGGCAGGATGATGACGCGAATGATCCCGAGGCGCGCACGAGCTCGAGTCATCGCGCCGGGCGCGATGGCGAAATGTTGCAAGCGGAGCTCCGCACGTTACGTGAAGTGCTGAACCTGGAGTCCGATGGCACCAGCGACGAGCTGTCCAGTCCAGCAGGCGAGCTGCTCGTACCACACGCGCGCTTCCTGATGGACGGGCGGAAGAGCACATGTACAATCCGGTTCGACCCACCTGTTTCGGGCAGATTCATCCTGCTCAAGCTGTGGAATTCGCACACGGAGCCTTCCTGTAACATTGATATTCAGTCCATCACCGCGAAGGGATTCGCGGGCCCTCGCTTCTTCCCTGCGATCCAGCTACGATGAGAGCATGACGACAAAGGGGGGTAGTCGCGGTGCGAAGGGAGCATAATTTGTATACTAACCAACATGTACTTAATCAGCGTTTCTTTTTCGATGGTGTTAGGGGAAGGTCTGCGCTGGGGAATGGCAACTTCTGCCTCTCTGGTAGTGTCGTGAGCAAAGGCGGCGTTGGGCTTCCACGACGACTTCCATAATGATACGATACGAACTCGTTTGTTCAAATAGCAATTCACCGCTACGCAGTCGATATAATGAGGCCAATCCCAACGAACGACAAACACCAGTGCAAAAAAAAAAAAAAATAGAAAATACAGCTGCTGGCGGTTCTCTCTGTTGAACTACAGGGTAGGGTAGTCTCTGGTCAAGCGGACGAGACCCTGGGTCGTGGATGGAATCTACATTCGATAGCGCCGCGTTTTATCTTCAATAACGTCGAGTATGACACGGTCGACAGATTCAGGGTCGTGCATAAGGTTTCGCACTCATCCCGCAACTTCTAACGCGCGTAGCTGGGATGCTGATCAACTTTACAAAGTTCACGATAGCAAAGCGGAGGACTCTCGTCCGTCAAATGCACATTTTTCACAACTGTGCATGCTAGTTCTACTTGGCAACTCTTGTGCATCCATGTATGCAAGCATAATACTTCTTGATAGCCTGATAGACTGAATGTCATTGGTTCCGCATTCCACAGGGTCCAATCCTTGTCGTTGGACGGGAGGCACTCCTGAAGGGTGCGCCACGCCAGTATTGAGGAGGGCTAGACTGCATTAGGGTGGTCGCATTGCGTGAATTGGCACATGCCCAGTCAAAGAGTCCCCTCACTCTGGTCAAGGTGTACAAGTAGGATGGACTGTCTCGCTGGCGAAGCGAAGAGAAGACAATGCTGCACGTCTCTGAGGAAGTCACCAGGTGCGTACGTACCTGCTTGCAAGGGGAAGAGCGAATCACGGCAGTCCTTGCGCCATGAATGAGGGGCCATTCCTGCCGACATGTCTATCGCGTGCCTGTAGAGGGTCAGGCTTGAAACATTGGGACGAGGGCGCGACGAAACGAGAGCTCAACGATAGATGCACTCTGTCAATGACGACTCGCAACTTGACTCCTCTTGCACGTTGAACAGGAAAGAAGCAATCACTGGCACCAAAAATATCGTTGTGCGCGCTGTTTCGACCACCGCGCGCAACAGACTCTATTGCGGTCGTTCAAGACAACATCTGCATCCATCAGAGACAACGGTCCATCGCATCCGACGGAAACGGCCACTCAAACCGTCAACGCGCGGGTGGTTGAAGTTTCAAGCAACCTGGACAGGGCAAGGCCCAGATCGTCAATTCATGCGCATTGATCAAAAGCGCAGCAGCCTAAAACCCCGGGCAACTCCACAATCATGTTAGCGAGCCCCCCGGTATCCACGTCTACTCCTGTCCAGGGGTCGCCGCAACTCGACATCACCCAACAAGCGCGCAGCGACACGCAAGATCCCAAGGGCAGGCGAGAGAGACCAAGACTATACACCTGCACCGTCACAGAGACCGGCTCGCCCAAGATTCAATCACCACTACGAAACTCGATATCTGTCGTGACGGAGGACATTGCGCCAAGCGCGACTCGATCGCCCACTTGTAGGGGAGTGCTTGACTTTACCAACACCAAGGTCGGAGGCGCCATGTCTTTTACCGGAGATTCAAGGAGAACCAGGCCTTGGAGGAGCGAGAGTCTCCAGGGGGCCGATATTATGGACACGCCATCGCCAGTGTCGCCAAAACCCGCCGCAGCGAGCTCGCGCTTTGCGACATTCGCGTCGTCCATGTTCAAGGGCAGTCCTGCACCTACGCACGCGTCGCTAGTGGCAGTACCTGCAGACGACGAACTCATGAACCTTGACATCCAGGCGGCATTGTATCCCTCTGGGCAAAACGATACCTTCTCTCCCGCCGCATACAAAAACCTGCAGCAAAATGCGACTGGTCTTCTTGAAAAATTCCAGGGCGCATACCAGCAACGCACGATAGCTTACTACGAGATGAAGGCCGAGCGTGGGGCACAGGCCGACGAGCAGGAAGAGGCAGATACGAAATTGCACCATCTGAAGCTGCAACTGGAAGATATGGCGCGCAAAGCAAGCGAGCAGGAGGAGATGATGCTGTCTCTCATGGCGGAGCTTTCGCACGAGAAGAAGCTCCGTCTGGAGCAGCAGCAGCAGCAGCAGGAACAGAAGCAGATTGGGAGCCCGCCAAGCTTATCAGGCATGTCCGAGGATCTCCAAGTCGAGGAGGACCAGAAGCGGTGCCAATGGCGACGGAGCGGCGACGTCGACGACACTGACGAGGAGAGCGTCGAGGAGGCTAGTCTCTTCTCCTCCCGGTCCCGCAGTCCCACAATCGCCACGAGCATAAACGAAGTGAGCATTGTCGACCTCACACCGCAGGCCAGGACCCCCGCGGTACAGTCCGTCCCTCTGCCGACGACACTATCACCGCGGAAAACGCCCAAAGCTGCGCAGATGAATACTTTTCAGAAGTTCTTTGGGGGCAAATCAGCCGAAGTTGTAAAAACGGAGAACAGTTGTCAGAATTGTGAGGGGCGGGACGCGCGTGTTGCCTGGGACACGGTGAACCTGTTGAAGGATGAGAACAAGGGGCTGAAAGGGCGAGTTGAGGAGTTGGAGGAGGCTGTGGAGGGGGCGCTGGATGTTGTGAATGGCGTGGGGCGTTAGCCAAGGACTTCTTCGTTTGGTCTGGTTTGTCTTGCTTGGATATGCCAGGTGTTTTGATCAGGTTGAAAGGGCGTTGTGGATTGTCTGTTATATAGCATCGTTCTGTCTGTATCACGCAGGCTCGGAGTTACGAATTGGCACACAAATGAATTGGGTTGCCCATCGTCTTTAGACGGCCACCCCAAACATTAGCCGACCCTGCTAGGACCTCTTGCAAACAAAGTGAAAAGGGAGGCGAAACCCCTCCAGCGTAAGGAAACATTGGCGAATTTCGGGGCGTTCTTCATTTGATAATTTCATTGATCTGCTCCACACAGGAAAATGCCATCTTCATGGCAGGCGTGGTATATGTACAGCCGCTGACATCCTCGACCCTTCCGAGCTTATCCTGGCTTAGTGGTGGCCCTCGCCATGTCCCTCGCCGTGGTGCTCGTCCTCGAGGAAGAAGTATTCGTATGCGCAGTATCCGGCGAAAGCGACTGACGCCGTGCCCAGGCCAGGAAGGCCGCCCTTGAATCGGTTCCAGCGGGTGAAAGTACCCTCGTACCGCCAAGCCTCACTGCACACCCGTTAGCTCTCTCTCTGCGGACAAATCGACCGTCATCGCATTGACGGAGGAAGAGAGGACGTACGTGCGCTCCCAAGGGTCGTATTTCGGTTGTCCGGAGGAGGCCTTGAACTGACGCATGTTGAAGCCCGTGATGTTGGGCTTGGAGCCCTGGGCCGCCCGTAGTATCCTGACATGTTAGCTGTCGCGTCAATCAACGCCAGGTAGACGGATCAAACCTTGTGGGGAGCATTCTGCCGTGCTGAAGCTGTTGTGGACGGCAATGACCAAGTGTTGCTGTGACGGCTTCTATGGGCGAGTGAGGCGTCGTTGGAGAATCGGCCTATGCCGCGGTCGGAACATAGTAACCCCGCTTTCCGACTCCTCTAGACGTGGCACTGCACGACGATCCTCACTGCAGCGGGCGATTGCTGTCCAAGAGCCTCCATTGATTCAACTGCAACCCGACGTGACCTTGCTTTTCGACAAGCCCAAAGCGAGCAATACAGTATTGGTGTTTTAAACCACCGACCTCTCAACAAAGACCAACACGAGCAACACTACCATTCCGAAGGAGCTGCCCCAACCGCTCCCAAGCATCAACGACTTCGCACCGCCGCCCACGCTTTTCATCTCGGTGCATAGCGTGGCACTTTCGACAATCACGAGCCACCCCGGCTGCCCAGTATCACACTTGCGACCTCAATGCGCGACGGCAGGCGGGCCATCTTAAAAAGAGACACCCATGATCTGAACCTGCGCCGGTGCTCCCAGCAAAGAGATACAACGAGTGACTAAACGGGCAACGACCTATCCACTTCAAGGCTCAGAGCGAGCCCATCCCATCCGAGCTTCGGCATCAACTCGATTCGACAGCCATTGCGCTTCGCATGCCACCCGGTATGAGGGCCTTCGGTGGCCAAGGGCCTTTCCCTCAGCACAACTTCCCAAGTCATGGTCAGCCGCAAGGAGGGCCGCTTGGCGCAAATCAATATCATGCGCAGATGGGATTCTCCGTCACAAATGGAAATGCTTTCGGTGCTGGCGGCCTAAATGGGCCCACGGCAGCGTTCCCGGAAACAGGGTTCGGCAGTCAGAGTGCGCGCATGGGCTTCGCCCATGGATCTGGAGCCGGGTCACTACAACCACAGCATCATGCAGCGCAAGCACATCACGGTCTAGCGGATCATCAACCTATGCCTCTCAGGCAACATCCTAATCGAGGAAGGATACGGGAGGTGTGGGCTCACAATCTTAAAGAGGAGATGGCCAATCTACGGGACCTGGTGGATAAGTATCCGTACATCGCCATGGTGAGTTTCTTGGAAGGAAACATGTGTATGGGAGTCGAACCACCTCGCTAACCAGCTGTAGGACACGGAGTTTCCAGGAATCGTTGCGAGACCAATGGGGGCGTTTCGTGGAAAGAGCGACTATCACTACCAATGTCTCCGGACGAATGTCGATATGTTGAAAGTCATCCAGATCGGACTGACTTTGTTCAACGAAGACGGCGAACCCCCGCCCGCGCGACCTGGGCCCAACGATTTGGATGTCGGGGCTGCCCGCAAGCAGAACCAACCTATGCCCTGCTCCTGGCAGTTCAACTTCAAATTCAGCCTAAACGACGACATGTACAACGAAAAATCGATTGAGTCCTTGCAGCAAGCCGGCATTGACTTTGCGCAGCTGGCGAGGGACGGCATTGACCCCCACGACTTTGCGGCGCTGCTCATTCCCTCTGGGTTAGTGTGCTTTGACGATGTCAAGTGGATATCCTTCCACGGTGGTTACGATTTTGGGTATCTCACCAAACTGCTTATTTGCACGCCTTTGCCGAACGACGAAGTGGACTTTGACCATAAGATGAAACTCTACTTCCCGAGCACATACGACGTCAAACACCTCATGAAGCACGCCATACGCCTCCATGCCTCTGGTCTGCTGACGCCGCATGACCCAGCAATCGCCGAGATTCTGCAGAAATTTGAACACAAGTCCGGCCTGGAGAACATTGCCGAGACATTCAAGGTGAAACGCGTCGGCAACGCTCACCAGGCTGGCTCCGACTCCCTGCTCACGGGCAAGGTGTTTTTCCAGATCCGCGACAAGATCTTCAACGGCGAGATCGCCAACGATCACATTGGCAAGGTCTGGGGTCTCTCGGTCCCTGAGTCCCATCTCCTCACGGCCTCCATGATGAACCAGTCCGGGGCCGGCGACAACAAGGACAACGGACAGAATGGCGATCCCAGCACACCGCAGACCCACCCCGTAGGACTTGCTACAACGCCCGCTGCGCAGAGCCATAACACGAATGGCCTTCCGAATATGGGGCCCATGACACCGGGTGGGGGTGGCGGCGTGTTTGGCAGCTTCGCATTCACCGGGGGGAATAGGTAAATGGGCACAGGGACGTTGTACGCTTACTATATGCGCGGCGTTTGTTTTTTTTGCTCTCTCAAGTGCTGTTTATGCTGTGTCCACTTGGTCTGCGTTTGACTCTGTACGATCATTGATTACGCGGGCGGCATGCATGGACAGACGGTCGGACGGAAGGATGGGAGGGTTTCATGGTATAGGGGCATCAATGCATTGATTTTCGCTTTGGAGTGTGCTTCCACTTGGGATTCTCGGGTGCTTTCGAGCTTGTAGCATTGATCTACCTGCCCTGTCTGATGATGTCCTACCATCGCTCATTGTGTAATAATGTGCAGTGCGCCATGACCTCCCAACGCCACGCCGACCCTGTTCCCAATTTCAATGTAGTAATCCGTAAAGCATAAGGACGAACCTCAAGTGATGAAAATCTTCCTCAAGGAGGCCTTGTTCACTATCGTGCCATCCGCTGGGTCCATCACCTGCGTTTCCGGCAGCCCAACTTTGACCGCCTGGTCTTCCAGCTGCTGCTCGCTAACGGCGCGACCGCTGGGGAGTATAACGAGGTCTGGCTGTACGTGACTCTTCGTATGATGCGCATACGGCACATGGACCGCCAACTCCTTAAGCTCGGCAGAGCAGATAGGGCACACACCCTTGCCCCCATTGGCCATGCTCGTTGCAATACCCGTACGCCTGTCCGCGTGGTGGCAGGCCGGAGTCTTGAGCGCCGAGAGCCCCGACGATAAAGCAATGTGCAACAGCGGCTGCTCAGGAATGGAGAACAGCGTGTGATGCGTCTTGGCGAACAAGTCTGCAAGCATCTGCCACCGGTCTCGATAGAGGTCAGGATAGCTCGCTGCTGCGAAACGAGTACCAGGCTGAACCGCCAAGAGTCCGCATGCTTGCAGCACCTCCTTGTTGTATTGTGCTTTGAAGGGCATAATGTACTTTCGGAGGTGGCTGATGGCCTCGCTGGTTTTGTTGTCCTTGATCAGGTCAATGTACGTTTGTAGACGTAGCTGAAACTCAAGCTTGCTGTCGAGCTTGCGAAGTTCCTTCTTGTTCTCTGCGCACCAGGCGAGCGCCTCGCCCATCTTGCCTTGGAGGAGGTCATTCTTGACTCGACCATGCCTCTCAAAGAGCTCGACGTCAACGAGTTTTTCTATTCCTTTTTCACGGATGAGCTGTTTTGCGCTCTCGTAATAGCCTTTCCTTAGCATATAATCCGACATCAGCCGGTCGAGCCGTAGGCGACTCCAGTCCTCGTACTTCACGTCGTCCACCGTGTGCAAATCGTACAGCTCGTTCAAGTGATTGATTCGAGCCCCTATGCTTTTGTGCAAGCCTCTTTCCTCCTCGGCGTGAGCTTGCAGCTTGCGCTTCATGCCGCGCATGCGGGTAAGCATAGCGTCGACATTGTTGATGACATCGGCCGGCTGCGACTGGCCCGAGACGGCGGCTGTCGCGGAGTCCTTGAGGAGAGTCTTGAGAGCCGATGTCTCCTTTTCGATCGTGAAATGAGCTGATCGAAAGTTCTTGCGCAGGAGTTCGACAGGTAGGCGGAGAAGGGGCTGGTCGAGCAGCAGATGCTCATTGTGCTTGATGATGGAGTATTGATGATCGCCCATGATGGTCTGCGGTGGCGTAGAGACCCAAGGCGGTGGTGACCATTGAATCAAGGTTTAAGAGATGAGCATCGAGGTATGTTCGTCTCCGTGGATTGAGCAGTGCAGTGAGATTTGTATGAGGAAGGACGCATGCTGTTCGAGGTATCCGTACCTACGTCGACATCGTTGGCCTTGCCTTATCGCTGTTATCGCAGCTTCCCCAGCTGTTCTAGGCCCTGACCAGATGATGATCGCGATTGGTCGGCCGAACGATTTACTACGTAGTACCTTATACTACCTCGGGATATTAATTCATATCAGACTATACGGTATAACAGTTTTTCACTCTCTGCTACTGACGCTTCGAATGTCATTCTTCTATCGAAAACTTGTGACATCGGAGGTCAGTTTAAAGCAGAACATGCCTGGAGATGGCCGACGTCATGCTGATTAGCATGGGTCGAACGCCGGCTTGCTCAGAGTCACCGAGTCACCACCAAACTCACAATACAGGAGTACGCGAGTTGTCAGTGATTCCAACAACCAGCGAATATGTTGCTGCGTCTCACCTACTTGTATCACGGGGTGATCGATCACATGTACTGCCTGAGAAGACATAGGGCGGTGGGCTGTTCTTGAAGTCAAAGTGGGAGCAGTGTCTCAGGACGTTTCTTCGCGTTGGTGGGTTAATAAGTCAGTTTACCTGTTACAAGTATCGGGCGAAGCCAAAGGATACACTTTCAAGCTTGAAGCCAGCAAGGTTTGCTTGAGCTGTTCAGTCACAGCAGGGAGAAACTCCCGTTGCCGTACCAGCTACGGATACAGTTGCTTGGTCCAGAGTTTTGTGGCATTCTTGAAGTTGGGCGTTAGCATAGAAAGTATTCATTCAAGGTAATACGGAGTACATGTCTGTCGACATGGACAATGGAACCAATCATTGCAAGTCAGGCTAGCCTTCTTTGCACCTTGGAGGCGGCATTCAGCTAGCCCCGCCTCGAAGCAGCCGGCTGCGTGCAGGTATGGAAACTCTGATTGGTGCATGTTGTGTTTGGCCTCAGGCTCCACTGCTGCTGAATGAGCACAGTCCTGGACTTCTGGCAAGGGAAGGCGCCATCACTGGTGCTCACTGCTCGAAGCTTGGAGTGGGTGGCACTTCCTCCCAGGCTCCCACCTCCAATATTTATCCCCCGCCCGACCCAGCTAGTCGCACTCACGTGTTCTTCCTCTCTCATCCCCTCGTGACCTTGAGAGTCCGTTGACTTGTACGCGCAGCACTTCGATCAAGACGTCGTCGGAAGTTTATTGAATCTTTGGCGAATTTAACACATAAGCCTCAGGCGAGACCTTGTTATTAATTCCAGACCAATTTCTCGAAAAATCAACCGCAAAACCCGACGTTGCACCCTTGTTATCGCCTTCGACTTACAAACTGGCCAGCCGACCCCATCGACGCGATATCACGAGATTCAAGCAGAACACGTGAGTGCCGCGAAACCCGTGATCTCGCCAAAGCACATGATCTGCGCGGTATGTCACCGTCCCCCTTCTTGCTTCAATCCATCCCAACAGATTCTGCACAATTGCCCCTATCATCAGAGCTGCAGAGGCTTTGCGCATCATTGCCATGCCAAGCTTGACTGGGTGCTCCGGCGTCTCGTGACTGCCCCGACGCGTCGCGAAGTCGTGCTTCATTTCATCAATACACGGCGCACCGCCATCATGAGACCATCCCCAGCCAAGGCATAGTGTGTCTGGGTTGCAGGCATTCTTCGTGATGGGCTGCAAAAGACTCTGGCTTGTGTTGCGCGCTGCTGCTCGCCACTGAATCACAGCCTCGCTCGACTACGTCGCACCTTAGTTGTGCTACAGCCTTACGCCGTTGCAAGCTTGCGTGAGGGCGATCCGCTGCCAAGCTCATCTGCCCCCAAATGTGGCATACCTGCGAATCACTGCTCTCGACTCGAGTGAGTCTTGATGACAGTGTATAATCTTGACGCATCCGTGCCCTCTATCCTGCATTTTGCGGTTGGGGAACATCTCCCACTGCTTCACCCAGTGCATGGACAACGACGCAAAGTTCCATCAACGCACTCACCACCTTGCTAAAGCGAAGCCGAAGACGACTAACATCATTTCCAGCACTTGGTCTACACATTGGGAGCTTCCAACACTGTCACGTACACACCAAGCACCACGCACCGTCATGATGAGCGAGCCTCTCGTCAATGAGCAGCCCGACCTGTCAGATTTGACTGGTTCACCAGGTCCAAAACGGAAACGTGAGGCAACCAGTCCATCGGCCCAACGGAATCCCAAGAGGGTCGCCCCTCAGGCAAACATGGACACTGCGTCCTTCATTGAGCGAGCCGTACAGCATCTCGCCGATGTTGAAAATGCCAACGCCAACAACAGCAATAGCAACAGCAACAACAACGGCGTTAATGTCGCCGACTTCACAGCTCTTCAGCAAGCAGCTAGAGAAGGGACGGAAGCCGCCGACACATCCAATGCGACGAGCACAGCGCAGGCGGTCCTCGGCATGTACCCGACGCTCCATATCCCTTCATCCACTGAGGAGCAATTCGCCGCACAGGCCGCTGCAGAGGCAAACGGGCATCACAATGCACTAGCAGGCTTGGATGACCCGTCACCACAAGTGCAGCATCAGTCGCCGGAGCAGCAGCCACAGGCAGGCCAGCCTCAAGCTCCGCCTCCGCCGCAATTGCAGGCGGAGCCCCAGCCTGAGGCTCAGGTCCACCAACAGCACGACCATGTACAGCCCGAACATGACGGCCAGAAGCAGCACGATATGACATCACCTGACGACTACGCCAAAGACCCATCAGTTTCCGAGTCCGCGGTGCCACAGAACAACTCCAAGGATGGGGTGGCAGATGCTTCTGACGGCAGCAGCCGCTATCACGTCGTGCTGCCGTATGTCAAGCCTACCGTCGGTTCTGAGGAATGGCATAAAATGAGAAAAGACAATCATAAAGAAGGTAATGTGCTATGCTTCCAGGAGGCACGAGCATGCTCTAACTCGCACTAGTGGAGCGCCGCCGCCGTGAAACCATCAACGAAGGTATCAATGAGCTCGCCAAGATCGTACCCGGATGTGAAAAGAACAAGGGTTCTATTCTGCAACGCGCCTGCCAGTTCATCACGCAACTGAAAGAGAATGAACAGCACAACATTGAGAAGTGGACGCTCGAAAAGCTGCTTACAGAGCAAGCGATAACAGAGCTGAGTACAAGCAATGACAAGCTTAAAGCAGAATGCGAGCGGCTGTATCGCGAGTTTGAGACGTGGAAAAGAGTCGCGCAAAACGCTGGTCTGGAGGCGCCTCTCCAGACGAACGACAAAGAAGAGGCCGCGCCGACCACGACCGAGGACAAGAGCTAGAAGTGGGTTGTCCCGTATGTTGGCGTCGATGGAACGCCAACTATCTTCCGGTGATGCTAGCAACGAGACCCAGCCGGGGCCCGGAAGCCGGCATGGTGTGTCTGGGAGCCCCAAGGGCATCTCGACTTCTCTCACCCGGTTCCGATATACCCAATGGACGTACAGATGCGGCGGGGCAGACGGTAATCACTGAAGGCCGAAGGCAAGGCGGTCGTCAGTATTAGGAGGATGGGTGGAAGAATTAATTCGATGTGATGGGGTAGGTTGTATTCGGCGATTGCTCGCCAGGCGTTGGGAGTTCTTGTTACCTTCGATTTCAGTATCGATATCCAGCGAGTAATGCTGCAATTGACTTTAGGAAGCTCTAGACTGTCGTCAATTGTTCGCCAATGTTGTTCGACTTCATGTGCATGCGCGACAACACAGTTGACATATCCAATGCACACGCCCCCAGCGATTCACTGCAAGTTCCCAACCAAACAGTGATGTCCAGGAAGCATAGCACTGTCCCCCGGCCAGTCGGAACCATATGCCATACATGCCCGAACGAATGAGCCAATGCTTCCACCTTCTGCCCGCAGAGAGCCGCGTGATAGAGGAACTGGTCAGACACGCTGCCGGGCACATGCATGTGACGAACTGAAGGCCCGTAGCCACGGAGATGATGCATCCCTGTTCTTCGGGAGCGACGTCTATACACCATGTACACGCAAAACCATTGCATCATGTCCTGTCACGAAGGTGAACATCCCTCCATTATCAGACACAGCTCTCTAGCTGAGATTGGCCAAAAAGGAGCAGGACTGTCGTGGCTGGGAAGAAGTCCAAAACGGCAAAAGGAACGCCCGAGGTGGGACTCGAACCCACAACCCCACGATTTTGCCTACAGCACAAGACTGCACAGTAAAAGTCGCGTGCGCTAAACCATTGCGCCACCCGGGCTGGATGACAGGGTTGAACATTTTGCAGCTTATATACCCAACTCTCATTCTCAAGCCAGTATCTCAATATCAATCGACTCGAAGACTGATCTCATGAGGCTCTAATAACGTCTGACCTTGAGTTTCCAGACCGAAGAAACTATCCTTTTTTTAAAATCTCTGTTTCGTAAGTGCTGGAACTTCACAGTCGCGGATGCCAGAATCACCAACGTCAATTAATCATTTTGTTGATTTCCACAAAAAAAAGGGGGTGACAAGTGCTCATGGCTTTGGCCGCACACAAACTATTGACCAACCTAGCAAGAGCCAGAGTACCTACATCTCGAAACCATTAAATAAAGGACAGTCGCTATCAGGATGCCACCTCGCCACAGTGTATCCGACCACCAATCTGACCCAGCTTGCTGTATGTGAAGCCAATCGAGGAACCGCTTGTAGAAAAAAAATCATCTTTGCCACCCGTGAATGGAAAACGCCCGGTCTCGCCTTGAATGATACAAAGCCGCCTGAATGAACGATCCTCGCCTGGTTTTGAGGCGTGGGTGCAAATATCATCGCCGTCGATGTGAATCAGATAGCCGCCAATGCGAAACGCTTGGTGTACGCAAAAGGAAAACAAAGGAAAGTAGCAAAACAAGTAAACTATCGTTATAGCGTATGGGCTTTGCTGCAAGCCTCATCTCCTCACAGGTGCTCACGTGGTACAGAGTCTATCACCTCCGAGACCCCTGGAAGCGCCTGCATCCCCCGACCATCGTTGGGCTCGTACTTGTAGCCTGCGTGCGCGGGCGCTCCGTCATACCCGGCGCGGGACATTGTTGAGTCGAATGAATTCGCGACGTAAGGGTGAGGCTGAGCCACAGGGAGCTGCTGAGAAAAGCCTTGCGTTGCGCCTGGGTTCGCATGGTGGGTGTAGTACATGGGCTGTCCTTCGGCGCTGGTGGTGAAGGACTGCCAGTGTTGCTGATACAAGCCGTTCCCATAGTCTCCGTAAACTGACGATCTCCTAGAGGCGTCGTGGGCGCTCGGTATCATGTTGACGTTCATGGCCGACGCTGGCGGCCCCAAGTTCGGCGGCGCATTCACTGCCACACTGCCATCCATCAGAGAGTGGCCCACAGCTGGGCCAGCATCAGCATGCATGCCATTATGCGGCGGAACCTGCTGCGAGTTCCGCATCGGTAGCTCATGGAGCATCTGCCCGCCTGGCGGCATCACAGCCGCAGAGGGGCTGGGTCCAGCAGTCGGCGTTTGGAGGTAGGTTTGGGCGGCAGTGACCCGCGTCGGGTCCAATGGCTTGCCGTCGTCATCTTCTCCCGCAAAGGAATTGGAACTGTTTTCGTTCTCCGAAGCTTGGTCTCCGTAACGATCGCCTGTGCACAAAACGTATACTTCGGTATGCCCATCTGCGGAGAGGATCAGCATGCGATACGCCAAACGCCAAAGCGGTCTCTTCTTACCAATTGCGCCGGCCTTGTATCTTTCCTGCTGCTTGGCGACCTTGAAGATCTCATTAAGATACGTTTTCTTGCTGGCATTGGTGGCGTTTTCAGCATAAAACCCAGACAACGCCTCGTTTGTGCATTCCTCTAGTTTCTTGACGTCCAACTGCAGCTTTTGAAGCCCAGGATGTTGTTTCTCGGGTGGCTCTGTCACAAGATTGAGGATATGAATAAGGAGATAGACACGCTCTGCTTCTCGTTAGCGCTGACATGATAGCACGTTCCCGCCCAGACTCACCTCGCTTGTACAAATGGTCGGGTTCTTTGTGCCGGACCTTGTGTTCCTTCTCGCTGCCCCATGGCTTGGGCCACCAACTAGGTGCCTTTTCGTCGGATCCGGTGTAGGGGTGGGTTGACTGCTTCTTCGGCTCTACAGCCTTGATCCAGGCCTTGGCAATGAGCTTGCATGCAGACTGCTGGCAGCTCTTAAACCTTTCGTCGTAGAACTTCCAGAGCTCATCGAACTTTTGAACCTGGATTCGCCGCCTACGCATCATCTGGTCCTCCTCTTCAGGCTCCGGGGGCGCACGAGGCACAGCACGTGGACGCTTTGTGGGCCGCGAGTGATCATCGCCGCCATCGTCGAGTCCAGTGAGACGTGAACGACTGGGGGGGTATCGAGCAGTGGCGTAACCAGCCCGCGAGTAAGCGTTCCCCTCGGGCACTGGCATGGCCAATTGGTTAGCTAAACGAATCCCCGGTTAGAAACAGCTTGTCGCGGATAGTCATCCAAGCAGAATCTTACCAAGCTCAAAGTTGTTACTGAGTTGCTGGTATCTTTGTCGATTGAAAAACTCAGCCTCCATGGCATCCAAGTTGCGTCCAGGGGTGCTGAATGTGGAAACAGTTCCATCTTCCTTCATGACTGCAAGGAAGTACACCTTGCTCGAGATACCACAATGCGTACTGAGCGCATTCTCGATGGACTAGAATACTAGAGTTAGAACAACGGTACTAGCCGGTATAGCGATCCGTTTACCTACCATGCATCGGTTGCTTTCCGGCGCCTCAGGGTATCGCCTCTGCAAGGCCTCCCGCCCTTGATGAGCTGGCCACGGTTGACGCGGAGGTAACGCCTCCCGAGACCAGTCTTGCACCATGGCTTGGATGGCGAGGGCGAATCCGAATTCTCAGGATCAAGTGCCTGTCCAGGCCAACCAGGGTTGATGGTGGGCGCCACCGTGCTGCGAGGCACACGGGGCGAAGTCCTCAAAGAGCAACCAGAGGGTGGACGAAGGTGGACTGCGAATGAGTAATGTCGGTGGGTAGCTCTCGGTGAAGACGAAGACGGCGATCTTCCTCGTCTGATAACGTGCCAGGTCAGAAAACAGAACAGTTCCCACACACAACCACCAAAAGATAGGAAAGAACACACGGACGCCGGTGCTGTGCAGATGGAGGAGAAAACTGACCAGGAGGAAGCCTGCCCCGTGACAAGAAGCTATGTGTGTCAGGAAGCTTGTGTGGCTTAGGCACCTTGGCTTGCCAATTGACAGGGCAATAGACGCTAGCGTGTGCTTTCGGAATCGGAGTGTGATTTGTTGCTAGGTCGCGGAGATGATGTTTGTGTGCGAGGGTGGCTGGATGAAAGAGGATCTGCTGGCTCTCGAGTGCTGCAGCTCACAGTGACGAACTGACCGTGCGACAGCGGGCAAACAACGTCCACTGTCGACTGCGTTGTGCCGACGTCCCTATTGATACAGTGCAATGGAAGGACAGGAAGCCCAGTAATTGGTATCGACGGATATATGCTTCGAGATCAACCGGATCAAACGTCTTGGCCTGGTGTAGATCTGCCGACTGCTCATCTGGGCAGGTATATCCCACGTAAATCGACGCTGGAGAAGGAGTGATGGTACCTGGTAATAAGGTAGTCGTGCCAGGAAGGCTGTTGAGACAGATACGGCAAAGAAAGTCCGCTCAGTGGCCACCGCAGAGCACCAGCTCAACGGTGAGCCCTAGAATAAGTTTCTATTCGTAAGGTGCGAAATGACAGAGTGAGTATCAAGGAAGCTGGGGGTGATGTATGTGTGTCGCAGCGTCGCTAGCTCTCGCAGCAAGTTTTGTTGCATGAGCACACGACGGGTAGCTGAGTAGCTAAACTGGGGCCTGTCTGCTTGCTCAAAGTTAGACCCCCATGAGGCGGAGCCCCCTCAGTGAACAGTGGGAACGTACGTCGGGCGAGCAGAGGCGAGCACCGGTTGGCTGGGCCCGGCAGAGCGTTGTCGACGCTTCAAGCTGGGCGGGAAGGGTTTGCTATGCGATAGACCCGTCGATGGGAGTACGTAGGATATCCGTAGTAGGTGTGTCCAAACCCCCCGACCCCGGCAGTGGAGGCGGCGGAGGTGGCTGTTTATCAAACCCGAATGCTTGTTGAATCCAGTGAGTGTTGCTGGTCGAGGCGGGAGTCGATGCCACTGTATCACCCGAAGGCAAGATGACTACGTACTCCTTTGCGGGAACCGTGAGGACGTTTGTTGGTCTATTCGAGACTCGTTGCGACTTGCGAGTCGCGAAGCTTGGGGCATGAGTTTACTATCAGAAGAAAGGAGACATGCATCAGGCGGAGCCGATCTCCACGCAATGACCTAAAACCCTCCACGCGCAATTACGGGGGTTACTGGCCACTTTGAGCGGGCCTGTCACTGTCTGTCGTCAGGGACCCTGGCCTCCGGCATGGAGGCAGCGGACGGTAAGGTACGTACCAGCAGCTGCGAGGAAAGGGAAAACAATGCTCACCTTTTGCGTACATATGCAAGTCGTTGAACAGACAGACCACGGAGCCCTCATTAGGTGATTGAGGGACTGAGTCTTCCAAGTTTTGCGCAAGAGCGAACGATCCAGTGCTGGGTCGTCAATATAATAGTGCCTGAGTTAGGACGGCTCGGTACGGTACGGTACGATGCGGGAGACAGGCTTAGATATGATATGATAATTATTGATAGCAATGGACAATTGGCCTGAAGGAGAGTCCCCGAACGAGCTTACTCCCAATCCTGGACAAGTGGTCTGCCCAAGGTGGCTTGACTGGCTGAGTCTGTCTGCCGTGTTGCGAATGTCCACATAGAGCAGGGATGCTAGGAGAAGATGGTGGAGTGAGAGGAGACGATGGTGGAGTTGGAGAAGAGTGATGAGTGGAGGATGCCCACCTTTGACAGGTCTCAGTCTGTGACTTGGTAGCCTGCATCCACCTGCATCTGCAAGAGTCTCAGGAAGCGCACCGGCAACAAGACCAAGAGACGAGCTCGAGCTCAAAGCGCTTGGACGTTGGACATACCGGTAAAGGTTATCGTGTCGGTCTTGCACTGCGCAGCAAGTCTTATTGGACGGCAGCCGTTTTTTCTCTTCACCGGTGGTGGGCTCAACCCGCACGACCCGGCGCTCGTCATGATAGCATGATGCGGTGCTGGTGTGGACCCTACTACGTACAGTACTATCGAGGCACCGTAATACCGTAGGGACCAGAAGACATAAGGAGGATAAGGTGACGTGTGAAGCTTGAGCCATGTTGGGGAACTGGTGGTTACCCAGCTCAGGGCTCAGGCTGCTCGTCCATCTTGTCATTTCGAGCTGGATTTGGGGCAGGGTCTTGTCCAAGCTACTGGGTCGCTTGCACAATTGGCAAAGGAACCATCTGGCGAAGCAGACAGAGTCGGATAACGGCTCTCCATGATTGAGTTGTAGGGAGGGCGGTCGGTAGATAGCATTGGACGAAAGATGCAAGGTATGGCGACAGGGGTCGTGACAGGGTTTTGCGCTCATGCAACCGCGGTCCACGTTCTGGCCCAGAGATCCTTGTCGTCGTAGTATCCGGCACTGTGAGAGCTGTGCCCATTGTCCCCGATTGGAAACGCTGGTGTGCAGATGTAACTGTACGTCCTTTTGCGCGGTTGGCAGCTGTGGTTCTGGGCAAGTGCTTGTACAGTACTTCGGTGCTCTGACGGGAGGCTGGTTACATTCTCGAATCTCGAGTCGTCAACACAGATCAATCACCTCTGCTGCAAATGACCGATCTCAGCACATCATATCGAGTGATCCAGGTACAAGCATTTGAATTCGTGCATGCCGCTACTCCACGGTCGAGGAACAGGAAGGCGAGATTCGCCTTCCCCTTTGCCACATAAAGAGGGATGGATGATCCTGTGGCTCGAGTAGAGGCGATCAAGAAAAGCAATGTTCGAGCACGCTGAGTTTTGAAGCACTTGACTGCACGTGGAGGCGGGCCGTCCGTCTGCCACGCAGCGCGCGAATTCGACAAGAGCGAATGAGAAGAACGGACCTGGAGCCTGCAGCAATTCAGCGAGACCGAGACGGTGCTGTCCTGTTAATAGTAGCGGCCGACGAAAGACTTGCCATTCCCGACGCCGGACCGTAGGATGGCAATAATGAAGGGATATGCGTGTACCCACGAGGATTGCTCAACTCTGCTTGTACCTGCTAGGGTCCACAGTCCACACCGCGTAAGAGTCGCAGTACGGAGTACGTACGTGTAGCAGTTGTGCCACGCTCGGTCAGTCAAACAAATCATGTCGTTGGCGAAGCGTAATCGGAGGTCGACATTGGTCCCAGCGCAGAACAGGGCGGTCTGAAGGCTCCCAGGGTTGGTGCTGCTCAGTGCTCGCGCTGAGCATTTTGCACTCCGCGTCGGTCTGTGAGGAGCCTACCAACACCTCGGTCCACGGGCCCACGAACAAAACCCCCCACTTGACTGAGGAGGAGTGACAGGCAGGGGAGGGCATGACGAACGTCTACTGTACGTCTACCAGCAAGAACCTGCAGCCAGGGCTGGGTTCCCGGGGAGGATTGTTGTTCGCGGATCTTGACGTCTGTCTGCCTTGCTGCGACAGCTCGCAATTTCGTCAGATACGTCGAATTTGGACAGCGTGGGGGCATCATCGGGGCTTTTTTTTTTCGATTAATTCGGCGGCGCTCGCAAGTCGTAACTTTGTGAGATGGAGACCAGCACGTGCGGAACCAGAATGTGGCCTGTCGGCTGAGGAGCCGTGTAGGCGTTTCAGGCTTCCGTCAACGCGAGGCGGCGAGATGAAGCTCGGCAGTGGTGACTGGGCTTCTTTTCAGCGGTTGATCTGGAGCGTGAGCAGGCAACTGTGCACGCCCGACCTCATTATCCGTAAGATAATAATAGTATAACAACTGCGCAAGTAATGGAGAAACAAACGCGGGCAAGTTGTAAATTCTGCCAGGTAGGTTCCTTCCTCGCATGTCGAAGGCACTCTCACTCAGACTCCAGTCGCGTCACCCAGTACGTAGCGCCTTCCAACTTGAACGCCGATCACGGGTGATCATCAACTGCCAGTGGGTGGCAGCCTGGCCTGGGCCCTGGACACAATGCGCCATTTGGTCAGTCGACATGGGGCTGTGAGCTTCACTTGATGAATAGCTTTCCCAAGGCAGCGGCTTCAAACCTTTGACCCTGATTGATTTTTTTTCTCGGATTTGTCCCGCTTGGCCTACCGTGCTCCCCGCTCAGACCAAGTGGATACATCCTGCTAAGTATCCGGACACCATTCCTCCTCAAGACTGGCTCAACGGCTAGATCCTTGACGTGTCTTGGGCAGCCACTCACAATTCCAGTTCTCATGAGGTGGTCGCTACGCTCGACGCGGCGGACGGGAGCAGCGGGATCTTAATGGTTGGTTGGTTGGTCTTGGTCATGCATCGTCACATCCCTGCCGACAGCACCTCCTCATAGCTTTGCCGCACCAACGAAGCCTCCGCGTACTTTGTCGTGATCATGACAATGGACAGTAATGCCCTCAAATCACAGCCACCGCCAAGTGGTCACCGAAAAGCCATCGATGCCGCCAACAAATCTTCTTGAACAAGCTACGATCAGAGGTCTGTAATACGTAACCATTCCTTTGTCGATTCGAGGGCTGAGCTTCAGCTGAAGCCCCCGCCTCTCGAACGTGAGCGTACACGTACATAAACCAATACCTGACTTTCAAGGCCCTTCTTCTCATCTCGCGGCACCGCAACCAATCGGCCAGCGAGATGCAAAGAAAACGTCTTCCCGTCACGTCACTGGAGAAACCACGCGCGCGCATTCGCACTTATGTAGGTACGGGACCGGTAACAA